AAGGTGAAGAAGAAGTTGACGACGAAGAAGAAATTGAAGATGAACAAGTTGACCAAGTTGAAGAAGAAGAAGAAGAAGAAGAAGAAGAAGAAGAAGAAGATAAAGAGATTGAAGACGAAGATAAAGATGACGATGAAGCTCACAAGGATGACTCTTCAGAGGAAGAGTTCATACCAACATTCGGGTCTGCTCCCCCCAAGAGCAATACAGAAGCGTTGAGAAGCTTGCTCAACCCTCAAGAATCATCTGGTTTCAGCCTTGGCCTCGCCCAAGACGACATCGATACCTCCAAACAAGTTGATGTAGCCGAGCAGCAGCAAGTATTGAAGCTGATCAAGTCGAAACAAAAAGAACACCATCAACAACAAGACGAGGTGAGTGAACCAACCAGTTCAAGATTTGGACTCTTCTGGATGCACACAGAATCGCCCTTCTTACAAACCCAAACTCAGCTCAGCAAATTGGGGTACGTTTCTGAAAAGGTCAAATTGCCTGGCGAAGACGACGAACAAATTGGCAGCACTAACCCTGAGGAAGAAACTCCCTATGAAAAATGGTTTTGGAATACGAGAGGAGAAGTATCGAGAGAGTGCAAGAGAAGAAAGAGAGACGTCTTGAGAGTGTTGAAGAAGAAGTCGGGTAAGAATTTTGTAGTTTAGCATATAATAGAACTAGCATTTAGCATCCACAAACCAACTGAAAACTCGCGGCTTTTTCCCTTCTTTTAATCGCCATGCCTCCAACAGAAGGGAATAGACCTCAAGAACTTCCTGAATTCACCTTGAAAAATGTATTGACTGACATATATAATGCTATATATGGGCTTTTATTTGATCCTGACTACAAAAGATTAGTGGGTCCTATAATTGCAATAGTAACATCGATTGGTACAAAAGTGATTATAGCCAAAGTCCCTTATACAGAAATCGATTTCAACACTTATATGCAACAAATAGAAGTTGTAAATGATGGCGAATTGGACTACAGTTTAATCAAAGGTGATACAGGACCAGCTGTTTATCCAGCAGGATTCATCCAGGTGTACCAATTCATTTATTGGTTGACCAACAACGGAACAGACATTTTAACTGCACAGACTATATTTTCCTATTTGTTCACTCTTTCGGTAATCATGGCAATGTTCACGTATACTGGAGTAAGGCCGTGGGTATTGATTTTGCTGGTATGCAGCAAGAGGCTTGTTTCAATCTATGTTTTAAGATTATTCAATGATGGGTTTACTACTCTCGCCATGATTGGTGTTACCTTGGTTCTTCAACAAACAGCATATTGGTATGCTACCTTGGGGCCCAATTTGACGTTTGCTGCTACATGTATTGCAGCAGATTTGTTCAGTATGGCTATTTCCGTCAAGATGAATGCTCTTTTGTACTTGCCTGGATTCATAGTGGTGATCTACTTTTTGAATGGTGAGAATTTGTTAAAGCTGTTGACAACCCTATTAATTATCCCCTTAGTTCAAGTAAGCATTGGCTGGAAGTTTTTGTTGCCTCTTTTCAATGACGAAATGGCCAAGTATTTGAGATGGACTTACATCAACCAGGCCTTTAAATTTGATAGAAAATTCTTGTATGAATGGACTGTTAACTGGAAGTTTGTCTCAGAGGAAACCTTTCTTTCGGATGAGTTCAGTAATGGTCTCCTCATCGGACACGCATCATTATTACTTGTTTTTTGTTTTACTAGGTACCTTTCTCCCAAGGTTACTGGAAAATCAGTTGCAGTGCTAATCGGAGACTTTTTCAAAGTATTCGCCAGCACCGTGTCAAAGGACAATTTGCTTTTAAATCCAGACTCTGGTCCCAGACTCGTGATGCTTATCTTGAGTACAAGTAATGTAATTGGTGTCCTTTTTGCAAGATCATTACATTATCAATTTCTTTCCTGGTACTGTTGGCAATTACCATTCTTGATGTCGACTGCCAACCCCTACTTGACAATCCCATTCTGGTTTGCCCATGAATATTGTTGGAATGTATTCCCAGCTACTGCCGAGAGCTCGATATTACTAAACGTTGTGTTGTCTCTTACTCTCATGGGAGTGTGGGCAAACACCAGTGCCTGGTTCAAACATTAAGAACTTTAGCTGATTATAATATTATAATACATAAAGGAAAGCTATTTGCTATACCTACTAATTTTAGCCCACTAGGAATCGCCACTTTCTATGGCATCGACAGCATCAACCCCACCCCAATTGAAAGTATTAATTCCATCATTATTACCATCCAAAAACAGATTGAAATCAAAATCGATATCTTCCAAACCATTGGAGTTAGAGCCACTGCCAAACAATTGATTGTCACCGGAGCTACTGTCTAACACATCCATTGAAAACATCTGATCGCCTTGACCAATATCATGGAAGTTGCCGGAGAGTGCCGAGGGAGGAACCATTACATTTAATGAATCGTCGGTCTTATCGTCCTTTTCTTCTTTCAAAGAATCAATATCATTCTTCTTATTGAGAGCAGCCTTCTTAGGAGACTCACCAACAACACTCCCCTTTCTCTTCCTCTTTACATTGATATTAGAAGTATCATTAGGCGTCTCTGAAGTGGGAGTGAGAGGAGTGGAAAACTCCTTCTTGAGATGGGAAGGAGTTGGAGCACTGTTTGGAGTGGTGGTTTGATTACTAGTGCTCTGTTTTCTCCCTCTTTTTCCAGCAGGCTCTTTTCTCTTTTTTGGGACCCCCAGGAGATGGCTTATTACCAATGACCGGGGAAGGACCCGAAAGTGAGGGAGATAGTTTTGTCGGGTTGGAGGTTGGGGTCTGACCTGCTATCTGTTGTGCTTGTTGTTGCAGTTGCGACTGTTGATGGAGTTGAAGTTGTTGCTGTATTTGCAGTTGATTAGGAGGTAACATTCCAGCTGTTAGCGTGGCAAGTGCGTTTGGATCCGCTGACCCACTGTTTCGAGCGATATCCAATCTCTTCTTGTTTTGCTTCTCAAGTAGCATCAACTGCATTTGGTAATCCTGAAGAGCATTAATGTTTCTATTGTTGGCTGGATTACCATTTGCAGGGGCACCTGGATTGGGGTTTCCATTGGTACTGTTTCTATTGTTCTTGAAGTTCCCGTTGGTGTATATCACACTACCATTGGGCTGTTGTTGTGGTTGAAGTGGTTGTTGTTGTTGAGGTGGAGGAGGTTGTTGTTGGGGAAAAGGAGTGGGTGCAGCTCCATTCATCATTTGAGGTGAATACTGCATGCCATTCATGAGAAGGTTTCCTTGCAGAGGAGGCCGTTGTCCTCCTTGCTGCGAGGCTATAACGGCCGCCTGTTGTTGAGGAGTCATACCAGGTCGGACCCCATTGTTGGAAGGTTGAGGAGACGCTTGGTCCCCCAGTCTTTGGGCAGCCACTGCCGCCTGTTGTCGTAAATTGTTCATTTGGCTCTGTGCATGTTGCTGAATACGATTTTGGCTCGGATTTTGTTGCATCATGAACATCTGCTGTGGGAGATTAGGATTTTGAAGTCCCATGGAGGCAGCCATGGCCTGTTGTTGTTGAGGGTCCATCTGAGTAAACGGCTGACCACCCTGTTGCTGCTGTTTGTTCAACATGAACTGCATCATAATCCGTTGTTGCTCAGCGGTTTGAGGACCTTGAGGACCACCTTTTTGCATTGGTTGACCTGGTTGTTGAGGGTTCATCTGTTGCTGTTGGGGCATAAGGAACAGACCACCGTTCATACCAAGACCTTGTGCTTCCTGCTGTTGTCTCTGCTTCATCATTTGAACTTGGTAATATTGAGATGCCATGGGAGTCGAGTGCTTTTTATTTTTGGCATGATAAACATCCCAAAAGACCAGCCACCACTCAAACAAAAACCCTTGGGGGGCATCCATGGTGACCTTCAGAAAAGGAAGATTGTTTTCTTTATGGAACTGGATCATCCCCGGTGATTGGGCCGGGTTACCATTCCCCATTACCGGAGAATGGCCATCTGGGCCACCAGGAACATCGGCTTCATTGACAAACACTTTGGCGGTATGAGGCAACCGGCTTTTGACGAGAAAGTCGTAGACGTAGGCATTTAACAACTGCTTGGGCGACGAGGCCTGGAAGTCAGATACACTCGTTGACGAATCGGTTGGTTTTATAGTATCGGACCCACCGCCCGGACGATTAGAAAGATGAGGGGTGTTTTGATGGCTCATAGTGAACGGGCACTGGAGGACAATCAATGGACACCGAGGCGGTTATGTGGTCGAAGGTTCTGGATGTATGAAATTAAATTTCCGGTGCAATACCAATATGTGTTTGGGAAACCCAAGCCAGACAACCTCGAATGGATAATATAATAAACAAGGCTAGTGAACGACTCCAAGATTCGGACGAGGACCGTAAGTTACCAGTCAATAGTGGGGAAAATACAAGCTACTCGTATACGGAAAGGGCCCCAAATTAAAAAGTTGTATCAAGTAAGGTATGTTAATATATTTTCCCTTATGATGGTAAAATTTAAGGGAACCTAAGGTTTTGAGAATTTGTCCAAGAGGGTTTTTTTTTAAGCGATTCCAATTACGCACATATTTTTAAAATCGTCGTGGAGTAGCCAGTGAAGTAGGTTCGATAATTGGGTGATTTTGTAGTTATAGAGGTTATGAACTGCGTATGAGTAGTTTTGTTTTTCGAGGGGCATGCAGAGTTTTTGGTGAATTAAACTGAAGCCCGTCCGGTCTACGGCCGAAAGAACGGGACTAGCGCCTCAACCCTTGGAAAACTCTACGCCAAAAAGCGGCGAATGCGGCGCACGCGCACGACCCGGTCCCCCACCGACGACAGGTTGCCAATGCGTCACAGTACAAGTTACGACACCTACCACTCTCGGAGGAGTGAAAACAATCATCCGATAGTTCATAGGTTTGTGGATGGTGATGGTTTTATGTATAGGTGGAATATTTGTGTTCCCCAGTGTTGCTTGCTGTGAAGCCCAATTTGGTACTAAGACCGACGAAGACATGTTGGCAATTCCCGCAAGATGGCGGCGCGGGAGCGGGAGCAGTACCAGCACCACATTTCCACGCTCAGTATCTGCTGGATAACCACTGTTATTATATTAACTCACTATTAACTCTTACATATTGAACCTCAATATACTCCCTTCACAAACCACTGGCACACCAAAACAAACCTCTAGTAATACACTTAACAATTTCAAACCACAAGTATGGTACACTAAAACAATACTTTTCACAAAACCTCACTTTTCCTTTCCAATGTCAGCAAAATACAAAATCACAAAATCAAACCCTGAATAAATTATCCCCAAACCGATGTGTCGGTACTAATGCTTGGCTCGGAACCACTGTTCCCCCAAATATTCGACGTCAAATTCTTGAACGAAGATGCATTCAATGTTGATCCAGATCCAGAGTTGAATCTGGTATCAGACAAATCAATAGAGCTGAATGGGTCAAACGAAGAACCGAGTCCGGTGGTAGTTTGCGCCGGAGCTGCTGCTGCTGTCGAGTGTCCACCGTTATACAGAAATTCGTTGCCATGTCCAGAATAGCCAAATCCCAGTCCCAAAGACAGCAAACCAAAAGTCTGTGACATTTGGGCTGTTGCTTGGAGCTGCAGTGGTTGAGATCCCATCAGACTTATTTGTGGCTGGTGTGACGAGATTTGGCTGGAAATCTGGGGAACATTCTGGTGATGAGACGATAACTGGCGCTGAGCCTCCGAGGGCTGGTGCGGGCCCGACGGCGTGGAATATCCCAACAGCGTGGAATAGCTCGAGGGGTATTGGGCGGCTCTTTGCCTGGAAACGTTTCCATATTTCCGTTTGTTGATGGCATAGATACTCATAGGCTGATTTTGCACCTCAATCAAGGCCTTGTCGATGGTGTCCATCTGGTCCACAAATGGGTCACACCTTATCGGACGTTTGGGATAAACAGTACGAGCCATCGTCCACCGTACTGAGGAATAGGAACTGTTCGTTTGTTCACTTGTAGAAAGCGATTAAAATTTTTTCGTCTTGATTTTGTTCCGACAATTAAAGGGTGCGGGCGTGCGCGGGCCGCCTTCAGTGCCTTAAAATGTCTTAGAATCCTTGGAGAGGGTTGTAAACTTGCCAGTAGTTCTTTAAGGGCAAGGGCACTAGATTGTAGTGGAATTACGAATTTATTAGCGTCAATATTTTCCTCGTGTAGCAGCATCCGATGAGGAAAGAACAGCTGTGCTTGTCGCCCAAAGGTTATTTCTCAATTGGTACACCGTTTATTGTCTATGAACTTTTAGTTTTCATGTAATCAATTCAATACTCTCTCTCTCTCTGTGGAATAATAGCAGCTGGTTGGCCCCTTCAATGCTATCCTCTGCTTCAATGTCAAATTGTTGCATGTATTCTTCATCTAACATGGGCTCGTCTCTGATGGATGCAAATTGCTCCTCTACCAACTTGGCAATGATAAACCGGTCAATGAAGCCTGTCATCAACCGAGGTGTATGATTACCCGAATCGACGATTATAAGGTAGTTCAAGTACATTTTCTCGAACACATCGATAACAAGACTCAACCATGTTTTATCATTCATGATAATGAAGGGTTTTTCAGGCTCAAGTTCCAATTTGATGAGGGTATTTGGATCTACACCCTGTTCGTGTCGTATTTGGTGTGAAAGGACTTCTGTGGGGACTCCTGAAACCTGGAAGCTTATGATGTCTTCTCCATTGGCAGAATCAATATGCGATAAACTGGTGTATATATCCTGCTTATGGATATACCCCAATGATATTGGGTTTGTTGGCGATGCAAGAAGTGGGAACCCTTCATGGGTGTTTTCAATCAAAAAGGCATGTAGTTGGTTCAATGTCATCGCTTCATCAGACACAAGGTAGATACACTTGGTGTTCTTCACTGGTATCATCACTTTGGATACAGTTACCTCCGGCAACTTTGCTTTGATGAAAGCAGTAGAATTGCTGAACTGAAAGAGCCCACTGCCCTTACCAACATTGTACATCACATCTCCAGTCACGATCTTGGACTTGTTGAAACCATGTGTGAGCAAAGCATCGTAGATATTTTCACTGCACAAGTAGTCACTAACGAACTTCAGAACCATTACAGCCACCATTATTGGAAGCACATAGGAAAGTGCTCCAGATAACTCGAATAAAATAACCACCACACACATGGTCAATTTCGTGACTCCAGTCATAAAAGCCCCAGCACCAATGACAGCATACGAAGCTGGTGATACAAGACACGAGTTTTGGGTGCAAGTATCTGAGGACCCAAATAGAAGACTCTGAATGCCTTTGGACATGATCCCCACAAATCTCCCGCTGACGGCTCCGATTACCAAAGAAGGCATCAATACTCCACCAGGTAAAATGGTTCCAAACGAGTAAGCACTCAAGAACAACGCCTGGACAGCGATATAAAGCAACTTAATGGAAGTAACCACGTTAGACGAAGAACACATAAGACTGGCCGAATTCTGCTCGTTTGACTCACCTGGTTCAGGGCAATTTATAAACAAACTCTTCAAGAACGCATCCAACTGCAATCTTGACATGGCTATGGGGAAATTTAATATACAAGTGACAAAGAAGATCAACAAGATCTCCAAGTAATTGGCCTTTTCAATTGGAACCCTGAATATTGTACACAATCTTTGTTGAATACTAGCTCTAGATTTCATGGTCCAGGTGTAGATCAGGATAAAAACCCACCCGTAGAATCCGCCAATAACTCCTAAACCGATGAAGGGAATGAGTTCAAGAATCAACCAACTGAACCCTCCGAATTCGACTGAAAAGAGGTCTTCTTCATTAAAGTTAATACCTTCGGTAAATGACCTAAACCCTACCAAAACCACAAGTCCAATGGCAGCACTAACGAATGAGTTCCACATGATTTTAGTGGGAAAGAAATAACTAGGAATACACTCGAGCACAAACAAAACTCCTCCAATTGGCGAATTAAAGGCCAACGAAATGCCCGTAGCAGTGGCTGCACTCAAGAGCTCACGTCTTACTGCTTCGGTTCCTTGCAATTTACCGAGGATCAAGTTATACATCACATTAAGAATACAACATGCCACATGCACAAAAGGACCTTCTTTACCCAACCAAAATCCACTAGCAGACACCAAGCTCAACCCCACAATTTCCAAAAATAGTGTTCTCAATCCCAAGTATTTATCCAAGTTGTAGTTGAATCCCTGGATGATCAGTTTCACTTCTGGTATACCTGATTGCTGAATGGAAGGTTCTGTCTGAGACACGTAGATGGCTAAAGCTGCACAAACAGAGCCAGTGATCACAAAGATTGGAAAGTTCACCAACGTACTAGCAACCACTCGATCCGAATTCACTAATATCTCGGACCAGTTATTCCAAGCACCCGCTGGACATGACAGATATGGATTTAATAGGGACCATTTGTCTAAATCACTTAGACATATTCCCTTTCGTAAGTCATTGAGCCAAACAGATATAAGGTCAATTATTGTCACGGCATACCCTGACACAACTGCTGTGATGACAATAACAAGCCACTTTTTGTAGGTGAAGGAAACTGAGCTGTGGGAGATCAACGTGGTTTCAGAGTACCAATCAATAAATGTGTTATTCATATAGGTTTTCGGCACAGGTGCAGATGATTTGTAAATCTCCAGCTCCTGTGATTGAGAATCAAAGGGTGGTGTATACCGAAGAATCGGAATAGCGTCGTCATCTAGTACCACTTGGGTACCATTTTGCAGCCGATAATATGACATACAGAAACTAAACGCAAGTCGTGCCTATTTTCTGAAGAGAGTGTTGTGCGAAAGAAAATGTTTGACAAAAATTCAGTAAACCGAGTATTCAACCTAACACCAAGATGTCTTCATTTCTTGGAAGAAGCACGAATACCAATCCTACTGCCACCACTAGCTCGGCCACAGGACAGGAACTCGTTAACGATATATCTATCAATAATCCCCCCGAGGATAGTGTTAGTGACTTGAGCTTTTCATCTCAACAGGATCTCCTCGCAGCTGCCAGTTGGGACAAAAAGGTCAGAATATATGAGATAGACTCCAATTCTGGAAACAACCAGGGCCGAGCTCTCTATGAGCATGATGCCCCTGTTCTCAGCTGTGTGTTTTCTCCGGACGGTGCTCGAGTCGCCAGTGGTGGTGCTGATAAACAAGTCAAGTTGTTTGATATTGCCAGTCAACAAGCACAACAAATTGGCGTCCATGATGCTCCCGTGAGAGCAGTGCGGTTCGTCGAATGTGGTCCCACAAATACCCCTGTGGTGGTCAGTGGATCATGGGATAAGACGTTGAAGTACTGGGATATGAGGTCCCCTCAACCAGTTTCTACTGTTAACCTTCCTGAACGATGCTATTCTATGGATGCATCACAAAAGTTGTTGGTGGTGGGGTGTGCCGACCGCCATGTGTGTGTGATTGATCTCAACAACCCCCAACAAATCTTTAAGACGCTGATGTCTCCACTAAAATGGCAAACCAGAGTGGTAAGTTGCTATCCCCAAGGAAATGGATATGCGATCGGGTCAATTGAAGGCCGGTGTGCATTCCTGTACGTGGATGAAGCCGAACAAAGCAAGCATGGCTTTTCTTTCCGTTGTCACCGTAAAACCCCCAACTCAACCGGTACTTCTGCTTTAAGGACCAATACTGAATCTCATATCTATTCGGTGAACTCCATTAAGTTCCACCCGGTCTATGGAACGTTCTCCACGGCTGGAAGTGATGGAACCTTTTGCTTTTGGGACAAAGATGCCCGGCAACGGTTGAAGTCGTTTCCTGAACTTAATCACTCGATTACTAGTTCTGCATTCAATAAGAATGGGTCAATATTTGCCTATGCCATTTCATATGACTGGTCCCAGGGTCACCAGGGTAACCGCCCAGACTATCCAACCCAGATCAAGTTACATCCTACCAACGACTCCGAAGTTAAACAGAAGAAGAAGAAGATCTGATGTGTATTTTATAGATTCTTATTGTACTTTTATTTTGCAACCTTGTTTGCGCGGCCTGATAAAATTATTATATTTAGTCACTATGAACAAGCCTCCTAAAACAACAGTAATATTCCACGGCGTACCCAATGATACCACAAACTGGCTTGTTGGTATTGATACCAAGTTCTTCACCATTAACCAGCTTCTCAAGGGAATAAAATTGATTCCCGATGGGATCCATTTCATCCATTATTCCTTGCCCTCCATAAAATCAAATGACACAAATGCTGCAACATCTTCCAGCATACGATACGGTAGGTGGATCGAATGTGATAATAGCGTTACTGTGCTTTATTGGAATCTGGACTTGGAAAAGTTTGATATCGTTGATGACAAAAACGTACCTGAAGCTTTGAATTACTCCAAATACACTCAGAATTTGGGTGAGATATATTCGCTTACAGTAGCGTACCCGGAAGATGAAGCTATATGGAATGGGTTGATCCTGGCCATTGACTTGGAGATTATACTGGACTTGGTATCATTAAAGAGTGATAGCTATTCTAAAGAAGTCAACACTATAACTCCTTCAACTGAAGAAAATACAATTTTGCTGAACCAGCTCAAACTGAAAGATCCCACTCGTGAATTAGATCCAAACTTGATCTCTGGAAGTGAGATCCAGTTCACCATATTGAACTTCAAACAGAAGAGAGACAACGTTTCTCTTGAGCAAATCAGCCAAGATTATCTTGATAAATCATGGTACTTGGAAGAAACTTTTGGGCACGATACAGACTTTGTTCTTGGAGAGCTACAGCTAAGTTTTGTCCAGTTTATTATTCTAGGAAATTTCTGTTCAGGGTTGCAGTGGCTCAATACCCTCAAGCTTTTGCTGATGAGTAAGACCTTTATCGTTGCAAATAAGTCATTCAGCTTGAAGTTTTTACGGTCGTTTAAGTTGCAGTTGGAAAGTATTCCTGCCGAGTACATCGGGGAGACCATCAGTTTAAACAGCGCTGTTGATACCAAGAATTTCATTGGAATCATGGAAAACTTTGTCAAAGACGTATATCCCCGTGAAATGTGGGGCAATGACGACTGTTGTGGAAAGATGAAAGTTAATGGAATGGTTGTAGATACCTGGAAGAAGATTCTCCTTTTGATTCAACAACGGTTCCAGCTTGACTTATCGAATTTGGAGAACAGGAAGGTCGACGAAGACCAGTTTGAGGTATTTGACCTCAAGGATTATGATGAAAACGATGAAGATGTTCCGGCCATTGTGTCGTGATCGTACATTAATATATTTACATGATTTGGGTATTATTTCCTGAGCAGCTTGAACTTCTCTTTAATTGGCACTAGTTCTCCTCGTTGGTAAAGAATTCCCTCTTTGAGGTGTTGTATGTATTCTTCCCGATACTCCTCTTTCTTCTCTTTACTCATTTCCTTCCATTGAACTGAAAGATTCTGCTTAGTCTGACCAGAGGCTCCAGCTTCTTTATAGAATTTAGCAGAATAATGATTCCAGGCATGGGTGAGCTTAATTTGAGAAAAATCATAGTCTTCGGGGAACTTTCCATGCTTGGCTACATACTCAATTGCATTTTCTCTTTCTTTGGCTCGTTGCACCTTCTGCAGTTTCCTTAACATCATATCCTGTTCTTTGGCCAATCTCTTTTTACTCCGGTTTTGTTCTCTCATAAGGGGCTTCAATTGCAGTTTGTACAACATAAAATGCTTTAACTCTTCCTTATCGGCTTTTGTGATTTTTGTGGGTTTTGGCTTTGTGGCCATCTTTGCTTCTATGCACCAGTCGTCTATAACATCTTGGATATCCTGAAAAGATGGAGCATTCAGTTCAATGTCCGGATACACTTGTTTGATTTTTTCGTTAACGGCAGGTAGAGTCCAGTCAGTAGCATATAATTTCTTGGGAATGTAAAACCATCCATAGTTGGTAGGAAGCCCGTAGAACGCATTGGGATCCATAGTAGTATCTGGTAGAGGGGCAGTTGACACAGTCCGGAACAGAGTTAGACACACCTGTATACATGGAAATTTCAACGGTCTGAATACTCTCAACATGGTGAATTTCGAGTTTTGTGTCTTGTGCTGAATGGAAAACTCGGATCGAGATGCGCTATAATGAAAAATTAGCCATTTCATGTTCCCGCGCGCAGTTTGGTGATGCCCGCATTATCAGAAAACCATTATCGATCGATAACAGGACTGTTTTAAAGAAACCGTTAAAATCTAAATCTGCTAAGAAGCCCTCAGATTTATTTCGGAACCAGGAGATTTGGATGAGTGTATGAATAATTTTACAGTTGTACAATGAGTTATTTGCCGCCGAATTCTCCGTTATTTACCTCCCTGCAGTTGGCGCCTGTGTCCTCAACTGCCTCGGGAGATCAAAATTTAATTCCCCAACTCCCTGAGAAGCCCACAGCTTCATCTGGAACAGTCCAAATGTATATTATCCCCACAGAGAAAAACCTTTTTTTCCAAGGCTTTGAAGCCAATGAATATGCTGGTAGACAACCTATTTTGTTAAGGGGTTGTCTTTTCATCAGGATATTGAAACCAGCAAAAATCAAGTCTATCTCTTTACAGTTCACTGGATCTTTGCGTACGGACTGGCCAGAGGGTATTCCACCCAAGAAGAATGTTTTCTCTGAAGAAAATAATGTCATTAGCCATACATGGCCGTTTTATTCTATGTCAAACCCGTTAAACACCCTTGATGGAGGTGCTGACTTGTACAGTGAGTTACCTAAAAATATTGATCGGGATGTGTCACATTTGAGTCTAAATGACTCTTCAATAAGACCCCACTCTCCCTCCTTGTCTCAGTTAGAGACCACTAATCCAGGGCTTTTCAAAACGGGTTTGATGAAAAAGGCCAATACTTCTCCTCAGTTGCATCCGGTAGATTCTTTCAATGATTTGTCTTCCGTTCTTACTGGAGAAAATGAGGTGGGTAAACCGGGAACGTTTCCTCCTGGAGATTATATTTATAACTTTGAACATCCTTTGCGGCCTTCTCTACCAGAAACGACTGAAGTTACTTTTGGAGATGTTAGTTACGAATTGGAGGCAACAATTATACGTGCTGGGGCTTTCAAGCTGAATCTCATTGGTAAAATGCCCATCAATTTGGTAAGAACACCGTCCGAATATAATCTTGAAGAAAATGAACCTATCATCATATCTCGGGACTGGGAAGACCAATTGAGATATGACATTGTCATTGGAGGAAAGTCGATCGTTTTGGACTCGTATCTTCCTTTAGCTTTCCGGTTTGTCCCTCTTTGGGGGAAGGTGGCCCTTCATCGTATTCGAGTGTATCTTTCGGAAAATTTAGAGTACTATTGTCAGAATAAAAAGGTTCACAGAATGGAGCCCTCTAAGAAGTATTTATTGTTGGAACATAAAGCTAAAAAGGGCAAGAGCTTATTGACCAAGAAAGAGAATGGAGAATATGGAGATGAAACTGAAGAGTTGTTGCCCAGGGAACTTGAATTCCAGTTGTACGTTCCTCAGAATTTGAACGGAAGAGTAAACCATGTTCTTCATCCTGATACTTCTTTTGATGAAATTCAAGCTCATCACTGGATAAAACTTTGTCTCAGGATTTCCAAGTTGGACCCCGAACACCCTGAAAAGAGAAAACATTACGAGATTCTGATTGACTCTCCCATTCACGTATTATCTCCATTGGCTGCTCATGGCAATACTTTGTTACCAGCGTACAATGAGTTTTTACCTGAATTCTTACCGGAATACACTCCTGCATCACCTCCATTATCACCAGAAGTCATTCCAGTTGAATCGACAGCAACAATTGGAAAGTTGTTCTCTGCTCTCAATCCAGTAAGCAGTAACTCTTCCCACAAACATGAGACTCCTTCAGCGGTCCATTCACCTACTCCAGAAATATTTCACCATATCAACAGTTTCGACAACAATGACGACCCAATAGAAAGAGATTTAGATATGCATTTGGAGGCCAATCTCTACAAGCCAGATCCAAACGAGTCGAGGTCTCAATTGAATTCTCCTCAGGCAATGCCACATATTGGTAGTTTATCGCCAGTGACTTCACCTATGTTAAGGCCAATAGCGCCTCTTGTTGTGCCTTCTAAAGATCCTCCTCCGTTTGAAGCTGCGAGTCCTCCCCCAGATAATGAAGTGCCACCACCAGCTTATGAAAAAGATTCGGCAAGAAACTCAATGTCTCCTGGGGTAACCAGGGACTCTTCTACCAGCAGCTTGTTACCTAGGGGAAGATCTAAGACGAACTCGAGTACCAATACAAATGGAAGTAATGGCTCTTATGGAGCCTCTAATGAAATATCAATTAAGGACTTGTTGACAAACAGCTTAGGTGGTCACCGGAATTCGGTAGCTTCCAAGAAGAGCCAGAGTTCAGGAGAATCTGACAAGCTGAAAGGAAATCAGAGTTCGTCCAGCTCTCTAGTTAAAAGCAAAGGCATTGTGCCGGATTCGGATAATACCATCCTTTCACCTAAAGTCGAACATGAAAACGAACATGAAAGTGAGGAAGATATTGTGAATTTGATTGGATCTCCTGAGCTTATTCCTGAAGCTGTGAGCCCAAGAAGAAACTTAAGTCCTATGGGTAGTCCAAGGACAGGTGTAAGTCCCATTGCCAGTCCAAGAAGAGGTATTAGCCCGATAAGCACACCTTTGAGGTCTCGTAGTCCTGAAAGAGGTGGAACATCTCCAACTCAGTCACCCGAAAGAACCTTCAGTTCTGATGCACTTCCCCCAACCATCCAATTCAATGGAAATGAAGAACACAACGGACACAAGAGGGAATCCGAAAGTCCTGGCTATCAGTCGGAGATAGAAAGCTCCTCGTCACGTCGTACATCGATAGCATCATTCTCTTCCAATGAAATGCAAATGGGACAAAATATTCCGCTTTTAAGCCTGTCAACCCAATCCTTACTTCTCAGTAACCCTGCAAACACTCGAACTGCATCGGTAGGATCCATTCTATTTGATCCTGGGAGAAGACACAGCTCCAACACTCGACCTTCGATTGTAGACTTTGTGGATGGTGGTGATCTTGGTGGAGACTTCTTCAGAGACTCGATGCGTCTCACCAAGTTGAATAATCCAAGAAGACACAAGGAAACCAACATCTCTGAAGAAGTGATTGAACTGGACCACCTAACCAAAAATGAAGAGATGGTTCATGAGGAGGAGAGTTTAACTGGGACTTCTGAAAGTGATTTGACCGTCAACGAAAACCAGACGTTGAAAACCCAGTCCCCTGCACGGGGGCCTACAAAAGAAATTCCGGGCTTTAAAATAGGGTTCCTGATAGAATAGTTACCTGTTTGTATTTATAGATACACTAAAACTACCATACTTTTTGCAACCACGGAATTGGCCTTCCACGAACGGAAATCTGATGCTGGATAGCCGATCGGTGAAAAAACATAAATAAATTGGATTTCTTCATCCACCACAGTACTATCCACAAACAGCATGACCACAGACGCACAGACAGCTAATTCTTCTCAAAAAGTGGATAGGACCACCTACGGGCTCCCTAAACCAGTCCCTGCTTACTATCCTCATCCTGGCTCCCCATTATACGCGAACAAAGCACTTTACACCAAAATTGCAAACAGCAAAAAAACTTTGGTCGAGAAGCACATTTGCAAGCCCAGAACCGGAATTGCCTTCAAGGTGCCCGCCAAAAGTGTTTTCAGGTTGACTACTCCCGAAGGACCTCAGGTGTGTGACTTGAACATCTGGAATCAACATAATCCCAGAGAAAGATTTTGGGCCGCGAGAACCAGGCAGTTGCATTCTGCACATGTCAGCACTTTTGATCGGTTATGGTCCAACTTGCCGTACTTAAGACCTTTGGTTACCATTACTGGTGATACTCTCAACGCCAGACATGACGAATGGGGTGGAAGAGCCCATGACACATTAGGAACCCGATGCGATCCTTATGTCGATAAGTTGATCAGTGGAGAAGACAACGATTTCCACTGCCACTCGAATTTGACAAGAGCCGTGATGCCTTATGGATTGACCGAGTTTGATGTCCATGATGTTTTGAATGTGTTTCAGATCACCGGGTTGACTGAACAAGATCAATATTTCATGGAAGCATGCCCTAGCACCAAAGACGATTATTTTGAGGTTTACGCAGAACAAGACTTATTGGTAGCCATCAGCGCCTGTCCGGGAGGTGACTTGTCTCAGTGGGGTTGGGGAGAAGACAAGGACGATTTGGATGGGTCGAAAATGGTGGATTGTTGCCGACCTCTTGGAGTGGAAATCTACTCTATTGACGATGAAGAAGAGGTGTTGAGAGAATGGCAAGCACCTGAGGTTGTCAACTATAAGGGAAATCACGGGTTCAAAGAACCAGTTGAGTAATTCATGTACCTTTCAAATAAATGGTATGCTAGTGTAATAGGACTATATATATATATAGATCAAACTGACCCATCAATGCATTCTCCAATCCAGTCGCTGATTTCATCGTGGGTAATAAGTCCAGCTACTTCACTACCTCTGTATTTGAGTTTTTCTGCTTGCCCATCGTCAATAACTTGTCTAAGAAACTCAAAATGATTTGTGAGCTTATTATCATCAGTATGCACCTCAAAATCCAGGACTATGGCACTTTTATCCACATGAAACTTGATAGATAAACCAAACTTTTTATTGAAAAACTCATGCGTAAACTTGGGTGTGTTCCCAAACTTCCATTCCCACAGCCTTAGTTCGTTTGCAAGTTCGGTGATGCTTGGATTGAGTTGGGTGTGCTTGTCTATGACAAAGGTCTGAGCCGTTTTTGAGTTCGACTCCACGAAATCCTCGATTCCCATCATCAGATTGTATTCTTTTTCTTCTTCATCCAACTCAGTAACTGTTCCGTATACGTCTTTGAACGTGTCTGAGACGCACTTGATAAAATCATCGGAAGCCATCTCTATATTGGTCACTTTCGACTTGACCGATGCTACTGACGAAGTTGATTCTATCAGACCATTCTTCTCTTTAGTAGTTGATAAGAGCTTTCCCAAAATATCGAGTCTCAGGTTCAATAACATCGTCCCATGGTGATAAGACCTTCCCTTGGAGAGTTTGTATGCGGACCCACTGACCTTATAACTTATATTGTCATCCTGTTTGACAGTGGTTATATCGCCTCTTTGATTCACTTCTATGGGGTACTTAGACAACCTGGTGGAATTTACAGCCTCGCAAACCAAGTTGACAAAGTTGAACCTGGTGAATTCAGATTTGGTGGTCATGAACGAGAAGTTCACATTTCCTGAATCGTGAACAACAGTTCCACCACCCGAACGCCTTCGTAAAAGCGGGATCTGAAGCGAGTTTAGGAGTGCTAAATTTACCTCCTTCCATGGGTTTTGATTTTTTCCTATCACCACACAAGGTGAATTGGTGTAGAACATTAAGCGGTTGAAGCTGTGCAAATCGGACTTTTGAGGTAATGGCATTTTATTGTACACATAATCCTCGATAGCCAAGTTTGTGTACGGATCTTCCAACTTGGATACAAATACCATCGGCTCCTTGGTAGTGGCAGCAGCTTCGAGGCTCGTGGTGTCATGTTTAATGGGTTCAGAGAATATGTTTCTAGTCTTGTCCATCACATCTGGAGACTCCCTGTAGTGCTGGAAGTCCTCGAGACCGAAAAGTTCAGCATCAGCAGCAGCAAGATCATCTCCAAATGGCACGTTAACGTTGCTCAACAATCTTCGAAAGTGTATTGTCGGTGCCCATTTAAAAGTGATGGGCCTCATCATCCTGAGAGTTATTTGCATCAAAAGAATGCGACAAAAAATACCTCACATCACCAATGCTTGAGAAGAATGAATTGGAGAGACATCTTTTGTCTCGATGTTTTTCGGACCGAGAGAAGATAGATGAGCTTCTTGAGACCAGGTATACTTTTACAGGCGCTCAAAAGCCGTCGTTGGTGCTTTTGCCCACCAAAACTGAGGAGTCCAAGGCCAAGTCCCTTCTTCACTCTGAGCCCACATACATAGATGAACAACTCAAAAAACGCAAAACTAACACCAGACTCGAGGCAAGAACGTACTTAAAGACGGTGAAGAAGAACCAGGATAGTTTGGTCCGCAAAATCCAGGAGTACAATCGGTTGAAGCTCAAAACACCAAAGAAACCGTTCCCTCTCAGTAAGTTGATCGTCAAATTCCAAATACCCACATACGAAGAGTTCCTACCCATGAATAGACTTTGGAACGACTACGCTCAATCCCTTGCATTTCCAGAAATAAAGTCACCCGAAGACAAACTACCCAATAAGCAGATGATACTTGCACGTCTTGCGACTGCTGAGTACAGTGGATGTCTATTGACGGTTTTGGACTCTCGAAACCCCAATCTTCTCGGATTGAAAGGGATAGTGGTGTACGATACACAGTACACATTCATAATATGTGTTGAACGTGATGAAGATGAAGATGCCACCCCTGCTAAACAGGTTGGAGGGTTTAGGTTTGTACCCAAGAAGTTTACTCTTTTCACGTTTGATTTAGAGCTTCCGAACCAGACTGAACAGGATGACAAGTATCTTAGCTTCACACTCATCGGATCACGGATTGATACCAGGGCTGTGGACAGATCCACCAAGAAGTTCAAGAGTCACAACGTGGAGAATATTTTATAGATTGTGCATGTATATTAGATGGGAACACCCGAGTTTCCGAGTTCATTTATGGAGTCACTTGATTCAATTGTATTACCTTGTGTATGTTATTAATCACTTTACTGGAGTGCCGACTTCTTTACGTCATTTAGTTGCAATATAAGCAACTCGTCTTTGTTAGCATCAAGCTTACTCATAATGGCATCAATTTTGGGGGCTATCTCTCCAGTGCTACTGCTCGACAAAACTAAGTTTATCTCGTTCACGAGGTCCAATTTTTCAACAGATTCTGGGAATACAACCACATCTTCACCGTCATTGATAACCCCGCGCACGCTAGATACCGATTCAGAGTCTGGAGTTTGATATTTTGCTTGCAAATTGGTGATCACATTTACAAAACTGTCATTGTAGACGTTAGCCTTGGTGTCAAGGAAATCTTTCAAGTCGTTTAAGGAGCTGAGAATGTAGTGTTCATCGATTTTAGGGCCGGTTTCATCGAGATCTTTCAATCCAGTAAAAGCTTCGCCATTGTCATCTTTAGCTGGTACTACTGGGGTGGACAATTTCTGTAAGGTTTGATTCAACTTGATCAATTCATAATAGTTGTCGTAAATAATGGATTTTTTCTCCAGGTTATGGGAGTTTAACTCACTGCCAATCGAGTTTCGTAGCTTTAATATATCTTGAATGGGGGTGGTTTTGACATACTCTTGAAACCGCACCGGGTCCTCCAAGTTAATCGGGTCAACTTCGGCCTCCACTGGAACCTTCTGTTCTTGCTCCTGTACTTGTGCTTGTTCCTGCTGTTTGCGCTGCTGTTGGATGTGGTAGAACTCTTGAAGAGCCTTTCTTCGAGACAGAACCTTTCTGGTTCCTGAGGCATTGGCAACACCCACATTAGGAGACATCGTCCCAGCATCCTTAGGCATCAGCGAAATAGTGGTATATGCCGCAGTGGCCTTCACATCTTTCTGAGTCAGCGGTTTTTTATATGATAACACTGGGGTTCCGCTCATCAAAGTTGTGATTTCAATTGCCCAAATGCGCGAAACGGTGCAATATATATATTATCAACTATGTACCCAGGCATCAAAGTATACCAAATCCTCTTCTTCTTCGTCAATGACATCTCCCCCTCTGTTGTTAAAGATGGAGAATGCTTGCTTGTTGACTACGCTCTCGATGGCAGGCGTCATATGTTCCTTATACTGAATTCCATATCCAGCATCCAATATGCTCTGCCAGGTGACTTTGTACTGATCCACCGTATTATAGACCATTTCAAGCCTATCATCAAACACTAACACGTCGCATAAGGCCCGTATGTCATGGATGGCCAAGTCGATGTTGGTGATCTCACTCTTGATGATAAAATCCATTATGCTGTTTAAGTCCACGTATCCGGTGTAATTGTAAGGATATGATGCCTGTAGAATATTGACGTTGGCGGCGGGTGGTTGGAACACGGTGGGGTACGTTCTGGACGCTACAAATCGCCATATGACCATCAACAAGTTGTCTATGAACTCGCTGTCCAATTCTGAGTCTGTGAACCAAGGACCTCCAGTTACGTCGATGGAAGGTTGTAGGTTGTACAACATGTAGATTTTTCTTGTGGGATGCTTGACCGACTTGATGGACTTGATGTACCGCTGGTTTTCGAGGGTTTTTAGGCACCTGACCACGATGTGCTGATGAAGATTGGTCTTGGCCTTGATGGTCTTAGTCCATATACCTTCTCTGCCAGAGGCTTCAATGTACGAGTAGATCATGGCTTCGTCTTCCGACATGGATGTGATTTTGTTGGCTTCAGACACAGATATGGCTTGGAACATCAAGTCCTCCCCTTGCCGGATCAATTTGATTAAGCTGTTACTCACCAACTCTTGACCGACCTCTAAGAGAACCAGGACGTCAGAGGTGTCGAGGATTTTCATCACCTCATCTTGGCCGAAGAGCGTATCTGACAGCAGGTTGCACATGTGCGTGTGGAGCTTCGTTGCTCGTTGCGAGACTCCTGGTGCTGTGGATGTCATTTTGTAGATGAGCTTGAGGATGAAGTTACAGTAAAATTTCTCGATGCGCATTTTTGATGAGCAGGGAGATGAGACATCATGAACGATGAAGAGGATTTGTTGAACATCCCATTGAAGAAGCCATTGTTTAAGAAGAAGAAGAAGGTGAGGGGTTCAAGAAGTGCAAGGAAGCAACTGCCAGAAGTAGATGATGATTTTGGCGATTTGAGTGTATCCAATGGTAATATAACAATAACTTCTCGAAAGACCAAACCTCGCCAAACGTTTGTCAGAAACACAGAAAAGAGCACCACAAACGTTTCCAAGTGGGTGTCGGGGCATTTTAAAGAGATAGAGGATACGGCTGTTCTAGGGAAGTTTACTGAAGGAGATACTATCACAGGTGCTGACTTGGAGGACTCTGAACCTGAACCTGAACCAAACGAATCAAAAAGATACGTACCCAAATTGGACAAAAGACTCGAGCAGAAACTCAGCAAAAAAAGACCAGATTGAACAGCTTGTACACGAATATGAAAATGAAAATGACGACTACGATGAAGATATTCCTAACAACTATGCCACGATAGAGCCTCAACCAGCCAATGATTTGGAAATAAACATTGATGACGAGATGGTTGAAGACGAGGAAACGGAGGCAGTGTTTGTAAACCATCAAGAAACGAAAAGTGTATTTGTGGATGAAGATAAATACGATCCACAAATAGGTGACAGTGACGAAGATATTCCAAGTGGTACTGTGAGAGTAATTGAGCCGTTGGATGCCAGCCAAGAGCTCGCCAAACTAGAAAAAATGCTTCAGGACTTGCAACTACGCAAGCGAACAGCTGAAGTCCAGAAGTCTTTGAATGACAAAACTCTCGTTGAAATTGACGAAAAACGCAAGAGTCTAGATAGAGTACTAGACAGTGTATAGGAAAGTGTTATGAAATGTACGCGCGTGCGGTCCACGACGTAACTTTGAGACCGACACTAATCAGATCTTGTACCGCGCTAACGGCACTTTATTACCCGTTTAAGTGAGTCACATACAAATTTTTCAACCTTTAACGTCTCTAAAATCCTATCTTTTGGATCGAACCCTATCATGATTAGAACTTCTGTCACTAACTCCATCAGACAAATCTCCATGAGCTCCGTATCATCTTCCCCTAGACACTTTGTGAATATCCATCAGTTGTCGGCAGATGAACTCTCGGCGTTGATTTCAAGAGCTGCTGCTTTCAAAAAGCAAATCAAAACAGGTGAACCGGCACCTTGGAAGCAATACCAACGGCTATTGGGCAAGGTTGTGGCCCTCTTATTCTCTAAGAGATCTACCAGAACTAGAATCAGTACAGAAGGAGCTGCTGCTTACTTCGGTGCCTCACCCATGTTTTTGGGTAAAGATGACATCCAATTAGGCGTTAACGAGTCGATGTACGACACCACCAAGATCATCTCGTCGATGACGTCGTGTGTGTTTGCGAGAGTCGGCAAGCATCAGGAGATTTTGGATTTGTGCAAGGATTCATCGGTTCCCATCATCAACTCATTGTGTGACAAGTATCATCCATTACAAGCAATTGCCGACATGTTGACCATAAAGGAGGCGTTCGGCAACACGCTGGGCTTGAGATTGGCATGGGTCGGTGATTCCAATAACGTTTTGAACGATATGGCCATTGCTGCTATCAAACTCGGAATCCACGTCTCGGTTGCCATTCCTTCTACTATCAAATACGACCCCGAAATTCAAGCTCAGACAGAACAATTGGCCGCAGAGAACAAAGTGACGTTTGAAATTGTCAACGATCCTTTGGTGGCCTTGAAAAATGCAAATATCATTGTCACTGATACTTGGATCTCCATGGGCGAAGAAGCGGAAAAACTCGAAAAACTCAAGCAGTTTGCCAACTTTCAGATCAACCAAGATATGTTGAAAAAAGCCGGTGTGCTGGACAACTGGAAGTTTATGCACTGTTTACCAAGACATCAAGAAGAGGTGCACGATGATGTGTTCTACAGCGACAACTCAGTGGTGTTTCAAGAAGGTGAAAACAGATTGTATGCTGCGTTGGCTGTAATGGAAGGGTTTGTCATTAACAAGGGTGATTTGTTGAATGCAGTTGATGAGGAGGTCTAATTGGAGATGTTTAGACAAAACATGGGATATCATCAAAGCAAGTAAATGTGTAAATGTGAAAGGATCGTTGTGGCTGCAATGAGTGGTGTTTGCGTGTTTATCCCACTTCAAAGTGGTGATGATTGCCAGTGGCTTTTGGTGTGGATCCGTCTATTATATACTTTTGTTTTGTATACGAAAATCATATAAATTTACCCATTCAGCAACTGACTTGTCTATGAAGTTTCTGATCCCAAATGTTGCAGCAATGCGATCTCCGTGTGAATCATTGCTCAATTAGTCTCATGTACGTTCGCATTGGGAACCTGGACTTGAATAGCACTATATAGGTATATTATCCTTACGCCATAATAACCTGTATGTGTGTACTCTATCGCTACTTACGCCATAATAACCCGATACTATACTATTCATAGCATCTCTCTGGCACAAAACGCCCACTTAACTCCACAGTATTCGCGAGTTTCCTAATCGGGCCGTATCTTGGTGGGTGTCCGAAACTCCTATAAAAAGGAGGCTCGATCCCACAGTTTGCCCTCACACCAAATTATTTCAACATGACTACTTCAGTATTCGTTTCTGGTGCTACTGGGTTCATTGCCCAACATGTGGTTCAACAATTGATCCAAAAGGGCTATAAGGTCGTTGGTACCGTCAGATCCACCGAAAAAGGTGACAGATTAAAAGCCAATTTGAAGAGCGACAACTTTGAGTACGAAATTGTCAAGGATATTGCCGAGGAGCATGCCTTTGACGAGGCGTTGAAGAAACACCCAGAGGTCACGGTGTTCTTGCACACGGCGTCGCCTTTCCACTTCAATGTCACCGATGTGCAAAAAGACTTGTTGGATCCTGCTGTTAAGGGTACCACCAATGCCTTGAGCTCCATCAAGAAATACGGCCCCCAGATCAAGAAGGTCGTGGTCACTTCGTCATACGCGGCAGTGGCTCCACCAATCGGCGTATTGGGCCCTGAATTCACGGTAGACGAAACAAGCTGGAACCCAACCACTCTCGAAGAAGCCTTGTCAAGCCCCGGGTTGGGCTACAGAGGCTCCAAGACCTTTGCCGAAAGAGCCGCCTGGGCGTTCTTGGACACCGAGAAGCCCACCTTCACGTTGAACACCGTCAACCCTTCGTTCGTGTTTGGCCCACAGGTGTTTGACAGTGAGGTTTCTGCCACCTTGAACACCTCGTCGGAAGTGCTCAATTCCTTCACCAGATTGTCACCCACTGACGACGTTCCTGTGGTCAAAGGGGGATACGTCGACGTTCGTGACGTGGCCAGAGCTCACTTGCACGCGTTTGAAAGCGACGTCACTGGGTTCAGATACTTGTTGCTGACAGGTCCATTTGTGGGCCAAGACATCATCGATGTCATCAGAGACAACATTCCGCAATTGAAAGACCAGGTTCCTAAGGGAGTACCCGGTAGTGGAGCAGAGGAAATCAAAAAGCTCAATGGAGTGGATAATTCCAAAACTGCTGCCAAGATCGGACCTTTTATTGATCTTAAGAAAACAGTGGTGGACTCGATTGAGCAGATTCTTGCTGTCAATTCCAAGTAGACGGTGAAATTTCTCCTGTTTTAGTTAGGAATATAAATAACCCCCCCTTATTTTAATTACACGTTGTATATATATTTGTAGCACACTCCTGCGCATTGCCTTGCGCATTGCCTTGACACATTGTCTCTTGCTCGTTCAGAAAAAAAAATCTAAAGGCTTTCGATTGCAACCGTCCTGCAGCAATGGTCGAATCTCAAGAATTAAGTTGCCAAGTTTATATATTCAAAATTTTTTATCCCATGTTAAATAAGCTTCTTTATTCAAAACGGGGACACGGTACAGTGGTGCTTCTATTCTTCTGTGTATTAGCATCAATATTACTCGTGGACACCTTAATTCATGATCGGTACTTAGTACGGAAAAATTCGGAGTCTACGGCAACAGGATTAATTCCTGCTCGGAAGAACATTGTGTACCCGAATACCTTCAACTTGGCCAACGACAGACAAGATCTTTTGAACCACTATAACATATATTTCAACGAACTGAACGCACAGGCAAACTCTGACGCGTTTAACATCTTCCGCTATGACGGTCTGACCTCATGGTTGCATCCACAACTTATAGGGGGTCAATACCACCCTCACAACTTGCAAGTATATGAATATCAGGAAATAAATGACTGTGCAAAGAGACGTAACGACATTTCGGTTGAAATCAGTAACTACATCCAGTTGGATCCAGAGTTGGTGGAGATGGTGAAGGTGATGCAACGACAATTAAAGACCGAAAAAGCCTTTGAAGAGTTAAAGCCGTTTTTCAAAGACGACCTTCGAACCCAGTTAAAAACAGGTAGTTTGACATCACACTGGTATAAGTTCGCTGGTAGTTCGGTATGGCTCGAGAAGTTGGGAGTCCATATGGTGATTTCGAGAGTTATATACTCGATTACTGGAAGCAAGCGGAAGCCAATTATGAGTTTAGCCTATGTTCAGATTTATGACCAATACTGGACCGAGTTGAAAGACGTCGAGTTGGTGTTGCCCATTCAGAATGAGCTATCCGAGACGGAATACAGTGCCGTCAAGTTCCCTAAGTTTTTACCTATTCCGTTCTATAATGATCCAAAGTACCAGAAAAAGGTTTACTACGGGCCGGAAGACACAAGACTTTTTTTGGTGAAAAACGATCAGGGCGAAGAAGAACCCATGATTATCTTCAATTCATACCATCGTAAGGTCATCAAGAATGATGGAGTTTCCGAGAAGGAAATGACGGTATCTTTTGGATTTTATAGGTCGATGTTTCTCTCGTGGCCTTTCCGAATGCAACGAGGAAAAATCAACGTTGATGGAGTTTCAAACAAAAAATCCGATAGTATCCTTTATAACAAGGTGGTAGAGTTGAGAAGGGAAGATGTACCTAGGTTGAAGATCCAGAAGAACTGGACTCCTATGATAAGCTTTGAGGATAGAGACGAGTACGGCCATGACAGGTATATGTACTTTGTGTACCGATGGTCCAAGCTTGAGATTCTCAAGTGTAACTTGGATAACTTCATAGAAGGGACTTCTACTTGTGTCTACGACTATCAACGGAAGCTTGATCTGTCTGGAGATGAGGTTGGCCCTTTGAGAGGAGGTACGGAAATGTTGAATATTCGAGATATTCTTCATGAGGTTCCAGATGCTTTGCAAGGCAGGGAAATGTGGGTGGGATTTCCGAGGGCCCATATAAAGGACTGTGGGTGTGGTAAGGACATGTATAGACCAAACTTGGCCGTCATCACCAAAGAATCTGACAAACTGTACAAATTAACTCAGTTATCGTCATACACTTCTTTGGATATAGAAGTGTCTGGGTGGACCAACCCCAAAATATTGTGTGCTTCAAGAGATCCTAACGCGTTAATTTCCAATGGGATTTCGGGCTGGACCTATCACAATGATGTTGACTATCTTACCCTTTCCTTATCGGTGGCAGATGAGACTAATCACCTCATTCACATCAAGAACTTGTTGAATACCCTTTTGTATTCAACATCCATGATGAAGAGAGAAGCACGAGATGGCTTTGACGATTCGATAATTGACTGTGCCATTTCAGAGTCTTCCAAATTCTGTAAATCATATGGTGAGGAGATGAAGAAATTAGATAAAACCCCTCCACCAGAACCAGACTATTAAATATAGATAATGTATTTTGTACGATCGTCTTAATTTCGCAGCCTTTGTCTCATCTCATCGCGGTGAAAAACTCAGGTTTATCGATGATTGAAGGTTTCAACACTGTCTCGTCAGTGAATGAGGACTATTTCACTTCGTTGTCACATTATGGTCCGGTCACAGCTTTGAGGTTCTACCAACATTACATCTTATGTGGATACGGTCCAGTTTTGAAACTTTTCAAAATCGAGAAAAATGAGTGCTCACTCGTAAACAGCCAACAGGTCTTCAAAAGAAACAAAATCCACAGTATTTCAGTTACCCTGGATGGCTCTAAAGTGATAATTGCGGGTGCCAGGTCATTTCTGGTGATAGAGTTCTCTGAGAAAAATTGGCAATTTGTGGAAAAAGCTGTTAACGAGTGGATAACTTGTGTTGAATTTCTAAATCCACAAACTGCTTTGATTTTGACTTCACACAATATAGTCTATAAAGTCGACGTTTCTGATATGGTATTATTTAAGTTTAGACTCCAAGAAAGAATAGACTGCAACGAAAAGTCAATTTTGTACAGCGGATCCATTCGAGTTGGTGATGGTAAAGTTATAATAGCAGCTGGAACCGTGATGGACGGAGTGATAATATGGGACATGAATTCGTCCAAGATTCTTCATCGATTAAATGATCACAAGGGTTCTATTTTCGGGGTGAAGGTCAATTCAAGCTTAAAACACATTATTTCGTGTTCTGACGATCGGTCTGTCAAGTTATACGACTTTGAAAGTGGTAAGTTCCTTGCAGAGGGATGGGGACATGGAGCCAGAATCTGGAACTTGGAATTCTACAAACAGAGTGAAAGTTTACGAATCATAAGCTCAGGTGAAGATTGCACGGTCAGAGTTTGGCAATATGAAGAAGGTTCCGACCGGCTCAAACAGCTTGAGGTTATTGATGACTGTCATTTAGGAAAGCACGTGTGGTCTTGTGACGTAGATGACGTGCAAAATAACATGATTGTTACAGGAGGGGCTGATGGCTCGGTAAGGCTACATGACTTGCAAGAAGTTGATAACTTAGCTGATTGTTATAGTATAGAATCCATCTCGAAGAACTTCGGTGTTGTATTTGACAAATCAGAGGTCATCAAGAATATTGCTGAGATGGACAACTTAGACTACTTATTTGCGTTGACTTCACACGGAAAGCTCCTTTGTTTGGATCAAAGTGTTTTGTGTTGGAAAGTCGTTGAACTAGAAGAGAACGAGTGTGAAAAGTTTTGTGGATTTGCCATAATGAAGAGCATACCAAGTGTTAACACTCTTGTTATATCTTCTATATTTGGTGATACTCTCGTGATGGACTTCAATAGTTCGTCTATACAGCCATTGAACAAGACATGGTTCAGCGGTCCTTCTGGAAATAAAGTCAACAGTCTTCTTATTACAGAAGATCCAGCTCACAAAAACTTTTACCTTTTATCTGACTGTCCAAATACCAAGATACCTTTTCAAGTTAGACATTTCCGTGAATGTGATGGAAGATTGAAATTTGTGGAGGAGATCAGATTAGACCAGCCAAACCAACCCAAATTCACATCTACTTGTATGATCTATGATTCGATAAATCATTGGCTAATTGTGTACTCTAGGTTCACTAGTATCATGATATATGATTTGAACACCAAACAAGGGAAGTTGTTCAGAAAAATCTGTGATGGTGACACAATCACATCTGCTTCAGTGATCGAAAATAAACCCGGTTCTATACACTGTCTTGCTGTAGTTAGAGATGGAGTTTACTTGTACATAAAATTCACCAAGCTGGCAGAGTTTGAAATTGAAATTACCCATGAAAACAAGCTCACCAGAGGATTCATAGAAGGAGGGTTTATCAAGAATAAGGATCTTTACTTGTATGGGTTCAGATCCAACTATTTCTATGTTTGGAATGAAACCAAGCAATTAGAGGTTGCAAAAGAATTGTGTGGTGGTTCTCACAGATTATGGGAAGTCTATTTCCCTGGAAAAAAAGACATCAAGTACAGATTCGCTTATATCCACAAATCCAAGTTGTACATCAAAACTTTTAACAACTTTTTGAGTGACGACTCGTGTAGTGTGATTAACAGTGGTACTCATGGAAGAGAAATCAGAGATATTGCAATTTCACCATTAGCGAACGATGATAACACCAAGTATATAATGACGGCTTCTGAGGATACTGTTGTGAGGCTAGGTAGGTTACATTCTAATGGAGATATCAAGTACAATTGGTGCTTGAATGAACATGTTTCTGGAATGCAGAGAATTGGGTTTTTGAATCACCAGTTTGTTGCCAGTTCGGCCGCCATGGAAGAGTTTTTTATTTGGAAGATTTCATGTTTGGAAGATGGAACACCTTTGATCAAGAAGTATTCTTCCTTGAAGCCAGAGTCTGACTTTCCCGACTTGAGAGTAATGGACTTTGACTCTTGTGAAACTGAAACTGGATTTATTATTTCCACGGTTTACTCTGATTCAGGTATTAAGATCTGGGACTTCAATGTTAATACCAAGGTATTTACGTTATTACTGAAGGGGTTCTATACCACTTGTTGTTTGCTTCAAGTTAAGTTTCTTCGGTTCAACGACGAATTACATCTTTTAACTACCGCTACAGATGGACATATTGCCATTTGGAGAATCGAAAATCTGCAAAAAGAATTAGGAAATCCTATAATCAGGCAGCAGTTACACCAAAATAGTATCAAAGGCGTTATTTTGGATACTGTACATGTAAACTTGCATAGATTGGTTACTGGGGGAGATGATAATGCATTGGTGCTTTCAACTCTCACTTTCAGGAATGGAAAGATTGAATGGAGCTCCCAGTCGTTTGTCGAAGATGCTGCTTCGTCGACCATCACCACTATGGCGTACGGAGGCGATCAGAAGGTGATTGTGACCTCTGTGGACCAAATTAATAGAATGTGGGATTATAGTAGTGGAAGTTTGGAGTGTGTCTCTGCAAAATACACCACCGTGGCTGATACTGGATGCTCTCATACCACTGTGCTTGAAGACCAAAATATGTTGGTGGTTGGTGGTGCTGGATTGAGTGTTTGGACATGGTAGGTCTATTAGTAGGTAGTAATAATTAAAAATATATATTTATAAGATTAAGAACTATAGGCTCAACAATCTCAAGTTGAAGACAGTTTCATTGATGCTTTGTTCCTCATCAATGATGACCTTGTCCTTGTCATCACTAAACTCTTGGATTGGAAGCTTGGTGGATTTGAGTAAAATGTCGGATTGGGTATCCAAAATGGTCTTAAAGTCAATAGTATCTTTGACCAATTTGTACTCAACTTGAACTTCATCAGTGGTGTTTAAACCAGCCTTCTTACGCAATCTTTGGATACGGTTGATCAATTCTCTAGCCAAACCTTCGCCTTGCAATTCAGGGTACAATTTCACATCCAAGATAATCAAAAGATCTTGGAAAGATCTGACTTCATGGCCTTGACCAGCCGCGGTGTCTGGCAATCCACGAAGAACTTGCAAGTCTTCCTTTACCAAATCAATACCATCAACTGTGATCTTACCAGATTCAGCAAACTCCTGAACTTCTTCAGAAGTCACGCTAGGTAAAGCAGCCTTCACTCTCTTAGCATCCTTCTTAAGCTTCTTACCCAACACTGGCCAATCAGCGACAACGGTGTACACAACCCCGTATTTAGCTTCGTCAGAGGTGATAACTAGGTTTCTAACGTTCAATTCTTCGAGAATGTAACCCTGTAATGATTCGATATCCTTCAAGTATTCTGGATCAGCATGCAAGATAACCAATTCTTTCAATGGGGTCTTCAAGGAAATAGTCTTCTTTTCTCTGATGTTTCTACCCAAGTCGATAACCTTTTGCATTCTTCCCACGGCTACTTCAATCTCTTTATTGAATAATTCCTCTCTGACGGTTGGGAACGATAAGAAATGAACCGATCTAATATCTTTGTGCTTAGGATTCACCACAAGAGAGTTCAAGTAGTCTTCTGTGAAGTAAGGCTTGAGCTTCAAGTAAATGTTCTCAGCAAGGAAAGGGGTGAATGGTGCCATAGTTCTGGACAAAATCAATAATCCTTCCACCAAGGTGTTAAGACCCATTTGAGTGTCTTTGATACCCTCATTGGAGTAACCCTTGATACGACGACGGTTGAAACGAATGTACCAATTGGTCAAATCATCAATCAAACGCAACAATCTTGGGACCACAGTAAACAATCTGTAGCTGGACATTTCCTCGTGAATGAACTTAATCAAAGACTGAATAGAGGCTAACAACCATTTGTCCATAACATTGGTGGAAATCGAGGATGGATCGTAAACAAAGTCCACACCGTTTTCCTTCTTGAAGATGTCAGCAGAATCTTTGAAAAACTTGTAAGAGTTGTACCAAGGCAATAAAACGCCAGAAACAATTTCCCTGACACCTTCTTCCTTGAACTTCAAAGTTTCAGCTCTCAAAACGGGAGAATTGATCAAGTATAATCTCAAGGCATCTGCACCATATTTATCAAGAATAACTTTGGTGTCAGGATAATTCTTCAAACGTTTGGACATCTTCTTACCATCAGCAGCCAAAACTATACCGGTAACAATGACGTTTTGGTAAGGAGCGGTGTTGAACAAATGGGTACCCAAGACTGTCAAAGTATAGAACCAACCTCTGGTCTGATCCAATCCTTCAGCAATGAAGTTACCGGGGAACACATCATGGAAACTGTCCTTTCCTTCCATTGGGTAGTGTTTGGAAGCGTATGGCATAGAACCAGATTCAAACCAACAGTCAAATACTTCTTCGATTCTCTTCAAGTTACCCTTTCCCTTCTTAGATGGAATGACAATATCATCGATACTTTCACGATGAATATCAGTTATATCGTCACGACCAGACAACTCCTTCAATTCATCAATGGATCCAATACACACGATTTCTTCGAAATCATCACTTACCCACAAAGGAATTGGAGTACCCCAGTAACGGTTTCTAGAAACATTCCAGTCTCTAGCATTGGCAATCCAGTTGGAGAATCTTTTCTCCTTGATGTTGTTTGGAACCCAATGGGTTTCATCAACGTTCTTCAACATATCTGGAATAATCTCGCCCACGCGTACAAACCAAGCTGGAACTGTTCTGTACAATAAAGGAGTATCGGATCTCCAACAGAAAGGATACGAGTGCTTGATTTGGGTGCTGAGCAACATGTTGCCTTTTTCTGTCAAGTCTTTGATGATAACTTTATCAGCATCCTTGACGTACAAACCAGCGAAATCTGGGACTTGCTTTGTAAACTTACCTTGATCATCCACGGGGTTTGGAGGAGTTCTCTTTTCAGAAATGACACCAGCCTTCATAGCAGCTTCGAAATCAATTTCACCGAAAGCTGGAGCTTGGTGCACAATACCAGTACCCGAATCATCAGTAACAAAGTCAGCACAGTAGACTCTAAAACCATGTTCTGCAAATTCCTTGACGAAATAGTCGTACAATGGGACATATTTAATGCCATCTAAGTCCTTACCGCTTATCTTTTCGACAACCTTGTACTTGGCAGCAGCAGGCTTTTTGTACATCGACTTCAACAAAGATTCCAACAAAATGTAATACTTTTGCTTCTCTTCATCGAAAATTTTCACATATTCAAAGTTAGGATTCACACATAAAGCAATGTTGGAGGGCAAAGTCCAAGGAGTGGTGGTCCACGCAACCAAGTAAGTGTCTTCTTGACCTTTAATTTGGAAGGCCACAGTGACAGCTGGATCATTGACGTCCTTATAGTTCTGTTGGGCTTCAAAATTGGACAAAGGAGTAGTCAACCCGGTGGAGTAAGGCATGACTCTCAACCCTCTATAGACAGAGTCCTTCTCGAACAACTGCTTGAAAACCCACCATACAGATTCCATAAACGTTGGATATAACGTTTTGTAATCATTATCCATATCGATCCATCTACCGATTCTTCTAATGACTCTTCTCCACTCGTCGGCGTATCTCATAACAATAGAGCGACATTCCTTGTTATAGTTTGCAATACCGAGCTTCATAACATCCTCTTTACAGTTGATGCCTAACTTCTTATCAATTTCGTGCTCAACTGGCAAACCGTGAGTATCCCAACCAAATCTTCTTTCGACGTAATGGCCGTTCATGGATGCATAACGGGGGATGATATCTTTCACGGTGGAGGTCAAAAGATGACCATAGTGAGGAACACCAGTGGCGAACGGAGGTCCATCGTAAAACGAGAATGGAGGAAGTCCTTCAGTCAATTCCAACTGTCTTTGGAACACATCCATATCGTCCCAGGAATCCAACACATTCTCTTCTTCCTGGGGGAAGTTGAAGAACTGGTTAGCAGTTTCCTTTTCAGCCATGTTTACTTGTTATTTAAAGGAGATAATAGTAAATATAGGCGGTTAGGTGCTTATGACTGATTTTTCAAAATTTTTTTCGGTTCTCAACAGTGAGGCCTCCGGGGAAGTCTTTGTCACGTGACATAATTCTCGATATCAGTGATTCGGTGAGAGGCCCGTTTGCAGAAAGAGAGAGGTCGGGCTATGGGATTTGTAAGGTAACTGGATAGTGGTGGTCGAGTTCTGGATGAAGGAGGAAGTTTTGTAAGGGTTCCTAGAGATATAAAAACCAAAAAACTGCTTCTTTGGAAGAAAGAAAAAGCTAGTTCTCACGTATTTCGAAGATTTTCCCTGTAATTTCTACCTTTCTCTGCTTTCATCACTAGGTTGATATCAAATGATGAACTTGTATGTTTCAGCTCTATTATACTGAACCCTGGGAAATGCGCGTCGGAAATTTTGCAGCCTCGGACATCTCGCTCCACACACAGTTTTAGACACAGAAGGGGACGGTTTAGAACTTGATTATTCCCTCATATAAACCCCTGAATCTGGTTCTTTATGTCCCACTTTTTTCCGGCTCGAATCTGGTATTTTTTTCCTACATCTCCAAAAGAAGCGCAAATTCGCCCAAACCTTATTCCTCCTCGCACCTAAAAAGTTTAAAAAAGCAAAATCTCCACTGATGAAATAATTAATGATTGAAATTCAGGCATTCAAGAACCTGCTTGTACAGTGCTTCGGCAAAGGAGATGTTCCCAAGAAGGTTCTAGTGGCCCTTTCTGGGGGCGTTGATTCCGTCTGTATGACCTACTTATTAAGCCAATACAGAGATAAGTTCAACCCTGAGATGAAACTCCACGCAGTTACAATCGATCACAATTATCGAAAAGAATCGGCAGAAGAAGCCCGTAAGGTTGGAGAACTCGTGTCTAAGTGGAAAGTAGACCACTATGTGGTACCATTGACGTACGAAAAGCCGTTGGACCAAATCACCAATTTTGAGTTGGTGGCTCGAACTAAGCGTTATGATGTGTTTGACAACTTGGCTAAACAGTTAAACATCCACAACATTTTTGTGGCCCACAACTACAACGACCAGCTTGAGACTTGTATGCAGCGAATCAGGGCCCAGTCGACGGTTTTTGGGTTGACAGGACTAAAACAACGAGCTTTGATTCCGATTCCCAACAAACTTCCATTTGATTATGTGAAGCCTATTGAAGTTGTCAGGCCCTTGTTAAGCTTCAGTAAGAAGGAAATCATCGACACGTGTGTCCAGAACAATATTCAGTGGTTTGAAGACAAAACCAACCAGGATATATTCCTAACCGATAGAAACTTGTATCGGGTCGCTCTCAACGAGTATATCCCCGAGGTATTGAAGAAAAATCCTGACTCAGACTTCAAGTCTATAAGTTACGAGAAGATTGGTGAGACCATTCAGCAGTCCAAGGCTCTCGTGTCTTATGTTCAGGCTCGAACCAAGACTCTTAGAGAGCTGATGTTGGAGAAAGACCAGCTTAGATTCGACCCCAAGAATGGGATTGTGAGTTTGAAGATGGACAAAAGTGCATTCTTAGAAAACGGGCCTTTGGCCCTTGGTCGGTTCTTGTTTGAGATATTGCACCCATACTCTGCCTCTCAGAACTATTTCTGGTCGTTCACCAAAGTGTTGAACAAAGTGGTCCCCAGACTTAATCGTATTGTTGAAGAAGGAACATTTTCACCCCAAAGGTTCACGATTCTCCATCTTGTGTTTGACGTTCGAGTGTTTGACGACAATGTGGTGATCAGAATCTCCCGACAGCCAGTTTCGGGGCCAGCATGGAACAAGGTGATTCAAAATCACAAATCTTCCTCAGGCATGTCCGATTGGATCCTTTACGATAACCGATACTGGCTTAGGTTTCGGTCCTCGTATGATGCTACCTTCACGATAGTTCCCTACTATCCACCCAAGCATTTTCCTATGCTCAAAAAGCAATACCTTGGAGGAATTCCGGGTATGGCTGCAACACTGACACCTTTAATCATGTTCAAGAACGGAGACCTTTCTCTCCCCACCTACAACTTGGCTCCGTCATCATTTTATGTAGAATGGCATCTTAAAGACAATGCCATTATCGAATTAGAATAAACCTAATACAAGCGGTACGGGCTTGACCCACACTAAATCCTCCTAAACCATCCGCTTAGAGGACAGTTCTCTTTGGCCTTTGGTTCTACTATTTAAACTTGGGAGAAGTGTTGATAGTGCTGCGTTGGAACAAACCAGGTGCAAATTGACCAGTACTGGATACTTTGTCTACGCCTAGACTATGCGACCAACTGCTCTTTACACGGAAACCTCAGCAGCCAAATTCTACATTCATTCAACTACCTGGATTTACTGAACGCGGTGCTAAACAATAAACCAGTAGATCCAGTTCCTCCAACGGTCATTGGAGTATTAAAAGCCATCACTGATCTCCATCTCTCAATAGATTTAATTTGAGAAATCTGCAAGCACCATTGGTAAGTGTGATTTTCTACGAACCACCTAATATGTAAAGCACTAAAGTGTTAAATAAGATCCAACAGATTTAAACTACTACGCAGTGCTACCATCGGTGAGAGTGCGCGAACTTTCAAAATCACCTATAAACATTTGCACTACATACACTAATATTATCAAAAGTTAGGTAGGAAGGGCGCCATCATCACCACAAACGTGAACAGATACTTCCCATGCCACCTATAACTATTCCCCTGGAGTTTCCCCAGCTGGTGGGGACACCCATCACTTTTGGCGGCCAACCATTTACTCCAAGAACCTACAAAGGTTCCAAAGCAAGAAATGTCAATCTCCTGAGTCAAAGCTTAAGGATAGGCCATCAACGGGTCAACATCGACGTTGATCTCTCCAAAAATAAGATTGATGGACTTACAGAGATAACGGTGATTCCCACCACCAATCATTTGAAAACAATCAAATTGGATTGCAGAGAAATGGTCATTAAAGAAATCCTTGTAAACAATCGACAGGCCAATTTCATCCATCGAGATTTATTGTACATCAATGACAATAAGGTATTTGATGAGGCAATCGCCAATCAAACTGTAAACATAAATGACTTATACAATAAAAACTTGACCATCCACCAACACCACATTTTGAGACAAAAGTTAAACTACATCTTTGGGGATATAGATGAAGATGGAGCTTCCGCCAGAAACGAAATCATTCATGGAAACACAGAAGAATTGACCATCATAATCCCGGACAATCTAAAGCTACATTTGACTGGTATCCATCTGGCTCACACACCCTCCAGTCAGCCGAACACTGCTACTCCACTGCACATGAAGTCCAGAAACACCTACAGCGAATCTTATACACCCATACAATTAAAGATTGAATACGAGGTTGTAAATCCCAAAAACGGAGTTAACTTTGTCACAGAACTTAACAAAACTCCCACTGAAGACTGGCATGCCTATACGATAAATTCTGAGTATAACATCTCAACTTCTTCATGGGTTCCATGCATAGACAACTTGTGGGAAAGAAATACTTGGACCGTTGAAGTGAATATCCCTAGAAGTCTCAAAGACATTGGTCATCCCATAATAATAGGTACAAAGGAAGCCATAGAGTCGAGAAAACAAGAGAATCGAAGACGAAGACGAGAACAAAGAGCCAAGGGAGATGATGTCGCATTTGGCAAAAACGGTGAAGAGGATTATGATGAAGACCTTGATGAAGATGAAGAGCCTAGAGACTTAAATGTTGCTACAGGTGATTACGTCGAAACCAAAGAGGTACCTCATCCTACTGACTTATCCAAAAAGACGGTTCTGTGGACAGTTTTCAATCCTGTCTGTGCGCACCATGTTGGGTGGGCCATTGGATGTTTCGAGAGTGTTGAGCTACCAGAAGAAGAAGAAGAGGGCGATGATGAGTTGGGTACCTCGCTGAAAGAAATCAGCTGTCCTATCAAGATCTACTGTTTTCCAGGCAAAAATGAAATGGCTGAAAATACGTGCATTTTTGTCCGAAAGGCAATGAACTACTTCCTGAAAGAATTTGGATCTTTTCCGTTCAACTCACATTCGATCTTGTTTGTGCATGGGTCTCCTTCTTCGGTGAATAATTATGCGGGTTTATCAATTATAGACGATACTCTCCTATACCCTTCCAATATGATTGAACCAATATATCCTACAACAGAGACAATTGTGGATAGTATAGCCTACCAATGGTCTGGTATTAATATAGTTCCACAGCAGTTCAATGATATGTGGTGCACTATTGGAATTGCCCGGTTTATGTCTTTCCAGTTCTTGCGAGTTTTAATGGGAACTAACGAAATGAAGTTCAGAATCAAAACTTATATGACACAAACGGTGCAGCAGGATGTAGCCAAAAAGCCTTTGGCATTATGGTATTTCAGACATCCGATTTCGGAACAAGATCTTGACTTCATCAAGCTTAAGAGTCCTTTGGTTTTGTCCATCTTAGATAGAAGAATGACAAAGACCGATAAATCTTTCGGTTTGTCCAGGGTTTTACCCAAATTGTTCTTACAGGCAATGTCGGGAGATTTGGTGAACAATACCCTTTCAACTCAACACTTTCAGTACCTTTGTGAAAAGGTTAACAGAAACAGACTTGAGACTTTCTTTAAACAGTGGGTTTTTGGAAGCGGAACTCCCGTTTTTAACGTTTCTCAGAGATTCAACAGAAAGAGAAGTATGATTGAAGTGGTTGTTAGACAAGCTCAAGTGCAAGAGCGTAAGAGATCCGCTCCTTTGGTGGAGAATTTCATTGATACCTCGATTGCTTTCTTGGATAATGAACCCGCTCCCACGGTTCAAAGTGCATTCCTTGGACCAATGACTATTCGAGTCCATGAGGCTGATGGTGTTCCCTACGAACACATTGTCGAATTGAAGGACAGTGCCGTCAAGTTGGATATTAATTATAACTCGAAGTTCAGGAGAATGAAAAAGCACAAAGAGGATGCAGCTGAAGGGGGAACATACACAAGATTTGGTGATATAATACAATCCCCTGAAGAACTTGCTGCATGGGGCTTGCAAGAATGGCCTCCAATTGATGACGAAGAGTTGTACAACAATGCATTTGAATGGATCAGAATTGATACCGATTTTGAATGGATAGCCAAAGTAAATGTGAGACAGCCGGATTATATGTACAGCTCTCAACTTCAATACGACCGTGATGTTGAAGCTCAATACGAGGCCATTAGATTCTTTGGAAATCTGGAAAAGCCTATTATTGCTTATTGTACCTCACTTATCAGAACTTTAATGGATCCCCGGTACTATTATGGAGTGAGGATTGCTGCTGCTGAAGGTCTAGCAAGAATTGCCAGACAAGAAAACAACTTCATGGGAATGAATTGCTTGATCAAGGCTTATACTCAGTTGTTCTGCTTCCCGAATAGTACTATTCCCTTAGCTAATGACTTTGGGAACATCCCCAAGTTTATGCTTCAAAGAGAATTCCCACGAATCTTTTGTTCTATAAGAGATGATAATGGCAACGTTCCATTTGCTCTTAAGGATATCATATTGAATTTGGTGGTTTATAATGAGAATTCGAACAACAGCTTTGAGGACTCCTTGTACGTTTCCTCATTGATTGAATCTTTAGCCGGATCAATCATTAATAGAAATGCTACCATTCTTTCCAATTTGACCTTACCACCTGAGCAGGACGCAAATTTAGATCCAAAAGAGAAAGAGTTCATTGAAGTGGTAGTCGAAGAAATCAACCGACAACAGAAGTTGGATGAGTTAGTACCATCTCACCATCATACTCTAGCAATAACCTGCTTGGATCAAAAAATAAGACTTGCTAGGTACGGACTTTTAGTATTTCCGTTGGAAGAGCTTTTGAAATATACTTCCTCCAAGTACGAAGGGGATATAAGGATAGTTGCATTCAAAGGATTGTTGGTCCTTGGTGGTTTGAAAAACGCTCAAATAATGAAGTACTTCTTGAAGTCTTGTTTACTCGAATGCAATGATTTGGCTTTCAGATCCAAATTGGTATCTTTATTAGTTGAGTCTGTATCAGTTGCAGCCGTGGAAGGAGCTGCTTCGACTTTGGATGATCCTGAGTTCCAGACTTTAGAAAAGTATTACGGAGGTAACCCGAAGGGAGCTCAGAATGATTCAGGTTTGGTAGTAGTGGAAGCTGGTAACAGTGGAAATGCTAATTCAAGACGAGATCAACTTGCAAGAGCAACTCTCAAAGGAACTATCCAATTGTTAAGACGTGACTATAGTATTGGAAAAGGTTTAAGGCATGTCCTATGGGAACTTTTACACTCTTCATTGTTGAGTATCTATAACAAAAGGAGTTTGTTCTCTGTTTGCCAAGTACTTTACAAGGAAATTGATTCTTTCATTGTTGATGTTTCTATACCACCAGTTCCTTTGAATGAGTTGAACAGAAAGCTCGTTGCCAAGTATTTGGGTGAAGGCAAAATCCTGATTCACCGAGAAGGAAGGTTCAAGATTCTGCTTGCCACAAAGATTGTCCTTGGTAAAGGAAAATCTATGAAAGTAGAATTCAAGCCACCTAAGTTGAAGCTTAAGCTTGGAGGGGCAGCACCGGCGCCAGAATCCGTACCAACGGCTCCAATTGTGATCACACACGAGCCTGCTGCAGAGAGACCAGGCCGGTCATCCAGAGCTAGAATGGATGCACTTATCCCTCAAGTCAGAACTTCGTTGGTTACTAGACTTGAAGACTATGCTGTCAGGTTTAAGATTAGCAGGGCCAAGCTTCAAAGCGTTTCACTTTCAGGTTTGGTAAGAAACAATGTGAAGGTAAGCGGAACTTTGGTTACAATTCCTATTCATAATACTCCACCATTGAGATATATCAAGATATCTTTAAAGAATAAGAAGTTGGAGGTTTCGAGGAAACCGTTTGAGGATTCTGTTGAAGAAAAGACTCTTCAAAACGGTGTAAATGGGGAGTCTTCAATAGACTCCCAACCTGTTTCTGTTGAAGGGGTATCAAAAAATAATACCCAACCTCAAGAGGTGCTGAAAGAAGAAGAACAAAATGGAGCCCAGTCAGAACATGGTCAAACATCAGAAGCAGGAAACTCAACTGAGGCCATGGTACAAGATTCCTCTGAACCTAAAGAACCGGAACCAGTAGTGGTTGATGAACCTGAAACTCCTGAAGATAAACAAGTTGAGGCTGTTGAGAACGACAAGAAGCGGCCTTTAGTAGAACCAGAGGAAGCTATTTCCCATAAGAAGCCAAACACGAAGACTTCACCGCCGCTGGGGCTGACTAAAACAGAAGAGCCAGCAACACTCGCCGATATACCCCAAAGCCCTCCGCTAGAAGCGCGGGCCGTAGAAGAGGCTCCGGTACTAAGACCCAAAATCAAGCTCAAACTCAGTCGCAAACCAAAGTAGTACTAAGATTTGTATAATATTAATAAAGATTACTCGCACTCGCGCTAAGGTCAAAAAACTACCTTCTCTGTTCCAGATTACATTCATTGATACATAAAATTGTACATCACCATCATCCGACTCTTGCCTCCATGGACGACCACAATATGTCATTCAATAACCATCTAGCATTCAATGTGTCCAAGTCAACGCCCACAACCTCCACCACAAATGCGACCTCCACATCTGCCCCCAGTACTAGCAGTTCGAAGAATCCAAAGGCACCCAGTCCTCAATTCGTTCACAGCCCATTACTCAAAAGCCCTGCTGATAGGCTTTCTCCCAAGCTTGTTGCTGGTCCTGTTTTGGGCGACGCGGCTCCCACGGTAGTCACTTATGGAAATGAAACACCTCCCAGAAATTTGGAACTGACCAGTTCCAACCGTAAAGACTTGATTGAATTGTTCGACAAATTCGATGTGGTGGACAAGAGGACCAAAGGTATAGCTGATGGTGATGAAGACGAACTTGAAGAGGACAAATTTGAAAGATACAGACAGTTGAGAGGTACTGATAACACGGACGTTGTTATTGAAAAACAGCACGAGCTTGAAAACGAGTCAATTGAGGTAATAGAGGAGAAGCATACGGGTTATGTGGCTCCCTCGCCTAGTAAGTTGAAAGAAATTGTGGAAGTAACCGCTTCTTCGAGTTTAAAGCCAACTGAAGAGAAGGAAGAACAAAGTGTAGGTGAAGAACCAAAGGAAAAAGAGGAACAGCCAACGGAAGCACAAAGTGTATCAAAGGAAGAACCAGAAAACCAAGAAGGCTCTGTGCCAAATGAGTTTGATACGAGCATCGAGCAAATAGAAGAGGATGAAAACTCCCCAGTAGAGAGGTACGAATTAACCACTGAAGAAATCATCAATCACGAGCAGAACCTTCAGGACCAACAAGGACCGGGACCTCGTTCTCGATCAATTAGTCAGGTGGCTGTGAATCCCTCTGAACAGTACCAAAAGTCACATAGGCCTTTTGATTTCCATGTTTTCCTTGAACAGCTCAAACGAAAGAGTGCGGAACCTATCGTCAAGTATATACGGTCTTTTTTGGTTTCCTTTACCAGGCAAGCTCGTGGGTTCTCATTGCAACAGAAGGCTAAGGTGGTGAAAGATTTCAAGGCATTTATGTCTGAGAAATTCATGCTCTTCGAACCGTTTGCATCAATGGACGAAGTCGACTTGGAGAACTCTCGAGAAGGGTTGGAGAAATTAATCATGAACCGCATCTACTCGTTATGTTTTCCTCCTGAATTGGAGAAAACCCCCAAATATGTCCAGGGATTAGTTGCCAAGGACCTCGAAAACGATGACCATTTCAACCAGCAATTAGAGAAGTTCAGCTGGGTAAATGGCTCCCACCTTGACGTTGATTTGCAAAGACTCACTAGTATAAAAGCCCATAATAGTGAAGAAGAGCTCAATTTCATGGAGTATGCCATAAAAGAGTTCACAAAAATAAATGATTATAGAGCCCCGAGAGATAAGATTATTTGTATTTTGAATGGCTGCAAAATCATATTTGGGTTTTTAAAAATCAACAAACAAGAGACTAATGCTGATGCATTTGTTCCTATACTTATTCTCATTGTCATCAAGGCCAAGATCAAGCATTTAATTAGCAATCTCCATTATATTGAAAACTTCAGAGGTCTGGAATGGTTGCATCATGGAGAAACCAGTTACTATTTGTCCTCTTTGCAAGGTGCCATTAGTTTCATTGAAAATCTCGATCACGAAAATCTTTCGATCGAAAAAAAAGAGTACGATGCCCATATTGAAGCATGGGAAGCTAATGAGACTTTGAGAAAAGAACAAGAAGTCACAAAGAATATACCTATTACACGAGATCCACGAGCTGAACAAACACAAGCATCGGAAAACATTTTGTCACCTTCCTCGGTGTTGATGACAAGTGCTGAGATGTTCACCAAATCGTTGTCTAACTTTTTATCGCCTTCCCCACAACCTGAACCGGTCTTATCTACTGTACAAGAACAAGCATCCAATAATACTACCAAGACCATCAAAGAGACGTATAATCAGCTCAAAGAGATATTCCCCAATCTTGATTCGGCCATCTTAAAGGACATTGTGATTATGAATAAAGGGGGGATGGACGAGAGTTTAGAAGCATGTTTGCAGATCCTGAGTGACTGAAGTAGGAGCATTTTGTGACATGACGGATTTATCATTTATTTAATAATCTATCTTATCAAGTAAACACAATTGATGGCGATCGTACCTGCAGATACCAAATAGGTTAATGCCTCCGCTGGAGTATCCAGTATTAAAGGGGTGTCGAGAAAATAAATTGTAAGGGAGTCTTCTCGGATGTATTTTCCTAATTAGGGAATGATTTGAGGTTGCAAAATTATCCAGATAACATAGAAAAACTATAAAGAGGACTCCATTTGGCTACTGCTCAATAAATTATACTCAATTAGCTCCTCAATAACCCACTACAAAAATGCCTATGAAATACAAACCAGCTGTCGAAGGAAAGGCCGTTAAGCCTCCTCAAATTCCTTCTCCAGGCAACAATTCGTTCTTGGGAGACATCTTCACTTCTACCAACGAAAAAGACAAGCAAATTAGTTGTGGTTTTTACAAGCAAGAAGCAGGTGAGCCTTTGGTTTACACCTACGACTATGAGGAAATGAAGGTGTTTTTGGAGGTCGAAGGTGAGTATACCATCACTGATGAAACCGGATACAAGGTGACTGTGTCTCCAGGAGACGTGTTTTACTTCACCAACGGAGCCACTATCACTTTCGAGACTACTGGTTACGGTTTGGCTTTCTTTACTGGTTTAAGACCAGCTATGTGAATGCTGTTGTATAGAAAATAAACATCTGAAAGTGATGATGAGTAGAATGAGTGTGGGGAACTGACTGAACTCAAAAACATACTAATGTACATACTGTGTTTATCCTACGGTATACATCTATGTGATACTCTGTATATGTGTATGATATGATATGCTACGTGAATGGTCTCAATTGTGTGCTGGACAAATGTAGCATCTATTCCCTTAGTCTGGTCTATCCTTCCCTCGATTTGTGTTTCCACGTCAATTTCGCATCAACGAAAAGGTTCTATGTGGCACTACGAATATCTTCTCATTCTTCAAATTACAATATGGCAATTGATTATTCCAAATGGGACAAGCTTGAGTTATCGGATGACTCAGACGTTGAAGTTCACCCCAATGTCGACAAGAAGTCCTTCATTAAGTGGAAGCAAAGAGATATTCATGAAAAGCGTCAGCAAAGAAATCAGGAGCTCAAATCGATATTAGTACAATTAACCATGTATGCCAAACTTAACGAGAGGGTTGACTCTCTCTTGGAAGCCTTGACGCCATCGCAAATCAGTGATGATGCTGCAGTCACCAAATTTCTAGATGAAAAGTTTGACAAGCATGAAAAGTTTGACTACGATGCTTTACTAAAGACCAAGGGAGATACTTTACGTAAAGGGTTGAAGGATTTAACATTTGATCCGGCTGAGTTTGAAACCACTCCACCATACAATGAGATGGTGGAAGACTTGTTTGTTCAAATCAAGGAAGATCATGCGGATGCCAAAGATGCTTTAAAGTTGGTTAACTACGCAAAAGAACACAGAGCCAGAATCGATGATTTGTTGTCCAAACAGAGCATTAAGTTGGACGATTTGTTATACCAAAAGTCCTTGTTAATCAGCAGTGACGACTACCACACTGGCTTTGATCGGTCTTTCTTGAATAAAGATGAAGAAGAGAGAACACCAGAAACAAAAACCGTAACTTCTGTGGAGACTATCAACTCTCCAGGCGTGACAAACACACCTCCCAAAAAGGCTGAAAAGACTGAAAAGGAGGTTTTGGAAGAGTTGCAAGTGATGCCCGAAACAACTGAGTTTTCAAAGATTCCGTTGGGAGACTACGTAAAGAGTGGTGCGTACTTGGTCAAACATCCATGGATCTGCACTGAGCAACAGAAAGATGCTTTGATCATGACTGCTTTTGACCATCAGCTTGCTGGTGACCTGAAAGCCGCCAGGCAAGTGATTCACCAGTCTCTTCTTTTACAGTACATCGCCCAGTTGTGCGGAGGAGGTCCCAATTACAATAAAGATGCTACTGTAAAAGCCATCAAGCTATTCATAGGTAAAATCAATGATCCATCTGTGCCAGTCAGAACCGGATTTTTACAGGACTACGAAAACACCTTCAATCACATCCAAAACAGATGTGAGCTTATCAAGCAAGAACAGTCCCAAGCCCTGGATGATGATGGAGAAGAAGGAGAGGCTTTGATTCAATTGAGAGCTTTGGATGAAGGTACAGAACTCTCTGTGGATATCCCTCCTGAAGGCACACCCGAGTATCAACTTTTCACAACCGAATTACCTCTTGAAATGCAAGAGGCCGTCAAAACCAAATCTTTGGACGAAGTCAACAAGGTGTTTGCCAAATATAAGATAGAAGATGCCGAGCAAATCTTGGAAATCATTAACCAGTGTGGAGTCATTGGAGTATCTGGATATATAGAAGATGAGCATGAGTTTGAAGAACTTCAGAAGCAGTATAACGAACAACAAATCCAGGAGGTGGAAGAAGAGGCGGATGACAATGCTGATGCTGATTCAAGTGTGGTTCATACTGAAACCCCTAACACTGAAGATATTGTAGATTGACCATTAGTATATAGTAGTTGATAAACCGGTTTATCTTTGATTCAACTTGGCTAATGTTTCCATTAATGTAGAGCTACCAGTAGAGTCTCGGGACTGAAGCTGTGACAAAAGAGAGTTTACCTGCAGTTGGTCACTGGTTCCACTGTTTACAGAAGGTGTGTACTCGTTGTCATTTTCAACCAGCTGCACTGGTGGGGGTGGGCGGTATTGTGCCTGTTGTTGCTGTTGCTGATGCTGCTGCTGTTGTTGTTGTTGCTGTTGTTGTTGTTGTTGTTGTTGCTGCTGCTGCTTTTGCTGCAAAATCGTGATCATGTTTTGCATGGACGCTGGATCCATGTTTTGAATAGTTTGGAAGAGCTGTTCCTTGTTAAGCTGAATTGGTTGTTGATACCCTTGGTTGCCATAAGGAATGTTCGCCGTTTGGGGAGGAAACTGGTTTCCATATTGAGCACCATATTCATATTGGTTATTATGATGGTTTCCAAAATGACCACTCGGATTGCTATACAGATTGTGTACATTGTACTGGCTGTAATGCTGACCTCCGTGTTGGTTCTGGCCCTTCTGGGCCTTCTTCTGCCCGATCCGTCTTTCATTTCTTCGAGCTCGGCTGTTTCCATCTGAATGAGTCTGTTTGTTCAACTCCATACTATTCATGGTCCCCATATTTGCATATCTCTTGTTCCTAGCTTCTAGGATGACTTCCACGCCAACATCTGGGTCAATGTCAGCATATTCATCAAACTTGATGCCTGCATCGGGAGTGGTTTCAAAGACCTGAACATCTACTTTGTTTTCCTTTACCACACAAGTTGACATGATTCCGGAGTAAGCAGCTTCACTTATAACCTCAGATATATCTCTGTGGGTGACATTCTCTACGAGTTGGGACATTCCAGCATTTTGAATGCCCTTGGTGACTTTTCTAACAAGAAACTTGGGAGATTTTCCGGTGGTAAAGATCTGGCAGTCTGGAACCATTTTTCGCTTTTTTGCTTGGGGGCTCCTTTCAGCTTTGTTTTCACTTCCACTTCTAGCTTTGGGAGGTTTGGAAACACTTAGTCTCAATACTTTGTTATGCAAAGGAACGTTTGATTCTCCTTTGATACACTCAGAGCCAGCTTCAGCCGTCTTGAACTGGACAAACCCATATCCCTTCTTTATGATTATCAGGTCGATTTCTCCATACTTTTCAAATATCCTGAACATGTCTTGCTTGCTGAGTGTGTTGGTTGATAAATTTCCAATGAAGAGCCTCAGTCCATCTGGGAACTCTATCGTGAAGTCGTCACCAATCCGGTGCTTCTCTCGGTGGATGAAATTTGTGAACGCCTCATCTTCCTCTGGAGACATTGGCCCCGTGATGTTGGGTCGGCGACACAATTCATTCACTGGAATAGGAGGAACGGGGCCTTTGACATCCTTTAACGGCTTGTTGAAGGAGAACACTTGATTGAAATTTGTGTCCGGAGCATCAGAAAACCGGGTTCCAGTCGTCAAACTTATTCCAAGATTCTCAAGCTGTGGCATGATGATTTGTGCTTGTTGATATAGAGAAAGACCCTCGAACCCAGGGTTTTTTTGCTTCTCACTTTCGACTATTATGGCGTATGCGTTGTGCAAAATCACTTGTTGTTCCTCGGGACTCTTCTTAAGAAAATCATTGTCATTTGAAGGCAGCCCTGGAGGCTTTGAGGGTAGACAGGTAACATCCACATGAGGCTCGTAAGCACTATCATCGTCATCCTCATCGTTATTGGCATCTTTTGGGCTTTGTTTCGGTACGGATACAATGGACTTCTCTGGATCATACTCACTGTCTGCATCACTTACTTCATCCAGGGAATCAGGGGCAAGGCCAGGATTTATTCGCACATCAGGAATAAAATCATCATCCAGGTCATTATCCATTAGTTTCATTTCTGTCTGCTTGTGTTCTGACAATATGGCTGCTTGCGGTTTGGGTCCATTGTCACTTGAGTCTTCCGTTTGAGGTTTTAGTTCGGGTCTAGGAGAGCCCGTGTCCTCGGGTTCACTTGTCATGTCTAAAAGTCCTATAAGAATGTATGACAATTTAAATTTCCTAGTCGCATTAGTTGGCACATTTAGCCTCAGAAGTCAAATGTGGGTGTGCGGAAAAGAGATTCAACGGAAGATTTGTGAATTGAACCAAACACAGACTATACATCCCGTATAGTCGTTACGTCGGGATCAAAAAGGTGAAGAAAGTACGCTGAGAATTGTATTTGGTCTGTATGCCATTACATTCAAATTTAGGACATGAATGGCAGAAATGAATTGGTGTTAAGTTAAGTTGAATGAGAGTTATTTACAGAATATCAAAGCCATATATAAACCAAGTGATGGGTCAGAGCTTCTGGATTCGTGATCACTATCCCTCTTCTGAAAATTATGGAGTGGCATTCATTCCAAAGCGCTGTAACACCAGACACTGAAGTTCCCGTGGCTCCAACCCAAAGCCGCAGTTTTTCCTTGTTCAACCTTTTGAGGAGCAAAATGCTCCGGCACGCACTGTTATATGAATAATCGGATTTCTACTCCAATTACACCCAACAACTATGTCTCCTAAAAACTTAAACATCGCTGTCATCGGTACAGGTATTTTTGCTAATGATGCCCACTTGCCTACCTTTAACAAGATCCCCTACCTCACGCCAATTGCCTGTTACAACAGAACCAAGGCCAAAGCTGAGACCTTTGCTGAAAGGGCCAACATCGATAAATCCAAGGTCTACGACTCTTTGGAAAAAGCCTTCGAAGACAAGGAAGTAGACTTTGTGGATGCCTTGCTACCAGTACAATTCAACTTGGACGTCGTCAAGTTGGCAGTTAAGCACAATAAGCCATTGGCATTGGAAAAGCCTGTGGCTGCCAATTTAACACAGGCTGCTGAAATCGTCAAAATTGCTGAATCTACTGACTTGCCAATTGGTATTTTGGAAAACTGGGCCTTCTACAATGCTGTCGGAGCCCTCCAAGACCAATTGCCCAAAATCGGCGACGTTACGGCTTTCACTTACAAATCAACTGGTCCTTGGAATACCAACAACAAGTATTTGGCTACCACTTGGAGACAGAAACCTGAACATGTTGGAGGATTCTTGAGTGATGGAGGTGTTCATCAAATGACCTTGTTGACTGAAGTGTTGGGATCTGTTGAAACGATTTCGGCCAATACGGTGCAGTTGCGTGAAGAAAGTGGTGATCAAGACACCTTGTTCTCTACTATCAAGTTGCAAAGTGGAGCCATCGGTACATTTGTCTATGGATCAGCCTTTGGTGCATCTGAAAAGAAGTTGGAGTTTGCTATTTACGGTAAAAATGGGTCGCTTGTCTATACTTTGGCACCCGCGGAAGGAAAGCCTTCTTTGGTGATCAGAATTGGCAAAGATGGCAACTCTGGTGAATCACAAACAATCGCTGTTGAAGAAGGAGACTCGTATGAAAAAGAATTCGTTAACTTTGCAGATGCCGTGACTGCCAACGATAAGTCGGTGATTGCAATTTCCCCAAGAAAAGCGTTCCATCACTTGGCGATCGTGGATGCTGCTTTGAAGAGTTCCAAGGACAACGGTGCTTCTGTAACCATCCAGAATCCATAGTACTATAGATTTATAGTATCAAAGTTCGTCTTTTATTAGTGATGTAGCGGTCTCGACAATTTGTTCCCATGTTTGAACAACCGTTTCCTCTGATGCCATACTCTGCGTGTCAATGCTTGATGCGGTGAAAGTGGCAGTGGCTATTGAAATGCCAGTACTAACATCGACACTCTCAAGTATGTCTTTCTCGGTTGATTTAGGTAGGAACCACAAGAATACTCTGAATATCCTCAATATTGACCATAAAAGAATCTTCACTGGAACCTTCAAGATTCTTCTCCACACTACCCAGGCACAACATACCAATAAAAAGCCTATGCTCAAGTAGATTCTGTACTTGTCTTGTTTGTCTTGCTTTTCAATGAACTTGACTATATTCCCTGACTTTCTTAAAGTAGACGTCAACTCATTCAACAAAATATCAAAAGCACTCAAGTCCTTCGTCTGTTGTTCCAATGAGTCGATATTCAACTCAGTCTGTACTATGGAGGTGGTCATAAGCTGTCTGGTGCTTTGTAATGTCGCAGTAATACTCTTATTTTGCTCTACGAGTTGATCTTCAGCACTCTTTTCTCTTAATCTGTTTTCCTCTTCTTGCAGCCTTCCTTCAAATAGTTCATGTTTCATTTCTTCCATGGTCTTGGGTCTTTCTGGTACTGTGCCAAACTTCTTCACTCGCTGTTTGTGAACAATCTCTTCTTCTTGCCGATATGACTCCATTTGTGCTTCTCTTAAGTCGATTCTTAGATGGACAAGTTTATCTTTATACACCTCTCCCAACACTTGTACTTCTTTGATGTCTCTATAATTGAGGATCTGGGCGTTGAGCACCGTTACCAATTCTTCAAACTGTAGTATCAACTTCGTGACTTCTTTGGAAATCTTAGATCGGGTAAACTCAATAGAGATATTCTCAGAGGCTTCCTTCGATTCATTGATATTGGTTATGGATTCAATCTTGTCGAATACTCGTTCCTGAAGAAAGTCCAACTCATCGAGATAGCTTTTAATCCCTGCTGGCACTGTCATGTTCAGTTTACGTGGTAGAGGTTTTGTTTGTGATCCGCGAAATGGTTGTGAAAAAATCTCCATCTGAATCAACTTGGTCATAATGGCATCTACTCCAGCTGGCGAGCCTAGCATTCCCGCTTATGATGCTATAACCAGTGATGGTGTTTCCAAGAAACAGAAAATGAAGGGCAAAAAGAAGTCCATGGATCCCTCAAAATTGACTCCAGAATACATTGAAGAACAAAGAAGACTACGGAACATCAAAAAAGAACAGAAAAAGCAACAGCTTATTGCACAAGGATACAATCCTGAGCAGCTCGAAACCAATGAAGCTCTCCGTTACAAAACCAGAGAGTTTGTTTCTGTAGGATCCAATTCTGAAGTAGGTGAGAACTTTAAGGTGAAAATTATGACCTACAATATCTTGGCCCAGGCATTGATTAGAAGAAAGCTATTCCCTACTAGTGGGAACGCTTTGAAATGGAGTACCAGATCTCAGGTGTTGCTTTCTGAAATGAAACATTATGATGCAGACATATTATGTCTACAAGAATTGGATTTTATCCAGTATAACTCTTTTTGGAAGCAGGAGCTACTGAATTTGGGGTATAACTCTAAATTCAACCGAGGTGGTTCCAAAAACCACGGAGTCTGCATTTTCTTCAAGAATGATATATTTGTATTCAAACATCAAAGTTTCATTGATTATGACCGGGAAGAATCTGGGACAATTTTCCCGAGAACTATCACCCAAAATGTCGGATTATTGGCCTGTTTAGAGTTCACACCAAAAATCCGATCCCAGTACAAATTAAGTCGAAATGGAATTATAATTGGTACCACTCACTTGTTTTGGCATCCATTTGGCACGTATGAAAGAACCAGACAAACTTATCTTGTTCTCAAAAAGACCAAAGAATTTGTCCACACAATGAATGTGGTGAAAGAAAACGACTTGGGATGGTATACGTTTTTCGCCGGAGACTTTAACTCCCAGCCGTTTGATACCCCATATTTATCTGTAACTTCTAAGCCTGTACATTATAGTTCCAGAGCTAAAACAGTCATCAGCTGCTCATTGTCGTTCCAATATTCAAAGAACAGAGGAATCAAAGAGTCCGAAGCTGAAAAGAATTCTGAAGACGAGGAAGAAGGGGGTAACATCGAAAAATTTGGTAAAGACCAACCAAGAGACCCAGTCCCCGAATCCTTTGTGGCTACTGAAGAACAACTACAATTGGTTAATGCAATGGAAAATTTGCATAATAATCTCGATGTGAGAGCGATTTCCCTCTACTCGGTAGCGTACAAACATGTTGACCCCAAGAATGCCGGTGCTGATAATGAAAGGAATGAGCCGATGTATTCGAATTGGGCACACTCTTGGAGAGGTTTATTGGACTATATATTTGTCATTTCAAGTTGGGACCTATCTGAAGACTACTCCAAAAAGATTGACCTGATAGATGAATTGGCCAACACAGAAAACATAAGACTAACTAAGCTTTTAAGGTTGCCAAGAGGTGAAGAAATGGGTGAAGAGCCTTCGGGACAACCAAGGCTTGGGCAATATCCTTCTGACCATTTCTGCTTGATGGCAGAGGTGGAATTACTTTGATCTCCAAATTTTCATTATATATAACTGTACAACCACATAACTTTTAACCCAATTCAATTTTTCATCAACATATGGTCAACTAAATCCTCTAATGGACCATAGTCTTTTGTTTGGATCAAGTCGAACTCTTTACTGAACAAAACATAATGCTTTAGACTGGTGTTTAAGTGAGACTGTAATCCCAACTCTGTAATCTCATGGAAGTGATGACAGTATATATGGGCATAAATTCTGAATAGCCTCTTGAAAATGGTCTTCACTAAAGTAGGGAATTGCTGTGGGAATGGAGCACCCATCTTTGAAGGGAAGATGTTATCATTATCGAAGAATCCTTGGATCCAGTTCATCAAATTCTCAATGTATTCACAAGCAGGTAATGACACCGGTCTCTTAGGGGAGGACAGCCCGTTCATTGTTGGATTTGTTTCCTGCCATAAATACTCGTACTCTTCTGTAGCAATCATTCTGGGACAAGTTTTGGGTGAACAAAATTCTGTGATGGTTCCATACAACATATTGATTTGATTGTAAAAGTCCACTACATGAACAGCCAACCATTCGTTGATATCTTCGTCTTGAGGCAACTTCACTGCCTGGTACAATGCATTTTGAGAACCTAGGGTTTGTTCTGCAAAGCTTCTAATATCTTTATGAGAGCTCACATTCCTTCCATCGTTTTGTAAATTGATGGTTTGGTATGGTTGAGGTTGCTGAGTTTGATACTGGGATGACACTGGAGATATGTTATTGCCTTGAAGTTTACTACCAGTTGGGGTAGAAGGAACCTGGTCCGCAGGATATCTATTGGGAGATGTTGGGAAAGTAGAACTTGAAATAGGCTGAGGACTTGAGATTGGTGATGACTGCTTGAGTCTAAACCCTCTGGTAGTTCTTAAGCTCGGAGTATTGAAATTCTGAAGGAACGACATTGTATAACCTTACACTCTGGATATTTGAAGAAGAATTTTGCTGAAGACCCTTTTCTTTGCTATTTAACAATTCATCAAGTTTATAAGAGTTCTTGATTGTGCACTGGAATCTATTTACATTCAGAACAAAAAAGGAAAACTGATTGCGAACAGGCAAAGTTTTTTTTTTGGTACACGCAATTTCTGCAGCTTTATTCCATGGATAATTCAATGCTGTTGGGGTCAATTAGGTTGATAGCATGGATTTTAGACATTATTCCTGAATAGTAGGGTGCACTTTGTTGAGTGCCAACAACAGAGTTCCTGTGGGGTTTTTTTGGCTGCAAATACTTGGATTTTGAGAAATACTTGAGCATATGGGCAGTAATATACTTGTGAAGACATAGCTTTTGGAGACTATGGAGATGGGCCACTAACAATCTAGGCACTTCTGATCTATCCAATATAACAAGGAGTAGGTTTTTCTTTATGTACTCGTAGTTTAAGTCCAATACTTTTCTGGAGTAGACTGAAAATGTAAAGGGCATTGTATACTCCAAGTGAACAAACGTCGAAGCCACTAAGTAGTTTATTGAACCTACAAGACATGCCACAGAAAGCATACCTCCTTCTGTGGTGTATTGTATTTCAAGGTTCAAAGTTTTCAATAAGCTGAAGTTTCGTTTTCCTAGCTCTTCAATTATCAGTCTAGTCTGTCTACAATTCAACAATACCCGAATCGTACAATTCTCTTCGAGCTGGACGTAGACATTATAATTCATACTAGACCAGAAGCTGCTTTCACAAATAGCACTGCAAAGTTTGTCGACAAGTTCAGAATCTATACTATTCAAGGTAGTTCTGTTGACTGAGATACTTATATCAATCAGAGAAATGTTAGTGAATGCGTTTAACATCCAGAAAAAACAGGAAAACTTACTCCAAAACTATCACTAGGAAACACAACTCCGCTACCTGAGGTGTGTTCCAACTCTAATCCATACTTCACTGAGGCAAAGTCGTTTTGCACTCGTATTGCTAGAGTGCTCATGAGTAGAAAGCCGCGACTCATTTCCAAAACTTGGATCTACTGAGATGAGGCTACAATGATTGCTAGGCAAATCCCACTAATATTGAAGTCGCCAATCAACAGCCCGGTCAGTATGGCGTACTTGTGGTCCCTAAGTGATGATAAGAAGCGGCTTGCCTGTCTTTACAAAAGGTTTTACCGTTTGAGAAACCTCATTGACCATGATAGACGCAACGTTAGTCGATACAAAGAATTGATACGATGGAAGTTTGCCAAAGAAAACTACAATACCAGACGTTCTGTCATCCTTGGAAAACCTGAAGAACCAATTTCTGAGATTTTTACTAGAATCTTTAACACATTGACATTTGTGCATAATTCAACTGTTATATTGCCAGAGAACATGATAGATAAGAAGGCATATTTCTACAAAGATACGCGCCAAAACCATCGAATAGAGAAGCAAATTATACTCACTATTTGTCGGATGCAGTATGTGACCCCAAATGAGTTGAAATACAGGTCTGATTTTAGTTGGTTTCCCGAAGTACGAAAGGAGATCGAAGACTTTCCTGAGAATGCTACCAAAAGGCAAATGGCAAAACTGACATCTAATCCGTCGTATATAGGATTCGCCGATTATCAGAAGAACTTGATGCTTTTGAACGAAATGTATAAGTTATGTTTATAGAATTGGCCTAGAATAAATGGTTCAATTATACAAATGTGCTTTTTGCAACCACAAGTGTAGTGTAATTTGAAGAAAATTAGAGAGGTGAGAAGTATCATCATATCTCATCTGTTTGTGGTGTTTTATTCCTCTTGGATATTTGTTTCGTTTTGATAGTTTTCACAATTTGCAGTATTTACAATATCTACTGCTTAAAATATGCTAAATGGTATGTTAGAATTCAGGATTCAGGAAAGGAAAGACTTAGACTTGTAAGCCACAATACCGTGTATGACTATTTAAACCAACAAGAGATACTACGTGTATGCCATATATTATCAAGTCTCTTGTTTGCGTAAAGTTCTCCAGTTCTCGGAATAGGCCGCATGAGCGGTATCACAGCAAAACACTCCCCAAAAATTAGGAAAAAGTCACCGAATATACCTGTAGCCTTTGTAAAACTAACAGATGTACTCCCAGCATCAGAAACTAGATTCTACATTTCCTTAGCCTACACTATCTGTTTGTTTGGCTGCAAATCTGCGACTCTGTATTTATTATGCGCGACTCTGCTTATGAATCATCACCGAAAATCATTGATAAATAGAAGCACGGTGAGCTTGAAATTTTTTTTCTGGTTTTTTGGTTTTTTGGTTTAACGGTTTCAATCGTTCAAGAATAAGCGAAATATATTATAATGTTGGACGTCGTTTTAGGCTCCCAATGGGGGGATGAAGGTAAAGGAAAGTTGGTGGACATTTTATGTGACGACATCGATGTTTGTGCTAGATGTCAAGGAGGTAATAACGCCGGGCATACCATCGTTGTAGATGGAGTCAAATACGATTTCCACTTGTTGCCCTCAGGATTGGTCAACCCTAAATGCTTGAACTTGATTGGTTCGGGTGTGGTTGTCCATGTCCCTTCTTTATTCGAAGAGTTGGAAAACTTGGAGAAAAAGGGCTTATTCTGCAGAGACAGATTATTCATATCTTCCAGATGTCATTTGGTATTTGACTTCCATCAAAGAACTGATAAGTTGAAGGAAGCCGAATTATCTGCCACCAAGAAATCGATCGGTACCACCGGTAAAGGAATTGGTCCTACTTATTCCACCAAGGCTTCCAGATCTGGTATTAGAGTCCACCATTTGGTGAGCGAAGAGCCTGGTGCTTGGGATGAGTTCAAGGTTAGATACCAACGTTTGGTTGAGTCGCGTTACAAGCGTTACGGGGACTTTGACTATGATGTGGAATCTGAATTAAAGAAGTACGAAGGATACCGTGAATTGTTAAAGCCGTTTGTGGTGGATGCGGTTGACTTTGTTCACAAGGCCATTGCTGACGACAAAAAGATTTTGGTGGAAGGTGCCAACGCATTGATGTTGGATCTTGACTACGGTACTTACCCATACGTGACTTCTTCTGCCACTGGAATTGGTGGTGTGTTGACTGGTTTAGGTGTTCCTCCTAGAACTATCAACAACGTTTATGGGGTGGTAAAGGCCTACACTACCAGAGTTGGTGAAGGTCCATTTCCAACTGAGCAGTTGAATGAAGTTGGTGAAACCTTGCAAGATGTGGGTGCCGAATTCGGTGTTACTACTGGTAGAAAGAGAAGATGTGGATGGTTAGACTTGGTTGTCTTGAAGTATTCCAATTTAATCAACGGCTACACTGCTTTGAACATCACTAAATTGGACGTGTTGGACAAGTTCAAGGATATCAAGGTTGGTGTTTCTTACTCGTACAAGGGTAAGACCTTGTCGAGTTTCCCCGAGGATTTGACTCTTTTGGGTAAGGTTGAAGTAGAGTATGTGACTTTACCAGGTTGGGAAACTGATATCACCAAGGTCAAGAACTATGATGATTTGCCAGAAAACGCCAAAAAGTACTTGGACTATATCGAGACTTTTGTTGGTGTGCCTGTGAAATGGGTGGGTACTGGTCCTGCTCGTGACTCTATGTTGAAGAAACACTAGATATATAGAGAATGATATAAATACACGTTCCGTTTAGAAAACCGCTTTTTTCGCACCTGATGGTAAATTTCCAACAACAAGAATGTTGCAATCAGATATATTATTTATTGCCTTGAACATTGTGGTAAGATGTATCTCATCCTTCTACATGATCATTCCAGATTGTGATGAGACATTCAATTACTGGGAACCTCTCAGTTTGTTGATCCGTGGGTTTGGAAAACAGACGTGGGAATACTCTCCAGAGTTTGCAATCAGATCATATTCTTACCTATTACCTTATTATGTTTTGACGTATCCGTTTGATTATCTTGTCAATCTTTTCCAGTTTCCGGCTTACTGGGACTTCTATTACATAAGACTCTTTTTATTGAATGGGTTTACGATCTACTGTGAAATCAAACTTTTCCACTCGTTGAAGAGAAACACAAATGCAAGGATTGCTAAAAGCTACTTGTTTTTAAGTTCAATGTCTACGGGGATGGCTCATGCTGGAGTTGAGTTCTTACCCTCTTCTTTTGCTATGCAATGTGTCACTATTTCATTATCTTATGCCTTAGAGGATGTTAGTGTCGAGTCTGCTGTCGCTAGCTTGACTTGGATTATGATTGGCGGTTTGGTTGGATGGCCGTTTTCATTGGTATTGGCTGTTCCATTTGGAATGAACGTTGTGCTCAGTCACTTTAACAAGGTTCCAGCCATAGTACTAAGGTCATTGGTCAATTTGATAGCAATTTTGACCATTATAATCGCAGTGGACTCAATTTTCTACAAGAAATACGTGTTGATACCCTTAAATATCGTTTTGTATAACGTGTTTGGTGGAGAAGGTGAAGGTCCTGAGATTTTTGGTGTGGAGCCTTTGAGTTATTATATCTTAAATCTTCTACTCAACTTCAACATTTTTGCTATTTTGGGGTACTTGGGCACTATAATAACTTTCAAATGGAACAAAAACTACTTTGTCATTAGTATGCCTTTAATCATATGGTCCGGGATTTTCTTCTCCCAGCCACATAAGGAAGAAAGGTTCCTTTACCCAATATATTCATTGATTCTTGTTAATGCTGCTATATCGTTAGATTTGATCTTCACAGTCACCAACAATATCATTCTTAACATTACCAAAAATACAGCCTTAACAGCGGCTATACTTCGGATAGCGTACGCAGTTGTATACGGATTAACAACGACCTTGTCTCTCTCGAGGACGATAAATTTGGTGGAGAATTATAGTGCTCCATTAATTGTTCCCAAGGCATTAGCATCATCATCATCATCAACCAATGTATGCATCGGGAGAGAGTGGTATCATTTCCCCAGCTCATTCTTTTTACCTGATAATCACCGTCTTCGGTTCATAAGATCAGGATTTGATGGGTTACTTCCTAGAGATTTTGAAGAAGGTGTCGACTTTTTTGAAGCTACCAGCTTCATTCCAGAAGACATGAACAATAAAAACGTATTTGTGGACTCTACCGTGATATCATTTGAAGAGTGTGATTACTATATTGACAATTCTGGAGTCACAAATTGTATAGAGCCTTCAGTTGGTGAGGACGCTAATTGGGAGGTAGTGGTCTGCCATAAGTTGATAAATCCAGAAGGTGATCATCTGGGAATTGGCCGACTTTTATATATTCCCAAGCCGTTGAGACATTATATTCCTTATAACGTGGACTACATGGAATACTGTCTCTTCAAGAGACAACCGCCAGTCTGAGTTGGCAAGAAAAATTTACAACGATACGGAAAATGAAACTTTGGTATAAATTGAGGCTCTAGTAAATAGGTGTCACTCTCTAGCAAATAGTCTAGACTATATCTTCAAAACTAATCAAATAATAGAAGGCATTTTTTTCAATTCTAGGGGGACCGTATGGACGATTATACCGAGCGGTTCAAGTTAGCACGGCTACGGGTGAAGAATTGAGTTGGGTCAACACAATAAAATGGTTCAATCATAATTCATCATCAAAATATTCATTAAGGGCCTTTTCTGATTTTTCAAACCCATCTTTTGCTTTCTCAAACGCATCCAGGATTAACAATACCCAGTAATCATCCAGGTCGGTATCAACAGTTGAGGTTGGAGATAGTTCAAAGTTATCACAGTTAATTTTATGACCATAATTTTGGATTCTTTCACATTGGGAGGAAATTTTTACCAATCCAAGAGCAGCAGCACTACCCTTCAAATAGTGACCCAAGGAGCTTAATTTATCTAGGTTTTTGGATGCTAAATTTTCATCGATTTCTTCAAAGGTATCTTCTACTTGATCCTTGAAAGTTTGAAATAAATTTTTGGAGAAGCCTTCTTCATCTTCATCCATGGCAATCAATTCTGAAAACACAGGCCACACCACCAAGTCAGAATCTTGCAACTGCTGTTTTTTTTCTTCGGACATGTTTGATATGATATGTGTTACCACTGAAGAACTTAATCACAGGGGGATTTTATTCAAAAAAAAAAAGACAAATAAAACGGAGGTGGAGGGAGGTAAAAACGGTCAAATAACAAGTATAAACGACAGTCTTTGGATGTATCTTACTTTCTGGATACAAAAAGGCTCTCTTACAAGTCAATTGACTTTGTTAGATGGTTGTTCACAAAAAAATGTAAAAATTCACAAGGGATTTAATTCCTCACCGAAAACTCGAACAAAACAACCAGACCAGCACAATAAAGAATTACACAACAAATTTAGTATGCAATTAATAAGGGAGATGTGGTAGTAAGAATCTGGATGATATATTCCCAGCGTGACCAATGGTATAAGGATATAAAGTGAATAGGTTACTCCAAACCAGTAGGAAGAAAAAATGGATAAATTTGCCAAAATTGGACGAAAGTCTGGATTTTCTGCTATACGTCAGTTCGCACTACGTCATTTATTAACATTTTTGTTTTTCTGGTATGCCGCTCGGTGTGGACTAAACAATACCACGGTTACTCCGCGTAGCTCGTGGGATTCCGCTCTCGCCCACAATAGGGTTTTTGGCATCGCTTGAATATTTTGGGATTAGCGCTTCTTCTCCAGTTTGGGAAGTATTCCGCTGTTCCAAGCATTGTCATCTACTTATCTTTGAACACATGCTTGTTTGAGAAGGTGATGAAGGAGGTGTGTCCCCTGATAAGGTTTGATATTTTCTAGTGAAAAAAGTCAAAGCCTTCGACGCATTCATCCCAGATGATAATCATTGGTGCTATGCTATTTAAGATTTTTGTACACGGATTTCACCCCCATCGAAGTTGAACATGCCGATGAGAGTTTTCAATGGTCTACTTGTTTAACTATAAGGCAGAACACATGATACAGCTTTCAGCTAATCACAGAAGGCCTCCAGGAAACCCAGTAACCACATCTTAAAAGTTTTCTATTCTCTATGAAAAGATGCCCTCTACTGCAAAAGCTCATAGACATCTCCAAGTTTACTCATATAGTAAGTAGGGGCTTCATCATCTGGCTGGGACAATACCCTTTCTTCAGTCTCGATTCCTGTCAACACCAACAAGGTATCCAATCCACCCAATCTTCCGAACTTCATGTCGGTATTCAACCGATCACCAATCATCAACCCTCTCTTGGGGGTTCTCAATAATCCCGGGTTGTCGGCCTTAATTGAGTTCATCATTGATTGGTTAGGTTTTCCACAAATAGCATCTGGTTTTCTGTCGGTAGCAAAACTTACAGTTTCAATAATTGACCCGGCTCCGATAAGCAATTTGCCCTTCAGAGGAAAAGTCGAGTCAATGTTGGTTGCAATGAATGGAATTGACTTGTTTTTGGCCAAAAGGTATTGCATGGTGATAGACAACTTCAAGTAGTTTACTGTCAATGCCAATCCGGCCACCACACACCCGACATTCTCATCAAGATTTGTCAACAAAGGATGGTCATTGTGGAACTCCACTCCATCCTTGGTCAATTCGGGGTCAGAGCCTCCGAGAGTTGTGTATCCCAATTCCTGGAGTTCTTCTTCGATACCCTTTTCCCCCAAGATCCAGATCTTTTGATCGGTGGGCAACTTCAAGATTTTATTGACATAGATTGCAGTGGCATACGAGGAACCAAACACATCGTCTTTTGTAATGCCTTCAATGCCCAATTTTTCAAACTTTTTCAAGTATTCTTCTCTGGACTTGGTGGAATTATTGGTGACAAAAATCACAGATTTGTTCTGCTGTTTCAAAAGAGTCAATGTTTCCTTGACGTACGGTAAGATATGGTCACCCAACCACAAAACCCCATCACAGTCAAAGAGGAAGTAATCGTACGAGTCAAGAAGGTGTTTAACCTGGTCCTTTTGAGTGATTTTAGAAGATACCATGTTAGTTGAGTAACGCAACTTTTGATGCTCGCACCGTTTTCAATAGCCATGGCCAAAGTACCGAAATGATATTTATTTGAATGTGTTATATACTATAATGCTTTAGGGGATTAGGAAGTACAGCCACAACCCACCGGCAAGTAGCACCTGAGTGTGGTTGTGTTGCAAAAAACCCTCTATTGTTGTTGGTAAGATATTCTGTAGTGGTAGGTCTTTCCATCGACCACTCAAACGGGACACCGGTAGTAACCCTAGTGTTCAGAAGGGTTTGCTCCAGCAGTGTATCTGGGGAACCGTAATTTGGACTTGTCATTGTAAAGTTCCTTTTCGAACTTGGCCTTAGCTTCTTCAGACATCGTTTCTTTCACCAATTCTTGTCTCTTCAACTCACTGAAATATCTTCTGGCGATGTTTCTGTCATCTTCAGCCAACAACAAAGGTTGTAAATAGAATCTGGCCCATTGTCTTTCTCTGGCCAATTCACGCTGTTCATCGACTCCTTTGTAGTATCTATAGAATCCAAAGCCCATGATTCCGGTGAAGAGCCAGAAATAAATAACGGGTCTGAAACCTCTGGATGGGAGATTTCTCTTCCACTGTACTGGTTCGTACCCTCCGATAGGTGGTAAATCTTGCATGATATAGTTGAGCAGATAGGTGGTATTTGAATTTAGCTCGATTCAATTGGGTGAAATTTTTTCGTGTGCGCGGGTACTACTACGGCCTGAGTTACACACTACTTTTATGCTTTTCATTAAGTAGATATAATTATTCATGGAAATCAAATCACTTGATATCGAAAACTGGTTTCAACTTCTTGATTAAAAGCCAGTCATCTCTATTAACAGTTTCACGGAATGCCGGGTCCTTCAAAGTGTCAATCGACTTACGAGTAATCAATGAGTACAAGTTGTCTGTCTCATCAACATGACGACCCCAAGTGGCTTGAGCTCCAGAGGGACTCTCTAATCTCATAGCAACACCAGCAGAAGTTTGTCCCTTCTTCACAATATCGACGGAATTGTGGTTCACTTGTAAGGAAACCACTTTCCCTAATAATACAACATTAGGCACTCCGGTGGTAGGATCTCTACGAACACAAGAAATTGGTGTACCAATTCTAAGGGTTCCTTCAACCACATCTACACCAATAATCATGGGGTTACGCTTGTTGATGATTTGAATGGTTTTCAAAACACATGGGAAAATGGCGAATTCCAAAAAGTCTTTCCGACGTTGTTCCAACAATTCCTTTTGGTAAGCAGTAAAAGCATCAAATAAGTGATAAATGATATCGGCGTTGAAGATCTTGATGTTCTGTTCATTGGCATATTGTTCGGCCTCTTTATCAACCTTAACATCGAAACACAACATCACCGCCAATTCAGGAGCTTTATCTAACATGGTGACCGTTTTTATCACATCTCTTTTGTACACGGGACCCAATCCAATGGACATCACAGGGATCTTCATATCTTTCAAAAAGTCCAACAATGCCTCCAAAGAACCTAAGGTTGATGCTTGCACAACTACACCTTTACCAGAAGTATCAACGGAGTCCAACAAACCCGTCAAGTCATCCATGACTTCTTCCATAAGTTCTTCTTCATCATCCTCTTCCTTATTAACAACCAATAATCTGGAACCAGCAACAGCTTTTTCCAAATCATTTGCAGCTATCTTCACTCCCAAAGCAGCCTTGACTTCTTTGTGGTGGATATATTCTGACTTGATTCTCAATTCTCTTGATGGAGGAGGCGTCAATAATGCTCTTATATTGGTTGCAATTGGCCCGTTCAAACCACACAATACTATACGATCACCTTCTCTTAAAATACCGTTGGACAAGACGACATCGATAGTGTAACCAAAACCTTCAACCACCTTGACTTCCAAGATCGTGGCTTCAATCTTGGACAAGTACATCAATTGTTTAGACATTCTCTTTTGAGTCAATTCCATTAACAACCATAACAAGTCTGGAACACCTTCACCGGTCACAGCAGAAGTAGGCACAATAGAGACATACTTAGCCATATTTTTGTTCTGGAAGTACAATTCAGAGTTTAACCCTTGTTCGGCCAATGCCACCTTAATTTGGTCGTATCTGTTTTGGAATTCAGCCTTCACAGACTTCTTCTGCTTAGCAAAAGAGTCACGGAATGAGTTGTTTGGAACAGGTTCCCAGTCAAATAATCTATCAATCTTGTTCAAAGCAACCACGAATGGAGCCTTTCTATCTCTCAATAATCTTATACTTTCCAAGGTTTGTTGTTCCAACCCATGCATGATATCGATGACTAAAATGGCAATGTTACATAAAGACGAACCACGAGATCTCAAGTTCGTGAAAGACTCGTGCCCTGGAGTATCGATAATTAATAACCCTGGAACATCCAAAGTTCTTTTTTCGTACTTGGTCATAACTTCAGTCTTTTGTCTGATGGATTCCACTGGAAAGTAAGTAGCACCTATTTGTTGGGTAATACCACCAGCCTCACCACCTTGAACGTTGGTTTGACGAATCTTATCCAACAACTTGGTCTTACCAGTATCGACGTGTCCCAAAATACAGCAAATTGGTGAACGTAATTCCTTTTCTGGTTCAGCTCCTGGTGTTGATTCTACTTTTTGTGTAACTGGAGCGTTGACTTCTTCTACTTCCTCAACCTCTTCAACCTCCTCCTCTTCCTCTTCCGACTCTTCGTCGTCTTCTGCTTCAGCTGGATGCTCAGGAAGGTCTTCCTTCTTTTCTTCAGTAACAGCTTGTGTTTCTTCAGCAGCTTCCCAGTCTTCATTTACATCGTCATCGTCAAGAGCCATTTTCTCCCAGTCATCGAGAACAGCTTCTTCCTCATCTTTTTGCTCCTCTTTCTTGACAATAGTGGTATGACTTTCAGAGGAGGCCTTGGCCTTAGAAGGTTTCTTCTTACCGTAAACAATCTTCTTGGGTTTTGGTGCATCGTCATTTTTGTCCTTTTGTAAACCTGTCACAATCACATTTCCTTGCAACAATTGCGCCTTTCTAAGCTCTTGTAATCTCTTTTGTTCCTTTTGTTTCTTGGTCAACAACTTACCTTCGGCCTTCAACTGTTCTTTCTTCAACTTTTCCTTTTCCTTTTTAGCAGCTTTGGCGGCAGCTTTCTTATCTTCTTCTTCTTGGACTTTTCTCTCTTCTTCAGCACGAGCAGCTTCCTCTTCCTCTTCAGCACGAGCAGCCTCTTCTTCAAGTTGTTTCTTCAATTCCAATTGACGCTTCAAAGCAGCAAGACCACCTGGAGCCTTCTTACCCTTTTTAACGGCTGGCTTAACCTTTTGCTCAGATTCAGGTTCAGGAGTAGCACCCGCAGAAGAGTCAGAAGGGCCGGCAGCAGCCTCAGCATTCTTCTTGTTGGCTTCTTTGATCTGTTCTTTCTTTTCAGCTTGTTGAGCCTTCTTCTTAGCAGCCTGTTCTTTTTTCTTCTGCTTTTCAGCTTCTTTCTTCAACTTTTCCTTTTCTTTCTTACTCAAGATTTTGGGCCCGTCCTTCTTACCCTCCTCTTCCTTTTGGTCCTTCTTCTGCTTGGATTTTCTGATGGAATTCAAGAAGTCATCAGCTACTGCTGAAGCATCAGCCGCTTCGGGCTCCTGAGATTCTTCAGGTTCAGGAGTGTCTTGTCCATCGGTTGGGGTACCTTCCGACTGGAATTCTTGGGGTTGTGATTCATCCTGAGCAGGTTGTTCATACATGTCTTCATCATCCCAAATGTCACCTCCGGCTTTGGCACCTTTCTTTCCCTTTTTAGCCATTGTAGTTAGTGGTTGGATCTATGAGGTATTGGAAAATTTTTTATGGGTCGCGCAAACCACATCGCACGACCTTCTCAGTACATTTTTTTTCACTCCATCAGCTTCCATTCGATAAACTTCAAGAAACATGACAACGGTAGAAAAGATCAAGGCCATCGAAGATGAAATGGCCAAGACCCAGAAGAACAAGGCTACGTCCTTCCATTTGGGTCAGTTGAAGGCAAAGCTCGCCAAGTTGAGACGAGAGTTAATCAGTGATAGCACCAGTGCAGGTGGAGGTGGAGGAGCAGGTTTTGATGTGGCCAGAACCGGGGTGGCCACCGTTGGGTTTGTGGGATTCCCGTCAGTGGGGAAGTCTACTCTTTTGTCCAAGTTAACGGGAACCCACTCAGAAGCCGCTGCTTATGAGTTTACCACCTTAACAACTGTTCCTGGTGTAATTAAGTATAAAGGTGCTAAGATCCAAATGTTGGATTTACCTGGGATTATTGAAGGTGCTAAGGATGGTCGTGGTAGAGGTAGACAGGTTATTGCCGTGGCAAGGTCCGTCAACTTGTTATTCTTGGTGTTGGATGTTAATAAACCATTACACCATAAACAAATCATTGAGCACGAATTAGAAGGTGTGGGAGTAAGAATTAATAAACAACCCCCAAACATCGTGATACAGAAGAAGGAGCGTGGAGGAGTCAACATTACCACCACGGTGCCCCTTACCCATTTGGATAATGATGAGATCCGGGCTGTTATGGGTGAATACAAAATCAATTCCGCCAACATTGCATTCCGTTGTGATGCTACGGTGGACGACTTGATCGATACCATCGAATCCAAAAACAGAAGATATATCCCCGCTGTGTACGTGTTGAACAAAATCGATTCATTCTCAGTGCAAGAGTTGGAATTACTTTATAAGATCCCCGATGCCATTCCAATTTCTTCAGCAAACGGATGGAACTTGGACGACTTGTTGGAATTAATGTGGAAGAAATTGAACCTCGTGCGTGTTTACACTAAGCCCAAGGGGAAATTACCCGATTTTGAGGAGCCTGTGGTGTTGAGAAACGATAGGTGTACAGTTGAAGACTTTTGCAACCTGATCCACAAATCTTTGGTGAGCGACTTCAAAAGTGCATTTGTCTACGGAACATCTGTCAAGCATTCTCCCCAAGTCGTTGGTTTAAGTCACGAGTTGGAGGATGAGGATGTCATCACCATTTTGAAGAAGTAATGAATACGACATGCACGAATAGATACCTTTTTCTTTACCTATATGCCCTTTTTAGCAGTAGTGTCGCGAAATCTAAAACTAATAAAATTTTTTTCAATCCACTTCCTGTCGTATGTCAACAATACCAGCAGATATAAATGCCCGCTTAGGCGAGTTGATAAAAGGCTTATCGTCACCTGATAACTCGGTTAGAGGCGAAGCCGAAAAGAAGCTCGAAAACGACTGGTCTGACAATCAACAAGTTACCATTCTTCTTGTGTATCTTGCAGAACAAGCATGTATGGGAGAAACCGAATATTTAAGGTCTTTCACGGCGGTGTTGTTCAGAAGAATAGCAAATAAATCCCCCAAACCGCCCACAAAATTCACCGATAGAAATATCGGGGTCATCAGCGAAGAATCTCGTCTTCAGATCAGACAGATCCTTTTGAAGGCATTCGTATCAGAATCGTCAAATCAAGTGAGGCACAAATTGAGTGATGGTATCGCCGAGGTGGCCAAGGAGTATACTCTGCAAGAGAATTCCTGGCCCGAATTGCTTCCTGCTTTGTTTTCTGCTGCTACCAACAGCAATAGTAGCATTCGTGAATCTGCCTTTAGGATCTTTGCGGCTGCCCCCGACATTATTGGACAGCGGTACTTAAACGAAGTGTTACCTGTTTTCAACCAGGGGTTCCAGGACCCAAATGATGATGTTAGAATCGCTCTGTGCACAGCGTTTGTGGAGTTCTTCAAAGAGTTACCCAGGAATGTTTGGGGTTCCTTGGCTCCTTTATTACCCAACTTATTGAACTCTTTGCCAATGTTCTTGGAAAGTGGACAAGACTCATCGTTGGCTTTGGTATTGGAATCTCTCATAGAATTGGTGATGGTGGCACCTAAAATGTTCAAAGATATGTTCCCCACCATAATTGAATTTTGTTCAGCCGTGTCTAAGAATAACGACATGGAAACTAATACCAGAAATGCAGCTTTGGAATTGTTGACGACTTTTTCGGAGGTATCACCAAACATGTGTAAGCGCTCAGAAAGTTACACCAGTACAATCGTGTTGGTGACGTTGTCCATGTTGACGGAAGTGTGTATTGATGATGATGATGCTGCTGACTGGAATAATAATACCAATAGTGATGACGAGGACGAAGAATTGGAATACGATGCTGCTCGTCAAAGTTTGGACCGTGTGGCCTTGAAGTTGGGTGGCCACTCTCTTGCTGCTCCCTTGTTCCAATACTTGCCTACGATGTGTCAGTCTCCAAACTGGAGAGAACGTCAAGCTGCCTTAATGGCATTGTCTGCCGCCGCTGAAGGATGTGCTGATGTATTGATAAACGAAATCCCCAAACTTCTTGAATTGATACTACCATTGATCGATGATGCACATTCAAGAGTCCAATATGCGTGTTGTAATGCATTGGGACAAATGTCTACCGATTTTGCTGATGTGATCCAAAGAACCTCTGGTGCTCAAATTTTACCTGCTTTAATTTCAAAATTAACTAACCAGTCTGTTCCTAGAGTTCAAGCTCATGCTGCTGCTGCATTGGTGAACTTCAGTGAAGCTGCTACCAAGGAAGTGGTGGAACCATATTTGGATGATTTGTTAACGAATTTGTTAGGACTTTTGCATTCACCTAAAAAGTATGTTCAAGAACAAGCTCTTACTACCATTTCTGCCATTGCAGATGCTGCTGAAAAGAAATTTCTCAAATACTACGATACGTTAATGCCATTGTTGTTCAATGTGTTGAAATCCGATGTGGGTGAAGAAAACAGAGCCTTATTAGCCAGATGTATTGAATGTTCCACATTGATTGCTTCTGCTGTTGGAAAGGAAAAGTTTTCGGAACATTCAAACGATTTGATTCAATTATTTGGTCATATTCAGTCTACCATTGAAACTCCCGACGACGAAGTCATTCCTTATTTGGATCAAGGTTGGGCTAGAATCTGTAGATTGGTTGGTAAAGACTTTACTCAATACTTGCCTTCAATTTTACCGTCGCTTATAGAAACAGCAAAAGCCACTCAGGATATATCCCTCTTGGATGAAGAAGAAGCTGATGAATACCAACAAAGTGACGAATGGGATGTTATTCAGTTCGGTGGTAAACACCTTGCTGTTCATACTGCTGCTTTAGATGAAAAAGTGACCGCTTTAGAGTTGTTGAACAGCTACGCTATGGATTTGAAGGCTGATTTCTTTCCTTGGGTTGGTCAGTTGGTGGAAATTACTATTCCTGGTTTGGATTTCTACTTACACGATGGTGTTAGAGTTCAAGCTGCCATAACATTGACTTCACTTTTGCAGTGCACAGTAGCGGCTACTGGTAATAATTCTAATGAGACATTGCAAATCTGGACTCAAATTTGTGATAAATTGTGTACCACTTTAGCCAGTGAACCAATTTCGGAGTTGTTAATTGCCTACTATTCCTCTCTCAAGAATTGCATCAACATCATCCACCCTGGTGCTTTATCTCACGTGCAATTAGAAAGCTTATCCAAAGCCATAAATACCAACTTGATAGAAGTTTATCAAAGAGTTAGACAAAAGGACAACGAAGACGATGAATACACTGAAGATGTGGATGATGGGGAGGAAGAATACACTGATGAAGAAATTTTAGACAAAATTAGTGGAGTCATAAGGTCCATTTTCAAAAGTAGTAAGGTTGAATTTTTACCTCATTTCAACCTCATATTCACCACTGTTTTGCAGGTAATTGGCGAGGAGAATGTTAACTTAAGATTGAATGGCTTAGCTGCTATCAATGATCTTGTGGAGTTCACCGGCCCAGCTTCATATACTTATAAAGATCAATTCTTGAACTTTGTGGGTGAATCGTTGACCTCTTCGGAAGCGACTATCAGGCAGTATGCCTGCTCTATTGTCGGCTTCGCTGCACAAAATGGAGGGGAGCAGTATAAGGAATTCTGCTTATCAAGCTTACCTCACTTATTCAGAATGGTCTCCATTCCTGACTCCAAAGCCGAAGAAAACGTGTACGCAACCGAGTCCCTGGTGGGAGCCATTGCTAAAATTTGCCATGCTTTTGGATCATCTATTCCAGACTTGGATAGTGTTATTCAGCAATGGTTCAACCTTTTACCAGTTGTCCAGAATGAACAAGTAGCCCCATACGTCTACTACTTTTTGGGAGAATTAGTTAAGAGTCAGCACCCTGTGGTTCAGAACGGTATAACCAAGGTTGTGGACTCAATATTACAAGCATTATCAAACGCAGCGTTAATCGGGCAGGATGCTGCTCGGGCCGCAGAGTTGGCTAGACAGGTTCTTGGATCCATGCCACACCCAGAAGCTATTGCACTCTTGCAGAAGTATAACGAGTCTGACCTCATCAAAAAATACTTCTCATAATACTTGATCTCTGATCAAGAAGCAACTTGTATGTAAATTATATTTAAACACTAATACAGTAAACTTAGTTTGCAGCCATCATCTGTGTTTTGAGTCGCGATCGCGTTTTTCTCTTTAGATAGAATAAACCATGATAGAACTGGAACTCCAGGATTCTGAGAGTAGCCTCCAGTTTCTCTCGACGCAGATTCAGCTGGTGTATGAACGAGACGAAGCTCGAGAGTCGGCTAGCCGTAAAACGAGCGAGTCGATATCTCAACTACAGCATTTTAGCAATGCTACCACAAAGAAGCAGCCGAAAGGGACGGTAAAGAAAACCATAATTAAGCCATTCCAGCGATCTAAGAAAGCACCACGTACCAACAAAATCCATTCACTAACCTCACACGTTCAAGATATTTTTGGCAGAACCCCCATAACTGACTTCAGTGATCAACACTCGATACTATCATACTTTTCTACTAAAAAGCATAAGATTCAACATATTTTGCATACTCTCGAAAAGGACTCCAACGATGCAGCCAGTAATAGAAATTTTACAAGGAATATCGGACTGGTTATTCCTTACAACAGAGAAGAATGGGCTGAAATTACCGATGCTATTAAAGAAAACCTACCTAACCTTTCTGATGCCACAATGAGAACTTTGAAAACGATTACCCGTAGAATCGAAAACCAGACCTCGTTGGACCCAGACGCGCCACAAATTCCGGAGAGTATATCACTCTGGGACCAAGCATCTCATCATCCATCAATACCGTTGACCCCAAGCGATATCAGGACCTTATATGACTTGAACTCGGACCAAATGGCACAAGATACCAGCTTTATTGAAGAAGAGGAGATTCCAGACTCATGTTCTGAGCCTGAAATTCTTGAAATCACATCAGAAGATATTGGTATTAGTTCACGGCAGCCCATCCAAGACATTGATACCAAAATTAACGTTCTTGATTCGATGAACAGTCTCAAGTTTCCAGCCCCACAGTCGAAAGATGATTTCGTGGAGGAAGAAGTAGCCGAAATACTGTCAGAAACAGAACCCCTTGCAGAAGAAATGGCTCTTGAGGTGCTATCATCTTCTCAGTCTATGAATGATCAAGAAGTCATCATTTCTTCTTCAGTAAGGAGCTCTCTGGTCAGCTCTAGGCTAGCTACGCCGAAGAAATCCAAACTAGCATTCAATATCTCGCCATTAAAGCTAACTCCTCCAAACTTTTCTAGTTCTTTCGAGACAGATTCTGTATATGCTACTGCTGTATCCCTGTTTCATCACACCCAACTCTGCAATTCACCACCAAAAAAGTATAACACTCGAACAATCGAAATGGATGGAGAAATCAACATTAGGGAGGTGGATAGCGACCATATCAAGATACGAAAAATAGGCCAACGACAGAAAAGTGTTGGCGAAGATGAGGTGGAGGATTCTGACGATGATGCAGTAAACATCAGTATCATAGAGCTATCGACCTTAGTTGAGGAATCGGAAGAGGAGTCAATGGTTGGCCAGCTAATTGCTAAAGCTGACCGGTCGGTGATTCAAGTTCCATCAAGTCCAGATATAGGAGCTGTAACACTATCCCAGAGAAACCCGTCGGAGTTTAGTCAGATGTCCGCCAAAGAACTTCGTGGAGTGTTCAAAGATTGGCAGTTAAAACCAGTAAAAACCAAAGAGAAGATGATTGAGATTTTGGAGAATGCTAGCGAAATCATCGACAGCCAGAACCCTTCACAGCTAACACAAACCGAGTTCAACGAACAAGTATTTCAAAAACTCTCTGAAGCCATCAAGAATAATCACGAGTGGTTGGAGAAAATCAACAGCTACGAACCTATTCTCATTGAGAAACTCAAGGCGTGGCTTGATACCGAAACAATCATTTGTGAACCTGACTTGTTGGAGAAATTTTGTGACTTCAAAGGAATTTGCTATACCAATAAAGATAAGGAATAAAAGTAGATGTATATTAAATATATTTTTTGTGGTCGGCATCGATTTTGTCGCCGATTAACGTTTCATTTAAATACCGTAAGACCCGTAAGCTGATTGTTGCATTGGCAATGAGACTTCCAATTGCAATCACAAAATTGAGCAAAAGACTCCCATAATAATTGAATCGTACTACTCTGATGGCCCAAAGAAAGTTGTAACCCCACAAGAGCAAGAGACCCAAGACCAAGAGTGTTATTACAGCGGAGCTGAAGACTCTGGATTTGGAAATGCGGTCCTTTGGCGGTTGATATGCTTTTGCCACTTTTGGAGCCATTGGTGAAATAGAAGAGGAAGCGAATATTCTAATAGTGGAATCGAAATCACTCGCGCGCGACATTAGTATGGAAATCCAGACTTACGCCCTGGAAAACAACACTACTTAAATAAAAATTCAATTAGCGCAACTGGTTTAGTGGTAAAATCCAACGTTGCCATCGTTGGGCCCCCGGTTCGATTCCGGGGTTGCGCATTTTTTTTGCATTTGCTCAATACACCCATCTGAAGGAAAGTATGCGAATCGCAAATTTGGCTGAATATCTACTGTAACAATGAGTAAAGTTTCATTGAAAAGAGCCGTCAGTGCCAGTATGTGACGATTCAATTGAACATCTACGACTATGTGTCAAGTACTAACTTCGATGTAGTTCAAAAGTTCTACCCCATCCGATTGGCCGATTCATCGTGGGACAACACTGGTCTCTTGGTAGAAGCATACTCTGAGAAAGATACATCTGCATCACTTAAGATCCTTTTGACCATCGACTTGACCCAAAGCGTGGTAGATGAAGCCATATCACATAACACAAACTTGATCATGGCGTACCATCCCTTCATTTTCAGGGGTCTCAAAAGCATTACCAGTAAAGACCCTCAGCAGAGATCTTTATTGAAGTTGATAAAAAACGACATCAGTGTCTATTGTCCTCACACCGCCGTCGATAGTGCAGTTGGAGGCGTCAATGACTTCTTGGTGGACGCGGTCTCTAAAGAATCTGAAATTGCATCTAAGCTGCCCATCACCCCAGATTCTTTGGATCCCAATTGTGGAGCCGGCAGAATCATCAATTTGGCCAGTCCCATCTCTCTCGAGAAAGCAGTCGAACGGGTCAAGGAAGCGTTGGGCTTGAAGTATGTTCAAGTCGCTGTTGCAAATGGTAAGTCCAAGTCTCACGAGATCAGCTCGATTGCAATTTGTGCTGGGTCAGGAGGAGGTGTCTTTAAAGGTGTTGAAGCAGACTTGTATTTCACTGGAGAGTTGTCTCACCATGAAGCCCTTTTCTTCAACGAATCTGGTAGTTCTGTGATTGTTTGCAACCATTCCAACACCGAAAGAGCATTTTTGAAAGTTTTCAAAGACCAGTTGCAATCTGAACTCGAAGATGCTGAAATAATTATAAGCCAGCTGGATAAGGATCCGTTTGAAACTTGGTAGGTAGTGAGCCATGTAGTATATTTTGTAAGTAGTTTTCAATCAGGTTACATTTTATATTTTGTAAGAAGTATTCAATTAGGTTACATTTTATATTTTGAAAGTAGTTTTCAACCCCGGTACAAACACTCGAAAGAATTCCAATAACCGCCTTGTTGAGTTCCAGTCAGGGGGTACCTGGTTTCTTCTGGAAGTTTCGGGTTCTCTGATGGGTTATTTCGTTAGGATGGTCGTTTCGGAAGGGCGCTAAGCAGCGCCGCACACGACCCCATACTACCGTCCCTGAATCATCAAATGGAAATTCTACTCCACAAGCGAATTGAAATTGTTCCCATTGCAACCCCAGTGCACCTTTTACTTGTACTGAACAGGAATACCACTCTTGTGAACCCCATACTGAGGCTGTCACTCTAATTTGCTGACAAAGGCTTCTGGTGCTTGGTAGGTGCTTTCCATTACTTGAGATGAGCATGACTAATGATAACCCTAAGCAGATCGAAATGATCAAGTGTGCCACTAGTCCAGCGTATAACTACCATTCCACCCTCACACAGTGCACAGGAACCGATACGTTGTTTTTGTACGGCGGGTTTGATGATCTGGACCAGCTTGACAGTAATGTGTACCTTTTTGACACCAAAACCCGTACCTGGCAAATCGATAAAAGCCACCAGGGACTATTCCGAGAAGGCCATCTGGCCAGTTACATTGGTAATGGTAACATTTTGGTGTTTGGAGGTGTTCCATTGGATGATGACTTTTCTCTAAATCATGGTAATGTAAGTGAACAGGAGATTGCAAAAAGGAAGAGCTTAATGTTGATATACAATATTTATTCCAAAACCTGGATCACTCCGCCAGAGTTCGTGCTTAAGAATGCCCCTCGTTTTAGGTCGAGACATGCCTGCTGTGTGTCACCCGATGGAAATAAAATGTACTTTCATGGAGGACTCCTCAATTCCAGTATGTCTTTGTTGAATGATTTATACAGCTATGACTTAAGCACTGGAAGTTGGGACGGGCCATACAAGTTTGTTTATCGGTTTCACCACTCCATCTTCATATTCAATGGTAAACTCTTCAGTTTTGGAGGTCTCAATGAGAATATGAATCATGTAAGTGACAAGATTGCATTCTTCGACTTACAGGATCACACCACCGGAGAAATCTCCATATCCTCTAAAAATGGTCACTTTGGGCTGAACATCAGGAAAATATACTTGGGTTTAGATGAATCGATTAAGCTTGATGTGACTTACCCAAGTTCAATGTTCAAGCTCAGAGATAGTACTCTTTTTCAAGTGTCCTACTATAACCTCAAACAATTGAAGTATGTGAGCGTACTTGATCTGAGCAACTTGAAAAGTCTCTTCCGAAAGACTTATAATGAAGACATCACCAACTTCTCGTGGATCACGGCTGTCATTTCTGACCATGGTTGTTTGCTTCTTTTTGGCTGCAAACAAAGGTCATATGGGCTGCTGACTTTGATGTCAGCTGAGACTGTCAGGGCCGACAATCATATTAATGCTACTTCCAATGCTGATGAAGAAGATGAGCTCACAGATGATGAGGAAATGGTTGCTGAATCTGAGGATGAGACTGCCTACGAATTTGACGACCGTATAATCCGTGACCTGGATATCGATTTGGTGGAGAACGGAAATATCTCTGTCGTTCTCAGCATACCCCTTGAAGAGTTGGGCATCAAGTTAAACGATCCTAGAGCAAGCACAGACTCTCTTCTACAAGCAGACATGGGAAAGTTTTTAGAAAGCCAAGAGTTCACTGACTTCAAAATCTATTGCTTTAAAGAAACCAATGCAAGAGTCAAGTACTTAGATAATCCAGAGATGCTCGAAGATGTTTCAATGTTTGAAGATGGACCTGATAACTGCCAATTTGAAGTCCTCAACGTTCACAGAATGATTTTATTAGCAAGATGGCCATACTTTAGAAGACTCATTGAAAGTGGAATGAGCGAAGCAAAACTCAATAAGATGTTTATACCAGAGCCATCGTGCTGGGTAAAAGCCATGATTTACTATTTGTATACTGGTTCTGTTGAGTTTGAGTCTTTATACATCGATAAATTTACTTATGAAGACTACTCCGGAGTTCTTATCCTTTCCAACTTTTATGAGCTAATTGACCTTCGGACTTTGATGTTGAACAAGCTTTATGATAATTTGGACTCTCTTTTGGAAGCGGAAGCCCCAAGTGTAAACTTACAGACTGAAGATCGGGTAAGGTCTATTTTGAACATGTGGTGCAATGTTTTCACAGCCAACGAAACACTATTGGTTGAAAAGTTAGCTCAACTAATCAAGGCTTCTTGGTCGACCATTCTTGAATCACCTGCTTTTGCTCAATTGCCCAAATCTGCGATTGTGAAACTCACCCAAATTTGCACGGTTCTGGAGCATGAGTTCTTGGAGACTCCTAAGAAGCACTCTAGAACAAGTATAATCAACAGTGATAACGGGTTTTCATCTACTTTGGAAACTCCAGAACGGGAAGGGTGCAATTCTCCATTTCTTCAGACCCCAAATTCAACAAAAAGCGAGGAAAGACAGAGTCCTAATGTTGGTGAAACATTGCTGCAATTACCCGTGCTACAGCACTTATCCAACTTACTTCATGATAGTATCGATGATTAAATGACAGCGGAAAACGGTTTTTATAGCTCTCATGTACTTAAAAATATTTATAAACCTTAACGATTTTTATCACCATCTATAAACAGCTCGAGATCCTTCCAGGTATCTTTCAAATGGTCTCCAACTTCTTCGAACAGGTCCTCGATACCTTCTCCCACTTCAGAGATCTGGTCCAAGAGATTATCAAGAAACCCACCAGGAGAAGGACCCTCCGTAGGTGTTGTTATTTGATTTATCTTTGTGGCAGTTGACACAATGTCAAAAGGTTTAGGGATAGAAACATCTAGATCAGCAGCAAGAGTTGATTCCTCAACTGATAATGACTGTTTGGGGTTGGACTGGGTATGGGTATCACTCTTGTCAGCAACTTGCTGTCTCCACAAAAGGTCATATGTAGCATTCTGAACAATGCTATCCACATGGTAATCCAAGTTCGGATACGACAAAGGTTCACTCCATTCATCTGGAAGTAGGTTCCTTTCATCGATAGCAGAAATAATGTACCCATTATCCATTGTACCATTATTGGGTGACGGTTTCAAACTCAAGGATTCACATATCAAATTATAAACCTCAGTGTTCCTAAAAGGCTGCACTCTTTTGTTTTCTCCGGTTAATTTGGCTCTGAAATAAGGACCAGAACCCAAGAAAATGGCTCTCATGAGCAACTCGGTATTGTTATACCCATGGACACCTTTGGGAGTGTAGTCATTGTGTTTCTCATCCATTTGTTGGTGAGTAGTAATGGAGTAACCAACCTTGGGAACAATCCAGATAGGTGCCAATCTGTAGTTGAATTTATGGTCGTTGAGATCCCCTCCGAAATCCCACTCTTTAGGTAAAGTCTCAACCGTATGGATGTCGAAATTATTCTTGACGGAGTCATCCAATTTGTTGATATTGGTATTCAATTCTTCGATGATTTCATCGACAGAATATTCCTTATAAGGCCTTAACCCGAATAATGGCCAGCCATCAATATGTTGGATCTTCAGTAAATCAATTATATCATCCAAGAACAACAATCTGTTATTGGAAGTAGGTGCCATTCCATGATCGCTTACAATTACCAAATTGACAATGTCATCCAACAGACGAAAAGTGATTTCCTTTCTCATCATGTTGACGAAATCGTCCACAGAAGCCAAAGCACGTCTCATCTTAGGCCCACTAATTCCAAACTGGTGTCCGTACAGATCAATTGTGGGCACATAAGTCAAGATCAATTCAGGTCTTTCACTTATATGGTCCACATCCAACCATGCCATTACCCTGTCCACCTTCGACGATAGGTGCTCCAGCCCGTTGTATCTATCGACGTGTAAAGGACCATTACCTATGCCCACTCCTGGAACCTCACTACCTGGCCACATATGAACAGCAGAGTTCACCCCCTGTTTGTAAGCAGTTTCCCAGATCGGCTCTCCACCTCTCCAGAAGTCAGGGTCTAATCCTCCCTCTTTTGGATTCGTGTTCACAAACTGCTTTTTGAGCTTAGGGTCATAAAATGTGTTACCTACAATTCCATGCTCAGAAGGATATAGGCCCGTCACCAAAGTCCAATGATTAGGAAAAGTAGACGAGGGAAAAGAAGGAATCATGTAGGGAGCTCCGTATTCATTCATCATCATGTCATGTAAGGAGGGAGTCAATTTAGCACTCACATAGTGGGGGTGGAACCCATCAAGAGAAATCACTATCGTGGTTGGATAGAAGCTGTGGGTAGTATTGGAATAGGTGGTTTTCAATGCAACGGCTGGAGTCCCGGCCGAGCCTTTGAGAAAGTATAATGTCATGAAGACCACAGTGGTGGTGAGGAAAAACACTAGCCCTTTGAAGTGTTTCCTCTTGATGGTTTGGGAGCGAGTATTCAAGTTCTCTTCGTCATCACGTAAGTTAAAGTCATTCAAATCAAGGGTGTCACGAAGCTCATAGCTCTCGACATGGCGGTAGTTATTTCTGCCAAAAAGGCCTTTGATCCGATCTAGGAAAGGAGATGTGCACTTGGTAGAGAATTCGTAGTCCAAGTCATTTATTGTATTGTCCAGAAAACTGTCGCCTCGAGGAAGGGGTGAACTTGAACGAGACCTGATCTGCTCATTAAATAGGATATCATCATCACTATCATCATCCAAGTTCGTCACAGGTATATCGACCCTGTGTGGTACTGAATAGTTAATAGACATGTGTAGACTGGGATAATTTTGGATCGCGTTAATTTTAAGACTTGTATAGAATTAAGACAGCATAAATAAGTAATTAAGACAGCATAAATAAGTAACCAACTAGATATATAAATACCGTGGTCAGTCTCCATACCACCACCCTCATACACCAACGATCTGTTCGGCATCCCTGTAGACCTTGCCTCTCACCGTATATACCTTAACTCTCAAAGCCATCAACTTATCAGGAACCAAGTCAGAGGTACGGATTTGACTTTCACACCCAGCAACGGGACACGTCACATGGGACTGCAAGTGAGTCTTGATGTGTTCGAGTTCAAACACATGGTTGCATCGTCTAGATTTGTGGGGATTTTTATACATCATCAACGAGATGGGATCATTAAACGAAACTTTCCCTCCTGAAATAGCTACGCCATCTTCTTCTTCATTCATATCCGGCAATGGTGCTTCTGGATTTTCTATTATCAGTTTGATATTGGAGATGTACTGGTATGGGCCTTCATGCTTAAGATGGGACTCAAACGAATGAGCCTGTGATTCCACTTGCTTGGAGTGTTCGTATTCCTCTCGTATGGCATCCACAAAGAGAGCCGACTCATTTTCTCGGAACAGCTGGAGGGACTGTAGGTTGAATTCATCTTCCGTGTGCATTTGTGCCTGATACCTGTTTTTGATTTCGGTCACAGCATTTATCCACATCTCAGCATCGTAGGCGGACCTCATAAGGCTATAAATGGTGTCGGAGTAAATGTCGAGTGATTTCTGGATGGGTTCTAGATCGGGGAGTTGGTCTTCATTCAAGACAAAGTCGATAAACTCCTGAACGTCTTTTTCTATTCGTATAAGGTCAGCAGATACTTGGGCACAGAGGTCCGACTTTTTGGGCATGATTTCTGACAATATCGTGAGGGAGTCTGACGGGAGCGGGATGTAGCGAGGAAGGGACAAATCGTCCATGAAATCGGTTGTTGTAGCTGTCTCGGCCATTGTAGATATAAAATATAAACCTCGCGTTTTTTCGCGATAGCTGCAAATTTATCAACACTTGAAGGTTAAGTACTACAACCTTCACAGAGAACCTACGCAAAAGCAATAATTATTTCACATTTTAATGTATCAGGAGAAATGAAATCATAATATCTAGCTAAGATGAATTAAAAAACATCACCTTGGTCAAACATAGCGTCTGCTACCTTAAGGAAACCAGCAATGTTAGCACCCTTCAACAAAGATGGCAACTCGGTGGTATCCTTCGAATACTTCTTGGCGGTCTCGTAACAGTTGTCGAAACAAGTGTACATGATGTCCTTCAATTTTTGGTCGACTTCTTCTCTGGTCCAAGAAACTCTTTGGGAGTTTTGGGCCATTTCCAAACCAGACACAGCAACACCACCACAGTTGGCAGCCTTACCTGGAGCATACCACACGTTCTTGGATCTGCTTTCTTCAAAGACATCGATCGCTTCGGCAGTAGAACCCATGTTAGAACCTTCGGCAATGAACTTACATCCAGCAGCAATCAAAGCCTTAGCTTCTTCAGCAGACACTTCGTTCTGAGTGGCAGATGGTAAAGCAATATCAACTGCACCGGCGTGGACCCATGGTCTGGCACCAGCCTTGTATTCAACCGAGTTGGAACCGGAGAAGGCAGAGACAGATTCGCCAATGATTTCTTCCAAGCTCTTGAACTTGATCTTAGCATCGGCAATAGCTTCAACTTGTTCGGGGGTAATACCATTCTTGGAGATAATAGCACCCTTGGAGTCAGATAACGAAACCACAATACCTCCCAATTCAATCACTTTCAAAGCGGCGTATTGAGCAACGTTACCGGAACCGGAGATGGCCACTCTCTTTCCCTTGAAAGTTTCCTTACCGTTGGTGGCCTTTTCAATCATCTTTTCGACGTAGTAGACAACACCGTAACCGGTAGCTTCAGGACGGATCAAAGATCCACCCCAGGACAAACCTTTACCGGTCAAAATACCAGACCAGTTGTTTTGCATTTGCTTGTAAGCACCAAAGAGGAAACCAATTTCTCTTCCACCAACACCAATATCACCAGCTGGCACATCGGTGTCCTGACCAATGTACCTGGCCAATTGTCTCATGAAGGCGACACAGAATCTTCTGATTTCGGCGTCAGTTCTACCCTTTGGGTTGAAATCACAACCACCTTTACCACCTCCCATGGATAAACCGGTCAAGGCATTTTTGAAGATTTGTTCAAAACCCAAAAACTTCAAGATCGACAAGTTGACAGAAGGGTGGAATCTTAAACCACCTTTGTAAGGACCCAAAGCCGAGTTGAATTGGACTCTGAAACCATTGTTAACTTCGATTTCACCCTTATCATTTTCCCAAGCAACTCTGAATTGGATGAGTCTTTCAGGGACAGACACAACAGGAATAACCTTTTTGTATTTTGGGTGTTCTTCGAACAAAGTGGAGTCTTGCAAAGCACTGACCAATTCGTTGTAGGCTTGTTGAAATTCAGGTTCGTGAGGTAAAACCATTGTGATGTAATTTACTTAGTGTAGAAAAAAATCGAGGCCGACAAAGAGATTTGTGAAGGTATTTATAATCGGTGAGAGTCAGATCGGCAAGAGTCCGATGGTTAAAATCGATCTCCTAACTACGTTCCAATAAAAAAAAATAGTTGGCTGTTATCGTTCCAATCAATTGCTTTATTATCGGTCCAATAATATAGATGCCTGTAACGGCAGACGTGAAAAAATTGGCCCCAACAGTCCCCCGCGCTTTGCAATCTGCAAAAAAAAGCAACGAGCAGCGAAACAACGGGCCTTGAGTCATCCCGGAATCGGGCCCGGTTCTTTGTGTCACCGGCGGCCCATCTCACCACCAATTAATTAATGTGACGTACAAATACTTGGAAATAGGTACCAGCCGTTCAGCTTCATACAACATTCTGAAAGAAAGAGAATACCATAACCGTGACCTGCCACGTCCAAACTTTATCAGTATCGAATCATCGACAGGGACATGGAATCGGGGGATCTTCCGAATAGGGGCGCCCGGGCCTTGGTGCCTATTTGGGCTACTGAGGTTTTCGATGCAACTTAGTCTTTTTTTGCAGTAATTTGGTTTAGTTTTTCCGTTCGTTTCACAATTACCACAAGCTACTAGTATCACTAATATACTGTATGGTATGTCTTAGAATCAGATACACAGTTAGTCGTAGATGGTAGCGGCCCGGAAAACTTCGGTGGTAACTCTGGTGGGCCAAACCTCACATTGCATCCTCACGCCGCATCCCAACACCTCGAACCCGAAAATCGGAGTATTCGAATTCTCCCCCAGTTATTGGGCCCAGTTAATTTGTTTTTCTGCGGCGGCACTTATGGCCCGGTGTATTATTTACAAGATCGAAAACTGCTATGGAAAACCCCGAGACAACCTATTCAATCACTTTCAATCTACTGGTAACCCTGTCGTCGGTGATCATTTCTTGCACCCATTCACTATTACGTTCCTTACCCTTTTCAACCCAATGCTTGGGCCACAAAGGCTCTTCTTCTTTGGCAAGGTACTGGTGTTTATATTCGAATGGAACCACTTTATTATCGACAATGTGCAAGGTTCTCTCACTGAAGTCCTCAGCTGCGTGTCGCTTGGTGAAAAAATTGTAGATTTTTCTCAAGGTGTTTTTGAACCCAAGCACGTTCATAACGGGGAACACATAAATTGGTTGTTCAAATAGAACTGGCACCCCTTTGTCATCTCTTATGATGGAACTCAAGTCGAGCTCGGGAGCCAATTGGGCTTGGGGGTATTGTTCAGGTTTAATGAACGGGGCGGGGGCCTTGGCCTCATTTTTGTCTTGTTCCTCATCGCTATTCTCCACAGAAACCTGTTCTTCTATTTGTGGAGCTTCCAAGGGCCCAAGAAGACCTTCATGCACCCCCTGAATGTACTCCTTGTAGGCTCCTCTGCCCATACACACCACTCCTCCAGCATGGGAAGCAGCATTCACATCATCTCTCACTGGGGTTATGGTTGGGTACCGGTAATAGAAACCCAACACGTCTTTGGTGTCGTACAATTCTTTGACGTTCTTGAACTCTACGGGCTCGTCTTGTGGCTTGGAAGTGAACGGAGCCTTGAGAACAGATGGAATTGTCACCGTGAGTAACTTGGTCCAAGAAGTGCCGTTAGAGTTCTGAGGTGGGGTTTGGTTATTTTGTATGGCATCTCTTCTTAATTGTCTGATCCGTTCACTGACAGATGAACGAATATCACCCTGTTTGTTGGCAACCAAAATGTCGAAATCAATGGATGCTGAATTCAAAACCGGTTTCACATATCTTCTGAAGTATCCCATGGAAACCTCCAAAAAATCGTCTGGGGGTGGGGCTATAAAAACTGTGAGTTTACGAGGTAAGCGGTGGGAGTCGTACGGTTCTCTGCCCAACTCCTCGACCTTAGCCATATACTGTTTTCTGATCTGTTTCTGCTCATATCTGTCGTAGGCGTATCCTCCTCCAATGCTGGCTAAAACTGTCCAAAATATCATCCAATTTCGAGAAGGAAGTGAGAGACAAGGAATCCCCATCATCTGTAGGGCAGGATTGGACCAGCCCTTTTTAGGAGGTGTCACTTTCTCCACTGGTTTCTCCTTCGAATCTGACATTAGTTTGGGTGGATGTTTTTGTCGATGTGAGGATGAGAAAAATTTTTAGTAGGCTGCAAAGCTGCCACTCCTTTGGTGGAACCAAGATGTTTATTTATGACAAAAGCTGGTGACCGTCCCAAGGTTAAATCGATATATACTGTTTCAAGTCATGATATAAATCTTCTACGTCCAAGTTTTTGCCGATGAAAACAAGCTTGTTCTGTGTGATCTCATCAAGAAGCACTCCTCCAGATATGATATCGTAGGTTTCTCTTACCCCTTGAACAACTCGAACATCGGGGGATCCAGGTATGTTTCTCACAAGGATTCCTTTGAGTCTGTGCACTTCAATCTCCTTCCCATTGACGACGTTTTCCCAAAGTACGTACTGAATAAACTTTTCGATTTGATCAAACTCTTCTTCAGACTCGAAGAACGGGAATGTTAAGGTCACAGTGGCGATTCTATGATCATGAAAAGAACTTTCGCTCACCATAGAGATGGACTTTTGCACCTTGGCAGAGTTGGCTTCGAAGGCATGGAGGTCGAGGATTTTGTCCAAATCAATATCTCCAAAAGACGTATTATAGATTGGACAAGTACTGTTAATGGATCTCACTTTTTCGGTGATTTGGGCAAGCTTCCCAGCTTTGGTGGATGGGTCTTTGTCCAAGACATCCACCTTATTGACGAGGATAGTGTCTGCTAATGCGATTTGTAAATGGGCTGTGGTTAAACCCTCTTGAAGCTTCTTTTGTTCCTCTTCAATTTCTTCAGCACTCAAATTCCCTTCTCCGAGTTGGATTTCTTTCAAGTGGTTATTGGAAGTATGCCAGTGTCCACCGACATCGTCTAAGCATGTGACAATGTGTTCTGAATCAAGGACGGTGATGACCCCATCAATATAAATGTTTGATGCAAGTCCATCATCGAGCCAAAACATCCTAGCAATAGGAGCCGGGTCAGCAATTCCTGTGGTCTCCAACAATATGTAATCGATTTTGTCTCTTGATTTTTCAATGAGCTGCTCAATGGCCATAACTCCATTATCTTTTACCGTACAGCAAAGACACCCATTTCCTAGATCAAGCCATTCTTGAACAGCCTCATTTTTCAGAGCATCTTCAATAGTGACAGACTTCTCGATGGCTGAAGAGTCTCCAAACTCATTTAGAATGATTGCTAGCCGTTTTTTGGAGGTTTGGCCAATCTTTTGAAGTAAAGTAGATTTACCTGACCCCAAGTATCCGGTGATGATGGTGATAGGAACTTTCTTGGGGAGTCTCGTGGGTACAGAACTGGGGACCTTGGACTCCACAGCGTTGTAATCAATATTATTAGTCTTGAACTCGAAGCTCTGATCTGGAAGTTCTTCCACCAACTGGGGAATGTCTTTGTCCATGTTTGCAACTAGGTCTGAGATGATTAGATCTTTTGGAACTTTTCGCGACTTTGGGGCCACCAGAACAGATCTGAGGTTGCTACAACAGGAGGTCCTTCGAGACGTGGATTTTGCTGTGTTTGAGAGAGTACCTCATTGACAGAAACATCTATATGAAGAAGTGGGTGAAAGTCCATCAAGCCATGGGTGGTACAATTAAATAGTATTCATCTAGACATCTCGCATCTTTTGCTCCATCTATTTTTCGCGTTCTTCACTTGCTGCTCTAGTTACTGTATAATCACACAATGCGCTCAACTGAAGCCTTCTTCAAGGTCTTGGTGTTTGGAGTGGTGATAACATATTTGTGGATTGCCCCTTACACTAAAGTCGAGGAATCGTTCAATCTTCAGGCTATACACGATATATTGAACTATGGCATATTCCCATCCTCCCAAATCGAATTATATGACCACAAGAGCTTTCCGGGAGTTGTTCCTCGAACCTTCATCGGAAGCTTGTTAATATCTACAGCAGCTATGCCAATTATCAAAGGGTTGCAATTCTTTGGAATTAACCTCTTGGAAGGTGATCAATCGAATTTACAGCTACTCGTACGGCTCCTCATTGGAGTTGCAAACGTTCATCTGTTTAATAATTTGGCTACCAGTGTAAATAAGATCGATTTTCAAGCACGAAAGAACAAAAGACCGTCTCACATTGGAACCTGTTACTTGTTGTTGCTTTTGTCCCAGTTCCATATTTTGTTTTATGCTTCACGACCATTACCCAACTTCATCGCCTTACCATTTTTCAACTTTGGTCTCTCCAAAATAGTTAGAGGTAACATGGCTGGGTTGACTTGGTTAGCGTTCATCGGCATCGTGTTCAGACTTGAGATCGGAGTGCTTGGGTTTATTGCTGCAATTGTGTTTAGTTTGGTGTTTGGTCAGTCCAACGTATTCACCAACTTGATTCTATTGGCATTTGGAACTTTCTTTGGGGCAGCTTTATCTTTTTTGGTGGACTCCCATTTTTGGGGCTATAATGTGATTCCAGAGCTCCTGGCGTTTGTATTCAATGTTGTGGAAGGAAAATCTGCTGACTGGGGAGTAGAGCCTTATGCTGCATACTTCAAGAAATACATTCCCCAGCTTTTCAGCCCCCCTGTGGTTTTACTTTTGTTACCCTTGGGTCTTCTTTCCGATCCTTCTGATGATGGCTTGGTTGTCCTCGATGACCACAAACAGGTTATCCACCGTCCATCTTGGAATAGTTTGAGGGCCTTGTTCATTAGTGCCATTCTCTTTGTGGCCGTCATGTCTATTCAACCTCACAAGGAATGGAGATTCATCATTTACATTGTACCTGCTTTAACATTGGTAGCAGGATACGGTATCTCCTCCTTGGTCGACAAGTCTTTGACTTCGTGGTCCCGAAGGGTGACTGTTTTCGTAATGGTTGCCTTTGTTGGAGTCAGTTTTATTAGTTCCTGTTCAAAAGCTTACATATCAAGCTTCAATTATCCCGGAGGAGAAGCCTTGAGACTCGTCAACCAATTGGCTGTAAATTCAAATTCTTCGAAGCAGATATTGATCCACCTTGATGTACCAACGTGCATGACAGGTGCTTCTAGATTCGGAGAACTCCACAATCAAAGAGTGGTTTATGACAAGACAGAGGATCCGAGTGAACTCAATAAAATTTGGGAACATATCGATTTCTTAGTCACAGAAGTAAGAGTCAATGATCCTGTTTGGGAAAAAGCTGCTTCCGTCCAGAAGTTTTCTCAAATATCATTATACCCGGTGGTTTCCCTCTTCCAACAGCATCCTACAAAAGAGAAACTTGTTAAGCACCTTGCAAATACATTTGTGGACTCCTTCAAAACTATGGACTTTTCGGCTTTTAAAGAATTTGTGGATTCTGCAGTCTTGAAGACAGACTACATTTATATCTACAGGAGAATAAATAGTGAACCTGGAGAACCAATTGCTGAAACCTATTCAAAAATTGAAGAATTAGAAGAACCTGATATGGAAGAAGTAAAAGAGCAAATCAACGAGCAGATTGACGAGTTGGAACAGTGACTTTATAGTACTTAATATACAAACTAATATGGATTAGTTATGCTGTGCCTTTGTTTGAGCATACTAATGGGTGATATTTTGGGCTCATCCTCCAAAGACTCGGGGATAATGATTGGTTTGATTCTTCGCAAGGTTTTGGCCTCTTCTATATCTTTGTCAGTCATAGCTGAAGTAACAGTGGGTCTGATGGGACTCTCTGTTGTTTCTAGATCTCTTGAATTAGAATCATATGTTTCAAATTTACCCAGCCATCTTGGATCTTCATTTGTAGGAAAAGGATTCTCTTTTTTGGGGGTAGACGAAAACTCAGGTCTCTTGGGAGGACTTAGTCTAGTATTACCCGTCAAAAATGAGTAAGCTTTAGCTGCCGGTACGCTTCTGGGAGCCTTTATTGCTGAAGTTCTTGTGGGCGAGATTTTTGTTGTATCTCTTACTTTGCTATAATGTTCCCTCAAAGCCTGTATTCTTTCCTTCTTCATTCTTATACTTGTTTGCATCCTAGATGGACTGACTTTGGAGTTGTTTACCTGGGGAGTATTTGGTGGGAGCTTTCCCTGGGATTTTATGGGTGAGTGTAAGTAACTCTCAGTCAATTCAGGTGGAAGCATATTGGGCTCGTCTGTGGCCTTTGAGGTTGACTTACTTTTGAACGCTAATGGAGATTCACTAAGAATAATTGAATCAGTAGACATATCGAGAAACACATTGGCTCTTTTTGTTGGAGAGCTACTATCAAATGAAACCTGAGAAGGGTCATCGCCTTCATCCTGAAGTTTATATACCCACAAATCGAAAATGGACTTTAGTCTAGCGGTCTCCCATCTCCTTGTGAATAGATTACAGCTTTGTTGATGCCTAGTAATAAACTTGATGTACTTCATTGACCATTCACTTAAAACTTCCCTTTGTATTTTGAGCTCTTTTTGGTCGATTAATTCCTGAGCTATTTCTTCCAAGTATCTTCCCTTATTGAGGTATTTATCATACCAAATTACCATATGCTTTTTGTGGAGTAACCTACTACCAAAGCTGTCAGAAATTTCAGACAAATTGATGACGTGAGATACCTTTTTAATCCATTTATCAAGGAAGAATCTCTTCATCCGAGACCTCTTCAAGAACATTTGACATCTTTGATCCAAGGTGGAAGATTTCATTTGCCGACGATTGAAGGTAGAAATCCATTTAACAAGGTGCTTCTTTAAAGTATTTGGAACAGTAATTCGCCTATGAAGATAGGTAATCTTGAGATCAGCCAAATCATCAAACCTTTGTTGCCTTTTCTCCTTCCATAACTTCAACACTGAATGTACAAGGATCTGACTTTCAATGGAGTACTTGGCTCGAAGAGCATACTTATCAATATGTACATCTTTTAAATTCTTGAGGGTGACCAGATAAAGCTCTGATTTTGATTGTAAAATCTTCCAGTAACTCTTAACATAAAATGTATCAGCTATAGACGGGAGTCGTTGCTGAAATTCCAAAACATTGTACCACGCCATTGTATAGCTGTGTATGAGGCTCTTTTCCTTGAAGGTTCTAGCAGCATGGATCATATCAATGTTCCTCATGGATTTTCCCCTCCATTGCGTAAATGCCAAAGACTTAAGGGTAAGTTCATTATTGCTTCTCAACTGATTGCATTTGAAAACCAAATACCACTTTTTGAAGGTAATCTGCAACTGAGTGTAGATAAATTCATTGTTTGAAACTGGGCTACTCCTCTGTTTAGCCACTTCAAGCTTGTTTCTGGGAAATCTTCTCGCCAAGGTTTTCAATTTCCATGTATTCCAAATCCTACGGAGCAATTTCTTTCTGTGAAAAGCGGAAGCAGTGGAGTTTATCTCAGTGCTTCCCTTCCAATGAGAGAATGCATTGGTTTTGAATTTAGAGTTCCTTTGATTTTGAAAATCATTGGAGATGAACCGAAGCTTATAAAGGTGTTCCCACTTCGAAAAAAAATAGCGACTTAAGAACTTCGAGTTGTTGGAAATTACTTCCCTTTCTCTAGCTTCCATGTCGTGCTTGTTCTTCCAAATGTGGTAGAATCGTCTCAACAAGAAATCTTTTTCTCTTACACTTAGAAGTTTGAGCTTGTCAGTAAGATCCTGTAATCCCAATCCAGAACCTTGATTGCTTGATGATCGATTCATCTTAACGAACCAATTATTAAAAATATAACTTAAAACCAATGCGTCGAGTTTTGTTTCATGAGTTTCCCTTAAGGATTGGGATTTAAAAGTCATCGTCATTAATGTTTCGTTTCTGGTCTTCCAATGTTCAAAAACAGTTTGTGTGACCTTTGACCTGCGTACTTCACAAGCCCTGGAGACCTGCTCCTGAGTTTTAGTGTATCTATCTTTCCATTTTTTGAATGCCTTAGTTCTACAATGGTCCAGTTCCCTTTCTATCAAGCTCTTGATGCTAACCAGCTTGGGTATCCACTTTGAGAACAAAATTTTCACCTGGATTGATTTGCTATGATACTCTGAAGCTGCCAAGCTCATTCTTTTGTGTCTGTCAAAGGAGCCAAGCCAGGCCTCAAATACTGAACGAACGACTTTGCTCGACTGATAATACCCCCAATCATGGTCCAATGTGTAGTTTAATTGACTTATGTTCAATGTTTTGAGATTCCATTTTTGGAGAGTGTTGGTAATTGTGCAAGTATCGTGTTTAACTTGACACATACAGTATTTCATCAATAATGTCAGGCTTGGACTCTTATTAACATTGTCAATGGATAATGACATATGTAGATTATAGAATTGAAGAGAAGCATTGTAAATGTCACCACCATTATTTACAGCTTCATCGTTTTCATAATCAACAATGGCATTGATGGTCTTTATCAAATCGTTAAGATACTGTAAATCACTGTCTGTGGTCAACTCCTGATTTGGGTCGAGCAAACTAATAAATAGTTTCAAGGACTTGGGAAACGACGGATCGAAATTAAAGTTGAACTCGTTTAATTGCGGTAACAACCGTTCAACATTAGCCAATAATTCCTCTTCATCCTCTCTTGGTAGAATGATACTTGATCTGGAAAAGCTGGGGTGGGAGTCATCAATGGCTGAAGAATTCGGTAGTTCATCAGTTGCAAGCTCGGGAAAAAACGTCTGTGTGGCAAAGATCCGTTCACACACTGCCTTCAAGACATGTCTTTCATCGAGATCCTCCTGGATCATACCGAACAAGAAGTCATGAAAAGTGTTTAACTTCCATTCAAGCGTTTGGTAGTCGGCGATTTCCATCCAATTTATGTGACAGTTTCGACGATATATCGCCAACATCAACTTGATATTACTCGAAAAGTCATGGTCCAGTGGACTGGACTTGAACTTGAAGCTCGATATTTGCAAAAATAAGTATACCAAATTCTTAAAGTTGGTGTCACTGCTTTCAAAGCCCAGCTTATTTTGGAAACCCTGGTACATTGAATGATTGTCTAGAGAAGTTGATGGCGATTCAGGCCTGGTTGTATGAATTGGCAAGGACTCGATGTAAGAGGAAATTTCCCTGGTGGAGCTCTCTTCCAAGTATATATCCAACTCTTCCAATTGAAGTTGGAGGTTTGAGAGCTGTCTTAGCTCGTTGTTGAAATTCTTATTCAAAAACCTTACGAGTTGAACCTCCGATTCGGACACAAGCTGGGAGTAAAAGTGGACTAACTTTTCCAATCCTTGTACTATTTTGGAATACCCCTCAAGTGACAGGTATTGGTCTTTGATGACATTCAACTGATCTATCATTGAGCTAAGGTGAGATTCTTCAAGTGGATGGAGATGTGTGTTTCGTATCGTATCAAAGATCGTAGACTGGGAAAAAATGATGGAGTCGGGCTCATATTTATGGATGTGATACATATTGAGCGACAATTCGTCCAGAAAATACTTGTTGTATGTGCCTTTTAATTCAAGTTTTGTAACATTGGCTTCTTTGTACTCGAGAAGCCATAGCAACTGATCAGAGACAGTCGACAATTTCTGAAAGCATTGAGACTCAGAGAGAGTTTGCGAGCCGAAGAAAACTTCATAGAGACCGTGTATCACCTCATTCAACTGGTTCAGCCTCTCGCTCGGTGGCATCTTTGGCGATGCTTAAAGTATGTTTATGTAGAGACAGACGCGCGACTTGGTTTCAGTTGCACCCAGTGCGGCCAGGCGGCGATGGGGTGGGATGGCCCAGTTCCACCTCCGCGAATAGATACATTTTATTTTTAGACCAGTCCTAGTTCATTGAATTAAACATCATTCACAACTACACCACAACCTCGAGGGGACTCAACCAATGTCACACCCGGTGAGATCACGAAATGGCTCTAACGGTCACATTTCCGTGGGTGCAGAAACCCCCAAAAGGGCCGTTAGTGATCAGTATCCATTAAACAAGCAAAGAACCAACTCAGGTAGTGAACTGGTAACCAAGCCCCATAGCGGGCTGAAAGCAGAGCCTGGTATATATGGACGTCCAGAATTGAGGAATTTCTCAGATGGGATGATCTTTAACAAAAAACGGCTGTCTGTGTTTGATACATCTTTTGATCCAGCTCTTAAAGATACAGCCTTCGAATTTTCCAACACACATACAAACCCAACAAACCCTCAGCATCTTGAACCACCATCCGAGGCATCTGATGATGCAGCTCCCTTCCGCTACCCTTCTCATTTCAGTTTCTCTGAACAAAACGAATCAACGCAAGAGTTCCATGCTCCTGCTCCCAATCATTCTACATCTACATCAGCCATGCTACCAGTATTTCTACAACCTTCAGCTGACTACGTTCCCAGTGATCTCCAGTCATCGTATTCAGACCCTCCACTTCAAAGAAAGCACTTCAACTCAGATACGTTAAATGATAGAAACTGTGTATCTGAATACGCTGCACCTACTGGGAAGACCAAGATTCATAATAGACAAGGATCCGAATCCTCTACAGGTTCAAACACCTCGTCCTCTTCAACATTGACACCTTCCAGTGCGGTGAGCAGAGATAAGAGGTTTGTGAGGTACGCCATGTCAACGCAAACAAAGACCAGTCAAGGTAACAGTTCTAAGAAGTGGAACATGGAAAATGTGATGCGGTGGTTAGACAACCACCGCTTCAATGATACTTGGAAGGAGACATTTCGGCGTAACGAGATCTCAGGAAACCGTTTTCTTGAGTTGTGTAATTATGAAGTGGACTCGATCATCTGGAAGCAGTTCAGTAAGTATTTGTTCTTAGACAGTGATCTCAACTCGATTGAAAGATTCATATACTTGTTACGTGATGAGGTGGCCGTCCCCGAACAGGACGAAAATATTGGAGACCTGACGTTGATTAGAAGCTCTTCTCCCACTTACCTAACTGCCTCAACTATGTTGGAAAATAGAAAGTCCTCCCAAGGGTTCATCAAACACACCCCTTCGAATTCGAATGCTTCCAATAATTCTTCAGCTTCTTTAACCCCAGCAGTCAAACAGAGACCTTTCTCTTATATCGATCCCAGCTCTTACAAGGCATCTACCAAGGACTCAACCTCAAATAAGTTCTTCAGAAAGCACTTGCGGCATGGTAGTAATGAGACAGAGTCAATTAAGGATACCGCAGCTTCGAGAAAGTCGTACTATCCTGGTATGAGTTTGAGTCCTGATGAAGTTGTCGCCCCTAATACTGCCAGTCACCGTAAAAGTGGGATTTTCAGCACATTTAGAAAATATGGTGGAGATAAAGCAGCTGGTATTGTCAAACAAGTACTGGCTTCTTCAACAAAATCAACAAATAGACTAAGCAAGTACGAGAATAGCTCTCCTGTCAGCCCCATAACAACTGAAAGTTTCAAAGAGTCTCGTTATATCAATATGGGAAACCCAATCAGATCTTCTACTCCCCAGTCGACTGAAATGGTCTCCAGTGTTGAACCCAGTATCAAACTGGTAAGCCTTCATAAGGATTTCGATGAATCTTATTTTCCAAGACCTAAGGATGAGTTCAAACCTGAAAAATTCCAGATATTTGTCACTAAAGATAACAAGACCTTCGTGCTAATGGATTTGGTAAAGGAACAAGTAGACAATCCTGAAACAGTCAAGAACTTGATAATCAAAGAATTGGACTTAGTGAATATAGGAACAATAACTTTCCACCTCACAGATATTGATTGTGAAGAGGGTGAGGCTTTACCTGACGATTTGTTGTTGAAGTCTTTTGACATTGTATCTGCTAAAATTTTGGTACGGCAAGAGCTTTCTTCACCCGCTGGTGTGAATACATACTCTACCAACTCTTCTGACTCAAAAAGTTTTGAAGTTAGAGGTGACAGTACAAACGAAAAGTTTTACCCTGCAACACCACAATATATGCTTCAAGGTGGTGGTCCGGTTGGTGATAAAGTTGATTACCTCAATTTTAAGGAAAATGCTGTTGAAAAGCTTTCTTTGATCAAGGAAATTGGTCAGTTTCCTTTCTTACCCCCAACCGAAAGCAAGAAAGCACCCTCTAATCAAAATCTTGCACCACCTTCTAACTATAACCCTTCTCAACTACCACAATTAAAATTGTCGTTACCACCCAAACAGAAAGGTCCTAAACAGAAGCCAAAGGTCCCTACACTTCAAATCAATACAGGAACCTCAAATCTGGCTACCAACACAATCTCTTCTCCGTCTGCTTCATTGAATGACACCAATTCCTTTAGGGTTCTCAGAAATGATGGAAATGAAATTGATTTTGAAAAGCGAAGAAAGTCACCTTTCGAATCGAAAGCTCCCAAGTTGATACCCAATATTTATTCATCTTCAGTGGCAGATTCATCTCTGTCTCCCATAAGTCAAACTACCCTTACCTCAAAGATTTTGAAGGATAACCATTCAGAAAGATCAGATAGTATTGTCGCAAAAAGAGCAGCTCCACCACCTCCTTTGAACCAAAAAATGAGCTTTACAACAAGCACCGGTTCTATGAAGCGTACTACTTCTGTTTTAAGACGTGGATCAATAAGAAGCTCTAGTATTCTGGTGCACAGCTCCACATCTCTGAGACGGAAATTTGAAACAAAGAGCCATAATGAAGATTCATTCAAAGAGAATAAAATAGTGTTCGATACAGCCCCTCGTGTGAATTATACTAATGAATCAGAAGACGAGTTCTTTGTGAAACCTTTGAAATTAGAAAAGCCAGCGGATATCTCTGATGATGACGATTTCTTCATGAAGCCTTTAAAGAGTGGCAGTAAGAACATGCTGCCAGATGTGACAGAGGATTCTAACAGTATTAACGATGAAAAATCACCAATAGATCACGGCCAAGCTAATTCTAGGTATGGTCTAACAGGGAATATGGTTGTTAGACCACCGGTGGAGGAGCTTTACAATAATCTTGAAAGATATTTCCCAAACACAAATCTCGATAAGCCGATCATTGATGATTCACCTCTTTCCCCCAGCAATATAGCACATGGGGAACCCCAGTTCACATCTGATACTGGAGAGGTCAACTATAAAGAACCTAATTATCAAGAAAACAAAGCTTTTGCCAGAGCGCCGTCTATCTCCAGAACTTTTTCCAGTGCCAACATATCACCTGTTAACCTAGCATCTACGGATTCTGGTGATGAAGTATTCTATGGCGAAAATCAAGCTCCTAAGTTGAGTAGAAGAAGAATGAAGACAATTAGAGTGGTTGCAAATGAAGCAAGAAGAAGGAGACTTGAAAGCAGGTTCAATAGGTTATCTAGTGGAAACAATAGTTTGAGTACTGAACCTCCAGCGGCTGGTTTGAGAAGAACGAATACCAAAATGTGGGGTCAAAAGGTGATTGAAGTCACTTCGAAGGAGATCGAAAAGGGTTTTGTCAGTAAACTAAGAAACAACAAAAATGGGCAATATGAAGAGTTTGCATGGATCAAGGGTGAGTTAATTGGAAGAGGTTCGTTTGGATCTGTGTATATTGCTTTGAATGTTACAACTGGAGAGATGATTGCTGTTAAACAAGTGGTTGTGCCTCCTACCTTCAATGCCAGAACAAAAGCAAAAGCAGATGAAGGTCTTGATGCGTTACACAAAGAAGTGGAAACCATGAAAGATTTTGACCATGTTAATATTGTCCAGTACTTAGGATTCGAGCAAAAGAAAGGTACTTACAGTTTATTCCTTGAGTATGTGGGAGGTGGATCTATTTCTTCGTGTATGAAAAGCTACGGTGCTTTTGAAGAACCATTGGTGAGGTTCATCACTCGCCAAGTTCTATTAGGCTTAGAGTATTTGCACTCTAATGGTATTCTTCATCGTGACTTAAAAGCTGATAACTTATTATTGGATATTGACGGAACTTGCAAGATATCTGATTTTGGAATCAGTAAACGTTCGAAGGACATTTATGTCAATAATGCTGAGATGTCGATGCAAGGAACTGTGTTCTGGATGGCTCCTGAAGTTATTGACAGTATTGTGGAGGACAAGAAACAAGGTTATAGTGCCAAAATCGATATCTGGTCTTTGGGATGCGTTGTGTTGGAAATGTTTGCTGGAAAGAGACCCTGGTCCAATGAAGCTGTCATCAGTGCCATTTATAAGATTGGTAAGACCAAATTAGCCCCTCCAATTCCAGAAGACATCAAAAACAGTATTTCTGATGAAGGTAAAGATTTTATCAAACAGTGTTGTACCATAGATCCTGAAAGAAGACCAACTGCTACTCAATTATTGAATCATCCGTTTATAAGAGAAAATCAAGGTTTCAAGTTTTCAGATACGAAAGTAGCACAAATGATCAAGTACAACACCAAGAAGAAGATCACCAAGAGTTGAAGTTTGTAGAATAAATGTATATTAGCATCTACATTAGCATGCAAGGGGGACTATGTACAGTGGAATTAGTTCAATTTAAGTTCATTAATCATAAGAATGGTTTGATAGTTTTGAACTGGTATGGTTTTTAATCTTCTGCATCTCTGTTTCTTTCTGTACACTTCATAATAAGGTTCCTTGGTGATTTCCACCACACTACCTTTGATTTCAAAAAGATCAGGATTAACTCCGTTTTCACTATTGAAGATGAAATTGGGCGATCCAATGGTTGTCACATTGTTAAACGTCAATTGATCTCCCACTTTCACACCTTTCATTCTGGTGGGTAATATTATCTTATCACCTTTAGTAACCAAGTAAGGAATATTGTGGAGTCTCAAAATAGCATACAAGCTATTGGACCCATTGGAGTCGTATTTGAGGTATTTCATGTCATCTACTTGTTTCTTCAAGCTTGTAATACCATTGGAGCTGGTAGGATTAACAGATTTGGTTGCATTTGTGGCAGATGCATTTGCCATAGATCTGGCATTATTGAGTGCCACAAAGGAGCCCGGGCGAGTAATACAAAGACCACTCGCACGTGTCCCGCTGAATAGCCCGGCCCTGGACACCGATCTCATCCCCAAAGTCCCAAACACCATTATCAATTTGTCGTATGTACCTGTAGTAGAGAATCTGAAAATTTTTTTCCGTGCGAACCCAGTCGTTTTCGCACGACAGCCCAAAGGTGCTTTTGGTGCTTTGCTGGTCGTGCCTCCGCGCTCAACAACTTTTTTGTCTGGTGCTCTACAATCGAATTCTGAAACGTTAAAAAAAAAGATCGAAAGGGCCTGTCACTAACGTCCAGAACAAACTTTTTATTTATTCCAACTGGTTGCTTCTCAGCACTTACCAAAAGGATTAGAACCCTACTGGACGGCCCAATACTTGTACTGTTTTTTCTGCCGACTTCAGCACTACCCGTTCACCACCGGATCCTCATCTACAGAAATCTCCGTAGTTAGGAATACCCAATTGCGAACACCAATTCCCACCATTTCAAGGAACAACCCCCAAACTCCAAAGTCCAATCCTCGTGACCTCAGGCGTTCCGTCCAATAGTTCCTGTCATTTTGTACATAATTTTTACTTCTTCACTTGACATCACCGGACACCTTATCCACCCTCGAAGCCAAACCGGCATAATAATCTTATAGAAACCATGTCAGGATCTTTTTGGAAGTTCAGCAATGGGTTTGGCTCTGCCTCCAACATCTCCAACATACTAGAAAACTATAATATCAACAAGGACGACAGGGACCATGATATAAGCCAAGTGGATGATGAAGAGTCTGATGCTCATCAAACCACCGAAGGGTTGGCGACTCTTCATAAGCTTTTTGATGAAAACGATCTTTTACAGGAATTACTTTCGAACAACTCAATGTTATTGGAGTTTTTACGGGACGACCAGATCTTGGAATATCTCTTTGATTTGGTGATTCTCGAAGGAAATCTCTTTTTAAAAACTAAGGGTGATTCAAACTCAGACAAAAGCGATGTCGAAAAAGACCTTGAAAAACTCAAAATCTCCCAAGAATCGTCTGAATCTGATGAGAGTAAAAACCAGGAGTCAGACGAAAAGTCTGAGTACAGCCATGACGATGAAGAAGAGAAACAGGCTGACAAATCCCAAGAGATCAACGAAGATGATGATGACGATGAAGAAGATGATGATGAAGAAGAAGACGACGAGGACGAGACTGAGGAGGAAAAATATTCTCGGTACGCCACGTTAGCCACCGAAATTCTCAGTGCCGACGTCTGGTCGTTGACCGACACGGTGATGGAATCGACCAACAATTTGAACAAGCTCTGGGGAGTGCTAGAATCCAAAACGACTTTATCGATCAACTTATCCACGTATTTCATGAAGATCATGGAGCATTTGTTGGACATGAAGTGTGACGAGATGATCACGTACTTGATTGAAAACCAACCAAGATTGGTGGAACGTTTCATGAACCATTTATCGAATCCTCCGTTGATGGACTTTTTACTAAAGTTGATCTCCACCGATAAACCAGATAATTCCACCGGCATAATCGATTTCTTACAAAACCAACACCTAATCCCCTTGTTGATAAAAGCATTGGACCCGGATGACGAAGGGGCCGTCAATGATGTGGCCTTGATAAGACAATCATCTGCTGCAGATTTGTTGAAGGCTCTTATCACCATTTCTGCCAACTCTACCACCGACAACTCAACCATAGGACCCAACGAGCTTACAAGAGAATTGGTGTCGTATGATTGCATGAAGACGTTGTGTCAGATGATGTTGAAAGGAGGTTATGCGCTAGCCAATGGGGTAGGAATCATTATAGAGATTATCAGAAAGAACAACTCTGATTATGATATTCTTCCAATTTTGTATATCACTTTGGAAAGTCATCCTCCTACTGGTAGAGATCCCATTTATTTGGGATACTTGTTGCAAGTTTTTGGAGAAGAGATATCCAAATTCAATGATATCTTACTGAGCAAAAGGGAGAGTGATGTTGTTCCTGACTCACTTCTCACTCCTTTTGGTGAAATAGAACCTTTGGGGTTTGAAAGATTCAAGATTTGTGAATTAATTGCAGAATTATTGCATTGTTCCAACATGGCACTTTTGAACGATAATAAAGGATTTAATGTTGTTAAAGAACGTAACGAGTTGAGAGAAAAAATGAAGGAGTATGATCCAATAAGCTTCAAATACAATGAAGTTATTGTCTTGCCTAATGAAAATGAAAAAGACAAGAACACCAGTCCCTCTTCTCGTAGTAACCTCAGTGATGACGATGACTTACTTGCTAATGACACAATTGATTCTTTCAACTCGAAGAATGAAGACTCGATCTTACACAACCAGAACTATGAACAAGATATTGAAGAGCCCCATGAAAACGCTAATTTGACCGAAGACCAGTTGAGAGCCAATCCAGTAATCGGCGATCAATGGAAGATTGCATTATACGATACCCAGATTATTACCAATATGATCTTGATGTTCTTCAAGTTCCCATGGAACAATTTTTTACACAACGTTGTGTTTGACATTGTACAGCAAGTTTTGAATGGATCCATGGACATTGGTTTCAACAAATTTTTGGCCATTGATTTGTTCGATGGTGCAGACCTCACAAATAAAATCATATATGGTCAGGAATACTGTATTCAATTTGAAAAAGAACATAATGGTTTGAGATTGGGTTACATGGGACATTTGACTTTAATTGCTGAAGAAGTGTTCAAGTTTATTCAGTCTTACCCTATAAGCACATTAAGTGAAATTATTGATCAGAAAGTTTCGGAGCCAGGATGGGAAGACTATGTTAACAATGTATTATACGATACAAGAGAAAAGTATAATGCCATCTTAGGTGGAGGAGATGATGACGATGAAGAAGAAGGAGCCGATGATGGATCCAACACCTTTGACGAAGGATCTGGAGAAGTAATAGAAGATAGTGAGTACAAAGCAGGATTCTTATTCGACAATGACGAGTCCGGACCAAAAGAATTCATCCCTCATGGAGAACTGATTGAAGAGGAAGATGAAGAAGAAGTCGATGAGGAAGAAGAGACTCTTCCTCGGAAAGCCAAAGAAGCGAAACTTTCATCCAAGCTTTCCAGCGATGAATCTGAATCCGAAGACGAGGAGGACCATTTCTCCAAGTACATGTCTCAAGAGTTGGTCAACACTGCGTCAACCGAAGTTTCTAACTCAGTCGGCAACAAAAACTCTGACGATGAGTCGTCTAGTGATGATGAGATAAACGAAAAACCATATTTGACCAATGCTCCACTAGATATGGAGCATACTGTTGACGATGATGACGAGTACATTGATCCAAACGATGATGGAAAGTCATATAAGAAGTTCAATCCACTCTATGATGGAACTGGGTCTCTTTTGGATGAGACACGCGATTTGATACCTTCAGAAGAAGATGGTTCGAGTGAATCTTCAACGTCTTCGGACTCGGACGAAGAACCCTACGATATTGGTGATAACGAAAAAGAACACACCAAGCTTACTAGAGCTGCCAGTAAAGGCTAAATCTTGACACGTTAATGATAAATTCTGTATTACTAAACAAGAATATGGTTCTGAGCTTATATGGTATCCCTTTTAATGACCTTAATCATGATTAGCATGTGTATCCTTCAAATAAATAATCTATTTAGTAGACTTTTCCGGTCATCTGGGTTAAGGGTTCGTGCGTTAAGTTAATATGGCTATCGTTATCGATATCAGAATCTGATTCGGGTTTAGGAACTCCTCCGATTAATCCCTTGGACAAGGCCAACGCAGAAGATCTCTCATGACCATCAGAATCGTAGAATTCGTCCATGATCGGGTGCATCAACACCGAGTTGGTCTTGCTGATGGTGATGGTGGTGTTGGTAGGCACGTTCATCCAGTCGTTCCTCTCAAATGTCAAAGGCTCACTTGCCACAAAAATCACGTCTTGAGCTCTATCCAATCTCTCCATTTTGAACCGACCCGGGGCGTATTCAAAGAACCTCGATCCAGTACTGAAGTTGAGAGAAGCGGCCTCATCGGTCTTGGAGGTGATGTACCTGCTTACCACCACCAGTTCTCCATCAGTTACGGCAAAATTAAGTAGTGAAGGCTCGGATGTTATGGCCACTTGCCAGTTCTTGATGAGTTCAATTGTTGTCAATAATGCCTGTCTTAATACCTGGTGGTTGAAACGAACTGAAGCATCTGAAGGATCATATCCCATTTTGTACAAAGTATCAAGAAACAACACAAAGCAACATTCCGAATCGGTTGAGCCCTGGATTAACAAGAAAAATTTGTCTTCTATGTAGTTGATTATGGTCTTCTTGATTTTATCAAATGCCAGGATTCCTCCATTGTGCATAAACATTATCTTCCCATACGAAAAGGGATGGCAGTTTGTCTCTGCCAACACCCCTTGGGTCGATGCTCGTACATGGCCAAACACCAAGTTGGACTCGGTACATGTGGCCAAACTATTCAAGTTAACGTTGTTCCAAGCAGGAGTTATAGCTTTAAAAACACAAGGATGTTGGGAACTAGAGTAGTAGCCAACTCCAAACCCATCACCGTTGACGGGGTTCCTCATGTCAAGCCGAAGCCTCGAATCAAAACTCTGGTTGATGATAGAGTGGGCAGGTTTCGTCAAAAGGTCTTCGAGAACCATCGGCTCTTTACCCTTGAAAATCATGAAACGACACATGGTTGAAACAATTGAATGATTTTCGCAGAAACCAAGGTTTTAAATGACTATCGCAAATGACTCGCCGGGGACCGCGCGCATTTCTATAGGGCATTTAAAACCCGGGGGAACACTATAAAGTGTTATCAGTCTGCTGTTTTCTGTTGTCGTTGTTTTTTCTAAAACAAAATGTCCATGTTCAAAACTTTACAAAATTCTCCTAGCACCATATCCATCTTCCACAATGCTAAGATCCCAATGCTGAACAAATTATACGGTATTCTTTCCAAAGCCAATTACAAATTAAATGAGGATAAACTGAAAATCATCTTGGACTTAATGGAAAACACCCTCCCCACGTATGATCAGTATAGCTTGATTGTGAATAATTGTTTGCGTGATAACTACAGCAAGAATGTCGTGGCCAGCTGCTTCCCGTTTATTAAAGGCAGCACCGAAAATAAGGTTGGTCAGGATAGAGTGACGGTCAATGCGCCAATTGGGTTGCAAAGATTGCTGGGAAGTGGGTTAAAAGTGTTCAATGAAGGAGAATACGCTATGATCGTTGAAGCATTCAACGGCATTGAGCAGTCCGACTCGACAGAAGTGTCTGCCTCCGCGGTGTTTGCTGCTCCCTTGGTTGTAGACTGGGATCAGAATATGATAGCCAATGACGAGCACGGCATCAGCAACATATTGAACAAGTACAAGTAGCTAAGCACCATGTGCCCCATAAAAGTACAATTAGAATAAAAAAAGAGGTTAGCCGGACTAGCATTCCCATACTCTCCTTACTGCTTATGAATATATATTTATTGTCGTCTTGATATAGTTGTTGTTGAATAAGTGGCTGCGGTAGCAACTCGGTTGTTTTTGCAATCGCGATCTTGAGCATTTAAATTTATACATCATAGGATGTCGATAAAGACCACTTATTTGGCTGTTTACAACACTGTTTCAGGCCTCCTCTGGTTTACCATAGCTATAAGAACACTCATAGATGTGGCAGGTCTCGTTTTTCCAGGATCAAAGCTTGCATCTCACCTGGTTTATTCGACCCATGCATACGATGGGTTTCCCCACAAATTACTTGTGTACACCCAACTGCTCAATGCTGTGCTCGAGATTGGAAACAGTCTGTTAGGAATCACTCGCTCGAAGGTGAGCATCACGTCTCTTCAGTTTTTCGCCCGCTGTTCAATCACAATTGGGGTTTGTTATTTGACTCCCGAAAGTAAGGGCAATTTCAACCCCCTTGTGTTCCCAGCACTTGTGTTGACTTGGTCTGCGGCTGAGATCATACGGTATCCGTATTATACCCTCAAAGCTTTGAATATCAATCCGCCTGACTGGTTGGACTGGTTGAGATATTCTGGTTTCTTGGTGTTGTATCCGTTGGGATTGGCAACAGAGCCAGTGGTGATTTACGACTCACTCGAATACGTGAAGTCGATGTTTCACTACTACTTCTTTGTGGTCGGATTTACGTTATACATCCCTGGCTTTTACTTCTTGTATACGTATATGTTGAAACAAAGAAAACGGGTGCTCCGCAAAAAGACCGAATGAGGTTCATCTATGGTTTCAGAAAAGATCTACTGGAAAGAACACAAGCTTATTTCAGAGTTCAAGCAAATGTTGACTTATCAGATCCAAAACTTCCTCATCATATTATAACAATTAAGGTGTGCAAATTTTTGTTTGTTGTAACACGCTTGAAATAGGATGGATATACTAAAAGGATGTTAATATTATCAGATGGCCTGTATACTGGTATTCAGTTGACATCTTTTAGCCTCCGCCCTTCCTACTTTTTGCAGCCAATCTCTATGCCATATGCGAATATGCTGGAACTCTCAATTGCTAATGTACTTAGAAGGGCCCTTTACCCAGCCAATATCCAACATCAAATCAAATGTCGAAAGCAACCTCGATGCAAGAAATAAAAACCAAGCAAACCAAGCAAACAGTGAAAAATCCTGGACTCAAGAAGACAATCGCTCGTACCTATTAGATGACTTTGATAAGTTGAAAGCAATGGTAACCACCACTGGATACGACCTGTTGCCTCGGGATATCGTGGGTATTGTCAACTACCACGCTGAAAGAGTTGGATCTTACGATAGACTCGAAGGCTTTACAGTGGGCACAAGATGTGGTGAATGGTAGAAAAGTTGATTCAAACACTCCTATGATAGGATGGGCTACCATGTTCGCCAAAAGACAGGTCTGTGAATATAATACTAGTTTTGATGGTGGGTCCTTCTTCCGCCCCATAAAAGAAGTGAAATTCATAGACCATTGGGGATTATTTTTGACGCATGTAGATGCTACAAAACAGAAAAGCAAATAATTGAATGTATTGAACCAGTTCTTGGAGAGACTCAATGCTAATAAAGAAACCAAGAGGCAGAATAAACAGTTCGATGAGATGTTACAATGTCTAAGGAGTAAGACGGATGCTGGAGAAAAGGGAGAAAATAAAAGCAAGCAAGAAACCGCTTGTACAATATTAGAACAATTGAACGAGTTCAAAAGTCAATCAATTAGCACTCAATTTGAGGAGCTACCTGAATCCATTTTGTGTGTAGTAGATGACTATACTAAGACAGGCGGTTATGTGAATTTCAGAATAAATCTGAGAGTTATAGATTGGGCTTTTGCTGTTGCTAATGGGATCACAATCTCAGGAGACCCCAAACGTTATTGGGTTACAAGGACTTTCGTTGTAGGTACCTTGAATTTGCGTTACAGTGAAGTTCCATGAAAACCTTTAAAAATACAAAGATTAAAATCAATACAAGCCAGTGAGTGTTTAAAGAATCGGGATCCACCTTCGTACCCGAGCAAGGATTATTCAAAGAAGGTATTGTCAACGGCTCCGTATTCTTTGTAGTATACCCTGTTGTCAAGCTGAATTGAATAGAATTCACTCTTTAATAGTGTCTAGCACACATGTACTATTTCAGCTAAGTAGTTTTCAGCGCAAAGTAAATACACAAATAGCAGTTAGTGGTGCTCCCACCTATTACTTGTCCGTTCATTTTTGTATTTCATAGCAGTTGAGCTGTAGAAGTAAAGAGATCCGCACCGCGAACATCAAAATATTTCGAATATCATCACCATGGCCGAAGCACATCCACACAAATGGCTTATCACTTATAACTCGATTTCTACTTCCTTGTGGACAATTGTCTTGTTTAACTCGGTGTTTTTGGGCATAGCATTGGGGCAGCCCTTGGTGTTTGAGAAAACCAACAAAATCAACACCCTCATCCAAACCGTCGCATTGGTGGAGGTGGTTAATGCTGCCACTGGAATCGTTAGAGCCTCTTTGTTCACTACGGGAATGCAGGTATACTCTCGGTTACTTGTGGTGTGGGGAATCTGGCAATTTTTACCCGAAAGCCCTGCTAATGATCACTGGAGTTATATTTCAGTGACCATTGCTTGGGCCTTAAGTGAGATTGTCAAGTACAGTTACCATGCCTCCAGTTTAATGGGGAATGTTCCATACTGGTTAGCTTTCATTCGATACACTGCTTTCATAGTCTTGTATCCAGTTGGTGTTGGTTCGGAGATGTTAATCATGTACCTTTCATTGGATGTTGCTAGGGCCGTGGCAGGTGATTTGATGTACTACTTCCTTATTATCAACTTGGCCTTCTACATTCCAGCTTTGGTGCACTTGTACACTCATTTGTTGAGGCAGAGAAAGAAGGTATTGGGTAAGTACAAGAAAGAAGCAGTTGAAAAGAAGGAACAATAAGCAGAATTGGCTTATAAACTTGATTGAAGCTCAAATTAATTATTTAGTCTGTCAAACTAGTGTTCTTAATCTCCATAATGTAGTTCTTGGGTCGACCGTCTCGGGTAATTACATTCTTGCACGCTTTGTAGTCTACGGTCAATACTGCATCTAGAATGCTCCTTAAGTATTTACAAGATACGGTAATGCTGAACTAATTTTCGATTGTGCCCATCCGGTTAATTATTCTCTCGATGTACGTCGTTATTGTATCTTCAGTATCAAACTGCCATGCTTCTTCTGTTGTACTCGATGGCCTCATGAATTTCAAAAACCGATACCTATCGTTGGGATTATGGTTCTTGTTCTGTTCGAACACAATCTTAATTTTCGATATAATGTATTCTGGTGAATGCACAATTGACAACTTGGCCAAAACGGTGTTGATGAGATAGTTGGGTACGTATTGGTACCACCGTAAGTTCCAACTAATCATCTTGATGATAATCAAAAGAATTACATCAAGTGGTAGAAGTTCTGTTTCCACTGCTTTCGTAAAAGTTTGGAATACTTTTTCATTTTGTTTCAATATCAATTTGTTGGTAAATAGCGACTTGTTGTAGCTGTTGGTGAATATATCTATTTGGGAGTCATTAACATCACTTAAAACAAACTCATCGTAAAGTGCCAACACCTGAATTGACCCAAAGTAATTAAATCCATGACTTCCACTATCACCCATAACAGCTGTTATCAATGAGCTTATTGAGGCTTTCAAATGATATTTAACGTTCCATCCTAATAATCCCAACACCTCCCATTCTAATGCACTGTGATTTTGTTCTCTTTCTGAAGAACTTATGGAAATAAGTATCTTCAAGTCCTGAATAATCACCATAAACAACTTTTCCAACCATGATTCACACCGAATAGACAGTTTCACCTGGTTATTGACTTCAAATTCTCTTGAACCAGGTTTTTGTTCTTTCTGTTTGTCCTCAAAGATCTTGCTCTTTAAGAGAACTGTAGAATCCCAGCCAATTTGCGCAACGATGAACGAGAGTAGATCATAGCTTCTACCCCATGTAGACTTTCTAGTGAAATCTAAGATGGAAGAGCCTGAGCAATTGGCTGAATATGCAGATAATCTTATTTTCGTTGAGTTAGGGCCAACCAACTTGATCAAATTGGAGTCAACTAGAGACGTCTCTTTTGCTGATTTAACAACCAACGGAGATTGGTAGAAGTCATTTCCCATAATAGGATGTCTTGCATTTGGGTCAAAAATGAATATGTCTTCCCACAAATTCTTCATTTTACCTTCAACTTTTGGGTTGTCTGAATCGATCAACAGGTTTATATACTTCTTTGGTTGTGGAAAGTATTTGAGAAACGTCTTCTCTGATATGGGCTCATTGTTATTATTGAAGTTTCTGACAAAAGATCCTGAGTATTCGTCAGTTACTCCTGAAACAAGAATCGCACTTGCATCAGTAAAAGACATAGGAAACGAGTTCATGGATATTAAAGCCTGCTCATAGTCCTCCTCCAAGGTGTAGCACAACGCAAGGTAAAACCAGCATTCAAAATCCAATGGTAATATCTTTATGGTGGTAGCAGATACTTTTAATGCACTTTGGTAGTCGTTTTTAGAGATCAAGAACTTCACCTGCTCAAGCAACATCAAGCACGACTGGGTTGAGAACAACTCATTGTTTGCTAAGTGATTGAAAATGAGCTCGATGAACTCGTTGGTAGTGTTTCGGCTATTAGGTAGTTTTAAAAGCATCAAAATCACGTAGTCCCAGTTTCCATTTGCGTTAATCTTGTTAATTTCATCAATTGCAAAGCTGGTGAAACCACCGTTAGGCCCAATCTCACATAATCTCAATAATGTGTCAATTAACCGGTTCCGATAAACATTGGTTTTAACTAGGATTTTCAAGTCATTTACACATCCGGTTACTACTCCATAGCTCGAATCCGAGTCCGTCAAGTACCCTTTAGACAAGAACTTAATTAACAAGGAAATAGAGCCTTGAGCCTGTTCCTTAACGGATACAAACTCGTTCAAGCTCACTAATCCAGGCAATTGCTTGGAAGGATCATCCAATTGACAGAATAATCTGATCAACAGCGAGCATCTCAATTCATCCCAAATTGTTTGAGGCACCTTGTGTATACTCAACCAAGCGTTCACTTTGGGGCTGTCATTGGAAGCGATTTGGAATGATGTATCTATCAGAACAGTTTTCCGGGACACAGAAATGGGGGTTATCACATTTCTCAATCTGAATTCTGACTTGTCAAAGATATTGTAACTGCAAAATGTAACTACCGTCTCCTTTTTACCACTATCAAAACTGAATCCGTGACTAGTTCCATGCTTCCAGTGGTAATCCGTCTGTGTACGCTCTATTCCCATCACACTGAATACATAGTTTTGTATGGTCTGAAATGAGTTGTGGTGGTCAAGCCCATTGACATAATGATAATATCCAATATAACCATCTACATCTTTGTCATTGTGGTTCAAAAGGGGGTTGAAATCATTGTGGGTGAACTGATATGATGTTGCCCCGGCGTATATACCGTAATAGAGCAAATCAGGAGGGCCAATTGGATTTGTCGCAACATAGTTCATTTGGAAAGCAGTTCTAGATTTCATAACATTCCCATAACTAGGGTCTCGAAGCCGGGGGAACTCATCAAATGTTCCATATTTCGGCCGCTGTGCACTCGGTTCATTGAAAAAGTCTTCCTGAGACCTGCCAAAGTCAGTATTTTCACTGATCTCGGCCATTTCCTTGGAAACGATGTGTTCGATCTCGGCCTGTTATTGTTCAGCGAAAGCCCAGTGCGCGAAGCCCAGCTTAAAACACAGGCATAAAAAAAACTACTGGTGAAAACCTTAATAACACCATTAATCCCCAGACCACGACACTTGGGTTAGCATAGTAAAGAGTATCTGGTTGTCCGTACAATGTCGATGCATACGGCCCTGGAAATTATCAGGCAGTTGAACGAAGCCAAGAACTTGGCCTTCTCTAGTAAGGAAACCTTTCCTCAAGTGTTAAGGCAGATATTGAACTTTGTAAATAACCCTGAACCTTCGATCAAGTTATGGTGCTCTACGTTCTTGAAAGACTCCTTCCAAAGTGATGAGTCAGTGTTAGGAAACGCCGATAAAATGGATTTGGCCATGGATTCTCTCGACAGTCTCATCATATTATCTAATGAAAAGCACTTGGAGATCTTCGAAAATGTCATCAACTCATCCATAGTCATCTTCAAATTGGTGTTCAAATATGTCAATGAGAATGACGGATGTGACGATGTGTGGGCAAAATTGAACCAATTGAAGATTAGTTTGACCAGCAAATTTAGTACCACATTTCCTTTGGATTCGAGTGACAACGAGGAGCACGATAGGTACAGAAATTTAATTACCAAGATCCAATTAATCAAGTTCATCGTTTTAGTCATTGACTATCAAACCAAGTCTGACAACGACGAACATTTCAATTTAAATTCCGTTCATCCCAACCACAGTCTCATTAAAAGGCAAGCTATTCAGGCAGAAGCACATGGCTTATTGGACAATTTGCTCAGTGTTTTTGAATACGATACATTGGTAACTCCCCTTATGAATCCTTTACTCTTTCAACTTTCGTTATTGGTGAAACGAAAGAGTCAGTTCATTCCAAAGATCTTGAGCTGTGTAGAGAAGTTTGACACGCACGAAAAGCTTCAGTCAAATTATCAGACTCTTGATGAGTTCAAATTGAGTAGGAAGTATGTCGATAGACTCTTGCGTATTTTCATTGGGTATGTGTTCAAAAACCGGCAACTTCCATCTAATTTACAACAGTCCTTAGGCCAAAAATTGACCATTTTGACAGAACGTGGTGACGATGTGAGACGAAAAAACATCTTAGCAGCGGTGCCCCAAGATGCTAATATCAAGAAGAAGAGGTTCGACGGATTCATCAACGGATCCAAGACTCTTAAGTCATTGGATTACAAGAACTTGTACTGTTTAACTAATCCTGCCGATGAGTTGAACAATTTCGATTTGGCATCTTTGCCCCAACACACATTAATCTCTATGACCATAGCAGCCTTGAACCGTGTGGACCCGAAAAAGTTGAACAAAGCCTTGGGTATAGTAGCAGAGAGATACAAATACGCATTATCCAATAGTTCACTTATGGATGGCACTGACAATGGTCGAAAGAGGAAATTCGAGCAGGATGAAAATGATGCTCAGAATGGAAATAAAAGAGAAAAGTTTGAAGGGGATGACGATGACAACGAAGGATTCTATGATTCTGGTTCTGTTTACAGTCTTCCTCCTCCAAAGGAATTATCTTACCAAGAGAAAAGGGACCAAATAAACCTAATTATCCAAAATTTCCTCAGGGTGTCACAAATGTCCACGGAAGAATTGGAAGATGGTTCCAAGGATGAAGGAGAAAGCCAACTGGATGGTGTCAGCAGTGAGTTGACTAAAATAGCTATCAAGCATTGGCAGAAAGGATCGTGGATCGTGGTTCTCACTAGGTTGGCCACCAGAGGCATGAATTCCAACTATGAATCGGGTTCTATTGATGAAGAAAAGAACAACGAACTAAGTGACATGATAAGAAATGCCATATTTGACTATTTCTTGGAAAATATCCACAGCAGAATTGATGTAATTATCGAATGGCTTAATGAAGAGTGGTACAGTGAAGTCGTCAACAAGGAGCTCAAACTAAAGAATGAAATCAAGACTAAAATCCTCCAAGATTACGAAGCCGGGAAGGTTGAAGACCTCGATGGTGAGATTAACAAACAGTTTGCGACTCTTAAAGAGAACATCGACACTCCCCAGTATAGCAAATGGAGTGCTAAAGTCTTGGACTCGATCATTCCATTCTTGGAAAGCAAGGACAGAAAGATCTTCATCAGACTTCTTAGTGACTTACCATTGCTAACCGACGAATTGGTTGGTAGGATCAAGTCATTATGTCTTGATCCCGTGCGAATCAAGTTGGGATTCTTATCTCTCCAGTACTTGATTATGTACCGCCCACCGGTAAAGCAGGCATGTTTGAACATCCTACAAGATTTGTCAGAAAGTGACCAGGATGATTTGAAAGAAGAAGCCACCAAGTTGCTAACTAAGTATAAATAGATTATTATACAGAATATTATACACGACGTTTCAGAAATGTTTTAGGTGCGGTATCTGAAACAAATTATGCAGATGGTCTAGATGACCAGACGCGCTAAAAATACTTTTTTTATAGTCAACAAACCAAGTATTTCATTAATATACGCTCATTTGAACCTATTCTCCTAGATCAAAAGATCAAGAGAACCCAAAGCAAGCATAACTGCCCTTTAGGACCAGAAACATGACCACTCTGGGTAAAGGGCCTTTCAATGCCGAAAATGAAATCACAAAGTACAAACTTGATCATTCCACATTCGACTTGATTAATGTCGACCGGTTCAAAAACACCAACTGGTCGACAGTTTTTGCATATATGTGGTTGTGGATCATGATATTTTTGTCGTGGATCTTGTTGGGAGTCGATATCTATACCTGTTTGAATATTTTGGTGTTCCACAAATGGTCTTCTGACGACTATAAACCATATGCATATTCTGTTGCTAAGTGGCTATTCACTGGTTGTATTATCTTCCAGTTCATACTTCTTGCATATCATTTAGTGTGGGCCATACACACGTATCGGACTAAGAATATAGCTTTGGCATATGTGAATTCGATTGCAAGAACCATGTACAGTGTTAAATCGTATAATTATCACTGTTTGTTTCATAAAATCGATACTGATAACTTTTTTGACTGGGCTTGCTTTTTGTCATATGGTGAGGTGGATAATGCTTTGCAGATTTTGCTTGCTGATACTCCAAGACAGGTAATTAACATTCTAACTTTAAGATACTATGCGACTGATGGAGACTTATCCAATGACATTATTGCCAACATCAAGAAGATAGCTGACACAAATTTGCGGTTGTCGATTATCTTGTCTTTCATGTGCCTTTCTGTGATCATTTGGTCGATTTTTTTCTTCAAGTTTTGTCTTGGGATGGTGATGTACTTGCCGGTAATAGCCAAGTTGAGAAACAAAGGAACCAAATCTCTTAAGAAATACTGTTGTAAAGTCGTGAATGATAAAGTCAGACTTTTGGTATTGAAAAACCACAAACCTAAAAGCGAATTACTCGAACAAGGAATCTTGGACATGTCTGAAATTAAGGCCAATCCTTTATTAAACGACACCGTTACAAGGTTCGATACTGACAATGACTATGAGTACCAAGCCGTGGACAGAGGTGTACCTTCGTACAATGACAACAACAAGCTATACTCCTCAAATGCATACAGTCTACAAGACTTATCTAATCCGTTTGGTGACCAAGATAAGGCATCCATCGGCAAAGACAGTTTGGCCTCAGACAGTTCAGGAACTCTCCAAGAAGGGATTGACTTTTCTGAAAATTCTGCTAAGTTGGCTACTTCCTCGGCATTTTATGGTTCAGGTTCGGGCTCAAGATATACTGAACCATATCAGAACCCATTTAGTGACTCTAATGCTGTTCTTCTACAGGGCAGAAATATGTCCCAATCTTCCTTGACGTACGATCCATTTGAACCTAGGCTTACTCAGCCAGGCCGAGTACAAACACAGCCTTTGCCCCATCTTCCCAGAAACTACTCCCAGGGAACTCCAGCTCCAGAGTATACTTCTTCTTCGGTTAATCCTCGCTCATTTTCGAGGAAGTCTCCTCCAAATTTGGATTTTCCACCTAAAAGAAGTGTAACGGAGGGAGATTTAGTCAGATCCGTAACTGAAGGTTCTGTAGCTTCAAACACTCCTTACCCGGTAAGGGGTATTTCCCTCTATGACAAGAACCGTAAGAAACTGGATGCTCAGGGGACAACCAAAAGTGCTGGTATGTACCCAAGTCAGGATACTGTCGAAGAAGAAGAAGAAGAAGAAGAAGAAGAAGAAGAGAAAGAAGAGAAAGGCCATAAAGATACTATTTATCCCCAAACGCTTATGGCGGGCGTTGAGTCGGACTCTGAATCTGACTCTGACTCACAACCATTCGACAAACTTCATAGAGGGTATCCTATTCACGATATTTCCAACTCCAACACCTTATGATACTTTTTACAAAACTATAGCATTACTAATAAATACATTTATACTTCAAATCAACCTATATACAAAAATGATACTCTCCAGTACTTACTTTCCAGCCTTCTTTAGTTCGTGTTCTTTTTTCAACTTGGCCAATTCTTGATCCGAAATTGGAGGAATTGGAATGTCACTCAAATCATCAGCTGTCAACATTTTCCAGGTGTACAAATAGACTCCCAAGGGCACGGCCCCCACCAAGAACAATCCTAAGGTATTTCTGGTGAAATATTGGGATCTCACTCTGTATAACGCAGGTGTTATTTCAAACGTCTTGGGGTCACGATAACGGTTGTGTCCTTTTCTATACGAGTTAGTAACTATGGGATGGAACAAGCAAGAGGCGTGGGAAATGCCCTTTGCACTCTTGATTCAGATGGGAAACACCTGATCTACCATAACATACGGTACTCCAACAACTGGCATAGTAGATAGAGAATGTGTGGAAGAAAAATTTGATGATGGTTCGATTTTATCGCGAACTATTTTCTATACAAATGCAACTAATAATGGTTGAGTCTCCAAAGTGTCACTTTTCCAGCCTCATTACCCACCGCCAACATCTGACTATTGGGTGAGAATGTCACAGAGGTGACCTTTCCCAATGGCGTACCGCTGGTGGGCCAGTTAGAGTATACACTTGCTGAGGGTAGATGTACTACCCTCAAAGCGTCTCTTTTGGCTCTGGATGCAATCACAAGTAATTGTCCATCCGAGTTAAACTGTAATGACGAAATCGTGGTAACCAAGTTTTCCACCGCTTTGAAGGGAATTGTAGGTGTGGAGGATAATCGGTCATATAAGTTGACAACACCGGTATTGGATCCTATCGCCAACCAACGGTCTCTTGGACCACCAAACTTAATTTTGGTGATTCCGATTCCGTTGTTATCCTGCCATCTTTTCATGAGTTTATCGGTTTCCAACTCAAACTCCCATACCTCGCCAACCGTGTTGGTAATGATAATTATCTTCTCGTCGTGAGAGAAATCAAAGTCTATTATGGTTCCTTCGATTTTGAAATTTTTCAAAAACTGGCCTGAAAGTCCATTTAGGATATTACAGTATCCACTGGACCCTGTAAGGCCAACAAAAGTGCCCATTGGAGAGACTTTGAAGTACTCCATGGACTTCTGGAACTTTTCAAACCCATACATTCTGCTTATCTTCTCTACTTCGCCGGTATTCAAATCCCATTTGTTCATATACTTTCTTCTACCAGCAGCATATATGAGATTCTTGTTGTCTTTGGTGACTAAGTTCAGGAAGGAACATGAATAAATAGGTGAATCTTTCAAATGCAAGCTGGTGACAAGAGTATTTGACTTACCATCTATGTGGTATATTCTTATAGTCTTATCAAATCCACCTGTAAGCAACAAAGGTTGTTTGGAGTGGAAAGAAAGGGACTGAATCCCAGACTTAGACCTCCTGTTGTGATTTCCATCCTTGAGTCTGGTCACGGATATCTTATTGGGAGATATTAACTTCAACTGCTTGGTTATGGTAAACTTGTCTGTGGATTTTAAAATAGACAATAATGCATTCGTATTATTATTGGTTAATTCATCGCTGGCTTCATTTCCTTCTTCGCCGCCGTTCTGCTCTTCTTCGATCTGCTCCACCCAGTTTGGCCTAGGATATATTCTTTCAAACTGGGTCCGAAGTCTCTTGATATATGCTTTACCATTGACGTAGTCGTCTGTGGTGGACTTTCTGAGTTTCTTCAACTTATCTGATGCCACAAGTGAAATACTCACCTTTTCATCTTCGCTGTCACTCCATGCATGTTCTTCATCCTCTTCTGATTCTGATTCGTTGTCATCCAGGTCATCTAGTTCCATATCCACGGTTCCTTCAACACCATTAGAATTTTCACCATCATCGATGAAAAACATATCGTCATCTTGTCTATCATTCTCATCGTCAGAACCACTGTAAAATTTAGAAGCATCACTATCCACACCTTCAAGTTCCTCATCGCTGGTGTTGTACTCGAGCAAATTATCAGTTTTCTTCAAATTCATTTGGAAGTTTTCCATGTCACCAAAGACAAGCTTTTCGAGTTGTAGCTCTTCCATATCCTTTGGGGGTATTTCCAAGTCCATGGTAGCAGAATTAATATTTTTGCTCATGACTTTTTATGAATGCTACAATGTCAAAATCGTTCCGATGCTCTTCCTCTTCGCACAAAAAAAATTTATGTACGATTTGTGGTGAGCACACTCTTTTGGGTTAGAGGCTAATCATGAACAATCGTATATTTGGTATTTACAGATAATTGTACATGCAAAAGACCAGAGGATGTCCAAAAATGCTTGGAACCAGGTCCTTCAATATGGTAGTCGTAACTTAATAATAATAATTTGTGGGATGCTTTAATATAATACAGGAAGGGTGATATGGGGTGGGCGTTCATCGTCTCAATTCAGTTACGAAGGCAATAAAGTATTTTTTGAACTGTTTGGCATCTAATTCGACCAAGTTCTTGCAAAATCCAACTTTAATCTCTTCACTGATACCATTTTCTGTCAAGAAAGACAAGAGACTGTTGATGAAACCCTCGTTATTATTTTCGGCTTGCATTGTCTTCATTAATAAAGACAACTCTTGGAGGACGTATTTGTTTTGGGCATTCAATTCTTTGAGCTTGAAAGGAAGCTCGAAAACCAATCTAGTAGAATTACTGATAAGGTAACTATCAATTCCTTCGATGCTGTTGACAGAGGAAAACTTGTCATTCTTATCTTTGATATGACCATCCTGGAAAACAGTAGCCATATTGATTAGTTGGGTGATTGCCAATCTGGTCAACACTGGATCATCCAAGTCTAATTCGTAACAGATGCCAAATATCTTATCGATCAACGTTGGAAGAATTAATTTGTTGGTTTCGGTAATCAACAAGCTGGTCTGATGGTTGGTAATGACGGTTGAGACAAACGTTAATAAAGTCTTCTTCAATGAAATCTTGTCTCTGACCAAGTCAGGATACTCGTTTGTGCTGGTGATTGAATGCAAGCTGTCAATCATTTCGAAAACCTTGTTGAGTAAGGGAGTAAGTAAATTGTTCAACAAATTGTAGATGTTCTCGTTATCTTTATAAGAATGAATGATTTGGTTTAAAAACGCAACAAACTCCATCAACTCAGATGTCTTCAAGTTGTTTGATGATAAAATTACGGTGACCAATTTGTTCAACTCATTGATGATGTTATCTTGCAATATTGGAATAAACCTTGCGAATGCAAACCTAGAACTTTCACGAACCATCAAGATCTTGTCAAAGCTTTGTAAAATAATGATGATGATTTGACAACAGTTCAAGAACTTTTGAACAATTATAACAGAGTACTTATTTTTCAGTTCAAAATGGTAACCTCTTGCAAAAGTTCCTATTGCCATTAAGTCGTGATGGATTTGTAAGTGAACAAGTTGAGTTTCTTGATCTGGTACTTGCCCTTCAGGTTTGTCTTTGAACTTAAGCAAGTTCTCCAAATCATTGAAGATTGGTTGTAAAAGCATATCCACAAGTTTCAACTTACTTTCTTCACTAATATTAAACATAGAAATTAACGATCCAATCGACTCAAACAAATACAATTGATTGTTGAAGTTAGAGGACTCGACTAACTCCAGTTCATCGTCCTTCTTGGGTAATTCAGCTTTAATAACAAGTAAATCACTGTTCAAATTCAATATGAACTGACTCAAAAACCCTTCATCGCTTAAAAGATGAGGTTTTATGGTCTTGACAAATCTGAAAAACAAGTACCAGCATCTAAGTTTGACCTTATCGGCCGGGTTGAAAATCCCAATATTGCTGATAAAAAGCTCAAGAATCTTCAGGTTAAACTCTAGGTTTGATCTCAATTCGTTGTTCAAATTGGGGTAGATTTTTATAATTATTTCGAACAAGCTCAATTGATTTAACTCGTGATTGAACTTGTTGATTGGCAACTCATTGATTAATTTGAAGAAAAAATTGGAGATGATTCCCATTGGTTTGGAAGTAGCTATCTCACTTTTTGGCTGGTTGATTAAATTATTTTTTATGGAGTCGTTGAAACTGGTGAGCTCGTATAATCCCAACTCGAAGCTGTCCCAGCTCGAGTTATTAGTCTCTTCAAAGACAAATTTATTGATTATTATCGGCAAAGCATTCAAATATAAGTCTGGTAATAATCCAGCAATAGATTCTTGAAAAAATTTCAATTTACCTCTAAACTCTTGGAACTCTTCAACCGCTTCTTCATCTTCCAAATCGAATGATTCACTGTCAAACTTCATTTTCAAGATGACCCTGTCTAACAAGTTCTCGTATAACTCCTTAATGACCAACGTGGGGGTTTTCTTACTCAATGTCAAGTAGTTTTGAATGAAAGGAAAAACTTGAAGGGATATCTCATCGTAGTCATTGGACAAAAAGTTGAAGATGAGCTGCCAGTAGTTGAGTAAATGATTCAAAATATCCTGAGTCAAATTCGCAGAATTTTCTATAATATAGCACATCTCTAATGCCACTGCGTTGGTCAACTTAGCCAAGTTTTCTAGAAAGTCCAAGTCTAATTTAGAGTTGTCTAAATTAGAAATAACATTTGACAAGTTGAGCAAACTCAATAACTCAAACTTCTTTTCGGGCTTCATCTTTTTGCAGACGATCTCTGCAATAGTGGAGCACACTTTGTTTGATAATTTGTTGACCAAAATAGAATTAAACAACTCCAAATAGTTTTTGTTGATGAACAAAGAAATCTCCATCCAGTTGACATATTGGCCAATCACTATCAAAGAATTATTCATATTTGTTTCATTGTAGTTGGTGTAACTGATTTCCAAGATCTTATACCAGCTTTCTACCAAAGCAGGCATGTCATCGATTCTGATCTTGTCTTTAATGTACAGGTTTCTCTCGTTCAAAAAGTCATTTCTCATGATTAATTTATCACCGATTTCTTCATGGATAGAGATCATTAATCGGAGGTAATAATCATAAGCCAACTCACTGCTCTCGTTGTCTTTGACAAAACTGAGCCAATTTTTGAGGAAGTTAGGGTTAATGGTCATGTAATTCTTGCAGAAGACTTTGCTCAATATCTCAGTGGTTTTGTTTTTGATGAAAGAACTGTCTTGTTTCTTACTATAAATTAACTGGCTGACGTACAGAAACAACTGCTGATCAATTTCGTACAGCTCTTCTTGTGAGAGCAGAGACAAGTTCTCGTCGATTACCTGGAAGATGAAAAACTTAAACTCATCATTGACAGCGGATCCATTAGTGAGAAGGATATTGACACATGATTTATAGCCGTCTTTGGTGCTCTTGATTTGGTTGATGAACTCTATGGCCTGCTGCTTCAATCCCGGCTCGCTATCTCTACTCAACGCTATTCCTACCGCTTGATTAATCTGCTGTTCCATACTTTTGTTCTCACCGCTAACCGTCTTGTGGATTTTCAACTTTGTGGATTCACGAAAATTTTTTTGGCTGGCCAAAGTGGGTGATGCACGCCGCAGAAAGGCTGCAAAAACCGCCGGTGTATATTCTAATCTAAAGAGGCATACTTCTTTAAGGATTCAGGGATGGCATCATACAAGCCCTTGGACTCCAACCATGACTTGGAGAAGATCCGGTCGCTGTATTTGTGGCACGAATCGGCCAAAACCGTCACGACATTAGATCCTTCAGGCAATTCCTGAGCCAACCTAATGGCTGCAACTACATTCAAGGCAGAGGTTCCACCTACATAAATTCCTTCTTCATCCAACAATTGGTATAACATCACGATGCTTTCTTCATCAGGAATCTTGTATGAGTCGTCAATGATGTCTATTTCCGGCTGCAAGTTTTCAGTGATTCTACCCTGCCCAATACCTTCAGTGAACGAGGAACCACCTCTGACGATGTCCTTACCTTTGCTTTGGATATAAGAATGAACGATAGACCCAGGAGGGTCGGCCAATACGCATTTGGTTTTGTCGTTGGAGATGGTCTTTAAATACCGGGTGATACCAGCAAATGTACCACCAGTTCCGGTGGAACAGGTGAACCCGTCCACTTTCCCGTTCAATTGAGCCCATATTTCGGGGCCGGTGGTCTCGATGTGGGCTTGGCGGTTGGCGGTGTTGTCGAACTGGTTGGTCCAAACTGCATTTTCCAAGCTGTCTGCGTGTCTTTTGGCCTGGTGGTTGTAGTTTTCGGGGTTGTCGAATGCAACTGCGGGCACAGGGTGAACTTCGGCGCCTAATAAGCGTAAGGTGTCCATTTTGGATTTGGCTTGAGTGTTTGGCATGTAAATCACACATTTGTACCCTCTAGACCTACAAACGTGAGCTAAACCTATCCCGGTATTTCCAGCAGTTCCTTCGATAACGGTACCACCTGGTTTTATGAGACCTCTTGATTCGGCGTCCTTGATGACGTATAGCGCGGCTCTATCTTTAATAGAACCTCCTGGGTTCATGAACTCGGCTTTTGCGTAGACATTTCTGTTGATTCTGGAGGAGATTTTGGGTAATTTGATGAGGGGGGTGTTGCCGATAGTTTCGGTGAACCCTTCTGTAGTCAATGGCACAAACGGAGGCTTGACAGATAAGAATCTCTTGAGGATCATGGAGGAGTACGGTGTATGGGTCAGACTGCAAACTTGGTAACTGAGATTAAAAGTTGGACACTGAAAATTCTTGTACCATATCATGTGAGCGCGGGCGAAGACGCTCCAATTCGTTTGACCCGACAGATTCGCGGTACTACGTCGCAGAAGATATTGGATGCCTTCTATTGAATTCACATTAACAACCGGTATATTACGAAGAGCATTGAGCCGCTGACATTTCCGCCTATGAATGCTTCTTCTTCGAGGGCAAGGTGGATCTTCTTGATTTTTCAACTTGTGTAGATTTTATTTTTGGTGGACTCAAATTGTATCTTGGACCTTTATTGTAACACAGAATCCAGCGACCTTCAATCAAAGCTCATGTAACCCCAATACGTGAGGTATCTCCTTATATTATGGCCCCACCAGCAGTAGTAAAAGCCCAATCTATAACTCTCAGATAAGTCCTGAAATTGACGTTACCATCTTTGTTAGTATAGCCATCTACAACACACAAAATGGAATCAGGTAGCTCCTCGAATACAGTGGTGATTTGTTTGCTTTTAAACTCGTTCAAAAGTTCTAATATGATTCAAGCGGTTTCTTGCTTGCCTTTATTTTCTTCCTTTTCTCCAATATCCTTCTTACTCTTTAGAAACTGCAACTGCTCATCAAATCTTTTGTTCTGCCTCTTGGTTTCTTTTTAGGCTTGATTCTCTCTAAAAACTGGTTCAATACGTCCAAAGTTTTGCTTTTCTGTTTTGTAGCGTCTCTATACTCCATAAATAATGAGCAGTCACTAAACAATTAACTCCTTTACAGGGCGGAAGAATGACCCACCATGAAAATCAGTACTATATTCGTAGAACTCTCTTTTGCTGATCACGGAGACCCACCCAATTATGGGAGTCTGTGAACCAATTTTTCACCATTCCTTCAAGTACCCACTGTAAAGTCTTCAGAGCAATCGTAAGATACATAGCTCCAACCAATAAATTGTCTAGTGCACAATATCCTGGGGCAACACATCGTATCGAGTGGTGGCTGACTTTCTTTCAACTAGTCAAATTCATCTTAGGGAACGAGCGATTGTCTTCTTGAGTTCGGTTTCTTTCAAAGCTTGCGTGGCTGGGTTCTCATGCAGCAACAATGGTACATTCGACATTTGACTAGATATTCGCTGGAGCAAAGACTCATATCATACAGTTGACGGATGAGTTCCAGTATGTTCGCATAAGGCATATTTTATTGCTGCAAAAAAGTAGCAGCGACAGAGAAGAGACATCTTAAAACCAACATACAGGATATCTCAACCTGTAATAAGTGTTCTAGCCCCAACAGCAGTCCGGGACCAGAGAACCATAATTTTCATCAAGTACCTAAATCCCCTCCGCCGTGAGTGGACACAACCCATCAAAGAATATTCTAAAAGAACACAGAAATATCCCGCTTTGTGAGTCTACTTGTAATGGTCAATCTTTTTGTTTTAAAGGTTTGGAACCTTGTGACTCTCAAAGCCGAAAAGTATTCTAATGGTTTACAAGAGGTAAGAGCAGCCAATTGCAAGCGACTTACCAAAATGCGCTATGCGTTTACCAGTTCTACCAAAAGCACCGCCATGTTAAAATAACTCGGCTCAGAAAAAACCCTAATTGGTGCACCATCAACACTGGCTGGTGTCAGTATGGAGGTTGGCGCGGTTGCACCAAGCGGGAGGTGCAGCGGTGGTAGGAATGTAGGTGCGGGCGTCGAACCGATAAGGTAGATCTCGCGGGAGGGTATTTACTGGTTTGAATTTGCTGGTTGCAGATCGGACGTGCAAGGCGTCTCGAGACTGGCAATAATAGAACTAAAGGGGCTTTAATATTAGGGTACAAATATGAAGTGCAAAACCGATCATTCGTATTTTTGAGTTTTGGGAAAATCCTCCAACAAAGTTAATAACCAAGATCTTGCAGCAAGCTATAATACAAGTATTATACATGGATTTAAAAAAATATTTTTAAATCGTCAGATTGGAGGTACTGCTGGAAATGCTGTTTCGCTTCATGTCACGCACATGAAGTCGGTAGTGACGGGTCATATTACTCTTGACCGAAAAAAACTTGCCACAATCGATCCATGGACACTTAAAAAGTTTCTCTCCCGTATGACTATACATATGAGTTTGTAGGGAAGAAGGTCTCTTAAATTGTTTCTGGCAAACACTGCATTTATTGCGAGCAGCAGTTTCCGGTGTCATGTTATGAACGGTTGCGGTGGTACGAGGCTTCTTATCACCTTCCAGGGAGTCGGAACCCATGCTAGAGTGTAATGGGGGCCGTGGATGGAATGGGGGGTACAGCTGGTGCTGGGAGGTGTACTGCGGTTTAGGGGGCATTTGTTGTGAATGTTGACTATAGGGTTGCGGGTACTGGGAGTACTGTTGGTACTGCTGGCCAGTCTGAAGGTACAGTTGGGGTTGTATCTGGGCCGATGGGACGGGGCCGTTGGTGTTGTAGTAGTAGTCATTCCAGTCCATGGGGGGTTTGGAGGGAGGATAGGTGGGAGCTCATGAGCAGCTGACGTGGTTACCGGGAAGTATGAGCCAGACGAATTGGATGACGGAACAACGCTGGTTCCCAGAACCATACCCACAAGCATAACACTATTGGTACTGGAACTGGTTCCAGCCTGTCCATTGGCCTGGAGCGATATGGATCCCGAGAGAGGCGACGTGCCGGTATTCATGTACAGGCCTTGGGAGGGTTGGGTCAGAGAGGGCTGTATTTGTGGTTGGGTTCGCCGATAGCCCTGTCCCGGGGTTTGGGACTGTACTTGGGAAGCCACTTGGGGTGCCTGAGCGTACACATTTTGAGATCCGAGTGGGGGGGAACCTTGGGGGAAGTGACCTAATGGATGGCCAGATGCCAAAGGTGGCAAGTTGGGTAGGCCTCCCATATCATCCTGACCCACAAGCTTCTCGTCCGAGGCTGCCTGGAATTGTGGTTGGTTTCCATGAGATTGTTGTGAAGCATACACTGGTGGAAAGTGGTTGGCGGTATCGGTAACAGGCCTGTAGTGGCCGGCCGGCGGCGGTACGTACAGACCCATGGGCATTTCTGACATGTATTGTGATTGAGGAAGGTGATGGACCAGTTGGGCAGCTTTATGAGACATTAATTGAGAATAAGGTGACTGGGGTACCTGAGATGCCAGAACTGTTGAAACACTTGATACGTAGGTTTGGAGCAGCTGGTCTTGAGGAAGACTGGAGTAGCTGCGGTTGGGATCCGACGAATTTATTTGGGAATGATTGTTCTGAAGTTGGCGGGCGATATTACTAGAATCTGTATCAGATGAATTTGATTCTAATATTTTGAATAAATTTGACATCCATATAAAACAACACTAAACGATCCCAGGGAAAATGGCGGTTTAGGAATTTTATGGATTGCTTGGTGATTTGGGCGTCGGCCACCCTTTAGTCTCTGGATGTTCAACACGAGAGAAAAAAATAGTTGAGCTAAAAGTCAAAAACAAGGGGATTTGCCAAATTTTATTTAGTGATTGAATAAATTTATTTATTTTTGTTTTCTGTATTTTTTTTTCTGTTTTTGTTTTTGGTTTTATGATTTTATTTTTCATGAGCTTTTATTTTTAATGATTGTATTTTTTTTTTTTATTTTTACTTTGCAGGGTTATTTTATCCAATTTTTGTTTGGAAGCCAAGCGGCGGGAAAATTACGAAATGTTCGTATTAAAAAAAATTAACTTGCGAGCGTCGAGATAATGGTTGGTAAACCCTCACACAAAGCATTTCACACATATCGAAGACACACTCTAATGCGTCTTCGGTGCGCGTCAGGTTATTAATCATATTACCGGGGCACATGTAGATTTGCATAACCAAAGGGTATGCTAAAGTCTGGGGATCATCTTCCATAACAACAATGGCTCTTCAGCTAAATATAGTGTAGGCTTTTAAAAAAAATTTAAAGGGTCTTAAATGTTTTACAACTATTGCAGTACTTTTGTTAAATAAAAGAAAAATGATTTTGCTTCTCAACTACGATTAACAGACTCGTTTATGTAGTCTAGATTTTTTGTTGCAGGAATACAACTCCCTGAGTCCCAAGCTTTGCCCTTATCTGGGGAACATGCGCATGTAGGACTGTAGGTGGGGCACGCCCTGAGGCACGCCCTGAGGCACGCCCTGAGGCATTATCTATAACCATAAATTGTTGCAGGATCATACTTGCAGAAAACAATACTTTCTCAATTTCAAGTTGGTGCATAGAACAGCTGCCCACACTCAGAACCCAATTGTAACTGTATTAAATCGCTTAACCCACACTCAAACAGATTGCCGCCCACGCACTTTTGTTTATTTTTTCAAAAGAATCTTCATTTTACACATGATAAACTTCATAGTTTGGAGGGGTTGCAACATCATATGGGGTATAAGAACATGCATGGTTTTTTAATCAAAGGGGATTGACCAATGACGGATTTAATCAAACTTGATAAAACTTGTTATCTATCAAATAGAATAAGTCCACTCGGAATTATTCTCTGTGGTTTATTTTATTAAAATTATTGTGGACCATAACGCCATGTCGAAATATGCCCCCTAGTCCATATCTACCAGTGAAATTGAAGAGATCGCAAGGACGAGATATTTCAGCGGCAGTAGGCAACATATTGTAACATTTGATGGAAAATATTCCAAAAACAAGAATTTATTTTTTAGACCTCTTTCCTATTCTAGCCCTATAAGGTTTTGAGACCGCTAATTTACTTAGTTCTGTCGAGCATGTTGCGGAGATCTTGTATATAATCAACTATGTTATGTGGTCGTGCGCACGGGTAAATTCCGTGAGGAGGTCGAAGTGTGGGTCGGGTCGTCTGCGAGGATGATTTAGAATCGTCAATGCTCGAATATGGGTGCGACATTTTGGTCATTCCCCCGACTTTTCTGTGTTTACAATGTCGCACCACTCGGCCAGCCATCTGTTAGTACCAGCATCGCACCCAGCCTTCTGTTTTACTACCAAATCAATTCAAACGTCAATTTCTCCTCTATTTTTAGATAAGTCATGCATAGTTAACATCTGTGCCCCTTTTCCATGCAGATATGTTTCTTTCATTGGCCGCCACTTGTATTATATGAGTATGCAAGTGTCATCGCTCTTAATAATGCTGGCTAGGTTTGCAGCCACCCACCTCAATTTCAGTACTTAGTGGAGTTCGATTGATCCATAGATCAAGATATGCCGTGTGATCCGTGCTTGTTGCAAGCCATCTGTTTATCCCCTGATTTACTATTTATTGGAGTCAACTCCCCTACGGGTTTAACTTTCTATCGCTTAATACTAACATCTACCACATACGAAACCAAAAATGTTACCACTTTTATATTTTGTCGCTGTCACCATCGCCGCATACGTGCCTTCGGATAACTACTCTACCTTGACTCCAAGTGCTTCTCCTACTGGAACCACTGATTACACCCAAAGTTTCGGTATCCAAATTGAAACTGTGTCTGCTGCCCCCTCGGCTGCTGCCAAAAGAGAAGTTACTCAAATTGGTGATGGACAAATCCAAGCCCCAACTACCACTACCAGTGCTGCTGTGACCAAAGTGATCAACCAAATCGGCGATGGTCAAATTCAAAACCAGCCAACTGCTTCTGTGATCAACCAAATCGGTGATGGACAAATCCAAAATCAGGCAACTACGGCAACTACGGCCACTAAAGTCGTCAACCAAATTGGTGATGGCCAAATCCAAAACCAACCAACTACTTCTGCTTCTGCTTCTGTGATCAACCAGATAAACGATGGTCAAATTCAAAACCAAGGTACGGCTGCTGCTCAAATAACCGATGGTCAAGTTCAAAATAACTCAACCTCTGATGACACTTCGGGTGCAAAATTGGAAACCTGTGCTACTTCTGACTCTTTATCTATGAGTTTAAGTGCTTCTATCTTGACCGATGCTAAGGGAAGAATTGGTTCTATTGTTGCTAACAGACAGTTCCAATTCGATGGTCCACCACCTCAAGCTGGTGCTATTTACGCCGCCGGTTGGTCTATTATCGACGGTTACTTGGCCTTGGGTAACAACCAAACGTTCTATCAATGTCTTTCCGGTGACTTCTACAATTTGTATGATCAAGACGTTGCTGATCAATGTGCTGAAGTCAAGTTGGCCATTGTGGACTTGATCTCTTGTTAAATTTAACATATTTATGATTTACTTTTGTTATGATTGGTTTGCCTTTTATGTACATATATAGACTTTTCGGGACCTATTTTAAAAGCCCTTTTTTGGGAGACTTAGTCATGGTGTAATAAACACTTGAGTATATGGAATTATCCACATAATATTGACCATTGTTCGTTACGTCATCTTCCTCGTATGCTTCATTGTAGAATAAAGAAATCGAGCTGAAACTTCGGAATGGATCGTCCGTTTCCACCTTACTGTTACTGGTTGAGGTGGTAGTTGAGATTCCTGATTCCTGATGATCATGTGTCTCAAACTCCTTCTCAATCTTTTTAGGGGTTACGGTTCCAGCTTTGTTCAACACTGGTATCATAGGTGGTTGGGAATTTCTCAAAAGTGCCCAACTGACATTTTTGAAGAATGCGTGGGTCTTGATGTCAGTAGCTCCATTCTTACTTCCAAGCCTCTTATTTTCATCTTTAATCAAAAGCTTTTTTATTAAACTTTTGGTGCTTGAACTTACTGATCCATTTCCTGTGCGTTTCGTATCAAAGAACTTGACATCTTTCTTCAAGATATTGGAGAAAGTTCTCTTTCGATCTTTTCCTTTGAAGGGAGTAGTTCCGTATAACATCTCATAGAGCAAGATTCCAAGGGTCCACCAGTCAACTAGAGAAGTATGACCTTTCCCTCTTATGACTTCGGGGGCAATATACTCTTCTGTTCCTACAAAAGAATTGGTACGGAACCCTTCAATGCAACTCTTGGTATCCAACTTTAAATCATTCATAACTGGGTTTTGAATCAAATCTGTCTGTTTACTTAAATCAAAATCCAGTAACATAATATGTCCAGACTGATGTAACAAAATGTTTTCCGGCTTCAAATCTCGGTAGATAAATCCGTTCAAGTGTAGATATTCTAGAGCGGCCACCACTTCTGAGACATAAAATCGGGCATCCAGTTCATTGATGCAACGGTTCTCTCTTGTCTGTAAAGCTCTGAAAAACTCTCCTCCCATGCAATACTCCATACAAAGATATAAATAATCTTCACTTTGGAAGGAGTGATATAATGTGATGATGAAGGGGTGGTTGCTTGAAGAAAGGATCTCCTGTTCGGTCAAAACCCGCTTGATTTTATTCCTTTCGATCATCTCTTTCTTGTTCAACACCTTCATAGCGTATAACTTGTTGGAACACTTTTCCTTTACCAAAAACACCTTCCCCACATCTCCCTTTCCCAACAACTTGATTTTTTCAAACGAATCCGGACGCACTTGGACATCAGTAACTTTCGTCAGTGATTTGGAGTACATACGTCCTTGTGTAGAAGATCTAGTACGGCTTTTGATCGTAATTTCTCCAATGTGCTTCGAAAGGTCAAATTCCGGCTCAGCTGTTTTTGTGCTGACGTTGCTGGCACTACTGTCTGTCTTTAAAAGGTTCACCAACGGGGCAGAAGCAACCCGGCGAAGGGTTCGTTGAAACGGGCTTTCGCCGCCTGTTCCCGCAGGCGGTTGTTGATGTGGTTTGGGACTGCCGTATGGTGGCTGTGGAGGCATCAAGTGACCTTCAGAATCTGTCACCACTTCATCCTTCCCTTCAAGGCCGTACACCTTTCCCGGGAGCTTTACATGGTCTGGATCATCCACGGACAACACCGAATCATTGTGGCGTAAAGACACAGTGACATCGCCATTTATGAAAGAATCAAGCCGACGATTTTTGTTAAATATCTTAATCATTCCTGGCGTGGTGTCTTGTTTCGTTAGGGAGGGAGATGGTTCTGTACTAGACGTGCTGCTGGATCCACTTTCATGGCGTAGAGGTGAAGAAAGCTTGAAGAAACTCTTGATTTTGGAGTCATCTTCTTCCGTCAGTTCTTCTTTTGCGCCAAGGTTAAGAAACCGAGATATCGAGATGGAACGGCCCCTAGACTTCGCCCTAGTACGTCCCACGCCTTCGCTTTCACTGTTCACCACCACTGGAGGTTTCAACATTGTAAAGAAGTATACTTTTATGGGTATCTAATGAATCAACAACTTGGATTAATTACTGCTGATGGTGTTTGCTGGAGTAGTATTTTTTTGTCGTTGTCGCGTTTTTACCTGCCCAAATTGTTCATGTTCATTATCTATGTACGTCACGTGAATACCAAGACAGTTTTGCTATGGGTGCCATAACAAGGTTATACTTGGTATCATCTCAACCTAACATAAGTGAGGTGGTAATAAGAAATTGGGAATTGAGTTCTTGATAAAATAGATATGTTCACAATTCTCGCAGACCATCTTACCTTCAACAATATTACTTTGGATCAAAAGACTGTGTAGGTCCCGCAATACTGCAGCATCATCTTCCATTATAGGGTCCAATCCTTCTGGTTTTTGTGTTGGTAAATCTGTTTTTCCCAAGTCCCGTGCAACTTTGACAAGGGCATCCCAGTTAAGTTTGTCGAGCATGTGAACAATAAATTCAGGATTAAATTCTTGTTGCTCATCCAAAACAACTTGACATTCTTCGTATTTCAATGGGAATGCTTTGTCGGAGCTGGAACAGGTTTTTACTGCACACTTGACAAAGTTAGTGGTTATAAACTTCATGATGATGGATAGAGATCTATAATTGAAAAAAAATTCGCGATGCGAAGATGAGCTAAAAAGGCTGCAGAATGTATTCTACAACAATGCTATGTACATAAGAAAAGCTTATAACTCAAAGTAATTCCGAAATAAAGGATCCATGGATACTGAATCGGTGGGTGCTGGTATACCGATGAGCTTTTCATAATATGCAACTGTGGTGTCAGACGTGTGGATTCTTAAGCAATTATAGATGTTGAACACTAACTTAAGATTCACACCAAGAACTTTTTCTGCTTGCAAGAAGTCTGAGTCAAAGACACCATTTCTGAAGGTCTCATATACTTTCTGAAGTTTTTTCCCTTCCCTATGGGCCAGAAGATAATGTTTGAGGAAAAGATCTAAGTTGGGAAGAAGCCACATAAGTCTTCCCCTATCGTTCGATTCGTTGATTACCTTTATTATGAGTAGCATCAACTCTTTATCAAACACATTGAGAAGCACCTTCTCCATCTGATCTAGATTAAAAATCAATTGAGGGTCATCATTTAACATGAGGAGTACTCCATCTTCATTTGATTGAAGAAGAATCTTGTTAATCAAAAAGTCAATATATTTGTATTTTTTATGCTTGATGCATATCCCTATGATATTTTTCATGGTATCTCTGGACAATATCATTTGTTGGGGTGTGTCATAAGACACAATTTCCAATTGGTTCAAGTCGGAACTTCTACTTTTCAAAAACAGACTCTTCGATATAAGCTGGTTATATATCGACCCGCTGCAAAGAATTTCTAGCTCCAATACCTCCTCTAACTTCAAGTATGACAATAACTGCTCAATCGTCTCATCACTGTCGATTTTGTCATAATAATTGAATAATGTATTAACGAGCTCAGGTTCTTCCTCGATGAGCTCTTTGTATTGCAATGCAGTTAATTTTGGCGATTGACTATCTGCCAACGCACTTGATTTGAACTTGATCGGGGTGAGATGCCTCATAATTATTAGCTGGTAAGCCAAAAGATCACAATTGTTCATATGATCTAAAATATGCCGGAAAACCTTCATAGAAGGAGGTTCTGTAGCCTTTATCAACTCTACCACAAAGCTGAGCATAAAGGAGACTCTACTAATCTGGTCCTGCTTGTTGTTGAAGTTGTTGAATAACTCGTTGATTCGAGGGATCAAAGAATCGGAACTGAATCTCAGTTGATACCCATTCCGAAACCCTTTCACGAAACGGGACATCTCACTAGTCTCGTAGTTGAGATAGTTTCCTGACTTGTAGTAGCTGTAAACCAATCTAAATTCCTCTAAACTGGAGAACTCGATAGTTTTTCCAAGGCTGTCCATGAAAACTTCCAAATCAATATCTTGAGGGATGTCCTCTTTCCCAAACCCTGATATACTCTTAACCAAAATTCGGGAATCCACCACATCTCCTACCAAATGTCTCCGCAAATTCATCTCTACCAATAAGGTAGCTAAAGTTTCGTCTATGATGGCCATTACTGTTCCCTGTATCGTGTGGGCATATGAAAGATCTAGCTTTTCTAGTTGTTCCAATCCACTTAAAGGTACTTCTTGTATTTTCTTTGGTTGAAACGTGATCAAAGGATCTTCATCTTTGATATTTCGTAGGTGTATCTGATACTGTTGTGCTATGTGCTTTCTGTGGTTATGTTTAGCCACATCTGTAGCCAACCTTTTTCTGTATTTCTCCTCTTGTTTGGCATTCACTTTAAGTTTATCATCTGCCCAATCTGTTATTCCATGTGATAGATGTATCACACGTCGGTGGCGTATCCTTGAAAGACTCCTAGTGCAAGTCTTAAAAAGCATAGTTGCAATTGCAATTGCAATTTCTCAAATTGGATCTCGCGATTTTTTTGGTGGTGGACGAATGGTGGAAAATTTTAATTGTGGACACCTAAACTAAACCAGTATGAGATTCTTCAAGTTGTTAACTGGCATTGTATCGTTATCCTCAATGGCTGCCGCTGCTGCTGCTGCTAGTGATGAAGAACGCAGAGACTTTTCTGTTAACCCTGTCAAGTTTGAAGTTGAGTATGTCATAAAGGAACGTCCAGATGATACTGCAAATGATGTTGTTGATTTGTTCAACGAAGAATCAATCACTTTGGCTTATACTGCCACAAACCACGATGAAAGTCAAATCGTGATCTTGGGAATTGGTGGTGCTTTCCGTGACCCAAATACCAACGAGATTCTTACTAATATCACCGCTTCTTCTGTTGATCCTATTGTCTTCTCTCCAGGACAATCTCAAAAGTTTAGTCAAGTCATTAATTTGAACTTGCTCACAGGAAGCTACATTTTGACTCCGAACTTTTACGTCAGTATCGATGATGAGTTCATGATTATTGAACCAAGATCGCAATTAGCTACTGTTTCTGACCTTCCAATTTCTTTGTTCAACCCCAAATTGTTGTTCTTGGAATTGGTTTTGTTGGCCTCTTTTGCTGGTCTTGGTTACTTAGGCTACGAATTGTTTGGAAAGTCCTACTTCAAAAAGGTTTCTTCGGTTACCAAGAGCACAGAAAAGGCTTCTTATCCTTCTGCTGCTGCTAGTACTGGAAAAGCTTACGACTCCTCATGGCTTCCAGAAGGTCACGTGAAGAAGACCAAGAAGAAAAACTAAGTCAGCTCCAACAACTGATTTATATGGACATTTCTCGTGGACAGGTTCCTATAGTTCTTTGTTCTCATTTGCCATCAATATAAAAGGACATTTCATAGCGTCCATTATCGTATCTATTCATCTTCAATTGTAGTTTGTGGAGTTGCAGCCAACATTTGTGATGCTGATGTTATATACCGCTCCGCGAAGATTTGAAAACCTAAATAATATCACTTCAGCCTCATGAAGCTATATTTAAATGAACGGCCTCGAACATTTGTGCTTGTCAGCAATGACTCTGCATTGATCGTTAGGCACCCTTCACCTACCTATGGGAAGGAATCCCATCTGCATTTGTCACGTCAAAATCCCTCCAACAATAAAAATGATCATACGCTCACAAAAGTTATAGTCGAGTTTGTCAAGCGAGATCTTGTTGATTTGTCCCGATTTCAAGAATTGTCCCCCAGTTCCACGCTCATATGTCTTTTGGGATTCTTTAATATGAAGGGCAAGGTCTATATCGCATTTATCACCAAATCCAAGAAGGTTGCTACACCCAAATTAGGTGAAAATATTAGTGCAATTGAGGCTGTGGCCTTCTATTGCTTGAACACAGATGAACATGATCATATGTTATTCACAGAACAGCAGGAAGAGGAGAAGTCCAGTAACGATTACCCTTCAGCCTCTATGAGGAGGTTTTTGTGTAATGGCGATTTTTTCTATTCAACTGATTTCGATATAACTTCAACTTTACAAGCTCGAGGATTCTATGAGAAACGAGGCGACTTTGATAGGAATGAAAACACTTATAAGCTATTCGCAGATTCTCCTTACTTTAAGAGATTTTCATGGAACAAGTTTTTGAACTCAGAGTTGATTCAATTTCGTAATAGATTGACCCCAGAAGAAACGTTGTCTTTCGACAAATCTGGTTTTCTCGTAAATATCACCAGAGGATATGCCAAAACAGTCAATGCTTCCATAAAGACAAAGGATGATGCTTTACTAACACTTATCAATAAGCAATCATGTAAGAAAAATGGACCTCTATTCGGAGAATGGGGCTCTGATGACAAGGGAGCTGTCTCGAATTTTCAAGAATCGGAGATTATCATTTATACCGAATACTTTTGCTTCAGTTATACTATTGTAAAAGGCAATGTACCCATATTCTGGGAGGTTGAAACCCATTTTCACAAGAAAAATCTTATCAGCAGGTCTGGAGGAAAAGAAATTTCTCTTACGAGATCCTTCGACACTAGTCAACATGCTTTTAAGAGGCATATGGACCAATTGATGAACCAATTTGGAGATGTACATATAATCAAGTCCATTCCATTAGATCCTAGTAATTTCAAATCTAGCCTAGGTGAGGCTTTGGAGCAGCATATCGAATATTTCAACAAACAGATGGCCAAAGCAGAACGTAATGAACCTAAGGAATACGAGAAAGAACAGGCCCTAGATCCCGAAATAGAGGAAGACAAAAACAGGTTTATCTACTTTTTAAATCATACTGATATACCTTTGAGTTCTTCCACTATTAAAAAAAATGGCTACACTGGGGCAAATCCAAATAACTTGGTACAACTAGTGGTTGAGCCTATGGTTGAACTTGGGGCATTATTTTATGATTTTACATCCAAGTCCTACATTGGAAAACAACTAGGTGTGTTCAGAATTACCACCTACGATAGTCTCAGCAAAGCCAACTTTCTTTCTAAGATAATATGCCAAGAGGTTATACAATTGGCATTTAGAGATATTGGTATCATCCCCGGTGATGACCTTCTCAATAAGCATGCGAAGCTTTGGAAAGAGTGTAATGAGTTCATCAACAAGAACATTCTCAGTTTCATCAGTTACTCTACCAAATTGCAAAAGTCCAGTCAAGCATCTAAGAAGAAGAACATTAAGTCTCAAGTGAGCAAAAGGTATTTGAATTCAGTTATTGATCCCAAAGTTAATGAAACTGCCTTACTTAAGTTGCTTGGAAGACTTCAAGATCAGACCCTGGTGATAATTCACAATCCAATTCATGATTATATTATGAAAGAACTCCAAAAGAACGCAAAATTGTATACCTCAAGCAAAGAAATCAATCTTTTCGCCCTGACTTTTAACGTCAATGGGACAATGTACAAAGGAGATATTAAAGATTGGCTTTTCCCTCCTGGATATGATTCAATGCCTTATGATTTAGTATTCATCGGTATCCAAGAAATTATTGAATTAACTGCAAGTAAAATGGTCAATGTCGATTCTGTGAATAGACAGTTCTGGGAGAATCATATCAAATGGCATTTGAATGAATTGAATCCAGATAAAATCAAGTATATGTCGTTATGGAGTGGCCAATTGGGTGGCTTATCTTTGTTTGTTTTCATCAAACTGACGGAAATCTCCAAAATTTCACAACTTGAGAGCAGCATCAAGAAAACAGGCTTTCGAGGTGTTAGTGCAAATAAAGGTGGTATAGCTGTCAGATTCAAGTATGAGAGTACAGAGGTTTGCCTTATTACTTCTCATTTGGCAGCTGGATTGACAAACTCCGACGAAAGGCATCATGACTATAAAGTAATCTCTAAAGGAATAAAATTCAGTCGTAACAAAAGAATCAAGGATCACGACGTTGCTATTTGGTTGGGTGATTTGAACTACAGGATCAACTTGTCGAATGAACAAGCAAAACTATTAATTGAGCAAAAAGACTATGCTAAATTGTTTGAGTTTGACCAATTGAACCTCCAGATGGCCAACGGTGAAAGTTTCCCATTTTTTGATGAGCCTGAAATCAGGTTTCCTCCCACTTACAAGTTTGACAATAATACCAAAGAGTATGATACAAGCGAAAAGCAAAGAATTCCGGCTTGGACAGATAGGATTCTCTATATGAGCCGACCCAATTTGATAAAACCGGTCTTGTATGATTGTGTTGAAGATATAATCTTCTCAGATCACAGGCCAGTTTTGGCAAATTTCAAGATTAAGATTAATATCGAAAATGAAACGGTGAAGAAGAATTTGAGTTCCGAAATCTACGATAATTATATAACAAAGTTCGGGGAAATTAATGATTTATTCATCAACAACAATAATTTGACATATCTAGTTGATTTGGATGCTAATGTCTTGCCTCCACCATCATCAGACTCTAATAAATGGTGGTTAGTTGGGGGATTACCTGCTAAAGTGACAATACAGGAATTGAACAAAACTAATATGGTTATAAATCCCAGATGTCCAAAGAATCCTTTCAAAAAAACTGAAGAACCAGAGTTTATCCAAAAAGCCCTTTTGAATAGTTAGATAGATAAAATATTGTAATAGAAGCACTAATCTTTCTTGTGGGGGGTTTGGGAAACTTCCTCTGAGGTTTCAGCACTCGGTTTGGTGATATCTTCGGCCTCCTTTAGTATCTCATCCATTTTGGCATCCAAGTTATCTAACATCTTTTCTAGTTTGGATGCTTGAAGTTCAGCCTCATTCAACTGTTTATACGCTTCAGCAAAATCTTCCTGGGTCATTGTGTAGATAGATATGAAATGTTCATTGAACCATTCGCGCAATATAAAATTACCCTGGGGGTTTGTGGTAAATTACTGATTAAATCTATAAACTAGACGCTGCGTATAATGATAACTCAGATTTTGTTGGATAAAGCACTTTCGCTACTTGCCGCATCGTAATCATCAACTTGTTCACCGTTTCCAAAGTCACCGGTCCAACCGTTATCACGCAAGTAGTTCTTAAATTTGATATCTTCTTCCAATAAATCATCTTCCTTCAAATGAGGCACAAATACAAAGGCACATACGACACCAACCAACCCACAAATAGCGGCGATTATAAACGTCCATTTCTTACCCAAATGTACATTGTTCTGAATTGGGGTAAATGTCTTAGTTCCAACCACTGCACCGACCTTACCGATGGCAGCAGAGAATCCATAGAATGTACCTCTAACGGGAGTAGCATAACATTCAGAAGAAATCAACCCCAACATGTTACCAGGACCCAAGTTTCCACAAGATTGCATGAGACCGTAAAACACAACGAATAAAGGAACAATCTTTGAGATTTTATCGTATCCAATACCCACAATCAAACCGAAGACAATGTAACCGAGGAAGCCAGTCATTAAAGTGTACTTTCTGCCAATCACGTCACAGAGGTATGCCCCTATAAAACAACCAGGAATAGCGATAGAACCCAACAACAAGGTCCATTCAGCAATCTTTTCTAAATTAGAAGCATCAGGACCTATAAGGATTGAGGAAATAATTCCTGCCGAAAAAATACCATTAGGGAAAGTAACAAAATCATACAAGAACCAACATACACAGGTTCCGATCAATCTTTTCCAGTAAAATTTAATCGCCAACCAGTAAGGGATATTTTTCTTGATGGCAGATTTTTTGTACAATTCGGACGTTGCCATTTTCATTCTAAAGTAGAAAACAGACAATGGCCAGAAAGCACCAATGGCAAACATGGTTCTCCAAATGCCTTCATAATGACTAGTGATCTGGTAAACAATCAAGAAGATAATTAAAGCAAATGGACCACCCAATGATAATGGAAGATTGGTGACCAACACAAAGATACCACCTCTTTTCTTGACAGATTCATTGGCAGCCTCATTAGCACTAACAGAACAACTGGGATACTCAGCACCAATCCCGAAACCAGTCACACCTCTGGAGATGATTAACATCCACAATAAACCGTTGACTGAATTGCCATGAGATGCAGCACAAAGACAAGTACCCACAACCAAAAACACTGTAGCCACAACAATAGCATTCTTTCTACCAATGTAATCAGCGTAAATCCCAATGATCACTTGGCCAAAAATGGTGGTGATCAACCCAGCATTGGAAACATTCGTTTTCATGTCTGCTGTATACTCTTTAGGAAATTCTTGGGTCAATACCTGATTAACCATAGTGAGAACATTATTCTGATAGCCATCTGAGATCAAAGCAAACCCAGCACAGACAATGGACATGATATCTTTCCAGTGTGGTTTGGTCAATCTTGCCTTCCTCTCTTCGGCATTGTAAATATAATGATCAAGATGGGGTTGGTTCCCAAGGGAGTCAGAGTGGGTGATATCTTCTATTACCACTTCGTTTGTTTTATCAACAGACATTGAATTGACAGATACAAGGTAGTCGAAACTAATGGTTCAGAAAATGCAAAAGGGAATTTTTGGCAGTTTATATAGGAATGGGGTCAAAGAGGAGTTTGGGCGGAAGTGGGTTATTAAGTTCTAGCGAGACAAACAATTAATTTCTGAACGTGTGTCATGGATTTTCGAGCCGTCTCGATTGGGGAAATAGAGTCCGTGCAGATGGGTAATTTGCAACTGATCAGCATTTGACAGTACTTGGCAATTTTCCAACCCGGGTCAATGATTATAAAAATAGGTATTTTGAAACCGTACTGGAATATAAATTCTAATCCACGTGTCTCTCATCTCCGACATCTTATTACGATTGTGCAACCACGATAAGAGCCTTTTTTTCAAAGTCTGAAATTCTACTTGCCGTTCCTGTATGTACACTCCAATATGTCAATTTTCTGTCGCGCTACCTAAATTGGGAAATCTTTGAGGGGGATTATCATGAGTAAAGCCGAACACAAGAGCTCATCAAAACTAAATTGCTATTCAACCATTAGCTCTTGTTCACTATAAACCTAAGTAGGAGTGTGGTTAGGATCCTAATGTTGTCCCTCTGTATGCATACTGCTTCCGTCTGCAAAATTTGTCCATCTGTATGCATGTAGCTTCCACTATGCAAAATTTGTCCATCTGTATGCATGTAGCTTCCACTATGCAAAATTTGTCCACGCACATGGGAAACTATTTCATCGACCTAGAAAACTGTACTTGGGCTACTCAGATTTTGCTTTACAGTTGCACCGTCAATCATATAGTTTCCGCTTATTCATTCGGATACCCTTTGTCCGATTTTTCCTTCCTACTCAAAAATAAAGCTGGATTCATTGTTTTTCAGCAGAAAAAATTATAGCATGTTCAGACATGGGGAAGCTAACCAAATTTACCCGTGCTATTTTTGACATTTAATTCAGTATAAACCTTGAGTTCTTACCTACAAACGTGCTCTGAAAACTCGGGCCTGTATGCTGAAGGATAACTACAACCTTGTATATGCCTTGGGCCATATAATCGTCTTGCAAAAGGACGCTTTAAACAGGGGCTCAGCAGGTGCAATTCAGCACGTTCCTACAAGCTAGCCCATGTGCCTAATGCTCTAAAATACAGGAGACGCGGGCATTAATAAAAGCAGACTTTTCCGATGAGGCTGTCGGGATGAAGAGCTATTGACACCATACATCCTTTATGGATGTCGTACGACTTATCTAGCAAAAAAGTGATGTACTGCGGTTGATTTTGCCAACTTATTATCTCTTCCAACTTTCCGCCTCAAAGTATACATAAAAGACTATGTACTCATATGTGTGCCTGATTCATTGACTCCGGCAATAGTTTCTAGCTTCAGTAAATCTATTTGAGGTGGGTGGCGATCTTAAATTTCAAGGGCCCTTGAAAAACTTTTCAAATCCACGTGGAGAAAAATTATAAGAGGAGGATTCAGAATTTTCGACTTGTGCCCTGGTGATATTTCTGGTGGTGGTTGCAAATTTTACTGTCTTACTGAGCTTACAAATGGCTACGGTTTCTCTCCGCTCGTCCTAAGTCTCTGGTTATTTTCAGGACCTTCAGTAACCGAGATCAAAAACGCTGAGGTCGCGCTTGGTGCTCAAAGTAGGTGCTTCGGTTAAGAAGATAACTAAATGGCAGGCCGGTTCAGGCTTTGCCCACGAACATATTCCAGAGTCCCACCACCACATCTGAGAAATATCCCGTGCCTCCCTCCAGTCTTCTACCACATACCACGATGACCGGAACCGCTTATTCCGTCGCTCCATTACTTTGAGTCGTGTGTGGGTAAACCTCATTTTTTTCTCTATATTAGTCACATTCTTCCCCAGATCTAACTGCTATTCCTCCTATTTTGATCGGATTAAATTCAAGTGAACGTTACTTACCATGGGCATGCTTAAAGATCCAAGTGTTAAATACAGGGCTTTCCCACCTATCAACTTACCCAATCGTACCTGGCCATCAAAGGTTTTAAACAAACCTCCCAGGTGGTTATCCACTGATTTAAGAGATGGTAACCAATCTTTACCTGATCCAATGTCAGTGGAAGAGAAAAAGGTATACTTCAAGAAACTTGTGGAAATTGGTTTTAAGGAGATTGAAGTTGCGTTTCCATCTGCTTCCCAACCTGATTTTGATTTCACCAGATGGACTATAGAAAATTGTCCCGACGATGTCAGTATTCAAGTTTTGAGTCCATGCAGAGAAGATTTGATTCACAGGACAATTGAAGCTTTACAGGGTGCTAAGAATGCTACGGTTCATATTTACTTGGCTACCTCAGACTGCTTTAGAAGAGTTGTATATAACAAATCCCATGAAGAATTGGTTGAATTGGCAGTCAAATGTACCAAATTGGTTAGGTCATTAACCAAAGAGAAACAGTCCGAAACCAATTGGAACTTTGAATTTAGCCCCGAATTCTTTAGTGATTCTAAGTTAGAGAATACGGTACACATTTGTGATGAGGTTAGAAAAGCTTGGGAGCCTACTTTGGATTTCCCAATTATCTTCAACCTACCTGCCACTGTTGAGATGACCACTCCTAACGTGTATGCTGATCAGATTGAATACTTCTCGACCCACATTGGTGACAGAGAAAAAGTTTGTATCTCTTTACATCCCCATAATGATAGAGGATGTGCTGTTGCCGCTGCTGAATTGGGCCAATTAGCTGGTGCTGATAGAGTTGAAGGGTGTCTTTTTGGAAATGGTGAAAGAACTGGGAATGTTGACTTGGTGACATTGGCTTTAAACTTATATACCCAAGGTTATTCCCCTAAATTAGACTTCTCAGATATCACATCTGTGATTGATATTGTCGAAAGATGCAATAAAATTCCAGTACACCCTAGAGCTCCTTATGGAGGCTCTTTGGTTGTATGTGCATTCAGTGGATCCCATCAAGATGCAATCAAAAAAGGCTTTGTTTCTCATGAAAATCAATTGCATTCAGGTGCTACCAACTTGAAATGGGAAGTGCCATATTTGCCATTAGATCCTCAAGATATTGGAAGAACTTATGAGGCTATCATTAGGGTTAATTCTCAAAGTGGTAAAGGAGGCTCTGCATGGGTTATCTTGAGAAATTTGGATTTGGATTTGCCAAGAGGCTTGCAAGTAGACTTTTCCAGAGTAGTGCAATCCAGTGCTGAAAGGAAAGGCAGTGAGTTGTCCAATAGAGAATTGTGTGACTTATTCAAGAAGAATTATTGTATTTTATACCAAAATGATGATAATGAAGCAGAAATTGACTATCACTACAAGTTAATTGATTATTCCTTATCTTCATCTTCTAAAAATCAAAGATCAATAAGTGTTGACCTAGAAGTAGGTGGTTGTAAGCAGACAATCGTCGGAAGCGGTAATGGTCCGATTTCTGCTTTCATCAATGCCATCAAGAATGATTTGAACATTAATTTAGACGTTAAGCACTATCACGAACACTCATTGGGTCATGATTCTAATTCCAAAGCTGCTACCTACATTGAAGTTACAGTAGATGGAAATGAAACTATTTGGGGTGTTGGGGTGAACGAGGATGTCTCGTTTGCCTCTTTCTTATCCTTGATAGCTATCTTGAATGGTTTGAAGCAACCTGCTACTATTTGATTGTAACGGTTATAATCCACTTATTTATTTATTGAATACAAAATTCTATGCAAAAGTCCCATTCCAAGAAATTGGAGGCGTAACATCATGAATAAGATCAGAAACTTCTTTAACAAGTAGGGGCCAGACTACAACATAAGCATTGAATATTGCTATAAAAGCAACAGCTGTGGGGATATCCCTTTTAAATTCTTAAGTAGAGAATGCCCTTTGAAAAGACCTTTTGTGTCCTCCTGTTCCAACTGAAATGTCGCTAAACTGTCTGGTGCCAGTAAACTTTGGCTTCACGATTCTAAATAATGAACATTCTTATTATAGCTTAATGGTTATAACCAATCATATAACTGTTATGATTTCAAGGGCATTTTTATATAATCTCCCATAGTTAGCGTGTCATGACTTCCCCTCTCAGGGGTTCATCTTTACCTAGTAGCAATCTTATTTTGCAGTCAATAATAGATCAAATATTAGATCAATAGTAGTGCATGGTACATTTGCTGTCTTAATATTACATCATTCATTTGAAATACAAAAGCACTAAAAATTAAGTAGGATTATTAGAAATATCTAGACTTTGATCGCTTCCTCATATGAAGGTGGTGGACCGGTGTATGAGATCTTTCCCTTCGCATCAAAGGTAGTGTTTTCGTCACTCACATCCACACCATGCTCCAAAGCTTTGTTCTTCTCAATCTCAGACAATCCTAAATCATCTCTAGCAACCCAAATGTGAGGTTCGTCATCTTGAACGCTTGGGTCATCGTAGGCATGTTTAATAAAGTCATCATTGTAAGTCACATAGTTGAAGTAAGCATCTGGTATGATACCTCTAATAAGGTCAAAAGTCTCTGTCTTTGGTTGGAAAAATCTCTTGAGCCATGAAACACCTTTAGCTGGATTTACTTTCCCTAAAACATTCTCTTCAGGTTTAGCCTCCAAGTCTTTCTTGAAAGATCCGTAGTTCTCTTCTTCGTTTTTAGCAGAATAGTCGGATTCTGGTAAAGTAGAAGCAGCACCAGCACCAGTTTGAGGTTTATCCGAACTGGAATCTCCATCTACCAATCCCAACTGATTACCTCCTTGCCAGTAGTTTTCACCTTCAACCTTAATCTCCTTAGTACCTTGGTCATACATAGGATATTGGTAGGTTGTATCACCCTTAGCATATTTGATGGCAGAGATTGGAACAGTATCAAACAACGGCAAAAATTTCCATTTCAAGTAAATGTGAGTAGCAGCGGATGCAGCAACAGCAACAGACTCTAAAGCAACACATGCCCAGTTCTTTTGGAAGACAAACAAAGCAATTAAACAAATTTCAGCCAAGTAAAGACCAACAAACAATTGCAACAAAGCCCTTGGGTAATTTCTACCTCTAGCATCATGAATGTTAGGTGTCATAACATAAGTCAACATGTAAAGGTAAGCAGCGTAGATGAACACAAACGTGAGGAAAGCAAATCCCAACACCAAAGGAGCAATGATAGCATAAATAATTCCAATGGATCCCAACAACTGGTATGTTGGATAAATAACAGACCATCCTGGTTGACCCAATGTGTTCCATCTGTTCCATTTAGCTCTTGGAGTAGAATCTAAAATCTTACCCAAAAATTGAGCCAAAATCAAAGCAACAACTTGAGCCATCAAACCTGAGGAAATACCAAGACCTTGCAAACAAAAGTAAGCAATATAAAAGTTTGAAGCTGGGGGAATCTTTTGACCTAATAAGTCCATAGCCAGTTTTGGATTAGAAACAATAGAAGTAACGGTGGAAGCAGCTGCTGAGGCTACAGTTGTAACTAAGAAGACATGAACAACCTGGAAAGCGTAGAACCAGGCTTGACAATAACCTTCTACCTCTTGGATAGTAATACATCCAGAAATCTTACCCATCTTCTTAATGAAAGGTGGAACTAAAGACATCAAAACGGCCAAAGCAACAACGGGTAAAAGACCAGTGATAATACCCATCAATTTGGGTGGCATGTTGTTAATAAACCTCAAGAAATGAACCTTATCAGTCAAGTTGTTGATATTCGAAATGGCACCCACAACAGCCACAGGAATTGCCCAAAAAATTATCATCAAAGTTAAAACAGTAGAGGCAATGAACTTCTTTAATTTTCTCTTCCAAAGAGTCAAATCCAAATTTTCCCAAATAATGTCATCTGGAGCAATGCCACTGAATCTTTTAGTCCCCTTTAAATCTGGATTGTAAGGAATGGCTTGGTAAGCCTTTTGCAATTCCAATTGAGTGGGAAATTCGAGGAAAACAGAAGGTAATTGAGTGTTACTTTGAGACTCCAATTGATCCTTCTTGATTTCCTTGTTCAACTCACCCAACTTTTCAGCACCATAGTTCAAAGTATCAACCTTTTCACCAATCAAAAACTTCAATTTATGGGTTGGTCTCTTCTTACCATCCTTCAAGTACTTGTTCAAATCATCTGCAGGCTCTGGCACGGGCTTGTTCTTCTTTTGAAGCTTCAATCTCAATTTAACAGCTTTGCTTACAACTTTGTTTAAAGCACCCTCGTACTTCTTAGCTAATTTGGTTCTTTCCTTGACCTTCTTTTGTAATTCCTTCATATCTCTACCATACCAAATATTGGTAGCAGTAGGAAAGTAAGTTCTCAATTCAGCCTCCTCAGTCAATATCTCAGGTATTTCAGTCAATAACAAAGTTCTAGTAGATAATAACGAACCATAATAAGGGGTGGTTTGCAAAACGTGTCTGAAAGTGGTATAGTAGACGAATTCTCTGTACATAAAGAAAAGGACACATCCAAAGTATATCCAACTCAAAAAAACATGTGCAAAAACCTTCCACTTGTTTCCAACATTAGAGTAAGACAATATATCAAATCCAGATCTACCCTTTCCGTGGGTAGCATTGACTGGGAACAAGATAGGCCATAAAATACAGCAGCCTAAGAAGCAAATTGAGGCGAATCCAAACAAGAACCGAACAAAAAAGTACCCATCAACCCCTGCTTGTTGAATGATAAATGATTCAGGCTTACCCAAAATATGAGACAACCAACTGAACAATCCTCTTGGAGCTTCATCGGGTTTTAAGTTTGGAGACACAGTGCTAACGGTAGTTCTAGGTTCATAAACTCTGGATTGTTTCTTTCTCAAAAGGATGAAGATGAGCAAGAACACGGCAAAAATGATCAAATTTGGGATCAAAGTCGATATAAAAGCCGACACAGATGAGCTTGTGCTCTGTGTACTAGTACTGCCAGCCATGTTGTTTTTCTAAAGGAAACAATATTAGAACAGCAGGAATAGCAGTATAGAAAAAAAAATTCAGGGAAATTGTTTGTTTATGAATTATAATTCATGGTTTGCATTTATTGCTGTTTTTAAAGCAAAATGCACATCTCAGAACATGAAATTCCTGTTGCTAGCTCAATTTTCGATTGGTACACGGCTGTACCTTTGTTTAACAGCGCATAATACAGTCCTAAAAATCCGTGGTTAAACATGACATGACCCGGTGCTCATGATCACAATGCTTTCTCCCTTGCTCTAGCTTGTGGGCGATGTCAGCTAGCTATTGTGGACGTGTATTGCAACTCTTGACTACGTAATCTAAAAAAGTTACATAAAGTGGCGTCAACCAATCACTATGCGCCTCCTGTTACCTGAAACCCAAAAAATAGACAAAATGTTTGATGCGTGGCAGTTAGAACCGCTCTATAGAATATTCACTAACATTTCACAGGAACATCAACCTGTCAAATGTAGAGTCAAATCCAAACAACCGGTTCATTGAAGGCTGTGTTAATTTCAGTTTGAGATTCGGCACCGAGGTGTGTCATTGCGTTGAATATTGTATATGCTTTTGCTGGTCACTAGGCTGGTCAATGAAATTTGCTGCATATGCTTTCATTTTTTGTTTTCGTTTAAGTGTCTATTGCCATAGTTGCACGGGATTGCAGGTTAGACTTTATGGTTCCCGGAAATCTATTTCGAGGGAGCAACCGGGGATAAATGTCGTAGATAGTAGACAAAGATCGACTACAGTTACTATTCCAACGAACATTATGCGTCTCTATTCGGTCTGCCCCCAGCTTCACAAGCCTGTCTTGCCGCGTCACTCAAACTACTGAAGGGTCTTGCCTTTCCAGGACTCAGCCATCGCACATTCTTTGACAATTCCAACTCCGTTCGGTTATGGAGTCAAGATCCGAGTCGCTATCTACTATTCTGAAAACATTTTCATCCTCCGAAAACCAACCCATAAAATAACTTCTTTTCAGAGAAACGACATAAAATTTTCCAGCGACATTAAAGCATTTCCGAGGATTACCAAATAAATTTTTGTAACCTGCAACTCCTTGCAACTGATTGTATTAAGTTCGTTATAAGAGCTTCTATGCATATCACAATTTCCAGATTTAGATGATTATTAACATATATATGTAACAGGACGCCATGGAGTCTTACAATATTGAACTATTGGCCCACAGTTCCAGGAGCTTTTGAAAATCATCAGCTGTACAACTGTTAGACGAAACGATAATTCCATCAATGTTCTTTATGATGCTCCTGTGATTTTTTGGTGTCACGTTCGTTTTGTTTTACTTTTATAAGAAGGCTTCAGCCGTTCAACACTTGTTAGAAAGGATTGTATGGTGGCCGGAAAATTCAGCGAATTGGTTTTTTAACACTTGTTAATAACGATGGCATTGTAGTTGATGATTCGTTGAATTGGTTTTCAATCCAGTCGTCCTTCAACGAGAGAAGGTTTGCAAGTTAAATTGAGTTTTTAACTGCTTCTGTTGGTGAATCATTCTGTCATAATTGATAAATTTAATGCTTAGGCATTCTGTAGTGCATACTAACATCTACTGACCTGAGCCTATTGTGTTGCTGGGGGAGGTCCCAGGGGACGGGTGAAGTTATATAAATCTTCTTCTTCTCCCGCCTGCCTTCGATGCTGTGTAGAATCAGTAGCATTCTCAACTGCTGGTATTTCGCTCAACGCTATTCCATCACTATTCAGAGTGGCTCTACGATGTGCTTCTGATGGCTGGCTAACACCTGGTACCTTGGGGGTATAAGGGGTTGATACTTTAGCATTGGGATTAGGGTGAAATTCACCTGTAGCATCGTAATAGCCCATGTCCTGATCATTGGCTCTCTCGGTGTAAGTGGGCACATAAGTTTGGGGAACATATGAATCATGATTTCTTGTTGATGGCTGGTTGTATTGGGTTTGAGATTGGACGTATGACGGAGGTGTCATCCACCTTGTACCATATATAGGCTGGAGTCCACTGGATGACCTTTTTTTATTAACTCTAATGGTCCCAACTACCACAAGGAGGATAACCGCAAGAAAGATCCCAAAAAATGCCCATCTCGCCCCATTGCTGGAGTCAAATCCATATCTCTTGGTCAAGGACACTGTCGGCAGCATTGAATTAGAAATAATAAGGACTGCCATTACGTTAAATGCTTTAGAACTTTTTGATTTATGAGGTGATACAGTGAGACGGTGGTAATTGTTAATGCTGTACTAACAAGACTTTGACGGCTTTGACAAAATAAACCAAGAATGTGTTATGAACTCTATATGTTCCAATGTCCCAAATAAACAGAAACAATAAACTTGATCTAACCTCCTTTAGCAAGAAGATAATAATAAACTAGTTGACGAAACTTTAGCCCCCAGAAAATTTCGAGCCTTTTTGAGGCTGGTGTTAAAAATGCAGTGACCAAAGAATAGTTTATTCAAATTACCTTGTTATTTCTTTCCCGCAGTTGGTTGTTAATTGACTAGAGACAGATGATTGCCATAATGTCCTTCTACCCAAAGATAACCACTACCCCTGACAGCATCTGGGAGCCTCATTGTTAAAGATAGGAGCTGCGCACAATTTTTTTACTTATATATATCTCTATCTACACCCGTCAATTGCCTCCTGATGGGTGTGAACGGAATCGAAGCTGGTGCTTCTCTACAAGATGATGTATCCAAACAGGCACAAGAGTTCGTTGATGTGAAATGTTTTGACTTACCTCTCGAGTACGAGTTACCTTATCCCTTACTTTTTCTCTTTTCCCTTGCTAACAAACTCTAAGGTTGTCTGTCCTACAAAAATTGAAATACATCAATGAACAAGTGCTTAAGTTGTTTCTCGCCTGCTCTCCATTTCAATTGACTCTCAGAGCTAAAACAGGTTCAATCAGATGTTTTCCTTCTGTTGGTCATGAAGATCGAAGCTTGATGAAGTTTACCGCTATAATCACATTGATCAAGCATCTCATCCAAAATTTAGAATCAGGAATCTATACAACAAAACGACACCTATATTACCAAGATGTTGAATTGTTCCAGAAGGATCAGTCTGAATGTAATCAACTACTTGATTTATTGGCACATTCTCTCAAGGCATCAATCACTCAATTGAACATTTACCCTAATCAAAAGGGCATGATGTTCGCTCTTGGTTTCGATGATGCCATATTAATTCCTATCAAATATCAACTGGTAATAGAGAAAATACATCCTCACATCCGGCTGGTGGTGATAGTAGAAAAAGATGCTATCTTTCGATCTTTAGTCAGCTGCATCAAAACTCAGGGCCAAGAAAAACACAAAGGCATCCTCTTTGTGACTGGAAAAGGCTTTCCAGATCTATTAACCAAAAGCTTTATTTGGCACTTGGCATGTAGCGGTTTACCTATTTACGGATTTATGGATTCAGATATTTATGGTATTTTGATTTTCAAGTCCTATAGGGAATTCAATAAGGGGGTAGCCACAGAAAGATTTACATTTCTTGGATGTTTTATCTTAGAATATCAACATGGATTTATGGCCATTAATTCTCGCGATGTCTCTTTGGGTGTAAGCACTTTAAAAAAGTTTGCATCCGTTGAAGATCAAGAGGCTCTCAAATGGAAGCGTGAAATTCAAAGAGGATTATACCTCCACAAAAAGGCTGAAATGAATGTAATATCTGAGAAAATCCAAAGTGATTACAGTACCCTACACTATATACTTGCCAAGATCGATCTGGAAATTTTGCAGCTTCAGTGGCAGTAAATCGCAATTATCTCATATCACGTGATGTATTTTTAACTGTTTACGTGTGTTTACCCACATTCGACGAAATAAAAGGTGCTCCCAATTCTCTAGTTTTTCACTTCAATTCAACTAACACAAAGCAATGTCTTATTCTACTCGTCAAATCGGTGCTGCCAATACCTTGGACTTTAAAGTCTACTTGGAGAAAGATGGCAAGCCAGTGTCTCCTTTCCATGACATCCCATTATATGCTAATGAAGAAAAAACTGTCTTGAACATGATTGTCGAGGTTCCAAGATGGACCAACGCTAAATTGGAAATCTCTAAAGAAGAAAAGTTGAACCCAATCATTCAAGATATCAAGAAGGGTAAGTTGAGATTTGTCAGAAACTGTTTCCCCCACCATGGTTATATTCACAATTACGGTGCTTTCCCACAAACTTGGGAAGACCCAAACCAGCAACACCCAGAAACCAAGGCCAAGGGTGACAACGATCCTTTAGATGTTTGTGAAATTGGTGAACAGGTTGGTTACGTCGGCCAAGTCAAACAAGTCAAGGTCTTGGGTGTTATGGCTTTGTTGGATGAAGGGGAAACCGATTGGAAGGTTATTGTTATTGATATCAATGACCCATTGGCACCAAAGTTAAACGACATTGAAGATGTTGAAACTCACTTGCCAGGTTTATTGAGAGCCACTAATGAATGGTTCAGAATCTACAAAATCCCAGATGGTAAGCCTGAAAACCAGTTTGCTTTCTCCGGTGAATGTAAAAACAAGAAATATGCTGAAGAAATTGTCAACGAATGTGCTGAAGCTTGGGATAAGTTGATCAAGGGCCAAGTTGACCCTAAGGGAATTGAATTAACCAACACTACCTTGTCTACCTCCTCTTCCGTCGATATCCCAGCTGCTTCCCCAGCCCCAGCCGCCCCAATTGATAAATCAGTTGACAAGTGGTTCTTCATCTCTGGTGCTCATTAAATGATCTCTCTTGTATACTTTTATATAATATTATAGCGTAAGATCATTATTATTGTGAGCGTTCGAACTAACTAGAAATTTGAGATACGCGTTTTCTTACTATCCAGTAATGGATATTCATAGAGAGTTGGCTGTAGATCTGGCCGCCTATTCGGCCCTAATATCAGTTATGGAGCTTCATGGAATATCTACAGTGGACCTAATAATGCAATCTTCTGACATGCTCGGACTTCTGAAAAGACTAGGCAGGTCAATACGAGAGATAGAGAACTTCATTAGATTAATACAAGTAGCTGATGAACCAGCCCAAAATGTGAATGGAAAAATACAAACCTTTATCAAGACAGGTCTCGATCAGCTCGATGACCTACTAGGCGGAGGCATCCCTGTTGGACAAGTGACTGAGATTTTTGGAGCTAGTGGCTCCGCCAAGTCTCAGTTCCTTTTCCAGGTAAGCTGCATGTCACAATTAAGTGTCCGTAACAAGGTTGTGTTTGTTAACACAGAAACCTTTCTAGAAACCAAGAGGCTCAATGAAATGATAGAAAATGCTGATGAACCGTCCATTTCTATGAAGAATATTGATTATATATACTGTCAAGATCTAGAGATATTGGATCATATCTTATACGGTCAACTCCCTGTCAAACTAGAGAAGGATAGAAGTCAAATAAGATGTGTCATCATTGACTCCATTGGACACCACCTTCGAAAGGATGAGTCTGTGACAAGCACTTCATTTCTCAAGAAATATGTCCACAGCCAATACGAAGAAAACCCTTCAAACCTTCTTTTATCCAAATTCAAGGCTTCAAATGAAAAACAATTCAACACTTTTTTCAAAACAACTGAGCAATACGACTTAAGAATTAATAAAAAGATGTATTTGTTAAGGTTGTACAAACATTTGGCCAACTTGGCTAAAAAATATGATGTTGCAATTGTCGTCTCCAATCAAGTTACGGATCAAGTTAATAATACTGAATCTCACAACATGGAAAATGAGGATTCATCTGTGCTAGATTTGGACTACCAAGTTGGTGGAATGTCAGGTTGGGATGAAAAAGTTATAAAGGCTTTTCAGAATCTGACAGTAGGATCAAAATTGGAAGAGTCAGTTTCGGATATCCTCAGAAATGGAAGGAAAAGACCTCATAATACACTAGATCCTGAAAGTGATCCGAATGAAATCAAGAGAACAAACTATGATACTTTAAAGATTGACTATGACTCAGTTAAGAGAGCAATGACTCACGTAAGGAAGCATAATTTAAAAACAAAGGTTCATGTTCCAATTTTGGGATATAATTGGTCAAAGTTCATAAGAAATCGTATTCTCTTGGTGAAGACATATAGGCCATTGTTAAATGAGTCGGTCAAAAGCACGGCTACTATGGTCTCTTCCAATCTGACTAGTATACAAAATCTAAGTCAGGATGCCCATCAAGAAAAGCAATACATGTCTGATTTGACACAAAGCTTTAGTCTGTACATATCTGGGTGGACACCCGAGAGGTACTTAAAGATAGTGTCACTGGCAAATGTCCCTTCTCTTCTGCTGGCTGCAAAAGTCAAATTCAAATTGAGTATGAAGGGTTTGATTGAAAATTGAGTCGCTATTTTGTTTATACACGTCTTTGAGTGTTGCACGCTTTCATGCTCACTCGTTATCATCATCAATAAACAACTCGTGAAAATATAACAACGAGTATCAGCCCATATTTAACTACTTTGAAAATATATAGAGCATGAAGGTATGTTTCAAGTTACTCCTACTAGCCTGCTGTGGATTTCTATTATACTAACTTTGACCATCTAGTATCTCGATGAGATTGATATTGAATTGGTCAATCAAGAACTTAATTTCCATACGAATGATAATAGCCTTGTAATAAAGGGAGGATGTGATCTTTTTACCACTAAACCTATTGCTTCTGATAGGAAGTTGTATAAGAGTATTGATAAACATCTCACTCAGATGATACAAGAGAACCAGTTGTCCAAGACTAAGGATCGTAGAAACTCACTGAGTTCATTAATTGAAAGCAGTCCTAATTCACAGCCATACCCATTCAGAAGTCGGCATGGATCATCAAATGAAAGAAGGAGTTCTACCAATACCACCGATACCTCCTTGGACTCGGTTGATGCCATAGACGATTCACCTTTTGGATCATTGAAGACACCCTCAACCAAGTGGACGTTTGCAAACCTCATTGCCATACTAAACACGACGTTTCCGGATCATGATTTTTCAAATTTACAGCCCACAACTGAAAATTTTAGCAGAATTCATAACTGTGAGGATTTGATTCACAGATTCAATAATATCATGGTAAGTTTAGGCAAAAGTGAAGAAACAATAAATTGGATGTGGGACAGAATTGACAGTCATATGGGAATGCTTCCTAGAGGATCTCCTAATTTTCAGCCTAATGATACTAGAACAATCTCTAGAAAGTATAGCAACAGCGGAAATGGAACCGAAGGGCTTCCGCCTTGCCAAATTTTTGAATTTGTTCCCTCTGACCAATCTATAATAGAGGATCTAAATTTGCCATATCAAACCATGTGGTCGTATTATTGGTTCATCTATAATAAGAAGAAGAAAAAGGTAGCTTTCATTTACTTGACAGCTATCAATAAGATACACTACTCAATGATAAATGGAAATAGAAAGGCATCCTTCAGATCATCTATGAAATTCGACAGGTCAAATATAATTGGTAATGATGATGAGGCAATCGATGATATCTCAATGGATGAATATGATGAAGAAGTCCTTATTGATGACGATAGTGACGTGGATGATCTTGTGATTTAACTGTGCTACCAGACAGCATTTTTTCGTTTCAATTCTCCCTTTGACTGAATCTTATCAGTTGACAATTTAGTACCTATTAATGTAGAATTGTGAGAATAGCAGGAATTTCACGTTTGACTACTCTTACAACCCAAAATAAACAATTTTCAAACGGTGTCTTTTGAATCCTCTAGCAACTAAAAAGCGGCGATGCAAGCTTTGATTATGACTGTTTAACACTATATGCATGTATACCCAAGGCATCTGATATTATAGTAGTTGCTAAAGAAAGTATTGATGAGCACACTCATTAGCTTGCCGACATTTTGAAAAGGCATATGCATTCTTTTCTGCTTTTTTGGTACTAAAATTTGCTACTTCTCTACATATAACGTGGAAGCATGTAAAGGATACCAGACAATACTCAACCTTATCTAGATGCATCAAGCAATCTACTGTCCACTGTGTGCATGATTTTGGTTCAAGTCAAGTCAAGAGCGCTACTCTAGTTAATCACAAAATTGCTGCAAACAACTTGCTATCGCAAATATGTCAAATTTTTTTCAGTACATAAAAGATCTATCGAATCTTAATTGATTTAACAAAATATAACATGATCAAATACGATTTGTCAACGGATGTCAAGATCACCTTGAATGATGGAAATGTTATGCCTACCTTAGGACTAGGAACAGTTCACGAAGGAGACGCACCTGATGTAAAGAACCAGGTAGTTGCCGCTGTGAGAGCAGGGTATCGTCATATCGATACTGCTTGGTACTATGGTTCGGAAAAATATGTGGGGGAGGCTCTCAAACAAATCCAAGAAGAAGGAATTGCAAAAAGAGAAGATTTATTCATTACTACTAAAGTATGGCCTTCTTTCCACCATCATCCAGAGAGATCAATTGACGATTCATTGAAGGAATTAGGAATTGACTACATCGATATGGTTTTACAGCATTGGCCCATTTGTCTCCTGGGTGATGCTAACGGATTACCACCCACACCCTTTGATAACAAGGGCAAGTTGATCTACGATGATGATCCTGTCAATGGAACCGGGTATATCAAATTTTATAACAGGCTTGAAGACTACAAGTTCAATACTGAAAAAGTGAAATCCATAGGTGTATCCAACTATTCTATTTCAAGGTTGGAACTTTTGCTTAAAAACAGAAAGAGATACATTCCAGTCGTTAATCAAATTGAATACCATCCTCAGTTGCCCCAGAAGGACTTGGTTAACTTTTGCGAGAATAATGGAATCATCGTTGAAGCTTACAGCCCTCTTGGAGGAACAGGTGCACCAGTTTTACGAGCTCCAATGATCAATGAATTGGCTGCCAAGTATCAAGTCTCACCCAACGAAATCGCGATTGCTTATCATATCCTAGAGGGAAGAAGTGTTTTGATCAGGTCATCCAATCTCGGAAGAATCAAGACCAATATCAAACTTCCTCCCTTAACTCTAGAGGAATTGGCAAGTTTGTATGATGTAGGAGTTAAGAGACCAACCAGATATACTAATGATCCATGGGGCTACGGCTTAGGTTTCAAGTGGTGGGAGGGCGATACTCTCAGTAAATAGCCAATTAACGCAAGTAGACTTCATCACCAATAATGTATATTTATCGGTCTTAATAAATTGCTACTCTAATAAAACAGATTCGTCATACGGCAAGCACAGCAAACACTCCTAGTACACCATTTGCTTTTATCGAATATCATATAAATTTGTGAAATTGACGGATTTTAATGGAAAAACAATATGGTTATATACAGAAGTTAATTTTCATTTTAATAGTCGTGAGACGAAATTGACTCTTAATACCCTAGAAGAATGCATTTTTAGAAGCTGGGTTCAATGATCCCGTTGACTGTTACTAGCTTAAATTACTTTTGCCTCTCCGCCATGTTCCTAGCTATTTTCTGAGTATAGTACGTGCGCTTACCACACAACAATATACTCTACGAGTCTCAGAATGTGTTTTTTTTTGTAAGGGGTTAGATTAGAAAAAAGCAGAATATGGTTCAATTAGCCACCGAAGTCACACTAAGAATGTCCAATGGCAAGGAAATTCCTGCTTTGGGATTAGGTACATACATTGGATCATCGGACCCAACACAGGTTAAAGATCTAGTGAAGACAGCAATCAAAGCAGGATACAGACATATTGATGGAGCTTGGCTATATGGCACCGAAAAATATGTTGGAGAAGGTATCAGGGAGCTGATTGAAGAAGGGATTGTAACTAGAGACCAGTTGTTTGTGACTACAAAGATATGGCCTACATATTGGGATAAGCCGGAGAAGTCATTTGATAAATCACTCAGTGACTTAGGACTCGAGTACGTCGACTTATTGTTGCAACATTGGCCTATTTGTGCAAAAGATGTTGATTCTTCTACTCCATTACCAATTAAGGAGGATGGAAAGCCTTACTACGATGATCCAACTTCCGATGGGACTGGGTTTATCGAATTTTATAGGGGAATTGAAAAACTTCATCTTGACAACCCGCAAAAGATTAGATCAATCGGGGTCTCTAATTACTCAATTATGAAATTGGAAAAGTTGATACCAAAGGTTCAAGTTCTTCCTGTTGTCAACCAAATTGAGTATCATCCTCAATTGCCTCAAAAGGATCTAGTAGAGTATTGCGGTAAATATGGAATTATCATTACCGCCTATTCTCCTGTTGGCTCGAACGGTGCTCCCGTATTGAAATTACCCTTGATTCAACAGCTAGCAGATAAATATGAAGTCACCACTAACGAAGTTGCCAATGCATATCATATTTTACAAGGGAGAGCATCCTTGCCTAGATCCACCAATTTGGAGAGAATTAAAACGACTATAAGATTACCCTCTTTGACAAAGTCAGAGCTTGAGGACTTGTATCAAATTGGTGTTGAGAATCCGAAAAGACATATTACCAATATATGGGGAGATGAGCTTGGCTTCGATTGGTGGTATTAATTTTTTATTTTATCTCCCACCTAAAATCCTCAGGAGTTCGTAGAGTCCATTGATTAGTGGATGTTATAGAATTTTGTTATTAAGATCCAATATAAAGCAATGTAGCAGTGTATTTCGTAGTGCTAAATTTTGATTTTCTCTATAAATGCAGAAATCTACTGACACTTTTATTTGAAGTTCAGCTCTATGAATCATATGTACCTGAGGTTGCACTTTACAAGCTGCGCAATTTAGAGGACTTTTTTCTGATTTTATATATACTTCGTTCAATGGTTTGATCTTCACCCAAACATGGATGACACAAACATTAGTTATTAGGATACGTAAGAATTATGACTAGCACGGAAAGGAATTAGCAAGCTTATCGTGTAGTTTGAGATGTACCTTGGGATCTGAATCCAAAAAAAGCGACCAATTTGCCTTGAAAATTTCACTTTCTGTTTCATAAGTGGGATGCTGAACCCGCCTGTATAACCACAAAGCTACTCAGAGAGCGTGTTGAATCAAAGTTATACAGAATATATTTCTAAGGAATATTTAGGTGCTGCACCATGTCATATAATTCTTGCAATGATAGCAAATGACCCTGTTAGTAAAACCTGTAGGAACCTTTCTTAGTGGCATAGGTTTAGTGAATTAATGATTTATGAAGACTAGGAAAGCTTTTAATTATTTGTAATTTATTTGAGATTTACGATCACAACACCTACACAACACCTACTTCTATTATTTCCTTTATAATTTTGGTTGTATTAAATGTAAATGGAGCTTTCTTTATACATATCTCAAGCTACTTTATAAATCTTATTTATAAATCTTCTTTTTCCATGTATGTCTCCTCAATACTTCCTTTTCTCGAAGAAAACCTTGAAATAATACGCAATATAAGGTTACTATTCAAAGTACTATTACAATAGTTTTAAATCACAAAGCTCCAACCTCGTCCAAAAGCAGAGTCACGGTAGAAAACATGAAACTATTACTGATAACACACACATTGCCATAAGAATGGATCAATATGTTAAGAGATTCCTGCTCCATGAAAAACCAATCAGCAGGGAGTGTCTTTACTGCATGGAAACGATGAAATTTCGATTAATATTGGATTGCGACAAGAATAAGTTCTAGATATCAGTCGCACAATCTTGACTATTATCAGGTATGCTCCACATTGAAACTAAGAGTTAATGTCATAATTTGGAGAACATAATTACTCACGAAGAAAACTCAAAAACTTTCAGCTGTCAAAAGAAGAAACAACTATCTGACGCATCCGAACCAGGAAACACGCAGATACTATAGAGAGTCGCTCATCAAACAGGTACTGGACGTTCCCTATTCAAAGACATGAAAAGAGATTACAGCAAGAATCTGTTTATCTATCTTCAAGATGGTTCACCAATAATTAAGCTAATTCAGAGTTTCAAGAAAGTGGGCAAATAAATCGTGCACAAGTATTTGTACACGATCAATATTTGCTTACCAAACAATCCTCCCAGGCTTACTGAATCATTGAAAATCCATACTCTTAAGACGTACCATCAACTGTTTAAAAGTACTGAATAGAACAAAGCCTTAGTTAAAATTACTTAGAGGAAAACAAATTTACTTCTAAGTATCATACACAACATATTCACCTACGTTTATAATATATAACTTCCTTAATCAGAGCCTTGATCTGAACACTTCAGTATAAGCCAAACACACTTATTAGCAAAGTGCTCTCTTAATAAAGTAACCAAGCATATATATACTAAGACTCATATAGAGCATTCTTTTTCTGAGTAATTATGAACAAGTTCCTTATGAAGACACTTTCGAATACGTCCTCGTCTATTACCATGAAGTCTAAGTCTAATGTGGATTTTTTGAACTTTTATAAGTTCAATTCACTTTGATCTTTATATGAACACCAGTATAATTACTCTTGTAAGGGTTATGGTCAAAATAATTACCAAGTTATACAGTGTTCCAGCACACTAAGCATGCCAGTTGTGGATTTTAAATTTGAAGACTAATAAAAATATAGTTCTTATGTACTTTTATATAATACATATACTTTCAAATTTAATGCTTATGTAACAGTGTGTTAGCAAGTTAATACACAGAATTGTGATGTTATCTTGTATATACCTTACACAAAATTTACTTAAACGAACACCTTTAATTGTCAATACTTAATTATAATTTAATTTGAAGTGCAGTTAACTATAATAATCAGCAGTTATATATTTGCTAGTCAAAACAACCTAGTAGACATACTCAGTAATGAAAATCTTTTTAAGATTAATCATAAGTTGAATAATGAAATCCTTTTCTAGTGAAAGAGATGTTACTGAACCATTATTTGGAAGTGAAAACAAGTTCGTGATATGCGCTTTTAAAGTATTAGCTTACCACATTTCGTAGTTATCTTGTTCACCTATTCTATTTGCAACCTAATTATGTTAAATTTTTGATCTTTCAGGTGTTCAAATGTTATTCAATATATTATGCTTTCTTGCATAATTAAGATTATTGTTTAGCTGGTGATTTGCGTACGCATTAATGCGATTAGTATAACATAGTAGTGGCGTATTCACTTTAATAAGGTAATACCTGTTCTGTAACTAAGGAAGACAAAGAGCATGGATTCTCATAAATTACTCTATTTAATCTCTATTTGCAATTGTAATTACAAGACATTTTTTGTGTTTATACCTTGATAAAAGGGACATATATCATATATTTAGAAGGTTCCGGGTGGAGTTATATTAAATTTGTTGTATTATCATAATAAATGCTCTTTTATAACTTCAGTTTGCGTTATTTATATTCATACACAAAGGCATTCCGCTTGATTTGAGATGTCAATTTACAATCTTGAATGTTATTTTAAAGCATCCATGATCGAATCGTTTGGTATCTTATTTATTATATATTTTGGCACATACTCTGATATTAACAATGTGGTTACAGTTAAATCAATGTTGGTTATTATTGTGAATTAAGGTCTAAATATATGTCGTGCTTACAATGCATTTCATTATTGCTTGTTTTTCCTCATTGATTATTAATTGGGTTTGGGAATCAATATTATCTTATTTTAAGTCTTATAAAGTTTATACTTTGATGATATTTTTACAGGCACTATCTAAACATACTATACGGAGGATATCCTTTAGAATGAGCTAATATAATTGTTCTTTCAATAGCCTAAAATAATAGTTTCAAGAATCTTTCGAAGTATGAAGGATAGGATTCCTCAAAGGCGATGAATCTCATTAAGTTCTGAATATTTATCATTTATTTTAGTATAGGGAATAGACATACCCAGTTCTCCTGAATTGGCTGACATTAATCCAGACAAGATCAATCGGACCTGCTACTCTTTTAACCTACAAAGCATGAGACTCCTTGGAATATTGCTTGGATCCTGGAACAAGCACACGTAATTATTATTATTTGAATATTTTGGAGATATTGGTGTAACAAAACATTCCCCTTAATTAAGACTAAAAGCTGCTCAAAAGTTGTTATTGCATTGTATTATAACAGTTTTTCATTGCATGGAAAAGATATTAAATCTCAAAATTGTTTATTGAAACCAAAGACTCTATTTTCAAAAGATTGTAATGCTAGTGCCATATCTAGCTACGCAATCCAGAGAGTTCTTTTTACTTTGTGTGCTTTAAATTTACTATTAATATCCTTAAAGAATGGTATAGCAATGGTTTATTCAGATGTTAAATTTGTTAATTATATGGCAGAACTTCGGTGGTTGTATCATTAGTCTTCAATCTTCAAAGAATCTGCTTTATTCTGATGTTATAGGTTCTTTCCGGTGCATAGAATAGTATATGTGCTATTGTAGGATAGTATATGTTATTGAATGAAATTTTATTTCGGCTTAGTGAACTAAGGTTTCGACTTTTGTATTCTTTCAGTGCTCTAATAAAACTTGATGGAAGCTGCGAAGAGTTGTAATATGCAGTAATTGGTTCGGTATATAGGTCTGTTTTCTAACTCTGCAAATCCTGATTCCAACGGTTGTGAATTTATTGTGTATATTATTAGGTTTTAGGGTAATTCCTTTTTCATAATATCAAAGGAGCCTGCAAACCAGTCTTGAAATGTGGCTACTATGGAGAGACTTGGTAGAACGAGAAAAGAGTCCTAAGTACTATATTGCTGCAGAACCTTCGCTCTTTTCAAAATGCACAATCCAGTCTTTGGGAAATTTGAAGAAGAACTCAAAAATATATGGTTGGATAAAATACGGCTTGTACGTATATATTTGGATCTGACAATCACATATGAACAAGGGGAGTATATTCCCCCGAAAATTTTGGGATAATTTTGAAAAAATAATACCTGCATGAACCGACTCACATAATACTTAAGAGCAACCAAGTGTAAATTTTTCAAGGCATACACTATGGTAGTACACAGTCATTATCAGAATACTAAATCCAATAACCGGGGTGGAAGCTCTAATCCTAATAAATGGGTACTAGTTCAGCTACTCCGAACGTAGAAGTACTCGTTTTATTATACCACTATAACATATATAATCACCAAGGTTTTTTAAATCTGAAACTCGTAATGTTACTCAAATTAAAGGAGAGATTAAAGAACTGAAAAGCAAGAAGGAGTGGAGCGGGCTCATATCCGTCTTAATGATCGTCAAGCGAAGTTACTGAATGATAAATCCCAGTATCAATGGTTCCGATAAAAGCTCTGTCACCGAAACCACCCACCATATAGAGATCATCAACAATAAACTTAGCCCAGTGGGATTTATGGGACTGAGATTTATTAGGAATCCACATCTTTGAATCTGGATGTCTCTTTAAGAAGCACTCCTCCAACAGTCCATACTTTCCATCCTTATCTTCAACATCTTGCAATTCTCCTTGGAGGATTATTCTTGGAGATCCAGCTGGAGAATCAACTATACCCCCAGGGTATTCAAGATTCACATCTTCATGTATATGGTGGTCACCGACACGGATACTAAAGCTGTATTTGGAACCCAGTATTATGTTCTGATAGCTGGACCCAATATCAACGACTAGCCAAAAGAAATCACCATCATTATCGCAATCAGCATAGTATTCTACAGATGAGACAGGGACATCCACCTTTTTGCCGCTTTGGGATATGGTCTTGAAAGTGTTAACGTTAGCCAAAGACTCTCTAGAAACTAAAGTGCGGGCAATGGAAGCACCTTCAATCTCTCCGGGAATACGTTCAGAAACAAAATTAGAGGTTTCTTCTGCACCGTTGTAGCTCACTTCTTTCTCTTCTAAACTCATTTGATTTTGAATGTGAGGTATCAGCTCAGCTCCATCCTTATTATCAAACCAGAGCATCCAAATTGGATATGTAAGAGCTACTTGAACAAACACGAACAAATTTTTGAAGTTCATGGTGTAAGATTTGAAAGGACTAACCAAAATTAAATCTAAGGAGAAGGTTATTATCTATCCCTAATTGATTTATTTTCTTGTGCGGAAATGAGAAATGCAACGATAAGGGCAACATTTATGCAGGCTTATTCTCCAACACGAAAACCAGAGCAAGGGGGTTTTCATGACAATTTGATATAGGTGTTTCTCCTTTTAAAGTGGGATACCTTGTACTAATGACTCTTTTAGCATCACAGGAACAATTTTGCTAGAAACTTGCACTAATGAAATAGTTTTAAAGTCTATAAGCCATGATTTTCTAAGAATTGCGAAACTTGTTTAAGTTAAACACTCGTTAAGATCAATTGGACAAATTGTCATTTATATTTTTTGCAGAAGCTTTAATACAATAATAAAAAACCCTACTAAGAGCCTAATTTCATAGATTCTTAACTCAATATCTTAAGGACTTATGCTATATCTGTTTGATAAGTGGCTTTGAGGTTTCAACGTGATTATTGGACGTTAGGTAAATTATCAATATTGACTAAGGAAGGTGGCTTTATACCATAGAACTAGAGAAAATGATCACATCCAGGTTCAAGTTCAAACTGGGGCTTACATTGTACAAAAGTCTATATACATAAAAAACACCAATTATAAACGAGTACCAATATTCACGTGAACCGCCTTGGCCTGAGTGTAATGTTCTAAGCCATAATCACCTAATTGCCTACCAACACCAGAAGCTTTAACCCCTCCGAATGGAATATGGTAATCAGAGTCATTGGATGAGTTGATCCAAACCATTCCAGCTTCGATGTCTCTTGCCATGTTGTGAGCAATTGCAATATCTCTGGTGAAAATAGCAGCTCCCAAACCGTACTCAGTTTGGTTAGCGAACTCAAGAGCTTCTTCATCAGTCTTAAATTTTCCTACAGCCAACACAGGACCGAATATTTCTTCGTTGACAATTCTCATATCCGGCTTGACATCAGCAAATATGGTAGGTTTAATGAAGAAACCCTTTGACATATCCTTTTCAGTGTTTCTTTCACCACCTAAAGCAATTCTAGCACCCTCTTTCTTTCCAATATCAATATAGCTCAAAATCTTCTCGAATTGAACTTTAGAGACCTGTGGTCCGACCATTTTGTCATCTTCATAGACGGACCCTTGCAAAAATTCTTCTTTAACATGGGCAACTAATTCAGTAACAAATTCGTCATATATGCTTTCATGGATGTATGCTCTCGAAGTAGAAGTGCAAACTTGTCCTTGGTTGATGAAAATACCCTGAGCAGCCCACTTAACGGCTTGATCGATTTCAGCATCTGCTCTAACAATTAAAGGAGATTTACCACCGCATTCTAAAGTTACGGCCTTCAAATTGTTAGATGCAGCCTTTTGAATTAATTTCCCAGTTGCTGTGGATCCCGTGAAAGAAATTTTGTCGACTTTCATATGCCCGGCTAAGGCAGATCCGGCATCTTTTCCGTAACCAGAAAGAATAGCAATGGTACCTGGAGGGAAGCCAGCTTTTTCAAATAACTTAGCCAAATATAACAAAGACAAAGGAGTGAACTCAGAAGACTTAATGATGGAAACATTACCGGCAGCCAAGGCAGGCGCAAGACACCAGACACCCATTAATAATGGGTAGTTCCAAGGAATGATGTGACCACAGACACCATATGGTTCGTGGATGGTGTAAGCTAACTTCTTTGGATCATTTTGGATGACTCTACCCTGAACCTTATCGGCCCAGCCAGCATAATACTTGAAAACATCAATGCATTCTTGAACATCACCTACTGCATTTAAAGTTTTTGTCTTTCCAGAGTCCCAGGCTTCAAGGGAAGTTAAAACCTCCTTCTCTTCTTCCATTATTGCAGCTAACTTGTACAAGTACTCACCTCTTTCAACACCAGTAGTATTTCTCCATGACTTAAATGCAGTTCTAGCAGCTGCGACAGCGATGTCAACATCGTCTTCATCAGCACAATGAATTGTAGCATTGACATCCCCAGTCTCGGGGTTAATCGAGTCGAGGGTTTTGCCATTCTTGGAAGCCACAAACTCATTATTGATGAACAAACCAGTTGGTTGCTCATACTTTATGCCATCTGGCAAAGTAATTGATTGGAATAATGGAAGGGTCATTGCTTGATATATATTTGATAAAAAAAGTATGAAAAAATTCAGTTCGGGGATTACATCCAGTTTATAAATTAAAATCTTAATCTGATTTTCTCGATGCGGAAACTAGATCCGGTAGCATTCTAATCCATTTTTTCCAAAAACAGAGATTTCCGCTGAGAAACCTCTCTAAAACTGATTTACACTCAAGCAATTTACCCTCGAGCGTTTATGAGGAATCAGAGTGAAGACTATAACTGTCAGGGTAAAGAGGGAATATTTACTTTTAGCATACTGAAGGTGGGTGTTTAAAGCATTTCCTCTATTAAAGCTATTAGTGTAATATTCTTTTGAGTTTGTTTGCCTATAAAGAATCGATTTTGGATCATAATTCATCATGAACATAAATATCATCATCCCCCTGAGACGTTGCGTCACCATTGAAGAAAGCTTGCTTGTATTCAACGCTTTCAAAAGTATTATTGCCTTTGTCTGTGCTTAAAATGAACCTTCTATAAGTCGTTAAAGACGGGGTTCCATTATTTGTCACTTCCAAGACGATATGATACTTTTTGCAATCTTCCAAAGGTCTCAGGAAGACATTAAAGCAAGCTTGCTGGAATTCAGGAGCTGTAAAAGATACAATGGAGCCTTCATCATTCAACTTTGTGATTTCAATTTCGGGGATTTCAAGGATATTTCCTTGAGATAGTGAAGGTTCTATATAATGAAACCATTTGAAGGTCAAAGAATTGTTGTTTTGATCATAACTCTCTGAAGCATCCAATACTACCTCATTTCCCACTACTATATCAATGACCATAGGCAAATACCCTACTGAGCCATTAGTAACAATGATAGGTTGATGAGGTGCATCTTCGAACGATTTAACAGTCCACTGCATTCTGGCTTCGAAGTCATTTTGAAAAGCTTCTCTCCATCTCCAAATTGATGCTTGTGCACTAACATGAGTCCTATTGTCCTTGCCAATTGCATAGTCTAAAGCATCACCATAGTGATTACCAGATACAAGGGAGATATCGCTCAAGGTGTATCTACCACCCCAAGAACCAAATGAAGGTTCATGTGGGTCAGACAAGCCGTTAGGTAAAACGTACAAAGTGGAAGGGGTATCGCCTTCCATATTGAACAAGAACATTGGGTAGGCCTTACCCAAGGGTCCCACAGATCTCACCTTTTCGTTGACCCATTCCTTCGTAACTAAAGAAGTATCTGGCCCTCCGAAGTCAACGAAGTTATAAATATCTCCGGATATTCCAACCCAAGCTGAATGACCATATTGGCTGAATCCATGAACTGAAGCAATGTACTTGATTCCTGGAAAATGCTTCCTAATCCAAGGACCTGCATTATCTTGATCCGAGATGGAATACGCAACTATTTTGGAAGCGAACAAGTCCACCTCTTCTGTTGACCTAGTAGATGAAACCTCTTTCAACGCTTCAGCTAACGTGTTTGCGCCACCCCAAATCAATACAAAAAGTGATTCTTCTGCTTCATCAATCAGCTTGATGAGATTCACCGCCCCTTCACTGATTTTTTCTTGATCGAAAGCCAATAGTCCATAGGCACTAGACCCCTTGGCAACAATACTTTTAAAGTAACTCACAGATGGATAGTCCTTAGAATGTTTAAGTAAGTTTTTGTGAACTTTTCCGTATGCCTCTAAAATAGGGTAGATATCTTCATCATGAACGGTATAGTTTAACCAATAAGATGTAGTAGCAACAAGCCCTTTGATGTCTACTTCATTAGAATAAAGCAACAATCTTACCAATGATTCAGCATCGTCAGGTTCGTTGGAAATATCTGTCAATATAAACACCTCAGGTTTAAAATCTTTCTTCGGGATTAAGGCCACAGCCAATGACACTAAGAATAACAAGCTGAAAAGCAACATTGAAAAAATAAAATTGATGAACAAGTTTTATGATTTTCTATGGAGGATGCTACAAGATGAAATATCCAGAAGATGAAATACCATCATTTACTTATAAGTGGGGAAGGGGGCGGAGATTCTGGGGTAACGATATACAGTCGACAACGGCTATATCTATCAAAATAAGGAAATCTCTAAGCGCGCTTTTTTTCTCACCAATCACGTCAGGCAATGCGGGGAAATGCGGAGTGAATCCCGTAAAACCTAGCCTCTCTCTCTCTTCTCAATTTGTTTATGACGGGTAGTTCTTGAAAATTTCTCGATGGAGATGCAGTACCGCAGTAAAAGACCGATCTCTCTCGACCGATCATTCAACGCGGTTAAAACGTCCAGAAATGGTGATCGGCTGTTGTCTTGGTTTTGCAGCTTTAAATAACCCCAGATTTTCTCATTTTGGTTCTGAAAATAAAACATAAAGAATTTGTAGAATAAACATGTCAGACTTGGAAAAGGAAATTTCACCAAGCGGAAGCGTTCAGGAATTAAGAGATGCTGCTCATCATAATGCCCTTGTTACTGAGGTTATGGACAAACAAATCACCAAGTGGGAAGCTATGAAGAGACACCCATATGCTTGTTTCTGCATTTTAACAATGGTTTGGGTTTTGATAAGTACATCATTTGAGTCACAGGCAGGAGGTACTGTGATTTCTATTGGTGTGTTCAGAGAAGATTTTGGTCATTTGGTCGATGGATCTTATGTTTTGCGTTCTACAGATCAGTCAATCTTATCGGGAGTTCCCCTTGCAACACAGATTGTTGGACAGTGGTTGGGTTCTTGGTTAGCTGATAAATTTGGCAAGAAATGGGTTATTTATGGAGGTATGCTTACTTCTTGTGCTTTTGTTGGAATGGAATTTGCTGCTACTACTATGGGGGTTTTTATCGCAGGTAAAACCCTTAATGGTTTCAGCCTTGGTGTCATTCAGGCTTCTTGTGTGTCTTATGTTGCCGACATTTCCCCATTGCCTTTAAGAGGGCTTTCCACTGCATTATGTAATATCTCATTCTCAATAGGTCCGTTGGTCGTTTTCATTATCAATTACTGTGTTGCAAATTTTAAAACCAGATGGGCTTACAGGGCAATGCTTTCATCTCAATGGGGATTCGCAGCTGTATCCTTGGTTCTTATGTTACTTATTCCAGAGTCCCCTACCTACTATATCCTTCAAGGAAAAGTAGATAAGGCTGAGCAAGCTTACCGCAGGTTATTAGGTGATCCGGTAGCTGCAGTAAATCAAGTAACAGTTGTTAAAGAAACCGTTTTGGAAGCTGAAAAGATTTCAGAAGGATCCACCTACTTAGATTGTTTCAAAGGTGTTAATTTAAAGAGAACGATGGTTTCTTGTGTGCCCTTTATGAGCACTTCGTTTTCTGGAGTTGCTTTTACTGGAAGTTATACCACCTACTTTTTCCAATTATCGGGGCTTGATGAACAAAAGTCATTTCAGTACACATGTGGAGCTCAAGCAATCTCTATCGGTGGATGTATCGCTTCCCTTTTTATCGTTGATAGGTTTGGAAGAAGAAACAATCTCATCTATGGTTTATTGTCGATTTGTTTATGTGACTTGATTATTGGTGCTACTGCTACTGCTTCTGACTCCAAACCAGAGGTGTTAAATGTGTGTATTGGGTTCATGATGTTATATGGTGGTATTTATAACGCTGGTCTTGGCTCGGTTTGCTACCCAATTTGTGCTGAAAATCCTACTTCAGCACTTAGAACAAAAACTGTTGCTTTAGGATTGGCATCTGGAAATTTGTTTAGCATGATGTGGTCATTCGTTATTCCCTACGTATTCAATCCTGACCAGGCGAACTTAGGAGGAAAAACTATGTTCATATTTTTTGGAATTTCTGTTCTTATATGGGTTCACATTTTTTTCTTCCAGACTGAAACTGCTGGACGAAGCTACGATGAAATTGACGAAATGTATGCTAGTGGTATTCCTCTTAGAAAGTTTCAACATTACACTTCAAAGCTTGCAAATATAGACGTTGGTCTCACCGAAGAAGAAAAAGCAGTGCAAGTTAAGCATGTAGAGGAATTGTAAATCTGTTAGGGCAAATAAACGAAATAGATCTTTTTTTAAATAGGGGTTCGCTTAGGATAGAACATGTATCTAGCTGTGTCGGAGGGAATTCATGAGCTGCTTCTTCTTGACGACGGGCTCTGAATTAATTTAAATATCCTTTCGCTTGTATCCACCAATTACTACCCGAAGTGCATATCTACGATTGAAGGGTCAATCACAAATTGCCAAAGTCTGGAAAAATAATGTGACAGTTAGTGATTTTTAAATCGCAAATCTTGAGAAGCCACACTGTATTTGACATAAAAATTTCCACCACTGTTGCGAATCCCTGGACTTTCATTTTCGATCATTTTGCAACCACATGTTTAGTCACTGCTGTGCCACAATAAATTACCCCATATAAATATCCAAAAGCCTAAGAGATTCAAAATATATCAAAAAATGACAGGAAAAAAACATATAATTCTAAATGCCTTTGATATGGGGAGCAGTGGACACCAAGCACCTGGCTTATGGAAACATCCTAAGGATAGATCTAATGACTTTGATAAGTTAGAATACTGGACAAATTTGGCAAAGTTGTTAGAAAAAGGGAAATTCAATGCTTTATTCATTGCGGATGTTTTAGGGGGGTACGATGTGTATGAGGGTAATTTGGATGCTGCTTTGAAATCGGGAGCTCAAGTTCCATTAATTGAACCAGGATCACTTATTCCTGCTATGGCAGCAGTTACCGATCATTTGGCATTTGCGGTTACGTTCTCAACCATAAGCGAAGCCCCTTTCCACTTTGCCAGAAGATTAGCTACGATTGACGAGTTATCCAAAGGTAGAGTCGGATGGAATATCGTATCCAGTTACTTGGAGAGTGCCGCAACGAATTTACTTAATGGCGAGCCCTTGCCTCCTCATGACGAAAGATATGCAAGAGCTGAAGAGTATCTTGACGTTGTTTACAAATTATTTTTATCGTCTTGGAGAGATGATGCAGTTGTTTTAGACAAGGAAAATGGTATCTTCACAGATCCAGAAAGGGTTAGGAAAATCAATCACGATGGGAATTGGTTCAAAGTTCCTGGTCCGAACATATTTAGACCCTCGCAACACCAAAGATTACCAGTGATCTTACAAGCTGGAACTTCAAGGGCTGGTAAAGAATTTGCAGCTAAGCATGCAGAAGCAGTCTTTATAAACTCATTCACACCAGAGGACTTGAAAGCCAAGATACATGATATCAAAACTATAGCTAAGGAAAAGTTTGGCCGTGAAGAAGATTCCATTAAATTCCTCAATTTGCTTACTATTGTGGTTGGTGAAACTAAACAGGATGCTTTAGAAAAGTTCAAAGACTATCTGAAATATGGGGATTTGGACGGTAGTCAAGCTTTGTTTGGAGGTTGGACAGGAATTGATCTCAGTGAGTATGATTATGACGAGGAATTGACCAATGTGGAGTCCAACGCTATTCGTGCAGCAGTTAATAATTGGACCAAGAGGTCTCCAGGAGACCCACCAAATCTCAAGAAAACAAGACGCTATGTGGCAGAAAAAATTACTGTTGGAGGATTAGGGCCAGTTATCATTGGTGATGCTCAATCAGTAGCGGATGAATTAGAAAGGTGGGTAGAGATATCTGGTGTCGATGGATTTAACTTAACTTACACTATTAGCCCAGGGAGTTTTGAGGATATTGTAGAATTGTTAGTCCCTGAGTTGCAGAAAAGGGGTTTGGTGTGGGATGACTATCCTGATGATGTTCTGACTTATAGGGAAAGTTTGTTTGGGACCAAAGGCCCAGATCCTAAATTTGTCAGACCAAGTCACCCAGCTTACAAGTTAAGGTGGAAAGAAGGAGAATCAAAGGAGGACTTCGAAAGAAGAATTAACATCTAGACAATACACAATTTTATGTTTTTACTATATTTGATCTGAAGACTTTATACAATGGAGATTACATACTTCTCAGCTTTTGCACCCTCCTTTTCAAGACGGGTTAAAGCTTCTGGAATCGAATCCAAACCATTGAACACTTTCACTTTCGTAGGATTGACTTGTTTGTAGTTCAAATACTTGGAGATTATTTCTATTAATCTGGAACCAAAAGGGACATCTTCATGAAATCTCTTAATCAGAACAGGATTGACTTCGACATGAGTTTGAACTTTCGGAGTTTTCACAATTCCAACAAATTTGGAGTGCCTGTGATTTTCCAAAATTTGCAATACCGAGTAGGATGTTTGTTCACCTACACAGTCAACTGCAAATAGAATTTGTTCCTTTCGAGCCTCAGTTTTGATATTGTCAAGGGCGTTATCCTTATCGACGAAAACATCCACACCTCGTTCTTTTAAATATTCCTCATATCCGGAACTGGCAACACCTAATACCCGAAGCCCATGTATCTTGGCTATTTGAATTAAGTACAAGCCAACAACGGTGGAAGCACCCCAAATAAGAATGGCTTTATCTTGGAATGTGGAATTGAAGTCGACTTTGAAACTATCGTAAAAGACGATAGCAGAAGTGATTAACCCCACCCCAATTGTTGCCCCTTCTTCAAAGCTTAAAAAACTGGGGAGTTTGATTGCCAATCTGTAATCGATGACACTATAATTCTGAAAGGTACTGGTTCTTAAATCTCTATAGCTAGTGCTTACTAAAATGACATTGTCTCCTTCTTTGATTTCCTTAACATCCACACCGGTTTTTACAACAATACCCGAACTCTCTCTTCCGTTTATCCAAGGTAAACTATGAATAGCAAAATTGTACTTCTTACTTTTCCAGTCAATCGGGTTTAACCCAATCGCTTTATTTTGCACCAATATTTCCTTTGGCCCTATCTCAGGAACCCCAACACTTTTGAGAATTAATGGGGACTTAACGTCTTGGATCAAAACAGCTGTTTGTTCTATAGTCATAATGAAAGGAATTGTGCATTCGCCTTGGAAATTGCCCATCTTTTAATCTGCAGATCTGTTACCACTGTGGCTTCTAAGAGAAACTGAGAAAACGAAAAAAACCGTTATCTTTTAGTGCATAGAAAACGTTGCTAATACTATGTGAAGATATACACAAAATGCAATATTTGTCGTGATTTTCAGTCAAAGTGTGGTTTAAATAAAGAAGTATTTAAAGGGTGCATGAGATCATATCATTTACCCCTAAATTAAGACCCAAATGTCAGATTCATCAGACTCAACAGTATACCTTCTTAACAAAGCCAGTGGATATGGTATTTTGATAGGATTCGGGGCATTTTTTGCCATAATGATTGTGATATCTACAAAGCTTATGTATAGATATCTACATGAAAATTCCAACTCTACCGAAATGTTTATGGTAGCGAACAGATCAATTGGCCTTGGTTTAACTGCCCTGGCTATATACAGTTCTTGGACGTGGCCAACGGAATTATTATGGGTCTGCACAATGGTATATAATTACGGAATTATGGCATCCTTTTGGTATGGAGCTGGATTATCTGTTCAAATATGTTTGATGTCAGTCTTAGGAATCGAAGCCAAGAAGAAAATCCCCAGTTGCCATACTTCACTTGAAATTGTCAATTTAAGATACGGAAAAGCTGTTCATTTGCTTTACATGTTCTTGTGCTTGGTAACTAATCTTATGAGCTGTTCTTCAATGATTGTTGGAGCTTCTGGGGCCGTTTCAATCATCGCAGGCAACTTGCACATTGTGGCAAGTACAATGCTAATTCCATTTGGTGTGCTCTTATATACCACTGTTGGGGGTTTAAAAGCCACATTCTTGACAGACTTTGTTCATTCTTTGATTGTGCTCATCATTCTATGCTATATCAATACTTCAGTTCTTACTTCTGATGCGATTGGGGGATTAGATGGTTTGTACAAACTTATTGTTGAGTATGATGGTGAAAAATACATAGAAGGCAACTATAAAGGGTCAATTTTAACTGGAAAAAGTCAAGGGTCAATAATATTTGGAATTATTCTCACAATAGGAAACTTTGGCTTAACTGTTATGGATAGCTCGTTCTGGCAAAAGAGTTTTAGTGCTAATATCAGAGCATCTGTTCCAGGATATTTGTTGGCAGCAGGAACAATTTTCTCAAACGTATGGCCAATTGGTGCAATTGCCGGTATGGCTGCTATAGTGTTGGAAAAAACAGAAACATTCCCTACATACCCACGTCAAATGACACAATTCGAAATCGATAGTGGGTTTGTGTTACCGTATGTATTGAAAGGTGTGATTGGAAAAGGCGGTTTGGGAGCATTATTACTTGTGATCTACTTGGCAGTTACATCTACTGTGTCAGCACAGTTGATTTCAGTGTCAAGTATTGTGTCTTTTGATATTTACAAGACATACATTAACAAGGAAGCTACAAATCGTCAAATTTTAAGAGTGTCTCACTTTGGAGTTGTCTTTTTTGGGTTGTTTGCTGCCGGATTTTCGGTAATGCTTCATTATGTTAACGTCAATATGACTTGGTTGGGCTATGTTTACACAATGATAATTGGTCCTGGTGTTATTCCTTTGGTTCTTACCATAACTTGGAGTAGACAAACTAAGCTTGCAGCGTTTGTTTCTCCAATCACAGGTTTGGTATTTGGATTTACTGTGTGGGGATGCGTAACTAAGAAGATGTATAAGGAAGTCAATGTGACTACCTTGGGAAATCAACTCCCATGTCTTTATGGAGGTCTTACAGCTCTTTTCCTTCCCGCCATAGTCAGTGTTGTTTTGAGTTTGACTATTAAGCCGTACACTTTCAATTGGGAATTATTGAGAAAAGCCCATATAATTATTGATGAAGGTGAAGACACTACCATAGATACCAATGGAGATGTCACTGTGATTCCTTCAAAAGAGAAGGAGGTAGGAGCTGTTGAAATTAAACTGGATGACCCTAGTTCTTCTGAACTGGTAGACGTTGATCAGCACAATGATAGAGTCATTGCGAAATACACGAAGCTAGCATATGCTAGTTTTGTATTCGTGCTTCTCATCACATGGGTGATTTGGCCATTACCATTATACAGAGACTGGATTTGGAGTGAAGCATATTTTAAAGGATATGTTACGGTTGGGCTTGTTTGGGTATACTTGGCTTTACTAGTGATAGGACTTTTTCCTATTTACGATGGCCGCCATGTTTTGAAAATAGTGTTAAACGGAGTGTATAGAGATTTTTTCCAACGTGGACAAAAAGCCAACTAGGTTGGATTGCGATTGAAAATTCTGTTATTAAAAGTGTGATAAAAGTGAGAATAAATATTGAAAAGTAGCTAGATCATTTGTAGATAAGCTCAAAATTGCATCCGCTGAATATTAGTTATCGGGAATCCAAACGGGGAAAGAAGATCCCTGAATTCTTTTATCTTGGCTCTCCAACTGCGTATCCACATTAGAAAGGTGTTTCCTCACTGAGGGAAGAGTAGTCGCACCTTAAAGGCGCAATGCTGTATTATGGGGGGGAGGCCTACGAGTGATTTATTATCTGGTGAATAACTCTTTTTCACAAGTTTAAGGTATGAAACCCCAGACAGTATTAGTGGTAATTATTAAGAGTTTCTTCTGAATTTCTGCCTACTTTTGAGATTTGACATACAAATTTACAATATAACTTACACAGATAATAACCCAGCTTTTTTGAAAGCTCTTCTACATCTTTATCAGTAGACCGGCTTTTCTAATGATTAATATGACCTCCACGAGCTCTCGACTTCGTCAAACTTTCTCTTGCCAGAAACTCCTTTTAAATTTTCCCTGTTTTTTCTTCTAGAGCTTCTCTGCCTCTCAACTTCACGTCTGGTGATCTCTTCTGGTGTTAAAATTTCAACAATAGGCTCCCAATGGTCGTTACCATTATTGACACTGCTTTCAGTTGATATTCTGATACCTCTTTCAAAAATCAATCCGCTCAATTGTTGGTATTTTTCGAGTTCGTGGTTCTTTCCTTCTATAATCTCTCTCTTCAACCTAGAGATAACTTCATGTAGAGAAGTTGCAATGGCGGGCTTGAATTCCAATGATAATCCCATATCCGCCACCACTATGTCAGCAAACATTTCTGGACTGACATCGGTTTGGGTCAAGTCCCATTCAAATCTATCTTCATATAATATTTTACCCAAACTCACAGCCAAATTGATGATGACATGATACTCCATGTTCGATGGTAGTTGCAAGTTGGAATATTGCTTGTATTCTTCAATCTGCTTTTTGATGGATTCTACCATTACCGAATGAACGGACGTTGGGAGTTCAAGGTCAGTAGCAGCAATGCTAGCAAATTCTTCAGGCAGAATTAAGGTTTGGTTTAAGTTCCACATAAAGCAATCTTGGTACTTTGAGTTTCCTCCATTATAATCAATACTTAGTCTTATGGGAACCAACACATCATCCAGATTCTTAACTTCTTTTAAGTTTTCTTCACTGTCAAGATCTGATGGATATTTTGGAACCCTGACTGGTTTTAGTATGATCTTATTGACAGCACTTTCATTTGACTGATTGTTGGATTGCTGATTGGAAGTCAGTGATGGGGAAAAGTCATCGTCGAAGTCATCTTCACCTCTGTCGTATTCCGAGTAGTTGACTTGTCTTCTGTTCCTGGTGGTGGGAACAGTGGTGGTTATCAAGGCACTATCCAGGTCCTTATTGACTCTAGATGCCAATCCACTGGCCAAAGCTTGGGGAAAGTATGTTCTATTATTGATTGCAGCGGAACCCATACCCAAGTTTTCAGAAGTTGTTGATAATTGAACGCGATTTTTTGAGAGTCTTACACTCAAGAAAAAAATTGTAGTTAGATTTGCCAACAGCAGCAAGTAGTAGTTGTGTGTAGATATGGATGCAAGCACCATTCTTGAAAAGTTTTTTGAGTCTCGTGCTGACGTTGATGAGATAATTAACCCCAATCAACTAAGAAAATGGTTCCCTAAATCAACTAGCTCTACAAGTTTACAAATCTTATATGAAATATTGCATGAGGATAGGAAGATAATATTACAAAGGGTATCTGAAAATATTAAAAGCGAGTTCAAAATACCGCTAAGTATCGATGGTACGAGTATTAATCCCAATAATAATGATGCTAGCACTGCTTTAACTGAAAAATACAACATGTCACTGTTTTTGGAGCATTTGAAAGATATCGAGAGGGTCTCACTAACTCAACACAAGGTTCTTGACGAGAAAATTGATGCTTATAGTAGAGATATCGAGAAATTGTTAAGTTTAATCAATGACGTGGGTGACAAACTAGATCGAGATGACGGGTTGTCTGCATCATCGAGTTTAGGGGCCGTTAATACACTCGAGGCCATTATTGATGGCGGCAAATAGAAGAAAGAATAGACAATTGACATGTCTATACATCATTTATAATGACTAATGGTTTGAAAAGCGTGTTTTTATGTATTATAATGGTGACATGTACTAATAGCTGGATGATTAAGAACGAATAAATAAATAAATAAATAAGTTATACATTGACCTCTTGGTCGAATGTCTTGTACTTTCTTTCGATTTCATGCAACTTCTTCAAATCTTCCTCTTCTAACCACCTCCAGGTTTCGAAATTCCAATTCAAGTCATCTCTATCACCTAATTGGTAGTTAGTTTCAAGGCCCCCTGATTTCATTGGTTGCAAATATATAACTCTTTTGATTCGTGAATGAACCAAGCCCATTGAGCACATCACACAAGGTTCATGGGTAGTATACACAACCAAGCCATTCAATAGATAACCCGAGTCAAACTCAACTGAGTGTGCACTTTTCTGAAGTCTACTTTTCTTTTCATTTTGTGCTACCTGCTCGATAGCCAACATTACGCTATGATGCAATGGATGTGCAAGTCGGCAGTCGAAGCTGGTAGATACGATCTCTTCATTGTTAGGATTAACCACAATTGTAGCGACTGGAAGGGTGGGTTTTTTGGATTCGATTTCTTCTGTGGCCGTTTCAAGGACATCTAATAATTTTCTAATCATTTGTTTCTCTTTCACTATATCGAACTTCACTTCTTTGAGAAATTGGGCATTAGGATCTCCTCTCCAGGACATTGGCCAAAACTTTTCCGACCATTCTAAGGATATCTCTCGAGTGGTTGGGATATTAGAAGGAATTTTGACTTCGTTGATTTGATCAGATGTCATTTCACTAATCTCAGGGTCAGAGTACTCATGAATGAGTTCAAGAATTTGATCTTTCGTGGTGAATAGAGAAGATGAACATAGTATCCCATCTAAGCGGAAGTCTTTCCCCGTTCCAATTTTCTTTAATCGTTTAATATGCGTGAATGTTTGGGGTTCGTATGGGGTAATGCACTCTCTGATGAACTTGACAAAAGCTTTTGTTTGTTGAGGTTTTAGCCGACAGCACCAAACGCTTGTAAGTCTTGGAATATTGGCATCGACGTTATTTATCTTGGAATACTTGATTTGTTTAAGTTTCCCGTATATCACAGCTTTTTCAAAGTCAATATGGGGGTGGTCAACATCTTTTATTTTAGCCATCTTTTGGGAATTTTCTATTATACGAAATGATTCTCTGAAACTTGATCGAAGCAGGCTTGGGACTAAAGACTCGAAGAACTTCTTATATAGCATTAAATCCTTTCAATTTTGATCCGTATAAACTATATTATTGCTAAAACGGATTTTCTGAAAGTTGGTGGGTGCTTCAATGCATTTGAATATATTCGACTGCGAAAGCCCGGGGTAAAGAAAAAATACCACAAAATACACGCTCCATTATATGAAGCAACATTTCCGATTGATTGACTATTTCTCAGAAGTGGCAGGTATCTCGCGAGATGATATTATCACTAAATTAGAAAAGCATATTACTATTCAAGCGGAGGTCGTGAAAGTGCTCCAAAACACAATTGTGGTTCCAGAGAAGGATGATCTCGATCTTTCACACCATATAAAAGGAATCTCCGGGAGTGATTCTTATATTGAGTTTATTGATACAGTGATAATATATGTTTCAAGCAAGAAGATCAAAAATTGCATATGCGACGGGTATGAGGATCCTGCTAAGAAATTGTCATACTCAGCTGACTATTTCAACCCATATGGAAGTTTCAAGGTGAACGTCTTGAAGAATAAACTTTGGCAATGCATCTACAATATTGTTGGCAAAGATAAATTCTTGGTACTTCTATTGGGAACAAGAGTGTACATTCGAGGAGGGAATGGAACTTATATTCAGTTGTGTGGGAACGAGATTCCCTATTCCTTCAAAAATTTCGACTCCAGTTTGTCCCAATTCGTACCCAACTTCGACATACTACCCGAATCCGTTCAAGAATTAATGATAGAAATCTTAGGGGATGAGGGTATGGTAGTATCAAATCTTCCCAAAAAGTATAATGGTTTCCAAGATGTATGCTATAAGGTCTACTCAAACCATGAAAAATGCAACTATGGTCAAATTCTCAGTAATTTAAAGTCTAAGATTGATAACTCCATGTTGGACCCAACCACAGTCATCAAAAGCGATGTTGGTATTGTGGTGAAGTTTACTCTTATAATAATGGGCAAAATTTTTGGGGGTTTTGTATGGGGTAATAAGAGAAATAAATCGGTTATCTCTAAAATGACCATCAATTACGTTAAGTATGGTGTACGAGCCATTCCAAGTGACATAAATCTCCGCTCACTTAAGTCATTCTCACTCAAGGCTGTTGAATGGGTTGGTACCCAACTGCGTATAGCCAATGTCCAGGACCTAAATATGAGACTGTCGTTGATAATAAAATTCATTAGTTGGTATTTATGTACGTTTCTTAAGAGACTTGTATGTAAATTCTGGAAAAGGATTCCTAGAAATGCCCCAGGAGGGAAGTTTTACATGGAATATTATCCAATTGAACAATGGTCCATAAGATCCAAAAGATGGTTGAAAGAATACACCGATCTGTTTTTATATCCACTGAATGGAGAGTTGACTAAACTGAGCGATTGTGAGAACAACTTCGTTGGTTCTACGAAATTAATACCTAAAGCTGAAGGATTTAGATTACTTTGTATACCACTTAGGTCTCGTCCTTTAGCCATGAATCAACAAGAAGAAGAGATTAGATACAATGTTCATCTCAGAAACTTTGTTAAACCATTGCAATATCTAATTATGACAAAGGATCGAGAGCTTTCTAAATCGAGAACATTTTCCCACCCGAGGTCTTTCTCGATCCAAGATGTTGCCAAACATATTAAAAACTTCAAAGGGCAGCTAAGTAAGTGTGGAAGAATGGATAAATTTTACATCTTGAAGTTTGATATGAAGCATTGTTATGATAATATGGATCAGGATCGTATGTTATCTTGCATTGAAAAGCTTTTTGAAAATGACGAGGATAATAAGACGTACTTTGTAAGGAGATACAGAGAGAGATTTATGTATTCCGATGAAAGGGATAAGAGCAAGTTCATTGTGAACGATCTTGAAAATTTAGATCTATTCAATGTTGATAAATGGGACGAAGACACCAAAATACAATTGGGAAATGATAACAAGGCTTTGGTAGATAAGTGTGTGACAGCAAAGTTCAAGAAAAAGGAAGTCATAGATGCCGTTGATGACTACATTAGAAATTCCGCCATAATCGTTGGAAATTCTTCACTAAAGCTATACAAGAGGCGAAAAGGTGTGTTCCAAGGATTTCCTCTTCTGGCAACCCTTTGCAACATTTTCTATAATCAGCTAATAGATGAGGAGTTGAATTTTACCTTCCAAGAAGCCAATCAAATTTCAACTTTGATTCGTTTAGTAGATGATTTTCTTTTCATATCCACTAGCCAAGAGAATTGTCAAAAGGTGTACTCCAAAGTTTCCAGTGACGAATTCAAGGCTATCGGAGCGATTCTAAGTGAGAAAAAAACTAGCTGGATTGAAGGTGGTCTTTCATTACGGATAAACGTACCTGGACAGGACGATGAAATAAAAGATGAAGAATCCCAATTATCGTTTGTTGGGCTCAGTATAGATCGAGCTACTTTGGCTACTAAACCGTTAGATATTTCTGATCCTACAAGGTTGGTATTGGAAAGGTGCAATAATTTTAAAGAACTTTATTCTTTCCTACTTTGGTGGTACAAAGCTCAGTTGAAACCGAACTTGATAAGTTTGGAATACGCTCCTTTTGAACAACAACATGGGAATCTTAAAGGGGTTTGGAGAGCTTTGATAGACTCATTTACATCCTTAACTGACCATTTCATCAAAAATGGCCACTCTGTTTCAATCCACAACCACTCATTGTTCATCCTCGGAATTCTTGAAGCAACTTTGAACAAATGGAACTACACGAATAAGCAAAAATATAACACTCAGATTTGCAACAGTTTAACTAAACTTCTCACAGATCAAGCCACAATAGATAAACATATAGAACAAGTCTGTTATATATTACATTACTTATAGGATATACATTTGAATGGTGACGTAATAGTAGTACAGGGTATGAAACAACATATATATGTTCAAAGTTAGATGATACCACCCATAGAGCTTTTAAGGTTTTCTGAATCCTTGAGCTGTCTTTGCCTTTCAATTTCATCAATTCCTCCAGACTTTCTCAACTTAGAATCATCAATAAAACTGCCTAGTTCCTCTTGAAACTCTGTCAAATCCATCATTTGCTTGTTCTTTTGCCTAAGTTTTTCAGCTTTATTGATTGCATCAACTCTGCTTTCATGATCTGGTTTTAAAGCAGCCACTTCACTCAAAACAGCATCTTTGATACTATGAAGATTCTCACCTGGTTCAGGGATTGGTAAGTTAGCAACCACTTTATTTCTTCTATAGCTGCTCTGTTTGCTCTGCTCCAATGAACATTGTTCTACAAGATCAAATGTTTCCTGAATCTTGGCAAGATCTTCTTCTAAATCTTTAGTCAAATCATCTTGAAGGTTGAAGAATTGTTGCTCTTCGCAGACTCTGTCGAGTTCCGCTTCCCAAATCTTTTTCCATACTGTCTTCTCCTTGTTGATGAAACTAGACATGTCCTTTAGTGAGTCGCCAGCAGCCACAATCTCCTTCATTGTGGCCTTCAACTGCTGTGCGCCCACTCTGACCCCACGTTGAGCAACATCTTTTCTGAGACCTTCCATCACATCTTGTAAATCATCAACCTTGGTCAATAGACTATCAGATTCCTCAGATAATCTTCCATGACACTTTTCCATGTATATTCTGTTAGATGATTTTGTGGCATCGATACCACTCTCTTGAAGATGCTTGACTTTAGAATCAATATTTTTGACAAATGTCAGAACAACACTCTTATTAGCCCCTTGAAGCTGCCTGATCACCTTCAACTCATTCTCTATAGAGCTGACTTCCTTGATCAATTCAGAAGGGATTTCTGTGTTCTTAGTAGCTAAACCATTGCGTGATATATTACTGACGGACAGGTCTTGGTCATTTTTTAGTGAAGCAGAAGGAATAGGTGTAGGTTGTTGAGCAGAAATCATAGGGATCTCGATCGATTTCATCGAGCTCTTTATAGTTGCTTCTATTAAACCACCGAACGAATCAAACTTACTCTTAAGTTCCAGCACTGTCTGTTCGAGCTCTTTGAATGACTGATTATTATGCGTGCTATCATCTAAAGTTAAAGATCCAGTATCGTCAGCAGCTGCATCGGAATCCTTCCCATTAGAATAGGTCTTGGATTCGTTTAAACAAAGTAAAGTCCCTGTTTTGATATCACTCAAATATTGATCTTCTAATTCGTAAGAGACATTGGTCTTGGGATCCACAATGTAAATTTCAGGGAAATCTGAAGCTCCTGGTGAATATGCAAATTTTTCAACGAAAAGAAGTCTTAAAGAAGCAAAGCTGACTGGCATCTTTATTGGAGCTTTCTTGGTTTGGTCCTCGATCTTTAAGAAAATATACGTATCCTCTTTTTGAAACTCGTCTATAACTTCTGTCTTGCTTGAAGAGACCCTATCGCGCATAGAATCTCTAATGGATTGTATCAGCACAGAACGGTTATCTCCAGGTGTGACCTTTGGTAGTGCATTAGTAGGATTTATGTTCGCTAGCTTTGCGTACTGATAGGCACTAAATCTTTTTGAAGCCCTTCTCTGAAGGAAACTTTCATTCTGAAGTTGGCTAAGGGCATCTCTTTCAGTCTTGGCTTCTTTCGATACTTTCTTCTCCGGTTTTTCTCTAGAAGGCTTGGGAATAGAATTAGCAATAGGATCAGCCAAAGGAGGAGGTTGAGAAGGGGGAATGCTCTGAGTTTGAGGCCTACTTTGTGGAATTGATTGAGGTGAGGAGTCTTCTGACATGGATTCTAGGGACTTCTGTCTCCTTTTTATCACTTTAATCTGTTCTTTCTGGTCCTGAGGTGGGCTGTTAGAATTAGATCTATCTCTATCCTGAGCAATTAACTTTGCTTTATTTTGCTTTGACTTTAAGTTCTGAAGCAAAGAAACAATGATATTTTTGATATTAGGCAAGAATCTGTTTAAATTCTCCTGGCTAGGAGCTTCACTCAAAGCACTTTCTAAAATAACCCTCAATGCTTGAGGTACATCACCAATATCACTTATATCAACACCCGCATGATTAAAAGCTCTACTGGCAGCCCTGAAATCGTTACCCAACTTAACATAAGCATCAGAAACAAATTTATCGTCAACCTCTTTCTTAGCCCATTGAGTTAAACTTTCTAATAAGTGTTTAGTGGACACCAATAATCTTGTTACACTTGATTCAATGGAGTTTGTAGAATGCCTCTTGCTCGAATGTTTCGATCCTTGTGAAACAGCAGGTGAATTGCTCATTATTTTCAAGGACGCTCAATGTACAACTATGATATGCTGCTTTAATTTGTACAAATATCTGCTGTGTTCTCAAACACCCACAATATTTTGATCTCAGAAAATTACAAGTAACAGTTTTTTTCTCGCGTTTTTTCGTGAGTGGAGCTGCAAAATCTATATTAACTACACAACAGATTAGCACTCGGAACCGTGAAGCTGAACCAATCTTTCCTTTATCTCGGGTTTGACCTCCCAATTAGATGTACTTTTATTGTAGTTTGCCAATTCTTGGATCGTGTGCTTTAAAGTGGCTTTGGTGAAGCTACCAAACTCTTCCTTACTCTTAGAGAGTTCAGTTAATGTTCCTATGGTGAATTTGTTATTCTCTTCCAAAAACTGCATTAGACGGAAGACGACTTTTTCATCTTTTATTGTAGATTTTTGTGGTGTGAGTACATTGGCCTTTGTAGGTGAGCTTCCTTTAGCAGGTGAAGAAACAGAGCTGACTTGAACCAGAGTCCCTAGGCTTTGTATCTGGGCAGCAGATGACTTGATATTGAAGTAGTTGCGAGTAGGATCAATACCAAATTCGATATTAATATGCAATCTTTCATATTTCATGCCATTGAACATAGGATTATTGTCATCATTCCATTGGCATATAGGAACCAATGGACCCATAAACTTTTTCTTTCTCTTAGCGTCATTATCAACAAAATCGTCCAAATCGTCATCGGCCTCCATTTCATCTTCATCTTCATCCTCGTCTTCATCTTCATCAATATCTTCACCTTCCCCTTCTTCTTCTCCATTCCATTCCAAATCCGAATCATAATCGTAGTCATATTTGGTGGTTGAGGTGTTGAATGGCTCAAATATAGGAAAGTTCATTCCCAAGTGTTCCTTGGAACACCAGGTCCCTATATAAGGTGGTTTTTGGTTTTCGTAGAACTGTAAGTATTTAATGCCAGGAATATTTTGAAGCATTTGGTAAATTTCGTGTTCAGTTACATCTGATGAATTAAGTGCACTAATAATATCATCGGGGGAGGTTGCCTTTTTGTAAGAGTTCGAAGTATTGTCTTTGGTTGGTGTAAAGAAAGCTGTAGCTTCTTCGAGAGGAGCCTGAGATTCAGATTTTAGAAGCTCGTCATAACGACTAATAGCTATAGTCAAAGTACTCAGGGATAATTGACGACTTGGAGCCATCATCACAGTCTTTTTCTGGAAAAATGGTAAAAATGTTTTGTTGTAAGGAGATTCTGATATTTCTTTAGTCACTGTCTCACTCTTATCTTTCGCTATGACAGCCTTCGTTGGTGTTCTTTGGGAATTTACAGCGAAAAAGCTGGAGATCTTTCTTTGACCTTTTTCCCTTTCTTCTTCAAGCTTAAGTCTCTCTTCTTCCTTTATACGTTCTCTTTCTAATCTCTCTTCTTCTTTTCTCTTTTCTCTCTGGAGACGTTCCTCCTCCTTCTTACGCTCCCTTTCAAGACGCTCTTCTTCTTTCTTACGCTCTCTTTCTAAGCGTTCTTCTCCTTTCTTGCGCTCTCTTTCTAAGCGTTCTTCCTCTTTCTTTAGTTCTTTCTCCAACTTCTCCTCCTCTTTCCTTCTTTCCTTGGCCAACCTTTCTTGCTCTTTTTTTTCCCTTTCTTCTTCCCGCTTGCGTTCCTTTTTGAGCCTTTCCTCTTCTTTCTTACGCTCTTTCTTAAGTTCTTTTTCTAGCCTTTCCTCCTCCTTTTTAATTTCTCTCTCTAACTTCTCTTCTTCTTTCCTTTTGAGCTTGGCCAATTTCTCTTGTTCTTTCTGCTCCAAACGCTGCAAACGAAGTTCTTCCTTTTTTTGCTTATCCTTCTGTAGCTTTTCCTCCTGTTTTTGAAGCTTGACTTCATCTGAAAGAGAATTCTCTTTGTCTTCATCGTCGCAGTTTTCAATGGCATCATCTAGGATATCGTTGTCTTCAATGATAGTCAAATCAGGACTCAAACACCTTCTCTTAGAAGGCAGAAAATCTTCTTCGAGAACAATATTCAGCGACTTTAAGTCACTCTGAACTCTTCTCTTCCCATCCATAGACGCCTGTGGTTCTTTGCTTGGGGTCATTACAGGCGAGCCAGTTTGAGCTAAAGTGCTTATTTTGAACATCTGTTTTCCAAGTTACCAAAAACCGCACACGCGTTTTGTAGGCTACGCGAATTGTGGTTGCAGAAGTACGATTTGAGATTAGAACGCATCAGACTTCAGAATGTCAAGTTTAACTATCAGCTCCTTTGCGGTTTAGAATTGCAATGTGTTCACTCTATAAGTTTCGTAAAGATAACACACACTCTTCCCTTATTTCTCCAGAAAAATAGTCGTATCGTCTCTTACTTTCTGACGAATGCACATACTTTGAGCCTTTAGTTGGCCAACCTACATTTTTTATAGTCATGCTTATATTTAAATAGGTATACAAAAATCATTAAAGCAGAAATGAAAGATCTGTCAAGTAGATAAGATTATTAATAGTCTGGAATGTCCAAGTGAAAGAAAGGCGTATCGGTTGAAACGGCTGAGAAATATTCTGAATCCAAGTCAGCTTCCAAGTCTTGGTCAGTTGCTATGTTCACATAAGTAGTATTACTAACCAAAGCATTGTTCTCGTAAGAACCGAAACCAGCATTAAGCAATCCTCTTCTTATCCAAGGAGAAAGAATGCCGGAGAAGTGAAACTCAACTTCTCTGTCAGTATAAATGTTCAAAGACTTTCTCAAGTCAACTAAAGTTTGAATTCCAGTAACATCCGTAGATGCAACGGTACTGAAGTCAAAGTGGACAATTCTCAAAACTGGTCTGTCATCAACAACGTCTTCGATGACATCGTTTTGCTTCTTGGACCATGGAAGTTTGAATTCCAAAGGACCAGGATCATTCCAAGGTCTACTACCTTTGTCCTTAGGATATGGTCTACCACGTCTAGTATGCTTCTTGACATAGTCCAAAATCTTATCAATTTGACGCGAGGCATTAGGATAGGTGAAACTTTCAATAGGTTTAAACACAAGGACCCCATCAGGTGGAAGTTGCACATCCAAGTTTTTGTTGACGTTCTTAGTCGACAATGGAACCCATCTAGTGTGAAACTTAATGTTTGGATTCTTGGCTAACAACTGTTTCGTACTGGTGTCGAGTTGATCGACTTGCTTTTTCTTGTTGATGTCAGAGTTGTTGGATAACACTTGGTGAATTTCAACATCACGGAAGGAGTCAGCAGAAGAAGAACCACTGCCATCGTATTCTTTGGAGTTATCATAGCTCTTCAGGTCAATAATTGGATTTATAACTTCGGCGACTTTAACCTTACCCAAGAATTCACCATTTGGCATGGCAACTCTAAATAACAAAACAGCAGCAGAAGCACTAATAGCAAAGTAAATACCAATTTCAATAGTGGAGAACACACAGATGATTACCGCAATCAAAAAGATACCAGCATCAATAGGAGCAATCTTCCAGAAGTTCCAGGTGGTCTTGTAGTGAGCCATCAAGTCAGAAACAGCGTGAATAATGACTGCGGACAAGGTGGCCTTAGGAATGTAATAGAAAGTGTCAGTCAAAGTGTACAACGCCAACAACACAACAGCACCAGTGAAGATACCAGCTAAAGGAGTTCTAACACCACACTTGTTTTTCAAAGCAGATCTAGAAAAAGAACCAGTAGCAGGGTAAGCAGCAAAGAACGTACCGATCAAGTTATTGACACCGATGGCAACCAATTCTTGGTCAGGAATAATCTTATAATCGTTAACTCTACCAAAAGATTTAGCGATAGCCACATGTTCCAACAATAAAATGATAGTAGAAGCAGGGATTTCAGAACCAATTTCGCCCATGATTCCATGAGGAATCTTCATAACTCCCACATGTCTCAAACCAGAGGGAACAGTTCCCAAGATTTTGACAGGAGGAACGAATTCAGCAATTGGTCCAGACCATGCCTTCAATTTAGGATGAACAACACCCCAACAAATAGCAGTGGAAACAATCAACACGATGGCATTTCTTAAACATTGCACGTAGAAGAACCACAACTTGTATTTTGGCCATCTCTTCTGGCCAAATTCAGTGAACCATTTCCAGGTGTATAAGATAAACAAACCGACAAGACCAAAGGCCGCATCGACAGTGGTGTTTGGCAAGTTCTTCAACGAGTTGATGACAACCAAGTAGGTAGAGTCTCTGGTATTAACAGAAGAACCATATCCCATCAAAGCTGGTACTTGACCAGTCAAAATATTGAAAGCAGAACCAGTCATGAATCCCATAACAGCTGGGACAGAGATGAACTCCAAGATGAAACCTAATCTCAAAATACCGATACCAGCAGCAATACCACCACAAATCAATGACATGAAGGTAGCGATTTCAGGAGCTGTGAACCTGTCACCATTTGCAGCCAAAACTTTAGCCACCACTTTACCCACTTGGGTAGACATCACAGCCACTGGTCCGATACTCACATCTTTAGAAGTAGCAAAAAAGGAATAAATAAACACCCCAACAAATGAAGAATATAAACCATATTGGGCTGGCAAACCAGCCAAGATAGCATACGACATAGATTGAGGAACCAACACGATACCAACGGTGATTCCAGCCACCAAATCTCCGTATAACCACCTACCATTATAGTGAAGAATCCATTTGGCAATAGGAAACAACGATATCAAATAGTGTAAAAATTTTTGTACAGGGTTTGCAAACACAGACTTACCATAATCTACCACGGTAATTTCTGACTCGTGATATTCTGGCACCACCACATTGGAGCTACCTTGTTGGTACTCCTCGATCTCATATTGGTGCTTTCCAGGGTTTGAAGCAACATGACTAAGATGCGACGCCACTGAGAACAACTCAGGTTCCTGGTCCTCAATATGATTATTGTGTGCCATTGTTAACAACTAAACTGTCAATGAGCCGAATAATGAGAAGGATATCTGATTTTATATATTTTTAAAAGGATCACTGTGGAACAGAGATGCCAATTTCGCCATTATGAGACTGCAAAACTGTGAGAAATTTTTTTGCATCCACAATTATACTCGGTCATGTGACCATCCAAAGTGAGGCTACGAAGTATGGCTGACATTATTCAGGGCCCTATGAATTGAATCTGACTGTGGAATATACATGCAAGAGAAGATTGGATTGAATAAGCACTATAAGTACCGGGGGTTTTCACTTAGATCAACGATAAGGATGTCTAAGTGAAGTGAATCTAGTTCATGGCTTAATAAGATCGCTGGATTCGACCTTTGCACGTGATGTGGAGCAATAAAAATAAATTTCTGATATCTTCGTTTATGCAGTTTTGGTTGTGGAACGTTTAATCGGGGCGGGAGATTAAGCTCTAAAGGACCAGATAGGCATGTATAAGCCTGTAAAATTTACCTGGCACGGCGTTCCCCATTTTTCTTTAGTACCATGAAACAACTGGGATTTGCAAGACAAGATATGGCTCAAGTGCTCATTTCGTCTGAGAAAACGCAATCATATATTCTCTATTCTAGTAAACCTACTCTGTAAAAGGCGAACAATTAGTGAATCTTCAACCCCTTTGAATTCTCTTCTTCTACCAAATCAACCATTTTCCTATACTCTTGTTGTTTGAAACATTGATCCAAGAAAACCTTGTATTTGGCATTTAACAACTTTCTATCAGGATGATTTTCATCACTAGGCATAATGACTTTACCTGGTCCAGTTAACTTGTCCATCACCTTCCACAACTTACTGCCAGGGGAGTTGTCTTTGGTTTTGGAGTCGATTTTGCTCAAGGGTTTTAAGTTCAAGGCGTTGAGCTTCTGGGATAAACCTTGCTGGACCTTTTGCTTGGATCCAAATGACAATGTTTGTTCGTCTTCAGAATCATCTTCATCTTCATCGGAGAAAGTCTTTGGAGCACTCTGGGTTGGTTGATTAAAGTAGTCAACATTTTCTTCAGCCATAGGAGTCATGGAAGGAAACTGGTGATGAGACCCCGATTGAGATGATGCATAAGCCAAAGCAACCATGTTTGCAGAAGAAGCTGTGGCGGTTGGAGCAGTGTATGGAGAATGAGCTCCTCCACTCGAGACTTTGTTCAAAGAAGTCTGGGACCGTTGAGACTCCAAGATTGAGGATCTTCTGGTGATTTTTCCTTTGGAGTTAAGGTGTTCATTGACAGCATCTTCAGCAGCAACAGCTCCCAAAAGAGCAGAACCAAACACCACGGCAGCATCAATGTACCTTGGAATGATGATGGGCAAACCAGTGCAGTCAGCCAACAATCTCATCAACAATCCATTCCTACACTGACCTCCGCTCATGAAAATACAGTCAATTTCATGGCCAGCCTTTTCCATTTCTTCAACAATTTGCCGGGTCTGTTGAGCAATGAATTCACAAGCACCAAAGTATTGAATAGCCAAAGCGTTAACAGAAGAATCCATGGATTGTCCAATGATGGAAGCTCTCATTCTTGGGTCAGCAATTGGAGATCTATTACCATGGAAATCTCCGTAAAAGAACATGTGTTTTGCCAAGCTTACCACTGACCTGGTGTTGTTCTCCACCACCAAGTTTTCCAAAATTAAGTTCAAGTAGTCAAACTTGGATAAGTTGGAAGTTTCAGCCAAGTGGTTTAATTCATTAGAGGCAGGGTGAATAGACAAGACGTGGGCTAGCAAGGCACCAGTACAAGATTGTCCACCTTCTGCACACCAATAATCCTTAGCCATAACATCCTTATAAGGACCCCAAACACCCTGAACAAAACAAGGGTTTTTGGTCATGGCAATATGACAGGTGGAAGTACCAGCTACAGCAGCCAATCTTCCACAGCTTGTAGCAATAGTTCCATCCCCGGATTTTTCCAAGAGATGGGATACTTGAGGATGGTCAACTTTAGCAGCCACGGTTCCAATCCATCCAGCATAAGCATCAATAACTCCGGATCCAACAATACATTCAGTAGTCAATCCTAACTCTTGAGAAGCCTCGATGGTCAATTTACCAACCACGTCACCTGCACTCAAGAAAGTCCCATTCTTGTGGGGGATACCACCCAATCTTCTAAAGTCATCTTCCACTAACTCTCCTAAGTCTAACGAAAGTAAAAATTCCTTAGACCAACCGTCAGTAGATCCATCGACACCAGGGGGAACCAAACCTTGCTTGCAAACGGTGGAACAGTATGATCTAGCTTCGGATCCAGTAGCTTTGTGGGTCAAGTAATCAGCCAAATCGTAGAATTTACACTTTTCAATTCCACCTGGCAAGTTATGCTTTAACCACTTCATCTTTGGCAATTCCATTTCAATGGACATTTGTCCACCCACGTACTTCAAGCACTTGTCATTTGAGGAGTTTATGCTGACAGTTTCCTCTTCAGCTCGGTGGTCCATCCACAAAATGATATTCTCTTTGTGGTCGGTGAAATCAGGACCCACCCCAATTGGGGTATCGGTTTTTTCATCAATCACCACCAACGAGCAGGTGGCATCAAAACCAATACCGAATACATCGGAAGGGTCAACCCCACTGTCTCTTAAGCAGTTCTTGACACAAAAACAGATGGCATTCCAGATTTCTGTAGAGTTCTGGGTAATGAAATTGGGCTTCAATTCGTGTCTAGTGATGGGCCTTTCACTCAAGCCAAGAATGATCCCATTGGTGTCAATGATACATGCTCTGGCAGAACCGGTACCCACATCAACACCAACGTAATATACATCAGGCTGAGGAGGTTGTTGAATGAAGTTGAACACCGAAGACTTTCTGGAGCCCAAAGAAGTATGAGATTTGGAAAACGTTGGAGGCATCGAAGGATGTAGCAGAACAAGTACTTAGGTTTCGAAGTTAATAAACTGGATAGATCACCGTATTTGAAGCTCTTGTTACAACTGGTTAGAAAGCAATTGTGTGTTCAAGTTGTTCAAAAGCAACTAAGATCGAAAGACGGCGAGTAGATCCGTATGTATTTCGCGGGGGGACTGTATACGGGCACGGAGATTTCTGGAGCCCAGATATGTGAGGGATAGTCAGGGATTGCTGGTAGTTAAGAAGACACCAAAAGTAGTCAACGATAGAGAGAGTAAAGCAGAGATTATGTTGGTTTTTTCAAGAGTTTAGGGCAAATAATGCGTCTGTTTTTATGGAAGATCTTTGATATTGGCTCGCCCTGGAACAATAAATGGGAGAAAATATCGGGTGCGGAAATAGGCGTGCAGGGGGAAGTAAACAGGGGGACCTGTCACGACATAAATAGCGAGATGCGACAATTTCAAGTGAAGCTTGAGAAAGATTACATGGAGTGGGTATGCTATTAATATACATCTATTATACAGCTGAAAAGATGAGCTATATTCATCGGAATACACAGTGGAGGGAGCCTGCCGATGTTCAGTGTTTCAATGGAGGGTACTTGTCTACAGCATCAATCAAAAAATCGAATTGTTCGGTGTTTTCTACAGCAGCTCGAATGTGAGATGCGCTGATTCTCTTTGAACCTGTCTTTTTTGCTTCTTTGATAGAAATGACTAGGAGGTTCGCCATAAAGATTTCCAAGGCACGCCCCACTACCACTGGCGTTGCCTGGGCCACTTTACCAATGTCTTCATCACTCTGCATGATTTTCTTGATTCGGGCGGCTGGGAAATGAGTTTTGATTTTCTCAAAGTTCTTGATTATGTCGTCTTCCTCGAAAGTAGGAGCTTCTTGTAGGAGATCTTCGTGGGGCTGTTCTTCATCCGCTGATGGATTGTACGTGTAGCTCGCATCATCATCAGACGTTGGGTTCATTAGATTCGTGAGGTCGGCCATGATGCAGTTGTAGTTTTTGTTTTGCGGATGGTCGCGGCCTTTTTATAGTGAAGATGGCAGCGACAACCTTTCGCACTACTCGCACCACAAAAGAATTGGCAACTTGAATCCCTATTAAGTTAAGAGGTCAATTTCTGAAAAGGCTTAAACTCCAGTGCAAAGGTACACAATTGCTGAACCAAGCAGCCAATTACAATAATATCAGAACTTGTACACGTATAACCCCCAGCATTTATATCGCTTGGAGGTCCTGCAACTTTTCATGCAGAATATGTCCCTGTTTATGGACGAGATCGCACCAGATGTGGTGACTCCTGGTGATGTCCACCAAAAGGAAATCAACCAACCGTTGAAACCCCTAGATACCGTGATAGCCCTTTATGACTTTCCAGGAACTCAATCGTCCCATCTTCCTCTAAACCTTGGTGATACTATTTACGTTCTTTCAAAAAGCGAAACTGGCTGGTGGGACGGGGTAATAATGGGTGCTTCAAATGGAGACCTTACGAGAGGGTGGTTTCCGAATAACTACGTTCGTTCTGTTAACTATGTTCAACCAGTGCTTAACAAATTGAAGTCAAATAAAGAATTGGACTCGATTACAGCTGCCAATACAGCCGCTAATGTGCTCATTCCATCTTTTACCAATCTTTTGAAGAAAAACCTCTTTGATTCCGAAAAGAATTCGCCTGTAAACTCGACAAGAAAGAATTCTGTGGTGAGTTTTGCCAGTTCCGATGCTTCAGATACCAAGTCCGACAAAGACAGGCTCGATGATAGGAAAGAAGAGTCTGAAAAGTTGAATGTGATACCCAAGGAAGAAGCCCCTTCACTGTTACAGACCCCAATTGCTTCTCAAGACACAAAGTTTGCATCTATGAGCTCAGAAGCCACTTTCGATGAAGTATTTAGTGGCTACCATTCTCCTATGACACCCGAAACCCTCAGATTCAATCCCAGCTTTGCAGAAAACACGGAAAATAATGAGATAAAGCTAACTCCTCCTTCTTTGGCAACCATTTTATCGGAAAACTACAGAAAAGAACACAAAAAGACACCAATTTGGATTCATAAACTGACGAGAGAGGGTAACTTAGTGTACTATTGTCCACAATTGGATGTTTACTGCGAAAACCTACCTATGTTGAGCCTATCAATACTGGATTTAAGCAACATTAACTTTGAGATTCCTAGCTATTCCATTATCAATGACTTAAATTTGATTAATGATAACCCAAATGACATAGGGGTGCAAGGTAATGATGGGGACGAGGCGGAAAAAGAGATGAATATATTCAAGAGAGACTCAAATGTATCCATAAATTCTATCAATTCGACGGTATCCTCATTATATCACCATTTCGATCATCCGCTTTATTCTATGGATGGGTTATTCTACTATCATGTGACTGATATCAAATCTTGGGGATCTTTGAGCGAAGAATTCAATTATATATTGAACTTGTCATACAAGGCTGTGAAGGAAAACAACAAATTGCTATTTCACAAGCATTTCGGGAAATTAAACAAATTGTTGTCAATCTTGAATTCCTCTGTGAGGTTAAGCCAGCATGATTTTCTGAACACCAAATATGAACACTCAATCAAGAGGAAAACCAGAAGAATAAGTTCGAGTTTCAGTCAGATTTATATTAATTCGATCTTGCTGTTGAGTTACATGCACTACAGTCCTCGTTCTTCTAAAGCTCAGTTATTCAGCTTTGATTTGGGCAAATTGAACAAATCAACCAGCACTAACTTCAACAGTATCTCAACAACTGGTTCTTCAATTTCTACAATAGCCCAGCTACCCATTAATTCCCTTCGTCCTGATGATGCTGAAAAGGAATTAACAAATTTGCAGCTAATTGAAATCGAAATGGACAATATCAAAAACAACTTGGCTCTATTGACTAAATTGTATTCCAAGATCACTAAAGACAAAAAGTTCCAAGTTAGCGATTACGATGGCTCAAATTCGGAGACCTCTGAAACTGAAGATGATGATAAGCAGGACGAAAGGAAAGCTAGGATCATCGACTTCGAAGGAAAGGAAAGGCACAACATTTTGCCTCAAAATTATCCTCGGTTGGTTGCAAACGAATTCAATGGAGGAAACTGGTGTAATCCATTTTTTGAATCCGGAAATCCTATATTTAACGCTAGTGGGAACGATTTGAAAAACAAATACCACCAGAAGGTTTTGATTGATAAGAGAGCATATAAGTCTGCAAAAGGACTTGTCACAGAAATGGTTAACATTTCCAACCAAGTCTTGGAGTATTTACTGCCAGAGAATCAAAACTTGTATTACAACTACAATTTGAAAGATGAGCGAAACACTGCAATTTTGAGGCTTTCATATAAGTATCTTCATTTTGCAAGCTCCGTGATCGACCTCATTAACAGCTTTGATTTCACGGTATTTTGTTTGATAAAAAGATTTAGCTCACAAGATGAAGAAGAGCTGGTGGCAATCATGAATAGATACAAGGAGACGGATATTGCGATGGAAGTTTCTGAACCTATCACGCACGAAGTAAACACTGATGATAACGAAACTTCACTCGAGAAGAAAGGCGTGGAGACAAAGGAGGAGGTCACTTATCAAGACGAACAACATGAAGAAGGGGGAGAAGAGGGAGACCAAGGTGAAACATCAGACAAGAGGTTCAAGAATGGTGTACTGGAAGACGACAAGAATGATAAGTTTACTTCCAATTTGACCTTTGATTATCCAGTTGTTCTCGAATTTTTCCACAAGAAGCAACAATTGCATTATTTGATCACAAATATTATAATGACCACTCAATCATTGACCTTGGAAGATCCAGACGTATTCAGGGGAATAAAAGATGATGACAATCCCTTGTTCTACAATCGAGATGCTATAAAGAACCCCAAGCAGAAGGCAACAATTTTATTGTCAAACTTAATGATCAAACAAATCAATGCAGAGAAGGGTGATTCTATATCCCTGAATGCGGATACTTTGTTGTCCAAGCTCTTAATTGATGGTATCAAGTTCTACAAAGAGATTCTTGAATTGATAAAAAGTTTGATTGAAGAACGGGAAACCATCATGAATTATGCCACCAGAGTCATGCACGATGATTTCAATGTCCAATTGTTGGTTATCGAACAGAATAATACTATGGGATCTGATCAAAAAGATGATTTGAATAATTCTTTTGTGACCGGCAAAAAGAATGCTAGAGATTTGCCATGGTACTTGGAAGGAGATAATGAATTTGACTTGTTGAGTGATGTCAAAGGCAATGTCAAGGGTGGTACTAAGGAAGCCTTAATCTGCCATTTGACTCATCACGATTTGTTCGATAGCAACTTTAACACTGCATTCTTGTTAACCTTTGCCAGTATAATGTCTACCAGTGAACTTATCAACTACTTGATTCTCAGATTTAACACTGAAGCCCCAGAAGGATTGAGCTACGACGAGTATAACAATTGGGTTAGCAAGAAACAGGGTCCTGTAAGAATAAGAGTATTGAACATAATGAAGTTGTTACTTGAAAAATACTGGTCTGACTCGTACTACAACGAATCTTTGATCAACAAATGGGCGGCATTCTTGCAATCCAACTTGGCAGCATCCTACTCGATTTCCAAGACTTTAACCAGTCATTTGAACAAGCTTTTAAGAGGAGAAAAAGTAAGTATAGAGAGAGAGCCAGTAATCTCTAGCAGTAGGCCCCCAGCACCATTGATAAGGTCTTCCATCGTGAAAAAGTTGAAGTTATTGGATATTGATTATGTGGAATTGGCCAGACAACTTACTATAAGAGAGTTCAAGCTTTACTCGAAGATAACCAAATTTCAATGTTTGGCTAAGGTATGGAATAAGAAGTCTGGGTTAAAAGAAAACATTGACAGTATCAGCAATTTTATCAAGGCATCCAATCAATTGACCAATTTTGTGGCCTATATGATCTTGAGGAAACAAGATATCAAGAAACGAGTTCAAATAATCCGTTTCTTCGTGCAAGTGGCCGAAAGATGCAGGCAATATAACAACTTTTCTTCCATGACTGCCATTATTAGTGCCTTATATTCCTCACCCATACACCGGTTAAAGAAAACCTGGAAATACGTTTCCAACGATACACTCAATCACCTTGAAAGCATGAATAAATTGATGAATTCGTCAAGAAATTTTAATGAATACCGTGATGTATTGAAGTTCATTGGATCTGAGTCATGTGTACCATTTTTCGGGGTCTACCTTAGTGACTTAACGTTTGTGTTTCATGGCAACCCTGATACACTACTTAATAGGGCTCGGATGGTAAACTTCAGTAAAAGAGCAAAAACTGCCGATATCTTGTTGGGACTTGACCGGTTCAAGCTGACAGGATACAACTTACTCCTTGTACCCGAAATTCAGAAGTATTTGGACGGTTGGTTTGATAAGTGTCCTACTATTGAAGAACAATACCAATTGTCGTTGAATTTAGAGCCTCGTGAGGCAGGAAATTCGGGTTCATCATCCACAGTGTCATCTAAGCATAGAGGAACATTCACAACTCCCTTCCCATTTTCAAGAACATGAGGTGCACTTTATAGGGCATATTAAATAATCTTATATAGCCAATAGTTCTCACCAATGTAAATGCGGGCTCGAGTTTTGATCCGGCGCGACTTAAACACTAGTGTACTGACACCTAACAATGTTCAATCGATTGAAGAACTTTTCGGAAGATGTGGCCAAGAGTTTGAATGAGCTCAATGAGCAGCCCAAGGAGCGTGCTACAGGGGTATTGAAAGCCAATGCGCGAGTTTTAAACACCAAGGCGCCCGATGAGAAAGATTTGGTCCAACCTCAAGATGAATCTGCCGCCAGCAGTCCTCCTCCAACAGAAGGATCAACTACGACACCAATTCGTGGCTTGAACCTCGAAGGAGTGGACATTGATTCATTGCCAGCAGCTGTTGTGGCCAAGCTTCGAAAATTTGTTAAGTACGAGGAGAAGTATCCCATTCTTCTTGAAGCATTCAAAGTTGAAAAGAAGAAGTCAGAGCTAATACGGATATTCGAAACAGTATTAGAGCAACACACCCCTATTTCATCAATTTCTGATGCGGACATGTTGGTGGACTTCATCAAGGAATTGAATGATAAGAACTCGTTGTTGAACGAAGAATTGAAAACACAAATCCTGGTGAATGCGGGACTAAAGCGTGAGAGGAATAACTTGACACTGGAGCTCAAAAAGCTCAACGAGCAGATTGGTTCGGCTAAATCACAGAGTCCCGAGGAAGAATTAGAGAAGCCAGAACACAATTCAAAGATGACAATATTGGAATTGGAAGCAAAGAAATCTGAGTTATCTTCTCAAGTCAACACCCTAACGGAAGAACTGAAGGGCTTCAGGGAGAAAGCTGAATCCTTGAAGATATCTAATGAAGAATTTAAAGAGAAGTTGGAGCTGGTGGGTGGAAAGAACAAGGAATTGTCCCTTTCTATCGACGAATTGACGAAGAAGAACGAAGGATTGGACCTTCAAGTTGAAGAATTGCAGATCAAAAACAAAGATCTCCAGACAAAAATAAGCGAGTTGGAAGAAAATTCAAAGGTGGTCCAACAGATGAGGTCAACTGAGAACGACTTTGACAAAGTTAATTCTCAGTTGGCAATAAAAGTAGCTGAGTGCCAAAAGCTAGAAGGGAAAGTTCATGATTTGGAAAGCGAAATCGAGGAGTTAAAGAAATCAAAAGAAAAAGCACCAGTATCTGCACATGTACCAGAACCATCTTTTCAAGTTCAAGATCTCAAGCCAAATGAGGGTGCAAATAAGAAAAAGAAGAACAAAAAGAAGAAGAATAATAACAATAACAAGCTTATTCCTGAAACTAGTGTTGAAACCAACGTACCAGAAGTAGAGACCAATGATACTGACTCTTATGAGATCAAGTATAACGAATTACTCCAATCATACGAGTTAGTTAAGAGTGAGTTGAAGACCAAGAACGAGGAGATAGAGAATTTAAGAGATCTGTTGAAAGAGATTGGCCAAGACTTGACTGAATCAAGAGCTGCTATCAAAACTTTGAACGAAAATAGCAAAACCATTGATGAATTGAAGAAAACAAATGAATCAAATGCCAAGCTCGTAGAAGAACTCACCACAAAAGTACAGGAACACGAAACTCAAATTAAAGCCCTGAAAGAAGAGAATGGCAAGTTGAAGGTTGCAAACGATGACTTGAAACTTGTGAGTGAAGAGCATAGCAAACTGAAGAGCAAAGAATTGTCATGGAAACTTCAAATAGAATCATTGAACAGCTCCATAGAGCACAAAGAACAGTTGATCAAGCAGAACAAGCTTAAAATCACTGAGTTAGAAACTGAACTCAAAGGCTTAAACACCAAGGTTAATACTCTTAATAAGCTCAATAAAGAGTTGAATATCTCTAATAAAGAGTTGGCTACTTCAAAGAGCGAAATTACTTCACAGCAGGAATTCTCTACTGAGAAGTTGAATAAGTTATCCAAAGAGATTAACAAAGTCACGACCGAAAAGTTGAACTTAAAAAACCAATTGGAGGAAATCAAGAGTAAATTCGATCTGGTGATGCTGGAGAAGGCAAACTCTATGAATGAGTTCCAGTTAATAAAACAACAATACGAGGAGTTGAGCATGAAGCATAAAGAGGGAAATAGTAGAATTGAGAGCCTTGAAGAAGATCTTGTTGAATCAAATAGGCTATTACAAGACCGGACCAACGAGTCTAATGCGATCAAGAGAATTATTGTAGATAAGGACGAATTACTTGAAAGCAAGAGGAAAGAACACGAATCAGAAATAGAACAGATCAGAATCCAACACAATGAGATTACTGGGGAGTTAAAGGCCACCATAAGAAAACAGCAACGGGAAATTGACGAATTGAAATCCATCAATCAGAACTATTTGTTGAAGTTCAATGATTTGGAAAAGAAGTACAACGATTTTAAGAGTAAAGAAAGCAGAAAATCACCTGTTTATGGTGAAATCACCCGCGAGGAAGACGACAGTGACTACAAGGAGTTGATAAAGTCATTGAGAAACTCGCTCCAAGCATCAACTAAAAAAATCCAAGAATACGAGAACTTGAATGGGGTGTTGAAGAAATTGCAAGACGAGTCAAATTTGAAGTTTGAGAGACTCTCCAAAAACTATAAATTGTTGACCCAGCAGTACAAATTGCTTGAATCAAAGAAAGAAGTGACCTCAGTTACACCTGTTATCAACTCCCGGTCAAGTTCTATTTCCCATTCTCGAGCTACATCCATTGAAATATCCAGGTCCAACTCCGTGAGTTCCAAACCCGAGGAGACGACTGCAACTAACGTTGCATACTTGAAGAATGTACTCCTTGGATTCTTCGAGCATAAAGAACAACGGGATCAACTTTTGCCGGTGTTGAAGACGCTTTTCAGTTTCACACCCGAAGATGAAAGAAAGCTCTTGTTAGCGTTAAAGTAGATAATTTCGCGATGAGCTTAGAATACACAAAACACTCTTATGTTAGATCCGTTTGAACAGAAAAAAAGACAAATTCTTCAGGACATCTCTGGAGACAAAGATTCTAGTAAGGATCTTTCTCCCAAAGGAACTATTGACGAAAAATGCATTCCTATCATAGATCTTATCAACAGTAATAAGGATATGGTGACAACCTCATCCTGCTCCGGAAGAGTGAGCGTGTTTATAGAAGGAATCAAAGACCACACGAAAATTGGATCAAAGGGTAACGAGGGAAGATGGTTATATGTCAATCACAGTCCAGATGTTCACAACTGGAACGCCAATTTTGAATATGAACAAGATCTTGATACATTTCCAGATTCACCCTTGACAAGGTTTATTCTCTACAAGTTTGAACCACTAATTTTGCATGTTAAGTGTCGGGACTTGGCACTGGCACAAGCACTATATAAGACAGCAATGAACTGTGGATTCAGAGAAAGCGGAATCAACAACAACAACGTTGTGGCCATTAGAATCTCCATTAAACTCGATGTTCCTATAGGGTATTTGCGTGAAGAAACCCCAGTTTTGACCGTGAATGAAAATTATTTGAAGTTCATCACCAAGTTATCAGTGGACAGGTTCATAGAGAACTTTAAGAAGCTCGATCAACTATACCAGGCCATAGAAATTTTGAATAATACTGTTGAGGTGGCAGAGGAGCAGAAAGAAACTAAAGACCAGAGAAGACAAAGGAAGATTGAGGAAGGTATGGCTCGTAGGGACGGAGTACGGCTCGCAAAAGAACAGAAGAAGCTCGAGAAGCTAGCATTACAAAACCAGAAACTGTAGAATAATAGAAATAAGATATTTGACACAACGTCATGAGTCAGTATGGTGAGTCTTAGTGCGAATCTCACCACGTTAAAATTTTTCATCCTTAAACATGTCGGAACCAGTAGAAAAACTTGAAAAGCTTAACCTTGAGGAACAAGCAACCGAAGCTTCACAAGAACCAGTAATATTAGGAGAAGACGGACAACCTTTGAGCAAAAAGGCTTTGAAGAAGTTGGAAAAGGAAAAGGAAAAAGCTCGTAAGAAAGCTGAAAGGGAAGAACAATTAGCCAAGGAAAAGGCTGAAAAGGAAGCCAAATTGGCCAATGACCCTGCTAAAAATAACTACGGGAAGTTACCATTGAACAACTCCAGCACCAGACCTGGAGAAGTGAGAAGTCTTTTCGCTAACTTGAGTGCTGCCAACGATGGAGAATCAGTGATTTTAAGAGCTAGATTACACAAATCAAGACAACAAGGTGCCACCATGGTGTTTGTCACTATGAGACAACAACAGGAATTGGTACAGGGTTTGATCAAGGCCAACAACGACAGTATTTCAAAACAAATGGTGAAGTGGGCCGGATCCATAAACTTGGAATCCATTGTGTTGGTATACGGAAAGGTTAAGAAGGTAGATGAATTAATCAAGAGTTCCACCAAACAAGACCTCGAAATTATCATTGAAAGAATCTTCACCATCACTGAAACACCGGAACAATTACCTATGTTGATTGAAGATGCCACCAGAGGTGATAAGGAAGCCGAAGAAGCTGGCTTGCCAATTGTCAACTTAGACACCAGATTGGACGCCAGAGTGATTGACTTGAGAACCCCTACCAACCAGGCAATTTTCAAGATCCAGGCTGGTATTTGTAAGTTGTTCAGAGAGTTCTTAGACTCCAAGGGATTCACTGAAATCCACACTCCAAAGATCATTGCGGCTCCATCTGAAGGAGGTTCCAATGTGTTTGAAATCACGTACTTCAAGGGTAAGGCCTACTTGGCCCAGTCTCCTCAATTCTATAAGCAACAGTTGATTGCCGGAGACTTTGAGAAAGTCTACGAAGTGGCCCCTGTTTTCAGAGCTGAAAACTCCAATACCCATCGTCACATGACTGAATTTACAGGATTGGACTTGGAAATGGCGTTCGAAGAGCACTACCATGAAGTTTTGGACGTTTTAGAGGAATTGTTCATCTACATTTTCACCAACTTGAAATCCAGATACGGAGATGAGATCGCCACTGTTAGAAAGCAGTACCCGGTTGAAGATTTCAAGTTACCTGAAGATGGTAAGATGGTCAGATTGCACTTCAAGGACGGTATTCAGATGTTGAGAGATGCTGGAAAAGAGGTTGGAGATTTTGAAGATTTATCGACCGAAAACGAGAAATTCTTGGGTAAGTTAGTCAGAGATAAGTACAACACCGACTTCTATATCTTGGACAAGTTCCCATTGGAAATCAGACCTTTCTACACCATGCCAGACCCAGAAAATGATGGCTACTCTAACTCCTACGATTTCTTCATGAGAGGTGAGGAAATTTTATCGGGAGCACAACGTATTCACGACCCTGAGTTATTGAAGGAAAGACTTAGATTCCACGAAGTTGATCCCAATGTTCCAGGTATGGCTGAGTACGTCGATGCGTTTACTGCCGGATGTGCTCCTCATGCTGGAGGTGGTATTGGGTTGGAAAGAGTCTTGATGTTCTTCTTGGATTTGAAGAATATCAGAAGAGCCTCCTTGTTCCCCCGTGACCCTAGAAGATTGAAGCCATAGATGTAGTACCAATGTAGTTAGCAGCAATTAATAAATAAAATCGTGTTACCATGGAAAGAGCGCGATTCTTATCGCAGACGACAAACCAGAAAACCTGTCGAGAAACCAAGCATTAATTTTGAAAGCAAATATGGAGGGAATGCTATTACCCAATCCAAAGGACCTGAATGCCACTATATTATTGATGGGACTCAGAAGAGGGGGCAAGTCGTCCATCTGTAAGGTGGTGTTCCATAACATGCAACCACTTGATACGTTGTACCTTGAGCTGACATCTAAGCCAACGACAGAACAGTTTTCTTCATTAATAGATTTGAGTGTAATGGAGTTGCCAGGGCAGTTGAATTACTTTGAACCCAATTACGACAGTGAAAGGCTCTTTCAGAGTATCGGGGCGTTGGTGTATGTGATTGACTCTCAGGATGAGTATTTGAATGCTATCACTAACTTAAGTATGATCATCGAATACGCCTACAAAGTGAATCCTAAGATTAATATCGAGGTATTGATCCATAAGATTGATGGGTTGAGTGAAGATTATCGGTTAGATTGCCAGAGAGATATCATGCAGAGAACAGGTGATGAGTTATTGGATTTGGGCCTTGAAGGTGTGCAAGTGTCGTTTTATTTGACGTCTATCTTTGACCATTCCATCTACGAAGCATTCAGCAGAATTGTTCAGAAGCTTATTAACGAGTTGCCGTCGTTGGAGAACATGTTGGATAATCTTGTAGAGCATTCATCCATCGAGAAGGTGTTTTTGTTTGACATAAATTCCAAAATCTACGTGGCCACGGACTCTTCACCGGTCGATATCCAGACTTACGAAGTGTGTGCTGAGTTCATTGACATAACCATAGATTTGGACAACTTATACATTAGTGAATCGCCCAGTAATGGTGCAAGTAATGGTCAGAGCAATGGAGAGCCTACCTGTGCTAAAGAGGTTAAGTCTATAAGTTATCTTAACAATGGGTCCATCCTATACTTGAAGCAGATGATCCGGGGCTTGGCATTGGTGGCATCGATAAATAACGAAGATAATGACGAGTTTAACAACAACTTGACGTTAATTGATTATAACGTCAATTTGTTTAAGAGCTCTTTGAAGAAAATGTGGGAAAACTCGAGAATACAGAGCTAGAGACAGTTAGTCAGAATGTATTTATCTAATGGAATATTATACACGTGAGTATGAGTTGGTGTAGTAAGGTAATGTTTTGTTACTGCAAAATGAGGTACAATCAATTTGGTGAAATTTGCAAAAAGCTCAAAAATCTTGCAGCCAATTCACAAGCAGAAACATTTGTCGTGTATGCTAAGATGCAATCATAAACCTCCATAAAACTTTATCTGACTAATTCTAGATTCTACAGGCTTCATACCCGGCATATTATCCCCAGCATACGCAATTTCTGTACAACTTTGTGCTTCTCTGTAATGCTTATGGTTGGTATGCTGCCCAAATTAGTACTTGAAAAAATACATTTAATCTTCCATGAAAATTTCAACTGCAAAACAACATGAATCAACATATGTCAGATGAAGATTTCAGTACGTTTCTCTCGTGTCCTGAATTAGATATGCTTCTAATGGGAACCGCCAACCACCAACTATCAGCTTCTGCAGACCAAGAAGAAATTGTTCAAATCGGTTGGAACCACAGCGCCGACTCTCAGATTTTCCCAGTTCAACTTAAACTGACTCTTCAAACGACACCAGAAAATGCATTAGTGGCTCCTGACAGCAATGAATTTGACTACAGGTTAATGGAAATGAACGTACCAGAGATTTCTTCAATCATGATGGCAGCAATGAAAGACAACGAGAATTTCCAGAGCCCACCAGAATCCACCTCTCGAAGGGATAGTGGGAGTCTGGATGTAACGTCCAACTTGCCGCTGCTGGTTTCTTTGACACATATGTCAATATTTGAGGTTGACGAGCACAACTTTGACGTGGCCCAGTTCCAGCAACAAATTAGATCTATGATGACAACGGAAGGTTTACCGAGTGTCATCAAGATGTTATTAATGTCCATTCTCTGTTGTGGGCAGTCGAATCACCGCATAAGCAGGGGGTTTATGAACAAGGTTTACGAGTATCTATTCGTCGACGAAGGCCAAACATATTCGCAGAATATGGAACAAGTCTGTGCAACTGTGAAGGTACTAGAAGATACCGTTGGAATTCGTCCGTTGGTGGAGGTGTTGAAGGAGTGGAAGCGAAACACTAGCCAAAGCTGGTTGCAAACGCAAGCCCAGAATTCGCAGCCATTGCGACCAAACAGGCGGCCCCAATCAGAAATCACCCTGGCAGTAGATCGTCTAGGCCGATTCAGCCGCAAGAAACCCACGAGGATCACGCCTCTAATTAGTGATTGTCTCTCTATCACGCGAGACGAGGCTCATTTCAAGAAAATAGCTGGGTACCATTTGGCGACATACCAAGGGATTTTTCTTGACCCCATAGCCGACATCTACGCCGACATCCAAGTTGAAGACACGCGAGTGCAGGCACTAGAAATGCCAGTCCTAGCCCGGGTACGGTACCTCCGGGGGACCAAACAGTTTTGTGGGGGGGAGGAGGGAAACCCGCTTGTGGACACCCATTTTGCGATCGTCACCAACAACCTGCAGTTCCAGTACGAAGACATGTACTCACCCGAATTCCACAAGTTGGTAGGAGTGGATGGGAAGTTGGACTCTAATAAGTGGGGGTTATGTCCGTATTGCCCCCAACCGCGGTTCATTTATATGAAAACCAGTGAGTACGGACAACACATGTGTAAGTACCATGGGGTACTAGCGACACGGGTGATTCCCAATCCGGTCAACTACGGGATGTACGACATCAGCAAGGCCCACAGCAGTCGTGCGCGGCGAAGGCCCGGGGTGGTGTGTCCAGTGTGTCGTGAGATTATTGAGTTACAATGCAGTCGCAGCACTCGACAGCAGACATTTCTCTCGTACTTTGAGCATTTTACTACACATCGATAGAGGGGCTCGGACTTGGGCCTATGTCTCCGCGCCGGGACCAATGTCGCGAAGATTGCTCCCCCACGGACACGCCCACCGTGCGGCGTGACCCGATCAGGAAACCATAACACTTTATACCCCGGACTCTTGTCGGTGAGTTAATCGGACACGATAAGTTATCGTGAGGACAAGGAAAGCGTTTCCGCAGCAGGTACACGGTGGTTCCCAGATGTTGGAACAGAAGGCCAGTTGGCCACTAAGTACGCTGATTTCATTATTTATTATCATTATCAATGTATACTATAACACTGTTTTGGCTAATGCCAATTTTTCTGTTTACCAGCACTCGTATCCACCATCAGCAACCAAGTTGTGACCGGTGGTGTAGCTGCTGGCAGAATCACTGGCCAAGTACAAAATACTTCCCACGAACTCTTTTGGCTCTGCCATTCTCTTCATGGGGATCTTACTCTCCCATGCTTCCTTCATCTCGGTGTGGCCGCTAATGACGTTTCTGGTCAATGGCGTCAAAATGTACCCAGGACTCAAGGTGTTGACTCTAATATTGTATTTGGCCCATTCACAAGCCAAGGATCTAGCCAAGTGGATCACACCCGCCTTGGACATGTTATACATACACTGGGGTTGAGGGTCATTGACGATGGTTCCACTCATGGACCCAATCAAAATAACCGATCCTCCCAAGTTGTTTTGGATCAAAGGTTTGGCGAACGCTTGTGACACGTAAAATGCTCCCAAGCCATTGACCTTCATGATTCCTTCGGCATTTTGAGCTGGGTACTCTTCTGCAGGGAAGTTTTCACAGTATCCGGCGGTGTTGATCAACAAGTCTGCGATTTTGCCGTGCTTTTCGTTGATAGCTGCAAATGTTTCTTCCACACTGGGATAGTCTCCAATGTTACAAGACCAAGCGGTAACCTGTCCGATAGGGAAACTGGCGCCTTTCAACTCTTCTTCTCCCCATTGGACCACGTCCTTGGCGGCCTGTGTGGTTCTTTCCAAGTTCATGTCAATTAAGGCGATTTCAGCTCCTTGAGCCAATAAGGCTCTAGAGATCACGGATGCCAACCCGCCTGAACCTCCAGTGATAATAGCAACTCTCCCATCCAATCTGAAGCTAGGGACCACGTTGTTGTAAGAAAAGTCCATTGTTTAATGCTAAGGTTTTTTTTTTGTATCTGTTAAAATGTACTGTGGAAAAAATTTAGAAATGGGTCATCTGTTGAGTTTATATAGATTATCCAGCAGCGCCTGCACATGGGGGCTGCAAGCAGAACAAAAAGAATTTCGGAGGAAAATTTTTTGATGGAAGAAAAAGAAAAGTGGCAGGCGGGACTAAAATGTCGCGCTGCCCCCATGCACGCATCCGTCATGATCATCGTTTGCGGTTTGCAAGCGGCGCCGATATCCTCAGGACAGGGGTACCATCAGACGTGCAGGGATAGACATAGACATCATTCATTAGGAGAGGTTGCTATCTTGCTTGCTGTTTGCATACTAAGAGAGTATGTCCGATATTATTGCCACCACTCATATCGCCTGGCTCGCCTATGCAAAATTTGACTTCTGTAGCACTACCAACGGTTTCCCAGTTGGTCAAAAGTTTTTCCGGGGAGCGTTCCTCTATGATCTCATTGTGATGTAATCACGCAAATAAAATTTCATTCTCGATATCCAATCTACATATGCAGGGACCCAGATCTCCAATACCTTAGTTTAGCAACAAGATATTTGGTAGCATTGGGTTGAAACTAATCGGTCTTCTCCTTGGTGATGCCGTCCTTGATGAACTTGAGAAACCTGTCTCCGTACTCCGAGGCAGGCAATGACAGAACCGTTTCCCGAGTGTGACTGAGAGATCTCCAAAACGTCTCGAGCCGCTTTTTGAGAGAGTAACTGGTCAAAAAGTCAATTACTCCGAGATAATAGATGTCGCTTTCAGGCTCGTTGTTGACGTTGGTGGAACGAATTCCTCCGTCGTGACCGTAGAAAATGAATTTCGATCGACCTGGGTACACGTCCGTAGGAAGATCGGTGGGCTCGATGTACCGGGGGTTAGTTTTGATCACGTCGTGCATGTCGTGTGATTTGGGGTCGAATATGCTGAGCTTGGTTTTGGTAATGGACCCGCTGGTTTTATTTTTGGTATTGTGGATTCCCATGAGAAGGGAGTAGTCCATGACGTTGATACGTTTGAGAAGCTCCACGTCTTTTTGAAGTTGGTCCATAAACACCTTGCGCTTATGGGGGCCGAACTTTATGGCTTCGTGGTTTTCGAGCCAGTTTAAATCCTTCAACGGCTTAGTTTCTGCATCCTCAGCCTTGGTATATCGGCCCCATGTTGATCCCTTTAGGTCATACTTCAAGTGAATGTCTCTGTGGGGTGGGAAAAGGTTGTTCATCACAATAAAATGGACTTTTCTCTTGACCCCGTTGAGTAAAGGCATCTTCAACCGGTGTAATCCGTATATTTGAGAAATCAAAGTATTGGGATTCGACTTCACATGGCTGTAGTATTCCTTGAGGATGCGGCGGAGCTGTTTGTGCTCTGAGTGGTGTATGGTTTTGATGATGAAGCGGAAATCTCTCGAATAGTAGAAAAATGACCCGCTCTTCCCCGGTGAACCCAATTCTGAAAGGATATATTTGCCAGTAATACTGATTAAATAATCCGCTTGGTCCAATCCAAAGGTACTTCTCAAGTCCCTGAATACTTCAGGACAGTAGTCCTTAAATTTGAAGTCATACTTTGAAGACGGCGTCATCTCGCTTCCGTCAGTGTTAAACGTCAACTTCGTGTATGATTTGAAGTCGCTGTCCGATATTTTTTTCATGACACCAGAGCAACGTGACACAGCCACTCGGATGCCCGTAAGCATGTTATAAGCCATAACGAAGTTCTCGTGACCCTCACTGATTTTGTTCCCGATCAACACCTTATCGTCGTCATAGAACTTCTGCTTGTTCTGGAGTTTTTTCAAGGTCAAGTTCCGTTTGACCAAAATGGACCCTCGCATGCGACTCACCTCCGTGTTGACAGAGTCCACGCTGGCGCGAGCCATTTGGGTGCCGGTATTGGTGACAATGAGGTTGTTATCAAAACTCTGTCTCTTTTTGAACTTGGTCATAAACGTATTTGTGGAGCTAATCGACTGGTTGTCCAACTTGTAATTGAATATGTCATTGGTGGTGTGGCGCCTGAGAAAGTCGGGCCCACCTGACCCATGGTGTGGTCCGTTTCCTGGTCTATACTTGCTCGCGGACTGGAGCTCTATGATTTTATCGGTTTCAGAACCAGGATTGGCGTCTAGCTGGGACTCATCGGCTCCTTCGTGGGTGTTTGCCACTTTGTGGTGGGGATCTATCTCGTACAAATGGGACGATTTCGTGATGGAGTGATTGGAGTTGTTTGTAATTTGGTCGTTAGCGGAAGACGGAGACGTATCATTACTTAGAACGTCGATGTTCAAGTGTTTGAGTGAACTGGGCGTCGATGGCAGTATATTTACATCTGAGGAAGATATAGAATGCTTTTTGGGCGGCTGGATGGAACAACTGGAATCAGGGTTCTGTCCTACTATCTCTGCCCTGAAGCTTTGGAGTTCAATCATGGCATTCGGTTGCCTGGAGACGGATTCGAACAGGGTGAAATGAGTTGGAGATTTGTATGCGTATGTATGGATCCCGTTTGGTATGGATTTGGGCTTCGATACGGTGGGTGTTGGGGGTTGACCTGTTCGCCAAGATGCTCCTTAAGTTTTCGACTAGATTTTTGTTTGTGAAATTTGTGGCATTGTGTTGGTGCGCGGACATCAGATGAGACTCATAGGCGAAACGGCGGCAGCGGGTGGAAGGAGAGAAAAGAGAAGAGTGGATGGGGCGACATTTGGGAAGATGATGGTTGGAAGAACAGGGTTATGTGGGTGTGAACCTGGGTCTAGATTTTGAGGTTAGAAGGCAAGGTGTATCTGTACTGTTTATCGTCTAGACCAATTTGTATTGCCTTAATCGTCTTTATTGCCTTTAAAGACTTTATTACCTTTGTGTATTCCATCCCCTGATGAAGCCGGGTATGTCAATTCCGGCCATTGATTGAGCACTATATACTTTAACTACACGGGTATTCAATTACTCACACGGCTATGTATGAGCTGGCTCAGTCACATATTGGATAAGAAGTAGGTGTATGGGTCAGACCATCCAACTATGTAAATATCGAATCACGTATTACCACGCGTAGAACAAAGCTAATATAATCTATGGGTGTAGGGGTCAGCATCTAAAGCTCATCCGAAAGCTGCAAATTATGCGATGAGGGCCGAAGAGGTTATGGCGAGCAAACCGCTAACTCCGGGCACCTCACCCCTGTTAGTAGAGGTGACTGCCGTAGTATCATGACAGGTAAAGTTCAGGTACCTGATAGGTCTACCCCCACATATCATGACGGACTTGCACTGTCATGGCCTCATGTCCAAGTGGATGGGTTGCCGCATCCGTCGTGAAGTTCCCGGTCGCGGACCGCCTATCCGAGCCATAAACCATCGCGAATATATCACTAATCCACAGGCCCTTTGCCATCCTACTTATATCAAAGCACTCCTTCTTGGTTCAGACATTCCTTGGTGTGACTGCAACGCATATTCTCCCGTATAACCCCATATTATAGACCCTCCGTGTGTTATCTAATACACCTACCACCACAGACACATATCAAGATGAGTTTTTTCAAGCGCTTTGTCCCATCGATAGATAAAAACTTCCAGCAAGAGCTCGAAGAAAGGCTGTTCGAGCAAAGTGAGTGTCCCATAGACTGTGGAACGTGTCACTTCAAATACCCGTCCTCCATCAAGGTGGACGAATCGTCCAAATTGTGGAACTCATCTTCACCATACGATATACATATCTTGATACCCACCAACAAAAGCAACTGGGAGCACAATGCGTTGGACGACGCGTCATTGCCGTTTGTCCAAACATTCAACAAGTGGGTCGACCATAACGCCTCACGCATCAGTGGGTTGCCCAAGCATAATGTCAAGGTTAACGTGTGCTCGTTGAGCTCACCCGGACTTGAAAATGACCCCGCATACACGGACGGTACCAAGGGAGACTTGTTAGTGTTGCCGCAGTTTGTGTGGATCCGGAATGTCGACACTTCGGATCTCGACGCCGTTCTCCCGATATTGAGCAACTTGGCTGAGGCTACCACCAAACTGGAACTCCACTTGGGCCAAACCGGAGGCCTTGAGGTGCTGGTGGATCCCAACCAGTCGTGGATCTTTCTCTGCTCCCACCGGACGCGTGATAAGCGGTGTGGTGTCACGGCACCCATAATCAAAAAGGAAATCGATACATACACCCGGGACTTGGGATTCTACAGAGATTTTGGCGACGAGCGCCCTGGTGGCATTCAGGTGGCATACGTTAATCATGTTGGCGGCCACAAGTATGTGGCCAATGTACTAATATATTTAAAAAGCAGCGGGAAAATGGTGTGGTTGGCCCGCATTGGCCCCACCAACGTCAAGCCCATCATCGACGAATGTGTGCTAGGTGGAGGGAAGGTGTGGGTAGATAACGTAAGGCTCATTCAGAAGTTCAAACCGGTTGATTGGTAGAACCGAAGAATGTTCAACCGGGTGATGAGTTGCTTCTTTTTCTGAGGATGGATCAAATGACCCGAAGTTTGAAGGAGGTTGCTGAGCCTAGTGATTTCACTGGCAACATCTGGAGCCTTATCGTGTAGATGTTGTTTATAAGTTAATTTATGGAAAATCTTGGAATAGTAACTGGTTGCGAAATCAGATGGGTCGAGAGACTCGAGAGACTCGAGAAGCTTAACCGCCTGGGCCTGGGACCGGATGGCAGAAATCTGTGATTCGAGGGTCAAGTTTCTTCCGGTAATGGAGTTCGTGGCATCGGGGAGTTGCAGGTTGATGAATTTCACGAGTTCAGAAAGGTTGCGATTACCCTCGTATTTGACAGGTCGCTTTAACCCGTCCGAATCTACGCGGGTAGGATCAAAGTAGAAGATAGCCGGAATGGTTTCTATTCCGAATTGTGCCCTAAGTTTATCGGTGGTATGGTGCTTATTATCGAGGTCCACCACCCCGAACTTGACTTCCGGATTGGTTTCAAACTCTGTCGCCACCTGGTTGAAAATCGGCTTGAACTCTTTACATTGACGACACCATTCACCCGTCACTAACACCACAGTGGGTTCCGAGGAGTCTAGCACCAACTCCCGGATGTTGTGGTCGTTGATGGAGAGCATATCCTGAGGTCCTACCGATGCTTCAATTTGAGGGCTGTCAACCTCATTGACGCCGGTGGCCAATTTGATAAAATTATTAATCGACTCAAAGTCTCGTGAACCTTCGTAGAAAATAGGATCATCTTCGTTGTGGTAGAGCCCAAGAGCCGGGAACCCATCCACATTATATTTAAGGACCAGTTTCCGACCTGATCGTTCCCCACCGTTCAATTTCACCACATTTACACCGGGAACCTTCTCATACGCCGATGCCAACTTTTCAATGGTGGGCATGAGATTCTGACAGTGACGGCACCAATCGGCGTAGAAATCAACTAACACCCAGTCACCTGACTTGCGGACCACCTTGTCAAAGTTGTAGTCATTGACACGGTCAAGCCCGAGGGCTACCGCCATTAAAAACCACCAGACGAGTCTCATGAGATGCTTACAAAATATGAGTGCGCGAAACTGAGTATCGAATTTTGTGTATATTTGCAGTCAATAGCCGGGTCCCGAATAACTCTATTCATATATCATGTAAATCCGGGGCCAACTAGACAGTCTATAATCCGGAACCTAACAGACTCTAATCCGGTCATACGGCTGCCTCTACTTAAGTCTCCAAGGTAATGGCACCACCCGGGGCCTCACGTACGAGTTCTGTGGGTTTGCAACCCCAAGAAATGCATTGTACCACCCAATAAATGAACAGATAACCCCCACAACCCCGGCCCCTGTGATGCACCCAGCACTTCCCGTAAGCTTCCCAATAGACAAGAGCAAAAACGTCACAAACAACAGGAAAAACAACGAGAAAAATGCCAACGTGGACTTCACAGTACACATTACCAACATGAACGTAAATAAGGTCCAGCCAATAAAGTAGAATCCCAACGCATTTTCCAACTGGACGGTATCGTCACCGTAAGCAGCAATTATACCAAAACTTTCAAGGTTGATGGCAGAGAAGGACAACCAGAACCCTCCGTATGAACATAAAGCAGTTCCTCCAAAAGTATTGCCTAGAATGAGATCCCACACGCCAGCGAGTAATTGGATTGCACCTCCGTAGAAACATGAAGCACCAACGACGGCATTCAGAACATGGACACCGTTGGCTCCTGCATTATACATGGATAACACGAAGGTCGTAAATGAAAAGGCACACAAGCCCAAGGGGACCGGATTGGCAAAGTCGTAGGCGGGAGGAGGAGAAAGACCGGGGACCAAGCTTCCTCCAAAGGCTGACACCAATTCATCCCGGTAGTACTTTCTTTTACCGATTACAATGAATTCCCCTGACAGTCCGGATACAGTGATTTTTCCGAGCGGAAGATCATGAAGAGTATGGATTTCACTATCGATGGAAGACATGGTCGGAAATCTGACTATAAGGTTTGTGTATCCGAATGAATAATAATTTTTGTGTTGAAGTATCTACGATTATTCCGGGAGTCGGACTTTAGTTTTCCAGTGAGATGCGATTTTTGTATTAGGTCACAGGGTGTGTATGGCTGCTTATTGCCCGACAGATTTTCAGCCAGTAGGGGTCCTTGGCAAAATTCCGAGACTGTGAAAAGGTTGGTTTTGGGCAGAGAGTTTGCAGTAATGAGAGTTGCGGGTGATTGAGTTACGGGTACAAGTTCTTCCAGGGAACCTGACTTACGGTATAGATTTGGTCGGGTGCCGGGTATCATCAACCATCGGATTAAAGTTAGCCCTTGAGGACCATTCAACCCCACCGATCCGGTGAATAACCGTCCGGGACCGTGCGGGAAGCAACCACAGAGCTCGGTAGAGACACGACACCATATACTGTAAGCGAGATGGCGGTGACGGCACGCCCAGACTCCACCGCATGTCCTGACTTCACTGTGTGTTTGGCGGCTACGTGGCGTGTGACTGCCAAATGTGCATTACCCCATACCTATTCCCTATACTTATATCTATCGACAAATTGAATATTTCAGGTCTATTTCCGGAATAGACTTCAACGGCCTCTTTGTGTCAGCACCCGTCTTACCACCACCACCTCCACCATTGGCACTCGTGACTGTCATGGAATGGCCCTGGTAAAACGTATGGTTCCCTTTAACTATGGGTTTAGACAATTTCGATCTTTTCATTGAAATGAGCGAAAAACTCCATCCATGGAACATTGGGGGGTTTAAGTAGTATCTTGTCAGGCACCCACTCTAGCCGAGAACAATCAGTCGTGTTTCTTAGGTAATTTAAATCGGACAATTAGGTCATTATGCGGTTTAAGCAGAGAATTTTGAGATAGGAAATAATGTTTCCTAATCAATTAATTACCTGCATCTGACCAATAGTTATTGTTTGATTCTGTTTTATATTACATACGACGTGGAGCTTGTGAAATTCGACCGGCAGAAGCTACGTTTGGCGGAGTGCAGAACAAAGCATACAATTTACAAAGGGGAGATTCTGTACACAAGTTCTGACCCATTCACCCACGGTGCTGATCCTTGGCCCCGCTGGTGTTGACCCATACACCCACGGAAGCTGACCCATACACCCACGGAAGCTGACCAATAAACCCACCGAAGTTGACCCGTGACCGCCCATACCCCGTTAGATTATGCATGCTTCAGTAGTCGCAGAGAAGGTGCCGATCGTCTACCAATTGTGTGCCGCGAAACCATCGCACTTTCAACACTTCACCCACCATGAGTTTGCTCACCCGCACGCGCCTATCCCTACAGGCCTGGGAGGCCACTCGGTACGCTGCCGGTAACGTGCGGTGCGTCTCTTCCACTCCGACGCCCGTGCGATTGCGGTTCTTCACCAAAGACAACTGTATGCTCTGCCACACTGCCAAACAGACCATGAACAACGCAGTAGATGCCACCATGGCACCGGTGACAGTGGAAATAGTTGACATCACCCACCACGATAACACCGAGTGGTGGGACAAGTACTGCTACGACATTCCGGTGCTCCATGTCGAAGGTGGCGCCAAGTCGGTTATTTTCATGCACAAGCTCTTTAAAAACAAGATTCTTGAGGCCATAGACGAGGTGCAAAATGGGAGCAATAGCTCCCCTCTTTAATGTTCCAAAGCTACTGGTGACTAATAAATAGAATACCCGACGGCAAATAAACAACTGCTCCACCCATCAACACCCTGGGAGGTGCGAATCACGTGACTACACTCCACTTCCACCACTCGCATTATCACCAGCAACTCTGCTTTCAAACTTTATTCAATGTCCACCAAACACCAAACCGTCGTTGTAACTGGAGCTTCCTCCGGAATTGGCCTTGCCACCGCCAAAGAATTTGCCTCCCGTGGCTATACTGTCATCGCGGGGGCTAGAAGAGTGGATGCTATGGAAGAATTGAGAAAACTTGGGGTAATTACCGTTTCATTGGATGTCACCTCACCCGAATCGGTACAACTGTTAAAGGAGTTAATTAAACAAGAGTACGACGGGGAGATCCAGTACTTATTCAACAACGCCGGCCAGTCCTGTACGTTCCCAGCCATTGACGTGTCAGACGAAAATATGGAAAAATGTTTTGCGGTCAATGTGTTTGGCCAGGTGAGAGTGACAAGAGAATTGGTTCCGTTTTTAATTAAAACTCGGGGAACCGTTGGATTCACCGGAAGTGTGTCGGGGTTCCTTCCCTTCCCATTTTCTTCCATATACTCGAGCACCAAGGCTGCCATTCACGAGTTTGCCTCGACATTAGCGTTTGAGTTGGAGCCTTTTGACGTCAAAGTCATCAATATCATCACCGGGGGAGTTGACACCGATATTGCCGATAAGAGGCCCTTACCGGAAGACTCGTGGTATTCGGCCGAAGGAATTGAGGAGCTTATTTCAAAGCGTAGGGAGATGGCCAAACGAAATGCTCCGATGTCTGCTGAATTGTATGCTCAAAAGGTGGTTTCAGACTTTGAAGGGTCCCGTATTGGTGTTATCAACTACTACAGGGGTAGCAAGGCCAGTATCTTGCACGTGGTACTGTTTTTCCCCCGTTTCTGGGTGACTTTTGTGTTTAGAAGAATGTTTGGAATGGTTTCATTGTGGCAGCACTTGAGAGAGAAATACAGTAAGTAATTTCATACATTGAACATGACACAATAATATACAGATGTTTTTAGGGGTTTAGTTTAAATGAACGACTCGAGATCGGGCACGTATTCAGGCTTACCCGAGTCAATGCTTTTCAAGACAGTCTCGATGCACAATAACGCGTTGAGGGCATCTTCACCGCTGCAGCTACTACGAACCTCGGCCCCCGTGATTAAGTTGATAAAGTGATTCAACTGCAAATCAAATGGCTTGGGAGGAGGTTTCATGAATTCACCTGAATTAGGTGGTGAAGGTGTTGGGGTTCTAAGGCCGATTTCACTGGGATCTGCCTCACCGCTGTAGTCATCTTCGATACTCACGTTCGACACGTTGGTGACCTCGATGGGCTCAAGCCACGACCCGTGGTGGGAGTCACTGACGGCCACCTGGGCAGTTTTCAACGAATTCTGGTGGTAGAGGTTCAAGTCCGGCACCGATAAAGTGCCTCTAGAGCCAAAGATCCGATAGAACCCGCTCAAGTCCGCCATATGTGGCACATTGGGGTTTTCGCCCGTGCCGGTCTCGAAGTTGAAGGGAGAAATGATGTTATCAGAGCAGATAAACGTGCCTTTGCAGCCATTCTTGAAAGACAACGTCAAAATGGCCCCTTCATCCACCTCGAATTCCCGCTGCGGTACCAAGAGTTCGGCATATATCTTCGACACCGGGCCCATCAAATACAACAACAAGTCCAAATCATGGACCAAATTGATCAATAAAGTACCTCCACCAGCCGACCGGTCCACACGCCATTTTTTCTCAAGGTAGTAGTCGTGATTCTTCTTGAGGCACCACGTCCCTTGGATGGCGATGGGCCGTCCGATCTTGTCCAAGTTTTTCTTTGTTTTCAAGATGTAGGGATTAAACCTTCGGTGATGGCCTATTAAGAGCTTGACATTCTGGGCGTAACAATACTCAATCAATTTTTTACACTCCACTGGGTCGGAGTGGAGCGGTTTTTCGATCAACAAATGGATTCCGTGGGCCGCTAACTTCATGCCCAAGTCGACGTGGGTGTGATTCGGAGTGGCGATGATGGCCCCATCTGGGTACGGCAAACCATGAGATTCGAGATATTCCAAGTATTGGTCCACCGATCGGAACAACGCGGTGTCGAGCTGGGCGGCGCATTGGGGCCCGTTGGCCGAGTGATCGATCAACGCGGCGAGCTTGCAATCTGGGCGGTTGTAGACGTGTTGGCAGTGTCTAGGGCCAATGAGGCCTGCGCCCACGACGATTATTTGGACGACATCACGGGGGGATTGGCAGGGGGACAGAGACGACGACGAACAGGAAGCAGGGGTGTGGGTGTTGGGGGCAAAGAAAGATGTCATATACTACTGGGAAGTAATGGGCCTGAATCAACACAATAATAAGCTATTATAAGATGTGTACGAAGCCTCGCGATTTATAGTTTTTTTGGGAGATAAGCTACGAACGTGGGCGCTGATAAGAAGCCACCGCCACTTCTCGCGCCACCCTGGTGCCTCCCTCACTAATCGGCGCCCCGCTGCTATTCTCAGGGGTGCGGCGCCAAGAATGAAACATGAAACGTGCGGAGCCGCTCGGGAAACCAGAACCCACCCGCCGTCGTGCACAAGCCTTGATCTCTGTCTCCTCATTTTCGTGAGGACGCTTACGTAAGCGCTTCTCCATAATCCTGTCACTCCCTATCATCTACCACTTAGCCATCGCAACTCCCAGCTCGACCACCCACCACCTATACCATCATCACCACTAAATCTCTCTGTTGCTCCTTGCCAAATTCCTGTTTCTTTAGCGTATTTCCATGCCAATTTGCAACCATCTAGCAAGCTAACTAAAAAAGGAAAACCATAAAAGCACAACTAGACTTGCAGCGTAAATCCGTTCTGTCACTCCCTCTATGCACCACCACAGCCTGGTATAAAAGTATCCACTTTGGCATTTTTTGTCTTTGTATGAGCATGTTTGTGGGAATCTACTTGTTAACCACCTACATAATTTTTTATGTGGTACGCCATTTGTACCAGGACTACTTGGCACAAAGATGGGGATGCGAGCCTATATCTAGACTCAACACCAACTTCTGCTACAACTTCTTTGGGTTTGGAGATGTGAAGAGAATCCTTATGAGCCTCAAAGGAGGCTATTCGCTTTACGAAGAGTCCAACCAATTGAATAAACTCGGCCTCAGCACCTACGAAACAATGGTTTTGGGTCAGTACGCCATCGTGACAGCCAACCCAGAGAATGCAAAGGCCATGATGGCCTCACAGGTGGATGAATTCAGTATTGGTGTGCGATCCGCTCTTTTCAAAGACGTCCTTGGACAAGGAATATTCACGGTCGAGGGCAAGCAGTGGAAGCATTCGCGTGAAACGATCCGGCCACTGTTTGGCAAGAGCGAAATTAGTCACGTGGCCCAGTTGGAACCGCACTTCAAGAAGTTCACAGATGCCCTTGACCGGTGTATGGGCCAGACCGTCGATGTACAACCACTTTTGTCCCGACTTGCGTGGGATGCTAGCAGTGAGCTACTTTTTGGAGGGTCTATCGGAAGTTTGGATATGGTGGATGGGACCCTCAAAAATGACGGATTTGATGAATGTTTTATCACGCTTCAGAAGTACAACAGGTTTCGTTTTCTTCTTGGGAAATACTGCTGGCTAGTCAACCCTCCGGCCCGAAAACAGGCCGTCAGTGAAATCAAAAAATTCACACAGTTTTACGTCCAGAAGGCGTTGAGTCTTTCGAAACAAGACCTTGAAAACAAGCTGACTGGTGAAAGCACCTTTTTGTACGACCTTGCGAAGACGTCAAGAGAACCCAAATTTCTCCAAGATGAGATCTTGAGTATAATGTTGGCAGGCCGTGGAACCACGTCGTCATTGATGACGTTTGCCATATTTGAGCTCTCCCGGAACCCCGAAATCTGGAGAAAATTGTCTCTGATTGTACACGAACAGTTTGGTGACGGCTCTAACTTGGATCTCATCACGTTTGAGTCAATCAAAAAGTGCCAGTACCTCAAGTTTTGTCTTAATGAGACTCTCAGACTTCATCCTCCAGTTAGTACGACGGTTCGACAGGCGAAAAAGAACACGGTTTTACCTCATGGGGGTGGTGCTGACGGTTTGCAACCAATATTTGTGCCGAAGGCCACAAACGTGGTGTTGCGGATATTTGCTCTCCACCGGATGGAAAAGTTCTACGGTCCAAACGCCACAGACTTCATACCAGAAAGGTGGGAAAATATACGTCCGGGGTGGGCGTTTGTCCCGTTTCTTGGTGGTCCTCGTGTGTGCCTCGGCCAGCAGTTGGCCCTCACAGAAGCGGGTTACATAATTATTCGGTTAGCACAAACGTACAGAGAATTTGTCAACATGGATCCACAGAGTCCACCTCCATTGCTGGTAGGGGCCGTATCCAAACTCAAGCGTGGGGTGCTTGTCCAGGCAAAAAAATAAATACGTCTCTATAGCTAAATGGAATATCCAAAATCACGTGTCTCTACCAAACTCATACGTTTTTGCTCGCACTGTCACAAGGAGCGTCGATTCTTCAGCTTTCAATCAACACGTCAAACCAGTTAAACATATAATGTGGATCTTTGAATGGTGTATGTATTCCCCAAAGTGCCAACACATGATAACCGCTTTTGTGTAAAGGTGGTGTCTGTGACCAGTCTGCGATTCTGGTACTAACGTATCTCTAGTTCAGGATGTTTTATCGTCCTTAGGTTTGTGGAACAAGCATGCCAAATTGTTGTTTTTAGGATTGGATAATGCCGGGAAAACCACCTTATTGCACATGTTGAAGAATGATAGATTGGCCACTTTGCAGCCTACCTTGCATCCTACTTCCGAAGAATTGGCCATTGGTACCGTCAGATTTACCACCTTTGATTTGGGTGGTCATCAACAAGCCAGAAGATTGTGGAAGGATTATTTCCCTGAAGTTAACGGAATTGTGTTTTTGGTTGATGCAGCGGACCCTGAGAGATTTGCTGAGTCTAGATCTGAATTGGAATCTTTGTTCAAAATTGAAGAGTTGAAAGATGTTCCATTTTTGGTTTTGGGTAACAAGATCGACTCACATAGTGCTTGCCCCGAAATGGAGTTGAAGAGTGCTTTGGGATTGTTCAGCACTACTGGTAAAGAAGGTGGAAAATTACCTGAAGGCCAAAGACCAATTGAAGTTTACATGTGCTCAGTGGTGATGAGACTGGGATACGGAGAAGGATTCAAGTGGTTGTCCCAGTATATTTAAGGCGTTCTCGTACACTGCAAGTCGATACATACCATATAATCTGTAGTTGAATAATGTAAGCGTAATTAAAGAAAGTCATGTCGCATGTCGTGAACGTCCATCACCCTTGCCTTGCGACATCACCGCGATTGCAATTTTTTCTGCTGCGAGAAGAGCTTCTCACTAATCATACACCATGAATAAAGGACAGTTGCACCCGGAACAAAAGAAGTGGAAGGCACCCAAGGGTCCCAAGCCCATCCAACGTAAGCACAAAAACACCATCGGGTTGGGCCGGACCATCGCCAACCAACGGCGGATGGAGAACGAAGTCCAGATTTTACCAGACGGGGAGTTGAGATTCACCACAGACAAAAGAGAAGCTGACTGGGTAAAATTGCGGTCTGTGACACAAGAAAACTCCCTTGATGAGTTCTTGAACACTGCACAGTTAGCTGACACCGATTTCACCGCCGACAAAGGCAACCAGATCAAGATCATCAAGGTTGGAAATACCTCTATTGTCAATCAGAATGGTCTACTTACCCCGGAGGAAATGGAACAAATTCGTATAAAGCACCAGATTTTTGAGAACAAGTTGACGATCCCCCGAAGACCCAAATGGAGCAAAGAGCAGCTGAAACTCGAAATTGAAAGACAAGAAAACTTGTCATTTTTAGAGTGGAGAAGAGACTTGGCCAAATTGACTGAAAACAACGATTTGATTCTCACGCCGTTCGAGAGGAACTTGGAAGTTTGGCGGCAGTTGTGGCGTGTGGTGGAGCGGTGTGACTTGGTGGTACAAATTGTGGATGCAAGAAACCCGCTTTTTTTCCGGTCGGTGGACTTGGTTAACTATGTCAACGGCTTGAGTGACCCCGAACACAATCTCCCCAAGAACAACTTGTTGTTGGTGAACAAGGCAGACTTGTTGACAGTAGAACAACGTGTTGAATGGGCCCGGTTTTTCATCCAGAAAAATATCAACTTTGTGTTTTTCTCAGCTGCTAATGCTAATGAACAATTAGAAAAACAGAACGAGCAGTTGGACCAGCGCATAGAGGAAGAAGAAGATCACGAGGATGAGAATCACAGCCACTTGGACTTGGACAAAGAGCTTGCTGAAAAAGTCAAAATCTTGAAAATTGAAGAGTTAGAAGAGTTGTTCATATCCGAGTCGCCCCATTTCGAATTTGATCCAGAATTCCCTGACAGAAAGCTTCAAATAGGATTGGTGGGGTATCCCAACGTCGGTAAGTCGTCGACCATCAATGCGTTGGTTGGTTCCAAGATGGTGTCGGTATCGGCAACTCCTGGTAAAACCAAGCATTTCCAAACCATCCACTTGTCGCCCAAGATCTTGTTGTGTGATTGTCCTGGGTTGGTTTTCCCTAACTTCGCATACACAAACGGAGAATTGGTGTGTAATGGGGTGTTACCCATCGACCAGTTAAGAGAGCACATTCCCCCCGTGTCATTGGTGTGTCAGAGAATCCCCAAGTTCTATTTGGAAGCCTTATACGGGATTCACATTGAAATCAAAAAAGTGGAGGATGGTGGTAACGGAGAATACCCTGTTGCCAGTGAGTTGTTGAACGCATACGCCAGATCCAGAGGGTATATGACTCAAGGGTTTGGAAGTGCTGATGAACCCAGAGCTGCAAGGTACATCTTAAAGGACTATATCAATGGGAAACTTTTGTTTGTGGATCCTCCTCCTCGGTTTTTAGACAATGGAGACTTGACCCTCTCGACGCTTGATGAACAAAGAAGGTTCAACATGGACCTTTATAGTCTTTCTACGTTACCTGAAAACAGAAGAGCCCAGATCGAGCACGCAGCTAAGGATAAGAACATTCACTTGAGTGAGTTTGAGTTGGCCAAAGACTTGTCGAAATTGAACTTCTCGATGCACATTGGTGAAACCAAAGAACCCACAAAACCACAGGCAGAGTCTGCCAAAACCCTCTTCTATGGTGGTAAGCAGGCCAAGTTGGAAAGTGCTGGAGATGAGTTGGATAAGGAATTTTTCGGCATGGAAGACGTCAGGGGCAATGTGAACAAGCCTTTCCATTTGCAGGAGACTTCGAGTAGTAAGAAGCACAATAAGAAGAACAAGAAGTCAGCCAAGAAGGTCAGGGTAGTGAATTATTAGAGGCTTTATATGTACATTAGTAATATACTCGCATCGTTAAGACGTGCCAGTCAGCTCTGGACGAGGTCTTCTATATACAATAACTGCGTTCAAGGAAGGAATCGCATTTTGCTTATTACGATAGACGATAGCCACAGCTGTGCATGATCTCCAATTGCTTCCCACTGGAGCTTAACAAGTAGAAGACATGAGCGTAAACTAGTAGTCTTTGGAGTGGTTTAATGTGTTCCGATTGCAACAAGCCGCGCACTTCTGGTTTATAGTCACGTGACAAACTGGATTGCATTTTGCACCCACACAAGATCTACCACCATTTGCACCCAGTTGCACATCCAATGCAACTAAGCACACCCAAGCCCTTAACCGTTCACCGGGGTTCCCTAAACCCCTTCTTTGAGTCTAGACCCCTATTATTTTTGTGCCCGGGATTTTGCCAGTTCTCGACTTCTGACTCCATTGTATTCTCCTTTAATTGCCAATAAAACCCGAATACACACCACCACATGTGTACAGGAGAGAACTGCTCCAATAACACCACAAGCATGAATAATATCCAGAAAACCGTGATCACAACTGCCTAATCTGAAACTACGGCTTTTTGTTGTGGACCTTTTCTTCTGGAAAAAGCTCACACTGGGGTACTTTCCCCCGAAATGTACACTTGAATGGCATACCATTCCTATGGCTCCTATTTTCTCCGGTGTTGTCTTGTAGCTTCATGAGTTGCCTACGAGTATATAAACTCAACCATCACCACCAAATCTCCCCCATCAACCATGAGACTTTCACTTTCCCTTCCCATATTCATCTTGTTTCTATCAGCTGTTGCCGCGGCTGCAGAAATTCACGTCAAACTCGCGCCTCAAGTAGGCCAAGAAGGCAACCAAGGCATCAATGAAGGAAAGAAAACCTTTACATCTTCCTCCACTACCCTCAACACCATCTCATCAACCTCCTACAGTTCCCAGCACACTACTTCAACAATTGCACTGGAGTCTATAGCCGTACCAAAAGTATATCTTGGGTTTGTAACCCTCGTGATTGGATTTTTGATCGGGTTGGTGGCTGCCTGAAAATTCCCGATGGCCTCGTTTACAAACCCCGGAAAAAATTGTACACATGAAATGAGGCGGTAAAGGGGGGTTTTCCGAGTTTATACGCACACTTATAGCGCCGTGGACTATTATAGGACATTCACGTGTCATCAATTTCTATAGTTTCGTTTCATCAATGTACAAACATGGTTTAGATTTTGCATCTTTTTTGAGGGGAAATGTAACGTTACATTATTGGGGATTTAAGTGCTTTTGTTCGTGCACCTGGCCAATTTCTCTTTCTGCTGGTATTTTGGTTTTGTCTCTTTTGCCATCAGTTTGCCTCCAGCATAAAATACATATATACCTTTCTTCTACAACTTGGCCAAATAACACCCAGAATGAGCACGGACAGCAGCAATATACATACACAGGATATACAGGTGTTCAACTACCTGGAGGTGAACTTTACGACGATGGTGACGGCCATTTCAATGCTTCTCGCAGTCAATCAGCTCATCGCAGAACTCGAGAGACTACAACGAAACCGGCGGATGATTAACACGGGAGGCCCAGCCAGAACTGGTTCGGGCAGCGGGTATGAACAGGGCGACATGGATGTGCTGATGCTTATGCGGTTGCTTATGTTGCTTGCATCTTATTTGCATTAAAAGCACAGTTAAAAGGTGACAAATGTCACATACATCCACCTGAGGCAGAACTAGACACACAAACGATTTATGTAATAATATTCAACAGACGGCTATTACCAGTTTCTACTCTGGGCTCTGCTCTCTATACACTTAGAATCTTACAAGATGAGCTTGTTCCAACAACTGTTTTCTGCGAATTTCACTACTCTACTTCACTCAGACGCAATTATTATATTACTATAGATCTAGTACAATCTGAAAGATGGACCCATGGTGGATTTAATAACCAAAGATCCAACGTTTTGCCAGTGCTTCTTCAACAAAGAAACCAAAAAGTTGGTGGACATCAAGATTTGGTTAACCAAGTCGTCTTCGGTCATTTCAACGTGACCAACGGCAACAGCCAAACACAAAACCTTCTTCAACTGGAACTTGATGGTGGACTTAACGTCTTGAACCTTGTGGTACAAGTCATCGGAGTGAGAAACTGGAGTTGGGAACTTACCAGCCTTGGACAATTGAGGTCCCAATAATCTTGGAACTTGCTTGATCAAAACTTCGGAAGCAACGAAAGCGTTGTACTTCTTGGCCAACTTCTTGATCAACTTCTTGTTCTTGTTCAACTTCTTCAAGTCATCAACAGACATGGCATCAACACCAATAGACTTGGCTCTGTCAACATCAAAGGCGTCACCAAAGATACAGATGGTCATGTTTGGTCTTGGGACAACAGGCAACTTCAAAGTACCAGAGAAACGCTTGTCTCTTTGAGGATCGTAGTTCTTCAAACCGACTTGCAATTCAACGGTTTCCAAAAAGTTTCTCTTCTTGGTCTCAGTAGAGTTCTGCAACAACTTCTGGACGTTTTCACGAACGTGAGTAGTAGTAAGCTTAGACATCTTGCTAGGTATTCGTCTCCCAAAAAAGTATTTGGTAAATTAACTGATTCGACGAGGATGAGTTGGTATGTAAATTTTTCACAAACTTTTGGGGGAGCAGAGCCAGTGCGAGGGTCGTGGCGCGAGTGCGAAAATATTCTCTGAGACAGGTATAATTTCGGTCAGGTGACGTGAGGGGCGCGAGCCCCATTCACCATAGTTTTTCGCAATCGCGTCTTGAGGCTAGATAACTAGAGATGCTAGCTAGGTATTGGCCTAAACGAACCGGGGTATCGGGTTGGCTATTCTTAAGCAGCAACCTACATATCTCAACCTCATTATCGGCAAGGGCGTCGGAAATGGATGGGAAGCTCAAAAAACCCGATTCTAGTCGTCTCACTAGGCAAGACAAAATCTACCAAGTCAACATGAGATCACAAAGTAAACTCTACCACATCAACGAAGAATTCCAAATCTTCAATCGCCATGTGACCAAGATCTTGGATTTGGGGTACGTACCAGGAAATTGGTTGGAGTTTTCTAAGCTCAAAATGTGTGAAGTGCATGGTTTACCAGAAGACCAAATTAACTCCAGATGCCACTTTCTAGGATTTGATATCCTAATGAGTCCCCCTCCGCCCTACACATCCTCAATGCAGGGAAACGTGTTTTCTAAAGCCGCCCATAAACAAATAATCGACCACTTTAAAGAGCTTGCTTTGAGAGAAAAGCTTATAGAACCAGAAACAGATTCTCAAAACTCGTACTTTGTCAACGAACAAACCGACTCACGTATTGATGAAGAGCTAGAGAAGTTGGAAACAGGTCTTCGAGAATTGCGTATATCTGCAAATGAAGGCCCAGGCTGGCACTATAAACCCGACCTTATTCTTAGCGATTTGTCTTTACCTTTCATACAAGATAAAGGGTTCTACCACAATACCCAAACCAAACCACACATGCGGCTTGCTAACAACCCAGGGTTGAATGAGCCTGTTTTCAATAAACAGAAGAGCTCAATCGACATGGCTGATGTTAGTCTTTTACTTAGTTGTGAGCTTTTGAAGCAACATGGGAACCTTGTTATTAGAATGGCTTCAGTGGATCTTGAAGACCCTGAGTTGGAGGTTCTTTCTCAAAGACTTGAGAGGGTATTTTCTCGAGTTGAAGAACGTCAACCCGGAACAGAGGACGAAATATTCTTCATATGCTTGGATAAAAAAGAGGATGCAATTGACAAATCAGTTATATTTACAAAGTAACTAACGGTTCAATGTTGTATATTAGTGTAACAATATATTTTAGACAAAAGGCATTTCATGTATCGTTACCTTAGAGTTTTGGCACCAACTCAGGCTTCGACTTTGGTTTCAGCCTCAGTTATCACTTGTTTGGGTTCTTTCAAGTCAATTAAAGAGTCTGCTGGTGCCTGACTTTCAAAGTCAGCTATCAATCTGTTACTTACCTTTGACTTATTAATAGACAGCAACTTTGATTTCCAAGCGTCAACGGATTCCAGTACAATCTCGCTTGAAAGGCTGTAGTTTTTACTCAAGAAAGCTGCCTCAGTGAACTTTTCACCTTTTTGTAATAATTTAGAACACTTTTCTTTTTCACCTATAATCCACCAAGCCTGAAAGGCAATATTGTATTTACCTGTCGTTTCACATTCTTCAGCCAACTTGGTTAATTCTTTAACATTATTGGTGGACGATAACAATAACAACAAAGATGCATGATCCTTGGCCAACCAGAAACAGTCAAGAGCCAACTTAATCTTCCATTGGTTTAATGCTAAATCTCCCAACTTCTTCCACTTAGAAGCATTTCCTAATGCACTTGAAAGGTTTTCGTTTTGACTTTCCAACAACAACTTGTAAGCTTGGGACAAGTCGTTCTTTGTCAAACAAATTTGGAATTTAGAATCGAAATCCTGAGACAATGAGTAAGATAAAGACAAGTATCCCAATTTCTCGAAAAATCTGGATAATTGGTTCATTTCAGTTTTGTTGAAATCTTTCATCAAATTCGAGTATTCTTCAGATAATTGATCTTCAGTTATGTTTGAAACATCTGGGATTGGCTCTCCAGATTCATCTTCAATTTCTTCAGTTGCAAATTGCTCCAAGTCACCTCTCATCACCAATGTCTGTAATTCCAACACATCAGAGTTGACAAACCAGGATATAACGTTGAAAGACTTATCAATCATATACAACTTTCCTTCCGAACCCGACTTGTAACCAATGATATAATATTTGTGATCAAAGTGTCCCAAGTTTATCACTTCACCACCAACATAATAGTTTAATCTGAAGGTAGAAGAAGTGGTATATATGAACACATCTCCAATGAATTTACCGGATAAAATGGCTTCTGAAGAGGGTAAGGTAGATAACACATCAAAAGAAGACTCAGCTCCTTCTTCAGGATCCAATTGATCGTTATCTAAGGCTTCTTGGAAAATCTCGTGATTATAGGTCAAAAAGTATGTTTCGTAAGAGGTCTTAGTGGATCCCGTGTTGGAATCAGAGTTAGCAGCGGCTCCACTTGATGAAGGAGCAGTGATAATGGACAATAATTCACCGTTGTCCGACCAAACGACGTCCAAAATATCATCATCAATGTCAACTCTTCTAGCCAATTTACCACTTTCCCAATCATAAAAGGTAATACAGCCATCAGATTTAACACCCAACAAGTAACCAGGAAATATCTTGTCGGCCTGGTAAATCAACAGAAGACTAAACTCTTCTTGGAAATTCTTGAAAATCTTGACAGATAATGGCCCTTCTCTTATGGCAAAAGTAGAGTTGTTGGTGAAGTCATGAGAATTCCAAGCCAATTCCAAAGCCTTACCATAAGTCTTGGATCTCCATGCCAATGCGGTGTAGATAATGTATTCGCCATCTCCTACAACTGCAACATATCTACCGTTTGGAGAGTGGGCCAAAGATTGAGGATAGATTTCAATGGTACCTAGTTCTCTTTGTTGCAAAGACAAGGAGTCACCATCCTTCAAGCCTTCGGTAATGGTAGGTTTCAAAATCGACTGATAGACTTCTGAAGTCTTTGCGTAGATCAATTTGTTGTTGGAATCCATGGAGTACAAGGGTTCTTCGTTACCTAACTTTGCGATAACATAACCGGAATCACCACCAACCGCTAACAAGTTTGAATTGGACAACACGGACATACACCAGAGTCTTTCCAAGCTATAGTTGATGGATTTTTCCAATTTGAATGTATTCGAGTTCCAAAACTTGATAGTACCATCTTCAGAACCAGAAATGATAACTGGCAATTCGGGGTGGAACAGAGCAAATGATACATTTGATAAGTGGCCCTCTAACGTAGCAATACAAGATTTAGTTTGGTAATCCCAGATCTTGATGGTTTTATCATCAGAACAAGTGATCAAGTAAGGCTTGTCAGATTGGGGATAGTAGTCGGCGTAGTTCACACCTTTAGACCCATGAGCTACCAAGGTGAAGTTGGCAGTTGGAGATCCCAAGGACCAAATTTTCACGGTTCGGTCCAAACAAGCAGAAGCAAAAGTGTTGGGGTCTTTAGGATTAAAGTTCACAGACATAATATAGTGCTGGTGGCCCTCAAAAACTTGTTCCAACTTCCAGTTGTTTTCCCAATTCCACAACCGAATGGTCAAATCATCGGAACACGTCAAAACGTATGGTTTAGAAGGATGAACAGCAATATATCTAACATAATCTGGATGTGCCTCAAATTGAACAACCTTTTCACCAGTATTGTAGTTGTAGACTCTGAGCTGGAAGTCATCTCCACCCACAACAATCCAGTTCTTTCTGGCAATGAATTTTCCGGTTCTGATAGGAAGGTCAGTTACCTGGATCGACTTGACCAACGAGTTTGTTGCGTAGGACCAAATCTCCACCTTCCCGTTGTAAAGGGTGGTTAAAACCCAAGGCTCGGTGGGATGGAGATCGATCCCCTTGACTCTTTCCGAACGGATAGAAAATTGCTTGACAACGTCCAATTTCATATTAATGGATTGATTGACAGAGAAACACGGTGGACGCAGTTTTGTTGATTTGTTGAAGTGCGAGGTGTCGCTGGCAGGCGGGCGTGCCAGAACCGTCACACATAATATTAGGGGCTTTCGGCTCGTGCGACGCTAGTGCGATGCTGGGCGCGGGCGCAGTTGGGAGTTGGCACTACGCAGGCCAGTACAGTCAAATGCGTTCTTTACTATACAAAACTAATGGACTTCCTCGATTCCCTCTCTTTTGGTATCTCTGAATTTCTTCTCCAACGTCAACAAGTCACGTGTATACTTCATCCACGTCACATTGAATGTCTTATTGGAAAACCGTGAAAGTACCAAATCGAATCCTGTTTGTCTCATGGATGCTAATTGTTTTTGAGATGCAAACTCAGGTTCGAAGATGAACAACTTCATGAGCAAAACCGACAACTCCGGATACTCTATCAACTGGTCCTTTTCTTTAAACGTGAGCTTTGGGTAACTGTATTCGTCAGTGAAGGTGAATTTCGATTCCAGTTGTATGGCTGGATCAAAGTCTGGGTCTGTTGCACTTTTGAAGAAGAAACCACTATCCGATTTCCAGGAGTTTGAAGCTTCCCGGGACTTGTTTAATGAGATGTCGAGCAAAGGACCAGCTGAGGCATGGACAATAGGAATAACCCCATGGTTCATATACTCCACCACACCAATACCAAAATGCTCATTCCACATGGAATTAAGTCCGAATTTCACTTTGGACAACTGATGCAAGATTTCACTATAAGAACAGTCCACGATAAACTCGACATAATCAGACAAGTTGAGTTCTGCCGTTAATTGTTTGATTTCTAACAAGGTCTCGGTATCATCACCTGTTCTGCAAGAACCCAAAAACACCAATGTAGGAAGGTTCTTTATAGGTTGTTTGGACTTTTGAAACACCTTCAAGAACTCACTATACTGCTTTAAGATGAGATCATGTCTCTTTTCAGACCTGAATTGGGCTATATAGATCATCTTGTTGTTTCTTTTAGATACCAAAGCCTTTTCAAGATGGCCATTTTCAGTCCCGCAGGGTGGGAACAACACTTCCATTGAGCTATTGTATTTTTTGTTCAAGAACCAGATTTTTTGCATATGGTCGAAAGTCCAAGATCCGTTGGCCACGGTGATATCCACCAAAGATCCCAAATAAACGTACAAATAGTACAAAGCATCCCAGTACACCAATTTCACAACATCCTTAATGTTTTGGACCGACGGCCTGAACTTGATCAACTGTTTGATGTTTCTGTATTTTAATTTATTGAACATGTCTTGCTGAAGAATGGGATAATGAACATATGCTAATATGGGGATCTTTAACGATACTGACACCAAAAAGTAACTTCCGGGTAATCCGATTGTATCTACCCAAACATCTGGAGACAATTCAAATAATGCCTCTGCCGAAAGCATTAACGATCCAAATAATTGGCCCAATAAAGTAAAGTGCTTCCAATAATCATTAGCTATGAGCTTTCCGTACTTTCTCAAATAAATGAAAACAACCCTGTCACCATCTACATCAATGCCGAACTTGTCCTGAACCTTCCTGAGGATGTTGGCTGGTTCCTCCATGTTGACAGTGTAAATCACCGCTATGTTGGTATCTTTAGTCAAGAGGGTAGAGTGTACTGCCTGCCACAACACTCTTTCACCACCTCCTCCGTTGTTGGCATAAGGATGAAAGAAACCAAACAACACCTTTCGTCCAGGGTCCTCAATGGCCCTACGTTTCATACCATCCACAAAGAAATTGTCTTTATTTTCACAGTCCTCAGGATGAATTTTCAACTTGTTATTGTTGAAATTGTTGTAGTAGGAAGGATGAGCCGAAGCCGTCACCAATCTTCTTCTGAAACTCGATCTCTTCATTCCTACCCTCAAATAAATAGGTTTTGGGTAGTTCATGACATGTTCGATTTTGTCTTGCCAAAGCTGAGTGGGAACCAAAAAGAGTCTAGGTAATACGGTTGATAACACCTTGAAGAATGAGGCTATCACCACGACAGCACAAAATAAGAAAACCAACATTTTCACCGACCAGGACTTTAGCTGACAGTGGAGGAAAATGGGTTTATTCTTATACCTATGATGCTTATCCGGAGGCAAAGAAAAAGAAACAGATATTATCTTATCTGCCAAGGGCGATGGAAATGGTGCGAACGGAGTGGGCCGCGACAACGGTTCGGAAATTCCCATTCTGGTGCCGGCATGTCGTTTGAGTGCGGATTTGTGGTAGGCTGGCCACCGGGTGCCATTTTGTCTCAAACAAGTAAAAAAGACGTAAATTAAACGCGTCAATTTTTTCCTTAATTTTTTTCCATTATAAGTTCCTGACACAAGTCACACTCCTATTTTCAGCATTTTTTGTTTAAAACTCCCAGAGATTCACCCTTGAGCTTTGGATTAACGTGTTTTGAATAGAACTGCTTTCTGCTTCATCCCTTCACTTTCCCCCAATTCCCTGTCATCTTTGGTACCATCTGGACGCCAAACTTCGTTGATTCTGAAGGGTTTCCCAACTTGACATTAAATACCTATCCCCCTTCATCATATCCATTGTAATGAATATTTTGAGAGACGCAAACATCTTGACATCTCCAGCATCTTCCCCTAGCAACAGTAACCCCAGCATCTCCAACATGGAATTAGATACTCCAATGACAAAGACCTCGGCGTCTGAAAAGGCTAGCAAGACGGCGTTCAAGAAGGAAGAGTTGGAGAAAATCGCCAAAGAATTAAAGAAGAAATTGTCCAAGGCGTCCATCACTGCTAAACAGCAGCAGCAACAGAATGGGCCTGATAAAATCCATAAATCCACGTCTCACTCCCATTCCAGTCCTTTGAAAGAGTATGTCTCCAAAAACACGTTGGAGTCCCCTGCCAAATACAGCTCTTTATTGAGCTCGTCTCCTTTGTACTCTCCCAACAACAAACTGCCTACACACATGAGAACGTCGGCTGCAGCGTCGTTATTGTCGTCGTCTCCTCTCAACGATTCTCCCATCAGAAAGTCCACCACCTCATCTCCTTTAAAATCCAACTCAACCATGGTGTTACAGTCGGTCACCAGCTCTCCCGCCAGGCCACTGTCGCTAAAGCCATCACCACCGTTGAACAATAAGGGTTCTGCCCACCACGCCAATAAAACCGGTTCAGCCACCGGCACCCACCAACAAACCACTCCCACCTTGCCCAAAAAGCAGTTGAACGTCAACACGGCCACCAACCCCCTCTTGACCACTCCTACGCAGCCGTCTCAGAAGCTGAACGGTAACCACGACGACGAAGGAGCGGACTTGTTGATGTACTTGGCCACCTCTCCATCTCCAGCCAAGTCATATTTCCCCAATGCTCCCAAGTTGGGTGCTAAACAACCGGCCAAGCAGCCACCTTCACAACCACAGAGCCAATCGCAGGCGCCAGTGGCGTCGCAGTCAGGAGACCCACTTGGGTCTTCGGCCCCCAACTCTTCTGGAGGGGCATTTTCCATCCACAAACACACGTCGTCCAACTCATCGGCCAATTCCTTCATCGCCCCGCCGCCACCTTTGACCCCCAAACGGCACATCAATACCACCATGAACAGCAAAACTCCTCAGAACCGATTGACACCTTCTGTGAACTTGTTCAACAATATGGTCAATAACGGGTCTTCGGGCCTTCCGTCATCTGGTTTGGCCCTTACTCCTGCGGGGTTCAACATGAACGACTACGTGAACTTTTTCTCACCGTCTCCAGGCGGAGCCCACTTGAGCAAGAACTTTCTCAAGACCCCCGATTTTAACAACTTGTTGGCCGCCAACGCCAACTCGAGCCAGGCGCAGTCTAAGGTGGTTGACGGTAAGATGATCAACTTCGACAAAGTGGGTTTGTTCAAGAACACAGAGTCCCGGGACTGAATGGGTTCCATTTTCAATTCTTCATTCAGTTCTGGTGTACATTAGTTTTTATATCATATAGCCTTTAATAAATTGCAGCCATCTTTTGCACCGCGCGAGAAAATTTTCAAATGTCCCTCCCGCAAATGACTGAAGTAAAAGACCTTGAACAGAAGGTAGACAACCTTGCAGTTGAAGAGCCCAAGATTGAAGACATTGAAGGCAATGAAGAACATGATGGTGAAGTGTCTGACGATAAAAAGAAGAAAAAGAAAAAGGCTAACAAGAAGAAAAAGAAGAAGTTAACCGCCATTGATTCTTCGTACCCTGAGGGTATTTTCCCAGAAGGTGAGTGGATGGAGTACCCACTTGAGGTCAACAGCTACAGAACCACCGACGAGGAGAAGCGGTATTTGGACCGTCAGAAGAACAACCGGTGGCAGGACTTCAGGAAAGGTGCTGAGATCCACAGACGAGTGAGACACAAAGCCCAATCATCTATTAAGCCAGGAATGACCATGACCGAAATCGCCAACTTGATCGAAGACTCGGTCCGGGCGTACGCCAGCGCCGACTCTCTTCTCGCGGGAGGCATCGGGTTCCCGACCGGGTTGTCGGTGAATCATGTGGCTGCTCACTACACCCCCAATGCCGGGGATAAGGTGGTGTTGAAGTACGAAGATGTCATGAAAGTGGACATTGGGGTTCATATCAATGGCCATATTGTGGATTCAGCTTTTACTTTCACCATGGATCACAAGTACGACAATTTGCTTGCAGCTGTCAAGGACGCTACCAATACGGGTGTGAAAAACGCTGGAATTGATGTGCGATTAACAGACATTGGTTCGGCTATCCAAGAAGCCATGGAAAGTTACGAATTAGAGTTGAACGGCAAAACCTATCCTATCAAATGTATCAGGAACTTGAACGGACACAGTATCTTGGACTACTCGATTCACGGGGATAAGTCGGTGCCTATTGTTCCTAATGGAGACCAAACTAAAATGGAGGAAGGTGAGACGTTTGCGATTGAAACCTTTGGTACTACAGGAGCTGGGTATGTGGTTTCAGAAGGAGAATGTTCCCATTACTCGTTGAATTCGGGCATGGAATCTGTGCTGGTGCCAGACCTGGCTCGTCAATTGAGACAGGTTATTAGTGACAATTTCGGTACTTTGCCGTGGTGCAGACGATATTTGGACCGGTTGGGCCAGGAAAAGTACTTACTAGCCTTGAACCAATTGGTCAGAGCCGGTGTGGTGAACGACTATCCACCTTTGGTGGACGTTAAGGGTAGCTATACTGCCCAGTTTGAACACACCATTTTATTGCATCCTCATAAGAAGGAAGTGGTGAGTCGTGGAGACGATTACTAGATTTTGTAAGTAGTAAATTTCACAACCTAAAAGTGCGCGCACTCGAACCGAAGGTGGATCAACGAAACTCCTTTTCTTCACCTAAGCAAACAAACAACAATCAAAATGGAAGTTTCCCCCGCCACTTTAGAATTCAAAGGTATGTAATCACCATGTTCTTCTTCTTGTATTCATCACACATATACACTTGTGTCAGGTTTTTAGGACCCCGCGGTGTCTCTAGGTGTCAAAAAAATATTTGGGTACCCCGAAGATGCACCAGCTGGCATTCGTCTGCCATGTGATGAATCATTTTTATTTTCCCTACTAACATCTATTCATAGGCGACTTTCTTTCTCCTAGTACCGAGTACTTGAGTATAAGTAATACTTCCAGTGGTCCTTTGGCGTTCAAGGTCAAAACCACTGCCCCCAAGTTGTACAGCGTCAGACCAAATGCCAGCATTGTTGGCCCTGGTGAAAGCGTCAAGGTGGCTATCATCTTGCAAGCGTTCTCCCAACCTTTATCGAAGCATTACAAGTGCAAGGATAAGTTTTTGATAGTGTCATTGCCATGCTCGAGCGATGCCGATGCTTCAAAAGTTGGAGAGTTTTGGCCAGAATTAGAGAAGCTGAACAAGGCTGCATTGGTGAGCAAGAAATTGAGAGTTAACTACGTGATTGAAAGTACCAACGATGACGAAATTAAGGAAGAATCAAGTGAAAAGGCCGATGTTGGTGTTGGTACTGGTGTTGGTGCTGGTGTTGCTTCTGTTGGTACTGGTGCCGGTGCTGTGACTGGTGCCGCTTCTGGTGCCGCCGCTGCTGCCGCTGCTGGTGCCGCTACCGCTGGCTCGTCCAAGAATATTATTGATCCTTCCAAGGTCGATGAAGAAGAGATAACCAAGTCGTACAAAGAGATCAACAAATTAAACCAGAAGTTTGACCAAACTGAAAAGGAAAAAGTTGTACCTCCAACTTCTGGATCCACTATTTCTAAAATCAGTGAACCGTTCAGTGGTGTGTCCTTGCCGATGACGGTAATCTTGATGATTTTGGCCTTTATCATCGGATGGTTGATTTTTTAAAAAACCCAGCTACCAATAATGTAATGATTAGTGTTTTTTATAAATATATATTATACTGTCACCGTGTCTAGGGGTTCACAAGTCATCTTCCAACCTTCTCATCAAGTATTCCACTTCCACCTTCTTGGTCAAGGGAATAATGTAATCTTTGTAAAGTTGGGCAATCACCTTGGGATCAACTTTACTTTGCTTGTTCTGACTATATCTCAAGCTTGGGTCAGTTCCATAACCTTCAGCCTTGACAATTAACCTCTCCAAAATTTTGTCTTCCACTGCTTTGTTGGTGATGGATGCATCTATACCTTCCACATCCTTGTTTTTGATCAACTGTGTATATGTCTCTTTATCGTTTTGGAACTTGGACTCGGCCACAAACTTTCCAAAATGAATCCTTCTTGAAATCACTTGCAAACAGTCAATGTCGGCACATGACACCGACCCCAAGTTCTCCAACTGCTCTCCATCTTTACAAGACACCCGTGGAACAATGTCGTTGATGTAGAACTGTTTGATCTCGTCGTTGACATTGATTTCATCAGAGTACTTGGCCAAAATCTTGGGATACTCGATGGATGGAAGAATCACTGGCAACAAGTCGTCGGGGAAAAAGGGACTCTCATCAGGTGCTTCATATCGTCTGACTTGTGAATGAGTTCTTTCCACCTGGAGTAGGAACCAATCTAACATGGATCCATCGAAGTTGGGAATATACTTTTTGGGTTCATAGACTGAGGGAGATGAGTAGAACTGGGATCGCTCGATTAATGCAAACACAATCGACTCTTCCATCCGTACCAACGCGTTACGGATGTTGTTGAGGTCGAGGACAGTTTCTGGTTTCATGAAATCCATGTTCACAGGAGTGGAGATTAGTTTCGAGTTTTTGTGAATAATGAGCGAGCGCCAGAAAATTTACAGGTCTAGCATAATGTTAATTGTAATGGGTCGTAATAAGATATAGTATGAAAGTGACGGTTGTGGCATGAAGGTGATGTTTGTGGCATGAAACTGGTTATAATGGCACTGTTTCGCCAACTACTCGAGCTCCCCAACCTTCTTTCTAGCATAGTCTGTCAAGACCTTCGCATCCTGAAGCTCCATCTCTCTTAACTTGTTAATGTCGTTCACATTGGCTCTTCGACTCAATAAGAACTGGCGGATGGTAGAGAACCGATTGGCGTACTCGTCGTGGCTCAATTTCTCCAGTTCTTTCAAGAGCCGGAGATTTTGGAGGTGGATCTGATACTGGGCCGAGTTGGAATTTTCAAATGCCAATATCAACTGGATGGTGGTGGTGATCGCCATAATGGCGATAACCCCCACAAGGATTTTATACTTATTCTTCTCAAGCTCCTCTCTTGTGGGAGGAGCACGGTTGTGTTTCATTCGATAGTAGTCTTCCCATGTTCCAGCTCTCCAAAACTCCTCGTTGTTCTTGAAATCGTACCGCTTTCTGTGGGCATTGGCCATCCGGTAAGCATCGAAGCTGGACAGATTGGCCGAGTACTGGCTCCAGTCGGTCGTCACTGATCGGCCGTATGCGAGCCTCCGTTTCGGATCTTTCAACACTTCATATGCCTTTTGAACCATATCAAACCGTGATCTTTTCATTTCGGGGGTCATCAACGCACTCTTCTCGTTGTAAACATCGATACCACCCAAGATATCGGGATGGTATATCTTGAGGTACTTGTTGTATTTGGTTTTGAGAAGTTTACTGAACTCTAGCTGTGAAAGGGCAAATTCGTGATTCGTGAGTCCAAAGATTTGTTGAGGAGTTGGTTCTTTATTTTTGGGCCATGGGTCCAATTGGTGCTTTTCGTGAAAGTCCAGGATCTTACTCATGGTGGCATAGTACCGGGACTTGGCCCAACTGGACCTGAATACGCCGCTGGCCGACCTATGAATGGTTACCACGAGCCAGCGCATTTGTGATTCTTATCCTTATTCGAGTTCGCAATAGGGTGCGAACTTTGCTGGAACTCTGGTGGGTGCAAAATACGCACATTTTGTCTATATTTTACGCAATCGATGTCTACTTATGCTATTACAAGGAAGAAATCAACTTGGCAGGTTGATTGTGGTCATTCACCTTGATGTGTCTTCCCAACTTATAGATCAGCTGGATGAAGGCCCGGTTGTTCAAGACCACCAAATCTGCATCACATCCTTCGTTCAAGAATCCCTTTTCGCTCTCAATCCCCAATGATTTAGCAGGGTTATTGGTGGCAGCCTTGACGGCTTCAGCCAAAGAAATATCCGTCCACCGAATCACGTTTCTCACACACTGGATCAACGAAGTCCCAGACCCGGCCAACGTCTTGGTACCCTCCAACATCAATTTAAACCCATCCTTGACGACGTTTCTAGAATCCCATCGGTAGGTTCCATCAGGCAAACCGAACAAGAAAATGGCGTCCGTCACCAACACACACTTATCAGGATGCGACTTGTACGCCATTGCCGCCATCGAAGGGTCGACGTGGATGCCATCACAGATAATTCCAAAGTATGGGGTATTATCGGTGATGGGATTGTTGATCAACCCCAACACCCCAGCATCACGGTGATGTGGTTGTGGCATGGCATTGTACAAATGTGTGATCATGGTACATCCATTTTCAACGGCCTTGAGGCCCGTCTCGTAGTCGGCATTAGTGTGGCCGATGGAGTAGATGACATTTTTCAGTCTTAAGTACGGAATCACGTCCAAAACCCCATCGATTTCTGGTGCAGCCGTCACAATGCAAACATTTTCAAGCAAGTTGTCGGCACCATAAACCTGGTCCAACTTGGAGCTTCCTTCTTTGGCATCCACGAACGTCTCGGTGGGATGGCATCCCTTTTTGATGAGACTGATGAATGGACCTTCGCAGTGTGCTCCCAAACTGTCACACTTGTCATTTGACCTCGATCTCTTGTACAAGGGCAACACCTTTGTGTAGACTTCGGGGAAGTTTGACGTGACGGTAGGACACACCGATGTGACACCGGTTTCCAAGAACTTGGTCATAACATCTTCGTAAAACCTCTTGAACATTTCAATTTGCTCGGGCGTACTTCCGGCATTCAAATTGGAGAAGTTGTGCCCAAAAAAACCGTTGTTCTGGATATCTATTAACCCTGGAGCAAGAAAATTCCCGTCCAAGTCAACTGTATTTGTGTTTGAAGTGTCTTGGGGGTTACCGGTGATTTTCCCGGTGTGGTTATCAACGTAAAGGTCTGTGTTGTAGTAGGTGATTCCATTGTCAAGAAGATGACAGTTGGTGAACTTGGTGTACCTCATGGTGGTGTTGTTGTGGATGCTATAGTTTTCGGGGGAACGGCCGATATATTTATATGGAAGGGTAATGAGGTTGCAAATGTAACACAGTTTGATGTAACCTGGAAACTTGGGAACCAGCTCGTGCGTGCGCACTAGAGATAAGCGTGAGTGCAACATGTGAATGCTGCAACCAGTAATTGGAGGTTGCACGCGCCCCGCGCACCCCACCACCTACCGCCAGGCTACCGCCAAGTCGCCACCAATTGGTCGCGAGCTTGCTTCCATCCCGTCTGTCAGGTGCGATGAGCCAAATGCAACATAGTGTTTCTCCAGCCTCATATAAATACTCTAGGGATTTCGGCATTTTGTCCGATCACCAAAAAACCCAATGAGACAAGCAGTTTTCTCCAGTCCCGACGAAGCGTCCACTTATGTGGCCTCCTACATCTCCGGCAAAATCAATGCCTTTAACCCTACTCCTTCTCGCCCTTTTGTGTTGGGATTGCCTACCGGGTCTTCTCCAGAGGGCATCTACAAAAAGTTGATTGACCTCAACAGGGCCGGAAAAGTGTCCTTTAGGAATGTGGTAACATTCAACATGGATGAGTATGTTAACTTGGCTCCATCCAATGACCAAAGTTACCATTATTTCATGTACAATAAGTTTTTCAATCACATTGATATCCCAAGACAGAACATTCACATCCTAAACGGATTGGCGACCGACACTGAAAAGGAGTGTGCAGATTATGAGGCCAAGATCAAGAAGTTTGGCAGAATCCATTTGTTTTTAGGTGGAATGGGAGTTGAAGGTCATTTAGCTTTTAATGAGTCAGGCTCTGCCAGACACTCCAAAACCAGAAAGGTGTCATTGGTTCAGTCCACCATTGAGGCAAACTCAAGGTTCTTCAACAACGACTTGTCTAAGGTACCTAGACATGCCTTGACGGTAGGAATCTCCACCATTTTGGACAACTCTGACGAAATCATTCTTATTGTGTTGGGTAAGGCCAAGAAAGAAGCGTTGGAGAAAGCCGTTAATGGGCCCAAGAACGACGCTTCGTTTCCAGCGTCCTATTTGCAAGGCCACCCCAATGCCTTGGTTGTCAGTGACTTTGATGCGGCTGGAATCAAATATAAATTGTAGAATACTATAATATACGTGAAGGACATAAGTTGTAGAGTGACAGTGAAGGATGAGCCAGACGTGTGACAACAATAAAACTGGTATAGAGTCTTTTGTAGAGTTCCTTGGTGGGTCTTATGCTTAGTATATTACTATGTAGCAATGCAGTCTAACCAATTCCTAAACAAATGCAATGCGAAGCTGGACTCATTAACTTTGAAAGTAAGCAGCTCCCACAGCCGCTCCAACTATAGAACTATCATCAATCGACATCAAGTCGACAGTAGCACCCAATCCCTTGATGTAGGGACTTTCATTTATGTACTTGATGATCAGATTCCTATAGTTGTTGAAGTATACCATGATGGACCCCACGTATCCTACAATCACCTCTTCACCCACGATATTTTCGCGGTTGTGCATAACCAACAACTTGATGAATGCAATGACAACAATGGCAATAGTATAACTTCCTCTCTGGATCACCGAGTCCACCAACTGTTTTACTTTCATGGTGTCATTGTTGGAGATGTCAATGTTAAATTCCTCCACAAATTTGGCCTTTATCATGCTGATATCGGTTTGTTCAGAAACAAAACACATCAATTCGCTTGAAAACCCATCATACGCAGTAAATAGCTTGCTTGAAGGCGGAATCGTCAAGTCCCTAAACATTTCGTTGTTATTAAGTAATTTGACAATGGCCAATCTGGTCAATTCCGGTAAATATCTACCACTGGCAATGAATTCAGATGGCTGGAAAATGGAATCAGTGGCTCCATCAAAAGTCATGTGAGCTTTGAAGGGCCTTTCCGTACGTGAGAACCGGCTGTCAATCAGATGATCGAATTCGTTGGTCAATCGGAAAAGATTCGATCCAAACAATGAGGTTTCACTGTTCACCAAAACTGCGTCTTCGTTCAAGGTTTTGGCAGAATGGAACTGACCCGTTTTGAGAGAGCAGCTCATATTGAAGCCAGTTCCCAATACCATGGCTATTTTCAAGTGGGAAGTCAAAAACTTTCCAGCTGCATAGACGGCGATGGAGTCATTTATCACCACTCTCACATCAATAGTCAACCCGTATTCTTGTTGCATGGTGGTCTCCAAAACAGCCTTCAAGTCCTTGTCGTATATGTCGTCCCCAATCTTCCAACCTTTACCAACGTGAACTATTCTTCCAGAGTTGTGAGACACCTGGGTAAGTGGGAAAGACCAAGTAATTCCTACATTGATCACGTCGTCAGAAACAGAAATGGTACTCTGGTCCTTAATGGTCTCGACGATTTTGGAACTCATGAACCTAAAGAAGTTCTGGTCTATTAATTTATCCTTGTTGCTAACAATCCATTTGTTTTCGTTAACAATATTAACTCTATCCGCTCTATGTTCATCATTTTCGCCGGCAGCCGGTGCCTTGATATCCACAACCGCGATTCTTAACGTCAGACCTCCCAAGTCAATCACCAAGAATTTGCCATGCTCACTTCCCGTGGGATTAATATTGAAACTAGGTAACATGGACATCACTGAGTTCTCAGTTAATGCTTCATTTAAGTCCTCCAACAACCCATCAGAATAGCCTTGAATATCCTCGACATTCAACCTGCCATTGAACTGATTGATGACATCCAAGAACACTTCGTCCCCTGATGAAGAACTGGAGGCGTTGCTCTCGTCTTCCAGAATCTGGAGTTCCTGATCGTTGTTATCTGAAATAGGAGAATATGGTACCTCGAGCTCGGATTTCAATTCCAAATCTGAGATGGCATTTGTGAGCGGACCAGACAGTTGGGCAGTATGGATCATAACTGTTGTTTATGGTTAAGCACGATACTGAGAAAATACCTACAAAATCCCCTATGATGATTCCACTGGTCTTTTATCTTTTTTTAAAAACCCTCTGCGCGGAAGCCGTTGTAATCGTGGGTTTTGCGGGTTGTATTATACACAAGTCGCCCCAGGTACACAGCCAAAATACTCTCACAAAAAAAGCCAGTCGGGATTTGGATGTTGCAGTAACAATATTTTTGGTTACTGTAAGGATCCATTATCGCATTTTTTTGGCCCTCCTGCAACTCGTATGCAACATACAAAAAAATTGCAAAAGTGGGGGTAGTAACGACGCCATTGGCCTGTTACCACCACAGTCAAGATATGATTACATGGACATTGTTAGAAGCGCAACTGCCAACAACAAGGCCACTTACGGGTAGGGTAAAAATTGCTTTCTGGAGGTGCCCTTCGGCTGTAGGTTACATTTTAACCACCAGCGTTTCATTTGCGCACCAGGTTACATTTTTGCAAAGATGGGGTTTGATACAGTGGTACCGGTACTGCCACGCCCGGGGTCCTCGTCTGCGAATTCATGGGATAAAACTATACATCATAACATATCTAAAGCTGAGGACTGGTTTTCTGTGGGGTCAAATCATCCAACTCAATCTCTTCTGTCTTACCTTGCATCTTTTCAAGATTTCGGGCGTGGAATTCATGGTCATCAAGCAAAAGTTCTTTCAACTTTTGTTTTCCTAGGGTAAGGGCCTCTTCTACCATTCTCTGACCCACCTGAATAGCTGGCTTAATTAAATTCAACTGGTATAATATGTACGTACCGCCTCCCAATAATAATGCTAGCATGAAGAACACAGGACTTCTGATGATAGCCAAAAACTCGTTCCATCCCAAGACCACAATGATGATGTAGATGTAGTAAGGGATCTGGGTCACGTGCTGGACAATCGATCTCTTGGTCTCGATGTACTTGGCATCGATTTCTTTCTTGAACTTCTTCAACACTTCTGCCTTTTCAATTTCACTGATGATATGACTGAACTTGTTGGAGTCGAGTTCAGGGTCCTCATCATCTTCATCGCCAAAGTTGACGGGTTCATCGTACTTCTTTCTCAAGTCTTCTTTGAAAATGTCGTACTCTGGAAGTATCTCACTGTCATCTGACAACTTGACGATGGTCAAAAATGATATTAAGCTCAATGACTCTGATTTGGCCTTGTTGAAGTTGGCATCCAACTCAAATTCGTTATTGTATAACTTCGGGATTCCATTTTCGTCATATCTGAAAGTGTCTTCAAATCTGTTCTTCAAAATATTCAAAATGTTGTCTTTAGAAAGATTCTTCTTGATGAGCTGATAAAACCTGCACCACGATTTGAATTTGAATTTAGTGATGGATTCGTTGGTGGTCTCTTTGCTGATACCCAAATGAAACTCGTAATCACCATTTCGTGTGGCGTAGCTGCTTAAAGATGCTTTGATTAAGTCCAAGAACTTGTTGTGGATTTTATCCCACGACTCAGGGCCTATGGAATTTACCTCAAATACAATAAATTTGTTGAGCTGGGTTCCCAACTTCTTAACAAGTCTGGTGATAACTGCATTCAACTCGATTACTTGCTGCTTTGATATCAAATCGTTCAATTCTTCAATGAAGGTACCGGTACTGTCGTCAAAGTTGATCTCTCCGATGGAGATTAATACCAAGTTATCATTTAACTTTGACACGGTGTTCAATTTCAAGCGATTGACTTTGTCGATGAAGTTTTCGATACCATCCAAATCCTTTTCCAACTCTCGTTTGAACTCTTTCAAAATCAAATTACTCAACTTCTTGTTGTAGGTACTGAATAACTCCTTGTACTCGCCAATGATCTTCTCTCCCAACAAATGCCTCTTTTGTTCATAAACAGACGAATTGTATTTGGAGGCCATTAGGTCAAACTGCTCAAGATAATCGCTCTTCAAATCTCTCATCAACAAACCAATTTCCTTGAAATCAACCTGATCAACATGGGAAAATTCTTTGGTGGATTCCTTGTTCAACAATTCGTTGTACTTGACCAAAAATTCTTCATAAAGATTATTCACTATCTCATCACATTTGAACTTAGCTACCAAAATCTGCTGCGTTGGTAAGTCCAAGTCTTTATTGGAATCGATTTGTTCCCAACAATTTGAAGCATACATGGTCCAGCCATCAATGGGCAAGTCGTGGTGGTAATTTGGCTTCCAAAGGTAATCTTCACTGGACAGGTCTACAAACTTGTCACCCAACAACTTGATATCGTCGTGGAATTTGTCCTCTTGCAAGATTTTGTGGCCCAAAGCATGGAATTGTACATCGAAAAATTCGTCAAACTTCAAGGTTTCAACCTCACTGGGCTTGTTCAAACTGTCCCACATCTTGATTAAGTCTTGCGTCACCGTACTAGCTAAGTTCTCAACTGGTGTCACACCAACATGATCTCTAATCACAAAGAGTAACAACACCTTGTGATTATCACTCTTATTTGATACCTTGTTTTTACCGAACAACGACAAGTTCACTTCAAACACAGTCTTCAACAAGCCCATATTGGCACCCTGGTACAACCCGATCTGGGTTTCCCAAATATTAATGATCAATATCTCACTTGTGGACAACGCAAACAAGGCCGACTTTCTTTCGAAATCCTGGTCTTCACCTCTCTCCCTGCCATCAGTTCCTTCAACATCCATAACAAACACGTTCTCGACATTTCCCTTGCCGAGCCTCTTGTTACTGTTGATCATGGGACAGTACGCCAACCAAATTCCTTTTGTGGTCTGCTGTCTCCTAGATTCATCCATGACATCGAAGTTGGTATTAAACAACTTATTCAACAACGTCGACTTCCCAGTTGACTGCGACCCAAACACAGATATGATATGGTAGTTCTCACCGATTGAAGCAAGAGAAACAGTTTTTTCGATATACTGAATCAAATCGTCATTGAACTGCTTGTCCTCGTTAATGACCTGGATGGCATCCACTAAGTGTTGTTTGTCAATGGGAACAAACGAGGAGTCAGATGAGTGCGACGAGTTGGAAGGGGATGCTGCGAGATCCGGTTCTGGCAACGTTGGTGAGCGTTCCCTGCTTTGTAATTCTCTGTGGGTATCACTCATGTTAGCTGGGAGTTCCCTATGATTTTCGCGATCTAATTGTTGGCAGTTTCAAGGTCACGTGACTTCGTACCATCATTTGTATACTCGTAAGCCAGTAGAGACACGAGAAAAATGCCAGAGTCTTTAGGAACCAAGGTCTAGTCTGCCTGGTGTAAAATAAGTAGACAACTATTTCGTATACAACCTTGATTGACCCCAATTGGAAACGTGTAAAGGTATCAGGCAAGTAACCAACCTCACACCTTTGCAGCCTAAATAGTAGAAACTGTTCCAGACATTGTCAGTAAGAAAACCCCTTTTTTTTGTTCCAAGGGCTGAACAAAGAACTTTGTTTTGGCATCAATGAAACTTTCCTCCTTCAAGAATGGACCTATCTTCAAAAAAGTATATATTTACAAGATTCTATACACAAGCACTCAGCTAAACTCCTTGATGATTCCGTTCAATCGGGCCTTGACAACTCTTCTCATTCCCAAGTACGTCATATCAAAGGTGCTTCTTCCCTTGGTAATTGACCTCAACTTACTCAAGTATCCAACCATCTCTCTCAACGGTGTTTCTGCAACAACAATCTTCTTATTCTTAATATCAGCCGATTCACTCGACTTCTTCATGGTATAATCTTCGGGTAAGTATATTTTTTGCGCTTCTTGTATGGCCCAATTGATTTTTTCCACGTTGTCAGTGCCTTCATCTTCAATGCTCAAGATGTTAGCCTGACATCTTTGTGTGAGGTCGTGTGTCACATCTCCCAACTTATCTGAAGTGATATACACCTTGGTTTCCATAAGAGGTTCAAGCAAGGTGAAAGCCTGAGGATCCAATTCGGCAATCGATTTCATCACCGCTCTTCTAGTGATATCCAATAGTCTGGAAATATTCACAGACTTGTCATCAACCGGGAAATCCCAACGTTTAATTCGGATAACCGTCGAGTGCAACGAGAACCCCAAAATCGGTCCTCCGATTTGTAACCCGATCTGGAGCCCTTGAACAATTGCATCTTGAAGGTTTTCCAAACTGTATTCAGACTTCCACCGTCTTTCATCGATAGCACTGAACATGTACTCAGGAGTAGCCAAAGGTTCGAAGATAACGATGTTATTATCTTGGTCTAACAATTCGGCCCCTTCTTCTTCTGCAAACACAGACTCACTGGACTCTCCTTCGAAAGTATCCAAGGTGATTTCAATATTCACTTTCAGCTCGTCATCTTCAACTTTGATGACTTGATAATTAGGTTTGGTGATTGTCTCCTTGTAAGAAACAGCCACATCTCTCAACTTGACTTTGGCTTTCATATCGTTAACGAGTCTCTCTCTCACAATCTCCAAATGCAATTCTCCCATCCCGCTGATGATGGTTTGCCCCAACTCTTCATCTTGAAACACCGTCAAAGAAGGGTCTTCTCTAAGCAAAGATTGAATGCACTGGTTCATATAACGTTCATCTCCAGCCGTCAAAGGCTCGATTGAAGAATTGAAAAGGGGAGGAGGTATATCAATTGGCATCAACTTCAAGTTCATCTCCAAGTCACTAAAACTTTTGGTGGTAGCAGACCCGTGAGACACCAACGTATCTCCCGTGATAATCTCTTCGTTGCCAGCTATGACTCCAATATTTCCTGAGGAAATGGCCTGCACTGGTTCCGGTTCGTCTCCATGCATCAACAACAAGTTACGAACTGTATGCTTTTTACCGGTACGGGTATTGATAAAAGTAGTATTGGTGGTGAGCTTCCCACTATACACTCGGAAAAAGATCATAACACCCCTGATTTTATCAGTTATCACTTTGAATGCAAGAGCGACCGTCAAACTAGGATTATTGTTGATGACAATTCCCAAATTACTATCCATTTTTACCGGAACCTCGACGTTCTCTTGGAAGTCCTTCTTTTGTTTATTTGACTTTTTGGTCTTGGTAGCTCTTCTATGAGAAGTGAGTTGTGGAAGTTGGATCTGTAAGGGTGAAGGGAGGTAGTTGGTTATTCCATCCATCAACGGCTGCACCCCGATGTTCTTGAAAGCTGAACCACAAAAAACAGGGGTAACATCGTTGGAAATACAAGCAGCTCTGATGGCTTCGTTGATCAAAGAACCAGAAATAGCCATACAATTTTCATCGTGTTCCAAAAACGCATCGATAATAGCATCGTCAAACTCTCCCAATGTTTCTATCATCGATTCACGAGCTTTGTGAATCAGTTCAAGGATTTGTGGTCGCTCACTAGCATCAAGAACACTTATTTTTCTTCCGTTGGGATCATTCTCAAGATCCCATACCAAGAGTTTCTGGTTTATCACATCAACAACTCCCTTGAATTCGGGGACATTATCCTTCCTATCTTCAAAATATGGCAAGGTGCAAAGCACGACTCTGGTTTGAAGCTTCTCAACAACCTCTTTAACGGTTCTGCTAAATCCTGCCCCCTCTCTATCCATTTTGTTGATGAAGGCGATTTTTGGCAACTCGAGCTCTTGTGCTTGCTTCCATACTTTCTCAGTTTGGGCTTCAACACCTTCCACTGCGTCCAAAATTGTGACAGCTCCATCGAGCACTCGCAAAGACCTCACCACTTCAAATGTGAAATCAGCATGTCCAGGAGTATCGATGATATTGATTTTATTATTGTTCCAAGGAATCGTGATTGCCGCCAGCTGGATAGTGATTCCTCTTTGCCTTTCACTCTCAAGGTAATCTGTCACCGTATCACCTTGGTCGACATTTCCAATTCTTTTCGTCTTCCCACTAAAAAATAGGATTCTTTCTGTGGTAGTGGTTTTGCCAGCATCGATGTGAGCAATTATACCTATATCTCGGGTTCTCTTGATTGGTATACTGTTAAATTTTTCGTTTCGAAGTATGATAGTTGTGCTGAAAGCCCGTTTACATGAAGAAACTCCGAATCGAATCATGGATATTGGTGTCAAGTTGGAGATGCTCGCGAATTGTTTTTGAGAACTCCAATGAGCAACACCATTTTAGGAGTAGTTTCTGAAAGAGCATATTTTATAGGTCTCATAGGGGTTGGTATTGTGTGTTAAGCTTTTAGTTGTACTCTTGATGATAGAATAACTTAATTTTGAATATTTTGAATTTATTGCTTACATTTGGAATCGGTTGCAAAAACGTTTATGAGCCTCACTTTCAATTTATTGAATGTAGGGGCTATTATCAGGGTTGGTTATTTCCAGATTATCATCTCTTCATAGTGCCAAGATAACAGATAAGGGAACAAAGTAATTATATCTAAAATATTCATTACTTACTGAGTTCCTCCTGTCAAAGTCAAAGTTCAGTTTCTAAGCAACAAATTGATGTGTGGAACGTACGCAAGACGTTTGCACTGTCAATGAGAGAAATATCGCCATCTGGCGGTAAAATAGAACGGGCGTGTGGTCTAGTGGTATGATTCTTCCTTAGGGTTACCGTAAACCGGTTTGGATTTCTCTAGCCTGGAAGAGGTACCGGGTTCGATTCCCGGCTCGCCCCATTTTTTTTACTTTTCACTAGATTTTCTATTCGTCCCAGCCATCTAAATAGACTGAAAACAGGGAGAATACTGACCCAGTGTTCGTTGCAGCAAAGCACAATTCCGTAAACGAAACAGATCGATTTGAAATTCACCTTTGCTTGTTAAAACGCAAGAGAGTTCTTGAATTTGCTCTGTAAGCTTCGCAGATTTTACAGAGCAAAATTTTACCTTACACCTCATTGTGGCTGGCATCAACACAGTGGACTGATAGGCAGCGCTTTTGTGGTATAAATAGAAAAGAGAATCTCTTTTCTACTTGTGCCGGAAGTATTGATATTGAGCTGGGGCGGGATACGACATAATGACTCTTATTGACATTCAATCTGGACTTATTTCCGGTTTTTGTTACTTCTAAATTTATCTCCGCTAGCGAAAATGAGTTACTAAATCTGAAGTGTAAGGTTCGCAGATTTGACAAATCTCCTACAACATCAATTATAGATAAAATATATAGAGCAAAAAGAAAAATATTGTAGACACGCAATCGAAAGACTGGAGGAAGTGTCCGCATGTATGGTCACTTACGGTAGATTTGTCACTATGATAAAATGCGGTTGAAGAGATTAGTCATATTTCGCATCCAAAAGGGGAAGAGTTCGGTGATATTTTCCCTTTCAGAGTACTGTCGCACTGTATATAAAAGAGCGGCTGAGCGGAGACTAGCGGTTGTCACCGATTAAAATCCGACTAGGCCATAACTCCTTCCATTACCTTTTAAGAATAACTTTCATTTCGCCAGGGGACATGAAGTATAAAAGGAGCAGCAGATTCCCTGTTTTTTACATTCCATTCATTACAACAATTTAATTTATCATGCTGATCAGAACCAGACTACAAAAGTTTACCAAGCGGTTTTCCCGTCGTGAAAAAATACAACGTAAACAGAATAAAGAACGTATAAATCCCGGAGTATCTGCCTACGGGAGAAGTCCAAAGCCATTTGAAAGACCAGGGCTAGGGGGTGTTGGACAACGAATGGGAGTGTTGTAACACCCATTTATTATATAATAATGTTATCCGAATATATGAGTCCATGCTTTTTTGCAACCAGTGTGCGAACCGATAGTCTTTTTGTAAACACACCTATACACTATAACAAGTTTTCTTGTGATAGAGAGTACGACCTTGGAACATGGATATGACATCCATGTACCAACCTCTGTGTATCTATATCTTTATTGACCTCGTTTCGACTTATGCTTACAGCTTTTGCATATACCTCTGTGGTGAGGGGCTTTTGGTTCAGCCAAATTACCGCCCTGCCTAACACATTTATTGCTTTACCACTATCGGAGTACGTATATTCTACGGATCAATCAAACTATGGGTGTACCATGGGTTACCACCATTGTGCAATACTTTGATCTAAGGTACTAGTTTTCACGCATCCGCTTCAAAAGTCCGTTTATATAAGACAAAAATCACTTAACCGTTGACCAAATCATACATAAAGCTGATTGTAAACCGAACAGGAGCATTTGAGTTTCGCAAGACTCCTGAGTTGACCCTGGTGGTGGCTGAAAAATGCTGATTGTGTTCTTTTGACCTCAGCGAGATATTTACTCTTGCGTATAGTTATGCGGCCCGACCCACCGGAGCTTCGAATAACTTAATTCAAAAAGAATAAAAGCCCCGACCATCCCGGATCCGATGCCCATAACATTTCGGGACATTATACAACTGACGGCCGGTTTCGTGAATCTCCGGAGGTCACCGGACTGACGTCAGGTGATTAAGACCATATTGACCAATTTGATGAACCGGCTGCGACCCACACTTCCGCCGCCGCAGGGCCGCGAACTGGCTCGTTTTGACATATAAAGATGGAGTTTTCGCTAGCATAAGTGCCACAATTCAAACACAGATAGGAAACTAGTTCAAGCTGTTCTCGAATCTTCCAGGATATGCAATTAGGTTCATATAATCAAAGCCAAGAACTAGGATTGGAACATCCCCAGAATCCAGCTTCTAATAGTTATCACGATGACTCAGAATCTATTATCAGCGTACAAGTACACGAGAAAAATGTAGAAAAAGAACATAAAGAACAGGAAGAAGAGTTGATTTTCGACAGAGGGTATTGCTGGGTGGTGTGCTTTGCAGCAGCTCTACTTAATGCCAGTACTTGGGGAATGAACTCGGGGTTTGCCATATACTTCTCCACTTACTTGAATGATGATATATTTGAAGGTGCAACCAAGCTAGATTACGCTGCCGTGGGGGGAATTGCCTTTGGGGCAACTCTTGTATTTACGCCGTTCGTCAACTACGTCCAAGGAGTCATTGGCACACGCCCTCTTATTATGGTGGGGAACTGTTGCCAGTTCACGGCGTTGATGTTGGCATCGTTCTCGACCAAATTGTGGCAGTTATACTTGTCTCAAGGCTTGCTACAGAGCGTGGGCCTTGCATTGATCTCGTTACCGGCCTTGACGATTTTGCCCCAGTTTTTCAAGAAAAAGAGAATGTTGAGTGGTGGATTGGCAGCTGCTGGTTCTGGGTTTGGAGGGGTTACTTTCAACTTGGGAATGCAGAAGGTGGTACAGATCCGTGGCGTCCACTGGGCCTTGAGGGCTCAGGCCATCATTTCTTTTGGGTTGGTGTGGATAGCAGTTCTTTTGTTTCGCAGCAGATCAAAGCTCCACAAGATCGAGTTCACACTTTACGATGTCAAGGTCACCAAAATGTATGCGTTTTGGATAGGTATATTCTATGTGATGACTTGTATGTTTGGATATGTGTTGACATTATACACCGTGGCCAACTACACAACCTCATTGGGGTACTCTGATTATCAAGGGTCTATTGCAGCTGCGTTGCTTCAGATCGGGTCTGCCGTTGGAAGACCGTGTGTTGGATTATTGGCAGACAGGTATGGTGCCACCACCATGGCAGCTCATGCTTATTTGATTTCGACCATTTTCTGTTTGGCCATGTGGATTCCTTCTAGAAATTATGCCACCGTGTTGGTATTTGCATTTGTCATTGGTGGTGTAATGGGAAGTGTTTGGGGAACTATCGCCCCCATCCTTTCCAGCTTGGTAGGAATCAAGAAGATGAATATTGCGTTCAGTCAACTTTGGATAGTTCTAGGAATGTCGGGGGTTGTATCTCCAGTGATTGGTGTAGCCTTAGTTAAAGGTTCGGGAGGCCATGTTGACCCAACTCAGTATGTGAACTGTAGCATATTTGCTGGTGTATCTTTTTTTGCATGTAGCATTTGTCTTTACCTATTAAGAGGCTATATGTTGGCTAGAAACAAAATCATCTTAAAAATGCACCTGGGGTCTCAAGACATGGATAATTTGGAACTTAACTCAGACTTGCTTGTTTCAACCCCTGTTCCAATCGGACAAATGATTAAAAGCTCCTTCTTGTTCAGGAATGTCAAAGTATAAATCCGGACCATTGTAAATAGATCAAGTGTAAAATATATGAAATTATAGAGTACTGGCTGCAAACAAAGACAAAGAAGTCTGGCTCACCGCGAAATTAGCCTATCTTCTGATGAGATTAGAAAATTCAAACTGTAACCAGGCGATGAGCGAGCCCACAGGAAACCACAACACATTAGAGGTGACTTCTGCAGACTCTATGGATATTGATTCTAATACAAGCCATGTAAAGTCCCTGTCCAACGAGACTAATGGGTCGAAAAGCGAACCAGAAGTAGTTGAAGTCAGTCTTCACAGTGAATCCAAACAACCTGTGAAAGATTCCAATGTGAATATTCTGGACACAATAGCGGAGACCAGCGGACGTCTCATAATACTATATGATAAGCCAAAGTACAAGCATGTGCGGAAACAAGTGGAACAATTGAGCATATTGGGAGAAACGGATATTTTTGAGGTTAATGACTTTGGCTCATTCGAAGCCAGTGAGATCAAAAACAAAAACTATCGATATCTCAACATTTGCATTGAATACAATGATGAGTTCGAATCGAACTTGAGGAAGTTGAACGAGTTTCTTCTTGAACACAATCTGTTTGTTTCCCAATTCAAAGAAATAGGGTACCACGTACATTTTGATAATAAGAAATGGAGTGAGTATACGGAATTCGAGAGGGAAGAATACTCAAAGTTAATAGAAAGCTTGATGCAGCATAAGGACAAGGTGACCCAGGTATCAATAATCAACAAGTACGAGATAAACACCATCTACTTGACAGAAAAAAATGATTTGACAAAACTTGGAGAAGAAATACAAGATGACATCAAGAACTGGCAGAATCTTAAAGTGTTGGATTATGGAGAAAATTGTATCAGGTTTTTCCCTGGGGTTAAATTTCCTGATTCATTGGAAGTAATGAATATTAGTGGGAGTTATTGTATCGAGACATTGACAGGATTTAAGATGCCCGATAATCTTAAAGTCTTAATCGCCAGTCATAACTCCATAACTTCAATTGACAACTTGAAATTGCCCTCGAATTTGACCACATTGGACTTATGTGACAATAAAATTTATTTCTTGAACTATACAGAATTCCCTGATAGTCTAAGATCCCTTAATCTTTCCAATAATAGAATTGATAACATTCGAGGGATCGAGTTTCCAAGGAACTTGGAATTTCTAGCATTAGCATTCAATCCCATTGATAACATAAAAGGGTCCAAATTCCCCGAGAATTTGAAATATTTGGACATTTCTTGCATCCCAAGCGATTCTATGACAGGTTTGAAGTTCCCTGATCTGTTGGAGACTTTAAATCTTCAAGAATCTATGACCAATACAAGAGGATTGAAGTTGCCGAACTTCTTAAAACATTTAAACTTGGGAAACAATGGAGTCAATAGTATCAACCCTTTGAAATTGCCCAATACCATCGAAACCTTGTATATCGGTGGTAATAATATCAAAACTTTGAACAAGGTACAATTCCCTATGCATTTGAGGGAACTTTATTTGGGAAATAATTATTTGACAACCTTAAAGAATGTGGTTTTCCCTCCTGGCTTGGAAGTTTTGGATATTGAAATGGACCCCAATGTTGAAGAGAACGATAAAAGAATTGGAACTTTAAAGGATGTGATATTCCCCCCTCAGTTAAGAGTATTGAAGCTTGGGTATCAAGGTATTAAGATTTTGGAAAATTTCGAATTCCCTCCAAGTCTAGAAGAACTCGACTTGAGTTACAATGATTTGAAGCTTATCAAGAATGTGAAGTTTCATGAAAATCTTAAGAGTTTGAATTTAAGTGGAAACCAAGAATTGATTGAAATCGATCAAGTTCTAATTCCTAACTCATTAGTGGACCTTAAAATCCCCTCTCAACTCATTCCCAACTTACCAGGCTACATAATTGAAAGGGCCAACAATAAAGACTTAATAATAACTAAATCTTTACCGTTTTAAAGTCATTTGTATATTTAAAATGTATATTATAATTATTAATACAAGAATGGAGGAACCGAGCAAAAGCATTAATCATCATCTTCCTCTTCATCAGAAGTATCTTTGTCATCTTCTTCTTTACTTTCCAACAAAGCTTGTAAAGCAGCATCCTCAGTGGCAGTAACTGCTTTTGGTGCCATGGTAATCTTACAATTACCTCCAGCTTTTTCAATGGATACCTGCACTTTTTCGATCGCCTCGTTCAATACCTCTATACCTTGAGCCTTATCTAATGCTTGACATGAAATAACATACAAAGGAGCAGCAACCAATTTAGCTTTAACTTGCATTTGTTCGGTAGAGATGGATTCGGCTTCTCTCAAGGCATTCTTTATAGCATCGATACCTTCGTAACTGAAACAACTCACTTCAACATCAGCTCTTATTTTTATGGCTTGTGGAGTCAATCTTCTGCTAATATACAATTGTAACTCTTCCAAAATGTCCTTGGATGGAGGAGTGACATTTTCCCACACAGAAGGATCCGTGATAGAGATCTTAAATGCATCATAGACATGTCCGAACTTTCTACTTAAAGGCCAGCCAATAGTCAGGTATAAGTCTTCCAAAGATATGTTGAATTTTTCAGCACAGTGTCTTAAGATCGAATGAACAGCCTTGGATTTGTTGTATCTTTCATCACACTTGACAATATCTTCGGCAGAAACTCTTCTCTTGGACAAATCAATGTAACCTTTTTCTTTGTCGACTCTCAAAACCACAGCGACTTCGTTCTTACCAACTCTGATTAATTTCTGAATCGAACGGATTCTTCTTCTAGATAATTCAGACAATAAGACCATCCCTTCGATATTGTCATACTCCAATAACTTCACGTAGGCACCCATTTCTGCGATTTCCTGGACGTTGACCATGACGACCTCGTCAACCTCGGGGTATTTGTTCTCATAGAATCTGCAGTGTGAAGAACTCATGTTTGACAGTTAACTATAAATATTGCACTGATTTTGTAACACACTTCTTGAGAAAACTTTTTCACTTCGGCCGGTCGTGTGCGGCGCGTGCCCTCTCACAAAATTCGAGCCCACATCTTGCGGTTCCAAACGGATCTATTCACCACCAATTCTACAATATCAGTAGAGATACTCCAAGCAGCTCATCACTGATAACGAAGACTAAAGTTTGATTGTTCCTTTTTAACGGGAGAGTTTCAGGTTCTGCAATTGGATTGAGATCATTCAATCAAAATAGATTAAACCCAACACCTACGTGGAGTACTACATGCATACTTATAATACACAGACCCCTCAGAGACTGAGCAGATGTTGAATGATCCATAACAAGGTTTCTTTTCGATTTTCACAGTAACTCTCTGTAATTCTCCAGACCCAAAGCCTTCTCGCAGTTTTTTGCAGCCGCGCTGTTCTGCAATAAAATACCAGTCTCCACAAACACAACTTGGATATGACTGAAGTTTTAAGTACAACAGACGTCAACTTTCTCATCAGTGATCGGTACAAAATTGTACTGGTTCTTGGAAAAGGGTCTTATGGACTTGTCTGTTCTGCGATTGACACAGTATCAGCAAAAAACTCTTCTTACGATGGCGCTCAGATAGCCATCAAGAAAGTCAATTCCATATTCAAAAAACCAGTTTTAATGAAGAGAGCCATTCGAGAGTTGAAGCTCATGATACACTTTAGAGGACACCCCAACATCATCTCGTTAGTGGACTTGGACGTGGTTTACAACCAACCGTATGATGGTCTTTACTGTTTCCAGGAATTATGTCAGTATGATCTTGCATCAGTGATTTATTCTGAAAGCCAATTCAGTGAATTTCATATCCAGAGCTTTGTTTACCAGTTGTTGTGCGGGTTGAAGTATATACACTCTGCTGATGTGATCCATCGTGACTTGAAGCCTGGTAATATTTTGGTTACGGCCGAGGGAGCTCTAAAGATATGTGACTTTGGGCTTGCTAGAGGAATAAGTAGTAAGTACCGGAAGATTAGTGGGGTTCCTATCACCAATTATGTGGCGACTCGGTGGTATCGGGCCCCAGAGCTCATGCTAAGCATCGGTAAGTACGATAAACCAATTGATCTCTGGGCGGTGGGATGCATTTTGGCCGAATTATATGGGCGTGAGCCGTTGTTCAAGGGAAAAGACCAGGTGCTTCAGCTTACAGAGATCATCAAGGTACTTGGGAGTCCTCCGTACCGGTTGGTCAGATCACTAAGATGGCAATTGAATGTGTTAGAGGTCAACTTCCAGCCGATACCGTTTGGCAAGATCTATCCAATTGCGTCGAGCCTAGCGGTGGATATTCTCGAAGGATTCTTGAAGTGGGATCCCAACCAGCGGTTAAATGTGGTACAAGCATTGAATCACAGTTTCTTCACAGGCATTAGACAGGAGGAGTGCGAGGCCAATTGCGCTCTGATTTTTGATTTTCTGTTTGAGAGTGAATGTGAAGATTTTGACAGCTTGAAGACCCGGTTGGACTGGGAAGTAAGAGCTTTCAAAACTATCCGGGGTAGGAATTGAACAAGGTTTATTTACCGTAGCCCCGGGTAAAAGGGCAAGTTCAAATGCTGTAAGACTGAGTTTCACCACGGGACAAAAACCTACCCCACAATAAATTGGTGTCCTTGACACACCGCCAGAAAATACCGAGGTCCGCACTATTATAGCACCATATAAAATGAGCTATACATCCCAGTTTTTACTCATCACATAAATTCTAGCACATAATGGGAATTCCAGAATCGGGAGAATACGAAATTCTTAAGTTTGTCCTCAAAATCGAAGGCCGGGAAGAGCTATTGACAGTGCCAGTTGCTGGGGCTGAAAACATTGAAATGAGCATTCCAGAAGGAACCAATTACGTCGTCACCATCTATTTCAAAATCAACAAGCCCGTCAAGAACTTCAAGTATATCCAAATAGGTCGCAAGGCCGGTATTGTGGTGAAGAGAACCGAGAGAATTTTGGGAGAGTCGTTTGAACCCAGAGAAGAGCCATACCTGGTTGAGTTTGACCAAGAAACCACCCCTGCTGGATTCTTGTTCAGAGGAAAGACTCCAATGACCTCCACTTACTACATCGATGATAAAGAGATCCAAACTGTCGACTGGACAGTGGAAATCACCAAGAAGTAAATAACTGCAAGCAGTAATAACTACAAGCAGTAATAACTGCAAGAAGTAAATAGCTACAATGCACAAATATGGCCTCAGTGCAAAGAACACATACACACCCCATTCAGATCACACCTCCACTCGTGACATATACAGAGAATTGCCGGTCTATGCTCATCGGCTGCTTTGTCTTCTGGATTGGGCAATCGCAAGTTTGCAGTCGCACCTAAATCAAATCAATTTCTCCCTTACTGTTCAACTCCACATGTCCACCAGACCCGCCACACACTCTGGTTCGTGGTACAGTGGTAGCCGTCATGCGCTACACACCCAGATAACTGGGTTTTTTGCCAACAAGGTCAACCCCATCCCCCGTGCCCGAGTTCTTGTAGGTCCCCATGCTGGCTTCAGCTATAGCGGTCACCGTCTAGCGGAAACATTCAGTGCTTGGGACACCGACCATGTCCAGCGAGTGTTTATTCTTGGCCCCAGCCATCACGTGTACTTCCGTAACCACGTAAAGGTCAGCCACTATGCCTTTTATGACACACCCATTGGGAAATTACCAGTTGACACATCCATCAACCATCACCTCACTCAAGGGTTACATCTGGGGAAACGTGTTTTCCAGTACATGGATGCCGAAACCGATGAGGACGAACACTCGTTCGAAATGCACTGTCCTTTCATCAAGCATCGGCTTGACATTGACCAGAAGTCCGCAGGGGTTACCATTGTACCAATAATGATTAGTGGCATGGATGGACCCTGTGCTGATGCCGTTTGCCGCGCATTGGCCCCGTACTTTAGTGACCCAGCCAATACGTTCGTGGTAAGCTCCGACTTTTGCCACTGGGGAGAGCGCTTCAACTACACGCAATATGTCCCCAAGCCGTTGGACTACACGGCTGTAGGAATAGATGATGTTGTAGCAGAGCTCATGACAGTGCGCTCAAACAAGCAGCTTGACACCACCGAGATTCATGAAAGCATAGAGATTCTTGACAGGGTGGCGATGCATATTGCCAGCCACGGAACATGGAAGGATTGGAAGCGGTATATTGAAAAGACCAGGAACACCATTTGTGGGGAAAAGCCGTTGATGGTGGTGATGCGGCTCCTTGAGGGAGAAAGGGCAGCGGCCGCCGTTGCCACCGCCACCGCCACTGCGGGCACGGGCGCGGGCACGGACGCGCACGCAAACACGGTGGCCGGCACGGGCGATTATATTAGTTCCGGTGCGGGCCCTGAGGGTTCCGCGTTCCATTGGTTAGGATACAGTCAGAGTTCGTCTGTTATCAACGTCCACGACAGTAGCGTCAGCTACGCCTCTGGGTATGCGTTGGCTTAGATGCGGCTCAAAAGTTGTGAGAAGTTGGCAATAAATGATGTAGAGGGTTATCTAATGTTACTTGTCAGTCGATTAATAAAGCATTACAAATACTTGTATAACTATAGTACCAAGCGGTGTACGGGCGGACGTAGCTAGGAGCGGCTGACGCATCCGCTCCATCCGGGCGGCGATGGCTCGGAGAAATTCTAAATCTGGCAGCCAGTGCCAAGAGCGGCCGGATGTCTAAACGGTGCAATGTTCCCCATGAGTGCTATTTCCGAATATAATCACAAACAACCTGTAAGGCCGCCCCATTTTTTCTAGACTTTCACAGGGCCGGAGTTTCCAGGTTTCTTTTCGCAGCCGTATATAAATATATCATTCTCTCCTCTTTTTGATTCTCAGTTAATTATGGATATGCTTCTTCATTACTTGACATTACTTGGACTATGTGGTAAGAAGAGAACCCATGAGAAGTCTGATGGAGTGGTGACACGCTCCCAGGCCAAGAGACACTATTTGTGAGGTGATTACTTTGAAGATCACCACGTCCACTGTACATAAAATCGATATTACCTGTGCATATTCCAATAAACACTCCCTGAGACAGATGTCAGCGCGTTGCCAGGCTGCCACCTGCAACTGAACGAAAATATGCGTGCGTGCACCGACCACCTCTGAACCAACTGAAACGATAGGCGGCCGAGTGCGCGCACCTACCGCCAGCGCTGTCTCTACCTTGGTGCTAGCGCCCGCGCCACTGGACTTGAACCCGTGCGCCTCGCGGTGTGTTGCTCATTCCCAAACATGAGTTTTTTTTCTCTGTAAACCATAACACTTTTCTTGTTGAGGTTTTTATAAATATCCTGGTCTAAGTGCCATCCCCCAGCAGTTTCTCCTTCAAAACATCCATAAATCTGCCCCAGCGACAACCATAAACACGCTGTCGCCATACCTTCGCTGATCTCACCCTTTTGTTACATTCTCCAGATTCGTTCTTTTTGCATTGATTATACCCCTGTTAGACCATGAGGTTTGTTTTAATACTCTTCACTTTGGTTGTCAAAGTAATGGCCGATGTATCGCTCACATCTCCGGACACAAGCAAAACATTCACCGCCTCAGGAAGCTCTGTTAAAGTCCCCATAGCATGGAAAGATGATGGATCTGATGATGAGTGGTCCTTATCCAAGGCCGACAAATATTCGATCTTATTGTGTACGGGTAGTGGAAGTTATCCTATCGAATGTTTTGACTACTTGGTTAAATATAAAGACTACACCACGGGTAATGACGATTTTTCCGAGACTCTTAGTATCGATGTTGATGCCTGTGATGATGGTTACTATTTCTTCCAGGTGTACATTGAATTTTCCTCCTCCAAATTTACCACGCACTACAGTAACCGATTTGAATTAAAGGACATGACTGGGTCCACAAAGGAATTGACGGTTCAAAACACATTTGATGATGGCTCTCCTCCAGATCAAACGGTTGGAGCTGATACCTCAATTAACTCCAAATCTTTTTCCATAACTTACACTTTACAATCAGGTAAAACCAAGTATGCCCCTATGCAACTTCAACCCCATACCACATTGAGAGGCTCTACGTGGAGCAGAATGTTCCCTACCAGTAGTGTATCATACTTCCCGAGCCTTCATGGATCTCCCAACTGTTTGACAACAGTAACACCTGGTTGGTCTTACACACCTAAATCGCTTCATAATTGGGCAGCGGTAGCCCCAACCCCTTCCGTCAAGTACGATCCACTGGAAAGAGTGACTCCTGCCAGCTTAAGCACGGCCTCCAAGCGTAAAAGATGGTTGGACTAGAGATAAAACTAAGTATGTGTTGGCACTGAATGTATTTTTCTGATAGACCCATACTCACCGTAGATACCGCCGGGTTTGTGCAGCACCGCCCCGGTGGTGCGAATTTCTGCGCTGTCTCTCTGCTGCCGCCCGGCCTGTGCACGACCCCCAGTCGAACGCGTCAACGAAAAATCCCAAAACTAAAACCAAAACACATTGACGAAAACTGAAGCTTAGCAATGTCGTTTTTCCAAGACCCAAATGCATCCTCCGCCGCTTTGCGTAAGAAAAAGACCCTTAAAAAGCTGATCAACTTCTCCATCATGGTGATTGGAGAAAGTGGGATTGGACGGTCGACTTTCATCAATTCGTTGTGTGGAGGGAACTCGATCGTGCCTACATCTTCCACTGTTGACCAAGATCCATTTTCCAAAAAATTGACGTTAAGACATGAAAATGTCGAGTTGGAAGACAATGAGGGACACAAGATTCTGTTGAACATCATTGACACTCCTAATTTTGCCAATTCTATTAACTGTGATGATGATTTCAAAGTGATTGTTGACTTTATCAGACACCAATATGATGAGGTGTTGTTGGAAGAGAGCAGGGTCAAGAGAAACCCTCGTTTCAAAGATGGCCGAATCCACGTATTGCTCTACATGATCAATCCTACTAGCCATGGGTTATCTGAAATCGACGTCAAGTTTCTTCTTCATGTGAATAAATTGGTCAACTTGATACCTGTCATTGGAAAGAGTGACTCGTTGACCCCCGAAGAATTAAAAGAGAACAAGAAGTTAATCTTGGAGGATTTGGACAGCTACGGAATCAACCACTATAAATTTAACGAATACGAATATGAACTGGACTACATTGACGAGGAAATCATTGAGTACAATAAATACTTGAATTCGTTGTTACCGTTTGCCATCATTGGAGCCAACGAATTCAAGCCCTCCAATGCGGAAGAAGATGAGTTGTTGAAATTGAGAGTATTAAATCCTCTCAACTCCAAGCCCATTAACATTGAGATGCCCGAATATAACGACTTCACCATATTGAAAAATGTATTATTAATTACGCATTTGAATGAATTCAAGGAAATCACTCACGAAGTGATCTACGAAAACTACAGAACCGAAGCGTTGTCGGGAAAAGAATTCCAATACATAGATGGCGAAAGAGTATCACAACCTCCATCTTCCAAAACAGACTTGGAATCAGTTTCTAAGGATACCACCGAAGACGATTATATGTTGAAGGAAGAACAAATAAAGTTGGAGGAAGAGAGATTGAAGAAGTTTGAGGAAAGAGTCCACCAAGATTTAATCAACAAACGTAATGAATTATTGCAACGTGAACAGGAATTGAAGGAGATTGAGAAGAGATTGTTGGCTGAAGGATTGAAGATGAACGAAGATGGTGATATAGTCAAGATAGATGCCGAAGCTTAGTTTAGTGGTAGTTTAGTGTTGTACATTTACGGTACCTATACAATAAACACAGTTATATATCCTAGTTCTTATACTTGTTGACGATATCGGTGAACTTTTCATTTTTCACAGCACGGTCCGTGAGGTATGCATGGTCTGGGTTCGATATTTTCAACTTGCTGATCAACTCGTCGTTATTTTCAGCTTTACCAGTCAAGTAGTTTAAGGTTATTTGGTTTGCGAGGTAGTCATCCACCTGTTTAACATCCAAGGTATTGATCTGCTTCACCAACTCATACGCTTCCGGGTAGTGTTTCAACTTGATGGTCAAAACAAGTAAAGTGTTTAAGATTTTGAATTTTCCAGATTCATCATTTTCAAAGTCGTTCGACAAGATTTCATCATAGAAATAGTAAGCATTGTTGATGTTTTCCGTTTCTCCCTTGATGGACAGAACCCAACTTTCCAACACCTGATAGACTATGCTGTCTTTGGCACTGTCAGGAAAGTTCTCGAAGTTGTTGAAGATTTTGTTGGCGGCACCAAAGTTACCTTGAATCAAATGTAACTGGATCAATACCAAGTATGGCTCCAACTCGTTGATTTTCAACATGTTAGAGTCGTCGATGTACTTGGTCAACAAGCTGATCGCTCCGTCGATATTCTTTAAAAATTTGACAATGTAGAAAGAAGTCAAAATAGCTTGCAACTCAAATTCAGGTTCCTTCACATCCTCAAAATAAGTTGAGTCGTCGACCCCAAAGCTGTGTAAGTCGTTCCATGCACTCAACAAGGAGAACAAAGGCTCGTTATCTGGGAACTGAGCCTTTCCGTCGTCAATCAATTTGGATGCATCTTTACCCAAGGACACAGTTGATCTCACTTGGAATTCCAACAACTTTAGTTGGCTTTCGTCGCTGAACTGATTCAACGAGTACTCGACCACCTTGGAATGCTGCCCCGTGTAGAACTGGGTCACCACCGTGTATAATTCACCAGAATCTCTAAAATCCATTGTGTTGGTCGTAGTGAGTGTGTTTACGTGTTGAGGATGTTGGTGCGCTCGTTCTCGGTGCTCACACAATTTTTTCCATTCACCTATTTACAGAGATTTAGAGCTTTTACGGATTCTTTCCCAGGCCGACGTAGGAACGATTGTCCTTTCGGACTCGTCTTCTGTAGTGACTATTTCGCCACCGTCAAACTCGGCGGTGGAATCGATCGAAGTGTCGGACGTCTCTAGAGAGTTGTTGGGGTTAGTTCCGTATCCGTTGGCAACTCTCACTCGCTCCCACACTGTGAGATCTTTAGTAACAGGGTCAATGACTTGTCTGTCGTCATCTTTGCGGAATACCTTGCTACTGCTTGTAGGACTTGGGGGATGGTAGTGGACTTCGTGCTTCTGGGTTGCGGTAAATTCACGGGGATCTTTTAGAATGTACGAAGGGTCTTCACTAGTCCTCCTATAGTAGAGATAGAACATTGACGATTGGTGTCTTTCGATTGTTTTCCACACACCCAACTGTCTCTCCTTCTCAGGAATGCCCTGCAACCGAACGATCTGACTGTTGAACTGCTGTTTCCCGGCAATTTCTCCCCCAAGGACCAATCCTCCTAGACCACACAAAAACGAGAGAAACGGTTTGTGAATGAAAGACCGGGGTTTTAACGGATTGGGGTTGGCAGTCAAATCTTGGACCGGATTGCTCAATCTCTTGAACACCGTTAAACTGAAGAATCCCACAAGTGAGGCCACGTTGCTTGCAATGGAGATTCTAGGGAGAATTCGTTCAAAGTCTTTCTTAATCTCGGTTCTGTCTTGGGGTGTTAATTGTTGATCTGCCTCATAGAAATGAACACTGGCGTTAAACTGGGCTGGAGTTAGCACCTTGGTGAGTGGATTTTCTGGGGATAAAGGAACCAGGGCCTGGCTGGTGCCATTACTGTTGTCATTGGATTCAGTGTTTGTGCTCATTTACAGGTTTGCTAACCTGATGGAGCTCGCGAGCCTTATACCCAGACCCCGTCGTGTGCGCACGACAGTCCATCTACAACCACTAATGGATTACTTCTTATTATACGCTATCTACACCAACTTGTTGTCTCTTCTCTTTTCGTCTCTTAAGTCAGCCAATTGCTTGACGACGGTTTCGAATGCAACAGTTTCGTTCTTACCTTGGTCTTCTTGAATATCTCTGTTTCTCACATTGACACTATTCTCTTGCTGTTCTTGTTCACCGACAATGAAAATGAAGTTATATTTGTACAATTGCCCGGTTCTCACCTTCTTCTGCAAAGTGTTACCGGTGACATCCACGTCGGCATAGAACCCGTACTTCTTGACTAATTGTTCTTTCAAAGATTCGGCATATTCGTTGTATTTAACCCCGACAGGCACAACCAACACTTGTCTTGGAGAGATCCAGAATGGCCATTTACCCTTGAAATGTTCAATCAAAATGGCAGTCATTCTCTCAATAGAACCCAAAATAGCTCTGTGGATCATTACTGGTCTGGAAACACTATTTTGCTTATCGTTGGTTTCAGACTTGAATTCCAACTCGAATCTTTGAGGCAATTGGAAATCCAATTGTATAGTGGCACATTGGAACGATCTGTTCAAGGCGTCACTGATCATAATATCGATCTTTGGACCATAGAAAGCACCATCACCAGGGTTTACTTCCCATTTGCCTTTACCCAAGAATTCGTTCAATTGATTTTCCAACTTGGCTTCAGCCTTGTTCCAGGTTTCTAATTCTCCCACATATTTGTCAGGTCTGGTACTTAATTTCATTTCGAATTCGAAACCAAAGATACCATAAACTCTGTTCAAGAATTCAAAACAACCCTTGATTTCTTGTTCGATTTGATCTTCAGTACAGAAAATATGGGCATCATCTTGTTGGAAACGACGGACTCTAGTCAAACCAGATAATGCACCGCTAAATTCATTTCTGTGAATCACACCAAAGTCAGCAACACGCCAAGGTAATTCTCTATAAGATCTTTCTCTAGACTTGAACATAAGACAATGACCAGGACAGTTCATTGGTTTTAAACCAAAGGTGTCCTTTTCCACATCGAAGGTGAACATGTTTTCTTTGTAGTTGCCCCAATGACCAGAAGTTTCCCACAACTTGGAGTTGTACATGTTTGGAGTGATGACTTCTTCAAAACCTCTTTGTCTGTATTCACTTCTGAGCATTTCACACAAACCATTGTAGATTCTGGCACCGTGAGGCAACCAGAACGCACTACCTGGAGACATTTCATGGAAAAGGAACAATTCTTGTTCTTTACCAATCTTTCTATGATCTCTTTCACTGGCTTCTTTCAAAAACTGCAAGTGCTCAGTCATCAACTTCTTGTCAGGGAAAGAAACACCGTACACTCTTTGCAAAGAGTCGTTGGCAGAATCACCCAAAAAGTATGAAGATGAGGACTTCAACACTTTGAAAGCTTTAATTCTACCTGTGTGTGGAATATGAGGACCCAAGCACAAGTCAATCAATGGCCCACATCTGTACACAGTAGTGGAAGTGCCATCCGGGACTTTTTCTTGGATAAACTGCACCTTGTATTTGTTGTAGGCGAACATTTCCAATAATTGTTCTTTAGTCATTTCTAACCTAACAAACTTCTGCTTTTCCTTAATACCCTTGGTAGCAACTTTTTCCAAGTTGGCGAAATCAGCTTGGGAAACAACCCCTTCTCCGTTGTTGATAGACATGTCGTAGAAAAATCCATCGCTGGTTGGTGGACCATATGACAAATGACTTCCCAAGTGGCATTCACAAGCTTCTCCCAAAACGTGAGCAGAAGAGTGCCAGAACACCTGTTTACCTTCGGGATGGTCGAAATCCAAGAACTCCAACGCGACATCATCTTCCAAAGGTCTACTTAAGTCCCATAACTGACCATTAATTTTGGCAATAACTTGTCTTTCACTGAAAGACTTTCCAATGTCATTGGCAATGTCGATTGGGCTGGTTTCGTACGCCTTTCCGATTCTGATGGAACCATCTTTCAAGGTGATTTTGATGTCCTTACGTTCCTTTGTGCTGATTTTCTCATCGTACTGGGCCTTCAATTCATCGAACATCTTGATACGTGAGTCAATGAAATCGGGTTGAGGGTGCAACAATAAAGGGTCCCTTTTAGGAGCCTTAGCATCAGCCGATTTAACAGGTTTGGAAGCAGGGACCTGAGGCTTGTCACCCTCCACCGACAACGCTTCTACTTTATTTTCAAGTTCACTGGACATGTTTCCTGTGGTGAGATGTGACAGACGTGTTGAATTTTTTTTGGGTGAGAATGAGTAACTGAAAGTATGAAATGAGGGCGTGCGAAAACATACGGCGGGGGGACAGAAAGTACGCACAGTTTAGCTCGCGACTTTTGGTCTTGGTTGATGGGAACGGCAGTTAACGGTGGTTTATGGTGCAACATCACAACGAACGCATACTTCACATTGCCGACAAGATAAGAGCTATATCGCGAGAAAATGATCGGATATTGCTCAACAAGCGGGCCAATCTTAATAGTCTTGAAGCCCATATGAGTAGACTTCAATCGAATCGAATAGTGGAGGACTCACTAAACAACATATCCAGACAGTTGAATTCTTTACTCAGCGATCTCAAGAAGAAAAGCAGTCTGGCCAGTGAACCAAGCACCCATACGAAGTTCATTTCGTCAGAGTCTCGTGAGAGAATGGCAGTGTTTGAAGATATGAATGAGGATATGGATGAGGAGTTTGAGAATGTTGAAGGTAGTGACAATGATACTCGCACTGGCTACAGTGAAGAAGGTGAGCCGCTCGAGCAAATTGGCCAATTGAGCGGATACTTGAACTCCACGGCTTCATTCGATCAGAAGCACGAATTTAACGATATTTTGCGCAGTGCTTATGATTTAGTACAGACTTTACCAGATAATGGCAGGGGCAACAGACCGTTGAACGAGTTTATTGCCAGTCTAGAGCCGTGTATTGGGTCGTTTACCACATAACAATAGTAGACATATACATAGAAATAGACCCTTGGCGATAGTAGACATTTACACGAAATAGACACTCAGCTAGACATCTTGACATCCGCTGTTCCAAATATATTTATTCTTACTAGTCTTCTATTTACATGAACCTCTCCATCAAAACGTCTTAGGAGCCAATGTGGCAATTTTGGTGTACTTGGAGTTTCTCAACTCTTGTGCTACCACAGATGATACTCTGGTACCCAAAGGATCTCCATTCTTGTTCACCAATACACACGCATTATCATCGAAGCGAATGGTCGAGCCATCTGGTCTTCTGAATGGAGCCTTTGTTCTCACGACCACGGCCCTGCAGATGTCTCTTCTTTTAACTCTGTTATTGGCGGACAGCCCAGTAATCTCTGCCGTCAAAGGTCTGGCTTGTTTGACCACCACCGTGATTTCGTCGCCCACCTTAGCAAAGTTTCTAGGCCCATGCCGCAAAACCTTAATACATTCCACTACCTGGGCTCCACTATTGTCTATCACGTTTAATAAAGACTTCAAGTAAATCATCTTCACACCTCTAACTATCTGAAAATTTTTTGATCAAAGCGCGGAACGCTTTTGAGGCCTATGGCTGGTATATGGAAGATTCGTTGTTTAAGCAGATTGGGTCATTGGAAGCCAGTCTGGCATTCTCTAAATGTACACAGATACTCCACAGGTACACAGGCATCCGAAAATATCAATTGGTATTGCTCCGATATCGTGAAGCTTAGAGGATCTGAATTCCAAGGAAGACACATACAAGTGCACAGTGAACAAGAGGTTAAGGAAGCACTCAAACTATTTGCACAAGAGCACAAACGGGTCATGAAGAAGGCTTCACATCCTGCCATATATGCCTGGAGAACAGGCGAGAAGGTGGAATTGTCAGAGGAAGAAATCCTTCAAAACACATTAAATCCTGACTCCAAGCAGTTGAAGAAGAAGAAAAAGGGAATAGAACCATCCAAGTTGCATAAATACATCAATGTGTCCCAAGGAGTTGAAGACGGCGGTGAACGGCGTTCGGGGCAGGATTTGTTCAGACGAGTCATTCAACGATATGAGCTCTATAATGTTCTAGTGATCGTTTCCAGGTGGATGAGAGGCAGTACTATAGGTCCTAGCCGATTCAAGTGCATTGGAGATGCTGGAACCGATAGTGTTAGGAAAGGAGGGTTGATACTGTGAAGAATTCATTGAATTTAAATTTGCATCTCCACAGTTCACAAACGGTTATTTATGACTCAAATTGCACGACTTATCGGAATCAAAAAATTTTCAATACAGAAAAATTAAATTGAAACAAAAGGACTTGATAAACCCTTGTAAACTATATCATCGAATCCCCAGTTTTTCCGTTGTTCCCTCTACTATGATTGGTCTTAGAAGATTGACATCGGTTGTTCGTCCTGTGGGTTCCCGGATTGTCAAAACAGGTGTGTGCAAACCTTTTTATAGTCTCAGCAGAGTCAACTTGTACTCCACTAAAACTGTCCAATTGACGGCTGACACTTACAAGGACAAAGTGAGTAGATCTCCAGACTTCAAAAAGTTGGAAGTCGCCGATATCGACTATTTCAAGAGCGTGTTGAACGATTCCAACAGTATACTCACGGATGAAGACGACTTACTGTTTTACAATGAAGATTGGATGAGAAAGTACAGAGGTCAATCCAAACTTGTATTAAAACCCAGAAATGCTGAACAGGTGAGCCAAATCTTGAAATACTGTAATGAGAAGAAGTTGGCCGTTGTTCCCCAAGGTGGAAACACCGGTTTAGTGGGAGGTTCTATTCCTATCTTTGATGAGATTATTATTTCTGTGGCCAGCATAAACAAAATTAGACACTTTGACAATGTTAGTGGGATATTGAAATGTGATGCCGGTGTGATTTTAGAGAACGCAGACAATTATTTGGGACAACAAGGATACATTTTCCCTCTTGATTTAGGAGCTAAAGGGTCTTGTCATGTGGGAGGAGTTGTTGCTACCAACGCGGGAGGTTTGAGATTATTGAGATATGGTTCTCTTCACGGGAGCGTTTTGGGATTGGAAGTGGTTTTGCCAGATGGTACCATCTATAACTCAATGAACTCCTTGAGAAAGGACAACACTGGTTTCGACTTGAAACAATTATTTATTGGTTCCGAAGGATCTATTGGAATAATCACCGGAGTTTCTATCTTATGTCCTTCCAGACCTAACTCGTTCAACGTTGCTTTATTGGGAGTGTCAAGCTATGAAACTGTCCAAAAGGTGTTTGTGGAGACTAGAAAGGAGTTGGGAGAGATTTTGTCTGCCTTCGAGTTCATGGATGGAAAGTCCCAAATCTTGACCGGAAGATACTTAAAATTGGACCACCCAATCGAGAGTGCTGAATTCCCATTTTACATTCTCATTGAGACTAGTGGTTCCAATAAGGAGCATGATGACGAAAAATTGGAAACTTTCTTGGGTAATCAGATGGAAAATGGATTGGTTGAAGATGGTATCATTGCCCAGGATGAAGCTCAGGTAAAGAGTTTGTGGAGCTGGAGAGAATCACTTCCTGAAGCCAGTAATTCTGCTGGAGGAGTGTATAAGTACGACGTTTCATTGCCTTTGAGTGACTTATACGGTTTAGTCGATGCTGCTGGTGAAAAGTTGGCTGAAGCTGGTTTGGTAGATATGGACGATGAATCGAAACCAGTGGTGGGGGCTGTTGGATATGGACACGTTGGAGACGGAAACTTGCACTTGAATGTGTGTGTTAGAGAATATTCCAAGAAGGTCGAGGAGGTATTAGAGCCTTTTGTATACGAATGGATTCAACAACACAAGGGTTCTATTTCTGCTGAACATGGTTTGGGTTTTCAAAAGAAGAATTACATTGGATACACCAAGAATGAAAATGAAATCAAATTAATGAAACAATTGAAGGCCCACTATGATCCAAACGGTATTATGAATCCATACAAGTACATATAAGTGTATATTTAAATGGCTAATAATTTATTCAACTACAATTTAGTTTCTTTTCTGAAAAGAGAACCTTCTGTGTATAATTCACCCAATGGGTCTTTAAAGAATCTTTTGGCCAAAGGTCTTTTAATCTTCATTGTAGGAGTGATAATATCGTCTTCAAGTTTCAAAGGTTCCACCATCAATTTGATATTGTTAAGCTTTTCAAACCCTTGTAACAAGTTCTTGGTAGAGGCATTCATTTGCTTCAAGAACTCGGTTTTAATGGCCTTCTCGTTCATCTTTTCCAACAACTCTTCATTTGAAGAAACATCAATGTTGAAGTTCTTCTTCAACCAAGGTTTAGAGGTCTCTAACTCAATACCTAAAATACCCACCAAATAGGACTCAGTGGATTCACCATGAGCAAATGCCTGGGCAACCAATGGGAAACAAGACAAGTATATGTTCTCGATCTTTTCTGGGGTAATATACTCACCTTGAGCCAATTTGAAAAAGTTCTTAACTCTATCAATGATGGTAATTCTTCCAGTGGTGCCATTGATTTCAGCAATGTCACCAGTTGAAAACCAACCGTCCTCAGATAATGCCTTGGAAGTTTCTTCTGGGTTCTTGTAGTACTCTTTGAAAATCTGAGGACCTCTTAATTGCAATTCTCCTCTAGGACCATTTTTGTCCTTAGCATAGTAGTTCATTTCAGGTACCTCTCTAACTCTCATCTCACAGGTGATCGAAGGAGCTCCACATGAACCTGGCTCACTGTCATAGTTGGGAGATGCACATACTCCAGCAAACGACTCAGTCAATCCATAACCTTGAGCAATTCCGATATTCAAGATGGCCTTCAAGAACTTAATGGTATCTGGAGCAATGGGAGCCGATCCAGAACTAAAGGCACCGATGTTTTCAAACCCAACCTTTTTACGAACCAAATTAATCAACCTATCATAGAAAAAGTGTCTTCCTTCATTACCATCACCTTGGGATTGTTTTTCCATCTTGTAGTTAACAGCAGCGGTGAACAACTTCAGCAAAAGAGGCTTATCAGGGTTGTTGACGGTTTGGTTTTTCAAAGCTGCTTCTAACTTGGTCAACACCCTAGGAACCAACATTAGGAGATGAGGCTTCAAGGCTTTGACATCTTCCAACAACGACAAAGGAGATGGTGTTGAAGGAAAACCAATTTCGTACCCTCTAAACATTCCATAGTTAAGGTTCATTCTTTCATAGATATGGGCTAATGGCAAAAAGTTGTAGTATCTGATCTTTTCAAGTCTAGCAGCAGTAAGGTTTTTGGCAAGACAAAAGGTGGCCGAGGCAACACCATTTCTATGAGTCAAAACAACCCCCTTTGGATTAGCTCCCGTGGTACCCGAAGTAAAACTCACCATATAAATATTTTCTGGTTTTGGTGGGATATCGGGTCTCCAATTGAGTTCTCCCAACTTGATCACCTGATTGAAGTCATAAAGCATGATATTATTTGCTTTTGCGTACTGATGAAGGGATCTATCATTGGAAGAGGGGTTCTGCAAGTCCAACAGATCCATGGACACCAAGGTGATCAAGTCCCGCAATTCGTCTGGATGCTGTTTCTTCAAATCGATCAACAATTTCAACTTGTCCTTCGAACACACAATCATTGGAGATTTTGTCAACCCCAAAATGTACTTGGTGGTGGTGGGGCCCAACGTATCATACAAAGCTGTGTTACAAATGGAGTAATTAACACATGCCAAGTCGGTTAAAGCCCATTCTCTTCTGTTGGAAGAAAAGATCGAAATGAAAAAAGTTTCGTCCAAGTTGGCAACGTACTTTTCGTGATTGTCGATCTTCTCTTGGACTTCGTCACTGGGGCGAAATGGACTGTTGTTTAACACATACAAGAATCCAGCTCCCAATTGTTTCTTCAATTGGTTGATTTGTCCATATGTTTCCCATACATATTCACCTCTGGAACCATCATCTAAAACTTCTCTGACTCCAAAAGACTTTTCTTGGGAGTGCAAGGCTACACAGTGGTTAAACAAGGCATAGTATGTATCTAAGCTTGGATGAGGGGTTTCTCTTAATTTTCCTCCAAAGTTGTCTTGAACAAAAGAGTTGATGTAGATCGGAGAATAACCAGCTTCTTCAGTGTGGGGAACAGGCCTGGAGTTTGCAAGAGAAAGCTCTCCTAGAGGTACGGAGGCTTCCACCAATTCTTCCACATACTTGGTTTCATCGACAGCAAGAGACATCGTATGATATGAATAAGTTAAATATGAGATGATGGTTTCGAATCTGGGGAAATGCAGATTTATATAGGGTGCGTTGGTGCCCACCTCGGTTTAAATCATATGCCGGACTTATTTAAATGTGGAGAATCAATTTCTTACTTTGAAGGGAAGGACCATTTTTGACTCCGATTTATCTCCGATAAGCTACGGCCGATATGATGAATATATGGTTTTGGTGTTGATGTCTACTAATAACCAGCTACTACCTGCACGGGTGGTGTAGGATGCCAGCTATTCGTTATAGATGACAAGGCCCTGGAAGCTGGCCCCCATAATAGCTGTTCTGGCCCAAAAGACGACCTTCTCATCCAAATCTGTGTACATCTGTACCTTAACAGAGCCTGAGATACCAATTTACTATGATCCCTACCTGAGCAGCTGCAAAATCACATTTTTGACTTTTTGATTTTTGCACATTCTAGCGCATACGTGTATGCAGGTTAGAAGACGCCATAATTATCTCCGATGTTACCTCCGGAGTGGCTGGAATATTTATAAGCATTTACACTTATGTGCAGGTTCACAGACGCCAGAATTATCTCTGCAGATACCAGAATTATCTCCGATGTTAGCTCCGCAGAGGCTGGAATATTTAAAACCATCGACAGAGCCTACGAAACTTTTTTAAAAAGTAGGCATGTCTACCGTCGTTATTATTGGATCTAGTTTCGCCGGTCTTGCGATCGCCAGAATCTTCGCCAAATTGGACAATTCGTTCAAAATCACCTTCATCTCCCCAAGTGATAAGTTTTACCCCGTGCCCTTGACACCAAAGCTCGCGGTTGACACATCTCATGTTATACTTGAAGAAATCAACTCCACAATTTTGAAGGACTCTCCTGCCAAGTTCATCAAGGGCTTGGTCCTTGAAATCGACCCTCTGAAGAACCAGGTTATCACCACCGCTGAGGAAAAGATTGTCAAATACGATTATCTCTTCATCGCATCCGGAACCAAAACCAATAATCATGCTTTCAAATGCTACGACTCACTCGACAAGAGTGTGGCTGCCTTGAAAGCCATAGAGGAGGGTCTTGCAACCGCCAAGAAGGTTGCTGTAATTGGTGGAGGTCCTACTGGCATTGAGATGGCAGCTGAGGCAATCGATAGATTTTCAGACCTCAAGGTTGACTTATACACGGGGACTGAACATCCAGCAATGTTCTTTGGCCAGCGTAGAAGACTTGGGACTGAGACCAAGTTGGCCACGATTGGTGTCAATGTCATCAACGGCAAGTATGTTAAGGAATTTAGTACTACGTCTCTTGTGGTTGATGGTAAGACCGTTGACTACGATTTAGTGATTGACTGTACTGGAGGTAAGCCAAACTCGGAATTCATTCCTGCTGAGCTTTTGGATGATAAGGGAAGATTGATCACCAACGAGTATTTCCAGACTAAGTATGACAACATCTACGGGTTTGGAGATATTGTGGCTATCACCCCAAACACCATCTCAGAATTGGTGATTTATCTGGCTAAGACCCTCAAGCTGGTGATTCAAGTAGATATCTTGAAGCAGAAAACCAAGAAGATCCCTTACGGTAACAAAAAGGGAACTCTTGTCATTATGATCCCAATTACCAATAGAATGGGTGTGGGTGAAGCATTTGGATTCCCTATTCCTTCTTGGATCATTGCTTGGTACAAAGGTAAAGGAACTACTGAAGAGAAAGCCCATCACTTGCTTGGCTTTTTCGATAGACTCCCTTAATTGTTGAATTTATCATATCCTCTATATGTCCTCGATATAATCACCCATTAATATATCCCCTGTATGCCTTGAATATGCGAAAGTAGTTGTACCCATGATTTGCAACCTGATACGGGAGTGTATGACCAATTTCGATGAGTCAGTAGGAGAAGATAAAAGATTTTTGTCAAGGTGGATATCAATGGAGTGCTTGCAGACCCTATTGTAACACCCTACCTACCGTCCAATCCCTAGGAATCAAGCCAACATCATCACTACATGCTTTGCGTGCTTATCTGTTTACGATTCAGGGTTCCCCATGTTTATTGTGTTTGTTTTTCTTTGCAGTCATTTGAAGTGCGACATGATAAGGAGTGAGAAATGACTGCAATTTAAACGTGGTTTTTGTATTCATTATTCTCCCCTTCATATAAATACCCCTTGCTGTATCCATCATGATAATATTCCCAAGAGTATCCAGGACAAGAATTCCTAGAACAATGTCTTTATCTACAACTGCACCAATAGAGACCTATATGTCCAGATCATGGCTACGGCAGCACTTGTATTATTTGGGATACGATATAATAAGATTACAGTCATACCAGAAGTTAAGCAGACATATCGGTACTACCACTGGAGGCTTCATAAAGTCGCTTGTCTCCGATATTTCTACCTTCATCAACACGGAGTTGAATGAATCGAGTGCTGGGACCGAGGCCGCAAGCAAATTAAAGGAGTTGATGTATTTACACAACTGCGACCATGCCATAAAAGGAGAGATTAATGCCAATATTTCCGAGTGTCGCTTGTTCTTCATGCTGGCAGGCTACATCCTCTTGAACCAGACGAGCGAGAAGGTTGACGAGTTCACCGATCGATTGATTTCCATCTACATGGAATCAAAGGAATCTGTGTTGACCAGACGTGTAACCCAGAACGACCTGTTGACTACCCGAGTGGTGGAGTTGGCAAATGCTTACTATGAAGACTGTGATGTCAATTACGATTTGTTGTACAACAACAAGCCCCGGTCTTTGAACTTGTTTGTCACCAAGCACATAAGCATTGAATTACCACCTTTGCCAAAACTCCATAACCGGAAGCTTTTGGTGAAATCTTTGGTCCACAAAGAACTTTATCGTGGTTTTGTGGATGAGTCACACCGCTTCTACCGAATTTTAATGGAAAACGGAATTGAGCCTCGTGAGGCCACTCAAATCATAAGAAACGACTTGTCCTTCTTTGATGGCTTGGGAGACTTTTATTTATCACAGGAGTCTTCCAATCTATTGTACCGGTTCAAACATTCTGCTCCATACAAGAACGAAACATTTTTTGGAAAAAAGTCTTATACCTTGTTGAAGACGATTCTTGTAACCAACACTTTATTTTCAAGATTGGCTTTAGCTTACAACTTACACGAGGGTTTAGATGATCCCATTGTCAACGGGTTGTTTAGAGACACTTACGTGCCTTACTTGAATGATTGGAAGGATGTGGACTTTGACACTTGCCAGGAATTCAAGACTTATAGGTACGAACAGGAGTTTATAGCAGACTATTTTGAACAGTACGTGGGTACCTTATTCTTAGAACAGCCTAAAACTGCCCAGATTTGGATCAACCAGATCTATGAGAACATATTGTTCCTGATAAGAGAAGAGCACAGGGTGCCCTCAAAGTTCCTTCACCAGTATGATTATCACTCCTGGGCAGTAGATGTTATTGGCAGAAGATTGAAATGATTACAATGATTAAATGTTTGATGCTTAGTAGAACAATAGTGCCGTATATATTTATTACATACTTAGGCCGAGTCATCTCTTCTGTTTCAACAATGCTGCAAGACCTCTTCTCTTGGGTTTCCGTTTCTTGGAAATGAACTTTTCGTTTTCACTATCATCACTTTGACTATCGCTTTCACTGTTGCTGTCGGAATCGGAATCGCTGTCACTCTGGGAATCTTCGTTGTTAGCGGCGGTTTTTGATTGTAAAAGTGAGGATGGCCTGGCTGGAATGGAAGAGTTTTTGTCTCTTACATCCGGAATACCCATTTTAGCCAAATCTGTTAATGAACTTAAGATTGGCTTTTTCAAAACATCCATGAAAGACTTTTTTCTTTCAGGGATACCAGTAAGAGCCTCTACAGAGTTCCGTTTCTTGGTTTCCGAGGCTATGACAGGCTCTGGCATCGTCTGGATGCTAGTTGAAATCAGTTTCTTTTGTATAATTTTAGCCGTATTAGGCTTAGTCGCAAGTTTAGCAGCCTTCGCTATTGCAACTGAAGAACTTGAACCAGAACCGGAGCTCGAAGATGAGTCTGAATCTGAGCCTGAATCTGAGTCCGAGTTAGAGGAAGCGCTGGAACTTGAAGCTGATGAGTCAGAATTAGAGTTCGAGCTTGAATCCGATGAATCAGAATCAGAGTTCGAGCTGGAACCCGAATCCGAGTCAGAACTAGAGCCCGAACTGGAACCGGTATCCGAGTCCGAGTCAGAACTGGAGTGTTCCAACTTTGCAAGTCCCTTAGCTAATGCGGTTTTTTTTACCAATGCAGGGGCTTCTATACTGGCCTTTGCAAGCTGGATGATGGGTGGTTTCGTTGACGGTTCAGAAGATGAAGGCCCCAGAAAAGTGGGTTGGATTGCTTGACTTAACTCAGGTGATTTGGGAGTAGATTTTTTCTCAGATGAATTGGGAGTAGCTTGGTTCTCGGGTGATTTGGGAGCAGCTTGTTTCTCAGGTAATTCGGATGCAGGGTGGATGTGGGGCTCTTCGTTGATTGCCAGATTAGATGTGCTAGGTGCCTGAGCAGATGTTTCCGAAGATGTTTTGGGGATTGATGTTACTTTTGGTGGCTTTACAGGGCCACTTTTGACCACTTTTGGTGGTCTTCCACGTCCACGTTTAGGGGGTGGCTGGAATTCCTCTGCAGTAGCAGCAGGATCTTCTGTAACCTTTGTAGTGGATGTCTTTTCCTCGACAATGCTAGACTTTTCTGTTTCTATTTTGCTTTGTTTGTTACCAGTTACAGTAGCAGAGGCCGACTCACCATTTGAAGGCTCAATTACAGGGTTGTCTTGCGAAGTCGAGCTAGACTTTTGACTACCAGACGACCTGCGAGTCGCTTTTGTAGAGCTTGATGTAGATAATCGGCGACTGGTCCTTGTGGAGCTTGATGGATAAATAGCTGTAGCAGTCATATCAATTCGTAATTTGTTCAATGTGTTGTGAAGCTTTACATTTGGTGTCTTGTTCGTAGCTTCCAATGTATCTTTAACTATCAATCGGTGTGCTGCATTAGCCCTATAGGGAGATTCCATGATTTTTATAATTTGATCCTGAGTCATGGTTTTGTCCAGGCTCTCGTGGGTAGTGCCATTTTGATTATTTGGAGTAGGACTACTTTGAGGTTGAGAAGAGGATGAAGGTGGCTGAAAAGTTTTGTTGGCCCAATGGTTCTCTATCTCCTCGTGTTCTTCAAGGTTCTTCTCGGACAAAATATGTCCCTTTTCTTCAATCTCTTCAGCTGTGGTTACAGTTGCAACCTTTTTTGAGATCTTTGAATTAGCCTTTTCAACTGGTTTTTGGACCGTTGAAGTCACAGATTTTTTGTCAAGGGCAAAGTTTTCTTCCTGTTCGAGTTCAGCGGTAGATTCATCTGTTTCTTCTTGCTCTAATCCTGTTTCATCTGGCTTTAGGGCAGCCCTGGTGACCGCTTCTTGGGTTTCCAATTGGGTATGAACGGGAACGCTCAACATACCTGAAGTTATCCGGTGACCGTTGTTCTTGTTAGTTCTATCTTGTCTCTTTTGAGGAATGATCCTGTCTTGTTCCGGACTTCTGGAAGGAGGAGGTAATACTAGAGAATTCATTGAAGTATCAATGAAGTCTCTAGTGGTATTAACGGTTGCATTCGGAGACAGGGCCTTCATGCTCCAAATGGATCTTCTTTGCTTTGTAGGAATATTGGGGTCTGCCGTGTCGAAGAATTCTGCCGTACGCTTTCGACTGCTTTCAGGAATCGAGCTGTCAGCTGTTAACACTGGAGCAGTAGGAATCAAAGGAGTACTTTGGTGATCGAATCGACTGCCATTACCATTGGCAGCTTGTTCCACTTTATTAACGTAAGGAGTCACACTGTGATTAGCAGAACCGTGAACCGTTAAATATCCTCCGGCGGGAACTAAAGAGGAGTTTATACTGATATCATATAAAGGAGGGAAAGTGTTGTGGGTCAAGATTCTTATGATATCTCCAGAGGTGAAAACTTCATCGACGAGGTAGTCCGGGTCCAAATCACAGCCATTGTCATCTTGGACGCATTCTATTCTCAAATGCTCATCATCTGGATATAGCTTGTTGAAGCGGCTACAGATCTCATTACATACCAAACCAAGATTGGAGCCGCATTCAGCCAAGTGAAGGAACTTTCGGGTCCGTAACCTAAGGATCTCATGGGCTTCACTTTCACCCAAAGAAATAGGCACGAGGTGTACCTGAAGTTTTACCTTGGGCATTTTAGGGTTGTTGTGAGTAGATGTGGTTTTTTCCGGAAGTTGAGTATCGCGCTGGTAATGATCTGGGCACTCCCTATTTATTTGGGGGAGGTGTTGCATAAACTTGGCACACCCTTCAAAAGTAACAGTATAATATGGTTTATAGTAGAACTACATCATTAGTCCGAGACGAACTACGTCGTTAGGCTAAGCCTGACCATAATGGTCTGAATACTGTGTAAGGTCCACCAAACCCAAGAAATATCTCAACATCGCGCTAGCTGCAAAATTGTCGTAAATCATTATAGCTTGTCTATATCTAGAGAATTGCCTGACTTGACAGCGAGTCTGGCTTTTTTGATAAGTTCGTCATCGGAACCCACAGAAAGGGAGGCACCATGAATCTGAGCTTGGTGGAGCACATATGTTTGGTCTATAATGTCGCTCTTCTTCACAGTATTTAGAATGGGGGAAAAGGCTAGGATCTCACCATCTATGGTTCCACAATAGAACCTATTCAGAAATGGTGCACCCATTGCAATGGAACAGGTTCTGCCAATATTCTTGGATCCTTTACGATTGAGTCGCTTGACTAGTTTGCCGTCAATGGTTCGGAACACAAATATATCACTGTTATCACTAGGAAAGATTAAATGCTGCAATTCGCTCTCATATCTGTAGTTCAATGTTATGGGAATGGTTTGAAGATATTTGTTTCTCATGAGAGGCCCGAAACTCGTGAGCTTATTGACAGGTGGATACGTAAATGAGAGCATATCCCACACCCTGATTCTATCGTCATTACCGGCACTGAAAAGAGTAGTACCCAATGGGTCCCACACCAAACCATTGACAGGAGCCAGGTGTGCTTTCACCGAGTCTCTGGACAAATTCCCCTTCGCCTGCACAGAGGAGCTGGTCCGTAGCATATCAAGTCGACACAAACATGCGGTGCTTCTTCGGATATCCCATACTTTGACTTCTCCATCGAATCCTCCTGATGCGAGGAGATTGGGGTTTCTAGGGTGCCATTTGACACAAAGAGTCTTTTCCTTGTGGCCGGTGAGTGTATGGGCACTGGAGGCAGACCGGAGATCAAGAAGCCGTATAAAGGGCTGATCACTGGCGGTTGCTATCAAGGTATTCTCATAGTTTGTGTCAAAGGAATACACACGGTTATTGAGATTGAATTCATACGCCACACTCAACTCATTAGTATCCCATACTTTGATGGTATGGTCAAAGGAGCCCAGCACAAACATCCCGGTATCAACCGGCCACCATTGAATACAAGAAACACCAAAATCATGATACGATTTACGAGGAACAGTTGCAATATTTTTAAACACTCGAACAGGATTATCATAGTCGGGCAATTCGTCATCCACGTCATTCTGCGACAGTAGCTGTTCCTGGAAGTGTAAGTCCCACAACTTGATGGAAGAATCGGCACACCCACTCAACAAAAACTGGAAATCCTGAGTCTCTAGAGATAAGCTGTTGACCGCCGCATTATTGTGGCAGTTGATGGGGAAGACATTTTGGAAGCAGTTCTGAGCCAAAGCAGAATACCCTGACTCGGTCAAGGTGCGACAAAACTCTCCCGGGCTTATCTGGCCAACTTTGCGATCATTTATAAGAGATTGCATCTGTCATTAGAAGAAGCCGTTTGGTCCACAAAACAAGTCGTGGGAAAAGTACAATAAAATGCTCGCAGACTTGAAGAAATTTGTCAAAAGAAAAAAAATACTCACCCATATCACCACCACGCAATGTTGGACATTAACCAGTTTATACCAGATAAGGGTGGAAACCCTGAAGAAATTAAGGAGTCTCAAAGAAAGAGAGGTGACTCTGTAGAAGTTGTCGACGAAATTATTGCTGACTACAAGGAGTGGACCAAAATCAGATTCGACTTGGACGAAGTGAACAAGAAGACCAACAAGTTGCAAAAGGACATCGGACAAAAATTTAAAAAGAAGGAAGATGCCAGCGAGTTATTGAAGGAGAAGGACCAGTTGATTGAAGAAAAGAAGCAGTTGATTGAGGCCGAACAAAAGGCTGATAAGGCCTTAAGAGCCAAGGTCAATACTGTTGGTAACATTGTCCACAAGTCAGTAGTGGTTTCTCAAGACGAAGCCAATAACGAGTTAGTCAAGCTCTGGAAACCAGAAGGATTGGAAGAAATCACACAGGTTGCTGCTGCCACCAACAAGCCTGCCAAGTTGTCTCACCACGAAGTGTTGTTGAGATTGGATGGATATGACCCAGAAAGAGGTGTGAGAATAGTTGGACACCGTGGTTACTTTTTGAGAAACTACGGGGTATTCTTAAACCAAGCTATGATCAACTATGGGTTGAGTTTCTTGGCCAAGAACGACTACACTCCATTGCAAGCTCCAGTCATGATGAATAAAGACGTTATGGCCAAGACTGCTCAATTGTCTCAATTCGACGAGGAATTGTATAAGGTACTGGATGGACCAAGAGAAGAAGATGAAAAGTATTTGATTGCTACCTCAGAACAACCCATCAGTGCATACCATGCCAACGAATGGTTTGAGTCTCCTCAAGAACAATTACCCGTGAGATATGCTGGATTCTCTTCTTGTTTTAGAAGAGAAGCTGGTTCCCACGGAAAAGATGCATGGGGTATCTTCAGAGTTCATCAGTTTGAAAAAGTTGAGCAATTTGTATTGGCAGAACCTGAAAAGTCTTGGGAAGAATTCGATAGAATGATCAGATTAAGCGAGGAATTCTACCAATCTTTGAAATTGCCTTATAGAGTGGTTGGTATTGTTTCAGGAGAATTGAATAACGCGGCTGCCAAAAAGTACGATTTGGAAGCTTGGTTCCCATACCAAAAGGAGTACAAGGAATTGGTTTCTTGTTCCAACTGTACCGACTATCAGTCCAGAAACTTGGAGATCAGATGTGGTATTAAACAGCAAAACCAAACTGAAAAGAAGTACGTGCACTGTTTGAATTCTACGTTGACTGCCACTGAAAGGGCCTTGTGTTGTATTTTGGAAAATTACCAAACTGAAGACGGATTGGTGGTTCCAGAAGTGTTGAGAAAGTACATCCCTGGAGAGCCCGAATTCTTGCCATTTGTTAAGGAATTGCCAAAGAACTCTACTTCTAACAAGAAAAAGTGAGGGCACCCAGTAGATATTTTAATATAATTATTTCCCATTATACGAATATAATCATAGTGGCAATATTACTGCAGGGCTCATTCTTGACCGGCAATTCCAATCCTAAACTAGTAAGTCCTTCCCGGAAATGCACCCGTTTCGGACCCTAGGTTATACTTTGCACTTTAATTGGTGGGCCCTTGCAGTTAACATAGCTCCGTGAGACGCATTCGCTTCGGCAACTGCCCGATTCTCTTTTAAATGCGACAATCAGGTTTCACTGCAGTGGCAAGCAATTTGGAGTAGGGCAGTCGTGGGCCCACACAATTGATGGCTATATAGAGTTCGAAGTTGGCACTCAATTCAATAATTACATCTCATAGCTATCGAATTATACTCCAAGGACGCTTCAATTGAAGGCAAAAATGCTCTAATTACAGGGGGCACCAAGAATTTGGGAGGTGAAACCGCTGAAGAATTGGCCAAGTACGGTAGCAACTTATTTTTACATTACCATTCTGACGAGGAGACGGTCCTGGCTGAGGAATTTGTCGAGAGCTTGCAAGAGTTCCACGGGGTCAAGGCGGCTGTTTTCAAAGGCCCATTGGACGAAGCCAAGGATGTTACCAGGTTATTCACCGAAGCAGAACAGTTTTTTGGTAATGGAATTGACATTGCCATTAACAACGTGGGTATGGTGTTGAAGAAGCCATTGACAGAAATCCAACCTGAAGAGTGGGAAAAAATGGATACCGTCAACAACAAGATTGCGTTTTTCTTTATCCAAGAGGCTGCAAAGAGAATCAACAGGGGCGGTAAAATTGTTTCCATCGTCACCTCTTTGTTAGCAGCCTATTGTCCTGGCTACGCAGCATATCAGGGCACCATGGCCCCTGTCGAATACTACTCGAAGACAGCTTCGAAGGAATTGACATTAAAGGAAGTTTCTGTTAACTGTGTGGCCCCAGGTCCAATGGATACTCCATTTTTCTACCCCCAAGAGGGCGAACAAGACGTTGAGTTTTATAAGACCATGTCCATCAAGCATAGATTGACCGAAACTACCGACATTGTTCCCATTATCCGGTTTTTGGTAACTGAAGGTTATTGGATTACGGGACAGACCATCTTCTGCTCTGGCGGATTTACTGCGCGTTAAATTTAGTTTGCTTAATGTACATCTATTACATACTGCTAATTACATTCCAAGCATTTCACAGCAGAGAACACCGGCAATCACACCACAACAACTAGCACAACATGATCCACAGCAACCTCCACAACATCCGTCATCTTGTCTTTGTTGTTGCACGTACACGGGTTGTTGTTGCGGGTAGTAGCCACCTCCCTGTGGAGGGCCTTGCTGGTAGTATCCACCCTGAGGAGGGCCTTGCTGGTAGTAGCCACCTTGAGGAGGTCCTTGGTTGTATGACTTGATTATGTTAGTATATCGATTTAACAAAACCCTCGAGCCGACGATATCTTCAAAGTACCATAAAAGGTACCTGAGATGAATGTGCAATCAAATTTTCATATTTTAATGTCTATGATCACGCCAGACAGCGTCTTGTACATTGTGTCAAACATACCATGTTCAAATATCAGTTGCGAAGTAACAAACAGAAAATGGTTTTTGACAGAAACGATGCCAGCTATATATACCGTCGCGAAAAAAGTGTATAAAGGATCCCAGCACGAATCGGGGAATTTCACTCAACGCCGGCCACTAGACGAAGGAAACGTCACAGCCCTCTTGCTTTTTTTAGCCTTCTGTATTTTTGAGGGAGGCTGGTGCTGATCAGGGCGTCGCAGGGGTGGTTACATAGTAGACAATTCGTTACTATTTTTTCGGGTCGTCAAGGACCCCACCGGAATCCTAGTCAACCACCAAGGTTTTGATGGTTGACTTGTCTCGGGTTTATGTGTACTGGGTGGTTTATCTGTTGCAGATCGTTTCAAGCACAACCCAGTCCGCATCCGGCCGGCGCACGCCCACTGTGTGCGCGGCACACGTTCTCGCATCCGTTTGTAGCAGCTGAATACACTGACTCTGGGGAAATGGATTTGTTTGATCTCCCGACACACTTGCCCAATGAGCAGGCACTGAGTTCGAAGCCGGCAAGTACTCTGGAGCCAGGCGATCAGACAAATATCGAGCTGATGACGGTTCTGATAGAACTGAAATCCGCTACCGCTGAAGGCTCATCGCACGAGTCTTCTGCTTCTCCCATATATATTCCAGGGACTACCATCAAACTTGAAACTGACGAAGATATACAAAAGTGGATTGCTGAGAGACGTAAAAACTGGCCGTCCACCAAAAACCTCGAGAGAAAACAGCAGGAGAAGCACTCGGATAAAAAGCGTAAATTGCAGGAGGAGCCTTCCACCTCATCTCCAACTACAAAGAAACCACGTCAAATTTGCAGATTTTACCAGAATAATAAAAGTTGCCGGTTTGGTGACAACTGTAAGAACATGCATGAACTGGAAACTGATTTTAAGATGATCAACAATATGAAAGTCAAGGTGCCCAAATCGTTTGAGAATAACTATTATGTCAAGGAGAATGCTAGTGAAAACATGTCTTTGTACAAGATGCTTGTGAAGAAAGACCAATTCGAGCTAGAGAACGATAAGTTCATCGAGTTCCTCTATTATCTTGATAAGAAAGGGCTAATAAAGCATACTTTTAATGACATTCCCACCTAGTGAGTACGAGTTTACGATCTCAAATACACCATAAATATATATTGCATGTTATTGTGTTTACTGGAACTCATCGAGTTCAAACTTCTTGATTGCATCTGAAAGTATACTCCATTGTTTGGCTATATCTCCAAGTTTACCAATCACAATTTCGTTACCTTCACCAAACCCATAAATCGAGTACTTTAATCCCACATCCTTACAGAAATCAACCACAAACGGTTGAACTCTTCTCAAGTTGTGCCTTGGTAACCTGGGGAACAAGTGATGAATGGCCTGAAATTGCAATCCTCCATGGAAGAAGTCTAACCATTCAGGACAATCAACATCCATGGTAGTTCTAAGTTGTCTCATTGGAAACGATTCACTTACTCCCAAGTCAGAGGTTGACATTGCAAAATGGGAAAGGGTGATTTGCACATGGACAATGAAACTGGCAATATTGCTAATCATCAAGAACAGAAATCTTTCCCAGTTGGTATTCAAGTTTTTATATACCATCAAGTAGAAATACCAATAACTGAAAAACAGGAGCCCCACAAACTCAAAGTATCTGAACCATGCCGCCTTACCCTTTTTTGGACCTTCTCCAGCAATAATATAGGTCCAAGACAATCTGTATAAGTTGAATCTTCCGAAACATAATATGGGGTAGTATAGGTATTGTTGAAACTTAATCAAAAACTTGCTAGGAGCATCGAAATCGAGAACCTTTTCATAGTAAGTGGAATATACACTGTTGAAAAGTCGAGTACTAACGGCAAAAAATGGTAAATGCTGAATATCTGGATCATGGACCGGGTCATTTGTGATTAAATGGTGAACATTGTGATTCTTTTTCCACCATCCCAAACTCAAACCACCAAAAAAATCGGCAATAAGCATTCCAAAGATGTTATCAATTTCATAGTTGTGGGTAATAGAAAGATGCCCGGCGTCATGGGCAATGAAGGTTCCTTGTTGCCAGGTGATTCCTAATAGTAAGGCACTGATTTTGAGGTAACCGAGTTTGTAAAATGACAACGAGTACAAAAACAAAGTGGCAAGTTTAACTATCTCTCTAACGTAGTTCCAGTAGTTGCACTTGTAAAAGCCGTTTTTGATGATCAAGTGGTGCAATTCATTGTATCTTTTTCTTAAACGACGTTGTGTTGTATAATCGAGATTTGGAAAGTTGAGCACATCGTCTTGACTCAACTGGTTGTCATACTTCTCTACAAGAATCTTGGGATCCACAATGGTCTCATCCTCGTATAAGGGAAAGATGTGGTCTTTGTTTTCTTTGCTGATCATAATATTTTGAGGAACCTTGGGGTTCACTTCTCCTTTAGACGTCAAAATCGATGGCTTTACCGATTTCGTCAATGAAATACTGGTGTTCTTCTTCTCATCCATGGAACTGATGGAACTGGAACTGGACAATGATACATCAGAGGTGTCTGACCGGTCCAACTTATTTTCCAATTTAGTATCTCCTTTTGTATAGACTGATTTATATTTGGCACCTTGTATAGGAGGCAACAAATTCTCCCATTCTCCTTCCACACGTCCAATTCTCCATTTCATAAACGTCTTGACGGTGTCCCGTCCATGGTATGCGATCATCTCGTCAGTAGCATCTCTTCCCACCATATGTAACACTGCTTTGTCTCCACCAGGATGTCTTTGAAGCCAGTTGGTTAGGTCCAAAACATTACCCCGATACACCACCACAGCACGATCGCGAGCCATTAGGTCCACAACGTCCTGGGAAGTCAATATTTTATCTCTGGCCATTGATTATGGATAACTAACGAATGAGAGTTTGAATTAACAGGTATATTTTGTCGCAAAAAAGGCCGCGGCCTGGTTATGTCGCAAAAAAACTCAATTACTATAGAGATCAGCCCATTCGTTCAAAAAGTATATATTAAGTTTGATGTTGGCCTTCCACAAACGACGTAGCATCGTTCCGAGTGATATCGCTCACAGTAGTAACCTTATTATTGAACGTCACACCATAAAATTTGTCGGCTACTTGTAACATCTCTGGTCTAAAAGTGGTGCAAATAAACTGAGCTCTATCACTTAATGCATGGATCATGGAGGCAACAGACGTACGATACTGTGTATCCAAGTTAGCATCGATTTCGTCAAACAAGTAGAATGGAGCTGGGTCACAGTTTTGAATGGCCAAGATCAAGGCAATGGCACATAAGGACTTTTGTCCTCCAGATAATTGTTCAATTCTCTGCTGCTCATCGTACTTGGAGTTGAATGAAACGGATATTGAGACACCGACGTAGTCATTTATATCGGTTCTGCTCAGCATATCAACATCTTCTGTGGCAGCATCTTCTGTGGCAGCATCTTCTTCGTCAATCATTTCCTCGTCATCATCTTGGTCTGTAGCTCTTTTTCTCTGCATAATCAATTTACCAGTTCCATTAGGCACGAGTTTTTCAAATACTTCACTGAAGCTTTGAGCAACTAATTTGAAACTGTTGGTGATCGCTTGATCTTTTTGCAACTTCAAGTTAGTAATCAAGTTACCAATGGACTCCTTGGAGGCATCCAACTCTTGACGTCTGACTTCCAAGTCGTTATGTCTGGATGTAAACATGTCATATTGTTCGATAGCCTTCTTATTGATATGGTTGTACTTCTTTAAATCGGTGTTTGTTTCATTAAGCTGAGTCAACAACTCATCGGATTCAAATTTGTCATACTTCTCGGAATCGAATGCTTCTTCTGGTAAAACACCAATCTCTCTGATCTTTTTGTTGATCTCGTCACGGCGTGAACTCAAAATTGCCTTCTTATTCAAGCTTCTTTCAGCTTGCTTGGTTGACTTTTCAAGCTTCTCTGTAAGCTTAAGCTGCTTCTCATTGAGATTCTTTAACACCACCTCCTTTGTGGTGAGTTGTTCACTCAACCGAGAAAATTCTCTCATTATGGTATCGTTCTTGACCTTGATGGCTTGCAATTGGGTATTCAACCTGTCCAATTCTTGTTTTAGCTCATCAATCTCAAAGTCATTCAATTTCGATCTTGGATTATTCGTCTCACCAATCAACTTTTCCAAATGTGGTCTGTAGTTGATTGATAGCTCTGTTTCATACCTGTTCAAAGTTGTTTCAATATCTGTCGACTTCGATACAATCTTGTTTAACCTATCCTCTTGTTCATCAATTTCGCTTGATAACGATTTAAGAGTGGCTAACTCGTCGTCATTCAAGCTTTGGGTAAATTCGGATGCCAACTCTTCTTCATATTGTTGTAAGTTTGTACTCAAGTTTTGTTTCAATGCAGTGATTGACTCGAGGTTCGAATCAAACGTATTCAATTCTTGTTCTAATCTCGATTTCTTGTTTTTCAATTGGGTGATTTCCGATTTCACGGGGCCAATAGATGAGTACTTTTCATCAAGATCTCGAATATATGTTTGTAGTTGGTTGTTTAAGGAGGTTATGATGTTGTTGATCTCAGAAATCTTGACCACAACTTCTTCCAATTTACTTTCATTCTGAAGTAACTCCTCTTTTTTTCTAGATTGGATTTTGATAGCATCAATCCGAGAGAATTTGTAGTCTCTATATCCACCACTTAATGCACCTCTCGTGTCAACTTTATCACCATCCAAAGTTATGGCAGTTAAATTCAAAGCCTTCGACAACTCAGCACCTTTGACTAGGTCATTGCAAACAATTGTCCTGCTAAATAGATGCTGTATAGCTTTTGTGATTCTGGAGTCATTAAACTTGATCTTTTTAATTAAAGGAATACATTGGTTCTCAGTAAAATCAGGATACGTAACATCCAATGGTGGGTTAAGTCTATTCAAAGGGATGAATGTAACTCTTCCAACTTTTCTTCTGATCAATTCTTCCATAATAGCTGAAGCAGTCTCGTCCGTGTCAACAACAACATGAAAAAGTGCATTACCAGCAATCACCTCCACCGCTGTCTTATATTTGTCACTGACATTGAATAAACTGATCAATGGCCCATACACATGGTCTTGTAAGTTTAAGCTCTCGCTTATGTCATTTACAGCTTGAAGTCCTTGACTTTGGAGTCTATCCATTGTTTGATTTACCAAATTACTTGCATTATTCAAGTCGTTTGTCAACGAATCATGGACACTTTTGTATCTTATTTCATCTCTCCATAATGATTTTCTCTGGTCGCTCGCATCACTCATGCCTAATTTCAAGTTATTTATGGCCTTTTGGATCTCACTGACTTCTTCCTGGAACTTTTCATCGTTGATTAGAGTATTTAACTCTTCGGATTTGTTGTCCACTTCCAATATTTGTTCTTTTCTATCAGTAATTTGTTCGTTTAATCTCTTGAACTCAGCATTCTTAGTTCTCAAGTCCTTCGAAATTCTTTTGATTTCCCCCTTTAACCATTGATCTCTTTCTTTCTTGCTAGAAAACTTTTGGAATCTGCTTTGCTTGGAGAAGATAGATCTCTGCTTAGTAGTCAATTCCGTCAATTTTTGTTTGACACTAGACTCATCATCATGTAAAAGCTTCAACTCAGGTTTCAATTTTGAGATATTTTCCTTTGTTTTGACAACTAAGCCCTGGTAATGTTTGATGTTATTGATCAAAGATTCACTATGAGAGTTAGCCTGCTCCATATCGTTTTGGAGATCATCTAACTGAACCTCTTTCTGAGAAATTTCAGATAAAAGTTGATTGTAGTAAAGTTGATTTTGATCCTTTTCTAAATTGATCAACTTCATATTCGTCTTAAGATCTTTTATTTCATCAGAAACATTCTTTACGACTTTTTCACCATCTTCCAATATCTTGAGGTCATCAGTGGTCTTTTCCAAGTGCTCTTGGTATTTAAGGTCAATCTTTTCAACTTCATAGGTCAATTCGTTCAATTCTCTGTCGAACAAGTTGAACTCCAAGATTTTTCTGCTCTTATCCAACTCTTGAAAGCTTTTTAAATCATTTGATTCGAGCTGCAAGTCAGTCAATCTTTCATTAATCGAATCCAAAGCTTCATCTATTCTCCGACGCTTCAACGTTGAATTATCCATCTCTTTCAATGATTCCTTCAATTTCAACTCAAACACCTTTGCACCACTAACATCTTTAAGGAGGTTCAACCGTTCACTATCTTTAGAATTGGTCAAAGCAGTGATCTTTCCTTGTGGAACAATATAGTATGGATTCGAACGAGAAAATCCAGAACTTTCTAAAAGGTTCATGATATCAGACCTAGTTGCAGATTTCCCGTCGAGTGAATAATCGTCTTTCTTCAACCCAATGGTTCTCCTGATGGACACCTCATCTTTGGAAATAGGCAACCGCCTATCGGTATTATCAAAGATTATTTCCACATAGGCGGACATGACAGTACCAGAACCTTCATGGATTAACCCCTGTCTTTCTTCTCTTGACATATGAGTATACGCATCCGACAACACGAATCTGATGGCTGAGAAGAAGTTGGATTTTCCCAGCCCATTTCGACCGACCACCACATTGAACTTTGGTGATACCAAATCTATCACCGTCTTGTTCTTGTAAGTTTTGAATCCTTGAACAACAATTCGCTTAATATACATGTGTTATAATCTATACAAGTAACAGGTTATTTTCGCACCTCAGACGCGTTCGCGACCGGTTGCGAAAACATTTCAAACTAGTCGTGCGGTGGTTTATTCAATATTGTATGAGCACCCGAGGCTATCTTTAACATCACCATAACTGATATTCTTGCTCCATGGCATATCAGTTGGAGAATACCTGGTTGGTGGCAAGTACAAAGGCATTCGTACCGGGTACTTTTCCAGTGAGAAATCGCTGCAAAACACCGGTTTAAGTGTGTCCTTGTCATTTTCAGGCGTAATGAGAATACCTAGCTCGTAGCTTGAAACCTGATACTCATTGATATTCTGCCACAGACCAAACCCGGAACCACCACCCCATGCCTGTTTCGATAAGTTATGACTTCCCATATACAACCACTTGAGGGACTTGAAATCATCACCATTATCACACATATACAACTTCACGTGAGCAGGATTTCTCTCCCGTCCCGTGTATTCATGTCCATTATTCCATTTGCAGAGGTACGGCTTGATGTTTTGTTCATAGTTACTTCTGTTTAGCCTGCTAGTATAGTCAAAATGAATCAGACGGCCGACGCTATATCCAATCTTTGCTTCTTGAGACATCTGTTACACAAGCATACAGAAGCCAAGGTCTATAGTTGAAGTGAGCCTGGTGCTTTTTGCACAGTTGGCTTCCAGGAGCCAAAAGTTTCTGGTCGAACATTAATGGACAGAGAAGGTGGGTGAATACCGACGAAGCATTCGATTTGTATGTTGAAAGGGGGCCGGCTACTGATGATACTTGTGCCAATATATTAAGTGGCAGTTTCTGAGGGTCCTTAATGATGCAGTTATTGACCCGCCATGCCTGCAAAAGTCTACCATAGCCGTAGATTTCCGTCTCGTCGTCCATACCTTCTAGAGAGTATGACCCAGGAGCGGAGGCAATCAAGTCCACCGTGATAGACAGAAATGAATACTCAAACATAGCAGCGATAAGCCTCTCAAGTCTGACACTCTTATACTTCCTCAAGTAATTAATTATATCATTTTGGAACCGCTGACCCTTTGACGTGTTTGTAGATCCCTTTGGAAGTCGACCAGTTCTCCAGAGCATCTGTGTCATGACAAAATCCACCTTGGTGATGTTGGCAGACGATATAATAATCTCCATTGTGTCATCACTAAAAAAATTCACCATCATTTTGGTGTGATGGGACCCGTACTTGTTTGGAAGCGCAGCAAGCACTTGTGATATGTTATATTTGTAGGGATCCTCAAGTTGGGACAAATGGTCTTCCCCTACTACCAACGTTATTTTTCTCTTCTGCTTTATGAACTGCGAAGACAAACACGATACAAGAATCAGCATATCGATAGCGAAATTGAACTGATATGTCTCAGTGAGATCTTCAGAAGCAAGAAGTGACTGGAGATATACACAGTCTTTGTTGCCTTTTTGGTCATCTATTCCCAATGCGTATTGAAGATGGATTGGCGATTCGTGGATCTTTGCGGCCTCATTTATCTTTGGTTTTTTCAATGGCTTGTGAGTATCTCCTTCACGCTGGCTCCTACCATCAGATTCCTTCAGTGAAAGCAAATCCAGGGGTCGTTTTTTCAGGAGATTTGACCAGTGCAAAGCTGCTGCAGCTGCTGCACTTGTGCGCTCCATTCAGTCAAAGATTTAATAATGCGCATCCAATTCTATAATATCCTATACATCTAGGCTTAAGTAGTTTTCCAGATTTTAGAGGCATAATGCTTGACAAATGCCAATGGGTCATCTATCTTTCCGTCCTGAGGGATCTCTATTTCAGAAGCAAATGACTTCTTGGGAAGAACTAACACGTCCGACACCAACTTAGGAATCTCCAAATCAGTGAAGTCTTTCCAGGTAATTCGGTTGTAAATCGAAGATTTGATATAATCATTGAAGTAGGTCATTATCACGTCTGTCCAAACTCCAGAGCCAGTCCACTTGAGAATATCGAGCTGCTTTTCATTGGAGTTACCCACGAGGAATAGCGACTCAGATCTCTCTTTGTGCAAAGTTTCATCCACAATAACACTAATTATCTCTCTTAATATAGGGTGTCCGGGTTTGGATTGTATCACAAATTGACCAAATTGCAATCTTCTGTGATAGTTCTTAGCCCAGTTTTTGTTTTTAGAGTCGATTTCTACCGACACTATCATTCCCAACTCATCGGGACTGACATTTTCAGGAATCCAATTGGGGATAGGTTGTAAAGGATAAGTGTCAATGTCCGCGTAGATACCTCCTTTGGCAAACAAAATCAAGTACCTGAAAAAGTCCATTCTCAATATCACTTCAGGAAGTAGTTCGTATGCCCTGACCACCTCGGGCACACTTCCATATAAATGTTTCACCACGGAATACGTGGTATCATCGTTGAAAAGTTCATGAACAAACCCTGGGTTTTTGACAGCCCACTGGGTTTCTCCTTGACGATATAACTGTTTGAATCGCTCATCGTTCAACCCATGTTTCCAAGTCTGCCAGATGTAAGCAGGGAATCTGACACTGGAATCGTAAGGTACCAAATTAATAAGTTTATCCCTTATAGGCGCACCCGAGTTGTACAACTGTTTCTGGTTCAACTGACTAAGCTTTTCCAATATCAACTGGTTTTGTTCTTCCAAGTTGGACAAACGTGCTTCCTGCTTGACCAAAAATTGCTTGTTGAGCTTCGTCATCTTGTTTAATAATTCGTCTTGTTTGAGATTGTTTTGGCTGGAAATGAGCTTAGAGATGCCAAGTAAGTTTTCGTTGGCACTGTTGGGCATCACCCCATTCTTGTTGGCCACAAATAGCCTGAAGCTCACCAAAAGCACGGTACAAAGGATAGAGAAAATGATTATTCCCCTTCTTCTCGCCGCATTCATGTTTGTAGTGTTGCAGAAACTGACAAGTTTGATTTAGAAATTTCCACTTCGCACCCTATTCCGTCTCTGTCAATCAAACCAGCTTGGAGGTATAATATGATTGTTCCCTTATTTGGAGGTGCCCTAGATGTCGAGCTACCTGACGACGTAATCGATGTGTCTGACTTCCGGCAAGTGCCGGATAATCAGGAGGTATTTCTTGTTGAAAGAGGAAGTGGTCCCAAGGAGGATAAATCCATCATCATCGAGCTTCTTGAGCTGCCTGAAGGGTCCATTGACCAGGTATTGAAAATGCACCTATCGGACTTATTAGACATTGATATCAGCCAGATCAATGACGTGGAGTATATCAAGACATCTAATTCATTGGGAGAAGACAACTATATATCCATATACAAGGATCTGGAAAAGAATTTGATGGTCATCTTTTCATTAGTTAGAGTCTCTAAAGTCCAAACCGATATCTTGCTCAGCTTCTTCCTCAGCATCGATACGCCGAATTATCAGCATTTAAAGGACTTGGATTCTAAAAACATATCACAGAATTATGCCAGCTTAGGTATGGAACCGGATGTGCGATTGGTTCATACGGCCACGGAAAAGATCCACATCAAGAACTGGTTGATCTTCCTGCTGGAATAGTTCATTGAAAAGGCAATGGCACCACATATGAAAACTGTCAAAATAATTGAGCAATATACCGAAAATCTTCTCATAAGCTGGTAATACCCAACCATGAGTATTAGACCAAAAATATTAAAGAACACCGTTTCAGGAAGATCCAACACGGGAAGAGGAGAGTTCTGGTAATAGTAGTTATACACCTCCTGGATGAACATTGGAACTGGTGAGGGCATATATTTATCTAGTAATAAAGACAAAAACCATGTGCTTCATACAATCGAAGGTTTTATATGCTGAGCAGACTAATGACTTAGGGAAATCGAAGAAGTAGAGTTATACACTCGGTCAGGCACCTCTTTATTGAATTAATGTGAGACATCGGATTCTAGCCCCGGATATGACCCTATTGAGCGGTTTTTTCCAAAATAAACTACAAATGATCCCGAATTCTCCGAAAGGTGGTTGCAAAGAAATAATTTGTTCACTGCTGGACAACGGATAGTTTACGATCAGGTGCAACTGACTCTGTGTGAATGAAATGTAAGCATTTTCCAACCATTGGGAAATATCACCTACTACTTCCCAGTATCGCATATATTTTGCAGCCAGCTTCATTCATAATCTGGCACCAGAGTTTCAAAAGTAATAGTAAAAGAACTAGTAACAAACCTAATGACCCGTGTCAAGACTAACTGGCTCCTTTGTATATCGTATAATTGCTTGCATTACACTTTGACTTTTCCTGAAACGTGACTACTTGTATGTAACAGGTCCTGCGATTGCACAAATCGGTACATCCAGCCCACACTGCACTACAGCAGTTCTAGGAACAGAAATTACTAAGGTCAGTCCCATGGCTGAGGCTCTATGACTTTTTTTCAACCGGTGGGAAGTGATGGTCTATTATAGCCGATAGGAATAAGTTGTCTGAGATGAGCACTATGTGCCAAATATTAAAATACTACCACACCAACACTTGTACAAATGTAACGATAACTTTGGTATTCACTATTATACTTAGACAACGAAGGTCATCAACGGCTGATTGTAAGAGACTTGTTTTCTCTGTGCTCCGTGCATGCTGTGAACTCTTTAATTTCTTTTTCCTCTCACTTGAACCGGTCGGTTGTTACGAGAAGATAGGTGCTTTCATCAAGTCTTCCACTTCCGGCCTAGCCTCTCTCATTCCTAATCTTAAAAACACCTTACTCAAAGCCAGATTCAAGCTTACTTGAAAAATTACACAAAGCTGACAAGTGCGACCAAAACAAAAATAAAGGACAAACTCTCCAAATCGACTGTGTGATATATCAATGTCTTTAGAGAAGAAGATCCGGAAGTTTCTCCAAGGACCACGAAAGGGAGAGGCCTTCGAGTTGAAGAATGGATTGGTCAGTCAGTACAAACATGAAAGAAAGGATGCCATTCAGCGGGTAATTCAAGCTATGACCTTGGGCAAAGACGTTTCGTCTTTATTCCCAGACGTATTGAAAAACATTGCCACCTATGACTTGGAACAGAAGAAGTTGGTGTACCTTTACTTGATGAACTATGCGACGACCCATCCTGAATTGTGTATTTTGGCCGTCAACACTTTTGTTCAAGATACTGAAGATCCAAATCCTCTTATTAGAGCCTTGGCCATAAGAACCATGGGATGTATCAGAGTCCAGAAAATGATAGATTACATGGAAATCCCATTACTGAGAACCTTACAAGACGAGAATCCATATGTGAGGAAGACTGCGGCCATCTGTGTGGCCAAGCTCTTCAATTTAAATCCTCAGATGTGTATTGAATTTGGCTTTTTGGATAGCTTGAAGAAACTCATTTCCGATCCCAATCCCCTGGTTATCTCCAATGTTTTGAATGCATTATATGAAATCAATGACATGTATATTAGCTCCAACTTGAACAAAGAATTAAAGTTGGACATTTTGGTGTTGGATTACACGTTGATAAAGAACTTGTTGGTGTGCCTCAACGAATGTACTGAATGGGGAAGACTCACCATCTTGAAATGCCTTAATGATTATGACAGTGAAAATTCAGAACAGGCCAATCACATCGTCGAACGTATCATACCCCAATTGCAACACATTAACCCAGCGATTGTTTTATCCTCCATCAAAACTATTTTGAAACACTTGGTGTATTTACAAAAGGCCTCTCAAACTTCAATCTTGAAAAAGTTGTCCAGTCCTTTGGTATCTTTGATTTCCAACCCAATTCCAGAAGCCCAATACGTGGGATTAAAGAACATTAGAATTATCTTGGAAAAATACCCTAACATTTTGTCTAAAGAATTGAGAGTTTTCTTCGTAAAGTACAGCGATCCATTGTACTTAAAATTGGAAAAGTTAGACATCATGATCAGATTGTGTAACGAAAATAACTTTAACCTATTGTTGAACGAGTTGAAGGAATACTCTATGGAGTTCGAACCTACTTTGATCTCCAAGTCTATCAAATCCATTGGATCCATTGCAATCAAGTTGCCTACCAGTATCATAAAGTGTGTCAACTTGATCATTGAATTGATTGACTTGAAAGGAGACGAATTAATTATTGATGAATCTGTTGGTGTTTTAACGATGATCTTGAGAAAGTATCCGGGAAAAAATGACTTAATCACTTTGATCTTACCAATCATCGCCAACAACTTCAGTCACTTGAGTATTGCAAACCCGTCGTATTCGAGTGTCATTTGGCTTTTGGGTGAATACCCTAACTACTTCACTAATATCTCCAACTTGTTGAACGAAATCTTTGAGGACTTCAATGATTTCGGCAGCCAATTGAAGCTAAACTGGTTAAACACAATTGTTAAAGTGAACTTGAATTCTTTAGTCAAGCAAGACTTTTCAAAATTATTGCAAGAAACGTTAACTGAGATTACCGAAAATGAAGACGATGTGGACTTGAGAGATAGAGCATATATTTACTGGAGGTTATTATCTTCAGCTGAACAAGAATTGCCCAAGCAGATTTTGTTGGCCAAGCTACCACCTATAGATTCATCTATTGAAACCTATAATCCTGTTATCTTGAACGATTTGATGAGTGAGTTGTCTACCTTATCTTCGGTATATGGTAAGCCCAGCTACACCTTCATAAGCAACCAACCATCATCTTTCTTCAAGTCCATGGACATAGACGAACTCAAAGCCCAAGCTAAGCAAGACATTATTGAAAACGTTAAGAATGAAAATTTGCTTGACTTTGACGATGACTTTGAAGAAAATGGAAACGCTTCTGAAGGAGCTTCTACAAACTCGAACAACTTGTTGGATGAATTGAACGATTTGTTTAGCAACTCAGGATCGTCGCCAGCCTCCAATACAAGCACCATGAAATCTAACACTGATGATATTTTGAGTTTATTCAATACTTTGAATGTCACATCAGCACCAATGGCTCAACCATCCCAGCAGCAGTCACAGAGCAGTAGCAACAATGATAATAAAGTTAATAATGATTTATTGGATTTGTTCTAAGGGATTTCTATTATAAAAAGTAATCTATATATCTTTCAATAATTTGTATAAAATTTTTTCCTTGATTTGATCAGTATTTAAAGTATCAGACTTGACATCCGGCTGAATCAACTTGACATCGCTGAAGTTTATTAGGGTAAGAAGCTTGTCTTTTATATCCAGCATCTTGGTATCAATCAGGTTGATTTCTTCCTTCTTCTCATTAATTCTCTGTTTCAATAACATTATTAACAGTTCTCGTGATTGATGTGGCCGATAACTGTTAAGTATATGGTTCATATTGATAAGTATTACCTTTAAATCCTCGATTTTGGTGTGGAACTCGCTGGGATTGATATGCATTATTCCAATCAACTCTATGAAGTTCACAAGCAAGGACTTCATCAATTTATGCAATTCAGTGATCTTATTCAGTCCAGCTGATTGGTCGTCAGTATCTTCATAAAGTTGTGTGTATCCCATCTCACTAAGCTTGGGCAACTTGTCTTCAAAAGACCATATATTACCATAACCTCTATAATGAGTTCCTGGGGGTTGGGAAGGTGGAACAAGGAATTTGAGCTCCCCTTCTATGGGTTTATCATCAGATTGACATTCTTTGAGTTTTTGCAAGTTCTCTGAAGTGAAGTATTTGTAGAATAATGGTGGAGGTGGGTACAAAGCCGATATTAAATCTTCAGACATGTTTGTGTATGGCAGTTGTAAAACTTCGAATCGCGAAATAAATGAGTTAGTTGGTAAAGAAGACCCAATTGTATATAGGGTTTCGAGGTGTATACAAGAAAGATGAGAGGGGTGACTTGTATAGTCAAAAAGAAATTTGAGGATAATTGAATGTAAAAAGAGGGTTTTTTGAAAAGTCTTTGGAGTATAATTAAGGATTTTTATTACGATTCTAGCCCCAGACTTGTGAAAATCACAGAAGTTAAAGAATTATTGCCCCAAGAAGGATATTAACAGAACGTCAAAAATTGGCAATTTCAGCTTAAAAAGTCAGAAACATATTGTCTATCACCCTGAGAAAACCTCATTCACTACGTCGATTATTTACCTACTTCTTCCTACTATTCGAGTATTTCATTTGCAACCCTGTTGGAACTTAACGTGCTTGGTCGCGCAAAGTCATACAAACAAAAACTCATTAATAATCTCATCAGATCATGAGTGAAGACCATATGGATATAGATACTTGTATGTGTACCAAATCGATAGCTGTCAGCGTACATATTGTACATTAAGTGCTGGGGTGAACCAATACTAACCAATCGTTTTATAGTGCCTGAGGTTGAGCAATCCGAACCTAAACCGAAACAGCGGTTCGAGGTGAAGAAATGGACAGCAGTAGCATTTTGGTCATGGGGTACGTATCATCTACCAATTAAGGAGGTGTCAATGAGGGTAGATTACTAACTGTATTTTCTAGATATCGTGGTCGACAATTGTGCAATTTGCCGTAATCATTTAATGGAACCATGCATAGATTGTCAAGGTAACTTACAGGATAAGACCGAAGAGTGCAAAGCAGCCTGGGGCCAATGTAATCATGCATTCCACACACATTGTATCACAAGATGGTTGAAGACCAGACAGGTTTGTCCTTTGGATAGTACAGAGTGGGTTTTCCAGAAGTTTGGTGCCTGAGTCTCTGTTAGGAAAGACTTGTTTCACGATAGTTTCAAAGTGTAAGATTTAACTAATGAATATATACATCCGTCAAGGTTATCTAGTGGTTCTTTCAAATACTCCCAAAGTAACAATTTCGGAGCATTTGGAATTTAATGATTTCAAACTGTTTTGGACGTTTTCGTCGGTGAGATAGTTGCCAATAACTTCAACGAAAAATGCATACAGCCAGTTTTTTTCGGCTGATGGTCTGGAATTGATTGATATTAGGTTGGTGTTGTTTTCCTGGAATGCTGTCAATGCAGAACACAATGCACCTGGTTCCTGGTCCAGATTCACCGTAAAAATGATCGAGGTTATATACTTGGGAACAGCAGCCTTTTTAGGTAACCCAGTCTCTCCTAATATCAAGAATCGGGTGGTGTTCCCTCTATTGTCCTCGATGTTTGGCTTTATTATAGGAAGGTTATACAACTTTGAACACATTGCGGATGAAATGCATGCTACTCCCTTTTCGTTGCTGAGACGGACAATTTCTGCAGCTTTGGAAGTGGAAGAACAATCAGCTCTCACGACATTGGGGTTCAAAGTTGACAAGAAATTGGTAACCTGACCCCAGACTTGTGGGTGGGAATATACTTTGGTTATGTTATGAACGTCCAACTCTTTGGAAAGTAAGTTATGATGAATGAACACAAACTGTTCTCCAACAATTTTGAACTTAGGAGGAGCATTCTTGCGCATGTACCAATCTCTGATCAAATCATAAGTGAAAACAACCTGTCCATTTGTGCTGTTCTCGAAAGGAACGACAGAATAATCGACTTCATTCGAATCAACTGCCTTGAAACAGTCTCCAATGCTTAGTTGCGGTAGTATTTGAATATCTTCCCCAAATTCCTGTAAAACCGCCTAGAAAAATAAGTTAGGATACAAAATCGTGAACAACAACAACAATATGCAACATACTTGGTGGGTATACGTTCCTTTCGGACCCAAAAATGCTACTTTCACCATCGCAGACAATGATTTATTTAAGATTTCGGTGCGACATTTAGCTTAAATCAGATCTTCACACTCCCGACGCTTTCATTAAATTGCAACGAAAAACTATCGCTGCAAACCATTGAACTCGTCAACAACGTGAAAAATAGAGATAGAGAGAAAGATTAGGTTATAAAAATCAAACAACTAAGAAAAATACTTGCCCAAGCTGAAAAAATTATAACCCTGAATCTCATCGCAACTTACAAATGTGGATCGTTGATGGCTCTTTATTATAGGGAGCACTAATAACGTATCCACCAAAAATTGAGACAGGGGAATTGAACCAATGTTTTTAAACCATTATGAAAAATACTATACCCTGTTAATTATACAAGAATATCCTTTTTTGGGGAAAAAAATAACTCTATCGGGAGATAAAATTAACAAAAAAACTTGTTTTGTTTGTCTTCCTCATACTTAAAGATCTTCAACAACAACACCTCTTTCGGAGACATAGATACCATCCAAAAACTTACGGATATCCTTGTTTCTAACCAAACACATTTGTTGGATAGCGGCAGCGTTTTGGGAAACGTCTTCCAAGGAGTTACCGGTCAAGACCAATTCATCCTTTTGGTTGGCGGATTGTTCGATTTGAACACCGTCAACAACCTTTACCTTTCTGACTCTCTTTTCACCCAAGAAGTTTCTGATTTCAACGTATTTTTGACCTTCTTCTTCAATAATGTTAACGTTGATAGGGAAATGAGCGTATACGTATCTCATCTTGTACTTGTAACCCTTGGTAACACCAGTGATCAAGTTAGAGACCAAAGACTTCACAGTTCTTAAGGCAGCTACGTGCTTTCTGTCACCGTTGTGGACAATAATCTTGATTTGCTTGTTGTTAATCTTTCTAAAGGTAACATCAATGTGCTTCAAGTCCTTGTTCAAGACACCTCTTGGACCGGTGACCTTGATGCTTCTGGCCTTGATTTCCAAAGTAACACCTTCTGGGACTTCTAAGATTTGTTCAGTGTGGACGTATTTCATTTTAGTTACTGAGTTGAAAGGATGTAAAGAAGAAAAATTTCTCAGGAAAACTTTTCACTTTATATCAATTTGCCAGTGGAAAATTTTTTCAGTCGTGGATGAACCTAATATCCGGAGAGAATCTGACCTGGAGTCACGTTTTATAGTTTACGCACTTGTACTGTTATTTACGCGTGTATACCTTGTGTATATTCAAACCCATTCGAAACCTATTTTAAATCGATAACCATATCCGTTCACGTTAGTAATTTGGAACGGCATACTTAGTGTGTCAATATCTCATTATACACAAAGTCTAAATGGCATAATTGCTGTTGTGTTCATGTGTGTCAGAGTTTTCGCAGCCAAATCGAATGTTTATTCAATTATATATCTTGTTCGTCTAAGGTCTGGAAGACCAAGTGCTTGTTGTCAGTAGTGAATTGGGTTCCATTCTCAAGTAATTTAGTGAAGGCCGCAGAGAAGTCATTGAAAAACAAGTCCTGGTCCTCTGCGTACATCTTCACGTACTTGAGAAAGTGGGAATCTTCTTTCATGGCCATATCAGTGGGCAACATCATGAACGAGTTGGTCTCATCATCCTCATACTGCTTAGGTCCATCCCACTTTCGCACATGCCATCCTTGCAACAACCTCACGTAGAAGTCGTTAGTGAACATGTTGAACGAAGGACCCCAAGGACCATCGTAACCCGAGTTGTACGTGTGGCATCGGCCCAAGCAATGAGCTCCAATTAATGCGACGGTTTCTCTGTCATTAAATCCCATTCTAGTGAACACTCCTCTAACGTACTTACCATCCTTGGAGGCATCGGGTAAGTTACCGTTTTCGGGAACTTTGGACTTATCAGATATATCTTGACGTCCAGGCCTCCAGTTGATTTTTGGCCCACCGGCCTCCTGAACAGCCACCACTCCGCCCAAGGTCCATAAATCACCTCTGGACATCCATGGATATTCCACCAAAAACTCGGCCAAAAAGTCCCTGGCAACTTCTAATCCCGCATTACCAGGATCTGTAGACTCGGGAGCATACAACATAGTCCCACCGTATGAGCCACCAGCCTGCTTTTTTTTATCAAACGTACCTGAAGCGTGCCAGGCTAACCGAGTCAATAACCCATAACGTCCAGCACCATTATCAGCATCGTCTTGGTCCTGAACTTTCAAGGCAATTGCGTTATATACGCTCTGGAAGTCTGCCTGGCTTTTTCCAGCAACAACAGCGGCCAATGGAGCAGCGGCCAAAAGTGGGTTTAAACTGGGGGTGGGGTTGGGACGTTCTTGGTTGTAGTAGTACAATCCAGCTAAGCCTAACCCAGTAGCCACAAAAGCAGATGAGGGAAAGGTAAACTTTGACGAGGTCACAGCCACTCTTAAAGCAGAGGAAGAAGACATGTTGCAAAAATGTCTGAGAAAAGGGGTGTTCTCCGGGGGTATTTATGAGCGAAGCATTTCACCACGCGAAGGGCTGTGAGGGTCCAGATTCCTCGCGGGATATGGCCTGATGGGGAGCTGACAAATTAATGCAAATTAATAAAATTTTACACTTATCGGTTTGCTATGTCAAACCTGTAGGAACTGAAATGGAGCAATGTTAACGTGTTACTGAGGAACAAGGCATTGTTCAGCTTATTGATGGGATACTCTAGGGATGGGTTTAAGAATCCACGCTCTGCAGGAATGAAGATTTCGCAGACATGCCAATTATTAATGGCATTTATGGGCGCGCTGATTGGAAGATACACAAACTCTATATTAAATCTAAACTCCATTAACAACCTGTTCAATGGTGTCAGCGTCAGTATATATCCACGAGCCCTCTTCGTTATAAGTTTTGGCGTTGCTGCACATGGTAAGGAGGTCTTGTTTCATCTCGCTGATGTCGAAGTACTTGTTGCTTTTTAAGTTCTTGGAGATCTGATTAATTGAAACGGGCTTGGGGATAATCTTATAGTAGTCTGGGTAAAGTTTACGTGATGGAAGTTTTTCAAACACCTCCGTAACTTTGTGACCATCCTCTGCCACGAGGTCATCCAATTGTTCGAGGATACGATTTCCTTCTATTTGAAGGGCATTTTCGACTTCGTCTTCCTCATCTTCATCTGCAATATTCTCATCTTCTTCTTTGAACGAATTTGGAGTAGCCGACCGACGTGACTTTCTTCTGGAGGTTTCGTACTCACCATCTTCATCCTCATCATCTTCGCCTTCATCCTCGTCATCATCGAGACCGTAAACTCCATTGAGTTTTTCTTCTTCCTCGATTTCCTCGATGGTCCTACCCAGTCTTTCAGCTTCACTCCGTCTTCGTTTAGAAGCACGCATTTCCTTTCTACGGATAGCAGCTTCGACCGAGTCATTGTCGTCATCCATAGCCATAAGCCATTGCTCTTCGGTTAAACCGTCGTCATACCTTACTCTCTTTTTGACTCTCATTTTGCTGAGCTCTTTCGTATCCTTCTCAAAGTGGTGACTAACATCTTCGGTAAAGATCTTGGGTAACTCAGCCGCTTGGATCAACCTTGTTTGGATTCCATTCATCTTGTCCCGTGTCATTCTGTCGATATCCATCTTTGCAAAGATCTCCTTCTCCGGGTCACTTCTAGCCAAAACATCATTAAGCTCATCATCATCTAACATGTTTTTCTCTTCAGTTTCTTCACCAGACCCTTCAGCTTCTAATAATCTCTTTAAGAACTCTTCTTGTTCTTCGGCTGTAGACTTGTTGTCAAACTTACCTGCCTGAATAACCTTACCATCAATATCTAATTTCTGGTGAGCTCTCTCCAAGATCACTTCTTCAACGGAATCATTAGTGATTAATCTCAAGATCCTTACCTCATTCTTCTGACCAATTCTGTGGGCTCTATCTTGAGCTTGTAAATCTTGATGTGGATTCCAATCGGTATCGAAGATAATGACCGTATCAGCTGTTTGTAAGTTCAAACCCAAACCACCAGCTCTAGTAGACAATAAGAAACAAAAGTATTCAGAGTTAGGAGCATTGAATTCTTTCAACATATCTTGTCTGTCTTCAGCTTTAGTACTACCATCTAATCTTAAGAACTTCATTTCTCTCCATCTCAAGAAATCTTCCATAATGTCCATAACCTGAGTCATCTGGAAAAACATCAACACTCTATGTCCGGTAGCAAGAAACTTGGGTAAGATACGATCCAACATTTCGAATTTACCCGAAGTCCTCCAAATCAAATCGTTTGTTAATCTTGAGCTGTTCAAAACCGCTTCCACTTCCTCAAACACGAACGGATGGTTACAGATTTTTCTTAATTGCATGATCTTGTTATTCAAACCTTTGATTCCACTTTTGTTACTACCAACTCCTGCACCAACAAACAAAGCATTGTGTTTCAACATTTGTTCATACAAGATGTATTGCAAGCCAGATAAGTTGCACTTTAAAACCTTCTCGACCTTATCAGGCAAGTCTTTTTCAACATCTTTCTTCAATCTTCTCAAAAGGAAAGGTCTCAAAACTTTATGCAATCTTCTAATGACCAACAAACTTTCTTCTTCGGTCAATTCTATCTTTTCCTGAGTACCAGTATTGGCAAAGGGTGTATTGAACCATTCATCAAAAGATTTAGCAGAGTTGAAAATCCTTGGCAATACAAAGTTTAACAAGGCCCATAATTCGGGTAAGTTATTTTGCAATGGAGTTCCAGTCAAAATTAATCTGTTTTTAGTCTTATAATAGGTCCTCAAGGTAATGGATAACTTAGAATCTGCATTCTTCATTCTATGACCTTCATCAATGATCATATGACTGTACTCAAACTTGCTTAAGATTGGTCTTTCTCTGATAATATATTCGTAAGTAGTCAAAATGACTTGGAAGTTACCAGCTCTGACTTCGGGTTGCATTTCTCTCCTTTGGTTCTGAGAACCCTTATAAACAATTATCTTGACAGAAGGTGCCCACTTTTCGAATTCTAATGTCCAGTTTGTGATGGTAGACAAAGGAACAATAACCAAAAACTTGTCTTCATGTTTCTTTTCAATCAAATAGGTCACCAATGAAATAGACTGAATGGTTTTTCCTAAACCCATTTCATCTGCCAAAATACCATTCAACTTGTTATTGTACAAAGAAACCATCCATTGCAAACCTTTCACTTGATATTCTTTCAAAGAACCTCCAACCAAAATCGAAGGCTGTACTTTAACCTCTTCTTTGATTCTATGAGCAACTTGATAGTAGTCAATCTTTTCTCTCAAGTCATCAGCGTCATCGCTAGTAGGCTTTTCAGCACCAGCTTCCAATGGAATTTCAACCCCCAGTTCAATTTGTTGCAGCTTAACAGCTTGAGCCAAAGTATCCAAGAATTGATTAGTTTGTTTCAACAAATGAGTGATTCTATGATCCTTAGCTTCGTCTAACAATTGCATATAACCTTCAACATCATCATCTTTAAGGGCTTGCAAACGCTGTCTAGCGATTCTTTCCAGCTTTCTAGTCTCATCTTTTTCAATAAATGAATGAAAGGAAGAAATGGCTTTGATAAACGTTTGTCTCTTGTTGAATCTCAGGTTTCTTTCACCATTGAACTCATCAATAGTTTCAATGGTTCTCTGGATCTTTTGCAAGCGGAACTTGTGCTGTTCTTTCTCCAAGTCGGCTTTACGTCTTTCTTCTAATTTAATAGCCAAACTTTCAGGGTTGGAAACTTCAATCTTGCTTCTAATGTAAAATGACCTGATTGATTGGTTTATCAAAGGGTCATTCTTCAACAGCTCAAGTTTGGTGTGAGCTTCGTTTGCTTGATAATTCACAAGGAACTTCTTTAACTGCTTTTGCTTGGCTAATAACTTCAAGGCCTTCAATTCGATCAATGATTTGATTTTTAATTCATCGTAATGTTTGGAGGCATCAACTTCACCAAACTTTAATGTTCCCAAGTTCAAAGGAACATTTTCTAAGTCTTGAATTCTATTGGAGATTTTGGCCGAAACCAAGTGTTCAGGATAGAACCCTCCGAGTTTGTCATAAGCAGGGCCTAAAGAATCCGTAGACCTGGAAGACTCGGAAACATCGATTCCTAAGCGTAGAAGCTTGGCAACATAATCACTGTACTCATATTTACTGGAAAAGAGTTCCTCAAATACTGTCAGTGCCAATTCTATTTCCTCTGAATCAGACTCACCAATAGACTCTTGTAAGTGTTGTTGTAATGTTTGAGGTAAATCCAAATCCTTGGACAACAATTGCAAACTCGTGATTTGCCTCATAAGCAAGTCCTTGTCCAAATCACTATCATCCACAGATTTTTGGTTCATTTCCAATAACCCATCAAAGAAATCCAGCTTTTCTTTCGTAAAACTATCATATTTTTGAGAGACTTGGAATAAGAGACTTTCAATCTTGAGTTTGGATTCTTTGTTAGCATCAACAAATGTAGACGGTTTAAGGTCCTCGCCATTGTCTTGTGCTTGCTGCTCAAACTGTTGTTTGAGTTCGTTCGATTGTTTGGAAAGATATTGATACTCATTCAACAAATGGTTCAACTCTTGTTTGGACTTGGGGAAATGGTACGCCTTAGCTGGAGCCACGTCGGGCACTTTGGAGCCCGATCCATTGCCATGAGTAGTCTCCACGGAGCCATTGGAAGCACCATTGGAAGGAGCAGCCGTATGGTATTGATTGCCGTTCATCTGAAATACTCTTGATAAACAAAAAAACAAGTCAGGAGTCAACGAATCAAGCTCGGGAAGAGGCAGACAGACAGGGAAAGTAGTTGTGTAATATAATGCGTTGAACAAGTAAGCACCTAACTAGTAAATAGTCGATGATTTCAAATACGCGTCTTTGCAAACTCCAGCACTACCAAGTATTCGAAGTGTTGATAATTGAGGGAGAGTGAGATTAGCACTGAAAAACAAAAAAATTTTCAGTTAGTCGCGAAATATAGGTGGGACACGCAATTGTTCTCAGTGCGAATTAAAATGGAGCCACTCAAATCGGCGCTTCAAGAAACAGTTAGCTTTTAGAATCGGACCAGAATGTTAAAATATAGAGGTATTGGGATCAATTCAGTTGGTGTATCTCGAGGTCTCTCTGCATGGAGGTTGAAAACTCCTTCTTATACAGTCCCCCGGCTCTCCCGCTTTAACAGCACATCCACACAACCATCAGCAAGCTTAAACTGGGTTGAATATTTCAATTTGAAGAAACAGAATAATCGGATTAACTTGGCATCTTCGGTGATCACTGGGGCCTTGGGAGGATTGCTCACTTTGAACTACTTGGGAAATATTGAAATCGACGTGGAAAAGCCCATCATGGGATTTGACCCATTCATTGTGATGGGAGGTGCTGTGGTCGTGGGCAGTGGAATAGGTTATTTGTTGGGACCTTTCTTAGGAACCCCTTTCTTCGGTTTATTGAACAGAGCATCCTTGAACCAGTACAAAATTAAAGATCAATTATTCTTGCAGAGAATCAAATTGAAGAGAGTTGATCCATCTTCTCAGTCATTTTCCAACCCAGTTCCAGATTACTATGGGGAAAGAATCTACTCTTTGAACAACTACAAGCAGTGGTTGAGAGATTGTAATGCTTTTAGACGGAAATCAAAGGAGTTTCTTTAGGCTCATGTATATAGGAGGGTAGTAATGTAGATACATCAACAGTGTGTAGAGGGTTTCAAGTACTGGAAGCCCAAAGCCCAAGCTGCAAAACTGGGTTGAGTGACAGTTGCTGATCGTTCACGTGACGTGATCATGCTGGTTGCTGCCAGGTAGGCGGGATCGGGTCCGGCGGAGAAGGACCCCGGGGCTCATCGGCACTATACCGGCAGCGGTATCTGTGGTGCCAGCGCGGTCACGACAAGTAAGAAAGTCGCGGTGCGCCTGGCGGAGTACCACCACTCGGCTCGCAACTCTATAGCCGCAACACAGTTCGGACTTCCCAATACTCGTTTTTTCCCCGGGTAAACTGAGTGATCGGACAAACACACAAAACATCCAAATAAAACACCAAAGAGGCGGGAGAACCCAGAGGTATCATCTCCATTCCTCTATCAACGTAAATGTATACCTTGTTTCCAATTTTTCCCATGTCCAAAAGCTGCATCTTCATCCCTGTCTCCCCTCCCGGTGTTTTTAAGGCTCCCGCATTCACGCACAAAATCGGTCGAAGAGGTCGTGCTCTGCCCGCGCACCCACCAATCACATCCGGACAAACCAAATTGTAATAAATACTTCACAGAATCGCCGAGTTGATTTTGATACACAACCAGTGGATTAAAACATTTCGAGTTTGTAAACATGCTTAGGGCTTTAAAGACATCTGTGCCTCGTGCCCATGCCTTGAAATCTCAACTCCTTTCCCAAAGACCCCTTTTATCGGTTTCGCTCCAAGTGGCCTCTAGACGGTCATTAGCTACCAGCACTGATGGATTTTTATCAACCACCAGTGGTAACTACATCGATGAAATGTACGATGCCTGGAAGCAGGATCCTACGTCCGTGCACGTGAGTTGGAACGCTTATTTTAAAAACATTGAAAACAATAATGTTCCTCCTTCCCAAGCATTTTCAGCTCCCCCAACAATCATTCCAACTGTTTCTGGTGGTGCTGCTGGATTTGTCCCCGGAAACGAACACATGTCTGAGGATGTGGTGACTCACTTGAAGGTGCAGTTATTGGTGCGGGCGTACCAAGTGAGAGGTCATCAAAAGGCAAAAATTGATCCATTGGGAATCTCGTTTGGTGATAGCGACAGCGCTATTCCAAGAGAATTGACCTTGGATTACTACGGGTTTACCGAGGCAGATTTGAATAAACAGATCACTTTGGGACCCGGTATCTTGCCAAGATTTGCCCAAGGTAAGAAATCAATGGCTTTGAAAGATATCATCAGTACCTGTGAATCATTATACTGTTCGAGTTACGGGGTAGAATATATTCACATTCCTTCCAAAGAACAATGTGATTGGTTGAGAGAAAGAATTGAAATCCCCAAACCTTTCACGTTTTCTCCAGACCAAAAGAGACAAATTCTTGACAGATTGATCTGGTCTTGCTCTTTTGAATCATTTTTAGCAACCAAATTCCCATCCGACAAGAGATTCGGTTTAGAAGGTGCCGAATCGGTGGTGCCAGGTTTGAAGGCCATGATTGACACTGCGGTGGACTTTGGGGTTGAAGATATCATTATTGGTATGCCCCACAGAGGTAGATTAAACATGTTGTCCAACGTGGTGAGAAAGCCCAATGAGTCTATTTTCAGTGAATTCACAGGATCCAAGGAATTTGACGAAGGTTCCGGTGACGTCAAATACCACTTGGGTATGAACTACGCTAGACCAACCACTTCTGGTAAACACGTCAACTTGTCTATTGTTGCTAACCCATCCCATTTGGAAGCTGAAGATGGGGTTGTTTTGGGTAAGACCAGAGCCATCCAGCACTACAAGAATGATATTGGTGACTTCAAAAAGGCCATGTCTGTGTTGTTGCACGGTGACGCTGCTTTTGCTGCCCAAGGTGTGGTGTACGAAACCATGGGGTTTGCTAACTTACCTGCCTACTCTACTGGTGGTACTATCCACATTATTGTCAACAATCAAATCGGTTTCACCACTGACCCAAGATTTGCCAGATCCACCTTATACCCATCTGACATTGCCAAGTCTATCAACGCCCCTATTTTCCATGTCAATTCTGATGACGTTGAGAGTTTGGTGTTTGTGTTCAACTTAGCTGCTGAATGGAGATCAACTTTCCACTCCGATGTTATAATTGATGTGGTTGGATACCGTAAGTACGGACACAATGAAACTGATCAACCAGCTTTCACTCAACCTTTGATGTATAAGAAGATTGCTGAAAAGAAGTCTGTCTTGGAAGAATACACTGCTCAATTATTGGCAGAAAAGACCTTCACTCAGGAGGACATCGACGAACACAAGAAATGGGTTTGGAACTTATTGGAAGAATCTTTCGCCAAGTCTAAGGAATACAAACCAACTTCTAGAGAATGGTTAACTACTCCATGGGAAGACTTCAAGTCTCCAAAAGAATTGGCTACTGAAGTGTTACCCCACTTGCCAACTGCTGTTGATGAAGCCATCTTGAAGGATATCGGTACTAAGATTAGTGAAGCTCCAAAAGGTTTCGAAATCCACCGTAATTTGAAGAGAATTTTGAACACTAGAAAGAAGTCTGTTGATACCGGTGAAGGTATTGACTGGGCTACCGGTGAAGCTTTGGCTTTTGGTTCTTTGGCTTTGGAAGGTTACCATGTGAGAGTTTCTGGTCAGGATGTTGAAAGAGGTACCTTTTCTCAACGTCATGCTGTTTTGCACGATCAAACCTCCGAACAAACCCACACTCCATTGAACAACTTGTCTGAAGATCAAGGTGCCTTTGCTATCTCCAACTCTTCTTTATCTGAATATGGTGTTATGGGTTTCGAATATGGTTACTCTTTGACTTCCCCAGATGCTTTGGTAGTGTGGGAAGGTCAATTTGGTGATTTCGCCAACACTGCCCAAGTTATTATTGATCAATTTATCGCTGCTGCTGAATCTAAATGGAAGCAAAGATCCGGTATTGTTTTGTCCTTACCCCACGGTTACGATGGTCAAGGTCCAGAACACTCTTCTGGTAGAATTGAAAGATACTTGCAATTGTGTAATGAAGATCCAAGATACTTCCCATCTCCAGAAAAGTTGGAACGTCAACACCAAGACTGTAACATGCAAATTGCTTACCCAACTACCCCATCCAACATATTCCACTTGTTGAGACGTCAAATGCACAGACAATTCAGAAAACCATTGATTTTGTTTTTCTCCAAGTCTTTGTTGAGACATCCATTAGCCAGAAGTGAATTAAAGGAATTCACCGACGATTCCCACTTTCAATGGATTATTGAAGATGTTGAATTAGGAAAGTCTATTGGTAACAAGGAAGACATCAAGAGAATTGTGTTATGTACTGGTCAAGTTTACACTGCGTTACATAAGAAGCGTATCGCCTTGGAAGACACGACCACTGCATTCATCAAGGTTGAACAATTACACCCATTCCCCTTCCAACAATTACGTGATGCCCTTGACAGTTATCCAAATGTTGAAGACTTGGTGTGGTGTCAAGAAGAACCTTTGAACATGGGTCCATTTGCCTATGTCCAACCAAGACTCTTGACGACCTTGGCTGAAACCGAAAACCATAAGTCTTTGACTTTGCGTTATGCCGGTAGAGATCCAAGTGCTAGTGTTGCTGCTGGTTCTAAGGCCATGCATACGCAAGAAGAAGAAGCGTTCTTGAACGAGACTTTCCAAGTCTGATCAGTTTGCAGTTGTCATTTTTTTGTATCGTTCGATTATCCAAGATGCTTGAGTTAGTGCATTCAATAAATATTTATTTGTCCTAGAATTTGTGAAACCCATTGGTGGTTTACCAACGTTGGAACCTCTATACTATATTGCGCTCTCAAATTCACATTTCCGCGACTTCCATAAACAGTGGAGTAAGCACTTACTTTTCAGCATGAACGATCCTAATCTCTGGTATCGTGACAAAGATACCTTGTCCATAGGTGGAGTGATACGATATGTGGTAACATACCAGCGCGAGGACAAGACTGTCACCGACGTGTTTTTGCGGTTGAAAAACATAGAGAAGACCACCATACGAGCTATTCATATGCTAAATGGACCCTTTATTTTATATTGTCATGTTGTACCCGTCAATTACGATCAACGAAAGAAGTTTGTTCAGAAGGAACGGGAGATACATTTCAAGAACTCTTTAAAACCCGGTCAGACGTTCAATGTCAAGCTTCCATTGAACGATAACTCGAGTGTACAAGACAGTGAACATGGTGATGAATTCTGCTGGTACATCGATGTGATTTCCCAGATAGTTATTTCCAAGGCCACCACTGTGCTATACGATATGACTATTGGCAGCAATATAGAGAGCATGAAGAAACTCAACCATGGCCCGTTAGCGACTCTTACATCGCTCACAGGTCAAAGTGTAAACAAGTACATCAAGTTAAATGAAAGTTTCAGTCCGTGTTTACAAGTGAAAAAAATCACGGGTGACGAGCTATGGTCAAGGCCTCCCACATACGACAAACCCGTACACTTGATCATACTTACACATGGGATTTTTTCGAACTTGACCGCTGATATGTTGTATTTGAAGGAAATGATAGAAACTAATGTTCGAGATAACGTGTTAGTAAAAGGATTCAGTGGTAATGCTGGAAGAACAGAAAGAGGGATCAAGCGTATGGGCTCTGATCAAGGGAAGTATCTAATGAAGCTCATTGAAACCCTCTTGAGTCAAGGTGTCAATATCGATAGAATTTCCTTTATTGGCCATTCTCTTGGTGGATTGACCCAATTGTATTCTATCAAGTATATTCTTGACAATGACCACCAGTTTTTTACTAGAAACAACATACAACCTTACAACTTGGTGTTCATGGCCAGTCCTCTTTTGGGAATTTTGAATGAAATCAGCTTTTTACTTTCTTGGTTATTGGACTTGGGAACGTTGGGAAAAACCGGTAGAGACCTCACTTTGAGCAAGGGAAAACTAAAGGGAAAGCCTTTGTTGGAGCAGCTTCCTGATATGCTTCATAGCTTCATGAAACAATGCAAAAACCTAATCATATATGCTAATATCATCAACGATGGTATTGTACCATTGAGAACCAGTGGATTGCTATACTTAGACTACGTCACCCTAGACAACGTCAAAGACTTGAAGCTGTCAAAGGAAACGCATGGCAATGATCGAACTGTAGGAGAGATTCCTGCCGTGAAGAATAATGATAAACTTCATGTTCTTGACAAGTACAAGCAATTCATTTCATTGAACTTCAATTGGGATGTGGGTGACAAAAAGCGAAGGAGGCTCCACGATAAGATTCTAAGGATTAATGCTAGAGGAAGTGATGCGTCTTTTGGCGTAGACGAAGAGAATGATAATTCGATGGCAATGTCTCAGGATGATGCAGAAGAGACCGATTTATCGTCAGACAATGACGAAGAAATACCCAATTTGAACATTCCTCCCAAAGCTTCAGTCATTGAGTCTGCAATTAACACTTTAATAAGCCCCATTCCTAACCAGAATTATATCTTGAATCCTGAGTCTAGGCACTCGCCAATATTCCATGACAAGTTTTACAAATTTACCGACTTACCTCCAGAGAAGCACGAACGAGCATTATTCAACAGAGAGAAGAGACAAGTACGAATAGCCCGAAAGTATCACCAAGAGCTCAACTGGAGAAAGATTTTGGTTAGACTTCCTCCTGATGCTCATAATAATATCATAGTAAGAAGAAGGTTTTCAAACGGGTACGGATGGGGAGTGATTGATCATTTGTGTGAGTTGTTCAACGAGGAGAATGATACAGAAAGAGTGGGAACTTCCAGGCTTGAGAAGATCAAGAGCAAAATCTAACGATTAATGATAACTTATATTACTTAATTTAGACACGAATAATATTTATGCCAGAATAGTTGACTTAGGCCTTGTCGAACTTTGCAGAGATAGCCATGGCATTGTTGACATTCTTTGGGAACTCCCTAACAATAATTTCACATCTGACTTCTTTACACAAGTCTTTCTTCTTATTCGGAGGCACTTTATAGAGCAACTCCAAACCGCTAGCATTTTCCAAGGCTTCTACTGGGACCTGGTATTTGGTTAACGGGTCATCATTACTTATCACGTCGTTTGGTAACACAAAAGAAGCCACACTGATTTGGTCGCTGTTGTTGTTCTCTCCAACTACTAATTTGAAAAAGTGAGTTGGAACTGCAACTGTGGGAGGAGAACCAATTACCTCATATTCAACTCTATATTTACCATCAGCACATTGTTTAGGTAAGTACAAAGGACCGGTCATGATTCTAATATGGTCGTACTTCCCAGTAAGTCTCCTACAGAAGTCTTCAAAATGAGCCCAGTAGTCTCTGTTAAATCCTTCTCCCACCTGCGGTGAAATGTTTGTCAAGTAGAAGGTTTCGTTCAAGGCTTCCTGACTGAACTTTGCATCTGCTGCCGGAGCATTGTGGCCTCTGTCGTAGCCGCTTCTGAAGAAATCTCTCAATCTGTTTCTAAACTTCACAGGTATCTGCTCGTCTTCTCGGAACACTGATTTCTTTCTATCAACCCCTTGGGTAGACTTGATCGAGTCTCTGGTTATATGTTCGACGATCCAGTATGGGTTTCGTTTAGCTCTGTCGTAACAACTGACAAATTCTTGTCTTGTTTGCAAATCATGGATCGGACCGGGAAATCCATATTTGTAGAAATCTTGTGGATTCACCAGAGATGGTAAGTTACTTTTCGGCGTATAAGGAACAGGTAAGTTTTTAGTCTCAGATTTTTCTTGAGTCTTGGACTTACTTCCAAGTCCCCAGAAGTAGGAAGTAATGCCCACAGTTCCTATTGCAACTGTATTCACTAAGAGTTTTGGCATTGATATCTTATTAAAATTTTTCTGCGCGTCTTTGTATTTAGGCTGCAAATACCAGATGCATTGTTTGTATTAATTTAAACCTATTTTCTGAGTTCTTTAATGAGCCTTAATGTTGAAAAAAGTAGGATCGAGCAAAGAGGTCCAAGGAGTGGTAAAAATACTGCGAGCTTGTGTTCACTGGGGAAGTAAACCTGTTGGACGATATCTTTATCGAAAAAAGCAGATATCGAGTTCTTCAACGCGATTGAAGATTCGACCATAGCTCCTTTGAAGTTTTGCAGCATGAGATAATGGATGGAGGTTCTCACACTCTGTAAACTTTTGTTGACAAAGTCCTTTGTCAATTCAGGTACTGAGATTTCGTGTAATTCGTTGGTCAATTTGATCAAAGAGCTCAATGTCTTGATACTGTGTTGCAAGTTGTTCAAGATAGAGAGCTTTGTCAATGCGTCCACACGCACAGGTAAGTTCTGGGAGCTTTTAGATGGCACCCCCAAGAGCTTGAATAGCTGGCTGGAGAAGATTTCCATGATTTCAATTAACTCAACATCACAAATGTATACCTCATTATCATCAGTTAAAATATCGATTTTCTTGTTGAAGATGTGCAACCCACCGTACTGAGGTACCAAAAAAGAATTCGTTTCGGAGTTCTCAATAACCATTGGGAGGTTTTGATGATTGGAGGAAGGATAGTATATAATGAAATTAATCGAAGGGTTGATGTCGTTGGTGTTCAAGTTCCAATCACCAAAGTTGATAAAGTTTGATAAGTCTGATTCTTTTACCTTGTAAGTATTACTTTTTTCATCAAATTCACTTTTGATGTTCAACTTCGAGTAATATTGCACTTGGGTGGAGATGGTAAAGTTAGCATAATGCTGAAGACTGTCCAAAAGTGGACTGAGTAAGTCTTGGATCGTCTGAGTGTCCCAGCTGACTGGGTGTCCATCCTCTACGAACAAGGAGAAAATCAAGTTATACTTGGAAGAATATGGAATCACCACGTTCAGCTTTTCAGGGTGGGAAGATTTGGTGGCTTCAAAATGTTCGATTTCTTGTTCAAAAACTTCATTGACTAAAGCGTCTGCTAACTGTTCTTGGATAGCCCTTGAGTCCATCTCGCTGAAAGACTTCTCGAATACCAATACTTTATCATCAAGAGTTACCGAAGAAGCGCCCACAGGTTCGTCTACCCTGCCAAACAACACCTGGTAGTCTTCTCGGGAGTCTAGTATAGTTGAGTCCACTAGTGGGATCAACTTAAGTGACCAATAATCATTGAGTGCCGGGTGTTCTGTGGCCAACTTGGAATCCAATACAAGTTGTGCCTGGGAAATGAAATCTTCTTCAGCATCCACAAAAACGGAAGTACAAACACGTACATTATTTAACTGCTGTATAGCATCATTTAAGTCGTCAATAGGCAAGTTGGCTCTGTGGACTGAAGTAGTATACAAGAACCATGGATAACCCACGCATACCACCAAGATGATCGAGTAAAGTGCAATAACTTTCCTGATCCAGAAAACCTTTTCAGATCTGAGCTTAGGAGCCGCCATTTTGACAGTTGAAGTCTCCAGCCTTTTCTCTTCACTCATGAATATGCTTTGAGTGTGATCTATTTCTTTGACGTGTTGTGAAAAGTTTCGCGAAGCCAAAATTTGAAAATCTGGAGAATTGTTGCAAGCGAAGCTTCATGTTCAAGAAGGATCCGGCTCCGAAGGCTTCGGCCAATATTAAATCGTCCGAGAGACGGAAGTTGTATACTGAGATATGCAACATATACAACATGCCCCAAGAAAACATTCCCAAAGAGCTTTCCCTCCTGATTTTGCCTCTAATTGTTAAGCAAGCCACCTTCAAAAGCATTCAAAACTACCTGGGAACCATATATTTCGACGAGAACGAAACCCCACTTTATTTCAAGTCTAGAAACTCACAGCTATATCCTAGTCTTTTCACTTTATGGAAGGCTCCTTACATTTTACCTGTTGTGGTGACCAACTCATACGTTATTGGTGTTCTAGCTAATGGTGCTGACTTAATGTTACCTGGTTGTGGGGTACCATTTGATCATAGAATAGCAAGTGGAACTGTTGTCGGAGTTGCAGGAAGCGATGCGCCTTCTGTAATCAAAGCTGTTGGTATTGCGAAGATGGATTTAAGGAATATCTCCAAAACTGTAGGTACCTCGGGTGTGGCAGTCGAGGTTTTACATCACATAGACGATAAGTTGTGTGAGTTGAATCGTTTTGTGGATATAAAGGTTCCAAAGTCAATTGAGATTGTGATACCTTGGGAGGAGGAACTGCAGAAAGAAGAGGAAGTTCAAGAAGTTGAACAAGAAGAAGAAATGGTCGAGGAAGATGAGAAAGAGCATCAAAAACAAGAACAGGAACAACCTCAAGAAGAATTCAAAGAAGTAAACGATGTATCCCAAGAGCTAGAAGAGTTGCATGTACAAGATATAGACAACTTCTTTGTAAGGGCACTTCTACAATCCATCAAACTCGATACCATACAACTTCCAATTAACGCTTCCAATTTCATGGCTAGCCATGTTCTCAAGAACTTACCTATTCTTGATTCCAAGTACAAAAACATTAAGAAGACTAGCTGGAAGAAAACTGGAAAGTTTTTGAAGGCCATGAGCAAATTAAATTATATTCTGGTGAAAGGAAAGGATGACGATTTGACTATAACCAGCACTATTCCTAAGTCGGACAAAACCATAGAGGAGTTCATCACCCACAAAATAGAGAAATTGAAGAAGCAAGATTCAGGAAAAGATGATAAACTGTCAATCAACTTGATCCAATTGTACCAGCCAACCAACAAATACAGAATGTTCTTCAACAAGGTTGGAAAGGAGTATGACGACTTGTACACAGCGCCCGAAATCAAGGCATTGATTTCTGATTACATCAAAAAGGAGAACTTAATCGACAGTAATCCGCAAAATATCAAACTTGATGGCATTCTTGGTGATATTATACCTGGAGGCTCTGTTTCCCGAAGCGAGCTTGTGGTCAAATTCTTGAAGTACTTTTCTATGAGGTACATTGTTGTGCAACCTGGAGAAGATCCAAATGAATGCAAGGTTCAAAAGGGAGACTTACCAAAAATAGACATTGTCTGTGAAACAAAGATTGGAAGAAAAACCATTACAAGGGTGAAGAACTTCATCCCTTTTGGCATTAAACCTAATGTAATTTCAGAAGACTTGAGAAATTTATGTCAAGGGTCCAGTACTCTAGAAGACACAAGAGAGGGCATAGAGGCTATAGTTCAAGGTCCACACTACAAGAGTATTCACGAGTATTTGATTGGCAAGGGGGTACCTGCTGGTTGTATTACCTACGAAGATAAATCTAAAAAGAAGAAAAGACGTTAGCCTTATTTATAATACACAAGAATTAAAAATGATTTAGTAAATGTACAAAAATGTCATTATCACGTTACAATTTCAATGATCTTATTCGAGTTTCCGGCAGTCACAAAAGCACTCCTAGTTTCGGGATTGACGTTGAACTTCTGTGCTGGAATGGAGCCAGGATAAACGTTCGAATTTTTACACTGGCTCACATTCAAGTAAGATAATAAAGAGTTGGAACTCAATAAGGAATCTATTCCGGCTCTGGTAACACGGATACACCCTTTAAGTGTCAAACTGGTAAGGGAGTGTAAACTCAAGGAGACCGTCAACAATGAAGAATCACTAACAGCACTTCCACAGAAGCTTAAGTCCAAGGATTTAAGGTTCTGACACCCTATGCATAACACTTCGATCGAGATATCTGTTAACAGGCAACAAAAGTTTAGATTCAAGTTCTCCAAGTTAGGAAGAGAATTAGCAATTGAAATAATTGATTTGTCCGTCAAAAAAGTACAATCTTTCAAAGATAAAGTAGTCAACTTTGGGAAATATTTATATGTCCAATATTCAAACCCTTTATCGGTAATGGTTGTGCATCGTGTTAGGTCAAGTGCAGTCAATCTATCATTACAGTACTCTCCAATATGGTACATGACTCTGTCAGTAAGATGCTTACAGTATCCCAAGTTGATCTTGGTTAATTTTTTGCATCCGATGCCTTCGTAATCATCGAAGTCGTTATCATAATGCACTTCCTCCGGGGTTTGGCTTGGGACTTTTTCGGTCCATCCGATCAACCTTTCCACAACATTATCTCTAACTTTTCGACAGTTGGAAAGATCGATTTCTTCGAGATTCTTACCAACACTTGGCACTGTCAAGTCCATAATGGCCATAGCACCAATTTCCCAATTGGAAGACATTTTGATAGACCGGATTTTTCCAGAAATTCCAATCTCGTTCACCATATAACTGAAGCCTTCGTCAGTTATATGGAAACAGTTGGAGATATTGATCAGCTTTGGTCTAGACCCAACAAACTTAACAATCTCCATCAACGACTTATCATCTACCGATGTGTTCCACGGGGTTAGATCGAGGGTTTGGAAAAGGGTGGGAGAAAGATACAACAACTGTCTCCATCTTCTGTTAATCAATCTCATCTTCATAAGAGTAGGAAGATCCAAAAACTCAAAGATTCGAAGCAAAATGGAATCAGTAAGAGCCCCATTATGGGACAAAATAGACGATCTTCTTCTCAACTTAGAATCATTCAACTTCAACCTTTTATTCACAGGCATGTACACAATTTCAGGTTCCACAGACAGAAACTGATTGAGAGATTGAGTAGCATTCAATGAAGGGGTCAAATTCAACGAAATTGATCTTCTTGGGTTAGGTCTCTTTGGCTTGATACTCAAAGGAACCAACATTTGTGTTGGCGAATGGTTGATGGCCTTTGGTTTGGATTTTTCTTTCTTATCAGAACTTCGGTCCACTTTGTCAGCGATTGCACTAGGGGGAATAGGACTTACACTTCTGGAATGGAAAGGTTTGAAATCAAACTTGAATTCGAAGCCCTTAAAGTCAACCTTCTCATCGTCTTCTCTGGCTTCGAAGTTACCCAAATGTTCATTTTCGTTGTTTCTGAATTCACTGGTGAATCGCATATGGTCGATTAAAAATGGGTATTCAATACAGAGATCTTTCAATAAATTGGACCGAATGACAATCAAATCGACATTGGTGATGGACCGAATAGAAGCAGATCTCTTAAAGTTAGGTTTATTGGAAATCCAGGATAAGAACGACATCTCACCAAAGTAGTTGCTGTTATTCAATCTGGCAATCGGTTGTTCAGTATTGTTTTCACTGTTGAACTTGACCACTTCAACTTGTCCGCTGACAATAAAATAGATGTTGGATCCCATATCGTTCTCGTAGAAAATGTATTGAAAGGGCTTGAAGGTCAAGGGCTCAACTCCCAAACACAACTTGTGGATGATATTGGAAGGGAGGTTTTGAAAAATAGGTAGATTTTTGATAAACAGATTGATGGAAACAGTAGCATCCACCTTGTCGTGGGGCATGCTTTCGTTGGAAGCGGTTGTCAAGGAAGCCGCTGGTGTCAAGGGCGGTATAACCGGTTGCAGAGGTTGTTGTTTAGTTTTTTTATCCAACATTGCCAACCGTTCTTGGGCCTCATCTCTTATACGTCTTTCCATGAGCGGAAAGTACCGCAACACGATGTTGAAATCCTTCGAGGTGAGTACCCCCACAAGCACCTTGGTCCTGGCTATGACATTTGCAGTCCTGGGACGGTTGAAAAGAATACCAATTTCCCCAAAAAACTGGCCCGACGATAATTCGCTGTAAATAGACTCTCCGTCGGAACTGGTAATCAATACCGTGCCTTTTAAGATCCAGTACATGGACTTCGAGTCGTCCCCTTTCTTAATGATATACGACTGCGGGTGGTAGGTAACAAGCTTCAAGTGGGAAATAATCTTGTTGTAAAAGGAATTTGGAGCCTTTTTGAATAATGGAAAATTGGTCAAATCCAAGTTCTGTGTCATGAACGAGTTATCTGGAGACTGAATATCTTTGTCTATCTTATTGTTGTAGTTGAAATCGTCATCCATTAGTAGCCGGCTTCTCTTCCCAACGGTGGAAGCAGATATTAGGGGTGAGCCCGTGGAGGATATAGAGGAGTTTAACGATCGAACCGATGACTGTTCCGATTCTTCATCGAGGGATTCGTCGATCGAGAACAAGGGTTCTGCTGAGTTCTCGTCTGAGTACCGTAGTTTGTTGGAATTTTCTTTGGAAGTGTTGATGTTAATATTAATGTTGTTCAACGGCGACGGGTTGTCAGGAACAAAGTTATTATTGAAGGACATCTAGCAAGGTTTGGGAACAAGGTTTTCTGAGGTCAGTCCGGAGTTTCTATGAAGGGTTCAAGTGGAATAAGAAAAGGCTTTTGATGGAAACCAGAATTATATTGTTCTAGAAGATCTGAAATTAACAGTTGCCGGAACCGGCAGGAAGGGTATGTGGAAAGAAGTCACTTATTCAGCGGTGGAGGACACCAGGCACGTTTAGACAATAAAGGGAGAACCACTAGGTGGGTTGTAACAGTTGAATGATGTTTTTAAGCAAGTAGTAAAAAAGAGCCTAGAAAACACCGTCAGATAATCTTGAGATTTAAAAAAGATTCTTGCGAAAGGCTAAAAAAAGAAACGAGTTACCCCTAACACCCACACGCTTGAATTAAAACTACATAACTAATGACGCTAGTGAAGGTTAAGTGTGGCCTGGCAAGTTTGAAATAAGGTTTGACACTGACTCTACTTAGAATTTTGTATACCGAACTCAATAGTTTAATACTCAGATGGTGACTCTCGTTCAAATTAGCGTTATTTGGGCACTGGGGTGGGGTTCGGGTGTTGTTTAATGTTGGAGACACCACAATTCATTTACTAACGCAAACAGCAATCAATTCCGCAAGCGTCGCTGCAGCGAAAATTGGTACGAGGATGCGTGTGTGTCCACCAAATTCCGCCCTTCAAATAATTGAGCTGAACGCACCGGTTGTGCGGCCCCGCAGCATGCATGGATTCTATATCTGGCTTCTACGGCTTGCATGCTTGTGCAGCATCATATATGCCAGTCATTCGACTTGGACTTGGACATACAAACTATCTTCTATTACATGCGTACATAGGACTGGAACAAGCTCTGAACCATGATAGGTGGTAATCGCCATATCTAAGAAGGAACTTTTAGAACACTCGGCTGCAGATCGGTTATGCAAGGTAATTGGTCCATGCAGTAATTTCCCAGATAACGTCCATTGTTGTCAAATGCTGACGAAGAAATGGGGCATGAACGTCACTTGAGCTGAACTGGGAGGCACATGCCCCAACCGTTTCAACCATGGGTGGCTGTGCTAAATAGTCATTAAGTTTGTATGACCACATTCATGGTTATTGGCGTACCCCCCTTTGTGCAGCGCCTGTTAGACCTTCAATTATATTACAATTACATTTTTTAGCTTTTGTTTCTCAGCAGCAGCATCCTTCAGGTAAGACACATGAAATTAGGGGAGCTTTATGCATACGACTCCACTTCTTATGTAGCTGAAGGTATTCATGACGTACAACTGTAACCAATCAATAAATGTGAAAGTTTTGAAACTTCTTGTTGGCTTTTGCAAGAGAAATGCTCAAACTATTAGCTTCTGGGGCCCAAAGTTTATGGTTGACGATTGGCTGCTGGTAGGCCCGGTAACTTTCACGGGGGAAGCGGGGCTAGTACACAAACACCTCGTAGATGCCTAGTTTATCCCTTGGGTATACATATCATTGATAGCCTATAAATTGGGCATACTCTCGTACACCTTACCATGCTTTCCCCACAATTTCCTTCTGTTTGGCCTAATGTGGGGTTACTCTACAAATTCTTTTTGGAATAGAAATCGTGTTCTTGTGGAACTGAAAGTTTATTTGATACTTTCACAGGCAGACGTGCACTCAGTTCGACGGCCGCCGGTACAGGCATATCTTGCTGAGATGCGAAATCTATTTGGAAAATAGACAATTTAATCCTATCGATACTCAGCACCACCAAGTATGAGTCCATGCACTAGAATGCAGTGCTTGAGTTTGGTGGACGGTTTGGTAAACTACTATTTATCGTTTGTTTATCGCATGGACCTTTAAGTTAGTTCATCTATGTGTAGGAATGTAAATATTTTTTAGTCCTCATTTGGGAAGTATTAGACGCTTGGGAAGAGTCAAATTATCAGGCACTGGGCTGTGGGGTGCTTTTCCGAATTTAAATTGAATACGAACCTTATTGTTGTAGCCCAGCTGGGACCAATCATATTTCGACTTGATTCCTGCACGGAGTTGTCCACATCAAGTTCCATTCATTAGAAACACTATCGTGGACTACTTTTTGATCAGCATGCAGGAGTTGGACCGTAAACAGAAGGGCAATTAGGTTCCAAGCGACAATTAGATGGTATTTCCTGGGGTGAATCATACAGTTGATCCCATTCTATTTGAACATTACTTCTCAATAATGTCGATTATGGTTTCTAAAACGTAACTTACTGATTTTCCAATTGAAGGCCTAGACAGAATAAATGGCGCTTCTTTTGATATTAGAATCCATGCACTAGAATTGCTTAACAATCAATATATATAACTTACCAGGTGGGCGGGTTGCATTGGATTCCTTTTAAATTTACGATCTTTGAAAAAGGAGTTAAAACTGTCAAGTTTTCGAATCTGGAGCAGAAGAGTCATTCCGATTCCAAGACTTTTATCTGGCTATTTGGACATTTGCATGCTGTGTTTCCAGTCCACGCACGCATTCGGGTGATACGCTTATAAAATTTAGCAGAGACAAAGAATCCCATGAAAACTACTGATTCCAGTGGACATGAAAGGCTTGACTGAAAATTCTCTTGCAGTCGAGACAGAAGGCACTGGCAAAAATACTGATATGTGATAAACATAATTAGAACCGGGCACTTTTACGAGCACATAATTATGCCAGACGAGAAGTGCATTGTAGCCTACGTTAACAATATTTGGGCGATCTATGAATTCGTCTGTTGCCCGCAACAAAACATTCCCTTACACACCTTGTCTTAAACCCGTTCTCCACCCATCAAATAATGTGTATAATTGCGTGGGTACTCTTCCCAAAATTGCAGCCGATCAAACCCAAGCGGGTTGTTAAAGGTACACGCTAATGCACTATCGCGGCTGTCACTACGAAAAGGTGCGCAGAGTTGCAAACCCTTGTACCAGGGCGGCAGCACTCCAAAACAAGCACGGTGTTCCGATAACAAGTATCACAACCCGCTCGTGACCAGTATTTGGGCACTTACAACCCCCACCAGCTCGTCCTTACTTACGGGCGGCTCAAACCCCAAATACGTCGTGCTCGTCTAATGCCTTTACCCGCATGATTTACTACACGATTTTGCAGGAAAACCAAATAAAAATCGCGTATTCTCCGCTGGTTCTACTCTTTTTAACCTTTTTAGTGACTTCTGGGGGGCTGCATTTATACAAAAACACCCTTCTTTTCATTCCTTTAGATTTATTGGTAATAGTACTTTAGCTGATTACCAGCATTGTTTGTATCCCTTTGTTCATTGGGTCACCGTCACAGAATTACGTGTTGCGCTTGAACCTGAACTTGCATCTTGCTATTCAAAACATCAAAGCATACCTATTTAACCAAAAGTTCTGCCTCCACAAAGCTCATCTTCCTCCCCTTCGCTTTCTTACCATATATCGTACACGCAACTTGTACCTACCCCTGCATTCCTTTTTCCATGGTTGATGTCTTCAAACTCGTGAGCCCTCCAGACGGAGACGAATTCAGGATCCCACTAATTCTTCTGGAGTTATACGCCTTCATAAACAACGACATCTGCGAAGGGATCTTCCGAATCAACGGCTCGTTGAAGAAGGTTAACCAGTACTACAATTCCTTACACAGGTACCATAGATGGTTACCCGAGGCTAATATTTATGATGTGTGCTCCTTACTCAAGAAGCTTTTAACCACCAACTACAAATTCTTTGATATATCCAAGTTGGATCTTGGGGAATTGAAGGAATTGTCTGACGAAAAGTTCAATTGGGAATACTTCAACCGGTTTATGAACAACAACTTGAACTCATTAAGTTTGCACATCTTCATGTATACGATAGCATTCACCTCCAGGTTATTGGACCACAGCGACATCACCAAAATGTCCTTGTTGAATTTCTCAATCATTTTCCAGCCCATTTTCTTTTCCTGTGACAGCTTGGTGGGTTTGCCCAACTACATCAACTTGCTCAACTTTTTGTTGAAGAACCATCAGAAAATCGACATTGATCAAAGTTTGATTGATTCAGACTTTAAACTTGCATTATCAGAGTCATCTGTTGAAACTGACTTTACGGATAACTCGTCCTTCTTTTACCGATTTAAAAGTTTCAAAAACAAATCCATCGACTCTATTAACGATATTGGCCGCAAAATTCCTTTCAGCAATGATATCACCTTTAAGGGCTACCGCTTCAACAACAGATCCGTTGATATGGTGTCCTTCTTGAAGGATAACCGGGATTCTTTAAGCGACCAGAGCAAAGATGAAGAAAGTGCGGGTACGGTGATTACAGAGGTTCCAGAGAATGGGCCCATCACCAATTCTGAATCCACACAATCAGTTTCCTCGTCAACCGACCCACAGATTGGTTCTCAAGATGCGCAACCGGATCCCGAGCCTGAATCTAACCCCGAATACACTCACACTTTGGAACCCCCTACCCATAAATTCCCAGTGTTTGAAATCGACGAGTCTATTGACCCATTGACAGTCGACCCCGAGATCAACGCGGTTATTCATTTGAAGGATATCGATACCCAGTCCTTCCAATTCGATGTCGATTTAGATTCTTCGTCTAATTCTTCTTTCCACTCCCTTAACGACGACTCTGATGATACGAGCAACCAGATGAACCAGTCTAATTTTAGCAACGATACCAATGATACCAGCTTTCAGATCTCTGAATTATCTCATAAACCAAGCATGTGGTCTCTTCGATCCCACAAGGAACCCAAGCATAGTAAGCATCACGAGTCCAAAACTACCCGCAAAAAACCAACCAGTAAATTGGCCCAAACGGCGACAAGGAAAAGAAGCTCGACCATTCTTTCAAGAGTCGAGTCTCGTCTTGACTCCAAGTCGGAGCCCAGATCATCCTGTGACACTTTATCACTGATGGAAAAGCGGAGGAGCTTGGCCAAGGTCTTCAAAAATGAAGGGATCAAGTTTCCCTTGAAGCTTAAATCCAAGAGTATTTACTAAGTTTGCAATAATTACAAGAAATATATGTCTCTGTGAATACTACTTCTATCGCGTGCTTTGCTACTGAGTGATGGTTTCTTTCTTGGTGTACGAGTGATTTCATTATCTACTCGTAAATATGAGCATGTGAAGTTGACGGCAGAAATGTACCAGATCTCTTCCACTGCAACGACCCTGTGATTGTAAGTAATACACATTGGATGATTTTTTAGGACACCTTTATCTTTCGTGTATATGACACATCTTCAGGGTCCTTGGTATGGCGTGCGACAACCAACAATACCAAAATACCTTCTCCGTTTGCAGCTAAAAAAAAAGATATACACCACAAACCCATTTTTTTTTCCCAACAACATGAATAACTCAGCACCCCAAATAAAGGAAGACCAGGCCAACTACAGTCTCTCACTTCGTAACCTTGTACTTTCCCAATGGGATGCACTTGTTAAACGTTTTGTGGGAAGCATTATGAACGAGTTAAAGGGTAACCCAAGTGATCAATCGTTTCAGGGGAACATCAGATCTCTTTCTGATGGATCACCCATTTGGCATCCTGCGACGGAATTACAGTGGGAATCAGGGTTTCCTACCTTTGGAGACCTTCTTCAAGCTAATGGGGAGAGCATCAGAGAGAAGTTGGCACAAGTTACTGGTCACAATACTACTTCTGCCCAAGACTCTTTTCTCGAATACTTGGATCTTCTTAATTTCAACCGATTGGAAGGAATAGCATTGAAACAGATATACGCCCGTCTTACTAACTCAGTTAAAGCCCAAAATGCCAGTCTTGTTTTGCCTTATACCGATGACGGTAAGCCTGTTACTTTCACTGAGGAGATAACTTCACTTGAAAGTCTCAGACACCCAGCACTTCGCCTGCTTTATAGACAATATGGGTTTACAGGTGCAGCAACCTGTGTATCAATTATACAAGCGCTCAAACCAATTTTCTTCGTACATCACAGAGATGCTCAATCATTCTCAAGAATTTTTGCACGAATGGGAAACGACATGATTAATATGATCAATACGACGAGTGATTTGGGTACTGTGATTCGTGAAGAAATGACTGGTATGGAAGAGAGAATGCGTACTGAAGTTGACGGTTTACGTACTATGATTCGTGAAGAATTACCCGCTCTATTTGTTCACCAATTAACTGTTCTTTTCCAGCATATTCTTCAACAATTAAGTACTCGGGCGCTTCAGAGCATTGAAAATCTTCAAACAGCTCAACCTAATGCAAATACTGGTGATGATGCTGCTGATGGTAGTTAGAAGAATGAAACGAGTCAGGCTTTCATTCTCCGAGTACTTGCTTTTGCAATTATTTAATTGAACAGCAAGCCCTTGAGTCTGAACAGCCATTTTATCCGTTGTCACCAACAACACAAATATAGATAACCCTGTAATTGTTTAGTTAGGGAATAAAGTGTTTGGTTTATCATTCAGCACAATCCGGTTATTGAGGTATCCGCGTAAAGAACCAAGTTGGTTATCCATGGTGTGGACGGAGCCTCTTGGGCCAAAGCTTTGTCAGTGTTCGTGTCTTGAGTGAAGGGCAGATTCTGAGGCCATTAAAGTAAATCCAGAGAACTCGTGTACTCACAAAATTCTGGCTAACTTCTACCAAGTAAAGTGTACCTGATACTTATGTTTGTTCCAACACGTTAACTCTGAGGCCTTATAGGACTACTGTTATAGACTTTGGAGACTTTGCTATATATACTTCTAATTTGCTAGCCAAACAGTAAAGATCTTAACCGTGAAATGAGCTGTAAGATCTCCAAAAAAAACTTCTACCTGCTAAGTCTGAAGAAAGTCGCATTAGTGTTTTGCAAAAATTTTCAGTTTTCGAAATTTCTGTCAAACCATGTTCAACTTTCTTAAGCTGTTCGGCCAAGGGACTGTGCGGTCCTTGTCCACATCCAGCATTTTAAGGGCACCGAGAGCAGATCCTAAGAAACAATTAAAGAAGACTATCAAAGACAAAAGAAGGAACAAACAGAATCCAGCCTTACATCCTTTGTACATGGACATCCCAAAAGCCTTAAGATACTTGAGAAGTGCAGAAATTGGTGAACAAGCCAGCAAGAGCACCATCAGTCTATTGATCACGGTGATACCTGAAAGAGGGTCCAAGCCATTATCGGGTTTATTGAAATTACCTAACCCTGTATCATCCTCCAAGATTTTGGTGTTCTCAAACGACCCTATACAAATGAATGTGGATACCAGCTCATTCTTGATGGGAGGAACCGAATTGGTGGGTCAAATTGCCGACGGAAAAGTGGATGTATCGGGATTCACCCATTCTTACGCCACCTTGGATGTATTACCGGAGTTAAAATCGATCCAAAGAATATTGGGTCCTAAGAACTTGATGTGTATGCCCAGGAAGGGGAATGTTGCTGACGCCACAGAGCTTCCCACCTTGATAGAGAGCAACATGGGAACTATGCCATTCAAACAAACCGACAGACACTTGAGTTTCCCCATCGCTAGATGTGATTTCTCCGATAAAAAGGTGTTAGAAAACATCACCGAAGCATCCAAAACTATCCACAGTTTGCAACCACCCGGAACCAAAAAACCCAACTTGATTGGCCAGACCGTAATATCATCCACCAAGGGTCCCGGAATCGTCATTAACTTCAATAATTAGTTACTCGGTTATTCTTGTACATAAGTAAACTCTCGCCATCCGAATCTTAACGTCTCATCAAATTTCCCATCGCGGTGCCTAATCTCTGTTCAACACTACGCATGTTTGAAGTCATCTCGAAAGCTAGGATCGTGGGGTTTGCGGACGGCATTGTCCTTAGTCTATGTCCTACCATGGATTTACTAGCGTTGTCAATGAACAAAATGTCCATTTGGGTGTTTCGTTTAAATGGCGAAAGAATCTACTCCATAAACAACAAATGTATCATCCTCCATCATACATGGAGTCCTGATGGCAAATATTTCTGTGTTAGTGGTGTTGATGGGTTGTGCAAGCTCTATGACACTAATAATGGTGCTTTGCTACGAGAGTTCAAGTTTATATCTTCAATTGAGCTTATCAATTGGAGTGGGAACCACAAGCTTATTGAAGACGATGAGCTTTTCAAGGTTGATATTCTAAACCATTTACCGCTGGTAGAAGAGTTCACAAATTTCGATGGATTGAACTTTATGGTAGTCAGCTCAGAAGACCAGCTATCGTTTATCTTTAATAGTTTTGTCAAATTGTCGTTTCCTAAACTGTTCCAGGTTCTTAAGTATGGTGGTTCAAGTCTTTTTAACCAGTTCTACGTGGTGTCTCAAAACGGTTCTCTAGGTATTGTTAATGTTACTGTTGAACAAAACCCTAATGTGTTGAAGATCATCAAGATTTTCTGCAAAATGAAACATATTCTTCACAACTTCCAGATCGAATTGCAAAGTATGGTAGACGAGATACCACAATTTTTCACTATTCTCGACAGGTATATTTCCAACTTCTATGATAACTTAATGACAGAGTCAGAAAAGAATCTTGATAAAGCACATCATCAGGTTGCCAACTCGTTCACTAATATTCTCTTGACGAACTTGGTTCCTTCTGGGTTGGTGGATTACTGGTTGAACCAGTATGGTGAAAGAGGCTGGAAGAGATTGGGGAAATTGGGGAACGGAACCTACGACCTTATTCGAAATGTTGCATACAAAAAGCTCATAAACTACTTAGAGAAGTTTATTGTGTTAGTTGACGAGCTCAAGAGTGTGATAAAATTCAGCGAACTCGATAGCGAGCGAAACTTCGGCATCAACCTTGAGTCTGTAGAGAAGATCGACACCTCCGCCAAGGAATATTTCAAAGTGCTCTACAGGCTTATTTGGGATGTGAATGAAGAACAAAAGCTTTTTAATGAGTTCCTAAATTGGCTGAAGTATCTTGTTGACTTGTTGACTAAGGACAAGAATGGAGAAGAGCTAAGCTTCCCGGTGGATACCAACCATACCGACTTGATAAAGTACTTTCGGCTGAACTTGTTTCTGTCGAAATTATTTGAGTACCTCAAATTGGAACTCGATTCCAATGATTTGATACACAATTCTCTGGCCAGCCAAAATGTGGTTGACATCTCTTCGACGTTAAGAGACTTGTTTGAAGAAGTTTTCTTGGACTTTGAGAAATACTTTGCCTCAATTATACACATGTCAGGTATTGTGCAAGTCGATTCCAGTATCAATCCTGTGTCAGAATTCAAAATAATCAATGATACCAGTTTCATATGTTCTGTAACTGACACGACCGTTCAAGTTGCCAGTTTCGATATTAAGAAACCTCAAGAAATCATTTATAAAGTTCTTGAGTTTCAGAAGATAATCAGCTACAAGATGCAAAATGATAATTTAATTGTGTTGGCTGCGGCTGAAGGTGAATTCTATTTACAAAGTTATAATGCCTTTTCCTTGTTGCGAAATAATATGACTCCCACCTACAGCAGTAAAGCTGTGAGTCAAGATCCAAGACATCTCCTTCTTGACGACTCGAGGAACTTCGGATGCTTGTTAGACACAAACAAAAAAGACTACTGCATTTTTCAACTATGAAACCAACTTATTGGTAAAACATTACCAGGCTCGTCTCATATTTTCCAGTGTTTGGGTCGTAATAAAACTGCTTTGACAAGTACTCCCTATAAATCTTGACGATGTTTTTGCTGTCGGGAATGAACTTTTTGTTACCCTTAATTTTCACTATCACTTTACGTCTCTTCTGGATCATGTACGTGAAAAAGTGGGGATTTATATCACCATTTGTTATTTGTCCCAACTGGTCTAATATGGAAGCAGGAATAGGCTTGTATCGATTGACAACGGATTTGACATAAATAAGCTTGTCTTTCAAGAGCTTGTCTCGTTGAATTATATGCAATGGTAAGCCATACTTGTTACTTGGATAAGTAACCTCCATTGGCCTCAATTTCAAGTGGGTGATGTTTTCTTTAGAAGCAATGAAATTATACATCTGCTTCACATGATTGAGTACCTTCTTCATCTCCTCCTTTTCATGCTCATCATTAAGCTGGTTTCGGGAGATTAAGGGTATATCAGGTATTGTATTAGCATCAAATTTGAAGTAATTAACCAACAGAAAATCATCCTTCTCCTGTTTTAACTCCTTGTCAAACTCTTGGTGGTATTTTTCGGGTACATCAAGTCGTTTGAACAAGTGCACCTGTGGATAGATGTCTCTCACTTGGTCATAGTTATAAGATTCAAATTTTTTGAGAGCTCCGTATTGCTCGGGATAAGACTCGCTACCCATGACATCCTTAAATATATAATCGAAAAGCATGGTAAGCTTATTCCAATCTTCATAGATAAGTATCTCGTCACAAATTTTGATAAACCTATTGTACTTTTTGGCATCAACCGGTTTTCCGCTGTGACTATAGCTGTACTTTAAGGGGGTCAGAAATTGTTGTCGAGCATGCTTTTGAAGACATTGTTGTGTATAGGAATCGAACGGGAGACGCCGTATTCTCTGGAGCACTTGTTTGTAATATGGTGTCACCAGCATTAAACTAGTCAAGATGCGATTCGCGATGTTTGCAAAATTGTAAATCACTGAAAAAGAACCACCACGTCTTCTCCAAAATGGCTCTCGCAGAGACAATATTGAGAGCGGTCCACAAGCATGACTTGGTACCCAAGCTCACGAGAGCGTTGCCATGGATCTCTTTGTTGTTCTCATTTGCCAGTGTGATCTGGTTATTGATGTTACCCATAGATGGAAACTATCGAAAATCATACATTTCAGAGAACGCATTGATGCCAGGACAAGTCACCTCATATTTCAGAGAAAGTGAATGGAATATCGTTCGAGGGTATCGAAATGAGTTGAAGATCTTTGAAGGTGCTGCAATTGATGAAAGAAACGCGGTGGTAGAAGGCTGGTTGAAAGATATTGGCTTAAAGACAGCATATCATCGTTTACATGATCCTTCGGTTCAAGATAATATGTATGCAATTCTACATGCCGCTCGTGGTGACGATACGGAAGCCATGGTTTTGTCGGTTCCATGGACTACTTCGGATGGTGAGTATAATTTGGGTGGTGCATCGTTGGCAGTAGCGTTAGCTCGTTACTTCAACCGAATGTCAATTTGGTCTAAGAACATCATTATTGTTTTCAGCGAGGATGGACATAAATCCTTACGGTCTTGGGTTGAGGCTTACCATACATCTTTGGACACCACTGCTGGGTCCATAGAAGCTGCCATTGTTCTTGAATATGGTGGTGACTCTGATTATTTCGAATATTATGAAATGCACTACGAAGGATTGAATGGTCAATTACCCAACTTAGACTTGTTAAACACGGCTAACTTGGTGTCATACCACGAAAATATCCATATATCCATCCAGCAAACTGAAGGAGAAAAGTTGACACGAAATGATTATCTAACTAGGTTGAAGACCTTCTTGAAAGGAATCGTTAGCTTAACGCTAGCTGGTATTGTTACCCCCAGTAACGGTTGTGAGTCATTTTCGGGCTGGCAAATCCAAGCCTTTACCATCAAGGTGAAAGGAACACTGGGTGGTAATGATATCACCCAGATTGGGAGAGTGGTGGACGAAACATTTAGATCCGTTAACAACTTGTTGGAGAAGTTTCACCAGTCTTTCTTCTTTTACTTAATGTTAGGACCCCGATACTTTGTGTCCATTGGAACTTACTTACCATCTGCAGCCTTGATCGCTGCTAGTTTTGCATTGTCTTCGTTGAGTTGCATGTTAAACAGTGGGTTCACCATTCCACATTTCTTGCTTAACATCTCCTCAGTCTTGAAATTTTTTGTGATGATAGAACTATCATCCTTTTTGTTGTCGACATTTTTGCCATACTTGGTCAAGCAAACTACAGATGAACTGGACAAAATTTCTTTGGTCAACTTGATTCTTCTTTCAATGACTTCATTGGTTGTAGCTTTGTCACTGACTCCATTTACCAAGCATTTCTACATTTCCAAGGTAAATATTAACTCAAAGTTTGCCTTTTCAATGATCTCGTTCTCGTTGTTCTTTATTGCAATGGTCATAGTTGCCTTGTTAATCTTGAACTTCTCATTGGCTTTGTGTATTGGACTTTTGGCTATGCCCTTGCAATTTGTTCAGCAGCTTTTAAACTCCATAGAAGTTGACGAGTTCAACTCCAAACTCATCAAGTCAAGTAATCCAGTGTTCCAAGCAATTGAAAATAATAAGGCCAAAATCAAAGTGTTTTTATGTTTATTTGTATCAAATCCATTCTTTGTGGTTTACATCACTGGTGGCTTGTACTTGGAAGCCTTCGGTTATCAAAATGGAACATTGAACCTTATGACCGGTTTATTGACCAGTTGGGATGATGTTCAATGCTGGACATGGTTTATTGTTATGCTTGGGTGGTTCCCTGCCTGGTTATCCATAGCCATAAGCTGTGGACTTGGGGATTTCAAGAACCAAGCCCCAGTCTCCTACATCAAAAAAAATCAATAGTTGTCGGAATATATTCATATAAGTTATAATAAATACAAGAAAAAGCATCTCTAACCCTTATACTTTTTGACAAATTCTTTGTGGAAATTAGCCCAGCTTTCGATCCACTCTGTACCTGGAGGTAAGAAGGTTGTTCTCAAGTGATAAGTATCAGGAACTTGACCAAAACCAGAACCTGGAACACAACAGATTCCAGTGCTTTCTAATAATTCGACACAGTACAACTCATCCACAACCACACCAGTGTCATCAGAATCTTTGTACAACTTAGGGTAGCTCTCCTCTGTAAAGTTCAATCTAGGGAACAAGTACATGGCACCCATTGGTTTGTTACAAGTGATATCCTCCATTTTGTTGAAGGCAGCGTATAGTGATGAAGATCTCCCTTGTAAGTCACTGTGGATACCACTGGTCTCCGCATGATATACTTCATACGATTCCTGACCAGGCTTAGGAGGGTTAACCATCAACTCCATCAAAGCCTGGCCAGAAACAACAGAACACAAGTTAATAGAAGCCAATTTGAAAACCACCTGTCTGACTTCTTCAGTGAAGCCAACCAACTCCATATATCCACCTCTTTGACCACATTCACCACTCACCCCTTTAGAGGTGGAGTGCAAAGAAGCCAATTGCACATTGGAGTACAATTCTGGGTGTTGTTCGTTCAACTCACTCAACACTCTCTTCATTGACACAAACTCTCCTTCAAAAACGTTTTCCTGGTAAACCTCATCTGCAATCAACACCAAACCATGTTCTGCAGCAATATCAATGATATTTTTGATGTCCTCTTTGGTTAAAATAGCACCAGTTGGGTTACCGGGATTGATCACCACTAAAGCCTTGATGTTGATTCCCTTGGCATTGTTTTCATGGATTAACTGTCTAATTTGAGTAGGATTTGTTGACCAATTGTTGGCTTCGTCCAAAAAGTATCCAATTGGCACAGCATTGTTCAAAGCAATGGTAGCAGTGTACAAAGGATACTGAGGTATTGGGATCAAGAAGCCCGAGTTCTTGTCACTAGACAAAATCTGTAACAAGTATTGTACAGCAGCAGAAGCACCTCCTGTCAAAAAAATACTTTGAGGGTCGGCTGGGTATCCGTCTCTTTCGGAAATAAACTTTGCAACTGACTTTCTCACGTAGCTATCTCCTTGAGAATGGCTGTATGCTCCCATAGATCCGGTGGAACCCAAGATAGTTTTGGCTCTTTCGATCACGTCCTTAGGGAATAACTCGTGGATTACAGAAGCGTCGACCTTGTCTAAGATATGAGGATACTGCAATAACGACAATACTTGGCGGTACCAGGTCAAGGGTTTTTGGTCTAATTGTTGAGGGTTGCCGATATTGGCGCTGATGATTCTATCGTAGGGTAAGCCGTGGCTATTTGGATTGGATTCAATATGGTTTCTAATTTCATCTGCTCGAATGGGGATCTTACCTCTGACGGCATACTTTGCATCCAAAGTCAGTTGGTTCAATTCGCTAGCGAGAAGCGGTTTGGCAGGCGTAAAGCTAATGTGCCTAGCCCCCATAATTCGTTGGGAGAGTTTAAAGGTCAACCTTCTGTTCATACTAAGTTAAAGCCCAATGGATTTTAACTATTCGATTTCAACAAACACATCGCGAAAAGAATCGGACTTTAAATCCCTTGCCATTTCATCTCAGAAGGGTAATCTAATGATCTAGTAAGCGTGTGTGTGTTTCTGGGGAAGGTGATTCTATTCACAGAGGCATGCTATACTTTTTTAAAAATTATGGGCGATGGTGGCCGGTCTTGTTGGGTTATATTAGTCATAAGGAGTTCGGAAAAGGGTTTTCAGCCCAACGAGAGTGTCTTCTCAAAAACACCCACATACAAATGAACTGATATAAGTTTCACCCATAAATATTTACTTGGTTGACAATGGCAGCTTTATTTGTGTATTGAGCAATATTTGTAAAATTTGCAACCACAAGCTGGGTAAAGAATCGAAAAAAAACAACTACCATGAGCTTTGGGAAACCAGGCAAAAACAAATAGTATTATTCCACCCGTCACACCACCCACCTCATACCATAACTCCCTTCCACATCACCACCCCAACTATATAATGGGATATGCCCATCATGGATGATCTACAGAAGTGTGGGGTGAGGCTCCAGAAAAACTCTCTAAAGCTCGTGTGCCAGATCGTGTTTGTGGCTCTGACATTTTTCAAGCAACCGCAAACGCGGTGCCTGGGATCGCTGTGTCTATTGCTATTGTAGGTGCGTGTGGCTTGCCATACGGATTTAGCCCCGCTGCAATTTAACAATCAATCTTATCTAGTTGCAATCCCTCCTTAATCACTGGAGGAACCCATGTTCTTATCAAACTCTGGGAGCTGACCCTTAGCCGATGGGACGAGTCGTCTAATCACTTGATGTAAACAAGGCTTGTAGGACCTGTATCTTGGGTGTGTCTGAGAACCCGCATATTTTGACTAAAAGTAACCCCATATTTTGGGCTCGTATTTTTCCCTGGATATATAATGCCTCTCCTTCCCGGCACTTTTCTTTTCAATTTTATAGTATGACTTTCAAACTAGCAATAGAGAGCGTTCCTGTGGGTCTGGATTTTACAAGCGGTGAGTTATCACCTTCTACATCACCTTCATCTAGAGGACCTCTAGAAGCATTCCTACTCGAGAGTGACAAAGGTGACAATTCAAGTGCCAAACCTATAAGAAAAACCGTGAGCATTTCCGATATGGAAAAGCACTCCAGGCAGGCGGGTCTATATCTTACGCAGCCGGAGAGACAGTATTCTGTGTGCGATCTAGACACACCTGATCCACAAATACCTATTTTTCCCGCTGACGACAAAAAGCAAGATTACCTTGATTTACATGGATTGAACCACCACCGGCGGAACTCAGTTGCGTTGAAATTTCAAACACCAAAGTCCATAATCAACTAGGGACTTTTCCACAAGAATCACGATGGGGTTGGTGTCTATTTCCTTTTCTTCTGTTTGCATTCGCGTTGGTGTCCGTCACCTGATCAAGAGGTTGAATTCAAAAATAATATGTACTTATTAATCCTACTTGGCGCCAAAATATAACGAGTCAATGAACCGATTTTTGAAATGCCAGTTGCTGTCTATGAATTGTTCAGGATTATACTTGGGGAATTTGGAGGTGTCTCCAAGTGAGCTCAATTTTCCCACCACTATTTTCACCCGGGGAAACACCCTCAAAATTCTTCTCAATCCGATTTCTGTAGACAAATAGCTGCAAAATATAATGTCCGTTTCCCCAATCTTATGGTCGATTAATACTTGTATGGCCATGATTGCTGCCGCCCCGCTGATTATCTGGGCATCAAAAAGTAGAATCTTCTTATTTTTAAGATTATCGATACCTCTGGGTAATCTCTCTTGGTGGAGCTGAGGCTCACCAGTTAAGGAATCAGACTGAATCAATAATTTTCCAATGGGAATTTCAAGAAACGTTCTCTTGAGAGATGTGACAAAACAGTCGCCGGACCGGATGACCGTCACGGCAATCAAGTTGTCTCGTTGCTGCAACCCTTTGAATGGTGGGAAGTTTGGATCCGTTTGAATATCCACCGATTGGTAGTTGGTAAGTTGATCCAATGCGGCTTCAATTATCAAGGTGGCCATTCTATCAAAGTAAAATATGAAGTCAGACATCAACGTATTTTTATTGAAAAGAATTGAGTTGATTCCCATTGTCTGATTATTGATAGGAAGAACCTTGAGATTAGGGTACCGGTGGATATCAAATTCGATATCTTGTCCCAACGCTTTCAAATGCCGAATATGTGCCAAAGATTTTAGTCCCAACTGCTTCTTGATATGTCCAATCATCAAGTCAATAGCCACCACATTATCCAACCCTCTTGGAATAACCAAATCTGCGTTGTTCATCGTAGGATTAAGATACCTTACAGCATTGGGCTTGACAAACGTTTCCCATTGCTTCATGGCTCCTTGAAGGTCTCTTCCTCTGTAAAGAATATCACGAGTTAACCTCCGTGCCAAGCATATATCCAAGTCGGTGTCAACATATATTTTTATGTCCATGAGATCTAATAATCTCTTGTCATACAATGCATATAATCCTTCAATGATGATGACGTTGGCCCCATAAATAGTGGTGACCTTGTCTGTTCTTCCGTGTAGTTCAAACGAGTAGACCGGGATCCTGGCTTTCTCTCCCTGTTTCAATTTCTTGACGGTGTCATAAAGGGCATCCAAATCAAGTGAGTCGGGCGTATCAAAATCCCATTCATTAGCAAACGCTTTAGCACTTTGTTCCTTGGTCAAAGGCCGATAAAAGTTGTCAAACGACAACAACACTGTCCACGGCTGGTTAAGTTCACGGATGATTTGTTGAGAGATGGAAGTTTTTCCTGAACCTGAATTTCCTGCTATTCCAATAATGTAGGGCTCAGTCCATGGGGGGATGTATTTGGTCTTATCTTTGAAATATCCCTCAGTGTTTCTGTCAACGGACACAGAAGGACTGATGAACGACGTGTCGGATGGCCCGGGGGAAATTCTGGACGACAGTTCCGACTTGAGCTTAGATACTGCAGACATCTCAAAAGTCAATGAACCTCTGAACGGGAAGCACAAACAAATTATTCGCATCTTCTCATCTCACCAAGAAATGAGCCAAGCGAAAACAGGGAAAGGACGAAGGAGACAAAAGACTGACGGTTCTGAATGGGATTCTGAGCTGACATCAGATTCCGAACATGTCATTGTCCCAGAGCTCCCTGTTGCAGCCCATTCGCTGCTTGCTCAGGAACCTTCAAAAGACTACGCCAAACATAAGGAAGCTTTGAGGCAAAAGCATTTGAAGCAGAAAGAATATCGAATGATTCAGCAACTCAAGCAAGAGTTGGCTGAGTACCAGAATCGGTCAGACTTGACCAAGCAGGAGTTTGAAGAGTATGAATACAAATCCAAACTTTATGATGCTATCAAGCTGGCTGATGCTCCGGTTGAAGAGTATGAGCTTCCCGAAGAATACCTTACACTGCAAGGAAAGATCGATAAGAAACGGAAACTTGAAGCCTTAAACACCCGATCACCACGATCACAGTCGCTGTCTCATAATTCCCATGCTGAAAATAAAAAGAATCGATATGAAAACCTGTGGGAACATGAGCAGTTGAGAAAAGCTCAAGCCATGCTGAAAACAGTCACAGACGATATTGTAGTCAGAGATCTGAAACAGTACGAGTATGTATTTGATGAATCCCAATTCGTCAAGTTTGACTCGGACTCTAAGATTGATGGAGATGAAAATACTGAAGAGGTTACTGATAGAGACACCACATCTAATTCCATTGAAGTGATACGAAAATCCTTACCGGTCTACCAGTATCGGGAAGCTTTTCTAAAGACTGTCAACGAAAATCAGGTCATTATCGTGGTGGGAGAAACTGGTTCTGGTAAGACCACCCAGTTGCCCCAGTATTTGTATGAGGCTGGATACTGTGAAAAGAACGGTAAGAAACAACAGGTTGGGTGTACCCAGCCGAGGCGAGTGGCTGCGACTTCTGTGGCTGCTCGTGTAGCTGAGGAAATGCAAGTCCGATTAGGAGAAGAAGTCGGTTATAGTATCAGATTTGAGGATATGTCGAGTTCAAGAACAGCTATTAAATATCTTACTGACGGTATACTCCTAAGAGAATTTTTGACAGACCCCACGCTACTGGCATACTCAGCTGTGATGATTGATGAAGCCCATGAAAGAACCATATCCACAGAGGTACTATTGAGTCTAGTCAAAGACATCACAAAGCAAAGAAAAGACTTGAAGATTATTGTTGCATCTGCCACCATTAATGCTCAGAAATTTTCTGATTTCTTTGATCAAGCACCAATCTTCAGTATTCCAGGCCGTCGTTTCCCTGTCAATATTCATTTTACCAAACAACCAGAAGCCAATTATATCCAAGCTGCTATCAACACTATATTTCTCATCCACTCTAAAAAGCCATTACCTGGAGATATTCTTGTGTTTCTAACGGGCCAGGAAGAAATAGAGTCCATGCAAGAAAGCTTGGCCGAAGCCACCGAAAAAATGACCACTCTGATGGGAGAATTATTGATCTGTCCCATATATGCCAACTTACCTTATGAGCATCAAAGAAGAATCTTTGAACCAACCCCTCCAAACACAAGGAAAGTGGTCCTAGCCACCAACATCGCTGAAACTTCCATCACCATTGATGGAATCAAATACGTGATAGACTGTGGATACGTGAAAGAGAATGTCTACAACCCATCCTCTGGAATGGACAGCTTAGTGGTGGTTCCATGCTCAAAAGCTTCTGCTGACCAAAGAGCTGGAAGAGCTGGAAGAGTTGGTCCTGGAGAATGCTTCAGGTTGTTCACAAAATGGTCTTTTGACAATGAGCTTTCTGCTAATCCTACTCCAGAAATCCTTAGAGGTAATCTCATTTCCACCGTGCTTCTTCTACTATCCTTAGGAGTCACGGATTTGGTACATTTCGAATTTATGGATCCTCCCAGTGCTGAGACTTTAATCAAATGCCTTGAATTACTCTATGCTATTGGGGCCTTGAACTCGAAGGGAGAGTTAACCAAAACCGGTCGCCAAATGGCGAACTTTCCCATCCACCCAATGTTTTCCAAAGCTTTGCTTGAAAGTGTGAAATTCGGGGTTGCTAAGGAAATCGTTGCCCTTATTGCAATGCTAGGTGAAAGTTCTAACCTATTCTACAGGCCCAAGGATAAGAAAGATGAGGCTGATAAAAAACGGCAGTATTTTAATGATGTCACAGGGGATCACTTATCACTATTGAATATCTGGAATCTTTGGTCAGATACAGAATTCTCAAGTATTTGGTGTCAGGACAACTTCCTTCAGTACAAGACGTTGAAAAGAGCCAAAGATGTCAAAGAACAATTGGAGCTCTTATGCCGTAAAACCGGTATCATTGGTGAAAGTGAGCAAAACCAGCATCTGGTGGATGACCATTCCAAAACACAGTTAATTCAGAAAGCAATTGTGGCAGGGTTCTTTCCAAACATTGTACGTCTTTCCAAGATGGGAGACTCATACCGTACCCTAAAGAAGAACCAACCCGTGTATATCCACCCGTCTTCATCGCTTTTCCCGGTCAAGCCTCCTCCTAAGCTTCTTCTCTACCACGAATTAGTGCTCACCAGCAGAGAGTACATGCGGAATTGCATGATAGTTGAAGAAACATGGCTCCGGGAGCTTGCTTCTCACTACTATGGTGCTAAGGACCTCGATGGTCTCAAGCCAACCCCCATTAATCGGTTTAAATAGACCTTGTATAATACATAACCGCCTGCACCGAGTTTCGCAGCCAATGTTTACGAATTTTAACGCGTTTTGCGGCTTTGCTCGTTATATTTCTGCAAAACAACCAGTGGGAAACCAGGGTGTTTAGAACATGGAAAAGAATAACCCACTCTTACCATTTGCCTTCACGAGGTCAACCTCGGGGATTCTGAATGAAGTCCATTTAGACACAACTCCAAGGCCTCGGGCCGTAATTGACGAAAACGCCAGTAGCATGTACCATACAAGAACCCCCGACACCAAAAAACTGTTTGCAAGACCCACGTTAACAACAGCGCCAGGCCTAAAAAGAAGAGTAGGTGAAAGTTTCAATGAGAAGGATGACATCAAGAGAAGGGTTACTGCTTTTGAAGGACTTGATAGTGATGAACCAACCATGATCGATACTACCTCCACTGACTTCTCTCAAGATGAACTCTTTCAGAGATCTTTCTTGGATGGAGAAAGTGCCGGAAAACTGCACTACGAGACTATTCCTCCCAGTAGCCCTCCAATTGATACCTATTTAAGCTCGGAGTATGATCCGTATGCCAAATTCAGTATGCCTTTATCTCCCAGTCAAAGAATCAATAGTGATGCTCACTATGGTTCGTCTCCGTCCAAACCTAGTGTTGTGAGGCTTGACAGTGAAACCGACTTTGGTATTGATAAGTTCAACCGGTTTCGACCTCCTGAAAATCAGTGTCCATCGACTGACAGAGACTTTAGTATGACTGCAGAGGCAAAGGAAGAGAGAAAGAAAATGATATACTCAAAGGCAAGAGATATCGTCATTGCAGCATTTGAAGATATGAAAACCAGCATAGATTTGGAAAGCATGGGGTTGAATGAAGTACCTAGCGAAATCAAAGACTTGAATGATTTGGTCGTGATTGGCCAAGATTCGACACAGATCATTTTCCAATTATATTTGACCAACAACGACATCAGGGTGTTAGGACCTCCTTTGTTCAAGTTCACCAAATTGAACGTCTTGGCCTTGAGACAGAATAAAATTGAAAGGATTCCTGCTTTGATAAAGAATATGGTACGCTTAACCGATTTATCAATTGGAGCAAACAGAATAAAATTCTTACCATGGCAGATTTTGAACCTTCCTGTGTTACAAAGCTTCAGAGCTGGCCCCAATCCGTTTTTAAAAGTCCCAAATGATGCGATTGAAATCAAATCGATGACTTTGAATCCTATAAAGAATAAGAGGTTCGTAAGTAGGATCGAATATTTCAAAGACGACGAGAAGTTGATCCCATCTTTAAAATCTTTGTGCTTATCCAAAATAGCACAATACGACGTTTCCTACCAAGAAGCCAGGCAATGGAGAAAAAACACTCCTCGGTTATACCACGAGTCAATTAAGAAAGCGATTGCTCAAGGTAACTTTGAAGAAACTTGTGCTGAATGTGACAGACTCATAACAGATCCAGTGGCAGAAGTTATTGAATGGTGGGACTTCTTGCAAAATAATCAGATTCCATTCAAGAAAGAATTCTGCTCCGGAATGTGTGTGAAGAGATACAGTAGAAGGGTTATAGAAGACAGTGATAGTGATGAATTATGAGATACCGATTAAATACATAAAAGTATGTTTACATAAACCCTACTTTTTGGGAGAGTCTTCAAATATTTCCATATTTGAGACTGATCGTGTGGTTTGTAGAAGAGAGAGACTTTCGATTCTCTGCTGAAATTCTGTTATATCGATGGAGTCCAAATCCCATTGAAGAGCGATTCTGGACTTTTCTTGAAACTCTAACATTTTTGATATGGTTTGATAATTGAAAATCAACTGGTTGTAGTACAATAAGTACTTTATGGGACTTAAAAGCAGGTCCACCATGTGAAAGAAACTAGGAAGTTCTTTCAAGAGGAGGGTGTTGATGGTATCATACTCCAGTCTTAGAACTTCTAGTCTTCTTTGCAAATTAAAAAGTTTCTGTGATTCCTTGACACTGAGCTCCTGGAACTTTTCCTTGCTCTTTTTCAACAACAATTCAATCTGGCTGACCACATAATCGTAATTATCCAAAGCATGGTTTCTTTTCCTGACAAATCTCTTGATGTTCTCTAATAGGAACAAACAAACTTGGCACTTGCTAGTGATTGTCTTGGAGACTTCAGTTGGATCACCTACAACTTCAATAAGCTCTTGAACTTTAACAATAAAGCTTTCAGTGACTTTAAAGTGGAAGCATTGGGACATGAATTCTTTGGTCTGATCTTCTGAAGTGAACAACCGGTTGACAATTTTGTCCAAAGACATGTCTTTAACTTCATTTCTTGTTTGTTGATCAAAGCTAATGTATGGATCACAAAGTGAAGAAAACAAGTCACCAATTTCTTTGGCCAGTTTTAATTGCAAAGTAACGTTGGCTGTGTACATGTCACTGTACTTAATTAAGTTTTTGATACTAGCCTCCACTATCCCCAAAGTTCTGTGTAGCTCATCAAACTGTTCATCGATTGTGAAGACCCCAATTTTGGCTTTCCTTCTGAACAGCTGTGGTATAATCTTGAGCCCATTCCAGTCAATCAGGTACGGATATTTGATGCTCTCTATCCTGGACTTAAAGTCACTAAATTTGATTCCACTGAAATCCATGGTGTTTGTGGATAATCACTTTTCGCAGCCATCGCAATAAATAATGTACAATGAATATATGACGTCTATGAATAATTACTGTTGGGAAGGATGGCCGTGATTTGAACCAGGCCAGGCGTAAATTCCCGGGGACGAGCCTCTGGTACTCTTTTCTTCAAATAGTTCAAATTTGGTGGAGACAGTTTCTCCTACAGATGACAATTGGGCTGCTAGCTTCTGTTTTATGGTTTTGTCGATGTCTGAATCCAAGATACTCACCTTCAACTTGGCAGTTCTATCTCCAATGAGCTCATCCATACTTATGATAAGCCTCTCACCAAAATTCTTGTCAACGGGAAAATTATCCGAAATCACCTGGCGTAGCGAAGAAAGTGTTCCAAGGTTGATGATAGACTTCTTGAACAGAGACGCCAAATCATCATCAACTTCAAGGCTGATTCGGTCTTCAACCAATAAAAGCGAAGCGTAGTAAAGCATTATGTGAACATGTACTGGAACATACTTCAAGTTCTCCTTGATGTCCTTGTCGTTGAGAACTAAATTCAATACTGTTTGGGCTGCGGTGAATGCAATGTTAGCATTAATTGTCGATTCATCCTTGTGAACCAACTCTTCGTTGCTGATAAACTCCTCGTCATCGTCGGACGAGTCTTCCCAATCTTTCTCTTCCTCAACCGGGGATCTTGTGTTTGGTCTTGGAGGTTCAGGTCGTTTTGGTCCTTGCAGTAGTTGATCAAGCTTAGGAAACTCATTATCACTTCTTGGATTCTTGGCTTGTAATTGCCTGACCGCCGATGAATTAATGTGCATCTTTGCAAAGTTATAGTAGATCAAAGTAGATTTGGAGGACCAAACAGCACCGTTGTTCATGGGCGACAACAACACTGTCCATGATACCATCCACTTATCCAATTCCAAATTACTCTTGGAAGGAATACCAAGTGATGCGGGAGTGAGCAAATCCCATGCGTTCCCTGCAAACGCGCCGCTGAGGGCTTGGTTATATTCCACTTGTGAAACTATTCTCATATCCGTAAAAGTGGGCGATGGGGGTTGTTCTCGGTGCTCCTCTTTTGACTCTTCGGGTTCTGTTTCAGGTAACAAGTAAGCGTGATTTTCTCCACTAGATATAGTTTTGTCGTTGGGCATCAATAGACTGCGACTGTGCTGAAGACTGTACTCCCTAGAATTGACCAATGGTTGTCTGTTGTACGTCAAACTTTGTTGACCATCGAGAATATAAAGCAAATACCAAAGCTTGAGCCTATCTTTGGGATTTAAAGTTCCTGGAGCGTTTCTATGATGACTGTGGTCAGTTCGGTCTAAACCAACTTCTTTGGCCATCTGAAGGGCCAAACCAGTAAACATTTGTGAGTCTGATAACCAAAAGCTGCAAAATATTAATGCAAGAATTGTATTAAAGGCATCAACTTCAGTGTTGGGACGGCCTTGGTATAGTAAGTCCCCACAAAGTTTATGTAGATGCTTCAGCAACATCAGGTGCCTCGAAGAAAGACTGGAGTTTGGATGGTGCATAGAAGATATGGTACAAATGGCACAAATTAATATGGGCGATGTTTCCCACATGGTGTCAACCGAGAACTTGGCTATCTCGAATCCAAACAACTGAGGAGTGATATTCTTATCGAAAAAGTGAAACAAGTCCTTTGCCTCGTCCAAGGTGAGAATATCATTTCGAAAGTCGTTAAATACATCATCAGTTAATTTCCTCCGCTTGGATACATTTTCGTTATCCAGACTCCGACTTGAATAGGTTGACTCACTACTTATCTGACGGCTCAAAGAGGAGTTCATGTTTGTGTCGTTTTCCAACTCGAGGTTACTGTTCTGTTGAAGTTGGAACTGTTCTTGTTGTTGAACCAATAATCTTTGATTACTTCGTAAGACATCAACCAAATCGTTCAACTTGGTATCAAAGCTGTTCATTTTGTCTTCCATCTGATTCTTCCATTGGCTGTCATTACTGTGCTGGTCCTTGGGTGGTATTAGCGATACACCCCGTCGTATATGATGAGTCTTCTGTGCTTGAGGGAGCGGACCTGTGACAGGCCCAGACGTGGAGATAGGAGTTAAGGGCGGCAAGACCATTCCTGGCTGTGGGTGGTTGTTGTGGTGTTGTACAGGTTGGTGGCGTGGAGGGTTCAAGCCATTGTAAAGAGTTGGTTCGGTGTTTATCACCGGTAATCGAAGATTAGGAAGCTTGGGAACAAAAGTACATCCACTGGATTGGCCAGTTTTGACACATCGTTCACACGGCAAGACGTCCGTGTATATACACTTGACCTTGGACCGCTTGCAGTTGAAGCACGGCTTTGTTCGCTTCTCACGAGCCATAGTGTGTGGTCGCTCTAAAAAAAAGATTAATGTCAAAACCCGCGACATCGATTTGCTAGTTCCCCATATTTTCACAAGCAACGGGTCAGGAATGTCAATGAAAACCAAAATCAAGCAGTTCTTTGGTGCTTCACGCCAGTATGCTGTTTCTGGAGCCCTGAATGACCCTAGTAAGTTTGGGTTCAAAATCACTCGGTGGTATGTCTCGCACAATCTACCAGTCATTCCTGTCAATCCGAAAGCTCTGGAGATCTTAAATCAACTGGTTGTACACTCAATTCTGGAAATTGTGGATGCTATTAAGTCCAAGACCGACATAGGCGAACATGCTTTATCCGGTGCAGATGGGTTAAGTATTTCGTTCTTGACACCTCCAAAAATCACCACCTCCACTTTAAAGCAAATCGCCATTGTGGATGGATACAAAGGCATCATCAAAGGCTTGTGGTTCCAGCCTGGAAGTTACGACGCCGAAGTATTGGAGGTAGCACAACAAATCGGGTTGTTTGACACGGTGGTGTATGAAGACGAATGTATATTGGTAAGAGGTGAAGAGGGTTTATATAGTGCCAATTTATAGGATGGTAAAGAAAAGAACCTAAAGTATCTTCTTGATGTAGCTACCCCAACTCTCGTCTTCGGATGGTTTGCGTTCCAAAAGCTCTACGTTGATCACGTAGGGAAACGGGGCGCTTTCTAGCGACGTTATTGGAGGAATATGGTCTTTATGGCTGTCTGCAATATCGATGATTTTTAGTAGGTTGTCTTCAAAACTGGAGACAGAGGCCGCCACGTTGGGATCAAGATGGTGGTCTGCCTGATGAAGTTTCTTATCGGATGAAGATTCAGAAAGAACAGGTAAACACTTGATCTGAATGATCCAAGACTCCCAGAGCTTAAGGTCAACTTCGTCATCTGACTTGCCCTGGCCAAACCAGCCAGTTTTCTTCTTGGATTTGGTGGTTGGAAGATCCAAGAATCGGACAGTAACCACCCCGTACTTGACTTCGGCATTCAAAGGGGAGATCAAATCGGTGTTGTTGAAGCTGAATCCCATCCTTATGAGCTGATCTATCTTCTCATCAACTAGCGAATCCAAGTCAGGTAGGTCGCTGGCCACAGGATATGGCACGCCTAGGAATTCACACATGGCAGGAGTTATGGGGCCAAAAAGTCGATGGAAAAATATGGACCAGATGATGCCTATTGCATGTGTTAGTATAAGAGGTGGAATGTCATGATATTACAAGTTTGCGTACCTTTTAATGATTCTCTGACGACCGATCTCTCGGCCACGAGACTCAATGTGTACTCCATGAGTTAGGGTTGTGGAGTTTAGACCGTCAAGTTTGCTCCGATGCAAATCTAAACTAGTTGGTAATATAGATCGAAAGGATAAATTTGAATGTGCCTTATCGCACGCTATTATGCGCGGTTGGGTGTATGTTGGTATATTTACAAGAGCTATTTACAGAGACGCGGTGGAGGCGGCACTTTCCACAACCTCGGAGATAGAGTCTTTCTTGGTGTTCTGTCGAGGCCGAGGCTGGCGCTGGCGCTTCTCAGGCGCTTTGGAAACCTCGAAAATGTGTTCTCCCTTGGTCATCTGCTCTAATACTTGGACAATCTGTGGCATCACATCGTACTCTAACACCTCGACTTCAGGGCGCTTGAACTTCGCCAACACGAAGTCTGCCACATACTTATTTGGTGGCTTCCCAACCCCCACGGCGATTTTCGTGTAATTTTGTCCCATGATCTTATCGATAGACCTCAACCCATTATGTCCCCTAGGACTACTTCCCTGTTTTCTGATCTGGATCTTTCCTAGAGGAAGCAGAATCTCATCGTGTACCACCACCAACGCCGGGGAGAATTGGCGGCTCTGTATGCGTCGAACTTCACTCCAGTTGGCGTGAATCGGCTCTCCTTGGAGATTCATATATGTTTCATTAGACTTGAAGAGAAGCACATTTGATGATACCGAGTCCTGGGAAACACTATACGGGCCTCTCGATATGTTTCTGTGTTTCTGGAACCGGCTGAAGTTCTTCCAGTGGTTCTGGACAAGCTGTTCAAGAACCCAATGACCAACGCTATGTCGAGACCCCGAGTAGTCAGGTTCCGGGTTCCCTATGGATGCCACCATTAGAAACGGAGGCTTCGTGTCATCTGGTTTGATGGTGCTCAAGGCTCGGGTAGAAGACCGAGATAGGTGGTTGTTGAGGATATACCGTGTAGCGTAACGAAGAATTTGCATAGGAACATAAACCAAACGAAGCCAATTCATAAAGCGCGAAAAGAGATGCCCAAAATGTATATTTAACTGGACTTGTTCTTATCAATTAAGTCATCAATCTGAACAATGGCAGCATTCATGGATTCCTTGGTGGCCCTATAGTGTTCAAGCACGTTGCGGAACCGGTTATGGTCTTTTACAATTTGGGCAGACACCCGCTCCTTTTGGTGCTTGAGTTTCTGGATCTCGATTCCTGCAACTTCTTGGACCCAGATGTTTCTTTTCTAGTAAAATGTTAGTTGTGACCACCGCCAGGGAGATTGTAGTATACGTGCCTCATCAAGCTCATCGATCTGAGCGGCCAATTTGGCCGATTCAGTGGCGAAGTCTGAAATGGCATAGTCACATGCCCTTTCAAAGGTACCAAAACAGAACCGCTCTAAATCTTCGTTGTAGGGTCTTTCTGGTAAATACCTAATAATTTCTTCAACTTCACTTTTTAAGTCCTGGAATGGCTTGGACCCCAAAACTTCGGCTGGACCGGGAAGCTGGATGCCCTTAGACTTCAAGTATGTCTCCAGCTCATCTGTGGACTGAAGTCCGTACCAGGTTTTCTTCCTTCTCTTCTGTTTCTTAGTACATGGACTGGATGCGGAGGGCATCGACGATACTCCATCCGAGTCGGGGCATGAAGGGTGCTCTGTCTCCCCAAAACGATCAGAAACAGTTTCCTTCTTGGGGTTGACTACATTAAATTGGGGCGAAGAAGAGCAATCCATGTTCTTCTTGGGTGAAATTACGGAAACTGACATGGGTGGTGAGTTTGTGGTTGCAAAAAAAAGACTTTATAATTATCGCGAAAAATATAAATAAGGGTGTTTGCTCTATCAACATATACGCATATAAACACAATCATACAAGACATCACAACTGGGTGTTTTATTGGACGGAGACAGAAGCTTCAGCCTGGGCTGCGGCATCCCTACCTAACTGGGCCAAGTTTTTGTGGGAATTTTCATACTTTATGTGTTGAGCATTGGAGACTCTCTTCAATTCCTGTAATCTGTCTCTCAAGGTGGACACGTCTCTCAAGCTCTTCTCCAACTTCAACCTTTCTTCTTCGATCTTCAATCTCTTTTCCGCATCCAACTCACCAAAGAAGTATCCTCCCTTACCGTCAAACTTCAAGAGATAGTTGTGGAAATGCCATAAAGCTGGTCTGTGTGCAACCGATAACAATGAAATTCCCATTTCTTGGGCATGCTGATACATGAACTGCTCCATTGTTGGAGACACTGCCGAAGTACATTCATCCAAAACAGCAAACTTGGGCTGGTGGTAGAATAATCTGGCCATGGCCAATCTCTGTTGGGCACCCACCGATAATTCCTCACCCCAGTTTCTTACTTCATCCCATGGTCTATCTCCTACCAACAAATCATCCAACTTCAACATCTTGAAGATTTCATACAACTCCTTGTCGGTTTTGCCATGCTTATTTTTCTTATATTGCTCAAATGTGTGAGGATAAATCACCTGTTCTCTCAAGTTACCTCTGCACAAATAGGCTCTTTGAGGCAAGTAAAACATATTCTCAGTCTCGGGAATCGTGATCTGACCCTCTTTGCATGGCCATAATCCTCCCAACATTCTGAACAACGAAGATTTTCCAGAACCATTGGGTCCAGCAATTAACAAGTGTTGGCCGTGTTTAATGCTAAAATCCAATTTTTCAATCAACGTCACATCAGCAGGCGTCACCAATCTTACATTCTCAAAGGTGATCTCATCCCCGTACCTAACATTGTCGCTCTTTTCATTTTTCCTCTCAGCTATTTTGTCTTGTTTAATTTGATGTAATGCATCCTGGAACTCACTGACTCTTGAGGCATGTCCTACCACTTGTAATATGTATCTTCTGGCATAAATCAATCTGTCCAAGGAATCAGACGCACTCATCAACAATCTTCTGTTGGTAATGAAATCACCCGAAGCCGAAAGGTCGGGTTCTTTTCCCAAATACTTGTTGATGAATACAGGGGCTGAACATAACACCAAACCAGCAGCACCCCAGAAGTATTTGACGATAAAAGTTTGGGCGATTTCGTGAATGGCTTTCTTCCATTGTTCCATTTTGAGGAACCTTTCCAACTGGTAGTAACAGTAATCAAGGTAATCCAACTCACGATTATGACCCCTCAAGAAAGCGATTTCTTCACTGTTGGTCACCACCTTGGAATGGGCAGATCTTAATTGACCCTCCAAGTTGGCTCTTTCGGATGCCAACTTGGCGAAAGGAGGTGAAAAGAATCTCAAAATAATCGTAGAGAAATGAGCAATTAACCCCAAGGCTAAGGTTCCTTCTCCACTTCCCACACCACTCTTGGATAATTCTTTAGCGCATAACAACAAGTCCAAGGTGGGCTTCAACAACTGTCCTGGTAAGGATGACAAGGCACTTGCCAATCTGTTGATATCAGTGGAAGTCCTCTGGTCGGGATCCTTGATTTTACTATCGTTCAACTGGATCAACGAATAGTAGTTTGCATCCAAGTTATCCGGTAAGTAGTCTTCAACAATGCTATTGGTCATGTTGATTCTTAAATTTTTTCTCAAGTTACTCTTTGTCCAGTTCAACATAGCGTTAACAATAGAGGCTGGGATCCCCAAGAACATCCAAAACGCCAAAAGCTGACCAAATTTCTTCAACTTCTTGGACACCAAAGCACCCACTAGTTTACCATCTAAGCTGGCTACCTTGATGGTCAAAAAGGCTCTGATTACCAATAATATTATATGGGAAATCAAGAATCCCACAGCAGCGTTGGTATAATGAGGAATAGCTGCGTCAAATATCCGTTTGGTAGACTCTTTCGAAAGCTTTTTACGTTTCTTGGGTAATTCGGTGGAACTCTCCACATCCTTGGGCTTTTTGTCGCTTGACTGGGAAGTTCCAGTGGCTCCTGAGAACGCTGTGGTGATCAAGATGATATAAGAAGCATTAAGAAATAAGCTTCTGTTGCTTTTGTAAACATTCAAGAGTGACACCCCTAGCGTGTTGGTACTCCTGGGGCTACTCATGGTACAGACTGTGAAAACCCGGTGGTATAAGTAGTTCTATACAGACAGTTAAATCACGTGGGGTCAACTGTTGTTTGTGTGGGGGACTTGACTGTGAAAAAGACTTTGGAAAATCTAATAAATTGCCCTTGAACCTGGTGACAAGAATGAAATAAAATGTGGAGAATGCGCTGCAAGGTCCGAGGCTTCAGGTAGCTTGTGGGCTGTGCACGACTCTGCTTGAAATAGCCTACAAAACATCAATACCTCTGCTTGGGATAGGCTACAAAAGATGAATGTCTAGCCTTTACCAAGAAGAAATACTTCTATACACTGGTAGTATGATGGTCATTATATATTCATGGGTCTATAAAAGTAATGGTCAAGGAGAGTTGTTTCAGAGAGAGAATGGGTGACAGTAAAAATATACTGACATATCAATTCAAGTGCTATGTCACTGCTCCTTTAGTAACTGGGTGAAGGTCTCCTGAGAGGACTCTAGCTGGTTCCGTAGCTGTTTGACTCTCTCAGCATAAATCTTGTTGGCCAACTCGGTGGTATTTGAACAATCATCATTCTGGTCAAGGAGGTTCTGGTACAAGGTCTGAAGCTGGCTCTGTGTCCACGGTGCATCGATATCCAATCCTTTCAATGTTGAGAGTTTGGTGCTTTTGTGTTTAAACCATTGGGTTGCAATGTCATTTACAATGTCACTATTCAGTTTATCAACTATGTTATCAGGTTCGATCAAGCCGTTTGAATGAAGAAGCTGGAGGAATAGAAGAATATCTCTGTGGTTGTATTTGGCCGGATCCGTCACCGAAACCGCTCTGCTTTCACTGCGATCTACCATTGGAGTGTATTGATATGGGATTTGATGGTAGAAAAATATTATTGAGGTGAGAATTTGGCCCAGTAGAGATAATTACTGGCAAAAAGTCATAACAAACAGTTTTTGAAGAAAAATGTGTTCCTCATCACTCTCCTATGTTCTGTTTTGTATTGAGAACGTCTGGTAACATCTTGCTGCTAGAGACCGTGCGTGTGCTATTTTTCCTATATAATACAAACCTAGACATTCAATATGTATACACCAATATGCCATTTGGGACGTGTGGATCTATGCTTTCACAACCACTATCACAGAGTCACCTCTTAGGAACAACTTCGATACAAATCTTTCCTTCTGGTTGACCTTTATCACTTTTCCTTTATTGTTCTTCACTGGTTCCGTCCACAACTCTTTGACGTTTTCCAAAATCAAGTTACAATGCCTGTCAAATGCCTTCACCTTGGCAACAAGCTTATGGTTGTTACGACATGAAATCACCACCGGGGTGTTGTTGGCGACCGCCTCTTTTAATAGGGACATTGGCCCATGATTGAATTCGAACTCTTCAAGCCTCTCGAGCTCTTGTTGATTTAAATCTGATTTTGGAACCCCTACCAAATCACTAAAAGTCTTGTTAGTATGTTTGATCCTCAGATGTTTATCATCTCCGGAGAGAAACTTTGGTTTGGTGACATACGCCATATTATATGTATTCTATTGTTGGGTCTATGGTGTCGATGAGGTTTTTGTTTTGTCCAATGTCGCGACCATCTGCTGTGAGATTGTCTATTATACAGAAATGATAGAAACTATACAGATTTTTCAAATTGACTCAATGGAGCGGCCAACCCACAAGCCCTCTTGATAATGTTCTCTATTCTATCCTTCAAGACCTTGGAGTTGCAAGTAACCGTCAAGCTGTTATAGTTGATGGTGGCTTCATTTTTACCAAAGGCAATTTGGGCATTGGTCATATCGTTACCCTTTAACGCATCTCCGAATTGTGCCTTTAGGAGTGTAGAAATACGATACTTTCTATCATTTATATCAGTGTTCATGTGCCCTGACTTCTCGATGGTTATTTCTGTGTTTCCATTAGAATCTTCTTCCTTTTTAACGGGTTTTTCGTGGTCATGTGAGTGGCTCGACGATGAGATCTTGACCGATGCAGGTGATGAGTCTATGGAGTAAAGAATGGCCACCACACTGTCTGCCAATGAGTCTGCCATCAAGTTGTCATTGACCCATTCAACCGTAACGTAGTTGCTTGAACCCTTGGATTTGGATCGGTCAATCAAAATACTGATTATGTCCATGATCACACATTCCCACTCGTCCTCATCGTCGTTGGCCACGTTGATGTATCCAAACATTTGTTGTAAATGCCACTCGATCAAGGAGATATGTGCGTTGATAATCAAATCAATTTTGGACTTAACAATCGATGTGGCTAATTGAGAGTATTCATGTAAATCCTGTAATTGGACGATATTTAAGTCGAAATCCTTCGACACAATAACTCCTGACAATACCTGTTTGCTCTTGAATACCTCAAAATCATCGTCTTCCTGCTTATCATCTTCATGATTTTCGCTGTCTTCTGTCTTGTTACCGTTCTCCTTTTCTTCGGTTGTATCTTTCATATCTTCATCTTTTTCCTCTTCTTCCTCTTCAGCTCCGATCTCTTCAATCTTGGTGGCGATTTCCAGCTCTAATTCGGCCCTCATGCCAGACACTTGCTCTTCTGCTAGAGCCCCCAATACTTTGGCTACCTTCAAGCCTTTGATTGCGATCTTCAACTCATCTCCATTTCTTGGATTGAACACCTTGACTTCTTGGTCGGTTCCTTTCCTGTTGGCATATTTACTCAAGAGAGCAGACTTCAACCTACCCATTGGAATCGAATCTCCATGTACTAAAATAATCCGTGGAGCATTGACTTCACCTATAAATTCGGCGTTCTGTTGGAAGTCAACATGGGCTGCGAAGGATATTTCTTCTATGCTTAATCTTCTTGTAATTGTCATCTCAGGGTTGTTAACAGAAGGAATTGTAGGAGGTTCAATCAACAAGTCTTTAGCCATGGTTCCTTCCACTGAATAACCAGTCATTAACACAGTATTCTTGGGATCAGGAGCCCATTTTTCCAATAACTGCCTCGAAAATCCACTCTGCAACATACCAGGGGATGCTATCACTACTGAAGGACCAAAGTCTTGAAATCTGTCCAATGACTTGAGAGTTTTGATATATTTAAAGGTGAATGGGTTTTTGCGATCATATGATGAGGAAGATGCCATGGATCTTATTTTGTCGTTCATAATGTTGGTATATGTCTGATACACTGCCAAGCACTTTCTTGCTAAAGAGGATGCAAAATAAACGTCGATGTTTTGTAAGTCTTTATTCTGAGACCAATACTCCTCTAAAATCAACAACAATTCCTGGGCCGTCCCCAATGCAAACACCGGCATCAATACTCGTCCACCCTTCAGCAAAGTAGAGTGAATGATTCTGGTCATTCTGTTTTCTTTCTCCATTCTTGGTTCGTGGGTAGCAGTACCAAAAGTAGACTCGGTGATCAAAATATCTGGCTTCACCGAAGGCACCTCGGCCACTGGTAGATGTCTATTTTCTTCTCTTGAGTAATCTCCTGTGAATAACGCCTTCAATCCACCAATTTCAATCAAATATAAACAAGCTCCCAAGACATGGCCAGCATGGTAAGCAGTAAATCGAATCCCATCCAATTCCATTGTGGAGTGGAAATCCACCGTCTCGATTCGGTCGAAGGATTTCATCAAATCCTCGTCGGTGTATAAGTTGGCGGAAGTACCACCGCTGTTAGGGTCATTGGAGGTGTTGGAGCTCAACGATGTCACTCTCACGAAATCAGTCAATAACCATCGATAAATGGCTTTTGTGGCATGGGTCATGAAAACTCGGCCCCTAAAGTTTGTGTGTTGCATTACATAGGGCAAGGAAGCTGCGTGATCCAAATGAAAATGACTTACCAACAATAAGTCGACTTTGGATAAGTCGTACTCATCGTAGAATGGTAACGAATTAAGACCCGACAACCCGGGATGAACCCCTGCATCAAGCATGATCACCTTGTTCTTGTACTCAATGATATGACAGGATCTACCCACTTCATTACAACCCCCTAACCCGGTAAACTTAAAATCGTCTGTACTGTCCACAGTCGCCATGTTATTCTTCAGCGTGGGATTTGTGCGCACCAAAAATTTTCACTTAACATTGAAACATTATCACTATTCTACAACAAATTTACAAAAACCTATACTAAACCCCAACCCGTAAAACGTTTTGACGCTGGTGTCTGAATCGTATCACCTCGTGTCTTTCGAGAATCATAAGTGCCTTGTCCAATGCAGCAGGACTGGCTTTACCACTGTCAACAATCTCTCTCCTCAACGTCAGGTAAGCAGTAGACCAACCAATAGGTAATCTCCGTCTCAATTCCTGCTCCACCTTGTTGATTTCCTTGCTCAATTCACTGTTTGGAATCAACCCGTTCGACATTCCCTGGTTAACGGCATTCATGGTGGAGGCGGTGAAAAGTCTAATGGCTTCTTCAACATGTTCTTCAGATGCCACTGGAGATAAGGTCAATTTGGCCAAAGATTCACTGATACGGATAATGGCTTCCAACTGTCTGACGGTGATAGGAATCGAGGACCTTTCGTTCAAGTCTGCTTCGTTCAATTGCAACTTTTTTCTAATGGCCACAAAATGTGATGATAATCTGACAGACGCTTCTGGACTCAATCTGGGTGCACACCGGACTTTACAGTACTGGATGTATCTCTTCATGGTCTCAATAGGTATTTCACCTTCTTGGTTCATGTCGTTGTTGTTTGTGTTCCCGGTGTGGACATTCATAACGTGCTGGGCAATGGAGATATCTCTTTGTTCATTGTGGTCGTCCTTGACAATAAAGATCATATCGAATCTTGACAAGATGGTGCTTTGAAAATCGATATTTTCTCCAGGGGACTTCAAGTCGTCGTAACGACCGAAAATGGGATTGGCCGCCGCCAATACTGAAGTTCTAGAGTTCAAGATGGTGGTGATACCAGCCTTGGCAATGGAAATGGTTTGCTGTTCCATGGCTTCGTGGATGGCAACTCTATCCTCATCTCTCATTTTGTCAAACTCATCGATACAAACAACACCTCCATCGGCCAACACCATAGCACCACCTTCCAAGTAGAAGTCCCGGGTGGTGGGGTCTCTTTGGACTGATGCCGTCAACCCCGCAGCAGAAGACCCTTTACCAGAAGTGTATACCGAGATGGGGGATATCTTTTCCACAAACTTTAACAATTGAGATTTGGCAGTACCAGGATCACCCAACAATAACACATTGATGTCTCCTCTCAACCGCATACTATCGGGTAAAATCTTCTTGCTTCCTCCCATCAAAAGACATGTGATGGCCCTTTTGATATCCTGGTTACCGTAAATTGAGGGTGCAATGGAGTTGGAAAATACATCGTACAAATTGGGCATTCTCGACAATTTCAAAAACTCTTCTTCCTCTTCTTCTGTGAACACTAACCCTTGACCATCAACACCTGTTTCTGTGTCACTTTGAATTCCCAATACCTTCAAGTATGGGTTTCTCAAAGCTACAGAACTGGCTCCTTTATTACCTACTCTGGACCTGCTTTCAAAAATCGAATAGACTCCAATGATGGTGACCCTGGTACCAGGAACAACTTGGTTGGTCAAGTACCGGTCGGCCTGTAACAAGATGTTTCTAGGCATTTCCCCTACTGGTACCATATCTGGAGATTCTTGTAATTTCAACACTTGCTGATCAATGAAGGTTGATTTATCGTGAACAACGACATATGGTTCAGGAGGGCACCGAGCCTGGGTAGCAGTATCATCGAAATTGTGACTCCCCTGACACTTCTTGGGTAAGTTCAAATTCCCGAACCCACCAGCTACATTCAATCTCATGGTGTGTTTACAGTTTCTGCAAATGATTTGGACCTTTGTGGGTCGGGAAGACAACACCGACGCCGAGATAATGATCCCGCTGACTCTAACGATCTTGGAAATATGTTCTGAATCCAAGTGCCTGATACTGGTTTTGTTTGCAATCGAATACACAATTAATTGGCAGTTGGGGAAGTTCTCTGGAACCGAATCTTCGGCCAAATAGGCGATTCTCTTTCCAATATCTGTGATGGCAGTCTCAAACAAGGGAATCATTTCACCTGGGTCATCGTGTAGTTTCTTGTTCAACTCTTCGTTGAATCCGATCAAATGCTCGTTGTTTACCTTTAATAAATAGTTTTTGATCAATAAGTTCTCTCTCAACTGCTCTCTGTAGATGAACAGATTATTCAATCTGAATTCCAAGATAAACGACTTGAATGCTTTGATGATCTCGTTATACGAGTCATCCGACACCTCTGATGGGCCCAATGCTGGTGCACTATAATTATCTGGTCTATCGTAGGACATTAGTTGCGTAAGAAGAAAATGTGAAGTTTTGATGAGATAGTCAGTTTTGAAAAAAATCACCGAGACGTGTTTAATTATATTTCCCCATCAGGTTAAATTGCCCTAGTGCGCGTTAGCACCTCAAACCTTTTTCTCACTGAAGTATGATGGGTATACGAACATCAGGACTATGTAGATATCTTCTTCGACCTCAAGTCCCATGTCGGGAGTATGTCATTCCCAAGAAGACTAAGTTACCCCCGCGGCCCAAGTGGCTCATTAAAGAAGAAGACATTGAGGAGAGTTTCATCAAGGGAGGAAGCGGACCCGGAGGACAAAAAATCAATAAAACCAACAGTAAAGTTCAACTCAAACACATTCCTACGGGTATCGTGGTGACGTCGCAGCACTCAAGGTCACAGGAGCAGAACCGCCAGAAGGCCCGGGAGATTCTCGCAGAAAAGTTGGATTTGATGGAAAATGGACCCAAGTCACGTGTGGCGGTGGTGACTGAGCGTAAAGTTAAGTTGAAGCAGAGTAAGCAGAAGAAGAGTCATCGCAAGTATAGGAAGATTGAGGAGGGACGGGCAAAGGAGAAAGAGTTTGAAGAGTTGGTTAATATTGAGGACGAGATTGACCAAATGACCGGAAGGGGATGAAAGGCGGGCAATAATAACAAGACATTACCGTGGAGAAGGACAATTTCATGAAGTGACGACATAATAACAGTACTGAAGACATTTTCAATATTCACTTATACACTAATGAGCCAAATGATAGATCTAATCCCGCGCATATTTTGCACCCATTTTCCTCTGGCGCTTTTCTTTATGAACATGAATAACTGGCAAACAGTATCAATAGTATTGGCCTGCTTTTTAGGCATCTTCCTTATTACTGTGGTTTTCTTCTTGATCTACTTGGGCTGCCACTTCTCAATCATTCTTGAAAGCAAGCGGTATCCCTTCACTAAGTATGAATACAATCGGCCCTTAGATTTGGAAAGCGGATTGAATTCTTCTATTATTGCAACAAAAAGTGTGCACACTCTCCCTACTTCTCATGTTACTGAAGAAGGAGACATCATAGTTCGCACTGGGTTTGTTGTTGGCACTGCTAGCCATGGTGATTTAGGTCTGTTACTGGAGTTTCAAGATTCAAACTCATTCAATACAGATAGTCCCATATCGAACCAAGTGTCCAATTTCAGCATCTGCCACACACCAAGTGATCTACGTGAACGTGAGAATACTGGCTCCCAAGCTGAGGTGAACTCGACGGATTTGGGGGTTCCCGCTGGTAAGCTTGATCGGTACGATAGTTTTAGCAAAAGCTTAATCATCAAGGATTTGATGCAGGGTTCACCATCAGAGCAACCAAGCGAAATCCGGGAGGTGAGTGATCCCTATTCATCAAATCTGATTTCTGTTGGAGAAGTTGTCGTGGTTGTCCAGTCCTTCAAGGGAGATAATGCTCATGAGTTTAGCCATTTACAGGAAGGTGATTTGTTAAGGGTTGTCAGATTCTACTTGAAGGAAGGAACGGGAACTTTGGGGAAAAAAGGACTCCATCTTTTGAAAATCACCGGGAAGAAGCACAAATTCTTGTGGTCTTTCTCTCCCGAACCCTCGTATGAGGATTTGACATATATTTCAAAGGACGACCCAGAATTCCCTCTTGTTCATTGCACTGGAATCATTTTGAACACTTTCTTGGAATACGATGCCAGCAACAACACAATGGCTTTGAAGATGAAGGATTCCAATCATCTTGACACTGATATTTTGAAGGATTTCCCCCTTAAATGTGTGTCCTTAGAAACCACTGTTGTGTCCCATCTGGGACAGTGACGGAAACATGGAGCTAAGTCCGTGCGCGTGCGTGCGCCAATATTTAATTGTTGTATTATCAGTTATAGTGGGTAGTTTAGGTGGCTATCTTGCTAACAAAGGTTGTTTGTTTTGCTTGCTATATCCCATATTCTATGTTTTTGGGAGTTATTTGGATCATTTCAACTTTTGTACACTTTTGGTAAGCCCGTCTCCATCCTTCCCCATTCTTAACTCATGCTCGCGGTCGGGTTTGAAAGGGTGGGGAACGGAGACAGCCACAGATTATGGAGAACTAAAAGGTGTGGTATCATTTACTATACAGAAAAAAGTAGTATACAAGTAACAGTAGCAGTCAGTGTCTTCTGTTCCGACCTTCCCAATCATCTAGTGTTTTAATGGCATCTTTCCAGTTGCTGGTAGCCAAGCTCAATTCCCGTTTGAGTCTCTGAATTTCGTCATCTTTACCATCCCTGGATTCAGCTCCCTCCGGTGGTTGTTCTTTCGACTGGTTGATATCGTCGAACAAGTTGTTCAAATAGTGATAGTTTTTGTAGATGTTGTTAAGAATTGGTTTAATGATGAATTCAAAAGTCTCGATATTATCGATATCAAGGTCCAGGTCTATCAACTGGTTCAAGTCTTGTAAATTGAAGTAATCTTCTGGGTTCGGTATGAATTCATCTTGTGAAGAAGGTTTATCGGTTTCTGGGTTAATAACCGAGTTGAACCTACTGTAGTATTTATTCAAATTCTTGATAAACCTGGAAAACTTGTGATTCTCTTTGATCAAGTTGTTGGTGAGATCCGTCAAGGTGATGACAATTTTTTCGTATTCGGCATTCAAAATCGGTATGGGCAAATTTGTATCATTGAGATTGTTGATTATGGGATTGTTGTTGTAGATGTAGTTGGAATTTGTATCCACCTCTGCAATTTCATGTTTCTCCTCAAGTAGAGAACTTCGATTGAGACCATACGTGATGCTGGTGGACAAGTTTTTCTTTTCGATCAACTGGTTCTTCAAGTTGTTAATTACTAGGTTCTTCTTTTTTATCTCGATCTCGTGTTTGGTTTTGATATCATTACACCAATTCTTCACCTTATTCAAGTCTCGAGCCTGGGCTTTGTTGCGGTTGGCAAGCGAGTTATAGTCCTTCAGGGTTGACGATTTTTCGTATAATGCGGTCTGAAGCTTAGAGTCCAGCTTGTTTAGTTTCAACTCCAAGTCTGCTGTTCGTTCCTTAAGCTGTTTGATTTCTTGATCTTTCTGGTTGATGATCTGGTTGAAAGTCTTATTCTGGACCTTGTTTCTTTCAACGCTTTGAAGGAGCCCATAGATGATATTGATGATGTTTTTGTCATTGTTGTATAGGGTATCGGTGAGTTTTAGCTGGGGTATATCTGACGGCTGGTCGACCTTCAATTTGTCCCAGTCAATGGAGTTGAACAAGAGGGTGGAGTCAACATACCCCTTAGATATCAACGTGTCGTTGAGGAGGCTTGATGCATCTATAATGGCATCTTTGTTTAAGTATGAGTCCATCAAAATGTAAATAAATAAAGCGCGATCAGCTTTTAAAGGGACAAGAGACTGAGAAGAATCTAATTTGGAGATGGGGTTGCGATAGGATCCACAACTGTGCAAGAGGAGTGACAGCTCGGGGTGGTGAGAGAAGCAGTAGCTCAAGGAGCAGTAATAAGTGAGAGTCTCATACGATGTTGTCCTGACCTTGAGACCTCGGTGACATGAGACCCAGGGTCATGAGACTCAGGGACATGAGACCCAGGGTCATGAGACTCAGGGACATAAGACTCAGAGACATGAGATTCAGGGACACAGTGCAAGATCGCCAGCACCCGCCTTGGCATCTATGGAATATGTATATTTTTTCTCGAGTTACAAACTCTTCGGTAGGCATCAAATCGTCTAGTGGTGACCTTCAGCAACTTCTTCAAACACGAACCAGTCTTCTTCGACAGGTTCGGCACCGGCTGGAGCAGCAACAACAGTCTCAACTTCAGAAGCTTCGTAGTCCTTCAACAAGTCGGAGCTAATTTCTTCCGATGGCAAAGTTGGCTTGGCTGGTAATTGGAAAGCCTTAACGGCCGAGTCGATGTCCTTAGCTGAGGAAGGAGTTGGCTTGAAAGCCTTGATATTGGAAATGTATAAGTCAGACACCAAGTTTGATCTTCTTGGGGTGATTGAGAATCTTCTGGAAATGACCTACAAAGGGATAAGTTAGTAACGAGGCCACACAAAGGTATGTCTGGATGGTTTCCCCAAGGCTCTGCGCTCAATTGTCGCTGGTAGTCAATGGGAACAGTACAGTGATTGAACACATACTTGTCTAAACATGGTTGAAGTATTGAAAAGTTTTTAAAACGAAAAGTTCCCGAAATTGTTCGCACTTTGGACAAACCAATTTTATTGGATGAGAAAAACTCAAACATTTGCAGCGGTCCTTAGAAGAGCATGAAGTTCTATTGTGAATACTGTAAATCGTATTTGACCCACGATAAGTTCAGTGTTAGAAAAAGTCATCTACAAGGCAAGAATCACATCAAACTATACTGCAACTACTATGAACATAGACTGAAAGAGTTAAAAATCGAGCCTGATATGGCCGTAACATTAGCAGACATCTATGATAGAGCCCCAGGAGGACCTCTGGGCGATGCCGAAGATGAGTTCATGTTACCACCGCCACAACCTGCTCAGAATTTGCCTCGTCCGCCACCCAGCGTATATTTTAATGAAAATGATAAGAAGCTGATAGCTTACACGATAGGAGCTCGAGCCAGAAGACAAATATAACCTCGTACAATACATAGTTTTTAGTACTAATCGCATCTACATTAACCTAAAAGAATTGGTTTTATTCAAATTACTTACTATATACTGATGATCTTATAAATCGGCATCATCTTCATCAGGCAATGGCAAAGCAGCAGCTTGTTCCATTTCTTGCTGGTATTTTTCCATCAAGTTGGCATCCACTTGGACTTCTGGAGGAGCCAAGGCAGGGGAAGCCACAAACTCCAATTGAGGGTTACCGACCAACTTTCTGGCCAACCAAAGGAAAGGCTTTTCAAAGTTGTAGTTAGATTTAGCAGAAATATCGTAATACTGCAAGTTTTTCTTTCTGTGGAAAGTGATAGTCTTGGCCTTGACCTTTCTCTCCTTGACGTCGACCTTGTTACCACATAACACAACCGGGATGTTTTCACAAACACGAACCAAATCTCTGTGCCAGTTTGGAACGTTCTTGTAGGTGATTCTAGAAGTAACATCAAACATAATGATACCACATTGACCGTTGATGTAGTAACCGTCTCTCAATCCCCCGAACTTTTCTTGTCCGGCGGTGTCCCACACGTCGAATTTTAATTCACCATAGTTGGTGTGGAATCCCAATGGGTGGACCTCAACCCCGATGGTGGCGATGTACTTCTTCTCAAACTCACCAGTCAAGTGTCTCTTGACAAAGGTGGTCTTACCGGTTCCACCGTCTCCGACTAACACTAACTTAAAAGTAGGAACTTCTTGGGCCATGATTGATTAGGTTTGTTATTATTGAAACCACAAAGTAAAATTTTTTTTTTCCACGATTTGTTGATGATGGATTTTCTCACCCTTTGCGAAGCAAGTGGAAATTCTCGCGAGCGCCAAGAGGGCGATAGGTGTGAGGTCACGTGGGCGGCTGCCACCTTCCTTTTTGGCAGCCAGCATGCCTGCAGTCTTTACCAGGTGCACACATCTCATTTATTACACTTCCCCTTCCTGGTAGATGATTTGTCTCCCACGGTGGGAAGCCCATGACAGAGCAGCGGTAAGCGGGTGAGCGTGGCACGCCCAATTCTTCCTGACAACAGCACGCGTTGGCCGTGGGGGGCTGCAAGGGTGTGTGTGTAGGTACACGACCGCCAACACTACCACACGGCTGTAAATACCAAAATCGTCTGCGACATTCTAGTTCGAACACGTCACCAAAGCCCCCATTACAATGGCCAACTTTGCGTCCAGATCCTAAACTGACAGGCCTGTATTTGGTGTTTTTTTCCCTCGACGCCAGTTTCAGGATCTACGTGGCACCTATTTACCCTACCTGGCGTACGCACAATTTTATGACGAGTACAGACCCTTACACCCACCACACCCCCACCTTAATTATAAGGAATTAATTCAATCAAATGGGCACATCTCCCCTAAAAGCCCCGTTAGTAGAGGGACCACTGCATTTGATGGTTAATTGTGCGTGAAGTGTGATGCGTCGATCGGTGATCCATTGATCGGTCATGCGTCGATCTTGTCCTCGTTTCAACCATGATAACTTCTGTGCTCGTCAATGGAGGCCCCGGTAGTGCTGCGGTTGAAACCTTGTTGCAACCGCTCGGTTGCGGGAAATTAGACCCTAAAACGTTAATAACCTACATAAGGGCGAGGTGCTGCGTGGTGCATATGCACAACTACCATAAGGGTCCACACAAAAACCATTCCAGACTAATTAAATCGTCTACTGAGATGAAAAGAATAAACACCGCTAGTGAAAATGCCACCTTCCCCTGACATGCTTTCGGGCTAATGTCGATGGTTGTACAACTCATTCAGGGTCCAAGAAAATGCCGTACCTCAATCATGTCGCACCCCTCAAGACATCGTCAAAATGGGGACTAACTAAAAAATATTCACATCCCGCAAACTCGTAATGGGTGCCTAGCATTTCGCCTCCCCTGCGCGAGAAAATAACAAATTGTTGTTGAAAACTCATCCAGGGGTTCATACCAATGTATAGTTAATGCTACTCTGTTTCCCGAACAAGTTATATGATTTCCCGTGTAGGAATACTGGCTTCAAAAACAAGGCGCGTAGCCTGGAAACGCGACATTTTCTCACTTGTTTTCATTTCATTCGCACCTTTCGGGCCCTTGCGACATCCTGTCCACGTAAATCTATTGATTCTTCAAATTCTCCCAAAACCTATTTATTTTCTTTATAACTTAAATCTCGGTTTTCTTGATTGCTTCACTTCACGTCATTTTCCCAGCTCTGTAATCCCCATACTTTGGTTGGTTTCGTTGCAAAATACTCGAGCCTTTGTCCTCTATCACCTGCAAATATTGGTCACTGCCTCAGACGCTCTCAAGATATTTTTAGTGTGAAATTTTATTCTCACAAAACACGAAAGACTAAACCCCCAAAAAACATTTTTCCTACTTCAACCAGCAACCACCTTGATATTGTATTTGCTTTTTGTACCCACGTCCAACTTCGTGTGCTGGCCGCTTTTAACTCCTACTTCGCCGATTTCCACTCCAACTCGACTTTTTTCGCCCAAATATCTGCAAACTGAACACGAGGTCTCGTCCCATCGTTATTGATAAGTTCCTCCCATCGATTCGCCGTATCCCTTCGCTGACTTTTGTTCCTCACAGTCGTTACTCACAACACAATGTCGTACTTTCAGCAGCCCTCGTACCAGCGCCGGCCTTCATACCAATCGTATAACTCATATGCTCCTTACAACGGGTCCAATGCCAATTCAAATTCAAACCTCAACTTACAGCACCCAGGGACGGTCACGCCGGGTACCCCTGGCGACTACTCCATGATCCCGTCCAACTTGATGACATCTCCTGCACCGTCTCCCCAGTTCAACCCGATTTCTAACTACCAGTCGATGACCAATCTTAATAATTATAACACTTTGGAACAGTTAAACGTATCCAGAACCGTCATCCTCAAAAATTTAAATGAATCTCTCACATTGTCTCAGTTACTCGACCACATGGACTTTGGCCCCATAGAGTACGTGAAGATGTTTTCCAAGCCTGCCCCCAAGAACTTTGAACGCACCGACCCAGAAATCAAGAATTTCAACGTGTGTTTCATCTCATTCATTAACTCCAAGGTGTCCATCAACTTCACCACAAAGTACCAGAACTTGCACAACCTACAGACTTTGCGAAATGCCTTGAACTCTAAGCATTTGAAAATTACCCTTAACGACAATAAGGTGGTGAACAATGGCTTGAAGGATTTCATCAAACTCAAAACATTGAACTTTATTGTGGAATACAATGCCACCCGAGCGTTGTCAGTGTTATTGAAGTATTCCCCGTCTGTACCTTTTGATGATTTGATACTGGACTTGAAGGTTTCATTCAAGAAGTTTGGTGACTTTGAGCAGTTTAAAACCGTTGATGTCGAAGGATTCGAAGATTTTGAATCAGATAGTGAAATTCCAGCCAACCTGAATGACTATAAAGTTTTGGATGTGCAGATCCATTTCCACTCCATAGACTCGGCTGTAAAATGTTATGAAAACTGCTTCAAGCTGATACAGGCCCATAAGAAAGAGCGTCAAACTGCAAGCCATTTCTTCATAGGTGCTCGGTTTACCAAAGATAGGTGTGAACCTGATCCTGCCAATGCCCAGTCAAAATCCAAAACCTTGGACTCGTCTCCGAACCTGGAGAATGAGTTGGTTATAATGCCAAATAAAGGTTTAAATTTGCAAGGTTTTGATTCCACGCCTCCTAAAGAACCAGAGGACATATACTCCGATCACTCCAACTTGAACTTAAACTCTATCTCAGATGTGGATGAAGATGACGATGATACTTCCTACTTCTTTAACTTCCCAAGGAATAATTCTCAAGGCTCCAATATGAACTTAAGCTCCATATCCTACCAGCCTCCTTCAATGGCACCTCATTCAACACCTTACTCATCTCATATTCACTCTCCTTATATTCCGTTACAACGTAAGATGTCTAATTCAGGAGTTCCATTCCAAAGCCCATTTGTTTCCACCCCACATATCAATTCACCAAACATGAATCCACCTAATATGAATGGATTTGAGTCTCATGGTTATATGTACAACCCTGACCCTTATAACGTGGGCAACAGAACCATTTATTTGGGGAATTTACACCCACTGTCGACTGTCGAGGAGATTGCAAATAACGTGAGGGCTGGTGGGTTGGTGGAGTTAATCAAATACTATCCTGAGAAGAGAAATTGTTTTATCACCTTTATTGACCCTAATATTGCCTTAAAGTTCTACTTGAATCACCAAGTATTACACCAGTTGATTATTCATGGCTATGATATTACCGTGGGATGGGCCAAGACTCATGCTAGACCTTTATCAAGAGACATTGCCTTGGCAGTAACTGCTGGTGCTTCTAGAAATGTGTATATTGGCATCAAGGTGAATAATGATAAAGATGGTGAACCTCAAGAGCTGGAAACTAAAATGAACTTGCCAAGTGAACAGCACTTACGTCATGACTTCAGTCATTTTGGTGAGATGGAACAAATCAACTTCTACCATAACAACGATTGTGTATTCTTGAACTTTTTGAATATTTCTGATGCTATCAAGCTAGTGGAATTATTTGAAATGAAGAATGAGGAGGCTATTGGGGTAATTACTAATGATCCTGGATTCTATGAGAGGTACAGCAATTTCAAAATTAGTTTCGGAAAAGATCGGTGTGGAAATCCTCCAAAGTTCAGTTTTAAGAAAAAACTTGGAAAGTCCAGACAAAAGATTTACTTTGATGATAGTGCTAGGAAACAACACAGTCCGAATCCCATCACTGATGAAGCGGCCTTGGTTTTCGGTATCATCAAAGATGATGACTCCAAAGAAAAGGAGTCCAACGATATCCTTGAACCACTGATTGAACCGAAGAAGCCAGGTGTGGTGGCTGACATTGAGGACTCGGAGCAAGTGAAAACACCTAGCAAGCTCAAGGGCAAGTTTGGTGAAGAGGTCCTGGATGCAGCAGATGACGAGGATGATGATGAAGACGAAGATGAGGACGACGACGATGAAGACGACGATATCTCTATAGTCATCGGTTCGGACAACACTTCTTCTACCACGGTAAACAACATCAAGGACAAGCACGAAAAGAAAAAGTTTTACAACAATTTGGTCAACACTTCTGACTCGTTCATTCCTTTGAAGCCCAAGAATGGTTCATATTCCAACTCTAACTCGAATTCTACTTCAAACTCCAACCATAATGGATACTCGGGTTCTAGGCATAAACACCGTCCAGCACCAGTCTCGGTTCCTCAAACACCGAATGGATTCATGGGACATTCTCACTACGGCCCCCCACCCCATCCAATGGCAGCATCTCCATACCAATCGCATCCTCACCAAATGTCTCCTCATCCTCATCAAATGTCGCCTCACCCATATCCTCATCCTGGCCAAGTCCAAGTTCATGGACATCCAGGACGTCCTCAATACGTTCAAAGATCCAACTCTAATTACAGCTACTACCAACCTCAGATGCCTTTCAGCCCCCAACAGTATCCGATGCCCCCATCTCCAATGTCAGGAGGACACTTGGTTTTCCAAGGACCACCTCCTCCAGTTCAGCAGATGTATTATGATAGCAGTCCAACCCGAAGCTCATTTAGTGGATCACAAGTGATGGCACAGTACTTGGCTAAGTCTCAATCAGATGATATGTTTTATCAGCCCCATGTGGTTTATGATGTTGATGAACGGAGAAGAACCAAAAAGTGAGATTTCTTAGCAGGCTTTACGTAAACTGGATTTACCCGTTAAATCTGAGTAATCATGAATATATCACATCCTAATTATTAAATTCTTTGTCTCTTATACACCTATAACTACTCCTAAAGTCCCTAGTGCTCCAATAACGGTTCCAAAAATCACTCCAGACCATAGCCAAATGGTTTCTGTCTTGGATATTTCGTCTTTAAGGATCTTCAATTTGAAAAGGTAGGGGAACACCATACACAAGGCAAAGCACACGGAAGAACCAAAAAATGCAACGACTTTGCCAAACGACTTCACCATCAAGCTGACTCCCAACGAAAGTACCACGTACAATACTCGGGCACTAAGCTTTTTGACTATGTCCACTATCGTCATCTTCTCTTTGTTCAATTCAAAGTAGTTTTCGTATGTGGTGATTATAGGTTTTGCCAAAAGAGGCATCTTCAGCATTGGTAGGATCCCCATTATAATCAAAAAACACGGCTTTACAAACTCTGGATAATTATCGTTACTCATGATGTTTTTTATCAACACATCTTGACATTCCATCCCAAACATAAGTAAACCAATCAACGCAATCGCGTAATCCACAATCACCGTGAAAGTAAAAGAAATGCCACAGCTCCTTTCATACTTAAAACTGTGTTTCATATCTTTATAGAGTTCGGGAAACACTGGGTGGCCTCCCCATGGGGCCATGAACATCCCTATACTGAGCAAAACATCCACTACTGACCCGTTGGTTGGGAATAGGTTAATAGGCATTGGGTTGATTAAAGATCCGGGTGAATCAGGGGTGGTGAAACCACAAATGAATATCAACACCACCATCGTAAATACACTAGCCACACCGGCCAAGCTGGACATTGACAAGTAGTTCAAGGGCACAAATGTCAAAAAGAACATCACCGTATAGATGATAACTTTGAAAGTGCTCTCACTCAATGGGAATAAAACTGCAAAAGAGGAACTGAAAAGAAGCGACAACGAAATCAACGCTCCGGTGATGTCGAACATGAAGAAGGACGTGATTGCCAACTGGGCTCCGGGACCGTAAGCATATCCGGCAATATCACCATAGGTCACCAAATGAGGTTTCTTCCTTAATATCTCTCCAAGAATACGAGCCGTATGCACCGTCACCAGATAGCACCCTACTATCATCATGGTGCCTATAACCACACCACTAAGTCGTAAGGCGTATGGTAATGACAATAAAGCGATTCCAATTAACACATTGATCGAATTGAATACAGTTTGAGGAAGAGTCGAATTACCAGTAATGATAGTATAACTGGATATAATACTCCCACGTCGACTCTTATTAGCGGGAAGCCGGATAAGTCCAGTGGTCTCATTCATAGTTCCCTCTTCCTCTAAGACGTCCTCCTCATAAATGCTGGAATTCGATAACACATCGACATTCTGGCCCGTGAAGGATTGAGAGCGTTTGAACGAGGAAAGGAAGTTATTGAGGCTATTGGTATGTGCGTTGGCCAGGATCAGGTTAGGACTTGAGCTGAGCCCATTCCTCGTGCCAGTACCAATGTAATCTGACACCGAAGAGTTTCTCGATATTCTGGAGTGAGAACTTGTCCTAGACATCGGGCTAGGTCGTTATCAGCGATTTTTTCCACTTCGCATCGATATTTTTTGACCGAAATTGAATCAGAAAATAATTCAATATTATCCCTGTCTAAGGGTCCACTAAAGTATCGAACACACAATTATGGGCGAGCTACCGTTTCAAGTTTCCTTATCCACAATAGGCTTCGGTATTTTCTCGTAATTATCATTAGAGCCTTCGTTCCCCTTTTTTTCCTGTGGGTGAGCTTCCCGGGCACGCTGTCGACCGTGGAACTTGCTAATCCAAGTCCCCAACCACGGTTCAACTATAGGCGAGGTTTTCGTCAGAATTTCAATTACGGGTCAGCTCTTGGCTACCTTTTTCAGGAAATCCCTACTGCAAAGCGAGGTGCTCCTTGTTACCGTCGTGTTCTTACTCTATCTCATACTATATTTGTCATGTGCACAGGATGTGCATTGTTGGTGAATTAATGTAAGGGTCCTATTGTGATGCCCATCACTTCCCAATTAAGGGTCGGGTTCTTTGTTTTCGTATGCTGGTAAGGACAACCCGAAAATTAGGCTGCGAAAAAGAGCTGCACTCAGGAAGTTCAAACTCATCGGTTCTTGTGGTGACCACAATACCAACTCCAGGAGCTAGAGAATACAAACACAAGAGATGATAATATTAGCTCGGATATGGCTATAATTTCATCACTGAGTTTTGCTAAATTCTAGGTTCTTGACTGAAATATTGGCCATGCATCAACTTGCATGAGTCTCTGATAAAAAATTACCAGTTTCCTAAACCGACTGATCTGATCCCATCTTGTTTTTGTGAACCCTTTATTAATTCCAATTTACAAAAAAATCTATACGCCTGGCCTGTTTCTTTTTACCTTGATCTAGAATAGGAGCTGAATCCTACGATCCTTACCCGTATCTGAAACCGAGTCCTGTGAATTTTGCTACATTTTATTTAAAGGCTTAAGTCTATGGATTGGTGAGAGTTTCAACATCACATATGACCGTCAAGTTAAAAGGGATTCAATCCATAGCCCCTGTCTTTGATGAAATCTCGGAAGCAGTCAGTGAACCCATCACCCCTATCACTTTGGACAACCCAGACTCACACATGGATTCCCCCTCTACATTAAACCCCATGAGATACACCAACTCGTTAGTGCTAGGAAGCATCAACGAGTCCAAGTCATCCCAGAGACCTGAAGCTACTGCCGGTGATGAACAGGTGTACGACTCGAGAGCTGAGTTATCCATGACGTCCGATGCTGAAACTCATGCTTTGCACCATTTTGATCATGGAATAGAAGCTTTGAAACCTGACCTGAATTCCTACCCAACTCAATACCTGGAACCCTACTACTCTATTCATGATAATACTGACCATACCAGACCTTACAACTACCATCATCAGAATTTCAGCACCTATCAGCCAAGCTTCATGGAATCCAGTCCTAACCAGTGTCTGTTTGTTGGCACCCCATCTCCAACTACTTACCACCAGTCGAATGACCACAATAGCTTTGCCCTGGAAATGAACACACAAGAGCATTTAGATGGAGAAGTTGCAGCTGATAACACCCCAAACACACCTTTTCTGTATCAACAGCATCACCCTTTTGACCTTGTGGTAGCCTCTTCTAGCCAGTTCACAAAGCAAGAATCACCAGCAGAGCCTTATTCCCACAAACAACAAAACTCAAATACCTCGACCTTGAGCTATTGTTCGAGACTGAGCAATTTCACCAGACGCTCTAGTAATACCACCAACGCAAGTAAACAGGAAGATGAGCATAAGCCGTTGATTTCTACGGTTTATTGGGATGACGAAAGTACCATCTGCTATCAGGTGGAAGTCAACGGAGTGTTGGTGTCCAGAAGAAGTGATACCAATTACGTGAATGGCACCAAACTTCTCAATGCGGCAGGCTTGAGTAGGGGAAAAAGAGACGGAATGCTTAAACTGGAGAGACAAAAGACCATTGTGAAGGTGGGCTCTATGAACTTGAAAGGTGTTTGGTTACCCTATGATAGGGCTTATGAAATTGCTAGAAACCAAGGCATAATTGACTTGTTGTATCCATTATTACGGAGAGACTTGGTTGAGTTTTTCAACCATGAAGGAGCACATCTTAGGAGAGGTGATGATTTTGAGGTACCCATCTCCACGTATATTAATTAAAGAGCTTTCTTCTCCTCGTCTGTGTTATTAAGTATGAACGCACGCTAATATTCATACTATTTATGTATTTTTCGTCAAGAAACTATACCTATATACTCAAAGCGCATACAAATAAACTTAGGTGGTCCTGGTTGATGGAACGAGATTCCCCCTCTTAAATTGCTCCAATTCAATACTTTGATAGAGGGCTTTGAAGGTTCCTTTTCCAAATCCTTGGTGGTGGTGTCTTTGAATAATTTCAAGAAATATCGTGGGTCTATCACCAAGTGGTTTAGTGAAAATCTGTAAGAGATAGGCACAAACCTTGGTTTTCGGGTTTCTTGTGGTTACATCATAATCCACTAAAATGTTCAACTTTCTCAAGGTTTCAAAGTCTTCAATAAGCCTAATGTCATCGTGTTGAAGTCTTCTACTCAATGTTTCATAGTACTTAGAAGATATTTCGTTGAACTTGACACCATTTGCTTTCATTGAAGAAACCGTGTCGATGATATTGAAGGTTCTCATAGCAATATGCTGAATACCAGGACCACCATTGAAGTCATTGAACTCTTCAATCTGTCCCTTCATTTTTCCCTCTGAGGGTTCATTGATTGGCATTTTGATTTTGCCGTTACTCGATGCAACTACAAATGAGTTCAATGAAGAGTTCTCTGTGGCAATTTCTGTGTCATCAACAGACCAAAACTTGTGAAAGCCGAACATTTTGGCATACAACTTTGCTTGTGTAATCATTTGGTTCCAAGAATAGTTCTCAACACAATGGTCAATGGTGTAGAGCATGACAGGAGTATTCCCCGTGTCTGCACACTCCTCAACTGGATCAATGTATCCAGGAAGATAGCTTCCTTGATAGTTGATATTCTCCACGAGAGTGTGGTGAATGTCGGTATCGGGAATTCCAACTGTAGCAAGCTTCATGGATCCATACTGATCAAAGAATACTTTGGGAGTCTTGATAACCACGGCTCCGGCTTTAACGGCTTTGTCGAAAATTCGGTCCACATCAACAACTTCAAAAGACATGTCCATTACTCCTTCCCCATGGTATGTCAAGTAGTTAGAGATCAAGAACGAATCCATCAAGTCGTGAATCGTGAGGGTAGAATACTGAGAAACATCAGCAGTAAGTCTTTCAAAAAGCTTCATCATTCCCCCATATTGAGATGTACTTCTAATCTGGTTTAATATTTGTTGTTTCTTGTCCTCGTTGATGACCAAGCTTTCTTCCAAAGAGTTACCAATCACTTTTTCAACCATTGCAAACATTTGGTTATTGATAGAAATAAGCTTATCTTCCAATATCTGGGCTGTCGTCTGACTCCAAGTCTCATAGGTTGCAGGAAGCATACTCGGGTTTTCATCACAGGCTTTTAATGGGGAGATAAACTCAATGATAATCTGACCATTTTTGACCACATGAGAGGAAACAACACGAGAACCTGTCTCCAACCCTCGGTAAGCAATTTCTTGGAACCCCATGGACATCAGGAACAATCTAGCGATCTGCTTGGCATTGGAAGTGGTATACTTCAAATGGTGAAATCCCAAAAACCCATCTTGGGCAGTCTTTTGATTTGTGTATCCATCCAACAAAAGCTCATTCACAGATGAGTCAAAAAGAGGATCATATCTGTTGTCAGCAGGAAAAAAGGGCAATTGCTCGAGCATATATTTGATTTCGGTGGCTCCAAAATCGGGTATAATAGCCAGAGAGTCTGACTGGTTGTTGATTTCAACTACCATGTCAGATATAACGTTCAAACGAGTGGGAACGCTTTGTGGATTTTACAAATCGAGATTTTCGCAGCCAATAAGTAAACATATTATTCTTGTAACTACACATATAGTTTCATTTCTTGTCAGCAATGACTTCATTGTCAGCCTTATTTAATACCACCTCGGTGATACCTTTTTCAGCGGTAACAGTTTTCTCGACTGGAGCTTCATTACTGCTGTATTGTAAGCTGGTGAGTTCGTCTTGATTCTCAGAGCTTTCATCATGTCTCTTCCTGATAGTTGCAAGTCGGACAACATTTTCTCGGCCCAAAGTCCATACTGGATGGAAAGGAATGGCTACAAGCCCGGCAATTGCCACCATTAAAGCGTCTAACACCATAATGTATACCTCATGGGTAATTAAGTATCCACGCCAACCTTCAGACAATTCTACCACTCTGTAAATACAACGAATGTAGATTACTACCACAGTGATGGTTATCACTAATGGCATGTAGCCAAAGAGTTTGGAGTTTCTGATGTGCTGGAATCGAGGATTGTAGAACGGGTCTAATTGGTCTTGTTTATAAGCACGGGTCGACTTGACATTGAATAGGAGTTTGAAGAAATTCTTCACCGACTTCTTCTTGAAAGAGGAATCCACCGTCACATCTCCTGAGTGTCTGAAGAAAACTCTATTCAAAAACTCAAACCAGAACCCCAAGAAAACGGTCATAGCAACGGTTTGAATAACAATCCCACAGATAATGGTATCAGTGCCGGGTTTTGTATTCTTGTGACGTTTGCTTGCAATAGACGCAGAGGCACCACCCCCAGCTTGTACCAAAAGCGACAATACATCCGTCAGAATAAAGAAGTAGGAGTACCACAACGGTTTTAAAAGAGAATATTCACGACCATGAATCACCACCATCTGAGCAAAAAGGAAGTAAATCCCAGCCATGATAAATGCTGGAGCCAACGTCAACGCCACGAACTGTAAAATAAAGAAATTGTTGTTTGAAGTATCATTAATAGCAAGAATACGTCCTAACCACCCACAGAACTCCAATCCGTAACCACAAATATATGTGACATTATACCAGTAGTACTTGGAAATGACACTCATACCAGCGACGTACAAGAACACCAAGGTGAATATAGCAAAATAGATTGAATTGGCAGGAACGCTCAAGTGATACTTATACAAGTTCATGTCCATGTCCAACTTCTTCAAGTTTAAAGTGTTATTGAAAATGGCTTGAGAGGCTTCAGCCATGACCGCTGAATTGGTGGCGGTGGCCAACACCTCCTGGGCCGAAATTACTGCCATAGAAGCCTCCGCTCCTCTATATATTTGGGAGTAAGAAACCAAGTCCAAATACCCGGTTGCTGTTGGCAAGGCTGAAATGACGGAGTTCAAGGTTGCTTCAAGCCCAGAAGTGTGGGCGGGATTCACGGAAGTCCACGCCGTGATGGACGATGCCAAAGTACTGGGCTCCCATTGTACGTACGAGAAATCACTAAGGTCCATTGAATGATGGTAAAAGTGTGATATGGTTTAGCCTCACACTGGGGCGCGGCTTAGGATTCTTGTACTCGTATTCCCCGTATAAAAATTGTGCACGTGACCTGCCCTATCCGAGAAATTTTGCAGCCTGAGCCACTCGTTCCATAGCTGCATATATTAAATTTACTTGAAAGAGAAATCATTGTAAACTTCTTCAGGCACATTCTACTGTCTGAAATTGACAGTGTTGTGTTTGCCAAATACAAAATATGGATGGAACACCACATAAACAATCCCACAGAGAGCCACCATCAATGAGTCCAACACTAAAAGATAGATCTCGTGGGTCTTCAAATATCCGTTCCAGCCTTGGCAGAGCTCTACTACTCTAAACACACATCTGATGTACACAAACACCACCGAAAGCGTCATTGCTAACGGAAGATAGTTGATCAAAGACCGGCGACGCAATGGAACAAATTGAGGATTAGGGTCATAGAATGGCTCTAACACAATGAACTTGAAGTTTCGGGCTCTCAGGGTGTTGAACAAGAATCTGAAGAAGTTGGTGATATTGGCTTTTGAGTATTTTCCGTAGGGCAACTGCTTTCTGTTTTTGAAGTAGATTCTGAAAAGTGCGTCCACGAACAAGGCAGCGAATCCAGTCATACCAGTAATCTGAATACAAACACCAGTAATCAATGCTCTCACACCCGGGTCGGTACTCTTCCCTTTGTTGGTCTCCATAGAAGCCATACCCCCTCCAATAGCCTGTACAATCAAAGACAACACATCAATACTGACAAATATATAGGAGTACCATAAAGGTCTCAACACGGAATATTTACTTCCGTAGAGCACGACGACCTTAGCAAAGGCGTAGTATATTCCTGCCATCAAGAAGGCCGGTGCAATAGTTAAGGTGACGAACTCAGCCAAATAAAGCTTGCTGCTGGTGTTGTTCTTGATCGATAAGCATCTGGCAATGTACCCAATGGTTTCAGCAGCAAAGCCAAGAACAAATGCTACGTTAAAAGTATGGTACCGAGAGCTGATGCACATGAAAGTGAAGTACAAGAAAAGTATACCAAAAACAATCACATAGATATAGTTTGCTGGTTTAATAAGGTTGTAGCCATAGACATTCTCAAAAGCTGCTAAATCTTGCAAATTCAACGTGTTGTTGAAAATCACCTGTGACTCCTGGACCTGCACCTCTGTGTTTGTGGCGGTGGCCAACACGTTTTGAGCAGAGATAACAGCTAAAGATGCTTCAGCACCCCTGGCGATTTCTGCAAAAGACCTCATGCTAAACCTGATAGTTTCAGTAGCAAGGGCTTGGCTGGCACTAGAAAGGCTGGAAATCAACCAAGGTGAATGTGTAGGATCCACCGTGGTCCATGCGGTGGTAGCTGTTGGAGTAGTAGTAAGACTCCAGTTAAATATGGTGCTCATTGATTAATGGATTATATTGGTGAAAATAGGAAGAAATCGACGAATTGGGAGCCTTTTATATTCATACCAGTGGACACTGTTGCGGTATTGCCATCTGTTATTGTGACCATGATAGGAATATTTTGGGTTTAAGGCTTGTGCATGCGGGTTTATCTACTAGTGGATTTTAGTGGGAAAAAAACTAGCGAAGGTTTGACAGGAAGCCGAATTTTTAGCGATTTATACAACAACGAGTTGGTGCATGTAATATGGCTTCCGTGGGACCTTCTTGCTACTTAAACTAAGAAACCTCTGGTATGGAAAATGGAATTTCTAGCTGCAATAGGCGGTGTGGCCACAGGAGACTCTGACCACCAGAGGGAAAAGGGCGTTACCCGCTTATGTTCAGTTTACGTAAGCGGGAACCAAATGACAGGAGTCATGGCCCCGAGTTGGAATGTACCACCCAAACGGCTGACGCGTTATTTGTGAACCCTTTTGGAAGTGTCCGAGTCCAGGTGGATAGTTAATTGAATATGATCGGCGATGAGATTGACCATGCAACAACCAGGAAACAATAGCAGATCCCTGCAATGGGACATTTTCAGCTACATTCAATTGCTTGGTCATATTTATCAATCTACAATGATACTCAAATCTATAAACACCTCTCTCCCCTTCACAAAGTCTCCAATTCGTTGTCGTTATCGTGAATCCTACTTTCACCTTTCTCTATCAGCTCCTTCACAAGTCCATTCTCGTCGTCAAACTGTGAATCACGATGCACATCGACCTCATTTCTAATATGGGCAACCTTCAAGCGGTTGGTCTTTCCAAACACAAAATATGGATGGAAGCCTGTAAACACCAAGCCACAAATAGCCACCATTGCCGCATCCAACACCATCAAGTACACCTCATGGGAAATCAAGTATCCACTCCATCCCTGGGCCAACTCCACCACTCTGTAAATACACCGCACGTATATAGCAAGGGTTCCAATGGTGATGGCCAAGGGATAGAAATTGACGAGTGGCCGGGCACGAAGGTCAGCAAATTTCGGATTGTATGAACCATCCATATGAGTAATTTTGAGTTGGTTGGCAACTCGGGTATTGAACAACAAGCGGAAGAAACTCAAAGGAGTTCGGGTTGGCAGGCCCTCAGGCTTGAAGAATATCCGTAAGAGAAAGTCGAACCACAAAATCAAAAACACTGACATTGAAAACACTTGGAACACAATTCCTGCAATCATGATGTTTGTTCCTAAGGAAGTGTCTTTGTTTTCGGACGACTCGGCCGATGCAATACCTCCTCCAATGGCCTGGATCACCAAGGAGGTGACATCAAAGCTGATGAATATGTAGGTGTACCAAAGTGGCTTGAGCAACGAATACTTCCGGCCATAGGTCGCCACCAATTGACCGAACGTAAAGTATATTCCAGCCATGATAAATGCAGGGGATATTGTCAAACTCACAAACTCAAGGAGGAAATAGTTGATTTCGGTGGCATCAACAAATGCAAGAATTCTTCCTATAAATCCAATAAATTCGAGGGTGTACCCGCAAAAAAATGACACATTAAACCACTGGTACCGAGAAACAGAAAACATTGACGTATAGTACAACCACAACAACCCAAATAATGTCAAGTATATGATATTGGCAGCCCGATTGAGACGAAAGTCAAAAAAACTATACTCCCAAAAGAGACCTTCAAGGTCGACGGAGCTGGCAAAAATCGCTTTTGTAGCTGCTGCTTTAACTGAAGATTCCGTGGCAGTAGCAATGGCATTTTCAGCTGATATAATTGCCAAAGACGCTTCTGCTCCCCGAATCACTCTTGAGAGCGATACGAGATCTCCAACATCGGTGGCGGTTTCTATCAGTTTCGCAGCTTCCAGAAGAGTGGCAAGAAGGCCGCTAGTGTAGGATGCGTCCACACTCCGAGTGGAGATAGTGGAAGGCCATGGGGTCGTAGTCCAAGATGTGAGCTGTATAGACATCTTATGCAGCACTATGAAAGGTTGTTCGTATTCGCACTGTTTGCACCTGCGAAAAAGCAGCGAAACCAGCTCGTCTTATAGGCATCCCCATGGCCGCAGCCGCTTTCGAGACAAAATGGGAGAAAATCTTAAGAAAAGTTCCATCTGATTATATTTGAGGCTCAAACGGATAGACTTTGTGTTATTCCCGACCTACGATACTCCAGGAAATTGGTGATGGTGTATATGGGCCATACCTTTGTGGTATGGCCCATACCACAAAGGTATATCCCATAGACTTTGAGTAGGGTTTTTCTAGGCCACGAGGTACAACACGTAAGTTTTCCAGGATCTCGGCGGAGATTAGCTGAATATGAGGCGATTATGTAAGCGAAGTTAAGCAATTCCAGGCTCGCAACGTTGCTCTCATACAGCTTCGGAGGTGGTATGTTTACGATATAATTTATTATGCAATATGGACGTGTAACTAGTATACAATGTTGGTTTGGAAATCAGCCGCTTCTGGCTCCTGCTCGTACTCGACTTCGATTCTAGGCCTTTTTCTGGTTTTAGAATCACCGGTGGTAGGTCTCTTTTTGGCTTCTGGCTTGGATTCTTCTTCTTCTTCTTCACTATCACTCTCACTGTCTTCACTTGAATCATCCAACCACCTTTCCAAGTCCTCCATGTCGACCAACTCATCATCTCCATCATCTTCAACGTATTCGATTTCTCCCACGTCACTTTCATCTTCTAGTTCATCCTCATCTCCACTGATCAAGTCGATTTCATCATCATCTTCATCGATGTCTTCTTGCTGATTGTCCATCTTGCTCAAAATCCGCTTCCAGATCTTGTCGTCGACATTCAAAGGCTTGTCGCCGTATGCTCCACTCTTCAATCTTTCCAACAATTCTTGTTCGATGGCCTTTTCAATTTTGGCAGCACTCAAGGCCTTTCTTTCTCTCTTTTCTTCTCTTCTCCGGACCTTATGCTTGACACCCACGTAATGTCTTTCATCTTCTCTCATGGCCATCCGCCTTTCGGTGATGGCTACTTGGGTCAATCGGGTTAATCTTTGTTTACACTTGTGTATCAAAAATTTCTGCCAGTACTGTAATCTTCCATCGATTTGCTCCAATGCTTTGCTGTAGTTCTTGGACAACTTGATACGTTCCCACATCTTTGAAGGCAAATGGGCTCTTTCGGCTGTCTTCATATATAGATATAATCTTCCTTCGATATTCTTAACGGTAGCGTACCTGGCATTAGCCAACGGACATGATTGTCGGGAACATAAACCGGTTACGTTGTACTCATTACGACAGAAATTCTGGTTCTTGTCGGTTTTGATCTTGAATGCACAGAATTGGTGGTTTATCACCTGCCAAATAACTTCGTCAGACATGTGTGTAAAGATGTGGTCTTTCAAATTAAATTTTTTTTTATTGAGATGAGAAGAGCCATGAAGCGACTGAGCCGCATGCAGGCTCGATTTCTGCTAATTACTTTTAGTGTGGATGCGATTGGGCTATTTTGCCTTTTTGAAGCTCTCTTTCAAGTTGGGGGCTATAGAAGTGGTAGGTTCGTGTTGGGATGCATAGAGCTTAGTACCTGATTTTTTCAAACATTTTATTCGATTTTCTAGAGATAAATATGTTCTGTTGATTTTTGCAACTTTCACGAATTTGACATAGCCATGGAAAGAAGATAGGATGGATTCTTCGATAATAGTCCTAATGAATCTCACCAACCAAAGTTACTACTATATAAGTTTTATTTTGGGACACTCAGGATTTGTTATCTATTCCCACTAATTCGTGTCTTACGTTTATTCTAGTCTATTAATTTGCCCGGAATCGTACCGGTTTATTAGGCACTGGAGGCTTGATCTTAGCAACCCTAGGCCCTATTATGGGAATGCTACTATTTATCTGGTTGGCGAATCTGGAGAACGAAATCAACAAAACAATCACCTGGTAGGGGTCTTTTCTGTCGAATAAGTCGACTGTTTGAAAGATCTCGTCGTGGGGAACTCCAATCATTTCACAAGTCTTTAGGAAAAACGAAATGTTTTCCATTTGCACAAACGGCATCTTGCTGTTCTTAACTTTCTTGCACGGATTCCCTGGAATCTGTAGCAAATTGCCCAACTGACACAATAATATCCCGTCTTTGAGTATACTAATCAAGTCAAGGTTCAACGACTTATACTGGTCAATATCCGATTGGGGAATAGCCAACAAACTGAACAACCACAGTTTCACCTCGGCTTCACTTCTGTGATACTTGCTCATCCGGGAATCGGTCAAGTCCAGATCAAATGTACTGTACACGGTCTTGTTAGAATTGAACATGATCCTTCTCCAAAGCTACCAAAAATTTACAAATGCGCATCAGTTTTTATTTTAGAACAAGTTGGGACAATAACTAAATTAGTTATGCAAAGTCTTTTCGTAAGAGTGCAATCCATGGACACCACCTTCCAATTGAGCAGAAGCAGTTCTGAATTCGAATCTAACTTCCCCTTCGTAAACTTTTTCTCTTAACTCACCAATGGATTGAATACCAATGTCTTGTAAAGAGTGTTGTAATCCATTGTACAAGTAAGGAATGAACTTGGAAATAGATCCCTTATCAACCACAGAACCAGAGACACCTTGAGCAACCAAAACCTTGTCGGCTTCGGAGAAGTAACGAGAAGTCGAAGCATTGGCATTGGAAGAAGTTTGTTGCATAGCAGCAATAGATCCCATACCTCTGTAAGACTTCAATCTCTTTCCATCCCTGTAGAAGTATTCCCCAGGAGTTTCGGAGGTACCAGCTAACAAACCTCCCATCATAACACATGAAGCACCCAAAGCCAAAGCCTTGGAAATGTGACCAATGTTTCCAATACCACCATCAGCAATAGTTGGAATACCAAATTTGTTGGCGAATTCACTGACAGCATAAACAGCAGTACCTTGAGGTCTACCACAAGCCATAACTTCTTGGGTGATACAAATAGAACCAGAACCCATACCAATCTTCAAGGCATCGGCACCAGCTTCAATCAACAAAGCGGCTTGTTCTCTGGTAACAACATTACCAGCAACAACTTGTAATTCAGGGTAAGTTTCCTTGATGTACTTCAACATCTCAATTTGGAAAAGAGAAGAACCGTTGGAAGAGTCAATAACGACAACATCGACACCAGCATCAACCAACTTGGCCAATCTTTCTCTGTCGGCTTGAAGAGTACCAATAGAAGCACCACACAACAATTGCTTGGAGTGGTAAGATTTAGAAGCCAATGGGTAAGACTGGTTTTTTTGCAAATCGGTCAAAGAGATCAAAGATACAAAGTTACCTTCTTCATCAACAATTGGCAACTTACCCTTCTTAGACTTTCTCAACAAAGCATTACCTTCGTCCAACTTAATACCCTTCTTTCCTGTGATCAAGTCAGCAGCCTTGGTCATAACTTCCTTGACAGTAGACTTGTCATCATCGTGGAATTGTACATCTCTGGAGGTAATAATACCAACCAATTTTCCACCAACTTGACCATTTTCTAGAGATTCTGTTAGTAAATTGTTTTGCTGAAAACCTTGTTTGAGTTTTTTATGGATCAGAGAATTAGTTTGTCCCCAACATCGTTTGATGTATAATCGGTAGAACGAAAGTTAATAAATTTAGGATAATCATCAGGAAATCTTTCAAGCTCAAACTCAAACGGCAACAAAGGGTTTTACATACCAGTAACTGGGAAAGTGGTGAATCCCAAAACTTCCTTCAACTTCTTGACTTCTCCAACCGTAACTTCTGGAGCAATAACCACTGGATCGTTGATGAAACCGTTTTCGTACTTCTTGACCTTCTTGACCATTTCAGCTTGATCATCAGCAGTACAGTTGTGATGAAGAATACCAATACCACCCAACAATGACATATGAATAGCCATTTGTTCTTCAGTGACGGTATCCATAGGAGCAGACAAAAGTGGGGATTTCAAGGAGATCTTCTTGGTCAATTTGGTTTCCAAGTTAACGTTGGAAGCTGGGAAGTCAATCAACCTTGGCAAAATCAAAAAATCATTGTAAGTCAAACCACCAAAATTGGCAGAGTCAATCAAAGATTTGATGTCCAAGCCATCTTTTGATTTGTAATCCTTCAAATATTCAGTAGCTTTGCTTGCGTCCAACACGGTCATTTTTTTGTTTAGGATAGTTAAAGAGGTTACGATTTCTACTTTATGATATAAAATCAGGGCAACCTTTGCCAGAAAAGAAAAAAGAGAACCTCAATTTCTGGGATGTGCCTCTGTATTTATACATCATCGCGGACTGATTGAGATGATGCGGGTTTTGTGTCACTTGAAAATTTTTCATCCTATGGTATCTACACCATGCTTATCGGCGCATACTTGCTACAGTTACCATCGGCCTCCAAAGGGTCTCCGTGGCTAAGTCTACAAGATCGGGTGGATTTTCACCCCCGTTGGCACATATAGAGTGAGTAAAATGACGTTTTAGGATAAATGCCAGCCTGTTCCGTCGGAGACTCCGAGTTTAGGGCCATATCGTCAAAACAGGCCCGAAGCTTCAGCTGTCCCACAAACAATCTGGGGGTGAACTAAGGATTGGAACATATAGATACATCCGTATAGAGTTGAAATTTTTGTATTCAGGATCGGTATGGATGTTAGTATGATATGCATCGAAATATCAGTGTAGCGGTTCTTGAGTAATTCTTCATTAGACATCAAGACCATCGGGAACATGTCCCAACGGCTAGCAAGGATCATCATATATCAGATACATACTGGTGACACAATAATAGGATAATGCAAAAAAAAGAGTGGTGAGTGGTGAAAAATTTGTGAAGTAGTTCCATTTTTCTAAACAGTTTGTGAGAAATGCTCATATATAATATCCTCATTAGAACTATTGACCAGCAACCTTTTCACCATTTCTTGAGGTGAAGTTATCCAGACCCTTTTGCTGTTTCAACTTTGACACGTACTCTTCGATTTTGTTCCAACCGTCTTTTCTAGCGGCTTCTCTAACTCTTTGTTCTTCCAAAGATTGGTGGTAAAGCATAGTACAGTGGTCGTACAAAATGACATTGTGGTCCATAAACACTTTCAAAGCACCAAACACAAGCTGATGGATACTACGATTCCAGTTGGTGGTGGCAGAGTTATGGGGGGGTAATCCGCTGTTATAATCAAGATCATGATGGGCATTACTGAATGAATCATAGTATTCATCATCAGTCATATCATTCATACCATTGATACCGTCATTGTTGATGTTCAATCCCGGGTCAATCAAGTTTCTGTTGGCATCGGTGACAGCTCCAGGATTTTCTGCAAGTTTTTGTTTCATAACTCCATTGCTGACACTAGGTTGAGTAGCATTGGTTAATTCGTAGAGGGATGCAAAGATAATAGGCAATATCACTTCTGCATTCTCGGTTATCAACGTTAAAAAGTACTCATTGGACCAGAACATCAACACTTTTTCACTGACTTGGAAATGTGATGATGAAATACACTTTGAGAGTTGAGCAAACAAGGGAATTTGAATCTTCAAAAACTCGCTGGGTTCCATTACTTCAAATATGTCTTCAATTTCATTCAAGAACATCACTTCTTTTTGAGAGTTGATCTTGGGCCAGAACCTAAGTAATGACATTATCACGTCTTCGGTGAGGAGGGGGTCTTTCTCCAAAAACTGAACAATACAGTATGCCAATTGTGGATGATACATCGACAAGCTCTTAACTTTATGTAGTGGCATCAATACCCGGATCAAAAAGATCTTATGCTCATCCTTCAAAGGTAATGCAAATCCATTGATAATGGAGCCCAAAATTTCCAATAATTCTCCAATTCCGTTGAATCTCTCAGTTTCATACACAAATTGAAGAAACACATTGTTAATGGACTTTCTGATGAAACTTCTTAAACTTAAGAATTTGCCATAAATTCTATGCAAAGTGGTTTTCAAGCAATCTCTTTCCCTTGAATCTTCACTATCAAATAATTCCAACAACTTCAAGATGAAATCATGGTCGATATAGTGTTTGGCGATTTGGTGAGCAAAATCAGGACTTTCAATGAATCGCAAAAAGAACTCATAGATAGCTTGCATGTGTGGCCAGCTTAATTCATCCACCAGTTCATCTTCATCAGGATCATATAAATCTCCCACAGGATTCGCAGGAGGAGGAATGGGTCTAAACAAATTGGTTTTATACATGTTTATGACATGCTTATACATTTCCTCGGTGTAAGTAAACCTGTTTGACAGGATGAATTGAATTAACTCCTGTAAGGTAGCTCTTTTGATTTCCTTGCCTCTAATATCGTAGGTTGGATCACTAAAGTCAAATAATACGTTACACTGGTCAATTTTTCGAATGAACAATGGAATTTGTTCCTCAGGGAGTACTTCATTGAAGCTAGGCAATTTGACGATTTCTTCATGGTCGGTTGGTTCGAATCTGGAAGATGAGTGTCTCTTAGGAGCCATGATCAAGTCAATGTCAAACGACTCTCTATTGGGGGAAAGTATGTTTGGATTCAAGTTGTAACCATGATGACCATGGGCTTGTTGAGAATGGCTAGCAATGTGAACACCGGTTTTGAAAGAATCCAACGGAGAACCGTCTTCCTCCAAGTCATCAGAGTGGACGGGTCTGTTGTTGATTTCATCAAAATGAGGCTCCATTTCCACGTCATTACTGATAACAATACTTGGTGAGTTTGTGTTTGAAGTAGGAGGAGACTGGTTCAAAGTTGGGGTCGAAACCTGTTTGGGCAGTAGCATGGATGGCGAGTCAGGGTTGGACTGATTGAAAGTCGAGCTCGACGAAGCACTGTTATTGGATTTGATGGACGAATTGCTATTGGTCCTGGAAGGACTTGGAGAATTGGAGTGGTTGGGTGACGACAAGGAACCATTTGCTGGTTTAGATGAAGGAGCTTGGGAGGTTGATTTTTTCAAGTCCTTAGGGTCTTTTTCCTTCTTCTCCTTTTTATTGGAGGATTTCGAGCCTCTGGAAAGTCTGTTCTTGAAGCCTTTCATCATTTTCAGTAGGGAGAGGCAATAAATTTGATATCGACAAAGAGGACTAGAGCCAATAAACGCGGTCTAGACTAGCGACAGTTGAAAGGACAAACTCGGTAAAGGGATTGTTTGGATGGCTTGAAACCTGATTCAAGTTTTGCAGATGGATTATCAACTGATTGAAGGTGAAACAAGAAAAAAAGGTCGACAGACAAACTGGTGCAGCCGAAGAAATCAATTGAATTGAGATTGGAGGGCAGTACCGGGCACTTTGAAAGGATGGGTTTCGTGTGTACTTCGAAAGAATAGGAAGCCACGGGGATAAATTGAAAGAAGTGATGGGTTGGTTCCTTGGTAGGTTAGTGTTGTTGAAAATGGAAATGATTGAGGTTTTTGAGTGATTGATAAAGGCACGCCAGAAACATTCACTGTTTTGGGGACTGGGGCGCACGACGTGTAAGGCATCTGCATCAGACTGCCTTTAGGGTGCACTACCGCCTTAACCCCGTCAGGGCCTTAGAGGCTACTCTTAGAGGCTTTTGCATGCAAAGTGGTAAACTGTCTATAGAAAATTATATGTACCTAAACTATTATCTATCGATTATACCATGACTTCTTCTTCACTCACGTGTAAAAGGTGCAGTTTCTGGTCGTTTAATACGTAACTCAAGTAGCAGTTCCACACAATGCTAATCAAGTTTACCGACAATAATCGTAGTTGGACAGGTACCAAATAAAAGTTGAGAGTCTGAAAAGCAGGCCACACCAACCAGTTGGTCTTTAATGTGGGCAACCAGTGCTCACGTAGCTTGGCAGAAATGTCATTGACAGGATCGGGCGACCTCTCCAAAACCGTCATTGCTGAATAATACATGGGGATGGCTATTAATGGAGCAAAGCCAAGTTGATCCACCCCCACCCGAAGGAGGGTGTTGACGCGGTTGTGGGTTTTGTCCGACCACAGAAGTGATTTGGGCACCGTCAACCGGTTCAATAGCTTGTACCATTTGTCACCTAGTGGTGCAAATAATATTCCTCCGTAGGCGATGGCACGAAGAGTTCTGGGATAGTCGTATTTTTTATTGTTTTGGGAGAAAAGTCGCTGGGCAAGAAAGTCTCCCGAGCCAAAGAGGATCCCGGTGGTGACCATGTTGGTGACCAATGGTCTCTTGAGTAGGAGCTGGTTGTATTTGGTGTAGTAGCTCATTGATAGAATCGCATCGACAGGCGCGCAATCAACTTCATCTCCCACCGTGCATCTACCAGGTCCTCTTTACCAGGTCTCGTCTACCAGCCCTTCCTGTATTTATAATGGTTGCATACCATGGATCCAACTGGACCCTTTCTATTAATCTATCAATGCTATCTGCCCTATGAAAAATTCGTTGCACTATCATCCAATTCCTGGATCTCCTCCAAGATCTTGCTTTTAAAATGGGTCTTCAGATTATGCACCAGACTCAAGAAACAGTTCCACCCTATGGAGCAGAAATTGGCTGCCACCGTCCTTAAATGTACCGGCACAAACGTGAGGTTGACCACCTGAAAAGCAGGCCACACCGTCCAGCAGGTGGTCAAAACGTTCCACCAATTACGCTGGAGCTTCTCATATGCCACCTCAAGCGGATGCTCCTGTAACGTCAACACCGTCAACACCACATTGTACATGGGGATCCATACGAGTCCCGGTACAAAGAGTTGATCCACCACAAGCCGATAAGAGATATCGAAAAAGTTGATTTTGCGGCTTGACCAGGTGCTTCTGGAGGCGGCAGGGACAAACGGATTCACCATGCGAGGCAACGTCTTAATGTACCAGAAGACTGACGCTGGGCCAAAGAAAAACGTTCCGTAGCACCAACACCTCAATGTGCGGTGGTAATCGTAGGCGGGTACGGTTCCATCTTCATTTTGGTGAGGGAAAAAGTGCTGGGCCAATCCGTCACCAAATCCAAAGAGGATCCCGGTTGTTGCCATGTTGGTACGATACGGGTATCGCTTCAAAAGGTTATTATATTTGTGGAACATGCTACGGAGGTGCTTACTTATGAGATAGACTGCGAAAATTTTTAGTACCACAGGACGAAGGGAGAGGTGAGAATGGCATCCGGTCACGTGAGTGCCGACACCGATGAGGGATGAAGTGACACTGATGGGGGGCATGGTTGGCCTACTTCCATGCAGTCCTTAGAGGTGGATCGGTAAGGGTTCCCGTTTCAGACCGGTTGCTAGTTCCAGTTGTCGAGATAGGGCAATTTCAAAATGGCTGGCTGGCTGAGAAGGATGGATAAAAACATGTAAAACCCCGGGCCCGATTAGGAATTTAATCAGATTATTAGGTGCATCCCGCACCACTTTCAGGTGAGAACCTGTAAAGTCTCGGGAAAATAGGAGTCGACCCATATAATCAATAATTAATATCGTGTAGATATACATATAAATTTACCAATTATTTATTCAATAATACATTAATCAAATCAATTAGTCTTACCATCAGTCCCCCACCCAAAACCTTAAAATGAGGGTGGCTTTTTAAGTACGATTGCTGGTAGCACTAAAGCGCCCCAAGCCCGTATCGTCCAAACTCGCAGCAAATGGGAGGGCTAACCTGTAAAACTTCTGCGCGCGCCTAATCTGCTAACCTCCCTCGAGGCACCTTCCACCTCCTTGAAATTTCATAATTTCCATTTTCCCATCCCACCTTTTTCTAAGTTCCTCTATAAACCACCAGACAAATCGTCGATTGATCATTGTACAATGCACAGAACTTACTCTTTAAGATCCCAAAGGGCTCCAACCGCTGCTCAATTGCAAAGCCCTCCACCTCCACCTTCGTCTACCAAGTCCAAGTTTTTTGGTAAGGGCTCTATCTCCCACAGTTTCAGAAAGAGTGCTGCTGGTGCTTTGGGCCCCGAATTGGCTAGAAAGTTGGCTCAATTGATCAAGATGGAAAAGAACTTGATGAGATCCATTGAAATCACCGCCAGCGAAAGAAAGGAAGTTGCTAAGCAATTGTCCTTGTGGGGTGAGGCCAACGACGACGATATCAGTGATATTACCGACAAATTGGGAGTTTTGATTTTTGAAATCGGGGAATTGGAAGACCAATTCATCGACAGATACGATCAATACAGAATCACCTTGAAGTCGGTCAGAGATATCGAAGGGTCAGTTCAACCATCTAGAGAAAGAAAGCAAAAAATCACCGACCAAATCGCCTACTTGAAGTACAAGGACCCTCAAAGTCCAAAGATCAATGTGTTGGAACAAGAATTGGTCAGAGCCGAAGCTGAATCTTTGGTTGCTGAAGCCCAATTATCCAACATTACCAGAGAAAAGTTGAAGACTGCTTTCAACTACCAATTCGACTCCATTAGAGAACACGCCGAAAAAATCGCTTTGATTGCTGGTTACGGTAAGGCCTTGTTGGAATTATTGGATGAAAGTCCCGTGACTCCTGGTGAAACCAGACCTGCCTACGACGGTTACGAAGCCTCCAAGCAAATCATCATTGATGCTGAAAATGCTTTAGCTTCGTGGACTTTCGACTCGGCCGTCGTCAGACCAACCTTGTCATTGGCTGCTCACGACGAAGAGTACGAAGATATCGATGAGTTGGCTGAAGACGCTGAAAACATGAAGGTTGCCGAACAAGAGTTTTCTTCTTAGAGGTTGACTTAGTATTGGTTTAACTGCTAATCTATATTATATTGTTTTATTGTCCTGAAAAATGTTTAGTTCACCTTTGAATTGTTTTATTACTTTGTGAATACACAGATAAAGTATTTTTTGATGGTCAGGGGTTATGGCATCAGATTCCTGAAACGGTAGGGATGCCTCAAGTCTGATGCTGGAGCGCTAGAAATGATTTTGTAAAATCGTGTCCGAAGTCGATTTTTGGGTCATCAGTGCCTGCAATTAGGTTGTGTAACGAACTGCGGTTAAGCGTGGGTAAGTAACAACATCACGTATCTGCACCCCTCCACTTAACATTGACAGGGCCTTGTGGTCCTTGTTCATGGGTTGGGGCCGTGGATAGAAATATGCAAGCTGTTAGCAGCCATTTCAGGTGGCACATTTGTGGTTTGTTTATTTACAATTTCACCCAGTGCGCACTACACCAACACAAAACAATATAAACTTGATTTGCTCTAAAATATTTTTCACCTCAATAGGCTAACGATAACTAGATTGGGACGCTTAAGCACACTGGCCTCTTGCATACACGTTTGTTCGTTTCTCCATCTACCCTCACTCCTCATCACCTTTTTCACATTCTTCCATCCAGCTGCCTGAAGGTTTTTCTCCAACCCGAGCTGCGAACAAAAACCATCTTGTTTTGTTTTGATTTTGATTTTGATAAAATCGATTCTTCTTGAACTACATTGATTCAGACAGGTTTCATTGATCTTATTTATTTCCCTTCCATTCGTTCCTCCATCTTGTATACTTGTTCTGCTGGGCTTCTGCTACAGATTTTCAACTCGTCAATCTTTGATTTTCCCCATTCCCATTATCCATCCTTGATCTGAACTTGCTATCGTGAATGTCAAATAACTTCCTCCACTCGTCTCCCGCGGGAAAGGACACCCCCACCACCAACACCGTTAAAGACCAGAATATCGATCCGGCACTCTATCCGGGTTCTCCAGATGGCGATCGAAGGAAAAGCAGATTATCTACTCAGATGTCTCCTGCAAACTTCACTGGATGGACCCCTTTGATCTCGAAGACTCTCAACAATGAACAGCTCTTGAACTACAACTCCACGCCATCATCGAAGTTCCTCAATAACATCTTGTTAAACTCGGCTAACCATAACTCCATTTTACCCCAGAATGATATCGACTACTCCAATGGATTGAACTTGACCCCGTTCTTGAACCACAACATCAACTTGTTGGCCTCCAACCAGTTTGCGACCATGAGCAGTGGCTCCAACGGCAACACCGCGTCCTTCACACCTTTCCATGATAAAACCTTACATTTGAGTGACTTTTTCATGGAGTCTCCCATCAAAGATTTGGGAACCATCACACCCTCCAAGTTCAAGTTGGGCTCTGACATAAAGCTTTCGCAGAACCTCTTACAGGACCCAAAGAGTGCTAGGAAACGGTCAATTAATGAATTGGATGTGGTTGCAAACAGGCCACCGCATAAATTGTCAATAACTGTAAAAGCCAACGACTTGACGGATGAGGAGCCTGATGAGGACGATAATGATAAGGAGAATGCCGACTCGAAGTTCCAGTACAAAAAGTCAAAGGTGATGCTGAACTTACAAACTCCTTCTAAAGTGGTTGTGTTGGGGGATAGAGCCAACCGTAAAGTTGCCGATAAAACCCCGTCAAGACAAAGACAAAGACCAAAGGAATTCACCACCCCGGCCAAACCCACCGGCAACTCCTCGCCTTCCACTGTTATTTTGTCTAGTGGAGCCAAAGCTGCATCAAATGAACAGTCTCGTAAGTTTGTTCCTAATAGTCCTACACCCATGGCCAACAAAGGATCTAAGTTCACCGTAAAGGTGGACGATATCCCAGATGTTCCACCCAAACCGGTTATGGGTGTGTTCTCAGATGCTAAACTGATGTCAAGTAAGACTAGAAGGTCAAACAGTCATAAGTCTGACGATAATTCCTCTTCAAAGACCTCCTCCATATCCAGATTCGGTACCAATATTCAAGTGAACAACTTGAGGTTCAAAACATCTAATAAGGCTCAGATGCAAGCGGGAATGAACAAATTCCAGATTCTGTTGGGAGATGGAGCAGGATCCAAACGAGGTAGAAAGGGCAGAAAGGCCAAAGAAAAGAAGAGCAGCAAGAAGGAAGTGACAGTGGAAACTCAAGCTCACGCCAACGGTAGGCTTACCCAAACCCAGGGCAAATCGAATTCTCACCCGCAACAGCAACAGTCTTCTCATGAAAACACCTCAGTCACCAAAGACTCAAGTTTAATGTCTGGGAGTAATAACTCCATGAACCTCAGCAATTTGAACGTATCTCAAGGGACTGAGCATACTTCGTTTGATTTTGGAGCCTTGTCTTCAACTCCCAATGGAAAGTTCTTCCTTGATAAGATGTTTGAGAAACCATCTCCACAGTCACAACAGCTTTTAAACCAAGTCCTCATGGGTCAACAGTATAACCAACAACCTTCTCAGGCCAGCGGTCAAAGCAATATGCCTCCTCCCAAGTTCAGCCATCCCGCTCCAGTTGGAGGAATCCAAACCCAAAATAGCCAAGTAATGATGATGATGAGCACTCCCAATCACCCCAGTATCTACAGTCCTCATGAAACGACTGGAGACCACCACCGCCACCACAACCACAATAACGACCACGATAACGACAATGATGAAGCCAATATTTCCCTTTCTGCTTTTGCATATAATTTCGATAGAAAGGATTCTTCTCCCAAGTTTTCTAGTCGTTAGATGATACCCTTGTTATGAACAATCAGATTTCAGTTGAACATGAATGAACAATATATTTAATAGTTTTATACCAATACACATATATAATACCGTTGCGGTCGTGTGGTTTTATTTACAGGGTTGTTTATACGTTTGGAGGAAGCAAGAGTGCTCCGATGGTCTTAGGTCTTTCTGTGCTTAATAGATCAAAAATCTGGGCTGAATGAGAAGAATCTCCTACTTCCAACTGGATACCTAAACTTGACAAGTACTTCCTGTTATCGGGGCTTAACATTCGAGACTTCTTCCCGAGTCCTACCACCAAGATCTCGGGTTTGGGGTTAATTTTTTCGAATACTTTAAGTATATCATTACTGAACTCCACCAAGAATCCGTTTATGATCTTGAAACCTTCTTTAGATAGATTGACTTCATAAGTCTCAGTTTCCACAAGTAAAGCCCCAATTATGTCACCATTCGTATCTGGTGACGAGATGAACAAGTTGTTTGAGAGGTGGAACCCATTTGGTTTAACTGATTCGATATAATTGATGGGCTTTGTGGAAAACATCAAAATATCATTTTTCTTGAACAAGTCAGCCGGATTTGCTGAAGTTTCAGATTTTCCAGATGGTGCACCAATCTGCTGATTGGGATTAGCTATCTTACCACCGCCAAAAAGATCTGTCCTTGGTATCGACCGGGAAAACCGTCTAGTAAACCCTCTGCTTATTCCTGGTTTAAACATGATGCACAAGAAACTTTCGCGCTTTGCCAGTTCCTTTATTATCTGACACACTCACTATGTCAACCCAGTCCGGAATCACCGCTTCTCCAGATCTTTTGGATGCCTTCCAATCTCTGCAACACGATGTGTTAGTTGTGAAGGTGTCGGAGGACAGCACAAAATTGGTTCAAGATGTCAATTGTCCCCAGATTACTGGTGAACTACCACAAGTGTTCCCCCAATTGAACCAGTACATCTCGAGTATCCATCCACATCCAGTATATATTTTGCTAGCGCTTGAAGACGAGGAATACGCATTCATAAGCTTCATCCCAGATATCGCCCATATCCGGGATAAGATGCTTTATGCCTCTACCAAGAACACTTTGTTGCAGGAACTCGGAGGCGGAAAGATAAAGAGGGATCACCTTTTTGCGTGGAGTGAGCTTAGTGAGTTGAGCTTTGAGCACTTTGACAGCTCCAGACCTACCCACGCTTTGAATAATGAAGATGTGTTGACAAGCGAAGAAAAATACACCAAGGAGATTAACGCGTTACAAGATCTAACGTTATCGAGTGGTCGCAAATTAGCATCAATGGATAATGCCAGTACCCAATTGTTGTTCAGAATCGATTCCGATTTAGAAAATGCTTTTGCCTCATTGGCCACCAGTGACTTAATTGTTTTCAGCGTGGTACTTTCCTCTGAGCACTTTAAGCTTATTTCCAAAAGAGCCAATATTGAGTTGGGTTCTTTGGTTAGCACTTTAGAGGCCTCTAACGATTCTTCTAATCCGGCTCCCCAGTTTGCAGTCTACAGTTACTCACCAGGGAAGTCGGTGTTGATTTACACTTGTCCTTCGGGGTCAAAGGTTAAGGACAGAATGATTTATGCTTCCAACAAGCAAGGATTGATCAACCATTTAAAGAGTTTGTTCAAGGACCATGGCTTGGAGTTGGACAAAGTGTTGGACATTGGAGATCCCGAGGAGCTAGAAATAGGCGAGTTGAAGCCATCGGAAGAAGTACCTTCAAGCACCAGCAAATCTGGCTTGAGGTTCAACAAGCCCAAAGGACCACGCCGTAGATGAGTATAGAGTCGACAAAATCATTAAATGTATATTTCAAAGTGTGTTTGTACCATGAAGGTGCAATCACCTGGAGTACTCGTTAATTTCGTTATTAATATAGTCTTGGACTAGGGTTTGTAGATTTCGTTCGTCATCACCAAATAATGAGTCCATTACTTGGTTGTCTGTTTGGGCCATGGAAGTAATTCGGCCATATATTTTTCTTGATGCAGACCTGTTGATCTTGATATAATCATCTTCGCTTCTGATGAGCTTAACTTCATTATTGGTGTTCTTTTTATAAAGGGGTCTTAAACGGTCTCGGATAAACTTCTGGATTCTGGATTTCTGATCGTATGAGAGGACTGGTGCTTTAACCAGCAGAGAGTCTTCATCTCCTGAAGTCACAGGACTAAAGTTTGATGAGGACGGGCTTCCTCCCGAGGGAGATCCTGAGTATGACGACGAATATTCCACAACTGGTTCTCTAGAAGCAGTATGAAAGCTGGAATTATGAGGTGGTGAAGACGTCTTGATCTGGTTCATGAGACTGGAGATGCGAGAGCTCCCTGGCCCAAGGGGTCTTTCGGGGTGCGTATCACCAGAAGTCTGGGGCAAAGTCTCTGGCAAAGTCCGCTTTTTCCTTCGTCTCCGAGTAGGCGTGTTATTATTCTGCATAGAATCCAACACCGCAGGTGTATTCCCATCCTTGGCCTGGTCAAATAACTCCCAGGACTTGAGTTCTTCGGGGGTGAGAGATTGCAACTGCCGTATTTCTCTGCGGGCTATCAGACCTCCGTTCACCACTGGAGGTGAGTAGTGGACCAGCTGGGAGTCGAAAAGGTCGTCTTCGGTGTCCATAAAATCATCATTGTTGGTATACGTTTCGGTATCATCAATGTCTCTATCGTCATCGTAGAAACCTGTTGGTTCAGGGATGGGCTGTCGCCTTCTTGAAGAAGTGTTGATAATATGCCGAATGACGCCATTGGCAGAAACTCTTCGTCTCGACACCGGCTGTCGTCTTCGATACAACGCCGGACTCACCACCATCTCCTGGCGACAGTCACAGATGGGACAATACCATCCACTGTCATAGTCAGAGTGGCTTAAACAGGTTTGATGAAACTTGGAGTTGCAGGCCTGACACGTGACCATGTTTCTGGTCAATGAGGTTCGGTAGTCGGAGCTGGAGCAGATGGAGCACACGCCGTGGCGTTGGGTGTCCAAAGGTTGTAGTTCTTCGTTTGTGGATGGAATGATCTGGTTGGCAGGGATGATGTATTCGGAAGGAATATCATTGATAGCGTCGTTTGCAAGTAGCTTATCTTGAACATGCACGGTTTCGATGATGTGGGGGCTGTTGGAAACCTTGATATCGATGTCATTAAAAAGGTTACGACAAGTAGGACACGAGTTGGAGTTGTTAGACCACTGAACAATACATGTGTCGTGGTAGTAGTGACGACAATCCCTCACGACTCCCAAGCGGGATGTGGGGATTAGAAGCTCGAGGCATATTGTACATTCTTCATGAGGATCCGGATCACTCATTTTTGGGTAGGTTGTAGTGCTGGATGATATAGGTGGTTGAGTTTATTATAAAATGCGCGACAATTTGTGATTTTTGCAGTTGTTTGAAGAGAGATGTCCCGCCATCAATATGATTTGGTGCAGTGTATGAAACAAATGGGTGCTCAAGTGGGCAAAGTATGTGGTAATTGTGAAGGCAGATGTCCGATCTGTGATTCGTACGTGAAGCCAACGGTTGAGGTGCGGATTTGCCAGGAGTGTTCCCAGGGCCATCTCAGAGATCGATGTATCCTCTGTGGACATCGATTTACGGAAGAGGATCTGGGGGTCGAAGCGTTCTATTGCTTGGAGTGTGTGAGGTTGGAGAAGCACCGAGAGGGGTGTCCTCGGATTCTCAATATGGGTAGTTCTAAGAGTTCGATGATCATGGATAAGAAGAAGGTTGGACCGGGGCTAGAGAGGTTGACAGGTTAGGGTGGAAGTTAGGCTGACATTAAGAAGGCCATTGCATGAATTATCAAATAGCCATTGCATGAACAAGTAGGCATTGCATGAATTATCATAGCCATTGTCATATCAACAGGCCATTGACATTTGTATACCATGACATGAATTAAATAAATGTATCTATATCGTTATGTAATACAGTTCGTATCGTTCGTATCGGGATCAGTCCCGTTTGGTCACCACATCTACGCTGAGGTCCACCACGCCCTTTATACCCTCCTTCCATCGACTGTTGAGATAGTCATTGACAGGCTTAAAGTCGGCCTGCCTCTTTTTCCTGACAGAGTTGACCTCGTGTTCCTGGCGCCGCTTCTTTTCCAACACCGACTCGAGCTGGTGGTGGAGCCGGCTTACTTCCTCGGCGTGCTGGGCATTGACCTGAGCCATCTGACCCGCGTTCTGAAGCACCAGGTTCAAATTATCGGTTTCATTCAACGCATAGTAGAGACTCTCGTAGTACCGGGCATTTCCATTATCGTACTCCACGTCGTACCGCACCACGTCGATGCCGTCGGAGAAAATATGGTCTGGTTCTTCCTGATCGTGCTCCTGTTCGTATCTCTCAATCTCTTTCAATGCCACCGATGAGGGACTAGCGGTTTCGGGGAAAGGCACCACCATGTCGACCAACGGGTGGTGGTGGGTGGGGTGGAGCAGCGACAGGCCACGCAGTCGAAGCGATTCTTGATGGGCTAATTCCTGGAATATGAGGGATTCGACATTTTGCTGTTCTTCACCGGTGATGGCCACATCGATATCTAAAAAGGGTTAGTAAATGAAAAGAGTGATTATGAACAGACAACAAGAACACATACATGGTAGGTGGTCCAACAGCTGGTGGGTTATCATCGGCTGGGGATATAGAAAAAAATTATAGAACCGGGAAATATGGAGATGTGACTCCTGGGGAATATCGCCCTGTGCGCAGATGACAAGAAAAATCGGCAGATCTCTAACTTACGAGAAATGAAAAAACAAACGAGGATGAGAAATCTCCGACAGCTAAAATATTATATTAGATAGCTAACTGGTAAATATACATTTAACAACGATTACTTGTTCAAGACTTCGGCGTCGTATCTTTGCTTGAACCAGGCAATGCTATCTTCCTTGTTGGTTTGGTGGTGGTTACCAATGGTGGATCTAGCTCTCTTTCTTCTGGTGATTCTTGCACCAGCTCTGCCCAACACAACGTAAAAGTCCATACCGTAGATACCGATACCTGGGTCATACTTGATACCCAAGTCGATGTGTTCATCAACACCGAAACCAAAGTTACCGGTGGCAGAAAAGTTTCTTTCTCTCAATTGGTATTCCTTGACCTTCAAACCTCTTTCCAAGATTTCTTCGGCCTTTGGGCCTCTGATGGTGACATGGACAGAGATCTTTTCGTTTCTTCTGATACCAAAGGTTCTGACGGTATATCTGGCCTTGGATTGAACTGGGGTTTGACCGGACAATTGTTCCAACACCTTGGAGGCTCTGGTCAATCTGTCACCGGATTCACCGACACAGATGTTCAACACTAACTTTTCGATGCGCATGTCACGCATTGGGTTTTGGGTTTTAGCAGACTATGGTTGTTAGTATTGAGGTGGTGCAGATGTATACTAGTGTATACGGGAGGGGCAGAGAAGACTGTTGTTGTGCCTGTTGGTGAGATGCTGTGTGCTTATGATGTGTGCTTATGATGTGCGCTTATGATGTGTGCTTATGATGTGTGCTGTGTGCTTGTGCTGTGTGCTTATGCTGTGTGCTTATGCTGGGTTGAGGATATCTCATATGAATCCTTAGGCTGCACATTGAAAAGGAAGGCAAGATCACGACTCGACTAGACCACAAGGCCATGACCTAACCGTCTTCTGCTCTGACTCCAACACTGACTATCGTTCTTACATACCATCTTGATATTATATTCTGTTAATGAAAAATTTTAAAAGATTTTTCAGTGCTAAAGCGAGCGCTACACTCACCTGCACAGGGCCCAAAAAACCACCCGCGTGTATTCACCAGATGCCCTGGGGGTGAGGCGTGACAGGTGTCGCGACACTAGGTCTCCAGCCCTACAGGTCGTCCCTCATACTTTAACATTAGCATTAGATAGATAGGTGTATATAAAAACTAGGCAGCCACGTTATTGAAAGATTGTTCCTTTTCTTTGACTTCCCAGAACAACTCTCCCACGTCGAAGTTGCCGTGGTATTTCCATCCGTTGATGTCGATATGGTATAAGTTAACCGATCCTCCAGAATAAGCATCTCTATGAGCAGCAGCTAAAATCGATCTCTTACCCAAATATAATGCTTCTTCCTCAGGCATGTCCCATTTATACTCAGAATCCAACACTCCGTACGCAAAGGTCTGTCCAGACCCCACACAGAACATGTCTCCTTTCAATCTGGTTCCATCCGAATCAACATAAAAGAGCGCAGGACCTTCCTTTTGGGTGTATCCACAAATCATGGTCCCCATAGACAACCCCATTCCCTTGTAGTTGTACACCAAGTTTCCCAAAAGCTTGGAAGCAGCAGCCACGGAGATTCTTTCCTTTTCTCTTAACTCATGCAATCTACATTGAGTACCCAACCAGGTCTCCCAGTATTGACAATCAGCAGCACCGCCAGCCATGGTCCCCAACAAAAATGGGTTGATTCTGATGACTTTGTGGACAGTTTGGGACGCAGTGAAGTTTCCTTGTGAAGCTCTCGAGTCAACGGCAATGACAATTCCTCCCTTGTATCTGAACGCCAACGTGGTGGTACCATGGGCGAGTTTAATTTTACAGTCGGGGTTGGCCGCATCGTCGGTGTGGGCTCTCAAGAACGCCGTGGGCTGTGAGATGGGCGGCAATTGCATCGTAGGGGCAAGCTCGAGCGTGGCAGGACCTGACCCGTAGGTGCCATTGATTTCTTCCAACACGCCATTACGGTTGGCATTGGTGAATTGGGTGGCAATCGAGTTCATGAGCGGTGTAGTCGATCTTGATGATATACGTTGAAGATGTGAGGGTTCAACGATACAGTGGCAGTCGACGCGTGTGTATTAACGTGGATACAACTGAGTGAACTGTTCTGACTATAAACTTGCCACTCAAAGATAAAGTGCGAGTGCGAGCGCGAGGGAGATCGAGGCCGTGCGTGCTCCTACCACCTTCCTGTGGTTGCAAAAAAAAGTGTACATTATAATTTACATTATTATAGGCGGGGAGACTTCGAAGGCAGTCCGTTAGCACCGGCTTCATCTTCAAGTCCACGCTTAGGCCTGGTAGCCTTTTCTGGGGATTTGTCATCCTTTTCACCCGGCTTTGCACCATATCCAGGCCGGGTGGGTTTGTTGGACATAAACTGTGGTGGCTTGGATAATCCCCCTGGTTTGGTATACGTTTGGGGACGAGACAAAACAGGGCTGGTTCCAGATAACGGTCTGGTCAACGGTTCTGGCAGTTTTCCATTGAGAGAAAATACCGGTGGTTTTCCCAACGAAGCAGCCACTACAGGCTTATCTTTATCATCGTCTGCTTCAACCGACGTTTCTTTATTGGCTAGCCGGTCGGCTTCTTTGTAGATTTCGCTGGTGGATGCAACTGCAAGCTCAGCAGCAGCAGGCTTGGGGCTGGAAAGCTGAGATGGTCCTGGAGTGGCACCCCTGCTGTTGGACCGAGATGACAAGAGTCCTTGCTTTTCCTTGATAGATTTGGTCAAGGCAATATCCAAGATTTTACTCACTTGCTGAGGAGCTCTCTCCACCAAGAAACTCAAGGCGTTGTTTCCCACCCCTGCCTTGGACCCAATGACATTCACCTGTGCGATCGTAGTTGCCAATGCCTTGGTTATGATTTCGGTGGTGGTGGCGGTGTTGTACGATAGTTTCCGAGCCTTATAAAGGGTGAAAAGCTCCTTCTGTAAGTAGGTGAGTGACTTTTTTGTGTCTTGGTTCATCAGGGTGGATGTCGAAGTTTTCGCAGCCGTCGCATTTGCAGCTAGTTCTGGAGACGTGGGAGAAGAAGCACCAACAGCGGGAGGAGACTGCGAATACTGCGATCGGTTGGCTGCCAACTGGGCCTTGATGGTGGGAGAACCCCCTAAATCAGGGGATTTGGATTCTCCCGCTTGTGGTTTGAAGTACATCGGGGTCTTGGAACTGGCACCATCACGTCTGATTTCACTGGCAATCTCGGCAATGGTTTTGGGTTTCTGTCCGCTCTGGTTGTTCTTGTGATGGAGCTGGGCAATGAGTTGAGATTGGGACAAGAGATGGGCATGGGAGTTTAATGGTAAGCCATACGGAGAGTTAAAGTCCCTTCCAACGATGTTCTGCGATATTGACTGCTGCATTTCCAATCTTTGTTTCTGCTTCAACTCTTCGGCACGAATGGCAGCCTCTTTGGCTCTTTGAGCAGCGATTTCTTGTTGTTTCTTTCTCACTTTCTCTTTTTCTTGCACGAAGGACTCGTCAATATTCCATCTCTCTTCTTCCTCTTCTAGCTCGTCCTGATTGGCATCTGCTTGACCGGGTGACAGTTGGAGATGATTATCAATACTTTGGCTGGACTTGAAGAGCTTGTTTAATCTGACATTATGAAGTACCACTGACTGCCATCCATCAGGACAGTATTTGTAGTAAGGGTATATTTCCTTTACCCCCTCATAAATATCATTCAAGGTCAATCCTCTTTCATCGTTCTTGAATTTCAACACATTGATGATCATCACCGGGAATGCAAGCGTTGGCTTGGTTCTATAATGCTCAGGAATCTCGTTCATCGTGTATATGTTTTTAGTGGGTTTCTTGGGGGCCAACTCTTTTCTCTTCTTGGGGACTGTGGGAACCATTCCCACTTTGCCAATTATCTTGGGAATGTGAACCGGAGGATATGGATAGTTGGTACCGACAGTGATCTTGTCAATGATGATCTCTGGCAGGGCAGCAGGCTGTTTGGGTATGGTATGGATTGGAACCAAAAGTTCGGGAACTGGGGGTCTTGGTGGCATATAAACCTTGTTGAACAGTTGGTTCATAAGGTTTCCTTGTGCCAATTTGAGAGAATAGTCTCCAGGACCCTGTGCAACCAAATGAGTGGGAAATCCGGGCATTTGGGAGCCCATATTCATATTGGCAAGCCTCATGTCGATGGCTTGGTTCTTGTTCAAGGGTGCAGTTCTACCATAAACTCTGGACGCCGGAGGCTGTATAGAAGCGGGTTTGCCCATTCTTGGGGTAGCGAGTCTGCCCATTAGTGGACTGTTTCTTTGAAGATTAGAGTACTGGCCCAGGTTAGGGGAAGAAGATCTCTCTTTCAAAGCATTCTCTTGGTGATGGGCATTGATTAAAGGTGCCAAGTTGACGATTTCTTCGTCTATAACTGACAAGCTCATGTCTTCACGGCTTAATTCAGCTTCATCCAAATTCACTCCTTGATCCATGTTGTGCTGTTTGACGAGCTGATCCAATTCGTCTTCTTCACCTTCTTGGAAGCTGGAGAGCACTCCACTATCGATTTGTGCGTCTTCGTCATCATCATCGATAATGGCCGATTCGTTGTCGGGACCAGTACCAAGAATTGTTCTGATCTGTGCATCTACAAGTCCTGGATCTTGCTCGTCGAGATCATCAATATCATCGAGGGTTTTGACTCCAAGTTCTGATAAAATAGCATTCAATTCATCGTCGGTAGCAGAAGCTAATGACTTCCTCCGAGCTTCAGACAATCTTCTCGGTATACTTCGACTCTTCTTGCTAGTGACTTTCTTTTGCTCTTCGTTATTCGTGTTCTTATTAGTTCTAACCGGAGAATTGGAGTTCGAATTGGAATATAGTGAAGTTCTTAAGCTAATGGCATCACTGGGATCAAATGGTTTGGCTGACAATGACGCGTCCTTGGAGTGGCTAGCCTCAACAGAAGGTAGCACAAACAGGAATGTTATATCACCGATTTGGATCTTGGTACCGTCGACCAAGGGGATTGTCATGCCCTTTTCGATGAATAAATCATCCACAAAGGCTCCATTTCGACCTAAAATCGATAGTTCAAACCTCTGGGTTCCAAAGTTGTAGAATATTTTAGCATGTCGTCTGGAAACAGCCTTTTTAGACGACAAGTGTACATCCACAGAGTGCTGGGATCCGTTTAAAAGCTCATCATTGGACTTTCTTCCTAGTATAACCTGCAAAGTTTGGACAAAAAAAGTATAATTATCAAAGTCCAAGCGGGCATAGGCCGAGATCTTGGACAAATCCTTGTCCTCTGCCAGACTATTATGACCCAATGCAGCTTCTGAAGTTATAGATGCGGTTGACATATGCGATGGCTCTTTCTTGATGGCGATAACTTTGTTGGAACCCAAGTCAAAGCTTATTTTAGGATTGATTTCTGAAGTTATATGTGTCTTAATGTGTTCGGAACCATTAGAAGTCTGAAGGTTACCTGCTAGAGGAACATTGGGGTTACTCAAGTCTTTATCTATCATCTCATCTCCTACTGAAGCACTCATTTTTCCAAGAATGGTGGATGTAACAAACGAGGTCTTTGAGGAGAAGGATGTTCTATTAGGGGTGAATTATCTATACGACCAAATGTTGATGAATAACAGGCAGTTCCTGGGCGTAGAAATTGAATATATCACTGAGATGGTAGTGCGATGTGTTTTTGCTTTTATTGAAAAGAATTGAAATTTTAGTGCGACTAGATGGGCTTCGCGCATTTGTGGTTAACTGCAAAAACCTGTTTGCAACCGTTAACAAATAACAATGATACACATAATATTTGCCTTGTTATGGGTAGCTGTTCAAGTCAGTGCTGCAATTCAAGCCAAGCAGTTACCGTACCACCGTTCTGTTTACGTGAATTCCACTGCCATTGCAGAAAAGCCTCTGTTTCCTAAAGTCTACGGAGTAAGCTTGGGCGGGTGGCTCGTATTAGAACCATGGATTACCCCATCACTTTTTGAGGCGGTAGAAAACAGCACCGGCACGATGCCCTTGGACGAGTACACGCTCTGCCAGCTTCTTGGGGAATCGGCCAACAGCACAATGCACGAGCACTATGATACATTCATTACCGAGACAGATATCGAGGATATCAAGAACTACGGGTTGAATCTCGTACGAATTCCCGTGGGATACTGGGCATTTAGAAAGTTTGAGGGAGACCCTTTTGTCAGTGGCCTGGAAGCGTACTTGGATCGGGCTATAGAATGGTGTGAAAAACACGGCTTGAAAGTACAAATAGATTTACACGCGATGCCTGGATCACAGAACGGATTTGATAACAGTGGGCAGAGGACCACCAATCCAATTTGGCTTGAGACCCCTGAAACAGTCGAACTCAGTACCCAGGTGTTGGATTATGTGATGCAAAAATATGGCCAGCAGTTTCGCGGTGGTCAACAGCATCGAAATCCCCAACGAGCCGTTTGCATACACCATCGGTGTGGACCGGATCAGAAGCTTCCACGACGTCTACAACTCAGCCGTGGCCCACAACGTGACGGCACAGTTGTATTTTAGTGATGGGTTTCTTCCCATCTCAGAATGGAACGACTTTATGGTAAACACCACCGGGTACCAGCCGATCATGGACCACCATATCTATGAGATCTTCACAGAAGACCAGATAAAACTCTCGATCGACCAGCATGTTGCCAACATCGTGAATATCGGCGAGCAGATGTTGGCAGAGCCTCACAACAGCGTGGTGGGCGAGTTCAGCGGAGCCTTGACCGACTGCACCAAGTACCTAAACGGAGTGGGCATGGGAGCTCGGTACGACGGCACCATTGGCGGTACCGATGCTGTTGGGAGCTGTGAGGGCCATGAGAATTATGAATTGTGGCCGCAAGAAGCCAGGGAAAACACCAAGCGGTATCTTGAAGTGCAGATGGAAACGTACGCTCTGAACAGCAGTGGATGGATCTTCTGGTGCTACAAAACGGAGTCGGCAATTGAGTGGGACTTCCGACGGGCGTCAAGCGTGGGTCTTATAGGTAATGTGAGTTTGCAGCCAAAAGTAGAGTTTGGTAATATAGACCTGGGAATCTGGATTACAGTTTCCAACGGCGGAACCAAGTCTATTGGTAAGTCCATTTGGCGTGATTGCTTCGACTTTGTGCAATCACTTAACATCTTCTGTGAGGGCTTCCTTGGGATGTTGCCGTTCCTTGTTTTAGTTGAGTAAAGCAGAAGCACATAAAAGAGGTCTTATAGCACAATTGGAAAGTACCACCGGATTTACTAGTAGAGAAATCTTTGAGGGTAGCATTCAAATATGTATCAATAACCTTTCTTTGTGCAACAGACTGTTCTTTATACTTCCACATGTTGGTGTTGTATTTGTAATGTTATATTTGTGGTAGATAGTTTTACACCAGCAATGCGACTAGATGCACGGCTATGAAGCACAGGAGAATAAATTTTCGCAGCCGAACTCAGTGCATGTTACACTTATGAAGTAAAGGTTGCATATAGTTCAGACTGTTTGATTGGTAAGGTATAGGTGCGTCACCAGATGCATATCCAGCTTGATAGTCTTTTAGATGAATCTAGTTTGGTGATCTTTTCGCAGAAGAGAGTGAATCTATCCAATGCGATCATGTTTGATAATATAATGAAAAAGCTACTAAGAAAGTAGCATAGTCTATTGAGAAACACGGTATCCCGGCAATCCACTCTATAGCAGTAGAACTTATGGGGCCATATGATTAGAGATGGAATACTCCGCACGAGTGAGTGTATCCCCGTACACATGTCAACATGGCAGATACCTTAATTTGCAGTCAGTCCAGTAAGCCTTAGTATGCTACAGGATTCACTACATGTCTATTGAGCTCTGGACATCACATATTCATACACGTATCGTAGGCAGGTGAAATACAAGAGTCGGTAAAGGGAGAACCAAACTGCTCGTTCTCTCCACCGTTTGTTTCACCGTATGGGAAGACATCGCGAAAAAAACTTAACCTTAGCACAAATGGTAAGTACCACCAACCACCATAATTAGCCATCCCGTACTAATATCTCCGTAGGGTACCAAGAGGACACGCACAGCGTTACGGGCCAAGTCGACCAGAGCCGCCACCAAGAGCGTCAACCCCAAAATCATCGAATCCATCGAGTCTAATCCGTACGATGAGAACCCGTTTTTAAAGCTACTGTCGATTACCAAAAAGGAAAAACAGCACCAGAAGACCAAGTCATTCACACAGCGGCTCGCAACCACCAGCCTGAGCGTGTCGAAGTCTGCGCTCCGAAGAAGAAAGAGAAAGGTCAAAGAGGCCTTGAAGCCTAAAATGGAAGAGCTCTTCGAGACTTTGCCAGAGGTGACGCGAGACCAGCAAACCGGCTTTGTCCCCAGCGACACCCCCCATGCCAACGAGCCCAACGCCCGGAAAAAAACAGGGCACCAGGTGATATTTAAGCGAGAACACGAGAACTTCAACCATATTCTCCAGAACAAGCAGTTTCGCACCTCGCCGTTTGCGACGCTTAAGCAGTCGATTCAAGAAAACTCCGGCAATTAGAGCCTGAAGAGAGTCGATACATGTCGCCAGCCGTTATATATACCTGGTATTGATACATTATGAGTTTAGGGTCCTAAAACGTATGCAGTTTAATAGTCCATCCAAATACACAACAACACGCTCTGGGAAAATCCGGTGCCGCCACGCCCTATTGTATGTTTATGTTTACTTCACTGCGGTATGCACAAATCCAGCGGCTCAATCTGAATAAAAATCATCCAACTGCCATTGACAAGCGGATTGTCAGTTGCCTTCACTAGACTACCACCCTCTGCCCGTGCCAAGCTCACGTGACACCACCGAGCCCCTCGAGCCCCCAGTGTGCCATGTCTTCGGTCTCCAGCACCGTGCAGCTGCCAGTTGCCAGTAGCGGTCTTACTGACGACCGCTGTTCCCAACTCATCGAAAATACTGTCCAAAACACCGCCAGTGAAATTCCCCACGACAGGTCGCCCCCGACTTCTCACTCGTCTCCCACCAGCTCCCACACGATGCTGGAGGCGAAAGAGGTGGTGCAAACGTCTTCTCATATGTCGCTGCCGCAGCCTCACTCTCAAAAACAACATCAACAAACCGGCGAAAAAACCTCCTTTGCTTACAACGCCCACGGCGAGTCGGTGTTCGATGACTCCCGTGTGTTCCCCAGCGTCAAGCCGGGAGAAATTGCAAAGTTTGACCAGGGGGACCCTGAACTCATCAACCACGCAACCATCACCGCTTTGATTGTACAACTCACCAGCCCCGAGGTCATCGACTACAACTTGGTGTATGACTTCTTCATCACCTACCGAATGTTTAGTGATGCGCTGACGGTAATGGGCTTGCTTATGCGGAGGTTGGTCTGGAGTTTACAATATGTCAACAAACAAGACGAAGAGTCTCATAAGATCGGGACCTTGGTGTTATTGCGAACGTTTGTGGTGTTGAGACACTGGATCTTGAACTATTTCATCGATGACTTCAACTCGGACTTGAAACTCTGTGACACCTTCATCACCAACTTGAACGAGGTGGTGTTTGAGTCGGGGTTAATTAATGAGCTGATGGTGTTCGAGCGTAAGATCATCAAGGACTTGAAAACCCACTGGCTCACGCTCCTGTCGGAGTTTTGGAACGTCCACTTGGACTTGTCATCGTTCTCGGGTGAAGAGGTATTTGACTATTACTTGCCAGCCACCAGCGATATCTCTATGAACAGTTTCTTAAAGAAGAGTAACACCGAGATTTCTCTCCACACAAACCCCAGCTACAGACGGTCGGCCATGTTGTCTTTGTACGACCAGAAGATGCACCACAAATGCCTTGTGTTTGACGATTCAAGATTTAGCAATAACGAAAACCCCCAACTCTCAGTCAATAACTTATTGGTGCTGCACAAGTCATCCCGACAGTCTATCATGAACAAATTGAACCATTTCAATATCGGCAAGTCCAAGCACGTTTCTGTCAAAGACGCTACTGTGAATTCAGCTGGTTCTGGACCTTCAAACAACAACAGCAATACCACCAGTCCATTGGGATCTTCCAATCGACACAACCGGATGAACTTGAATGATTCTTCAGTTGGCTTGCGAAAGACCACCAAGAACCGACCAACCAACCAGCAGAGCCTCAACGATGAGATGGATAAGATCTCGTTGAACCCGATTCAAATTGATAATGTTGGATTCTCCACCAATGGTAATGTCAAACTACCTTCTTCAAAAGTCTTGTCGATAGTTCCTTCGACTCCCGTGAAGAAGATGGAATACAGTATTCGTAACCCATTGGAGAAGGACGATGAAACGGCCCAAGGGTTTTCCGTCAACGATTGGGAAAGCCCTATCAATTACAAGATCATAAACAGCATGGACATCACCAGAAAGAATTCTATCAAGAAGATCCTTGAAGGGTGGAAGAAAAACAGAAATCATAGCAACAAATCCAACGATGAGATCAACAAGATGATCAATGATTCCATCACGGAGGACGTCATTGGTACTAGAATCGATGTATTAAGTGCCCGAATCATTGATGAACTAGAGTTCTTGATCAGGCACTATGTTCAGAACGATGCGTCGTATAATCCCACCATAGCCGAAGGCGATACCATCGACAATACCAATGCGCTCAACTCTCCCGATGAAGTGGACTTGCACGAGTTAGACGGGTCTCGTGACTTGGACGAAACTCACAAACCCCAGAATGGTGATGAGAGTGTCAATGATGATGTTGATATCAACGACGTGAGTGAATTGAATTTGCACAAGATCGACAACTTGTTCAGTGAACAAGGAGATGATGATACGGATGAAGACAACGAAGAGTTTCAAGACAGTGGGCTATCTGCCAACATGCTTAATGATATCCACGAGTTTTCGTTCCAAAGGCCCACCAGTATAAACTGGGCCGATGACAATGCTTTGGAATTGGATACTTCTCAAACCCCAGCTAAGGAAGAAGGTTCGGACGAAGAGCTACCCGAACCCAACTTACCTCGTGACAATAGTGGAGACTTCAACCACCTTGCCGAACCCCCGTTTCCTTTTATCGATGGCAATAACAACTTTTCTCTGGTGTCGACCATCTCGACTCCTAGCAACATTACGGACTACAATGCCGAAATCGAGGACTTGGGAATCGCCATGAGTCCAAAGTCAAAGGAACAACAGACAAAACGAATCAGCTTCAGCAAGCATTCAAGTCTCAAGAAAAGAGTATCCAGAAACTCTTCCAATTCTTTGTTCAAAAGAGACTCGGTCAAGTCGTACCTCAGCTATGACTCGGCGTATTCCTTTTCGAAGGACTCGCTTGAAGATGACCGGGACAATGGCCATTTGAGAAAGAAGGCTGGCATCAACGACTTGAGAAGAATGGCAGGGATCCCCAGTGAGCGAAGGTCTCTTGAAAATGCGCTCCGTATCCAGTCGAATGCTTCTGTACGCAAAAGCGTCAGGGCCAGCACTCTTCTTGCCTTGAGTGAACTCCCATTCAATGGCATGTATGACTCCAGAAGCTCCATTTACATGACAAACCATAAGGTGATAGCCCGTTCTTCTGGAGTTGGTGATAGCTCGATATTTTCTGTGGCCATGAAAAGCCGAAATTCGCTTTCCAACTCACTAAAGACCTTGAACGAAAGCTCTCGTCTCTCAAGAACCAGTCCATTGAACGAAGATTATGACGACTTTGCGTTTGGGTTTAGGGCCAGCAGTGACGAAGGCTTTGGAGAAAGTGAGACGTCCACCAGGTCGGTGGTGATTCCTGGTATCAGCAACAATGTGTTGAAAGAATTAGCAGCCATTCCTGACGACTCCTTCCACTTCAATCCCATTGACGTGGCATTCAACAAGTTGGAAGGAGCCAAGTCCCAGGGGAAGAATCTTCAGTCTGAAGAGGAATTGAATAACAGCGAGGTGACCCAGGTTGAGCTTAACGATACGCAAGACATTTTGAACGAAATCAACAACGCTCACACCGAAGATATCATCGAGTCATCGAGCCAGAAAGACTTCACGGCCGAAATGCCTCTTACTCCCGTGGCCCATCGGGTTATCGATGTGGGCGACTCGAGTGGAGGAACCTTGGACTCAACTCAGCTTGAGCAAGGGGCCAAGAGCGACAACGTCTTCATATTCAGTGCCAACTACACCACAGAACTCGAGATTATATCGCCTCTGGAAGAATCCAAGACCGTCTCCACTGTGGAACCACGCTTGGAAAGTCCCCGGTTGATTTTGGAGTCATATAACATGGCTGACACCTCGTTGGCGATTTCAAACGTGATGGCCGACAACACCCACATTTCGTTTGTGCTTAGTTACACATCCGAGGAGTTGAGCCAACACTTTACGATGGTCGAGCGAGACATTCTCCAGGAGATCGACTGGAAAGAGTTGGTGGAGCTCAAATGGAACAAAGAGTTGACCCCTGTCAACAGCTGGTTGGAGATTATCGTGAACGAAGAGTACTACAACTCCAACAAGGGAGTGAACTTGGTGATAGCCCGGTTCAACCTTATGGTCAACTGGATCATCTCCGAGGTTCTCTTGTCCAAACAGCAGGAAGAGCGGGTGCAAATCATCTCTCGGTTTATTCACATCGCACAGAGTTGTTTGATACTCCAAAACTACTCCACGCTCATGCAGATATTATTGGCATTGACGAGCGAGCGATTGGCTAAGCTCCGTGAGACCTGGAAGAGCTTGCCACCTGGTGATATCTTGGTGTTGAAGAACTTGGAAGAGTTGGCGTCGCCGGTTAAAAACTTTCTTAACTTGAGAGTTTCCATCAACAGGATCCAGCCGTCACGTGGATGTATTCCATTTGTGGGACTATACTTGTCGGACTTGATCTTCAACACTGAGAGACACAAGTTCATCGATAAGGGCAAGACGGTGGTGAACTTTGCTCGGTTCCGGACGTCGGTGCATATTGTAAAGAGTCTTAGTCAGTGTATTGAGTGGTCTTCCTACTATAAACTCAATGTGAATAATGAGCTCTTGCTGAAGTGCTTGTACATCCGGTCGCTTGATGAGGATGAGATGAACTATTGCTTGAAGAATGTGACAGAAGCGTGATGGATGAGTGGATGTAGACTATGTACTATAATGGAAACTAGACATTTAGGTTAGATTGGAGAGTTTGATTGTACAAACAGAAACACTAGATAAAGACGTTGCCAATGTTCACTACGTTGTTTTGAATGTTCACTAGACGTTGACAGTGTCCATTACTTTGTTTTGAATGTCCACTAGGCATTGTCATTGTTCCCTATGTTCTTTTGAAAGTTCGCCAGATATGATTTGCAGCCAGGGCGGAGATTGGAAATGTTGGGGAATGCGAGAGGCACGTAGAGATCCGGCCGCAACCTTGGGGAATATCCGAGGGTAAAGCTAGGCCATTTTACAGCAGTGCGCCTGCACTCGCACCCCCTCGGACCCCCGGCCTCGCTTTCAACAAAAACCCTTGTCTCCAGCCCCGGCTCGATGGAATATATAAACGGCAGATTCTCCCACATTTGCTTTTTATCTATTCAATGTCTAGGAGAAGAAACCCCCGTATTTTCCTCACGGCCGTGGTCGCCTCATCGCTCCTAGCCGCATCCTACAAACTTTATGACTATTATGTGTCGAGCTCCAGCAACTCAAAAAATCTTCAAGACCCCAAGAAATACACCAAAAAGTCCATTGCCTTGACATTATCACACTCGATTTTAAGTTCTCAACTCCCGCTCGATGAGATCCTTCTCAACTCGGAAAACGTGACGTTCATTTTGCCACCTAACTTGTCGGTGGACGATTTGGAAGGTAATTTTGCTGGAGGTGAGGCTGGTAGCCTGTTACCAAGGGCGTTGCTTAAAAACTACAAGTTGTTGAACTGTAGCAACTTCCAGGGGTATTTTGATATCATCAAGAATTTAAAGCCAGATATGCTTTTGGTGTGTTCGGACGATTTGGGCATTCGCAGCCTGCTTCCGCTGGACTTGAGTCGATTTGCGAAGGAGATTGTGGAAGTGGACCAGAACGCCGAGGATATAACCACCAAGTTGATGCCATTGTTCGTGTGGTAGCTCGTGCGGTTGCAAGCTCAAGGCTCCCCAACACAAAAAGAACGACAACAACGAACAGAACGAGACAAACGAAAATACACATCATGTATGTCATGACGTTATGCATTGACACATCACACGAAACGAGCCAAGTTTCTACCCACCATCTTTCCTACGGTCAGTATTAAATACGATTAGATATATATTGACAAGTGAGTACTCCAACAGTAGAATAAGCGCAGTGCACCAGACAAGATCCAGGTAGGTATTTTGGTTGGTATTTATCAGCCACAAGGTTCTGGTTGGTATTTATCAGCCACAAGGTTCTGGTTGGTATTTATCAGCCACAGGAACCTGGTAGGTATTTATTAGCCACAATATTCTGGAAGGTATTTAACTGGCACAAAATCCTCGAAGGTATTTAACTGGCACAAAATCCTCAAAGGTATTTACCACCGACACCTACCACCCGCGCGACGACAACTTCTCGTTGTCTCTCAACGACGAGATACTCACTCCGAACATCAACTCTCCCAAGTCCGTCGAGTACTCCAACACCTTCGCTGGATCATTATAGTGAGTCACCGCATTCACAATGGCCTTGGCCAACTTTTCTGGGTTCTTGGATTTGAAAATCCCCGATCCCACAAAAACCCCGTCACAGCCCAATTGCATACACAAGGCCGCGTCAGAGGGAGTTGCAACTCCACCGGCTGCAAAGTTGACAACAGGGAATTTACCACCATTAGCAATCAACTGCTTCAAAGCATCTAAAGGAATTCTGTTCTCTTTGGCAAACTGTTCGAGTTCACCATCCGTCTTCAAAGACATCACATACTCAATTTCTTCTTTGATCTGAGTGATGTGCTTGACAGCCTCTGAAATATCCCCGGTACCAGCCTCTCCCTTGGTTCTCAACATGGCTGCTCCTTCACTGACTCTTCTCAAAGCCTCTCCCAAGTTCTTGGCCCCGCACACAAATGGAACCTTGTACTTAGACTTGGGAATATGGTTTTTGGTGTCAGCAGGCGTCAAAACCTCAGATTCATCGATATAGTCAACTTCTAATGCCTCCAAAACCTGGGCTTCGACCAAGTGTCCGATTCTACACTTGGCCATCACTGGAATCGATACCTCTGCCATGATTTCTTGAATCATCTTGGGGTCAGACATTCTACATACCTGACCACTAGCACGCATATCCGCTGGGATTCTTTCCAACGCCATGACGGCACAGGCCCCGGCTCTCTCGGCGATTTTGGCCTGTTCGGCATTGACGACGTCCATAATGACGCCTCCTTTCAACATCTGGGCCAAACCGGCCTTGGCTTTAAAGTTGTCACTCATGATTTGAATACTGGAGAATAAATGTTGGAGTGAGAAAGTCGCCGTTTTATAGCTGAAAAATTTTTATGACTCAGACTACCGAGGCCGTAGGCACACTGGTGGCTGGGGTGGAGCCAATGCTGGTGGTAAAACTGTAAAATTGGCGGTGCGAAATATGGTGCGGGCTAAAATGGCGGGGGTGCGTCAGAGTCTTATCGGGTAGCCGTTTCGGTTCATGGCGGCTTTGTCTGACTCTGGCATGGCGGTAGGGATGATAGCGGGACCGGAGATCCGATACTATCTAGTTGATTGGAAGTTGAAATTGACAGTCCAGATAGCAATTTCTCAAACTCATTGAATCTACCAGGTAATTGTCAATTAGTGTACTGGAACTTAGGGCTGGGGCTTGACCACTAAATTATTTTTCGCTACAGGTTTTTAATTTTTCAAGCTTCTTTTGCTCGTTCCCTAATTATTACCCATCACCATGACAGTAACATCCCATTACAACGTTGGGGTGTTGGCGCTCCAAGGAGCGTTCATCGAACATATCCACCACTTTCAACAGTGTGTGGATGACTTCCCCCAGGCCACTTTCACGTTCTTGGAAGTCAGAACTCCAGAACAACTTGGCTCGTGCGACGCACTTGTGATCCCTGGAGGTGAAAGCACCCTGATCTCGTTGATTGCCGAGCGGACTGGCCTTCTCACGCCGCTCTTTGAGTTTGTAAAGACCGGCAAACCCATTTGGGGGACGTGTGCTGGATTGATATTCTTATCCAAACAGGTGATAAACGGCAGACAAGGGCAACAGCTCTTGGGAGGCATGGATATCGAGGTGAAAAGAAACGCTTTTGGGCGTCAGTTGGATTCATTCATCACGGACTTGGACTTTTCTAGCTTTGTGCCGGGGTGTGATAAGTTTCCCACTGTTTTTATACGGGCTCCGGTGGTGAGTCAGATATTACATGGAGATGGAGACCACAAGGAGGGGGTGATTTATTCCAAGAACGATTATGTGAACGACGCGACAGTGGAGGTACTCCATCGGTTGGATAGTGGGCTTTTGGTGGCGGTGAGACAGGGCAACAAGTTGGGGACGTCGTTCCACCCGGAGTTGTCAGACGACGTGGCATTTCACCGATGGTTTCTCGAGGAGTTTGTGGTGAGCGGTTAGTTTTATGGTACAAACGTGAATCACTGGGAACCATTGCAACCTCAAGTTTTGATACTCTCCCAACTTATAGCCTTAGGAATAAGCTTATACAGACCTATACATTCTTATACAAACATACATGTTTACAAACAGATACAACAAACACTGTCATCTGCACATTCTCACCTGTGCGCATTCTTCTCATTCTCTCTTCAACCATGCAACATGCCCGGATTTTCAACACCACCGGCCGCACCACCACAGACCCGTCCCAGCCCCCGAGTCGCGGTCACGTGCGGCCCCTGCGTTCGTCTCTCCCTCCAGACAAACTCCCCCCCACCAAACGTGTGTCTTCCGCCGGCTTTATGAGTTCCAACCAGGCAAGCCTCATAGTGGGATCTCCTTCAATTCGGTCCAGTTCATCCAGCATCCAGGCTCCTCGTAGCCTCAACCCCAAGAGCTCCGACAACACCATCGTTGTCGGCCGCCACTACGATAGAAAATTCGATTTCGAACGGTCCAGCGTATTTCGAGATGGCGCCAAAAGGTCCATCTCTCATAACGACTCAATTGACTTGCCATCCACCGTCTCTGCCAGAGACCCCACGATTCCGGTCCAGCTAACCATCTGGTTCCACGAAATGCGGACTTCCACCGAAGATTTCATGGTTGATTTGAATCTTCTCTCTGGGTTCAAAGTTGGCGATGTGCTCGAAGTGGAACCCATAGATAATAAGTCTACCGACGTGGGCACCAAGCCCCCGAAGAAGATCGTGTTGATAATTAAGGACCTGAACCTCCTCAATTCCACCTTGACACCGGTAGCTTCTGCCACCACCGCTGGGTCGGTGTCGACGCCGATTTTGAATCCGCAGCTCGTGAGCGTGTCTGCCAGCGACGACGTCCATTCGGGCGACGAGCCGTCTCCCACCACCGCCGGCGGTTCCAAGCGAGACCCGCTTCCGCTGTCACCATCCCAGGACTTGCAGCTGCAACAGCCAGCCAAAACAAAAAATGTTCTTCAGCTATCGTTGATTGCCAACCCACTTCAACGGCTGTTGGACTTACTACCACGGAGTCTCGTCCAGGTGCGTAAGATCTCCGACTTGACGTCGGTGGAGGCTGACACCATCGAGATTTCCATAAAAAACTTGAACCTTGCTCGAGACTCCATGTGGATTCTCACTAGCCAGTTGGTCAATTCTTGTGTGTACATGGGCAAAAGAGTGTCGTTTTTACATAGCCGGGTGGGGGTCATCAAGAGCATCTACAAGGATGGACACAAAGTGTTCAGCGGGTACATTGGTAAAAACACCAAGATTGTATATCGGTCCGAGAGTGCCAAATTGGTCTTTTTGATCCAGACATCAAGAGAAATGTGGCACTTTGAGGAGAGTGGGGAAATCATGTTCCACAAGTTGGTCAACAACTTGTTTCCCCGGATCTTTCGAAAATGGCGGGACAAAGACGTGCACCACTCCATAACCATTGTGTTGTTCACGAGTGTGGACTTGACCGACATTCCTTGGACCTCGTTGGGGCACGGCGAGCGGCCCAATAAGGTCAAGGAGTACTTCCGAGTGGTAGTGGATCAGGTCAATATCTTCCACTGGAACCGGATCATGGAGAATTTGCGATTGGAGTTTGCAAACTTCAAAAGAGACATTTTGTTGAACCGGATGAATGCAGAGAGTGGTGGAGGCACTAGCACCTACTCCCTTGAAGGGTTTGTCTTACCTTCGGTGAAGGGGAACATTTTGGAGGCCATCAACGTTGGCTTGAGCTTGAAGAAAGATAAGTTCACCGATACAGACTTGAAGCACAGTTTGGGAAATCTTATTTTAATTACTCCCGGAACCGGTCTATTTGACGTCGACTACAACTTGATGTTGGAAACAAGCAAAAAAATGGCCGGTATGGACAGTGCATTAGATATTGTTTGTTTAAGTCAGGCTCCTTTGCATATTGTTCCGTTGTTTCGCTTCAAGGATCTCTCCAAGAATGGGAAGCTTTCTCACTGTGTTCCCAATTGGTGTGACGTTTCGTTTTTTAGAGATGCTTCAAGTACCAATGATCAGTGGATTCCACGGTGTAAGATTTATGAGTTGCAGATGATGGGGTTGATGGAAAATGAGGTGAATGATGTTGAGATCGAGAGATTCAAACTCTTCAAGAACGAGAAGTCGTTCATCGAGTCGATGGATGACTACGATTCGGACATCTTTAAGCCCATAAAGGAGGCCACAGACCCAATAGAGATGAACTATTCATTCAGCCAATCCATAGCAGAAGACGGCTTTTCCAAGCCTTTTAAAAGCGGCACTCCCCAAGGTGTACATGATTCGTTATTGTTGATGAACAACGTCAAGATTCCAAACCTCAGACCCAAGTCTTCAGCCGCCAAGTTCAATATTGGCACCACCACCTCGACTGTCTTGGGTACGGTTTCGAAGATCACGGTGGAGGGAAGTGCCTTATCAACGTTGTACCATTTGAAGGAGACAGATGAAGTGAACTCTCCTATTTTAAAGCCCCGACTGATTTCTTCAGGTAATAATTCCATGAAGAGTTTTTCAATATCATCTCCTCCAAAATTTGACCGAATGCACCCCAAGATCATCAAAACAGATGATATTTTAAAGCCAAAGGATATCAAGTATATCCCTTCACGACGCAAAGAAAGAGAACGGTCCGAGAACTCGATTTTGAAGAGGAACACTCAAATGTCCACCAACTCTCTTGACAGTACCACCAATAAAGAACCAGAAGAACCCACCAACTATTTCTGGACAGAAGTCTCTAATCCCTCCAAAGAGCTGCACTCGGATGCCTTGTTGTTTCTTAAGCAAGGAAAGTGGAGTCAAGTGTTTCCTCCCAACATTAAACGGAATTTGGTCAAATGGAGGTCTTTTGAAGCACCTGCTGCTCTTCCGGTGTTTCAGTCGATATTCCCCACCTGGAAAGAGCTCAACACAAAGTACACCACTCAGATCTATTCCTTGGTTTTGAATTTCGAGAATCGGTTGCAATTGGATTCCATTGACGATTTAACGAGGGAGATGATCCAGTTGCGGTTGCTTGTAGGATTTCAAATTTGTGATTCCGATCAAGTGAGTAAAGTGGAAATGGAGAGAAACCCTGGTAGTTCAGCAGATGGTCTAATCAAGTACTATCAAGAAGACTTCAGTGGGACAAAAATCTATATGATGTTAGACAATGAGATCCACAGAATTCATAATGATGGGGTGTCTATTGGTGTACAATTATACCGAAAAATAGAAGATTCTGCGTATCTGTCAATTTTTAAAACAGCTGGATTCGATTTCCAAAACCATAAACCTTTGATCAGAACCAGGTATGCCGATGAGTATATCAAGTCCAGCATTAATTTTATCGAACAGAAACCAAAAATCTTCAATTGGAATAAATTAGATCAACTTCTTGCAGGGTACGATGATGCGTTACCTGAAGAAACTCAAACTTTCTTCAAGATGAAGTTTGTGGTGATGCCAGCCGACATTCCCAAGAATGCATTTTTTATTTCAAACGAGCATTTGACAGATGAAGAAATCCGTGTTGAAGGATTGAGAAAGTTGATAGCAGTTATTGAGAAGGGTAAATGTGCTTCCAAGGATGACGTGACAAAAGCCAAGGAGAGCGTTCCCGAGATCCAATTTTATACTGGCAACTTGTACGAATTTTTGAGCGAACAAGCAGAAGCCTTGGAGAATACCGGCCAAAGGCCCAGCTCATTGTTGGCATCCGAAAAACTTAACAAATCCATAAAGATCATCAACTTGGCCCATGAAATCCAAAGCCCTGGAGGCTTAAGGATCGTTGATAGAACCTGGCATTTCAACACTCACCAGAATTGTTTCATTGGGAACGAATTCGTCACTTGGTTGATAGAGAAATTTGAAGATATCGATACTAGAGAGGATGCTGTGGCATATGGGCAATCTCTCATGGAAAAGAAGTTGTTCAAGCATGTAGCTGACAGACACGGATTCTTGGATGGATACTACTTTTATGAATTGGAACCAGAATATATTGACAAGACCTACAAACCTGGCAAGACGTCTTGGTTCAGCAGAAAGAAACCCGAAAGAGAAAAGGAACACACCCCAGTATCCAAAAACAACTCCGATACTGAATCATTCAAGTCACCTAGCTTAGCCCCTGTTGAATCTCCAGATTTAAGACGAATTGCCAGTATAGGTGCACAGCTTAACAACAACGACTCTGACGTGTCGTCAAACGCCGAATCGGCTGGTTCTAAGGCCAAGACCAAGAAAAAGTTTGTGTTGAGTAAATCAGTCCAGTACAATGCCGACCTGTTGAAAAAATCATACAAGTCAGAAGTAATAACCGTACATTACGACAAGGTACACAACCCTGAGCACTGTTACCATATACGCTTGGAATGGATGAATACTTCTGCCAGCTTTATTGATGAAACGATCAGTAACTGGTCTCGATTGTGTGAACGGCATGGGTTGAAGTTTGTGGAGACTCCGTGGAAAGAGTTGTGTATGATTCCAACCTTGAATGCCTTCCACTCCTTTGTGGATTTGAAGCTTGCGGTGAACCCACTCTTTGATCCTGAGTTTACATCTCCAGAGATCCTGACCACAAACCCGTTCTACTACCATTTGTATTTGTTGAAGAAAACCGGGTTTTTGTTGGATAATCGGTCTGCTCTCTACTTCATGAAAGAAAACATTGAAATCAGTTACAGTTGGGGGAAACCGTCGTTCAAGTATGCCCAGTTCATCCATAAGACCGGCTCTTACATCGTGGAAGTCAGGGACAATGGAGACTTCTTTTTGGCCCCTAACAACATGCACATTGTTCGCATCAACGCACCCGTATCCAACATGCTTGATTTTGACTACAACTTGAACTCGTATACCATAGATTCCCAGAAGGTGATGTTGGGATTGAAGAAAACCTGTACTAGTCCGTCATCATTGAGAAAAATATTCAGAGAAGCCAAGGAGCTGTGGAGAGAAAACTATCTGAAGGATGTGCTTCCCACCGACATTTAGATGTATATAGAATTTACGAACTAATGAAACAAGTCAATTTATATTAAGTTACAAAAGTAGACCGATCATAAAAACACTAATTGGCAATTCTCTGGGCTACCTTGATCGCGTCGGCCAACACACCGTGGGCAGTAACCTCAGCACCAGCACCAGCACCCTGGATCACCAAAGGATTTGGATATCTTTCAGTTTTGATGGAAACTACGTTATCACTTCCCTTCAAAGAAGCAAATGGATGGTCAAATCCGTACTTACCGATTCCTACCTTCACCTGGTTGGTTTTGATGTCAACAGATCCGACAAATCTCAACACCTTGTTGTCAGCAAACGCATCATCCTTGAGTTTTTGGATATCGGCGTCGAAATCAGGCAACTTTTGCAAGAATTCCTCGGCACTTTGGATGGACTCCAATGGCTTGGGGATCAAAGATTCGACTGGGAAAGACGTGGGTGACTCGACCTTCAACCCAGAGATTCTGGCTAAGATGGTGACTTTTCTGGCCACGTCCAATCCGTTCAAATCGTCTCTGGGGTCTGGTTCGGTATACCCCAACGACTTGGCCACTTTAACCACATCAGAGAACTTGGTGTTGTTGGAGGCATCAGTGGTGGAAAACTCGTTGAAGATGTACGACAAGGTTCCGGAGAAAATCCCTTCAATCTTGTCGACCTTGTCACCAGTTAACACCAAATCAGTCAAAGGTCCGATGATTGGCAAACCAGCACCCACTGTGGCTTCGTGGTACACCAACCCGCCGTGTGGCTGGGCGGAGCTCGAGAAAATGTCATTCCAAGTGGTAATATCAGAGGAAAATGCCTTTTTGTTGGGAGTTGCAATTGAGATTCCACTCTTGATAAATGTAGGGTAGAAGTTGGCAATGGACTCGTTGGAGGTGTTGTCAATCAAGATGGTGGGTCTGGCGGCGGCGGACAAGTAATCGGCCAACTCAGCCAAGGGCAACACAGGGTTGGAGGTGGCAGATTTGTAGGTGGATAAATCGACGGGGGAGTAGTCTTTGGAAAAGACTGCTTCTTTGGACGATCTCGCGAGGTAGACGACCTTGAAGTCGATGGGGGACTTGAGGTTTTTCAACTGGTTGATGAAGGCCGAGCCGACGACTCCGGATCCAATGATAGCGACGTTGACAGATTTAGCCATGGTGTTGGTGAAAAGTGAAAAACTGTGTGAAGCGCGAACTGTGAACTGAGGCTGCAAAAAGTTGCACACGAAACTCTACTGAGGTCTAACACCTTACACTTAGTTGTTGTAGGACAAATTTTAATCTATTATACCCGCGTTATCTATGTCTAGCTATCAGTTCTTTAGTCTCCTTACTTCCATCAGTTCCTTATTTTCCTTAGTTTCATCAGTTCCTTGGTTCCTTTTCTTCAGTTCTTCCGTCATCTATAAAATATAAATACTAACCGCCATCACCACCGCCATCACTGAAGCAGTCACACAGCCGGCCCCGCTCTCCTTCCCAGCCGGCCCATCGTCATCGGCATCTCTGGCATCCGGATCAGTGTCAGTTCCATTCACAATATACTCACGATCATCCAAGGGCTGAGGAAATAACTCCAAATCCACCAACCGAGAAAGATCCCATTCAATGGAAGTCTCGGTCTTGAAGCACCAAAAGATCCAGCCACTAGTCTGAGACTCGTACTGATCCAACTGGATCTCAATGAACTTGCGATAGTTCTTCTTTCTGTCATCGCTCCAAGCACTAAAGTCATTGACATCATCACATTTGCCAATGGCATCGTTGGTATAGGGCGAGGTGCCTTCCCAGCGAGTACCGATGCCTACGCCATTGAGCCACGGGGCGCAGTCGGTCAATGCCGCCAGCCATTCGCCCACCACTGCCGGGTGAGAGTCTAACTCATCGTGAATACCTTCACTGTATCCCTTGATATTAGAGATATGACCGGCAACGGTGAGGTTCAAGGCCCCAGAATCAAACACCTCGTAGTGATGGTGGTCGATCATGATGTTGTAGTTTTGGGTGGTGCGGTTGGAGGTGTTGGAGGTGGCTGCAAAAGTCATGAAGTCATCGAAATAGCCGGCAGACTTGAACGCGTCGTGGAACACAATGGTATTGTTAACCTTCTGAATACGCCGAGCATCTGCGTAGGTGTTTCGGTAGAAGGTTTCAATTTTTTTCATGGAGATTTTGGGACTATACGGTTCGTTGACCACCTCAATGCCAATCACTGTGTCAGGGTACTGACTAGCGATATGGCTACCGCCGTATTTAGCGTATATCTGCTGCAACACCGCATACGTAACGTTGACGTTCTCGGTGTGGTTAAACCAACCAGGATATCCAATATCTCTGTAACCCGAGTTGTCGAACCCGTTCTGCGACCCGGGAACACCATGCAAATCGACCCATACCTTTAGGTCGTTTTTGTAGGCCCAGGAAATGGCCTTATCGAGGTACTCGGCCGCCCCGGCCACGTAGGGGTCCGAGTCGAGGCGCTGGAAGGCCCAGTAGCCGATAGGGATTCTTACCATGTTCAAGCCGTACAGTTTGATAGTCTCAAAGTCCAGTTCGTTATAAAACCCATCCCAGTGCTTACGCAACCGCTTCTTGGCTTCGGTGGGTCCAAGGGCCTTGCAATAGTGGTACTCATCCACGGGAATGTCGGCTTCGGTGCCGTTGGTGGCATTGAACGCCAAAAATAACGAAGGTGTGATATAGGGTTCGAGAACAAGCCATCCTCCAAGAGCCACTCCTTTCAATTGAAGGTTTCTGGAGGTCGTGGCCGGTTGGTACAAACTACCATTGGACGGCAAGGTCACGTTGAAGGCGCTGACAGCGGTCCAGAGCGTGAACGCTACACTCCACCAGAAAAAGTGCATTGTTTAGAATACGAGATTTGAGATTCGCGATGCCAGAATACAACAGTGCAACGACGTTTATGAAATATGTACAGAGGGGGCCGGGGGAGGACCTGTGGGGGTGGGTGTCCTGAACAGACCCGGACTCTCAGGGAGACCTCTCCTGTCACGGCCAAAAGTCATGAATATCACATTACAATTAATCCAAATCGGCTTCGGATGGCTTGTGCTCCGCGGCAGTAGCACCAGCACCAGCACCGCCTTCGCCCAAAATCGACGTCACGGCCGCCGGAGGCTTTACGGCTATCATCATGATGACGATTTCATACACGTCTTCAGGAACAGACCTCTGGTAAATACCCAAAATGTCGGTTGGGTTTGGGTACACCACCAAAGCTTTATAGAAACAAAGAGCAGCCTCGATCTTTTTGGAGGGTTGAACGGCCAACTGTTCACCCAAGGCAACTTGTTGCATGAAAAACTCTTCCTTTTGAGCCAAATCAGATGGAATTGGGCTGGCTTCCAAGTCCTGGTTTAAAGCAGTTTTGATGGCTTCCAACTTTGATTTCCGGGACTGTAACGATTCCTCAGCATCGATTTTCTTCTGCTTGACGGACTTTTTCTTCAAAGATTTTCTAAAGGCTGGATTGGTTCTTCTAGTGTAGTCAAAGTATACGGCATAACCGACCACGGCGGTGGCGACAATGGCGGTGAAAGTAAGGAATTTGGCCATGGTGGAGGTGGTGGACTGAAACCGAGAACGAAAATTTTTATTGCTTAGGTGCGACAAGGCAATGGGTTGGGCCACGACGGGGCTGCTTTCTTGTTCCCGCGCACCAAAAATCTGATGAACATTGAGAGTAATTTGATTGGGTATTTAACATCAACCATCAACCAACCATTTACACCATCAAGCATGTCTGAAGAAACAGCGGCCGAATCGCCCAAGACCTATCCAGACTCGACCTTCAAGCTCCCCCGGCCATTCGGCAACATCTTTAATGCCAGTGCCTATCCTCAGTGGGAGCCTGTTGATACTGCGGGAGAGACCAAGAAGATCTTCAAGTTTACCTTTTACACCACCGTGGGTGCGTATGCGTGGTTGTACTTCTGGAAGAGAACGGCTTTCAAGGTGGAGTTGCCGTTAACGGTGATTGGGTTCACGACGGTAGCCACTGCCACCAAGGGAATCATCACCAACTTGAGAGAAAAGAATGATGGATGGAACACCTTCTGGGCCGTGGCGGCCGGGAACTTGGCGGTGTTGACGGGCGGCTTCAAGACCATGCCGTTGAAGCACAAGTTCATGACGGGTATTTCTGGGGCTGCCATCACCGGGTTATTGAACCAGTGGTCATGGGCTCAAAGTGTCAATTCTCCTGGAAGAGAGGTGAAGCACATTTTGAACACGGGAGAAGAGGTTCCTAAGCAGCAGTTTTGGGACGTGATGAGAAGAAGACCGATTTCCCAGACGGTAGATGAGATGGGAGTTGGCCGGGGGATTCTCAAGCCATAGGAGTTGCATATATACGACTAGGATGTAAATTATTATACAGCAGTATTTACAGTAGAAGAGCAGGGGAGAGCAGTAGCACTCAAAGCATCTCAAATCTCAAGGTAGGCCCACCTCAAACAAGCTTGTACGGATAGTCCAAAGCCTTGTTCCGCTTCAACTTCCACAACTTCTTCTTCTTCTTGTTCACGACATGCTCCCCAAACACCTCATCACAATACTTCTTTTTCCAGCTCTTGATAAACGTAGGATCCCACAACTCACTGGCAATCCCCAAATCTTTACAACACCGCATCAACGCGTTACTTTTACACCCCTCCAACGCGGTGGCGACCTTCTCCTCGCCCCCAAAGTAGTCCTGTTCGCCCCGTGCCACACTAACCAACCGTCCGTGGCACACCAACGCATACTCTCTGCTAATCTGCTTGGGAGTGATGAAACTCTCCGTCCGTGGCGCCAAACCCCAGCCGCCTGGCCCAAACGCCCGGTTCAAGATCCGCCGGTACTTGATTTCTGGAAGGTACAACAACCCGTCGGGTTTTATTTCAATGTCTTCTTCATTTAGCGGTGCAAGCAACACGTCTGAGACTTCTCGTGGGAACGGCGCCACGCCCAACCCGTGGAACGAGTCCAGCCAGTTGATGGGCTGCCCAGGAGCAGGGGCGACCGGGTCGGCGACAATGGGGCCATCGTGGAACGAAATAGTGGTGGTAGTATCTGTTTGTGATTGTTCCTGGGGTGGTTGGACCTCGGCAGTAAGTTGGCTGAGAGGACGACTTTCTTTACGCGGGAGGTCCTTGAACAACGCGTAGGCAGTGGGAGATGTCGTGTGAAGCATGTGGGCCCCGTACCGGGGGCCGAGGGGGTGGATGTGTCGAATGAACCGCGTGAACATGGAGGCAACGGTGATTGTTATATCAATAAAAAAGTCGCGACTTCTACTGGAGATGTGGGTCAAGTTTCAAAATGCTAATTCTATTATACAATCGATGTAGGTTTATTCTTGGTGCTTGAGTCTCTCGATGTACTCGTAGTCATACAAGGACTTCCGCAATGGCAGGCCCATCTTGAAGTTCGAGGTAAGCTGGTGGTAGTCATAGTTGTCTTTGAGATCCAAAATCGAGTACTGGAGAGTGGGGTCCAACATAAACTTCTTTTCAATCTCATGCAACTGGGTATGCTTGTGTGTCAAGTAGTACTCAATCAAAACGCTGTCATGGGTCTCCAACAACTTGACCTTGTCGTCGACCGTCAAGCCCTTTAAAAATTCGGTCATCTGGTCAAGGTTGATATCCTTTAAACCCTTGTCGTCCAAAAGCACCTGCAACCGGTCTCGCTTAAGCCACAAACGCAAGATGGGCACGTAGAAGTAGTCTTCGAACTGGTACGACGTGGTTCCCTTGGGATATTCGTGGTTCAACATCGACATGATATCATTGGGCACATACACGGGTACTCCTCCTATCATCGAGTACCGCAATGGAGAAATCAGCTCGAACGTAAGCCAATGCTTTCTACGGTCGGAGTACAAGTTGACGCTGTCACCCTTGGCGTTCTTGTTACGAATGTAGCTGTTGAATTCCTGGGGAGGTGATTCTTCATTTTTACCCAAGCCAGTAATGTCGATATAGGTACCAGTATCAACATCGATGAACCGGGCGTCGATGTGATTATCCTTGGGTGCCATGTCCCGGTGCTGCAAAAACGTTGCGCAATCGATGAGGTACTTGCCGAAACCGTCGTTGACGTCTTCAATCACCAACGTCATGTTATAGTGTTTGGATAACCGGTTCAATTCGGCCGAAGGCATCTGAATATCAATGTCGATGTCGTATGGGAACATCAACCCGTCCCAGTACCACGAAAGAAGTGGTCCGTGGGCAATCCAACTGATGATCCCCTTTTCCTCGGCAAACCGAAACCAGTTTCGCAACAACCGGTCCAAGATGATCTGCTCACGGATCTCCAACTGGGTCTGGGTCCACCCGTCCTTAAGGTACCGCAAACCCCCGTTGAAAAACCGCCATTCGTAGTGCCAACCAGCATCTTTGTTTCCGTCAACCTTCAAGAGAGTTGCAAGCTTGTAATAGGTGGTTTCATCCTTGAGAGGCACCAGGTACGCGTGCTTCAACGACTTGTAGTGGTTCATCTCGTGCCGGTCCAACTTGATCTTCTGGATGTACGCGAGATCGTAGTGCAACTCGTTGGTCAATGCATCCTTCAAGTGGTCAAGGCGCGTCTCGTACTCGATAATTTGCTCTTCCACCTGCTCAACCTTATAATCAAACGCTTTAGGATCGAGGTACAACTCTCTCAGAGCATTGGCACTTTTCTGACGAGTAATCAGGTTCATTTTGTAAATATCATCGTCCCAGTTGAGAGGCCGGGACTTAACTTCGCGGTTGAGGTCGCGGAACTCAGTGATGGGGTTGAGAATCACCTCGTCCACCATCAGGTCACCAGTCACGTCGATATTCTTACGGGACAAAAACTCGGAGAACATCAGCAGGTGTACGATCCTTTGCTTATAAGCAACTTGGGCTTCATAGGTGCCATCCTTGGTGAGAAAAATAATTGAAAGCGGATTTTCCTGGTGCGTCAAGAGGTGCGCCTTACCCTGCATCATCACCTGTTTATGGGGCGCCTTGTTCATGGGTGAGCCCTTAACAACAAAGCCTGGGAGGTACTCCTTGGATGGGAGACCGATCTCGGCAAGCTCTTCGTCGGGTAAGTCACGAAGATTGACACAGAAATCAGGGTACTTGGTGGGCTTATTGACCTTTTCCTGGAGCCACCCGCAGTCGGCGCGCTCGTCCACTGGCTTGGCCAATTCTTCGTTAAGCATCGTGAGATCCACCCAATCGCTCCAGGCAAATGGTACCGTGATCATATTATCTTTAGCTTTTTCATTATGGGGGTTTTTGGTGAGAAGCTGATGCTTAATCTCATTGATGTACACCGAGAGCGTGAACCGCGGGTCGTAGAAGAGGGTGGGCTTGTTGCTCCAGTTGGGCGACTCGTCATTGGCGCCTGGTAAAAAGTCCTGGGGGTTGATTTGGAGGTTGGGTTCGGTGATTTCTGTTTGGGCCAACCAGAACCGCTCCTTATCCAGGTCGACGGACTTCAAGAGATACGCCACTTTCTCAAGCTGATCAAGCTCGGCGTACGGTTTGTTGGGAGAAAATTGGACCTGGTCGTCGGTGTCATAGGAGATGGTGGAGATGTGGTTCAACTCCGCCTGTTTCAACTCAGTTTCGCGAAGGTGGTACGTCCTGGTGAAATAGACGATGTTGGTGGCCAACACCATCACGAACAAGATCTTGATGGCACGGTAGTATATCATGGTGTGGGTTTCCACCAAAAAGTGATGATGTTGCGGTGATGTGTGTTTTTTTTTTTGTCGGCACAGATACCAAGTGGAAGTTGAAAAGGAGCCTAAACAAAAGGTGTATGGGAGAAAAAGCAATTTGTGGTCGCGTGCACCACTGTTCCTGCTAAGGAAGGGAGAGAAGAAGATGCGAGTAGGTCGTGCCCAATTATTATTATTTTTTTCCTCCCCGGAACTCGCAGGCAACAATAACCAACAAGAAAACACACCAATTGGCGTCTCTTCCTCATTGGTGTTCCCCCTTACCGCAAAAAGTAAGTTCTCGCCTGAGGTCAAGATATCCCGATTCCACCTTGATACGGGTCCCATGTCAAGCCGTTCTGTTGAGGACCGGTCTCAAAGCCATCTTCGGTTCGAACTTTGATAGATAAGCTTTACTATTTCATGTGCATGAAGTGTTTCAAGTGCGATTGCAAGTTGCGTGATACAAGAATCAATGGTTTTCTTATTTAGCAGTAGTTTTGCAATGGTTGCCTTCTGGTCCTGGATTATGACATACATATTCCAATACCCTTTGAGTATTCCACCTTCACTTCCATACACGTCTGGGTCTTATTCCATTTAATTTCCTAGTGCGAAATAAATATCCTACAGGTTCCCAGCCGTTGGACGGCTCTCTTTTGATTGGGTGGAAATGCCAAGGCCTATTGACGTGAAGAGAATTTGGTGGTTTAGTTTATTTTTTTACTTTTTTACGTGCATCCTTGTGTCATTGTTGTGGCTATCAGGCGACGTCTATACTCCGAAAATATGATGTCCTGATACAAGAGGTGCATGTATTTTCCCAGCGCTTTAAATTATTGGGAGGATTTCAGGAGAAAGACGGTAGATCCACTTTTGATGTACCTGAGCTGCTTGGCAAATCCTCTTTGTTATGTGAAACCCAGAAATATTGATTTGTGGTTACTATACCCTCAAGCGGATTGGTGTACAATGTTGGTAGGTGCGTAACCTTCTTATGCCATTGCCTACTTTGATCGTAAATACCTGATGTGTGTTCTAAATCCCAACCTAATCTATGTTACAAGCTAAAACGGTTGCATGCAGGTTTTCTCCCTTCGAAACGACTACCGCGAAGGGCTTTTTATTTTCATTTTTCACATCTCGCTGTGGTTAGGTACAAAAATTACCCCTATCAAGATGGGTGCGTCTGAGGAGGCTAGTATTTTTTGGCCCTGGTATCAATACCGTGTCTGTGGAGCATATACTTGTACTTGTAACCGTGTCACATGATGAAATATATTACACTATTAAAATACACATCTATGGCCCCGTCACATACGTCTTGTGGTGTTTAGGCCGGTCAATGTACTCGTAGTTGAACAAAGGCCGTCTAAACGGCTTTTGGAACTTAAAGTTCTGTCCCACGTATTTATGATACTCTTTGTTATCACTTATCTGTCCCAGCGGATGCATATGACCCACATCCTTCATCAACGTTTTGTCACCGTTAGGCATCTCATACATGTATGATAACTCCTTTCTGTGCAACTCGGTGGCATTTTTGGTGAGATAGTACTCAAGCATGATGTCCTCGTTGCTCTCAAGCAACTTGAGCACCTTAGAATCGTCCATTTGACGTACCAACTCGAGAAAACGTTCTGGAATCAATTGCCCATCACTTTCCTTGTAGTCCTGTACGATCTGAGGGTCTTCTTCAAACAAAAATGTCAAGTTGCTGCCGTGGATCCACAAATTCATGGCATCTACAAAGTACCAACCTTTGAACTCGTCCTGCTTGATACCATCGTGATATTCGTCCACCAAAATACTTTCGATCTGGTTGGGCACATACACTGGCACCCCTCCCAACATCGAATACCGCAACGGGGAGATCTCCTCGTAACTGGTGAAATGCAAGTTTCGACAGTTGTAAACAGGTCTGGGCTTGCCATCCCTGCTGGCCGCATCGATTATCTCCTGGTATTTCTCTGGAGCAGGCTCGTCGGAAATTCCCAAGCCAGTGATATCAATGTACGACCCGGTGTCGATGTCAATGAACCTGGCGTCGATATGGTTTTGACGTCTGCCAGTCTCACCTCGGTGATGCAAGAACGTCGAACAGTCAATGAAATACTTGCCGAAGCCTTCGGTCAAATCCTCAATTACCAACGTCTGGTTGTACAACTTGGCCAACCGGGTCAATTCGACCGCAGGCATCTGGATGTCGATATCTTCATCGAATGGGAACAAAAGTCCATCCCAGTACCACGAAAGAAGTGGGCCATGGGCGATCCAACTGATGATACCCTTCTCGTTAGCAAACCGAAACCAGTTTCTAAGGATCCGGTCCAACAATACCTTATCTCTGATGAGCAATTCGTCACGGTTCCAGCCCTTCTTCAAGTATCGCATGGCCCCGTTGAAAAACCGCCACTCGTAGTGCCAGCCGGCGTCGTGGTTCTTGTCGTTGGTGTCAAACGTTAACCTGGCCATACGGAAGTAAGTTTCTTCCTTGTCGGGAGCAAACGAGTCAGCATACTTCAAGCCATTGTAGTAGCTAAATTCGTTACGCAGCAACCGAAGGTCTTCCAAGCCCTTCTCATTGAAGATCAATTCATCGGACGTCAAAAGATTCAACATCGTCAACCGTTCTTCGTAGTGCTGGATCTGAGAGTCGATTTTGTCTTGTTGATAGTCAAACACCGTTTCAGGCAAGTATATTTCCTTGGACTTCAGGTGGTCGGGATCCTTGATCTTGGCCACCATGTCGAATGCATCGTCGTCCCCTGAGAGTGGCTGTGGCGGCACCTTGGCCATAAAGTCTTTGAACTCGTTGACGGGGTTCAAGATGATTTTGGCGTCGTAGTTCTGAATGTTCTTGTTGGTGAGGTAGTGGTGAAACAAGTCAGAGTCGACCAACCGCTTCTTCTCCTCCACCTGGACCTCGTACACACCTTCGTGGCTTAGGAAAATCAACTTGAAAGGGTTTTTGGCGTATGTCAAGAGATGCGATTTTCCTTCCAACATTCGCACCTCGTTGGAGGCCTTGTTTGTGGGGGACTTTTTGACGGCGAACCCCGGCACAAACTCGGTAGACGGGAGTGACATGACTTCCAAGTCCTCATCGGTGATGTCCTGGTTGTTGATACAGTAATTTGGGTCCTCGGGTGTCATATGGTGGGTGGCCTTCATATATTCACAGGTCTTACGATCAGACTCCTCCTTCATGAACTCCTCGTTGAGCATGGTAAGATCGACCCAGTCGGACCACGAGAACGGCACAACGATGTCGACGAGTTTCTCTTTGTCGTTGTGGGGGTTTTTCTCCAAAAACTGGGTTTTGATCTCGTTGATGTAAATCGAGAGTGTGAACCGGGGGTCGTAGAAGAGCGTGGGGTTGTTCACCCACGTTTCTTGCATGAAGTCGTTGATGCTGATGGACAACTCCACGTCCTTCAACTCCGTGTGTGCTAGCCAGTATTTATCTTTGTTGGTGGTGATCTCGTTGAGTCGGTGTAAGATCTTTTGCGAGTCTGTCAACTCGTTGTACGGCTTGTCGGGGATGGTGTACAACTTCTGTGCGAGCTCTGAGTCCTGCAGGGTTGGCGGGAGGTCGTCATGGACCTCACCCGTCGATGGCGCCGGCGTTGAAGTGTCGAAGTTGATTAAGTTATGGGTTTTTTCCAGGCTGTCGTTGTCGCTGGTGAACAGGTCCAACACGATCGATACATGTGACTTGAACTTGTTCTTGATGTGCCGAGACGATCCCTCATCGATCATATAAAGGGCAATATAGATGATGTTACCAAGCGCTACCAACACAAGAATGAGCTTGAAAAATCGGGGATGAAATATCCTTCTGGCAGTAAACTTATTGTTGGAGGGTGTTTTCTGAAGCGGAAGAATTGACGGTTTCATGGCGGTTATCTATGTGCTGTTGAAATGTACCCGGAACGAATGGTGGGATGGGAAAAATTTTAGAATGAGAATTCTTGGAGGCCAATCGGGCAGGATTGGGTTGTTGGGGATGGGTATGAACGGGTTCCACGGGTTGCTAAGGGCGGTAATGTGTGGAAGCAGCGAAGAGATGAAAATGGTTGTATCCGTAAGGATAGGTTTGTTTATGATAAATAGTGGAATTTGGAGGATTATAAAGGAAAGGCTCAAGGCAGGTTGAGAGCGTGCCAGCTGGTGCCGAGCACTGCTTGATTTCAAATGAGATTGACCGGAAGTAGAAGGGGGTAATTCCTGTATACACGGCTCAATGCCTGTATGGGGGCCCGCGTATGCCTGGAGATGTGCCTCTGTTTGCGGCTTTGGCGCCAGAAAAGAAACTACAAACACCTGTAATAATCAGGAAAATTAAGAATGCGTGTCCTCACCCGACGCCAGCACTTGGGCGTGTGGGTGCCAAAGCGCCAATGCCCTCGCGTATGGTGCCAATCTACGTGTATATAATGTCAATGTGTATTCGAATGTGCTATAGAAATCAAATCTAGATTCCATCGCTGAAGCCACTGACAAGCGACAGCTTCAAGCCTCCCTCCTTCACGGCCAACTCGTAGTAACCGTAAATGGTGGTCACCGCCAATAAAATCGAGGTTCCTGATCCTAATGTTCCCATCAAGTCACAAACAACCGATAAAGCACCAATACAAGCTCCCCCAAATGCAGCAGCTGTGGGGATGATTTTCTTCAATTCCCTATAAGCGCTGGTGTCTCTGTGACCGGCAATCACCAATCCTTGTTCCTTGAACTGCTTGGCGATGTCACGAGGTGAAGTGCCTGAAATTTCAATCCAGGTGGTGGAGAACAATGCACAGCTTCCCAATACAAACACCACGTATATCACCGTTTTGAACGGATCCAAAAGTGCCTCGGAGAACGCAGTGGGTGGCTGCACGTAGTAAGCCAATCCACTCACGGCCCGGTTGGTACCATATCTGGCATCCCATGTTCCCAAGAGTTTGACAAACAAGTTTTCAGGCCACTTGACAAACAAAAACTGCGAGATCAAAAAGATATTGGAGGTCAACGCAGACTGCAACATGATGGGAATGTTGGAAGTATAGAACAACCGGATGGGGTAAACACCGTATGGGCCTCTTTGACGGGTGGACTTGACTGGCAATTCGATCCGGAACCCTTGCAAATATACTACCGCAAAAAATACAACAACAGTGGCCACCACTTGCAACATGTTTGGCCCGGTGGTTCTGTAGAAGGCTTCCAACAACGCCCGCTTCTTGTCTTGCCGAGATCCCAAAAGATGGAATAAAGCCACAATAGCCCCATCAAATTGCACTCCTTTACCAACATTGGTGGTGGTAGGCGCAAATGTCTTCCAGAATACCTGTTCACACACGTTAGTGGCGGTGAACAACGAGATACCAGAGCCGAGCCCGTAGCCCTTTTGCAACAACTCGTCCAATAAGATCACCACAATGGAGGCAAACACCAATTGTAAAATCAATAAAAGACACACAGCAAGGCCCAACAGCGAGGTGGGGCCATACATTCCGGTCAACACATATACGGTGGCCTGGCCAATTGCCAACAAGATGGCAAACAACTTTTGGGCGGTTTGAAATTGCTCTCTGTCAGATTTGTTACCCATATCGACGGTAATTAATTTGGTACCTTGTAAAAGCTGAAATACCATTCCAGCTGACACAATGGGAGAAATCCCGAGCTCCATCAACGTACCTCTGTTGGAGGCCAACATCATTCTCAACCACAAAAGTGGATCAGACAGGTCACTTGACACAATTCCATAAAGTGGTACTTCACTCATGACAAGGAAGATCAACAAGGTGACACCAGTCCACATGACCCGCTGCTGGAAGGCAACTTTACGTTCAGGCGCAATGACTTCGGGCACGAACGGGGTAAACGGACTGACAAGGTCCAACACACGAAACCCACTCATGATAGATAGATGTAGAAAGGGTCTTGTTATAAGGTGAGTAAGTTACGTGTTCGCTGAAAATTTTAAGAGCTGCGGGAATGGTGCGTGTCGACCACGGACGTGGCGACAAACTGGAGGTAGAGTGTCGTAGATTGTCGTGGCGACCCCGACGAAAGTCGCCAAAGAAAGTCGCGTTCCTCCCCAAGGTTAGGCCTCCCTCGTCAACTGCCGCGACATCGGTTTGGCTGGCGAGAATTCCCTGCTACCCTGGTGCGAGCCACGCCCACCAAGGTCACGCAGCACTACGGGCAACTTGCTGAAGGATCATTCTGCCGAACAAACACCCATCAGTTCCGACCACCCCCGGCCCTTTGGGACCCTCTATTAATAACTATTTTAATAATCCTGGAAGCTTGGATTAATCTACCATCATCCACTCTTCCCTCATCCCACTCATATCATCTGCTTGTGATTCTCTTGCCCCCCTCTTACTTCCATTCACCCAGACCTAAACCCCAGTCCCGGGTGTCACCCACCTCGCCCGCGCACCGCCGGGGATGCCTCGCGCAGCCGTTGTTTTTGTGCTACTAGCCTCGCTTCCCGCCATTAATATCAAAATATGGGGTATAAATACCGGCATTAGTCTTCCACCTCAGGTTTTTATCATTTTTTTCGCTCCCACCTCCACATTCACAAAAATGGCGTCCCAACCTCATGACTCAGTTTCCAAGCAAATGAATGTCGATACTGACATCATCACCTTATCCAGATTTATCATCCAGGAACAAATAAAGTTGGCCCCTCAGGCCACCGGGGAATTGTCCTTGTTATTAAATGCCTTACAATTCGCCTTTAAGTTCATTGCCCACAACATCAGAAGAGCCGAATTGGTCAACTTGATTGGTGTTAGTGGCTCCGCCAATTCCACCGGAGATGTGCAAAAAAAGTTGGATGTAATTGGTGACGAAATTTTCATCAACGCCATGAAGTCCTCGGGAATGGTTAAAATCCTCGTGTCGGAAGAACAGGAAGACTTGATTGTGTTTGAAGGTGGTGGAAAGTACGCCGTGTGCACCGATCCCATCGATGGGTCTTCCAACATCGACGCTGGAGTATCTGTTGGTACGATTTTTGGAATCTACCGGTTAAAAGATGATTCCAAAGGCTCAATTAAGGATGTTTTGAGACAGGGTACAGAAATGGTCGCAGCAGGATACACCATGTACGGGGCCTCGGCACATTTGATGTTGACCACCGGTGATGGGGTCAATGGGTTCACGTTGGACTCAAATTTGGGTGAGTTTATCTTGACTCAGCCCAAATTGACTATTCCTCACTCCAGAGCCATCTACTCCGTCAACGAAGGTAACTCGTTGTACTGGCCCGACTATATCAAAAGGTATCTTAGTGACTTGAAGGAAATTCAGGAGAATGGTAAGCCCTACTCAGCAAGATACATTGGGTCCATGGTGGCTGATATCCACAGAACCTTGTTGTACGGAGGAATCTTTGCTTATCCTGCTGACAAGAAGCTGAAGAACGGGAAGTTGAGAATCTTGTATGAGTGTTTCCCAATGGCCATGTTAGTGGAACAGGCTGGAGGTAAGGCTGTTAACGATAAGGGAGAGCGGATCTTGGAGATCTTACCCAAGGGAATCCACGATAAGAGTGGTATTTGGTTGGGTTCAACCGGTGAGGTCGACAAGTTTGTTTCTTATATCGAGTAGACGGACGTTGAGTAGACGATTGTCTGGGTAGCTGATGATGTACGATTAGAATACACAATTATGAATAATTAGTGGTTGTAGGTGGGTATAATTTCCTGCGCATCTGTTTTTTGCAGCCATGCCTAACAGTTGCAACTCATGAAACTTTGAAATAATTTCTAGTAGACGAATACCACTGGTATATCTACCATCATTATTGATACCAACTTCTCACTGACTAACACCCCAGAAGTACTTCCCTCAGTTTAGGAAACTCCAACGGGTATATAAAGCGTTTTCGCGCTTCTCGAAAGTTGCAAAATCTCGTATCGATCACGCAGCCAATCTTACTGCAATGATATCGCATTTATGTCCAGAAAAGCCCTTAAAGAGTATCTTGAAGGCTCCAAGAAGCTCACACTCTGACCCTCAAGTGAATTTGGCCCTTTCTTCTGCTCTTTTCCCCTGGCAAGAAGGGTATACTCCACCACTCCCAAAACTCGAGCCTATCGACACAAACCTCAAGAAAAAAGTCACCATCGTCAGCCCACTTCCACGGCTGCCTGTCCATTTTGTGTCCGGTATGAGTGAAAACCGTGCAAACAACTACACCAGTATCACCATGATCATTCCCGTCTGTCATAAAAGATTCAAGAAGCCTGAACGTTCGAAACAGAGAAAGTTAAAGAACAAACAAAGGGTAAGAAACAGATTACTGGCCTTCAGCAGCTTCTATTGGCAACCAGTCTCTTGTTTAGGGCAAGCAAATGATACGCCAGAGAAGAAATTCGTCCCTGTTCTCAGAAAGCACAAAAGCCATAGAATATTCCTCCACTGTTCCAAAAGGCTTAGGCAACAACGTCCTCATATGAAGGTCATAGCACAGTTAAAACTGCCCCGAAAAATCATTCTGCACATTCCACGTCATATTCTTGCTAATTTTCCCAAGAAATTTGTCAAGCTCCAGCAGTGTAAGCGATTTTTGAAAGCAGGGCATGCTGTGTCTTTGCCGGTCCTTCAAAAAAGACGCGAGAAGCGGAAAAGAGTTAGGCTCGAAGGGGAGATGGTCCTGCTCTTCAATGAGAGGATTCTAATGGATATGTGGGAAAGGATCAGACGACCACTGTATCGGTTTTGATATGAGATATGTAGCTTTAGTGTGACATTGTATCAGCAATCACAAATAGGAAACTCGAGAGGTTTTTCGCAGCCTTGGTAGTATACTGGTGAACACACGCCCGCGCCCATAAATACCAAAAAAAACCCATCACCGAAAATTTTTCAGCTACCACTACCAACGGTATGTCAGTCAGCCAATTGTGGTAGTTGGAAAAATGACCAATAGCATTGATGAGACACAATGTTGGAGGGTACAAACATAGAGCATCCTCCGATAAGAGGTGTTCGCCGAGACGTGTTTCCAAGTTTACACTGTCGAGGAGCCAATACTAACGATGTTAGAGTATGTTTTCATTTACCACTTAATTTGATGATATTTTCACACCATATCCCGGTGACTCCTGAGCCATGGATAAACATGCATCACCATCTGAACATTAAGTTTGATTTCTTTTATGAAAAATACTAACATCTTAGAACCGTATGTACAATCGATTTCAAGCGTGAAGTTTTGATGATGACAAACCTTTTCAGTTCTGCTTCTGAACCAAAAATTCCTGAAGATAACAAAATTACCAAAACTGCTGACCAAGCTTCACGCTTTGATTCCATGAGAGTATACTAACAATTTAGGTACCATTTGATTATGTGTGTGGAAGTGCGATGCTATGACAGTGTATTAGTTTATGATTTATGCTAAATATATGAGTAACGGTTAGTGTAATGTAAAGGCCTTCGAGAAGAAGCGTCTAAGTAGTCTCTTCTGAATTTAATCTCTGGGTTCAATGCTGTGAGTGGTCATCTCCATAAATATACAATACAAGAGCACAACTAGAGTGTTCAGTACAAAGTACCACGTAACATAATTTATTTGTATATAATGTCAAGTATCAGTGTATTTGTACCATAGCAGCATATCTACAGATACTCCAATTACATTCTTGGCAAAACCCATACTTCTAAACATTGAAAATCACCACCTTCCCATCAATTCCAGAGGTGCTCACCTTTCCTTTGGTGAAGTACTTGATTGCCGTCACTGTATTCTGGTGAATGGTGCTCAAAGCCTTCCCAGACTTGTCACTGGCCTTATTGACCTTACCCTTCAAGTCCAACTGTCTAAACATATTCAATGCATCATGACTGCTGATTTCCTCATCTTCATCAGTCTTAGGAGGCAAGTCGTGAATCAAATCCTTCTGCTGTTCGAGCTCCTTTGTCTGCTTCCAGCCGGACTCGTCTCCTTGAAACACAATCAAATTGCAATTGTGCCCCGAAGCCACAAGCAGATTCTCACCCAAAAACAACACCGATTTGAAGGGCAAGTAGTTGGTCTTTAAGCTCACAATGTTCTTGGGTGGTAACCCTTCACCTTCAGGGTACACCAACACCAACGACGAGTCGTGGCTCACATACGCCAACGAATCCCCGTTGGGATTGAACAGCACTGCGTGCACCCACGCACCGGTCTCATTGGTGAAGTCGCCACACAACGTCTGAAACGGCAAACGAGACCCCCACACCGAGGGGGCGGGCTTAGCGTCCAATCCCTTGATGAACGTCGAGAAGACCCTTGCGTGTCCATCTGTAGAACCCACCGCCAACAACACGTTATTGGGATGCCAGTCCAAGCTGGTCACGGTCGACCGCAACCGCAAGTGCTTCGACACCCACCAGTCATTTTCCTCTTCGTAGTAGCAGATGGCCACGATCCTATCGTTACTTCCCACTGCAAACTTGTCTCCGTTGGGGGACCATCTACAACAAGTAGCCGCCTTGTTGATTCTCAACAACACCAACGTGGGCTTGTACTCCCCCTCGGCCTGGGAGTATTCCCACACCAAAGCGTTTCTATCTTGCGAACATGTCAAGATTTTGGAGTTGTCCGGGGAGATATCCACCGAGGTGACGGTTTTATCGTGGCCCTTTAAAGTGGTGACCAACTGGGGTTTAGCAGTGCCGATCCGATATATCTCGACGGTGTTATCCTTGGTGATTGCCAATAGCGATCTGTCAGAAGAGAAAACGTGATCCTTGATAGGCTTGTGGCCTAGTTGGTATACAATTGGAGTGCTCATGGTGGATATGGTTTGAGGATTGAATTTAAATTTAGTTGTGCGCGCGATTGCCAGTGGCTGCGAGCACATTGGAAGACAGTAAACCCCGTTTGGAGGACTACATGACTCATTGGGAAGAGAGTGAACCCCATTGGGCGAGAGTAGGACCTATTGGGAAGAGAGTGTAAGACCCATTGAGAGGCAATGGGGCGAGTTGAGTTCAGAATGGGGACTATGTTGTGTTTGAGAACAGCCATTTGCATGTCCCATCCTATTACTAAAGAGAATAAACAGGTTGCTAAAACAGGTGTTATACATTCGTGGTACAAAAGACATGTGTTGTTTGCTTCTCTTGCCCAGCAGACCTTTTGCCTCTTGGACTTCTTCTCCAACCTAAGTACTCTTGATCTTCTTCTCCAACCTAAGAACTCTCCGTCTTCTGCTCCAAAATCAACTTGGTCTTCTCCCAGTAATGGGCCACCTTCTCATTCTTGACCCCCAGAATCTTACCATCCGCCCGACCAATGATTGCCTTAAACAAATTCGAAGTTTCTGGGTTGTACAAGATTCTCAACCAGTAGAACAAGAGAAACAACACCAACTGGAACCCACTGGTTCCTCTGAAGAGTAACGTCCTCAATAAAAGGTACACTATGAGTACCAACTCGTTATATGCGATTACCGAGGCCACAAACGGACTGTGCTCAGTGACGGCCAGGATGTTCTTGTGGCTTCCGAGCTGCAATATGGCAATGAGAAAGAATGGCAAAATCTTCAACACAGACTTGAACGTGAATAGCCACACCAAGCCCAAGACAATGAACTGGAAGTTTTGCAGAGCCATCAATGTGGAGCTGGGAGGTAAATAGTGCAATCCGTATTTATGAGACAAGGTTGCAAGGAGAGCAACAATTGATCCCAACAACGAAAGCCGGTACGCGATCGAGTTGATGTACCACTTGTTGGGGAGCCAAAGAAGCTGGAAGATAAACAGGATCGATCCGAACGCAATGGCAACGGCGTGACCTCCCAACCATAATTTGTATTTGAGAGGACTGGCTTCCTTTTGCTTTCTCACCAACTTTTTCTTTTTGGGGGCCGAAGGAGCGATCTCCGACGCCGAAGGATGTGCGGCATCTTTCAGAGTGGGCACCTTACTGTTGGCAGTTGGAGCAGCAATATCAGGCATTTTGTGCAGATCAATTGAAGGAAGATGTTGAGCTGAAGATGAATTTCAGGTACGCAGCAAGTGAGAGTGAGGTGCGAGTGGGAGCAGTGGCTGTCGTGTACATACCCAGACCCATACACCCACAGTGGGAAACACACACGGGTATTTCTTGGGGCTGGTATCTTCGAAATTCGAGCTGAAACCATTCTCATGATCTTCTAACATGTATCTATATGACCATGCTAACAACAGGACTTCTCCCTCCGTAATCCCAAAAACCTCGTCTTCTCTCTCGTGTCTTCAATTAATTCGCGTCCATTCTCAAAACAAACATCTCCATCTACATGTCTAAGCAAATATATACCGTGGACTTCCAACAATTGGGCCTCCCACCGCTCGAAGCTCAGGTCCTTGGACAGTACCAGCTGCTAGCACTGCAATTGGAGACACTCAACCTCGAAATACGCAAACTCACCGATGCTGCCGATACCTATAAACTGCTGGCAGAACCACTGGAACCACCATCAGTGACTGCCGAGCAACTCTTGGACAATCTCCGGCACTTGGAAAAGAAGTTGGGCTTGGTGTACACGTTTTTCCAGGGCGCCGTTTACCAGTTGTTCTTGCAGAATGAAGTAGAGGAAAATGATGAAGAGGACCAGCCTCACCACCACGAGGATGAACAGTCCCTCCACGACGATGGGGACGACGGTGACGACGGTGACGACAAGGATGACGACGGTGGCGACGGCAGTGATGCCGACGCGCTGCCGGACGCCTGAGTGGTGTATTTTGAGTGTTTGCAATTTTACTCCCCCACTGAGATCTCACTTCACCACCATGTCACTACCACTGTACCAATATGACACCACCCACGCGTGTATTCGGTACAAATATGGTGGTGGGTGTGATGCTATGCATAGGCCCGCTGTCCCGGCGCGTGCCCTACAGCCGCGCTCTGCCCCCATGGTCCCTTAAAAAACTCTCATCTCACCCCCTCCAGAGTCAAACTCATCGTCGCAAATCGAGTCAAAAATTATTATTATCTCAAATTAATATTTCAACCGACCCACTTTTTTGAATCCACAAAAAACACCCGCCACCATGTCCAGCTACGATAAATATGCCACCCCGTTGTCCTCGCGTTATGCCAGTGACGAGATGTCTAGCGTCTTCTCCTTAAGAAACAGATTCTCCACCTGGAGAAAGTTGTGGTACAATTTGGCCATTGCTGAGCAGCAGGTTGGTTTGAAGGTCATCACCGACGAGGCCATTGAACAAATGAAAAACCACCTTGAAATTACCGACGAAGAGATCGATAGGGCCACCAAAGAAGAGGCCATTGTTAGACACGATGTTATGGCCCATGTCCATGTGTTTGGTGAAGTATGCCCCAAGGCTGCCGGCATTATCCATTTGGGAGCCACTTCGTGTTTTGTCACCGACAACGCCGACTTGATCTTCTTGAGAGACGCCTATGACATATTGATCCCCAAGTTGGTCAATGTCATTGACAGGTTATCCCAGTTCGCCTTGGAGCATAAGGATTTACCAGTGTTGGGATGGACCCATTTTCAACCAGCCCAGTTGACCACCGTGGGCAAGAGAGCCTGTTTGTGGATCCAAGAGTTGTTGTGGGACTTGAGAAACATGGAAAGAGCCAGAAATGACCTTGGGTTAAGAGGTGTGAAGGGTACTACTGGAACCCAGGCTTCATTCTTGTCATTATTCCACGGGGACCACGATAAGGTCGAATTGTTGGACGAGACCGTCGTCAAGTTGTTGGGTTTCGAACACGTCTACCCCGTGACCGGCCAAACCTACTCCAGAAAAATCGACATCGATGTGTTGTCTCCATTGGCTTCTTTTGCAGCCACCGCTCACAAGTTTGCAACCGACATCAGATTGTTGGCCAACTTGAAGGAAGTCGAAGAACCATTTGAAAAGTCTCAAATCGGATCTTCTGCCATGGCTTATAAGAGAAACCCAATGAGATGTGAAAGAGTGTGTTCTTTGGCCAGACACTTGGGTTCGTTGATGAACGATGCGGTTCAAACGGCTTCGGTTCAATGGTTTGAAAGAACCTTGGATGACTCTGCCATCAGAAGAATCTCCTTGCCTTCTGCGTTCTTGACGGCCGACATCTTATTGTCCACCATGAACAATATTACCAGTGGATTGGTGGTGTACCCAAAGGTTATTGAAAGAAGAATCAACAGCGAGTTGCCATTCATGGCCACCGAAAATATCATCATGGCTATGGTTGAAAAGGGTGGTTCCAGACAAGACTGCCACGAAGAAATCAGAGTGTTGAGTCACCAAGCCTCTGCTGTGGTTAAACAGCAAGGTGGTGATAATGATTTGATCGAAAGAGTGAAAAACACAAAGTATTTTGAACCAATCTGGAACGATTTGGGTAAGTTGTTGGACCCATCGACGTTTGTGGGTAGAGCTCCTCAACAAACCGAAAAGTTCATCAAGAACGACGTTGCCCAGGCGTTAGCCCCATATGGCCATGTTATCAACAGAGCTCCAGTTCACTTAAGCGTATAGTTTTTCTCTCTCAAATATTTAATAAAAATGAATCTATGAACAATAATGTACAACCCTTTCGTAATAGTCGTTAAAACCAAATCCACGTCTATCTTGGAGAACCATGGACTCGATTTGGAGAGACATTTGCGCTTGCACGCAACAAGTCTTCCTCTGCGAATGATTCTGTAGCCTCTACGAGTACATCGAGAGGATTTCTCTCATGCAACTCAGGAAGTGATAAACTCAGGCTCATGCCATCAGCCGCTTTAGTTCTACTTGAGTGGAGTGGAGGCAACAATATTTTTGATCGAGAGCTTTTAATTGAAAACGACCCAAATTTTGCAGCCACCAAAGGCTCTTGTACCACCATACTCTGTTCCTTTAGTTGTCTCACAAGGTTCTGGACAATCTCGAGCGTCTCAGAATACTCAAACGCACAGTACACATTCTTGTAAAAGGGAAGTTTAATGTCGACTACTCCATTGATCATATCCCGCTCAAACATCCGCTGATCGACGTACAAACAGCTATCAGCACATCCGGGGACCAAGTATATCTTCATGTCACTCTTATAACGAGGCCTGGCAACCACCTTCTTGATGAAGATATTGGAAGGCACATCGTCCACTGTTCCAATCGAATGGGTAAGCTCATCAGAGAACTCTTCGTCGTCAATCAAGTTCAATTCTCCCGGTTTAGCAGTCTCAATCTTCAAAAGGACCAGCCCATCGGAGTCTTTAACAGTAGACCGGGTGACTCTAACCAACGTATATTCATTCACACCAAATAACGTGTGGACGGCCGTGTCCAATGAGTTGAACGTAGCCAATGGGTGGCCTTTGCTGGAGCGAGGCCGGTCTTTACTGGATGCTTGGGTGAACGTCTTCAACACTTTATTTGAAAAGACCGACAAGTCTACCAAGTTGTTATCGATGAGCTGCACCGGCTTTGCCTGCAAGCGAACATCTGCCAAGTGCTCAGTATTGTTGATGATCAGGGCCTGGGTTTCACCCGGTTCATTGGAGTGGTACACCAGCAAAGTCTGTTTGCGGTTTGCGTGCGGAGTCAACCAATTGTACAAAACTAACAAGTTGGGAGCCAACGTCAACTTGATCCTCAATCCCGCCTCAAGTGACTTCATGTGAAGCTTCGAGCCGTGGGTGGTCAGGTCTTTGGACGTTGATTTTCGCCGAACCGATATTTGCACCAACTCCTTTGCAAGGAGCCGTTTGTTGAGAATGGCTTTGGGAACAACCGACAGCCTCTTCAACAGGTGGAATCGCAGACCGTCTTTGGAGCGTTGGGCCATTTCCTTTTCGATGTTGTGCTCGACTTTATCAGCCACTCCAATCTCAGGTTCTATGTCCAACTTGGAGAAATCGGGCCCATCGGCACCGGACAGCACCGACGTTCTGGAGCTGCTGGCAGTGTTCGACGACAACCGCAGCGAAGAGGGGGCAGAAAAGATGGAATTGTCTTCTCCCAGGTCATCGCTGTAGTTTAAAAGATCATGTATTCTCGACATGATTGTCTAGGATTGTCTTAGACTGCAACACAAGAGATGTGTGCGTGGATATAGTTGAAGGTTTGTTTCTCTTTTAAAATTCAATTGAATACTCAGGGTAGAACAAAAAAACTGAAGGAAATAAGGGGAAATATGGGCGATGGGTAGTAGGTGTCGCAGTAAGTTCGCGGTGAATCAATTAATCTAGTTTGTGTCACGGTGGTTTTCTCTATAGTAGTAATAGGAGGTGGTTTTGGAGATACGGGTTAAAGTATCAGAAAAAAAGCAGGTGTTACTTTATGTTTAAAAAATTGTCCGATCCTGATATCTCAATTTATTTGAGCAACTGTCGTTTTGTTTTTGTCTCACGCATATGCAGGAGCGATGTCTCAGATATGGGTTTTTCATAGGTGGGGGTTGATTCAAAAGGGGTTTAACAACCGTGAATAGTTCCAGAAATAGACGGGGTACCGTCCCGGAATTTCTGGCTGGCTGATGAATCTATCTGCTTGTTTTTAGGGGCCTTCAAACGGTAGTTAGTGCCATAAGCGAAGATCCGCCCTCAGCAAATCGTCCCATTTGCTGTGCGACTAGGACCGTTTTGGTGGTCTAGACTACCCTGTTAGCACCAGGGATTTGAGATTCTAAATACCAAAAAAGCATTTAAGATCCATTCATTTTAAATATATTCTAAATACTGGACTCCGTCCATTCATTGCCCTAAAAATTGGAGCCTTGGTTGATATTCCGATCCCTCACCCCCAACTCCCCGTTCAAAAACTCGTCCTTGTCCTCCTTTGCATTCTTTCTCCAGAACGTCCAGCTACCATTTTCCGAAGTCTTTCCGTTTCTTCTCTTGATCACAAAGAACACTACCATTAACCCAATCAAAATAAATCCTCCGACCCCAACAACCACCCCCACCACAATCTTGTTGGTGTGACTCAACCCGCTACTAGAACTGTCGCTGCTTTTGTTGGAGTTGTCGCTCGCAGCACTCGGTTCACTCTGAACAATTGAGGTCTGGGTCACGATCACGGTGCTGCCATTATCCACTGATTCAAAAGTGGTTTTGGAGGTGGTGCCACTGGTGGTATCGCTCGAGGTCTCGGTATCGGTCTTGGACGAGGACGTGGTGGGCGTGGAGCTGGGTTCTGCACGGGTGGAATCGGCCTCGGACGTGGAATCGGCAGTAGATACCGCTATACTACTGGCAAACTGCAGGCTGGCCTGGGCCGAAGGGGTATCGGATACGTCACTTGACTCAGAAAAAAAGTCTTCAAGGCTGGAGGAAGTGGTGGTTGTGTGACTGCTGGTGCTGCTGGTGCTGGTGCTGGTGCTGGTATGTGATGGGCTACTTGAAAAAAAGAAGTCTTCATCGCTCGCAGCCGACAGACTGGCAGAGCTGTGGCCACCACCGGCACTGAACACAGCTCTAGAAGCCAGTACCACGATACTGCTCTGGCTGACGCTCTCACTGGCTTCGCCGTCATCATCCCCGATTCCGTCACCGTCGGCCCTTCTGTGTAACAGAATTCTGTGTTGCACGGATGGAGCCTCTACCGCGTCGCTGTTCACGGTGGTGACGATGATTTTCTGGAGGTTGATGCTGGGCACATCGGCTGAGAATGGCTTCCACTGGGTGTGAATGAGGGCCACAGTAGCGACAAGCGACAACACAGCCACAAATATAAACGAACGTGATATCATTATGTGAGTTAAAGCGGATGCAGAGTTCAGGTCGTCAAATCAAATTTTTCGCGAGCGACAAATTGACAACGCCAGAGACATGTAGAGAATAGATATATTTAGAAATGGATTTAGTGAGCGGGAGCTGATGGTGGCAGTGGCCAGCCCACCTCTTTGTGGGTTGCAGTTATTTTCTACGGTGGACACGATCCTCTAAGGCTAAGGCTTAGTTCTGGCCCATACACCCAAAAAAGTTCTGACCAATACTACTGAAGCTGTGATCCTTCACTAGCTCGAGACCTTCGAACTCTGTCTAAAGGTTAGAATCTGTACCAGTATAATCAGCCCAGTCGTCTGTACCTTTTCTCTGCCATTTTCACATTTCTCGCGCCTTTTTGCAATCATCATGAAGCTTCTCGCATGCGGATCCAATGGCCATTACCAATTGGGTAATGGCACAAACATCGACACCAACCAGCTCACGCCTGCTCTGTTCACAGTTGATGGCCACTTAGTAGACCTCCCCAGCTCGGTAGCCAAGATCGCTACTGGCGGCAACCATACATTTGTTCTACTCAATTCAGGTCTGCTCTACACCTGCGGAGACAACTCCTACGGACAGTGTGGTCTACCCCCGGCAGACCACATCGCCGTGTTCACTCCAGTCCCGGGCCAGTGGCGCGACGTGAGCTGTGGTTGGGAGTATCTGATACTTGTGGATGCTACTGATAACGTATTTGTTTGTGGACTTGGCTTAAAAGGCGAGCTAGGACTTGGAGAGTCCACCACATCTACGGTTCTCACGCGGTTGGACGCCATGTGCGGCAGGGGCATTTCAGTGGTTTCGTCAATGAGCTTGACGCTCTGCCGGGCATCTGACGGGAAGTTCTACGGATGGGGAGATGGAAAAAAGGGCCAGTTGGGTGCTAAAAAGGTGCGGTGGGTGCCTGAAGTGGTGGTATTTCCCGTGCAAGAAGAGATCCTTCACTTCGGACTCACAAAAACCGATGCAGTGCTACAGCTCCGTCTTCGACTTGTGCTGTTTGGCAGACAGGCCATTGATATTCCTCAAAAGGTCCATTTTTTCCGTACCATGTGGACGTGTATCCACTACGAAGTCGAAGCAGAACCGTGTTCGGTTGTGTCCGTCGGCAACAACAGCCACGGCCAGCATTTTCCCAATTCTTGGAGCCAATGTGGTGGAGTGTTCGAAACTGGCAGCGAGCACGGACTCTTCTACGCCAACAACACCGTCTACGCCTGGGGCTGGGGAGAACACGGTAACTGCGGCCACAGCCAGGTACAAGGCCATGACCAGATTGTGTTTGCTGACGCCAATGCCATTTTCAAAGGAAAACCGGCATATATGGCAGGTGGATGTGCCACCAGCTGGATCGCTACGGATTAGAGAACAAATGTCACGAAGTATCTTTCCCATATTCATCTTTTGACATCATAAGGCATCACAAAGATGGAAAATATGTTCAACGTGGTTACTTTAGGACAACGGTATCAACAATCAATCACAAATCCTGACCATTTTCTTTTCATCGTCCATATATTTGAAAGAAAAATCTCGACTTTTCCACGATGAGCATCGACCGCGACCCAGCCCCAGCCAAAATATCACCACCGTCTTTCTCCCGCACTACTAACAATGTTTGGAGCTGTGTGTTCAGGAAGACCAATCCAGTTGGCCAGCCAGGTGGCTGAGAACAAGTATGTCATCAGTGTCCCCAACGCCTCGAACGTATCACACATTGCCATTTTTTTGCTTCCTCAAACAGAATTTAATGACCCCAACTACACTGCCCTTGTGTTCTTCCAGTTGCCAAACTCAACTGATTTCAAATTGCTTGGAGGCCTAAATCCCAATAAGCCCAGTGGGATCTTCAAGCTCAATAACATGAGACCAGCGGCTACCACCGGGGACAACGATATGATGGACGATGAGGTCATTGATACCAATGACGGCTTCACCATCAATATTGGGTTGTCGATCGAGCCCACTGCCGAAGCCGAGGTGCAGTTGAGTCAGGAGAAGATGAAGCAGCTGGGGGCCTCCAGTGCCTTGGTGCCCCAGCAGCCCAAACCATATTTATCCAACAATCCGAGTGCTTTGGCCAGTATGGCCAACAAGATTGTGAGCCACGCATATAACTACTTGTCGAGCTTTGTTGATGGTCAAGGAAGGGTTCCCATCAAGGCCTTTGATAACTGGTGGGACAAGTTCAAGAGTAAGCTTGCGAATAATCCTAACTTCTTGAACGAGCTTGAGACTTGACAAATCAACTGCAACATATTCACGACACGAACTATACAATACGAACTACACGAGAAGTCTATACACTACGAACTACACGAGAAGTTTATAGATTACAAACTATGATTCAGTCTATACCACTGTACTCAGAACCATGGTGAGTCATAATCCAAAATGAACATGCTCTGTGGTAGCGATTTTGCACCCATTTATCAAGGCCAAGGTTTGTCTCAGTGACTCATTGCCACCTGTAAACATAACCAGTCGCCATTTTCTCCGTTTTATTTCCTATCCATTAGCAATTCTCTCCTATTTTTTTCCTATCACCTGTAATGCACTTTTCCTTCAGCTCAAAGTGAAATCCGCAAAAATTCCACGCATGTATAGAGCACCAGACTTTTTTGAAAGATACAACGTCTGTCGAATCAGCGTCAACCATTACTCGAATTACCATGTCACTGCCCAATACAACCAGACAATATCCCGGTCATTGCTTTCAAATGCGTTGAAACAGTTGATTTTACACCATCCTGCTTTATACTATGGAGTGAAGCTCAACCCCAAACTAATTGATTATAAAACCTACCAAAACCACCAGGTTGGACCTGTGAAGTCGATCCTGTTCGAGGACGTGGTGACTATTTCCGATAAACCCTTTTCGGAAGAACGATTGGTGGAAATCAACCACTTGTGTATTCCTGTGGATGATGAGAACTCAGTCACCTGGAGAATCATCGTGTTTTCCAACAATTACATCTGTTTGTACTCCAACCATATTATTATTGATGGAGGCGCTGCTGCGTTCTTCCACCACGACTTGTGTGCCATTTTGGCAGAGCTTTCATCCCAACATTTGGAGTTTGTTCCAGAACTCTACAATCAACAGGTTGACGGAGTGAAACAACACTTGGGCACAGACCATGTGGTTGATCTCTATCGATGTACACTGAAGTTGCAGGCGATGTCCATGGTGGTAGCGAGCTTTATTCCCAAGTCGGTCACCCAGTTGTGGAACTCATACACCAATAAGCACTATCCTGATCTCCAGAAGTTCCCACTTTTCGAGTGTGAGCAGCGCAAAGTGATAGATGACGAGTTCAGGCTATTTCAGATCCCCGACGAGACCATGACCCGTCTTTTGGCCAAGTGTCGGCAAGAAGGTGTCACGTTTACGGCGTTTCTTGATGTCCTCATCAACCATTGTTTCCAGAAATGCGTTTTTCCGTTGATTTCGTCCCAGAAGCTTTCTACTAAGTCGAGTATCGTCACCTCCGGTAGAAGATATTACCCTGAGAAAGCAGCTGAGCTTAGGTATGCTCAAGTGGTGACGGGTACCGAGATTTATCTTCCTCCCATTGAGAGTGTTCTGGTCGAAGCCATGAAGGTTGTCAAACAAATTATCGATACAGACCTTGAAACCAGGAACCGGTTCAAATATGTGGGTCTTCTTCTGATGATCAATCCATATGATATTTTAGCGCCTGAAAAAACTGAGTTCCACCAAGATGTGCTCTTTGAGATTTCTAATTTGGGGTTGCAAAATATCAAGAATGGCGACTGGGCCGTCAGTGATATCGTGTTCTGTCAGTGTACGGGGCCGTCAACCACCTTCGGGTTCAACGTGGCCACGACTCCTGGGGGAACAAAAATCACTATGGGGATCAAATCACAATATGCTCAAAGTGGCATGGATGAATTTGAGAAGGCGTTTTATGCTGGGATCGAGCAATTTTGCAGCCGCTAAATCTGTAGAACTAGGTAGGTAACATATGCAACTAATAATATGACTAATCAATATGACCTTAAACCTGTAGACATTAGGCGGACACACGGTTATCAGTAATACCCACGTGATCTCTATCTCGTGACCCTCATCGCGAAGCCATCAAAAGTGTGGCGGACGAAAACCTTAATAAGCATCCACATCTGCTGTTTTTTTCTAAACAAACTTAACTCTTCTCCATGACAAAAGACGATACCACCCAATACGGCTTCGGAACCAACGCCATTCACGCCGGTGCTCCCATCGACCCCCACACGGGGGCCGTAATCGAGGCCATCTCGCTCTCTACTACTTTTGGCCAGTCGCAGCCATCCAAACCCATAGGTGTCTACGAATACTCCCGGTCGGCCAACCCCAACCGTGACAACTTCGAACAGGCGGTAGCTGCTTTGGAAGGCGCCCAGTACGCTCTCGCCATCAGTTCGGGCTCCGCCACCACCGCCCTTCTTGTCCAGTCCTTACCAGTTGACTCGCACATTATTTCTGGCGGCGACGTCTACGGAGGCACCCACCGGTACTTCACCAAGGTGGCCTCGACCCACGGGGTCACCGCCTCGTTTGTGCCCGACCTCGTCGACGACCTCGAGGCAGCGTTACGCCCCAACACTCGGATGGTGTGGTTGGAAACTCCTTCCAACCCAACTTTGAAGGTCACCGACATCGCCGCCGTCAAGCAGGTGTTGCAGCGCCACCAGGATGCCACCGGCTCCCGCGTGGTGTTGGTGGTAGACAATACGTTTTTGTCTCCCTATATCTCCAACCCATTGGCCCATGGAGCCGACGTGGTGATCCACTCCGTCACCAAATATATTAACGGCCACTCAGACGTGGTCATGGGCGTGTTGGCCACCAACGATGACTCCTTAGCCGAAACCTACCGGTTCTTGCAGAATGCAATCGGGTCGGTGCCTTCTGCGTTTGACTCCTGGTTGGCCCATAGAGGCTTGAAGACCTTGCACTTGCGGGTCCGCCATGCCGCCACCTCGGCCTTGTCCATCGCCCAGCACCTCGAGGCTCATCCCAAGGTTAAGGCCGTCAACTACCCAGGTTTGAAAACCCATGCCAATCATGGCGTGGTGTTGAAACAACACCGCGATGGCTTGGGAGGAGGTATGATTTCCTTCAGAATCCACGGCGGTGCCGACGCTGCGTCTGTGTTCACCTCGTCGACAAAGTTGTTCACGTTGGCCGAGTCGTTGGGAGGAATCGAATCTTTGATCGAGGTGCCTGCCATCATGACTCATGGTGGTATTCCTCGGGAAGAGCGCGAGGCCAATGGGGTATTTGATGACTTGGTCCGGGTGTCGGTGGGTATTGAGGATACCGTCGACTTGTTGAGGGACATTGACCAGGCTTTAGACAAGGTCCAGTGATATATAATAGGTAGATAATTCTAGAAACCCTTTGGCTGCAAAGTCGCACTCGACGGGAAATCTGTCCATTTCACTTTTGGGCATTTACTATCGAGTACATGAGACTATCAACCTTAACTCTTGTGATATTGGCTAGTAAATTCCTTGCCGCCGAACCACTACCTGTCAACTTCCAAACCCTGGAGCTTATTTGCTCTCCAACTGACCCCACCAACTGTTACCCAAAACTTTTTGTTCCTACCCACCAGTGGCAACCAATCCAACCAGGTCAAGATATCCCCGGTGGATTACACGTAAGACTCAATATCGACACTTTGCAGAAGGAAGCAAAGTTGTTGGACTCCCTGGACGAAGCTACCAACGACCTCGTGATAGTTGCCGAATCTCAAGACCCTTCTCCTGCCCCTGCCAGAAAACCTCACAAACTTGATATGACTAACATCAATAGCTTTGATTCGGCCCTTGACGAGGTGCAACTGGCGGCCAATGGTGCTGGCTCTGACAGCCTTGACCAGGCTTTGGACGTGTTGATTGACTTGAGCCATGATATCGAATTCGGTACAAAGTTGGCCAGTGATGGCTCTGCTTTCAGTAACTTGAACGCTATTGCTGCTAAGTCTTCCCCACCCGTCCAGGAAAAAGTATATAGAATCATAGGGTCTTCCTTGAGGAACAATCCCGAGGCGATAGCTACGTTTGTTGACAAAGATACCAAAGAGTTGATTGGACTGTGGATTAAACAGTTGGATACAAGCGACAACCTCGTCAAGAAAAGAGTGTTGGGAATCTTCCATCAGTTGGTGACTAACGCCAGGTTTAAGTACCAGTATTTCAACGGAGACTTTGACTTGTTGAGCAAGTTCATCGATATTTATCCTAAACTCAACAAGTCCACCAAGACTCGGCTTCTCAATATCCTTGAAGACTTGAAATTGGTCGACGAGCCAAGCTCTGAGTCCGATGACTCAAGGGTTTCAAACTACATCCAAGCCAAGTTCTTGAAGTCCGACTTCAAAACAGAAGACCAGTTCAAATTGTACTACCAAACGCTTGTCGAGATCCACCAGGCGGATAAGAGTCTTCAAGGATCCAAAGCTTTTGTGACATGGCTAGATGAAGAGTCGGGAAAGAGACAACAGGGACTCAAGGAAAGAGATGGACTCTACTCAAACGCCGATAAGCAGTTCGACAAGGACATGTTGGAAACCAGGCATACGGTATTTGGTAACCCCAACGCCATGAGAAAGCACTTTGATGACGAACTTTAGAGCCTGTATTTGGATTTTAGTAATAAAATATATTAATGAAAAGTGTTTAAGTTAATATATGAAGCATTTTTGTTTTCTCTTTATTATACAAGTTGATTACCTGGAACGAATTTAGTCAAACAAACCGAATCCCATGTCATCGTCGGATTCTTCAGCTTCTTCTTCAGCTTCTTCTTCAGCTGGGGCGTCACCGGAGGCAGCAGCAGCACCGCTCGAGGAAGCAGCAGCAGCACCACCAGTTGGAACAGAAGACAACTTTTCGTTACCTTCGGCAATCAATTCTTCGGCGCTCTTACCTTCGACTTCAGCCAACAACTTTTCGATCTTTTCGTCTTCAACTTCGATGGAGACAGATTCCAAAACGGCCTTGATGTCGGCAGCAGATGGAGAAGCGTTACCGGCGTTGACCAATAATAAGTAAGCAGCAATGTATTTCACTAGATGCTTGTTAGTATTTTTCACTGGGGAATATCCACTAGAGCGGCTGAGATTAGCCATTACCAAGAATTTAAAGCGGGTACATGGGCCAAATATAGGATGGTGACCACTATTATGGTGTCGCCTTTGGGACGCATAGGTGCTAGAGTTCTGCCTCTTTCGTGTTTGACTAACATGGACTACCTCGCAAGGACTAAGGCTGAAAATAGTTGGGGAGTTCCTCTGGGAAAAGGGCTATGTGACGCTTCGCTCTCGATAAGCATGGCTGTGGTGACAGCAGGCTGGGCTGATAGTGGATTTGTGCTTCAAATGAACATACTTTTGTCTAATACTGTTGGATAATTTTCAGTCCAAATTTGATTTTTTCCGAGTGTGAGAACAGTTTCAAACCGAACTCACACAAAACCAGATCGCGGGACGAAAAAGCAGTCACGGATTCACGTGAATATTCCCAACATTCCACCTCACCATAAGCACATCCACTAATTGCCCTGTCATCACCGTACGTACCACACACTATATAATGGCATCCCAAGTGCCCCAATAACGAGCACTTCACTTGCTGTGGCTGTCTTTCTCATAAAAACTATGGCTTATCGGCGTGCGATTTTATGCTGCGAAAGATGCGACGCCAAACAATCCTACGGTCAACCCATAGTATGAAATCGTTTCCTATTTTGAACGAAGAACAAACGGATTCCCTAGTGGTGAACACTCTTCAATGGAGTCTTGCTAACGGATTGGTGATGTATCCACCCAATTTCCAGCAATACAGTGCTGATAATGCCCCCATTTCATTGTTTCCAACCCCCATCCCCAAATCCAGTTTTGAGGATGCTATCAATATCCAGCAAACATACAACGAGCTTTACTCCAATGTAATCACCAAGGACAAGAAGTGGCTTGTGCAAAACATCGAGCAATTGTCGCGATTCGACAAGGATTTTACCGGTAAGCTTTTTGATATCTACAAAACGCTTATTAATGAGAATGGCAAAGTTCCTCAACCGTTGTCATTGGGGATCTTCAGGTCTGACTACATGATCCACGAAGCTGACAACAATCAGATCAAGCAGATTGAATTCAACACTGTAAGTGTATCATTTGGTGGATTATCAACCAAAGTCAATCAGCTTCACAACTACTTGAACAAATCCGGGGCCTATGACACTGACTATTCGTACAAGTACTACGACGACGCTGAGATTCCTATTTCTTCGTCGATAGACGATATAGCTAAGGCTCTTAGTATAGGGAACTATTACTACAACGGGGAAGTGGAAAATGATAAGACAGTCGTGTTGTTTATTGTCCAGCCAAATGAGAGAAACAGTTTTGACCAAAGACATATTGAGTACTCTTTGATCAACAATTTTGGCCTCAAGAGTGTTCGTTTGACCTTGGAGGAAGTTTCGGATAAAACCACTGTTAATAGCAACAAGTTGTATTTGAAACAAACCATGGATGAAATTTCGGTGGTATATTACAGAAGTGGATACGCTCCCACTGATTATGTTAGTGAGGAATGTTGGAAAGCCAGATTGCATTTGGAGAATAATGTGGCCATTAAGTGCCCATCTATATTGACCCAGTTGGCAGGTGCAAAGAAGATCCAGCAGATTTTAACTAACAAACAGGTTTTGGAGACCTTTTTACCTGATTTGAGTGAGACAGAATTAGAGAAAGTTCTTTCCACATTCGTGAAGATTTATCCGTTGGACGACTCGGAGGAAGGTAAAATTGCCAAGCAGTTAATAAAAACTGACCCTGGAAACTTTGTATTAAAACCTCAAAGAGAAGGAGGGGGTAATAATATTTACAAGGAAGACATTCCTTCGTTCTTAGAAAAATTGGAAGAAAAAGACTGGGGTGCTTATATATTGATGGAACTTATAACTCCTCCTATCCATAAGAACAAGTTGCTTAGAAATGATCAAATTTTCGAGGAAGATATCATCAGTGAATTGGGGGTATTTGGTACCATTTTGTTTGACGAATCCAAAGGAGATATAAAGTACAACGAAACCAGTGGATTTTTGTTAAGATCAAAGTTCAGCAGCAGTAATGAGGGAGGTGTTGCGGCTGGTTTTGGATGCGTAGATGGTGTCTACTTGTACTAGTCTGACCTCACTTCTTTGTTCAATTCTTCCTTTAACATGTTCAATTTTCTTTCACTTTCAATTTTCACAACCCACAAGGCTGCACCAATCGTATCGGTGAAGATAAACAAAAGGTTAAAAAGCGGAATAGATTCCAATAGATTGGCTACTAGACCAAACCCAATATATTCAGGTTTCTTAGTTTTGTAATGAACTCTTATCTGTTGCTGGCTCATACCTCTCAAGAAAAAATATCTGTGTTGAGCTTGTAAACCTCTCCTAGGTGCTTTTATATAGGCAATCAACATGGCACCCACGAATGGAACCAACCCGCATAAGAAGATCACTAGTGACCTACCTAACAAATATGGTAACACAGTCCAATTGGACAAAGATAGTATGATATTGGATACCTTGACTAAAAGTGGGATCTTATGTGTTCGTCGAACCTTACCCATTATCACCACATCATCGTGGAATTCCTTCGACAATATCCCATCAAACACTAACTTCTCAATCTCTGGCATTTATAAGAATATGACTAGAATGGAAGACACCTGAACACTAAGCTGGCATACAGTGAGCCAAGTCCAAACCAATCCAGTAGGTCCTGTGAAAATAAACAAAACTGGCCCCAATGTTGGTAGTACAAGGATAATAACAACGGAGTATGTCACAAGCATAATAAGAAGTTGTGGAATCAATATCGTGATATAGACATGCCAGAGGGATGGGTTGTGCCAAAAGTAAATCATTCCCTTTTTTTGTAGAGTTAGCAAAAGCAGTTGATTTAGTTGGTTTATAGCTACTTACGCAAAAGGGATAGGCATAAGTTCCGGCCCTGAGTACAGCATATGGCCTCAACAAATACTTGAGCATTATTTGTGGTTGCAAAAAGATTTTTTGATTCGCGCTTTTTCTAACCAGCGATTTACAAGCCCAAAACTCTTCGAATAAAAACTAATTCCTCCAGCTTCAGCACCCATACATGTAGATATTAAACAACAAGCAAAAAAGAATGGACGAGTCCGGAGTCGAACCGGAGACCTTTCCCATGCTAAGGGAACGCGCTACCAACTACGCCACACGCCCAATAATAAAATGGTCCCTAGCAGGATCGAACTGCTGACCTTGGCGTAACTTCCTTTCAGATATTAGCACCACGCCATAACCAACTAGGCCAAGGGACCACTTATGGGTGACACTCTGGGGCAGACACTTGCGCGACAGTGTCTCAGAATTGTCACGTGCGTGCGCACACCTGGATTGCCTCTCCCAGCCTAATTAGCATTGCACCCAGGCCAACACCGAGCTGCAAAAATGGAAATGTCGTCGCCTCTGGTTTTTCTTAGAAAAAAAACTTCAAAGGATATAGATAGATAGTCCAAACATGTTTTACTTACACGGGGAGGAGTTTTATATGTTGGTACTTGTTATTGTCACAAGTTGTAATTCTTGAATGGTCTTTCTATAGGAGAATAGGCCCTAGACCATGCGACCTTCCATGACCCTAAATTGAAGTACATAATAGGTGAGTAATAGTCCCGGTTAGTGGAAACATAATATCTCTGGATATTATTGCAACTTACAATGGCCACTAGTTTTTTTATTGACTGAGATGTTGTTTTAAGCTCCTCTTTGTGACAATCAATAGTTACCAAGAATATATCAGCTGTTGGAATATAACATTCGCTCGTTTTCAAGAAGTTCACATTATACAACTCCTCTTTGTAGAGTGGAATACGGCTGCAAATTCTGTCAAGAAGCATTATTTTAGTTAAAGGATATAAAAGAGAATCAAAGGTCGAACAACAGATATGGATCACAAATACTTGAAACACGAGGACTGATTCAATGGAAAAAGAATGTCTTCTTATATAAATTGTTAACCCTCTGTGAAGATATATTTCTTCACATTCTGTGAAATTTACAATTCCAGTATCAGCTAAACAAGAAATTATCGCTAACTCTAAAACACTTTCTGAAAGAGGCAATTAAGTGTTATGTCCAGTGTTATATCAGTGTCCGTCAAGCACAAACACCATGCCCCACCCACTTGGGAGATTTATGGCTATTAACACCACTAGACCATTGACACATACAATACTGAAAAGCCATTTCAGTTAAGACCCATGAATCCTTTTCTGCATGAATGCCCCCAAAAATCATGAGAGAACTAGAAATCACAATACCAAAGTAACTAGAGGTATGCAGGTATCTTCCCGTCCAAGTGTATTTGCATTTACTCCAATCCCACTTGTGACGATTGGGGCAAAAACCTATCCATACACGACTCACATCTATTTAAGCGACTGAAAAAAAAAATAGTTTTCATCTCTTCCCAACACCAACATAAAGTGAAAGTGTATGTAAACATCTTTGATTTCATGATGAAATAAATATTACACAGACCTGTACCGAACTACAATGTGGATAAACATATTGCCTATTTCTGAAAGCCATTCATTATATGAGTACTTGTACTAACAATATTAGGATGATCATCTGAACGAACAACCACCGTAAAAACTCTTTGCTCTGACTGTAAGTTTCATATTTCTAGCCCTGGAGGGCCAGTACTGCTTTAGCGATCGGTGAAGATGTAACCCAGTTTGCCAGTATCTGACACCAGGATTTTTGAAATTTTTAAGATCACTTCTGACTGGCGTGAAAACTTCGTCCACCTCTGACTACCATTAAAACTTCTTCCTCCTCCGTACCGTTAAAACTTCTTCCACCACCAGAGTAAAGTCGACACTAAATATGGCTTTGATATTAAATGATATACACGTTACAGATATATATTTTAAATATTATATGATTGGTTGATATATTTGCTATTGGTTGTTCTTCGTTTTAAAGGAATATACCTGTTTATTTCTTACCGGACAACTTTCTTAAGTAGAAGGCTAATTCTTCACCTTCCAAGATGTAACCATCACTTCTACCGGATTGACCTGGTCTAGAAGAAATACAAGCGTACAATCTACCGGAACCGAATTGGGCATCAACAGCAGATTCAATAACAGCAGAAGCAGATCTAGAAGCCAACTTTCTTTCCAACTTACCGGACTTCTTGGCGACTTCTTCAGTAGCGTTACCCTTCTTACCCAAGGTTTGACCGTAGTGGTTTTCGTACCATTGTCTGAAAGGAGTAGCATCGATTTGAACAATAGCAGCCTTAGTCAAGGTGTTGGTTCTAACCAATTCATTGTTGGAAGGATGGTAAACCACTCTAGCGATTCTGGTCTTTCTGGAGACACCTTCGGAGGCCCAGGAGAAGTTACCAGATTCGATTCTTATAGCTCTGAATTTTTGGTTACCACCTCTAGTTCTGACCGAGTGGATTCTCTTTGGTCCCAATCTAGTGTTGGAAGTTTGTCTACCTAATTCAAACTTTCTCTTCTTTCTGAATTGGGCTCTCTTGGCCCCGGTGGCAGAACGCTTGTGACGAGAATCTCTTGAAATACCCATGGTTTTCTCCTATTAATTTAATAAAAACGGTGAGTTGGTTTTCTATGGAAGAAAAAATTTCTGTGAAAAAATTTTGATGCTTGAGTAGCTACAGTCGCTGGAAAAAACTCCTGCATATGTGTTGGTGAACCCAGTGGGGCGGTGCGCGCACGTATGCGCACCAGCAGTCACAGACAGTTTGGAAGGCGGCATGGGCACAAGCCCTGAAACCCTTGCGCGCGCGAGCATCATCGCAAAACCTCATCGCTCTGGGTGGATGCTATCATGGATGTGTATGATGAAATAGAAATCGAGGACTTTACGTTTGATCCAGCAACCCAGTTGTTCCATCATCCGTGTCCGTGTGGAGACAAGTTTGCCATTGCGTTGGACGACTTGTTAGATGGGGAAGACATAGCTGTGTGTCCATCGTGCTCGCTAATGGTGAGAGTAATTTTTGAGCCAGAGGACTTGGATGAGTACGTGGATCAGTAGAAGAGCAGGATTAGAGATATATCTGACCAGGAGTCTGAGAGGTAACCACGACCCGGTGACCAGGAGCCGGCCACCAGCTGCTCAAATACAAAATACTTGACACATGGGCAAAGAGAAGACATCTACGAAACTGGAAACCAGACTTCCCAAGCTGCGCAAGAGCCGATTGGCCAAGAGCCATGCAAACAAGGAGGAAACTGCTGCTACTGAGTCGAACTACTTCGATGATGTTAAGCACCTGGCCAGCACCATGTTGTATATAACCCTGATACTTCTCAGCACATCACTTCTCAGCACATCAACGTGTTTGTAACGGGGTTACCTGCTCCTTGGATTGGAAACAAATGACAAGAAAACCAGATTCTAGTACAAAACATAAGAACCCTTGTAACCACACAGTGGCCACGATACTAATGACCAAAACTTTATATTCCTTAGCACCAGCATTCGTACCAATAAAAATATTTCACACTATCCCGACAACGGTAGGTAGGGCATCGTCGTACCGATCATCGGTGTACTATAACACCTTACACGTTGTACATCCGCATCGCCGCCCGCACCCACCGTAAATATGGGTGCAACAACTAACCCCCACCATTTCCCTCCACATGCGACCTGGGCACTCATTGACCCGAGAACCGCCTGGAGCTATTTAGGTTTCGGACTCAGGTGGTGGACCAAGACTTTCTGGCGCGTCCCGCACAAGCAACAATGCCAACCCCGTCAAAAGACGGGAAAATAGCCCCGATTCGGTACAGAGCCGAACGTCGTGAACTCGCGTATTGTTGCGTTTGGCTCCGGGCAAACACTCAGGGTGCTGCACCTCCGCCCTAGATATCCGCCTTTGACCACCCACTCGGCATTTGCCCAACCGTTTTACAACCGTTGGGTTTAAACGCGGTGCGTACGGGATTGGCCCCAATACCTTATTAAGATGTTAAATTTTTGGGTTGCCATCCCCTGGACCCCCCATTGTTGGTAACCCAGTTGACTGCGACATGGATTTTTGGAGTGTGATGGGTCAGCAATTTAAAGTTTGAATCTCTACTAAAGCACTATGGTAATCCGTGATTACACACCGGATGAGTTTTGGTGGTACTGCTTCAAGCTCTCGGGTAATGTTGTCAATAGCTGGGATATGCGACTGGCGGAATCCCGGCTTACCCCAATTAATTAAGATATAATCACATTCAGCAGTATGGCTAGGCGAGGTTAACATTCCAAACCCACGTATCCATATCTCGGCTGTGGCGACAAGACAAACGGGAATTATGCCATTTTCCACGAACCAGAAATAAAATAAAACGCAAATAAATTCCTCCGCGAGGAATGCGAGCGCGCCTACAAAAAAACGATCACTGACAATTACTCTGTAGCATCCTTGTGGTTTGATTTAGTATTAGGTTATAACACAAGTGAAAGTACTTGGGTTGAACACGCTGAACAGATCCCCTCTCCTCCAGTGTTGCCGCGGTTCCTAATCTCATATGAGCAACATCACCCGAAGAGGCCCCTGGTCTCCTGAAGAGGACCAGAAATTAATGGAGCTAATCTCCATATTCGGCCCTACAAACTGGGTACGAATCTCCAACAGCTTGGTCACACGGTCGCCTAAACAGTGCCGCGAGCGGTACCACCAGAACCTTAAGCCATCGTTGAATCGAACTCCCATATCGCCTGAAGAAGGCGAATTGATCGAGCAGTTGGTGCTTAAATACGGCAAAAAATGGGCCGAAATCGCTCGTCACTTGAACGGCCGAAGCGACAACTCGATAAAGAACTGGTGGAATGGTGGGGCGTCCAAGCGTCGCCGTGCCAGCGTTCAGCATGATAAGCTTGAACCGCTGCCCCAACCGAACTCACTTCCTACCCTTGAACACGATGAACACGATGATATCACGACCCAGCCACTACCTCCCATGCCACCACAACACGGGTTGGTGCACGGAATGCTCCCCCCGGGTGTCCCAGTCCATTCTCAATTGCCGTTCCCAGGCCCTTCACATCTCGCCGGTCCTCATTTGGCAGGTCCTCACTTGGCAGGTCCTCACCTCGTTGGCCCCGGCCCCACCTCAGCACCAGGCCCACCGGTTACTTCGGCCCCGGCCCAGTTGCAGAGCCCATACGTGGTCCATCCGCTGACAAAGGAGGAGCTTCCCCGAATTGCTTTCAACACGTCTATGTTCAATAGCTAGCAAAACCAGGTGTTGTCTGCTGACTCTCTTAGTCCAACACGAAATGGTGACAAGTCCGCATCGTACTCGGGCTTGAGGTCTGCAAGCTTCGATCTAAGCAATAGCACGTCCGGGGTCGGGGCTGGCCCCAATCAGTTGCCTCCTTTGATCAATAAACGTCGGTTGTTTGAAGACTCCATTCCCATCCGTCGACATTCCACCACCACCACCACCGGTGCCTCGCTCTACTCGATGGCGCAAGCCCTGGCATCCAACTCAAGCCTCGTACACGGTCCTCATGGATCCACCTTGACATTGAACCAGTCGGACGCGGTCACACCGCATAGTCCCTACAACCAAAGCCCTTTGCTTCTATCAAATACCAACTCCAGAAACAATTCCATCTCCACCACCTTTGACATTAATTTTATCAACTCCAATAACAACTCATCTTCCAACTCCAGACGTTCATCTATTGCCCCTGACTTCTTCCCCAATCCATTGAAAGATATCAACCCCAGTCATAAACGCAATGTATCCAATAATTCCGGTAAGGCTGCGAACCAAAATGTTCCACCTCCGTTGTCACTCAACCAGCCAAGCCATCCCCAGTTTGCAGTACCTCAACTTATTGGAAACTCTCCAACCCAGTCTGCATTCACATTGAGTAAGTCTCAATCGAACTTGTCCAACGTGTTGTCCGCCTCCAACCTTCACCACCAGCTTGGTGCCAATGTCTCATCCGGTTCCCACCCCAAGAAGAACACAAATAATGGTAGTAACAATGGAGCAGGGAATGGCAAGATCTCGGTATCGAGCCTAATCGATTGAGAAATCGGCATATATCTAGTGGTTTGTCCAAACTTTCTTCAATTCGTTTTCCCCACTGTTGAATTGTATTTCTTCTGTAGTAATAATGAAAAGTAATAATGATTGCAAAAACTATTATTTGCGCACTGTAGGAAAAAAAATTACTGATGAGATGTTGGATCTAGCCGTCATTGATTCCGATGTGTTGGTTTTCGACGTGAATGTGGTGAAACAGCTACGGAACCTTGGGATTCTTGGGAATTTTATGGGCTCTTTGGCAGCTGCTCCCCAACAGAACAGTTTCTTGGGCCTTCCGTTGAAGCTTTCACCCTACGAGATTTTATGGCTTGTGGATAACCGTCAGGCTAACCTCGTCAAACACAAGGGAATTACCAGGATAAATAACCACAAAGAGCCTTATTTCTACACCCAGTACAACAACGAGCCTAGTGAGCTCGAGGCAGTCGATATTGAGGTTATCAGACGTAAAGCCAATCCCAGTTCATATTCGATATTCTGTCAGCTAAAACACCAGGGATACTACTTGCTTCCTGGATTGAAGTTTGGCGGTGAGTTCATAGCATATCCAGGTGACCCACTTCGGTACCATTCCCACGTGATCGTCCATCCTGTGAGTGAAGTGAATTTCTACAGCTTAATTGTAAGTGGCCGTTTGGCCACCGGTGTCAAGAAATTATATGTGATTCTGGAGCCTGACGAAACAGACCCAACGTTCAATATTACGTTCTCTATCGAATGGGCCGGATTTGGTTAGATTACGCTATTAATGTCCTTATATACGTACGAATTAACGATCTCAGTTCTCATCGAGGACAATAGCTCCATTTTGGGCAATTACTCTCCTCTTATAGTCAATTCCACCTTGCAGATTTTTATAACGATACTTGGTTTCGGTTGTGCCAGTTCCATGATTACCGCTGGAAGAAACCACAAACACAGACGTACCATTTTGCCCCGAGGTGTGTTCTAACTGCAGTCCTCCAAATCCTTTCTCGGAATACACATTCACATCGGTAATGTTAACGGTAAAAGTGACATCAGACCCATTAGTTGTTGTCAATGTGTCAAGAACTAATGGATAAGTGAACTCTATGTTTTCGTACAGACTTCCAACCCCGACGGTCATTTTGGTGTTTCCGGTATGGACAACACTCTGATCGAGTCCATCAGAGGAGATTATCTGAATGTTGGTAGTGCTAGTTTTGAACTCTAATTCCACAGGCCCAGACACAACCAGTGAGTCCGCAAGAGTGAATGAAAGACTGCTGTGAAGCTTCACATCGTCCTCACACACTAATGTTTGGTGTAAAGAAGTCGAATTGATGACAATTTGGGTACAGTACCTATTAGTTAAAGCCTGCGAAGATGATCCAGTACTAGACTCCACATGACTATTTTCCCACACATGAAGGTTGGCAGTTGTGATCCAGTTGGAACCTACCAGCTTATGGTCCACACCATTATCAATTTTGATTTCTAATTTTCCGTCCGGATTAGCCTGGATTTTGGGTAACAAGACTGTCAACTCAATGTTGATGGGCTTCAAGTCAAAGGCATCGTTGGAAACCACAGGAGACCACAACGATGGTGAAATACCCCCAGTGAAGATGACTGGATCAGGTGCAACGGCTGCAACTATCTGACCATCAAAATAAACCTCAACATGGCGAATAGGGCCATGTCCATAAAACTCCACCCCTTCAGCTGCAAAACCAGATACATAAGCATCGAGAATGTTAGTATACCAGAACTCTTCCTGAGAGTTCCCTGAAGTGAAAATCGACAACCGCAACTTGGAAGTGTTCGTGTTCAATTCCGGTAATTGTGCAATGAATTGGGTGTCTGGTAACAGGATCTGGGGCAGTGACTCACTTGTTGATCCCAAACTAACTATCTTCGAGGGCAAAGTGTTTGTGAGGATCAAGTCAGTAATGTCATTAATGTCTGGGACTGGCCCAAACTGCGAACCCACCGTCTCATCATAGTAATAGTCAATGTACATGTTTAGTTCAAATGACCCTGTGTACTTGTCGTTGACAATGTTTCCCAAGCTAAACAGGAGCGTGGCCTCGTCCTGGAATAGAATAGCGTAGTCACTAACATCTTTGACGAAGTTGGAGTGGGATGGTTTTCCTCCTGGCTCAATAGTCGATGTTCTCCACACTTCCACACCACTCACAAATAAATGGGCTAACCGATCATATTGTACTCCCGACACATACGTATCCAATGTCAACACAACTCTGTTGAACTCAATGCCCGAAGGAGGTGTATAAGTGGTCACAAAAGGAGAGCCATATGAGTTTCCAAATGTGTGATTGAACAATAGTTCGTGTTGCAAAGATTTCCCGTAACTTGGGTTGACGACATCTGGATAAGTGACCTCAAACTTCTCAACATATGAACTGTTACTGGTAGTAGCAGAATTTACTCCCGAGGCTTTGAAAAAGCTCAATGCATGGTAATTATTGGGTAAAATTCCCTTATCAGCAAGATTTCCAAGAGAACCTGCAAAGTGGTGGGGGTTCAACAGGAAGACATTCAAGACTAAGAGGCCGAAGATACCTAGAAATGAAAGGACTCTCATAGTGCGGGCCTTATGTTTAAATGGATTGATAGGGATTTTGCCAGACTTATAACCACATTTCTTGGAGCCGTACGTCAGTTTCAAATCATTGTTTGGAAAAGACAATTTAAGGTTTGGCGTCTCGACAATTAGCGTGTTATCAGGAAGTCTCAGGTTACCATACTGAATACAATGGAGTAAAGTTAGCTCTCTGTGCTTTCCCATTGTTAGTGTTCGGGTTATTAGATAAGCAGTCCTTGGATTACGGTTTAAACACAAATAAAAATGCGACTCAGTGTTTACGCTATGTAGCTAACAAACTTCTCATACTGTTAATTTGGTGACGATATCTTCGAGCCTCTCTTCCTCCTTTTGCATTTCAATGTATTGCAAGGTACGGGAAAAATATTCTTCCAAAGATTTGAATAATCGGTATTCTTGGTCTTCAGTATCCTTCAAGTCGTAGTCATTGTTGAGGTTCTCAATATTGTTGTAGATCAACTCAATTAAACCATTTATGTAATTATCGTTCACCAAGGTATTGCCATGGATATTGAACACCAAACATTTGTTCAAGATCTCAATAAAAAGCTTAAGCGACAAGTACGGATCGATACATGAGTCCGCCACCCTCAAGGACTTTTGAAGACACTCCAAGACTCTCTTATCATCCTTGAATAATTCAATGGTCTGATTGGTTTCCAAAGTCTCGGTCCACCAGAATAGATGCCCGCAATTGTAAATGGATCGGCATTGATCTTGCTTTTTGAGGAGTTTGGAACCATATAATGTCAATTTGGTGATCAACGATTGATAATCCTCACGAGGCAAGTTTCTGGTGAAGTTCAACTTATTCAAGATTAACAAAATGGATTGATACTGGATAGAGTTGTGGTTCATAGAATCTTGGGGGTTAATACCACGGCCATGCACAGAACCCTGCCCTTGACCTACCATTAAAGTTTCCTCATAAACGATGAAACACTTGTTGAAGAATTCGAATGTGATGGTGGGCAAATTAAGTTGGTCAGCGACCATGGTACAGTTTAAATATAAGTTTAGCACCAATTGAGAATTGAACACTTGGTGATGTTCGTATAGTTCATCGATGATAATAGACAAGTTCTTAAATTGGTTGATCAACTTATTGGTAAACTTACCGCTTTTTGTCAAATTGATTAGTCCAATGGTCTTTAATATATCGAGTATTAATTGTATCACTGTTGGATAAGTGTAGACAATACTTGCAAGGTTCTTATTCAAGAACTTCTTTCTAACGTATGTTATGTTGCTGATTTTTTCAAACAAGTCTATGGAGTTCTTGTTTATCTTACCTAAGACCTTGCAAATATTCGATTGGTTAATTAAGAACTCATTAGTGACCAATTTTTCTCCATTTTCAATTTTTACCGTCTTCACGATTCCCATTTGTTTCAGAACATTAAGCTCATTGGACTCCTTTATCAAAATTAATAGAAACTTAAAGATAATATCGATTTCTTTCACATCACACACAATCTCATCCTGGTCAAGTAATTTATTCAAGATTTCAAGAGAGATTTGCTTTTGGTACAACTGATTTGAGATCCTGTTATAGAACTCATTGAAAAAAGACAACTTCAATAAACTGGAAATGGAATCGAAGTTCTGAATCGGAGTAATAAGCAAATTCAACCAGATCTTTTCATCGATTTCTTCGGAGCTGAAGTTCTCAGTAACAAACTTATAAATCTTATTCAAATTTTCATAATTGTCTCTTTCAAATACCAACGATAGCCGAATGAAACTCTGCAAAATCGACGAGTGCTCTTCTAAAGGAACATTCATAGTGGTAAGCTTTTCGTAGAAGCCCCAAAATTCGTCAAACAATCTCAAGCTCGTGAACATTTCCTCTTCCTTTTCATTTTCTTCGCCATTTTCTTCATCTTGTTGTTGTTGGTGATAGTTTATGAATCTCTCAATCAAAGTGCTGATTAATTCAGACTTGTTCAAAGTGGGATTCAAGTTAAGGAATAAGTTATTAAGGAGCATATTCAAGGTAATAAAGTGGAAGTTGTCAGGGAAAATTTGGATTATCACATCAATTAAATATGTCTGGGCTAAATGGTCTTTACACTGAATAACCTGCTCTATTATTATAGGGAAGACGTGGTCTTTGTAATACGACTCCGGGGAGTACTCATCATCAGTGAAATCATCAATTATTTGAGACAATCTAACCAAATTGGATCCGACTAAGATCTTCAATTCTTTTCGTTCTTGATATCTCAATTCCCTCTCAGAAGAGTGGCCTTGGTGCTGTAATCTCACCCACAACTTGTTCATTTCAATGAAGTTGTTGATCAAAAACGTTACCGTTTCATCGAATTCATGCTTGGTTCCAATGGGTAAAAGATCTTTGATTCTTTGACTCAAGTAATACCTTAAAAACAACCCTCTGATTGGATTTTGCACCCCACGACACATTTCGATCATGTCCTTCATGATAGCCTCTGTGGGAGCATTATTGGTGGAAATAAAAGTTGTTCCCACTGCAATCAACATGTACAAACGAGGAACAATATTCCCACTATATTGGACCAATTCGTACAAATCCGTCAAGAACGGGGTTTCAGTGTTCTTCTTATGCTTCGCCTTGTAGGAAGCCAACAAGTGGTTACACAAGTAGTCCAAGGAATCAAATACGGCAATGTATAGTTCATAATACTGTTTGGGGGACAACTGGTTAATTCTCAACTCATTCAAGAAGTTGGAACAGTGTTTCAATGCCTGTAGAAGGTTACTATCGTTGAGACATTGCTTCATTAAGTGTGATTGATGGTTGATGTTACTTAGACAACCTTGCAAGATTGATTTGGAGTCATTCTTATTCATGGTCACTAAGATAAAGATACTATACGGGATTGAACGATTTCGCGATTTGTTAGAGGATGCTGCGAAAATACTTTCTCTATATTAAACACCATACGCTACAACATAAAAAGAAGCTATGAAACACACTAACTTCGAGAGATGAATCCTCCCAAGTCATGGATGACCATACCAGCAATAGCGGCCGAAATCAAGGTGGCAATGGCACCTGCGAAGAAAGCAGACGCAATTGTACCTGTAATATCCTTAACCCGAGTAGGACACAAAGCACTCAAGACCCCGATGTTAATACCAACGGAACCAAGGTTGGAGAATCCACAAAGAGCATACGTGGCAATCAAAGTTCCTCTGTCGGACAACTTATTGTAAGGAGCGTCGTTGATCAACATGCTGTAGGCCACAAACTCATTTTGAATGGTTTTAGTGCCAATTAATTTGGATACTGCCAATATCTCGTTTCTTGGAGTTCCCAAGAGGAAACCCACCGGATACAAAATGTACGATAACATCAACTCCAAGGTCAATTCGTGAATGTTCCAGAAGTTACCAAACCAGGTCAATAATCCATTGATTAATGCAACTAATGCGATGACACACATACATTGGACCATTAAAGTTCCACCAATTCTCAATCCCAAACTAGCTCCTATACTGTATGCGTGTAATACGTTCTTGGGTGAATCTTCACCTTCCTCTTTTTTGGGGAAGACAATCTTTCCCGCCGTCAAAGGCTCTTCTTCTTCCGGGTATCTCAATTTAGATACAGCCAAGGAACAAGGAATGGACATTACACAAGAAGACACCATGGCCTGGGCATTCAAACCCAAACCAATATAACCAACTAAAACCGACCCAGAAATGGTTGCAAAACCTGAACACATAACCTGGTGCAACTCGGCCTTAGTCAAGTATGGCAAAAAGTCCTTGACCAAGATAGCCGATTCACCCTGACCAATAAAAGGAGAAGCAGCCGTCGCTATAGCCTCGGCACCGGACACTTTTAAAGACCAGAAGAAAAAGTAAGCGAATTTGCCGATGGCCCATTGAATCACACCAAAGTAGAACCAAATATGCACAAATGCCACAAAGAACACCACCGCTGGAATCACCGAGAAGAAAAACCAGCCTAATTCAGAGGTGTCAGAATCGGTCAAGAACGCAACACCATCCTTAGCGAATCCCAACAATAATCTGGCCAACAACGAGATGAAGTTGAAAATATCATACCCAGCCTTAGTTCTCAACACGAACAATGCAACAATGAACTGCATCAAGGTTCCTCCAATGACAGTATTCCAATTGATTTTGGACCTGTTTCTTGAAGTAGCCCACAAGCCCACAAGAGCAACAATAACCCCAAAGAAAGACACAGCTCTGTCCTCTCTCTTGGAGTATGGGGTTTCAGTAGGTACAAACGAACCCACCAACATCACTGCAATAGTGATGCTTCCTCCTACCAACAATCTATGGGTTCTTTTAGGAAGCACCTTGTAGATTAAATCGGTACAATAGTTCCAAGGATACGATACAATGTGTAACAACTGGTGAAGAACTCTCCAGTACAAGGTGATCAACCGAACCATAATGCACCCCCATAAAATAGTTGGAATCAACCATTGGTGCCTGTGCTTTTTCTGAATGACAATCGACAACCACCAGGCGGTGAAAAACATTCCAAGAAATACATGCACTAACACTTTTCGGTAGGGGACCTTGGATATAAACCACGCCCAGCTGCCTCGTTTTGGGTTGTCGTCACCCGAAGTTGCGTATTCGTTAGACTGCTGGTCTGCCTCTATTACTGCATTTTTCTCCAAGTCGTAAAACTCAGTAGTTTTACTTTTAGAAATATTGGGCCCAACCTCCACAACAGAGTTCTTAGATTTTACAGGTTCCATATTAAAGGCAGCCAACAGTTTGGGGTACTGGAAAAAAAATAGTGGGATGTTCAAGAGGCTTTTTATAGAACAGAAAAAAGAGATGAGATAGCTTTTGATAAAGCTCGTTCAATGGCCGAAATTTTTTCTTGAATGGGGAATATTAGGTGATGTTTAAACACCCACACGATCCCCTCTCCCTACGTCTTACACCCCTCTTGTCCTTTGGTATTGTCGCTAGACCCTATGTGGTTGCTTATACCACTGCAAATACCCCCAAAGAACATCGAAACATTCGAGTCTTATCATTGGTGAACGGCACCAGAGATCTTTATCAATAGCTAATCTCTCATTTATTCTTCATCGCTATCTATCAGCTTGGCACAGGGCCTATTGTGTTAGAATGCCGAACAGGTTGAGGGTTGCAGTCTAAGCCCGTGCGACCTGCGCTTTCCAGACTGCTTGCAGCGATAGAGCGCAAACTCGTAGTTCACTTGTATAGTGGAAACCTTGGCCAGTTGGTGCTGTGTATACGATTTACTTACTTATGGCCGTTTGTGGAGGCGGATTCAAATCGCCCAGCACACCACCGACGAGGCGTGAAGAAATTCGAACGGCTCTGTTGCTCTCCAAGAGTTTCTTCTAATGGAACTATCCCGGCCGGGGTCATAACCAAGCCTGCTTTTGGCGCGGTTTGGCGGCGTTTTTATCTTTTCGCTGCGGGATCCCGGATTAGCATGCGGCAGATCCCGGTGATCTCGAACAACTTTAGAAGGCTGCAAATACTAGACGTGTAATTTATATTTTTTACAAACCCGGATATCACTCCTTATACTTGTCTTTCGACTCGAGGTGTTCCGTGCTGCTGATTTCATTACTTAACCCAATAAGGGTTTTCAGGATCATTTCGGTGGTGCCTATCATCGGTCTGAGTAACAAGAGTGGAGACTTCTTCAAGATGATCTTGAGGGAGTCTTCATAAGTCTCGGACTCATTGATGCGTTCTATCAACTTCAAGAACTCATCTTTGGTGAGGTTGTAGTTTTTGTTGATAGAGTTAAAGCTTAATTGAATTCCTTGTTTGAAGTTTTTAGGCTGGTTGGAATAGAGACTGACGAGCTTGGTTTCTTCAATCTCTTCTTCGCTGCTGTCTCCGGTGTCATCTGCTTCCTCTTCGATTTCAGAGTATTTCTTGGTGTGCGGATTGTGGTAAATGTTCCGGCTTTCGAGTCTCTTAGTATTCTTGTTCAACCGGATCGAGTTCTCCAAGAGGCCCGCTTCTTCTTCTGTCTCGTCCTCACTGATGATATCTGCATTATCAAATTTAAGATGGGTATCTCCAGCACTTGTTTTACGTTGTCGAACTTTATGATTTCTCAACTTGGACCCTGTACCTCCTAAAATTTCTTCTCCATGCTCCAATAAGTTTTGGGTTCCATTGGTGAGTCTATATCCCAATTTCAAAAGCTCATAACTGGTGATCTTGAAAAACTCCTTTCCATTTTTGTTCAACTTCTTCAAAAACTTCTGATTGTTCAAATCGTGATAGTCGGTGATGGGCAATAAAACCACATTTTTCAAGGACTCGCTGATGCTGAAGAAAGGTTTAAATATTTCCACTCCATTGAATAGATTGACCAACTGGGTTTGTTGGATATTGGGAAGCCAGTATTCAAACAATCTTGCAAATATCTGATCCCCACCTTTAATCCCATAAAGTTTAATATGATTCAAGTTAATCGTAAGTCCATTTATATGAATCAAATTCAACAATTCGTTAAATTCCCCATTCTTGAGTCCAATCAAGTTTAATTTCTTAGGCTTGTAGTCGACCTTGATCTTGATATCATTGCGAATTTCTATCTTCTTCACATATATGTCCTCCTCAAGCTTTTCCAACTTGAATCTTTTATCGTTGAAGTTGAAGAATCTTACCAAGAACTCATTTGTGTCTTGATCGATAAACAAACGAAGTGGTAATATTGAAATTCTTAAAATACTTTCATTGAAATTCAAACTAACAGGATCTCTGATTGTTGTTAGGTTGAATTTAATCATATTCTTTCCGATTTCTTTCTCACCGATACTGTTCATATAGCTTAGATATTTATTCCAGGTAGAGTTGAGCAAATTGTCGTATATGGTCACCAAGTCGACCACCAACTCAATTTCGTTCAACACTTCATATTCCTTGTGGACAGGTATAGGTTCTTCATCAGGGCTTCTCAAAGTGAAAACATTCACAATAACATCGATACTTTTCAACTCAATTAGCATCTTATATCTGTTGGATCTCTTTAACTTAAGATTCTTATATCCCGTTCCATCAGTATTGCCATCATCAGCATTCTCAGTTACCTGTTTGTTAATGTTCTGAGTCAATTGACTAGGATCAATGCCTTTCGGTAACGTGACATGAATAGATTGGAACAAAGTTTCTTGAATTATTTCCAAGTGGTCATCAACAGTCTCGTCATTTGAATCATGATCTTCTCCTGCTTCAGACGATTCCTTTTCAACCTTCTTGACAACTCCTTTAATCACCTTTCTTGTTTCTTTCCAATCATAGCCGTCATACATATACAAGTTGGCTTTACCCACATTCACACTGATGCTAACAGGATCCACTGTTTGTTTCTGAGAAGATTTATTCTTGCTGAAATAGTTGTTGTCAACACTCAAGTTATCTATCCCCTCATCGAGAGCCAAAAGGTCTACCTGATCGTCGATAGAACTACTGTTTAAAGTGGCATCCTGGCCATCATTTCCGTAATATTCATCAACGATCTCGAAATCCTTGTCATTATCAGTATGTTGGTCTTCAATGGACAGATCGATTTTTGATGGGTTCGGACGTTCAAGTTCATCAATTCCCTCCAACAAGTTAATTTCATGTTCTAGATTCACTTTGAACTTCTCTTCGTTTTTCAAAACTAAGGGAATCTTTAAGTCATTTATGAGCTGAATGAATGTGTAGAAGGAGTCACCACACGTCTCAAGAATACACTCATCTAAGTTGACCTTGATATCCAAGGCAGATAACTTGTTATAAATATTCTTGTTGGACAGCTTTTCCAAAAGCTTTTCAATATTGAAGTTGTAAGTGATCCCAATGTGCAAGTTGGCAATATTACCAATGTTTAGAAACCCCCTTTTTAAGAAGAAATCCAAAGGATTAACACTGTACCGATATTTCTTATTGATGCTAACCGATCTGAGCTCTTTCAAATCATCTATCAACAACAAGCTCAACTCTCTTACGGTTGTCTTTATGTAAAGCTGCTCACCACCGAGCATTAGGTCACAGTTGACCCTGCTCGCATTCAAATACGACTTACATATAAGGGTGTTAGGAGTAACACCAAAGAAACAGTCCTTTAACTGGATTCTAACATCGGTCTTCTTCAATTCTTCCGTTGTATCCTTTGTAAATGTGTTAAGATCGTCCTTAATCTCTTCATTTGGATTTTCAAAAAGCTTCTGCCAGTGGGCATAGAACTCAATAACGAATCGTTGACATTTCAACTCCGTCGAGCCGTTCTTTTTGAGCTGACCAAGTACCAATGGTTCCGAGATGTCAGTCAACGAACGTTCTTCATAATTGTAGAAGATTTTCTCATTCAAGTCACCCAGAACTCTGTTTAACTTGACCCCTTTCAACACAAAATTGTGCTCACCGTTAAACTCAAACAACGATATGTTTACTGCTCTCCCAAGAAGAGAACCGAACTGTTTGTTAATTTCATTAAGGCTGAAGTTAGCCTCTTCAAAAGTGACGTTGAATTCAGCAGTATTTTTCGTGGATGTTGTAGTTACATTCACCCGTTTCTTGAGTTTTTTAGGATTGTACACCGAACCCGAGTTCATTGAAACTAGGTTATACCTCTTGGGAATTGATTTCAAATTACCATTGAACGTGCCAAAAGACAAGATAATATGCTTCAATAATGTGAACAGTAGGTCGACGTTGATTTTGGAAACCCTTACATTGGTAGAAGAGATCACGTTGATATCTCTAGAAAATAAATGATTATGACTTATAAAAGTCTTGAAATCTTGTGCTTTAGTAGACAAAAAAATATTGGAGATAGATGCAATCTTATCAACGCCTCCATCTCTATGGTGTTCCACTATGACCCTTTGACATTTCATTTCATTATTCAACAGGTTGACAAATATGGGAAGAATTTGAACACAGATCCTACAATCCGATGACAAATCTAAGTGCATAGTCATATGAGCTGTTTGGAGGACCAAATGGTTGTCTATTTTATTCTTTTTGACGTTTGGTTTAATATCGTTGTTGGATAACCTTTTATAGTTTTCATAATTTGCAAATAAGCCGGTCAAATGTGAGTTGATAATCTGGAATGAGTCCACCAACTCCAGAATATGTCCCAAAGAATAAGAGTCCAAGTTTACCTTCCCTGGTTTTGATATCAACGCCGTAAACTCATTAATCTTGAAGTCACTGGATATTTTAGAGAACATCTCGAATCTTATGTCTGCTTTAGGAGGTTCACCATCTTCCGATACGGACTGTTCAAATTCCAACACATTTTCTGCCTTTCCATCAGTGGTTTTGATGATTTGGAAGGTTTCAAGACCCCCATAAATAAGGGTATCATGTTTTTGCTTTATGTTGAAATTCTGTACGCTCAAGTACAAATTGTTGTTTGGTGATAAGAATTCACCAGAAAGATTCAAAGCTGAGGTGACACTTAAAATTATCTCACCTATATGAAGACGGTTGAAGAGTTGCTGCTGGTCACCAGAAGTACTGGAATCAGGCCCATTGTGTTTATCATCTTCGTCCTCAAAGTCTTTGTCATAAGTTTCGTTGATATCATCACTTTGAGAGGCGTATTGCGGAAAACGGGGATTGGATTGATATGTTGAAGTGGTTGATTTTCGCTTCTGGTATATTTTCAACTTCAAACTTCTCGAAATGCCATTTATAACTGACAAAACAGTAGGCACCAAAGGGCTGCAAGACAATGTTAACTTTTCAATTTCCACAAACACATTGGATATCAGACTAAGACCTTCGAATTCCACATCAAGTGAGTCCATATACATTATAACATTATCCAGCTTGTTAGGATCCTTATCACAAAGCGTAGGGGTTGCTTCGGTTCTGTCTGGCTTAAAGGATTGGGATGTTGCACTCATATATATGGAACTGGCTTCTTCGTGAGTGAATACCATGCTGTCCATCAACGAGCTATCGATTTCATCGTTGTCATCATCACTGCTGGTGTCACTATCTTCTTCCTTTGTACCTGAAGTCAGGTCCTTAGATTCATTATTCGAGGCTTCACAGTCACCAGGACTACAAGCAGGTCTAAGAGTTATCACGCTCACACCTTTTAGATGAGTTGTACGAGTCCCACTCACGGTACTCAACGTGGCTTCTTCGACTTTGATGACAATATCAGTTAGCTCCGATAAAAGCTTGATGTTCACATTCTTGATGGAAACTTGCAACCTCAGCAATGCCATATCCACAGCACGAGCCATTACACCCCCCAATGCAGAGGGCTTCGGTATCGTAGGAGAAGATGCCGATGATGCAGAAGACTTGGACAGGTCCGAGTTGCTGGTGTCGATAGCGACATCGGGTTGTATACATGTTGGATCCTGAAGTTCGATTGTATCCTCGAGAGATCCCATTTGTAGTACTTCAGATTGGTTGAGCATTATTGTCTGAGCCAAGTCAGCCGTGCTTTGCGCCAACAGTAGCTGGACACTCTTGGTGATATCTTCGTTTATATCCAAGTTTGGGGCAATCACAATATCTAAGTTGTTTACCTCAATATTGACTCCTCCCATGACACCTCCATTCAACTCCAAGCTTCCAAGCTGGCCGTACCGAAGGTTGCATCCGGGGAGTTTTCCAACTTTTTCGGGGTCTATCGAGATGTCTTTGAGGTGGATATTATTGAGTGATACTTCCTCAAGATTAGGGAGATCGATTTCGGAGAACAACGAGAGTTGCTGTAGCACGTACAACAAGAGCCTCTTCTGTATGTTCTGGGGAAGCCATTGAGGACTCATGGCATGGATGTTTGATTTGTTTGGTCAGACAGTCGTATTTGATTGAGGTTGCCTTCTGTTCTAGTGATGATGTTTTGTGCCTAAGTGTGCGATTAGATAAAGCGCGAGTTAGCATACCTGTCGATAAAACCGTATAGTTATATATGACTATGTTACAATAAAATACAGATGGTGGTACATTACACGCTGGAGCCAAAAGGAGTGGCAGTCCATTTTGCGTGGGGCTCAAAGAAATAGGTTTTTTTGGAGGTCGAAACGTCGTCACTGGGTTGTATTTTCTGCTTTTTCAAAGCAGGGGCTTGAGTGCCAAGTATAGAGTCAAGTGACTCTACCTGCTCGTACTTCTTGAGCTTCAACCTTTTTCCCACACTTTCATGCACCACTTCCACTTGCTGTTTCTCGTCTTCTAAAAGCTCAATTTTGTTCAAACCTTGAAGAATCTCCATTTTGGATTCGTCGTTGAGAGAGCTGATATCTTGCAATAGCGAACCAATCCTCTTCTTGCCTTGGTCATCCATTGACGAGTACAAATACACCACCCATCCACATAGCTGAGTCGTCTCATACTCGTGAGTGATTTCAAACCCGAGCTTCTTATTGATTTGAGTTTCCACCATAGTAAACTCCAGTTTGAGCAGACGTAAAATAACCTCATATAATTGCCTTTTAAAGTAAGGCCCCAACTCCTCCAACAACGGATTATAAAGCTTGAAAAGAATAGCTAAGAACAGGTTGATCTTCTTGGCCTTGACCGGGTCCATCTTGTTGTATATCAAAAAGTCCTTGAATATTAACACTCTAAATGTGATTTGAGGGTTGGATGCTAGTATGGACTTGATCTTCAGCACCGCTTTCCAGTACTTTTTACCGGTGTCAGAGGAGTTCCCGAATTTGTAGATAAAGTTCAAGTCTTGCTTTCTAATTTTTTTGTACACTTTCAAGTTAGCCACCAACTCCTTTATACTAGAATCACTTGCTTTCACAGCATCCTGAATAAGTATCTGGTCACGTTCCAGCAACAATTCTTCAACCTCATCTTCGATATCTGATTCTATGTCTTCTATTTTATTCCAGTAGTTGTCGTACAACCAATTAAGGGCATTTTTTGCGGTGGTTCTCAATAGGGCTAGACTAGGAAGTTTCTCATGGGTAGCTGTATGTCTCAATTCCACAAAATAGCTGGGCATCTGAAGGGATTTGGCGAGCTGATGCAACGGTATCGCAAAGTTTGACTGTTGTAGCGGATCTAGAAGACCGTTGACAAATCTGGTTAATGCCATGGAATACGATAATTGGAGAAGATACGAGTCCTTCTGGATCACCACCTGTGGACTTGACTTGGAAGACATTTCGGGATCACTGAGGCACAACGATGTCAACAATGAAGTAGACTCTATTGCGTGGGGAATTCTTCCTCTGGAACTGATAGCTTTCACGATTTGGACTGCTCGGTGTCGATGGTCTCGATGCTCATCGAAGTTATAGAACCAGTCTTTGAGCTTGATGAGATCTTCGGCGGATTTATACGACACCACAGAGGGCTGCCGATTTAACATTCTACCTATTTGGTCTGCGGTCACCATGTTGGCATCGCTGGATTATTTATATAGTAAGTGATTAGAAAACCTTTTAGTTCTTCGCAAAAAAAACTTTATTTTGATTTGGCTGCGAAATAAGATGAACGTAAATTGAACTAGTTATTATTCTATAGCTGGTTGGTATTCTAAATTGTCAAAAAAACAAGTTGGGTTCGTATATCATTAAAGGTAGCACTTAATCTGTCTCAAACTGTTGCAAGAGCTGCTGCTGTTCGTATGAAAGCACTCTTTTCTTATTGCGAGTTGAGACAGCCGACCTTCGCGTGCTCAACGGGTAAGGGCCATGAGGATTCAAATGAGTAGAGTCAATGGATAAGTAGCCAGTCTCCATCTCATACGTGGAAGAGCTATCCACCATCTTTGACATTTCGTTGAGATTGTCTGTGTAAGGGAACTTCAGATGTAAAATGTATTCTTCTTCGTTATCATAGGCAAGTCTTTGTACGTTGGAGCCAACAGCACTATCCCAACTAATCAACACCACTCCAAATAGCACAGCACAAAGACCCAATAACACCCAGAATAACTGCCCTATGGTCAATCTCTGGTTTGCCAACAAGTGATTGAAGGTCAAGTCATTGATCAAGTTCATGAGATTGTACACCAAGAAACACAAAGGGTAAAGAATGGACGACGAAATCTGGGCCAACCCCAAGTTGAAAGCGGTCAACTGGCACCCGACAATCGTCAACATCACAATAAGCAAAAAATAAGGAGTGATACTCCTGGTGATACTGCCAACATCATGTGGACCAGCGAAAATGGATTCCACCACCACATCGATTAAGGATTTAGCAAACAAGAATGTATGTGCCGTTAAAGTTCCCGAGATCAACCCGTAGTTGACTCCCTTAAAGAATTTGAGCTTTTCAAGAGCTTTTGTGGTTGATCTACTCAGTCTTTGTTGAATTCTATTCTTAAACTTATTTCTTTTATAGGTGATTGCCGAGTTTGCCAACAACAACAAACCAATCAACACAAACGAACTGATGAACCAGGCCATGAAACGGGGGTCTATTAGCTTGTGGATGATGATTTTGAATCGCTTATCCACATCAATATCAGAATCAGGAGGAGGAGGAATGGCATTTCCGTGGTACGCAATAATGAAGGCACCAGTAGATATAATTAATGTGCCCACGCCAAGTTTCCACGTGAATGTTTCTCCCGGTAATAATAGGCAGCTTAGGAGGGAGTTGAAGATCAATCCGATACTTTGCAAAGGAGATAATATGATTAATGGTAAAGTGGTGATTTGGATCAACGAGCCTAAAACATTCGAGACTATGAATAGAAAAAACCCGAATAGCCATGTGTTACGCTGAAGCTTTGAATATTGGTGATGAGTTTGTGGATTATCTGTGGATTCGTCACCTAAGTGAATGGGAAGTAGATGAGATCGTCTTTGTAAAGTAATGCCCAAAGACTGTAGAGCAGAAGAAACCACGGCCACCGAGCATCCCAATGCTATGGAAGACGGTGGTGACATGTCGAAGATGGTAACTCCCATAATTCGTGATGGGGTCCTTTTTGTTTCAGGGACAGTGAGTGAGGATATTTGACACGGTCGTGAGTGAGGTTTGTCCGAAAACAGAAACGACAACAAATGCGCATCCTCCGCAAAACCTAACAATACCACCGGTTGTAAAGGTGTTAAGTAAAGATGACAGTTTCTGACCACGAACTCGAGGCGTCTATTCTCAAAATAAAGGATCTCTTGAATGCAGACCCATCCAAGCAAAACTTGGCCGATGCAATTGACCTTTTAAACCTGCTCCTCCAGTCAATGATGCCCTCAATCCAGGCACAACGTACACCAATGACCATGGCTCCGTTTTCTGCAAACTCATCAAGTAGCAAGTTGGTTCGATTTGTCAAGCTCCAAGACAACTTCCGCTTCAGCTTGGTCTTGAGTATTGACAGGTACCTTGACTGGATATATGATAACATTAGCACTGTTGATAGTGCATCAATTGTGCAACTCAACAGACTTCTACAAGGACTTTTGTTGATTCATTCACCGTCTCGATCGATTTTCTCCAACACCACCGACATGAGGAAGATCTTGAGGTTCGTTGAGTTGGGCAGTCCAGCTGTTCCGTTTGAGGTGACCATCTCATTTATCACCACCTTGCTTCATATTTTGATCAAAAACCTAGACAATTTCCGGGTATTCGAATCGTGCAATGGCTGCTCTATTCTCATCAGTAAACTAAAGATATCCGATTTGTCTGTGCCTAAAAAGTCCATTGAAAATAATTCGAGCATGAAGTCTGCCAACCAGCAGATGCTCAACTTCAAGATCATTGAGTTTTTAATTTTCTACCTCAATGATGAGTCAGAACTGCAAGGCTTCGATGGGAAGAAGAAGTCCATCAAGGAGAAATCTAATTATTTTAGGAACGACTTTCCTGATATCGATAATCTTATTGAATCGCTCAATGATTTGAAGAACATATAAAGTTAAGTACACCTACTCAGGTGCGAAGCGTCTCATAGAAACCGACCAAACTTCTCACTCGGTTAGTGTCAGGACCAATGTTTACTCTGGTGCTGCTCTGAACTGCTCTTTCTGAGCGGTTACCTCCAAGATGAAAAATGTCCTCAATGAAATGAACAAAGTTGGGGTCGGGCACAAATCTGTGGACAGAGTACTCTTCTATTACTTCGTGGTCAATCATGGAACAACTTTCAGTTGGAAGAGTGCCGACTGTCAGTGCCAAGCTTAATGTGTCGTTGTCTGTGGTTTCAATTACGATAGACATTGCTTGAAACGAAAAGTTCCCATCCATAATTGATTCATCTGCAGTGTGCAAAGAGCTTAAGACGTGTTTGGGATGCTCATCGTTGACACTATTATTAGGCTCATCAGCCTGAGGTTCTGGTGTACTTCTTTTCGCAAGCTTCTCGGGACTTGGTTTTTCTACAGGTATGTGCTCTTGTTTCACAGCATGACAAGCTAAGAGACTTAGTTTTATCTGACTCCATAAGCTGTGTTTTCATGACTTCACCTTCTTATAGACATCTTTTCTAAAAGAGCCTTTTTTTGGTTTAGTGCTTATACTTGGATAACACTTCATTTCTTTGTCCTCTTGAGAAATAGGTATAATTAAATTTCTAATAAATATACTGGACTTTGGTATGTGAGGATTTGATATGCAAGTTTGAAAATGGCACTTCGTAGAATGCTGAAAATCTCACTTAAAATCTTTGGTGTCCTTCTCTTACAGTTTTCTACATAAACAGTATCCCATGAATTCCAAATTAGGAGTTTACCTACCTTCTTATCTTAGATTCGCCAAATTTGCAACTCTTTCCCACAATCAATTGATATCAAAGAATCTTCCCTGTTTCATATCGACACCTAAAAACACCACTGGTACACACTATAGACTTACTTTTATACTCAAGTCCGTCTTCCACCTATATAATAAACCAATTAATATTGCCCCTCAATATCATCTTTTAGCAGATGTACCAATATTCTCATTGTTTTTATTTCGAAGTCTCACTCACTAAATTCTTTTACAAGCAGAGTGATGTATACCTACATGGAATACCTTCAAAAATGTTTCTATAAGACCACTGGCTGGTCGGAGGATAACATATTCCCAAATATCACATCCAATTCTCAAGCCATCTTGGATTTTAGCATTCCCAATGGCTGTAAATTAGATATATCTTCCAAGTCATCAGACTACTCGGCTTCCAGTTTTACGTTATCAAATTATAACGTTATAAATGGCTCATTGGCATACTTATACTCGAGCATTCCGTTAAAGAATACATTGGGAACAAAGAACATGTCCTTACAAGAGGCACTCTCTGGTTTTAAGATAATTGAACCCAAAGAACTAGAAACTAAGTCTGAATTCTCAGCAGTCCCTTCGGACATTTCCAAACCATCCTTATTATACGGCAGAATGTATTTTCCTGGTTCTGCTTTGGAAGCAATGGTCATCAAGAGGATCTCAAAGCTGACCCAGCTTTTGATCAAGTCGATAAGTAATCCTAATTTGTCCAAGAATGGAACCATGATTATTTATTTGCAGAACAACACATCCAAGCTACTGAGAGAGTTTATTTATTCCACAAATGAGGCCTTGATAGGTTTCAGGTGCTTGTATAACTTTGGCCAGAATGAGAAGACAAGCGCCACCAGTGCCAAATTCTCGGGCCAACATCTCCCCATCATCCCCAAACTCGATAATTCAGTGGTATCCATCGGAACTGAAATCTGGTACGCAGCCATGACCTTGAGTCCCGGTTTGTCTACTGCTTTTAGGTACTCAACAAGGTCAACAACCACGGGAAAGCCCTTGACCATGACCATAGCCTGTAATCCTATTCTTGGTCAACTATCTTCAACTTACACAGTGAAGACTTCGGTTGCATCTACCTTTAGTTCTCGGTACGAGTTTAATCTTTATTCGTACGCCAGTAACTTATCCTTGGGGTTTGAGCTTTACAATTTGTCGAAACAGCCTTCACCATACAATGACACTGATGCGATTGTCAACTCTTCTATGAAGATATCACCTAATTCCCAAAGTATCACGATTTCTCCAGGCATGAGCTCGATAGATGTCACCGGGCCTGAGCCGCCAATACATAAACAGACGGTCATGGCGGTGTTTCAGAATCTCGTAAAGCAAAGTGACTTTTCATCTGTGTTGAAGTTTTCAACCAGTCTAAATGATAGAATGATTAAATTATTATGGGAAGGAAGATGTAAGGATTTTCTAGTGAGTGCTGGAACTCGGATTTCTTTGAATCCAAACACCAACCAACCCGAGTTCAACAAGCTTGGAGTATCGTTTTCTTATGCATGCTAATGACTTATTAATGTATTATATTCAATATACTTTATTTATCCTACTCTATCGTTAATTGACCGGGTAACATGATTTTTCGCATTCAAAATTTTTCATCCACTGAAAACTACTGCTATTACAACAACTATGAACAACCAAGAGCTCTTCCGCCTTTTCAAGGACTCAAAGCTCGCACAGGTGGCTAAACCGTTGTCCAAGGTGTTAAGAGGGAACCAATCTGGGCCCACTCATCAGATTATTTACACTCCTAAATCCAGTGCCATCAGATCCAACTTTGGTATCAAGACCGCATTGCCCAAGCAAATTGGATTTTCTCATATAGTTTACAATGATATCGACAATGCCACAAGCATGCCAGATGTCGAAAAGTACTCGGGAAGCTTCTACAACAGAATCAAGTTTCAAGAAATGAACATTCCTGTAAGAACAGAGCACAATACCAATCCTTTATTTAAATCTGAACAAACCCTTACACCAAAGAAAGCCAAAGATGTCAACAGCTCTAATGAAGATTCAGTTTCATTTGGCTTGAACCTCAAATCAAGTACTCCCAACAAAGCGGTGAAAAAGTTGTTGAAGAAAAATTCCCAATTTTATAACCAATATAAGGAGTTCATGTTGAAAAACTATCCAGACAAATTGGTATCCAACGGAGCTAGAAATGAACACAAATTAGTACATGAGTTTCTTAACACATCCCAAGATTTCAAGAAAGCCAAAAGTGGTCTTTTGAGCCAAAAATCAAACAGAATCCAAGGTACTGGTGGATTTTCATACCTTCAAAAGGGAAGATTGACTAATACTCCAAACGGTATCAAATACGCAGCTATGGCCCCAGGAAGAATCATTGATTCTAGAGATGCAGCTATAGGTGGTTTCATTGCCTCCATAAATGATAACAATTCTTTACAAAGAAACTACACCAAGAACTTTCCAGGAAAGCACCAAAGACAATTTGTTATTCCATTCCAAGTGACAGATGCAGAAGTATCCAACTCCGGTAAAGTGAGATTGGAAGCCAATGGAGTGCAAAGTGGTCCTTGGTCCAGTGGTTTGGGAGAAAACTCATCTCTTTACAAACCAACTAACAATAACGTAAGAGGAGCCAGTGAGAGAATGGCCACTGACATGAAACAGTTTTCAGCTTTGTTAAGTGTTCTTGAACAACCAGCCAAAGCCTAATACTAACCCTCCTTGTGTATAATTAGTTTTTCATCTCTACCATGTATATACCATATATAAAAATCAAATATTATTTTACAGTATTTTTACAACTTTCTCTTTTTTGCAGCATTAGCATTGGCGGTAGAGAATCCTGTCATTTTCTTTTCTTCGTTAGAGATTTCAACTCTAATGTTTTCAGCCAATGCTTCATCTAGTTTACCATCTACTTGATACCAAAGATGAAGACTAGCAGACCTACTTCCTCTATCAAGAATACGTTTCATATAGCTTCTAACCTCAGCTTCTGGTTTCATGCTGTTCAAAAGAATTGACACAAACTTGGTGGAAATATCATGAATAACAAATGAAACTGCAGTATACCTTGGTTCTGGTTCTTCTGGAGCAACAAGTTTTTTAGGAGGCTTATTGATTTGTTTCTTAGCACCTCTTCTTGGGGGAGGTCTTCTTCTACTTCTTGGAAGTTCTGGTTCTGGTTCTGGAGGGTCTTCAACAATCTTTCCTTCAGCAATCTGTTTTTGTCTTTCTTCTTCAGCAACCTGCCTTTGAAGCTCTTCACGCTCCTTTTTCTCTCTTTCTTGCACAGCAGTCTCGTACTCTTCCAAAAGTGTTTCATACCTGTCCACCTCAGTTTGGTTGTGTATCCAAAGGAAGCTGATCAACAAGTCTCTATCATCACTACTTTTTTTGGAAGGTAGTATTTCGCATATGGAGTTTTTAGGAAGCATGTATCGGACATTCGAGTTTTCCACAAACTCAAAAACCAATGTAGCATCCGATATGTATTTTTCCTGGAATGCTGTAAGTTTCTGCTCTTTTGCGGTTTGTTTAGAGAGTTTGAGATACTTGGTACCCTTTTCTTTAGATGGTTTTCTTATTCTCAATGGCGTATGAGGATCGAGCCGGAAGTTTGGCACAAGAAATGGATGTGGAGGTGATCCCATTTCTCTGGCTCTTAATATATATCCCTGAAACGTCATCAACTGGTTGGGGTTGGCACTACCGGTTGCCACGATTTTCATGAGCCGGTGCAAATTGATGTCGACTTTGGCAAGAGCATTTAGGTTGAACACCATTAAGGTGTTTTCAGCCGATAAAGCATCCGTGGGATCCTTATCCTTTTTGGGCTTCTCTGACTTGGACTGGCCGGAAGGATTAGAGGATTGTTTTGTGATTTGAGAGTCTTCAATTTGAGTAGTAACAGCAGAGCTCAATTGAGGAGCCGGTGACGACGAAGCATTCTTCGGGGTTTGACTATTCGTGTCTTCTATGTTAGAGACTTCTGCTAAGGAGTTTTCTTCACTTGGATCAGGAGTTGTGGGTTTACTAGCGGGTTCAGGGTGCTTTTGATCTGACTCTAGAGTGTTTGACTTGGTTTGATTTGGTCCGTCTACCTCCATAGAATTCTTACTTTGTCCATCATATTTGCTATCGTTCTCAGTTGAATTGTCACCATTTTCTGTTTCGGGCTGTTCTGATTTATCTTTACCAGCTTCTTCCTTGATTTCAACAGGCTCCTCATCCTTCTTCTGAGATCGTTCGTCTTTGGCAATGAAAATTCTGATTTCAAAAAAGTGTGGACCCAATGTTAATCCAGCGTCACAGAGTTTCACCATAACATCCCTAGCATTCACATCAGCTGAAAGCACTGGTGCTCTATCAGCTTCAGTCTTTACAAGTCTGTTTTCACCCATCAATTTCTTAGCATAGGATGTCTGTTTTATCCAATACAAGCGAAACATTGGACACGATCCCACATAGTTTGTACGAGACTTCATCAAGGATCGGTATAGTATTCCCGAGTCCTTGACCGTTAAGGGAGTCTTGAGAACATCTTCATAGTTTCCATAAGGTGGCTGACTGTAAGAAACAGGAAGCCCTGCAACCACGTCGAATGGCCGAACAATAGATTTGGACAAAGCCTTCTCCTCCTTCTCAATCTGCTCTCGCTTGGCAGAGGTGATCCTCCTCCTCATACGTGGAGGCATGGTATATTGAAATTAAGATATGGGTTTGGAAGATTTCAAAGTTTGAAAAATCCGAGCGCGACTAGGTATTTATGTATGCATTGTAATGATATTTGAAGATTTTAAGTAATAACAACTAGAGATTTTCCTCTAGGGCCTCTAAACCTTGATTGAAGAGTCGAATCATATTGTCAAGTTCGTTGACCAACTTGAGTTTGGGAGTTGAATCGACGAAGAACTCTCCGTTGATGCTGGGAACGGCTGGGAATTTTGTCCTGATATAGCTCGATGGTGAGCTGCTACTGCCAATCTGTTTGGAAACGGCCAATGAATTTGAAGCAGTCAACTTTCTTTGGGGAACATGTATCGACCTGCTTGACGTAGATATAGACTCGGCCCGTTCTCTTGGAACTTGGGGAGTAGATGACTTCTCTTCTGTGATTATTCCTTCTCCATTGCCCACGAATGAATCTTTCTCCGTTAATGGAGTCATTGACATACTACCGACTTGCACAGGTTTAACACCAAACTGATTTAGCACCTCGTGGTCATTTTCAGCATCAGCAGGGTTAGTGCTGGTGTTGGTGAGGGCTGAAAGTGAGTTGACAGTGTTATTGGGGGTAGGCATTTGAATATGTAGACCAGGGCGGGCTTTCCTTGGTTTTGCTGCTGGTTGAGCCCCACCATTACTGACCAGACCATTGTTGCTAACGGTAGAAACATTATTCATGGACGTCAAATTCGGCTGTGAGACCGAGTTTTCACTAGATTTGAAATTTATTGGTTGAAGCAAAGGGTTTGTTGAGGTCAGCAATGCCTTCATGGACTTAGAAGGTGAGCCTGCGGTGGAGTTGCTGGCAAAAGTAGACGTAGAAGGAGGATTTGGTGATGGGGTGTTGTTGGAGTTATTCAACGTTGAGTATGTTGGAGTATGAGGAGTGGCATGAGAAGTTCCGCTTGTATAGTATCCACTAGAGGAGCTGGTGCTTCCAAACGAATTGGAAATAGTCTTCTTCCGAGGCCGCGTAGCTGGCTGATTGCCAGTGGTAGAGAAACGAGTTTCCAAGTTTCCAGAAGCTGACTGGGAGTGATATAAGGCCGGAGGTTTACTCAAATGAGGTTGACTGGAATTTTGCCCGCTGAGGTTATGGGTTGATGTTGAGCCCACAGACGATAAATTGGGAAGCTTATCAATATCGGGGATTTCAATGGTTGGTGATTCCATCCGTGATTCAGACTGCTGTGAACCTATTCCTGGAGGTGGGAGTTCAAAGTCCCCACCAACATGACCCAGTTGGGCTGCTATTTCTGGAGACTCTTCAAAGAGACTTTGCAATGATATGGGAATATCATTCTTTGGAGCAGCTGAGCTAGGAGCTGCTTTGAGGAGCTTATCATAGTGGGAATAATTGTTTCGTAAAGTGCTAGTGTATTGGTCAGCCTTTAATGTTGGTTCAGTTCTATAGGTATCGTTGTTTTGGTAATCGCCCAAGGAGTAGGTATTATCAAGTCTGTCATCCACACCATCCAAGTCGATGTCATTTTCAATGATATACTCTCTACTGCTTAGAGAATCAAAATCCCATTTAACTTGAATGTGATTCGCATCACCTGGATCACCTTCTGCTTGAGGGTCACCTAAATCATTCTCCAAACTCACAAAAACCGTCGAGTCTTTTCTATTATTATTATCTCTCCACACCAAGTACCTGCTGATGACTTCCTTTAGAGTAACGGTAGGATAAGTGCGGTAGAACTTCACCAATTTACACTTCAAGAGGTCATCAGCCAGAGGTCGTTCTTCAGGATTCTCATCAAGACATAAGGCAATGGCTTCTTTTAAATTAGGAGAGTAGTCCCGGCCTTCCAATCTCGGAGGTGTCAGCTTTGAGATCATTTGCATTGCCCACAGAGCATCTTTATCACAATAAGGAGGGTTACCGGTGGCAATCTCATAGATGGTGATACCTAAGGACCAAATGTCTGCTTTTGAATTATATGTATCACCTTCCCTGATCACCTCGGGGGCCATCCAGTAGGGAGTCCCGGCCATTGTTGTTCTCTTCAAAGAGTTAGCCGAGACTTTTGCTGCCACCCCAAAGTCACATAATTGTACGTTTCCTTCTTTGGAGATTAAGATGTTTGCAGCCTTCAAATCTCGATGAATCACCCCTAGTTTGTGTACGGCTGATAAACCAATCAACAGCTCTCTGATGACCACTCCAATATGCTTCTCTTCAAAAACTCCGGCTTTAAGAAGAGTTCTAACCGATCCTCCAGAACAATAATCCATTATGATCCAGAGACGAGTATCATTCAATATAGACCCATAGTAATGGGTGACGTTGGGAACATTTTTCAACTCAGCAAGAAACTGCACCTCCTGTTGGACGTCTGCCACCTCATCTTCCTGGGTATCCAAGTTTAATACTTTAATGGCCACCACCTGTTTGGTTTGCCGGTTGAGGGCTTTGTAAACGACCCCAAACTTCCCCCTTCCAATGATTTCGGTTCGCTTGAACAACTCGGTGGCACTCATGATTGCACGGTTTCAACCTAGTTTTATTAGCAGGGATCTGCAAATAGATTGGTTAATTGGGTAAAACAATTAACTGGGATGGGATGAGGACCAATACGTGCGCACTGAGGATTAAAATTGAATTTCTCTCGCGATTCCAACTCCAACTCCAACTTCAACTTTATCAATTGACTCATAATGAGAACCGCTACGATATCTAGAGACACCAACGAAACCAAAATTCAGATCGCTTTGTCGTTGGATGGAGGACATGTGGCTCTTGAAAAGTCGTTGTTTGTACAAAGTGGCTCTAAATCTGATGAGCACGCTACCCAGGCCACCTCTTCGCAGGTCATCAACGTACAAACTGGTATTGGGTTTTTGGACCACATGTTGCACGCGTTGGCAAAGCACTCGGGCTGGTCACTTATAGTGGAGTGTATTGGAGACCTCCACATCGATGACCATCACTCGGCGGAAGATGTGGCTATCGCGTTGGGAATGGCCTTCCACAAGGCGTTGGGTCAAGTGAGAGGTGTCAAGAGATTTGGAACTGGATTTGCCCCGTTAGACGAAGCTTTGAGTCGAGCGGTAGTGGATCTTTCCAACAGACCGTATGCGGTGATCGACTTGGGTTTGAAGAGAGAAAAAATTGGGGATTTATCGTGTGAGATGATTCCTCACGTTCTTGAAAGTTTTGCCCAAGGAGCCGCCATCACCTTACACGTTGATTGCTTGAGGGGGTTCAACGATCACCACCGGGCCGAGAGTGCCTTCAAAGCATTAGCAGTGGCCATTAAGGAAGCCATTTCAAGTAACGGGACCGATGAAGTACCTAGTACTAAGGGAGTTTTATTTTAGGAAACACCAGTTTCTAGAACAAGTACCCCCCATATTTCATCAGACTCTAGTTGGGATCTTAAGTTCTACTTCCCCAGCTTGTACACTATTAAATATATTTATTGATAAGCTCAAAGACCCTACAAATATCTCATCGCGGTGCGAAAAGAATCTCTCGCAGTACCATGTTGAAACAAAGCGTCAGATACGTCTCCAACGTGAGAAGATCCTTGGGAGCTTCCAAGGCTCAGAGCAGAGACAAGCGCACCACAATAGATAGGTATCTTCCCCAAGATCCCCCAAAGAAAGAGAAAGAATGGGAAAAAAGGGGTGTCTCCAAAGACGAATTTTTCACAAAGAAGTACAGCTTCATGAGTGATTGGGGCAAACAGAAGCTTGAGCACAAAATATCTAGAGAGCAACGGTTCAAGTCGCACAAGAGAGAGCATGCCCGGATGCAAAGAGACGACGATCGAGATCACCGGGATTCAAGAACTCAGCGATCAGATAACTACCGGGACTCCAGACCCCAACGATCAGATAGCTACCGCGACTCGAGGTCCCAAACGTCAAACGATTACCGAGGCTCGAGATATGACGATTTCGAAAAACACTCCATCCTCGATAATGCACTCTTGGAATATGTGTACGGCAGACATGCAGTTTTGTCGGTTTTGAAGGCCAAAAAAAGACAGCTGTATGAGAAGTTGGTGTACACTGAAGGGAAGACACCAATAACCGATATTCTTAGCATGTGCAAGAAGTACGGTGTTCAAACCGAATTGGCTGCAAGTAAGCAGCAGCTCGATTTCCTCACCAATAAAGCGGTGCATAATGGAGTTGCGTTGGCCACCCGCAAGCTCGAACTCCCTACGTTGGCCAAGCTCGGCCCCCATGATGCTGAAACCGGCACGTACAACCTCGACATCTGGAACGAACTCTACAACGCCCAAACCACTATCCACAAACAGGTACAACGGTCGTCCGAGGAATCGAGAAATCCATTGGCACTTTACTTGGACGAAATTACCGACCCCCAAAACGTTGGGGCCATTATCCGGTCTGCCTACTTCTTCGGAGTGGACTTCATTGTCACCCCATCACACAACACTGCTCGCCTTGGACCCGCTGCTGCCAAAGCTGCTGCTGGAGCTCTTGACTTGATGGACATCTACCAGGTTGAGAACGGCTTGAAGTTCATTCGAGACGTTAAAGAGAGTCCCTGGGCCCTTGTGACCACCGAAGTAAAGGAATCCACGAAAACTATCACCCACAGTCAGCTTTCAGATATTCTTGTGGATGCTCCGGTTCTTCTTGTGTTGGGTAGTGAAGGTAGTGGTGTGCGGACCAACATCAAGAACTTATCAGATTTCTACGTCAGACTTTCGAAGAACAGAACAGACTCCGATGCCGTGGTCGACTCACTTAATGTGAGCTCCGCCGCCAGCGTATTGATATCGAGCTTTATGCGGTAGTTTGAATAACTTGTATATACAAATTGCTCATGTGAATGTTCCTTGTATATAGAAGCTGCTCATGTGAATGTTGGGCTGCGAAAATATAATGCCAGAAAAACATCTTGTGATTTACTCCAATTAATTATATCTCTTTTAATTATTCATAATGGTCGAATATCACCTTGTTGTTTTGGTGCACGGGTATGTATATTAACACCTAGAAAATTCTTATGGGCTTGGTACTAACGATCCAGGCTTTGGGGAACCTCCTCCCATATGGCGTATGTTAAGTCTCAAATTGAGCAAGAAGCTAAATCAAGAGCAACCAAGGAAAAGATTGTATGCTACATCACCGGATCACACAGCGGATTTCTCACGCACGATGGGATTGACGTGAATGGGAAACGGATTTGTGATGAGATTCTCGCAAAGACCCAAGACTTGACCGTAGACAAGGATAAGGTTACCAAGTTTTCCATAGTGGGATACTCTCTTGGAGGGTTGATATCCCGGTATGCTGTGGGATATTTGTACTCAATTGGATTCTTCGACAATATCCAGCCCATCAACTTCACCAGTTTCTGTACTCCTCACGTAGGAGCGTTGAATCCAGGGACAAGTTGGGGAACCAGAATCTACAATTATATTTCTCCATACGTTTTGGCTCATACTGGCTTCCAGTTGTTTTTGGGCGACAGGAAGAAAGATAAGCTCCCGTTGCTTGTGTGGATGTCAGACCACCGGTCAGCTTTTTTCAAGGCATTGAGCAGTTTCAACAACTTGGTGCTCTATGCCAATGTCATTAACGACAAGAGAACTGCCTGGTACACAGCCGCTATTTCGTCTCGGGATCCGTTCAAGTCGATGATCAACGAAAATGCCAGTGCTTATGTTCTTGAGTTTGTTGATGGATATGCTCCAAATGTGGTGGATATTTCAAAACCACTTGAATTCAAGAGCGAACTTAATGACAATGTACAGCCTCCTATTGTCAAAAGAGGCAAGAGATCGTTGTGGAGAAAGTTCAATTGGCTCAAGTTGATTTACGCAGTTGTTGTTTTTCCCTTATGGATTTTGTACGCTCTTGGACTTGCTGGTGTACAAGCATTCAGAAACCACAGAAGAGTAGGAGCTTTTTTTAAGGACCGAGCAAACAGCTTGGTTCATTTGTACGAGGGTACCAAGAGCGATACTGACTCGGACGACTGGACACTTGAAAGCTTTGAGAAAGGGGTCTCGCAGAGAATGGAGGACCAAACTGACACTTTTGTTGAATCTGTGTTTACGGCAATGAACGGTGATTCCTATAAGAATTACCAAGCCAGCACCGGATCGACTAGTGGAGAGACCGGCAGTCTTGTCAACCTTAGTGGAAAGGAGCAGGATTTTAAACTTGGCTTGAATGAAGATCAGGTTACTATCATTAATAATTTGAACAAGCTTAACTGGAACAAGTTCCCAGTTTTGATTAGGAAAACCAAGCAAACACACAGAGCAGCAGTTTACCGCACGGACGACCCAGCCTTTTCAGAGGGGAAGGTTGTAGTGCAGCAGTTTGCTCAGCAGGCATTCGAGTTTTAACAGGTTATCAGGAGGAAATTTAGGAAATATAACATCAATAGGAAAATAAAAGGACGGGTCAATGAAAAACAGCATATCAATGGTCGTATTCTTTAATTACATACGGAACTTTTGTTAGTTCAATAATTCTACAGGAAAGCGGTTCAGATCAACTCTACATAATTGGCAGGAAATATTCCTGTCACACCATTGTTTCTTCCTGTCCACCAATCGTCAGTAGTATCGGTCTTCTTGACAATGTCAAACACATCTCCCTTCTTGAACGCCAAATCACCAGGTTGTTCACCTTTGAAGGAATACAAAGCAATGGCCTGTGAAGCAGTTGGTTTTGGAGCACCTCCAAAGTTTGGCTTGGAAGAGGTTGGAGGTCTTGAAGGACCGTTATTCGATATCCTCGAGTCTCCAAGACGAGAGCCCAACCGATCTACCTCGCTGTTTCCTCGGGAGCGGCCGTTGGTGGATCTCCCCGTGTCGTAAATGTCGTCTTCCCATCTCGAGTTGGTTTTGGAATTGGTCCTCAAACTATTCGAAGGTTGCCTTCTTGCACCTCCACGAGAAGATCCACTCCTTCCATAGTCACGATCTTCGTCCGAATACTCATCCAGGTACTCGTCCGAGTACCTTCTACGGCTGGAGGCGGTTCCAGCACGTCTTCTTGAAGAAGGAGACGCGGTGGTAGAATCTGAGAAATTGTCGGGAATATCGTCATAGTAGTCGTCATCATAGTCGTCATCATCAGAGGGCAACCGGTTGTTGAAAGCCCGACTTTCCAATACCCTCATCAAGCTATCACAGGCAGGAGGGGCTTCTACACGGCCACTCAAAATGTGTCTGGCCTTGCAATCTTCTCCGTAAAACTTTCTGTTAGCTTCTCTTCTCTCCACGATAGCCGAACCTTCCAAAGAAACACCGGCAAATAAACCCTTGGTCTTGGAGTATGCAAAAATGGCGGCCGCTCCTTTCAACGATGCAGTTCCCGCCCCTTCAGCGTTTCTTCCCAACGGTCCCGCCGCTACCGACACGTTGGCACCCAAGGTGACGGATCCAAACTGAGCAAACGAGTCCACGGCGGATTTGGTGTTCAAAATAAACACAAAGTCCGTGAGTTCAGCACCAATTTGACCTCCCACACCAGCACCGGCGGTGATGATGGCGGAAGGAGGCGACCAGGACCCGTCCGGTAATCGGGCCACAATAACTCCAGAGCCAGCTCTTCCAGAAAAGAGGAACCCTGCTTTCAACACGGTGATGATCGCCAACCCCTTGGCATTTTTCAACACTTGTGGAGGAATGATTTGGTCTGGTCCCACCACCTGGTTGGGTTTGATGAAGGACGCAAGAACCTTAGCAGCTTTTCTAGGGTGGAAATTAGTATTTGATATCAAACAGAACCAGGGCAAAATGTGCTCGATCCTCCAAAAAAACAACCCATTAGGGATGCGGGGAGAGTAAATGATATGAGTTATACATACTTGGACTCGCTCTTCAAGCTTCTAGGGATTGGATTGTTTATTCCCATTTTTAAAGTTATTCATCGGTCATGAACAAGCGGTTGAACTTTTAGGGAGCGAACGCCGGCGCGCAGGAGCCACCAGATTGTGACACAAAGCCGTATACCTTTCCAGACACCAAATCTCAGGTACCTGAAACTTCTCGATGTTAAAAATGGTATTGAAGGGTGTAATTATTAGTTGGGATGACAAGCAGTTGGCGTTGAGAAGCTACGAGTAGCAAGACATGTGCAGCAGCAACAACAAGTAGGTGAAGACAAGTGGCAGCCAGGCTTACTAATTCCGTCCAAAGAAAATGACAGGCAGTTAACACGATCAAATTAATCTTGCAAGGTCATCTTCCCGCTGAGTGTACTGGCACGATGTTAACATTGAAAGTACTTGATAATAAACAGTGAAATCTTGAACCACAGACTTCACAACTCAAATAACGGAATTTTTCACTGATGCCGCTTGGGCTGCAAAATCCCACGGGCCAGAAGTTGGCCCAGACACCCACACAAATATAAGTTATATCCACAAACCCAATTATTCACCTAAACTTGTTTCTTGCAAGGACCTTATTAGCAGTGGAGAGCCCCCTTAGTGGTTATCGTTCAGTCAAAGGCCCCACAAAACAGCCTAAATTACTGTGGTGTACATTTCATATTCGAGCCGGTTCCGAGTAATCAGCCCGATATTTGGATAAGGTTGTAGCGCGCCAGAACAGTTTTAGCTTAAAAGGCTATTGCATTCCGTTCTTGATCAAAGTAATTTGATTTTTGAAATTCGTCTGGTGTTGATGGTAGATGTTCCACGTACTAGTGCTATAGATGCTCAAACTGGCCTTATCCAACTAGCGGAAGAGGATGTAGGCTCTCACCATTCCAGGCATGGTGGTGCAGATCACGAGAAGAAATTGCAAATTGAAGACGATCACTCAATCACAGATGCAGTCGCGATCCATAGTCGTGAAATACCGGTGCTAGATGATCCATCCCTCTTTCCAGAAGGTGGAAGGAAGGCATATATGGTTTTATTTGGGTCTTTTTGTGGAATGGTGTCGTGTTTGGCGTTTCTCAATTCTGCTGGAGTGATGCAAAACTATTTGGTAGAACATATTTTAACCACCACCCCCACTTCCACGATTGGGTGGATCTTCTCAATCAACTCGTTTATCCAGTTTGGGTGCTTGTTGGTGGTGGGCCCGATATTTGATCGTTTGGGGGCCAAAATCCCCTTGATGGCAGGTATTTGCCTATTCGCTATAGGCTACTTATGTTGCTCCTGGGCAACAAAGCCGTACCAATTTATTTTGAGCTACAGTATCGTGGGAGGATTGGGAGCCAGCTTGATTTTCTGCTGTAACATCGGGGTTCTTTCCCACTGGTTTCTCAAGAGAAGAGGTCAGGCAATAGGCACTTCATACCTTGGAGGTGCTCTTGGAGGTGCATTGTTCCCAGTGATGTACCGGTCTCTCTTCCCCCAAATTGGGTTTGGATGGACCGTGCGTGTAGGGACCTTCATCTGCTTGGCACTTCTGGTGGTGTCTCTTCTACTTATAGAGGATCGCAATAGTGTGTTTGCGAGGGCTTCCACTAATGAAAGCGTGTTTATGGAGGTGATTAAAACCATCGATATACGGGTCTTCAAGGACAAAGTTTACACGTGTCTTGTACTATCACTCTTGGGACAAGGGTTTGCATTCATGGTGACCCTGACATACGTGACTTCATATTCCACTGCCCAAGGGTTTTCTCCCGATAAGTCGTACTTGTTGATACTCACGTTCAACTCGCTTTCTATCCCCGGAAGAATTCTTCCTGGGATTCTCGCAGATAAATACGGCCGGTTTAATATGCTATGTATAATCTGCCTGTGCTCCACCATTACCATTTTCGTGCTATGGCTTAATACGAAGGTGTCTCACACTTTGGTGGGACTCTTTATATTTTCAGGAGTTTACGGGTTCACGTCGGGCCTGACACTTTCATTGGCACCTACCTGTGTGGGGCAGATTAGCAAAACACAAGACTTTGCCAAACGGACAGGAACTGCTTTTTTTGTGTTTAGTTTTGGTGATCTCATTGGCATCCCTATTGGAGGTGCCATTGCGGGAGCCAACACCTCCAAAAGTTATGACAATATGGTAATTTTCGTGGCAATTCTGTCAATATTTGGAACATGTGGGGCGTTCCTCTCTCGATATCTTTACGCTGGCTTCAAGCCAGTTAGAGTATGACTTTAGTTTATATAATATATAAATGCGCTCTCAAGGGCAAACGCGAAAATATGCCCGATTAAGAACCAATATTAGGGAATTTATCGTCATTAAAAAATTGCGACAACACCATCCTAAAGTAACACCGTTAGTTTGAATAACTATACCATTAGTGTACTACACCTCTGTCGATCTTTTACCAATTCCGCTGGAAACTACTTTTGGATTGTCTTTGATACATCGCGTGTATTTGATACTTGAAACAAAAGGATTGTTATTCGTGTGCCAGTTTTGTCCAGCATAGAAAATGGGTGCTTGTTGTAGTTGCTTATTTCCTCGCAACAATAACGGCAAATATTCGCCTCTCTTGTTGGCTGACAACGAGAGAGAAGCCATCTCCGCCTTGTTACAGTACTTGGAAAACCGTTCCGACGTGGATTTCTTCAGTAATGGGCCTTTGAAAGCTCTCAGCACTTTGGTGTATTCTGAGAATATCGACTTACAGAGAAGTGCTGCATTGGCGTTTGCAGAAATAACCGAAAAGGACGTGAGAGAGGTCAACAGAGATGTGTTGGAGCCAATCTTGATTTTATTACAGAGTTCCGATGCCGAAGTCCAAAGGGCTGCTTGTGGAGCTTTGGGTAATTTGGCCGTCAATAATGAAAATAAGGTTTTGATTGTGGAAATGGGAGGTTTGGAACCTTTGATTAGACAGATGATGTCTACAAACATTGAGGTTCAATGTAATGCCGTTGGATGTATTACCAACTTGGCAACCCAAGATGACAATAAGTCCAAGATTGCTAAGAGCGGTGCGTTGATTCCATTGACCAAATTAGCCAAATCGAAAGATATTAGAGTGCAAAGAAATGCTACCGGAGCCTTGTTGAATATGACTCACTCCGGGGAAAATAGACAGGAGTTGGTTAATGCTGGTGCTGTACCTGTGTTGGTGTCGTTGTTGTCGAACGAGGATGTCGATGTCCAGTACTATTGTACCACTGCTCTTTCCAATATTGCTGTTGATGAAACCAACCGAAAGAAGCTCTCCACTACTGAACCTAAGTTGGTGAGTCAATTGGTTGGGTTGATGACGTCTCCTTCTCCTCGGGTCCAGTGTCAGGCTACTTTGGCCTTGAGAAACTTGGCTTCAGATTCTGGTTATCAAGTGGAAATTGTGAGAGCTGGAGGTTTGCCACATTTGGTACAATTGTTAACGTCAAATCACCAACCATTGATCTTGGCAGCCGTTGCCTGTATCAGAAACATCTCTATCCATCCTCAAAATGAAGCTTTAATTATCGAAGCAGGTTTCTTGAAACCATTGGTGAGTTTGTTGAACTACTCCGACTCGGAAGAAATTCAGTGTCATGCGGTTTCTACCTTAAGAAACTTGGCTGCGTCGAGTGAAAGAAATAGATTGGCTTTGTTGGCTGCTGGAGCTGTGGATAAATGTAAAGATTTGGTATTGAGTGTTCCGCTTTCAGTTCAACTGGAAATATCTGCTTGTTTTGCAATTTTGGCATTGGCTGACGATTTGAAACCAAGATTATACGAGAGTCATATTATTGATGTGTTGATTCCTTTGACTTTCAGTGAAAATGGTGAAGTTTGTGGAAACTCGGCTGCGGCATTGGCCAACTTGTGCTCAAGAGTCTCAGACGAACACAAACAGTATATTTTAAACAATTGGACCCAGCCAAACGAAGGAATCTACGGGTTTTTGATCAGATTCTTACAGAGTGAAAGTGGTACTTTCGAGCATATTGCTCTTTGGACCATTTTACAGTTGTTGGAATCTAACAACAGTGAAATCAATGCATTGATAAAGGAAAATGAGTCGATTTTGAATGGTATCAAGAACTTGGGTATTTCCCAGCAATCGCAACAATCACAAATATCTCCTAATGATGAACAGTACGACGATTCCAGAGTCGAATTATTCAACCTTACACAACAAATCTTGCAAATCTTGGGTTGATTTTAAGTGCAATTGCAGATAGAATGTTTGGCATATATTAAGTCAAAGAGTTACGCTTTCCAATTGTGTTTTTCATGCTTCTCTTGGCTACCAATCTATAGAGGATTGCACAAACACCATGCCACCGGTTGGTTTATTCAGGAATATCTTAGGATTCCATTCTAACTAAATGCTGTATATTTTGTTAAACTTGAAAATTATATCAATAAATACTTGAACCTAGTTGCGTATTAACTGTGCTTTTTGTTTGGCAGGGGCGTCTTTGGCTTCTTTGGCTTCTTTTTCATTGATCTTAATCTCAGAACCGACATGAAGGCCCTGCAACTTATTTAATAACTCGTTGGATTCCTGCTCATCATTCTTTTGCTCGTTCAACAAAGCATTGTATTCATCTTCAATTTCTTCGTCTGATATCTGAACAGTTACCAATGCGTCTGTGACTTGGTCAGTAGCTTCTATCTGATCTCCAATCTCTACGTGAAGTAGATCTATCTCCTCAAGGTCCACCTGATCATTTAACTGGTTTAATGCCTTAGATGACTGCTTAAGAGCATTTACTAGGCTGATGTTGGAAGTAGCGTCGTCAATCTTCAAAACAATTTCTTGCAAGTGCTGATATGCTGATGAGCACAGCTGGAATGCCTTTATTTGACTTCTTCTTTCTCCTAAAAGCATCATGACTTTAGTTTTAATAGCCTCATCATTTTTGATTTTGTCAGACGGGTACTCTTTAACTTTGTGGTTGATTTCACCAATTTTCATCTCAATGCTACTCATTCTTTTTGCAACTTGGCTCATATTGAATCGGAGTTTTGCTATGCTGATATCTTCATCCGTTACCGGAGACTGGTCGTCGAACTTTACCACTAGTATATCTTCTTTACTCATTTTAGTAGTGCATTCGTTGGTGTCTCTACTCAAATACTTCACAAGTATTTGAAGATCAAGCATACTGAAATTCTTGGTGATGTTTTTGTGGATAATATCTATGAGCATTCCTTCGTCGAATATTTTGCTACTGTACACCCCACCTTTTACTTCTTTGTTAATGGTATTCATGAATATCTTGCCAAACTCTACAAGAAAGGGCCAATGGACATACCTTTCTGAATTTGCCGAAAAGATGTTGGAAAGACTCCTACCTATTCCAGATACTCGATCTGCCCAGTGGGATGGATACAAGTACGTGAAGATACTGGTGGTGGTGTTCAAATAGTTGTGGATATTAGACTCGTAAGCAAGAAACAATGAGACTGGAATAAGGGACTTGGATTCAGTTAACTCTCCAATAATCACGTCCAAGCTAAGTGGCTTTCCTATTGTTGGTAATACTAGCATCAGCGACAAGTCTGGTTTCTTGTGTGGAATAGCAAGTTTCGATGCCTCTATCACATCATTTTCAAGAGCCACTTTAAAAATGTTTAGCCAAGAGATCAAATTGGCTTCGAATCCTTCAGGGTTCAATTCCTTAGCATCTTTGAAGTCCTTGTATAATGCACCTATCCTGCTGACAGAATACGAAGTCTTGTCTTTGAGGAGTTGATAGTTTTGGTTCGCTAGTGGCTTTGGCATGGTATCCTTATCAGATGCGCGTCGCAAACAAAGTTATTCTGAGTAATGTGAGATGAGATGTAATGCCGAGAATATCATTAAATGCCATTTTATTTCGTAATATAATACATAAAAGTGTGTAGACCAACCTTCTAACTTCCATTCAACTGGAAATCTTCAACTTGTCTAGAGAAATCTCTATTTGATCCCTTAATGCGTCCACCACATCAAGAATGGCAGTGGCAGCCGGAGAATCAGCGTATTCTTCAAAGAAAGATACACCAGCATCACAAGCTTGTCCAATACGAGGATCCAATGGAACAGATCCCAAAAATGGAATGTTCAAGTCTTTGCAAAGCTGTTCACCTCCTCCTGTAGTTGGCTTAAAAATTTTAGATTCTCCTTTGCAATTAGGACAAACAAACCCTGACATGTTTTCCACCAAGCCCAAGATCTTGATATCAGCCTTGCGACAGAAATCTATTTCCTTTCTGACGTCAAGCAAGGACACTTCTTGAGGAGTGGTCACAATCAATGCTCCATCTATGCCACTTTCTTTCATGTACGTAGACACTGATAAATGTTCATCTGAAGTGCCTGGTGGCGTATCCACTACCAAATAGTCAAGATGTTCACCCCAGTTCACGTCTTTCAAAAACTGCTTGATGAGCCCGTTCTTCTTGGCTCCTCTCCAAATTACAGCAGAATCTTCGTCTGGTAACATAAACGAAATACTCATCATCCCAAGATTATCAGCCACGTAAACAGGAGACCAGCCGGAGTTCGACTGATGAACAGACTCGCCTTCAGCCCCGAGCATTCGTGGGAGTGACGGTCCACAAATATCCAAATCCATAGCTCCCACCTCAAGATCTTCATCAGCTGCTAGAGCCCAAGAGAGCATCGATGTGAATGTAGATTTTCCCACACCTCCTTTCCCGGATAATACTAGTACCTTGTGATCGATCATTCCCAACTTCTTTGTTATTAAAGGCATGTCTGGATCTGGTCCTTTGGGGATTTGAGATGAGCAGATATCTTGATTAGCACACCCGTCACAAGCATCGTCCTTTCCTGCTTGTTCAGATTCTGGCCCCGGGCAGTGTTCCGGTTCCTCAGCCGTGAGCTGTGTCTTAGATACATCATTTACTACCGATGGTGCCATGTTGATAATATGTTTGTTTCGTATCTTAGTAATCAAGAGAGAAAGATGATTCACAAAAGTTGTGCGACTTTCTATGAGCATTTATTTTGCAGCTGGACAGCTTCTATACATAATACATTTTACGTTAAGAGACGGGACTCAAAGAAGGTGGTTTCATCCTCTCCCAAAGGCAAATTGAAAACCCGTTGTTTTAAGTTTCCAATTTTCGAGCCCATGGCCAAAATACCAATGTCTCTAGAAATAATACATGCTGCGGCCCTGGAAGTAATGCGCGAGTCAACCTTCAACACGGGAATATTATCCAACAATGATTCGATAATATCGTTCTTATCATGGGGAGACTTTCCCTGCTTGATATAAGGAAACAAGTTAAAGTAGTGTTGGAAGATTCCAGCACCCTGAGACCAAGTTGCAATAATATTGCCGTTATCGGGGAAAGAAGATAACACCCTTTGCAACCTTCTAATATCCAAGATGTCTTGAGAAATGACTGTGGAAGGACCAAGATTTTCCACGATACATTCATGGGCCTTGTCCCAGGAACTGGCAGTAATGAACGCATCGCAGGCTTTCCAGTAGTCTTTGGAGGAATTCATTTCGGTTGTAGCCACAGACTCATAGATCAATTTATAAGGTACCCCCAAGGTATTGACCAAGTATGGTTCTTCATCTATGTGGGTCTTATCGTTCTTGATTTCTTTGATGTTTTCATGTACTACTTGTTTGGTACATGTTTCGACGTGTGCGTCGTTGAGAAGATGAGCATAGACAAACAAGGATTCTTTCCAAAGTCCTAGTTGTTCCACAAGTTTTCCGAACTTCAAGGTGATGTTGTCATCGAGTCCTTCTCCAAGTATTTTAAGAATTGGCCACTTGATTGAGATATCAAGTGGAGATTCCCTGAAGTATTCCAAGCCTGATGCTTCTCCTTTAAGATGGAAGCGGCAGTAAAACTTTAATACTTCAATAATACTGCTGCTACGAGATTCTTTGGCTTCCGCCACTTCCTCAATCGATTCATATAATTTGACACTGGCATCTTGATAGTATACTTTGCAAGCAAGACGAATACTCCATGGTAAGTCGACCAACACCTCATCATAATCTCCTGAAATGAATTTATAGATTTTCAAAAGATTAGCTGGAATCAAATCATTACCAGCCCAGTCCTCTAGTTGGAATTTAGCCATTTTCTTGATTCCATCAAAATTGGAATCTATGAATGTCAAAATGGCACTTAAATGGTGATTTTTAGCCTCGATCGCACATAGAATGGCATCTTTGACGTTACCAGCACATATATGGATGAACACCTTTTCAAAGTTATCTTGAGCATTAGTGATCAATTCCTTCATGACACTCTCGTTGTATTTCTTCAACCAGTTGATGAATACCTCCCTTTGTTTGATACCTTTAAGATAGGTAGACAATTCGGAATCATCAACCATTCCGTTCTCGTTGGTTTCAATCTCAACATCGTCGAATAATGCAGAACAAAGCTCAATTAACACCAAGAACTCTTTTGTGAAACCAAACAGGATGAAATCCGAAAACTTACTTTTATTTGAAGTTACTTTTGAAAAGCCATTAGGCCGTTTCTCAAATTTGGACCTGGACAATAGCTGACTCAAGAACTTGACTGTGTTTTGTATGAGTTCAGCCCTGTTCTCAATCTCTGGAACTTCATCTGCCATTTTCACATCGTCTGTTTTAACCAGAGGTGTGGAAACATCCTTACTAGATTCAGCACTTTCGTTCAAGGCCCCGAACAATAAGGCATCAATCAGATCCATCTTATGTTTGCCATCTTCTTGAATGTTGACAGACGGGTTAGATAAATACTGTGCCAAAGCCGAGTTTAAGTCGTTTGTCAAGTGCAATTGAACCAACCAATCGTCTGAAACAGCTATGTTCGGTCTCGGTTGAATGGCATTAAATGCAGATTCTTCCACTATGGGTTCATAAGCTTTCTCCTGAACAATCTCCAGAAAGTCTATGTTGGCTGGTAAAACACTCACCAATTTCCGCAAGTATTCATAGTTGTCGTTAGCAGGGGCTGGAACAATATCGTCATTGATAAGAGCATCTTCCAAGAAATCTTTTGAATCGCCTCTCTTTGTTGAAGCAGACAAACGGGAAGTTGGGGAGCCGTTGAATATGTTGATCTGGGAGTCAATCTCGTTGTTCAATAAGTTCCGTTTCAAATTCAAAACCGACTCGTCGGCATCGTTACTCCAGTTTCCTGGAAGTCCTTGTGTATCACGACTGATTTTTTGTCTCTTGAGCTCTTTGATATAGTCATCGTCATTATTGGACTGTCTAGTGATTTCCCGTCCGTTTTCATCTTCAAGCCCCCAGATGCTGAAATGCTGAACCCTGAAGGTCCATGTGAATACAATGGGATCGTATGTAACAAACTCCATTCCTTCTTTTTGTTTAAGCACTGTAATAAACGAGTTCAAGTCCTTGCCACTAGTTGGATTAATATTTTCCAACGTAATTGTAGCGGGGACATTCATGCCGAACCCTCGAGGAGGTTTTGTTTTGCTATCTTTGTACACTTTCACGTATTTTGATCCAATTTCTACAATGTTGAAGAAAAGCTCCGAGTCAAACAGTTTGCTTTCCTCCGAACACTTTCTCTTTATGTCTGACAAGTCCACCGCGTAGTTAAAGGCTATTTGACCATACCCTTTACGGCCAATTATGAAATTGTCGATGCTGGACAAATCTTTCAAGGACCAGGAGGCCAATTCATGGATAGATGGAGAACACCAATACCCATCTTCACTGGTCTGGGTTCTTGCGCCGTACGACTCGGTTGATGTGCTATGCTCTGGTATTCCTCTAATGATTTTGGAGTGGTTGGAGAGCTTAGATTTCTCGAAACTGGTGCTGGAGAATTCGAAATCAGAATCGTCGTCTTGTACTTCGGGCTCATCATTGAGAAGTCTATCGGACGGCACCAACGATGTTATAACCCGTTTTCTTTTGGAGTCCAACACCTTGTCGGCATTGATCAAATGGAATTTCAAAGGTTTTGACTTAATTATCAACTTTTTGGTTTCGTTGGTTGATCGGGCTTCTATCAGGCTGAACTTAACCGGTTTGGTGATTCTGTTCTTACCACCTCTCCCACCACCAAGTGTCAAGGTCTTCGAGCTAGGGAAATCACTTGCAGCGAATATTCCCTTGGAATTGTCAAGGGCTTCGTCGTATACTCGAGTTGACTTGAAAATGTTGAACCGTCCAGCAATCTTGGAGAATAACGAAGAACTATCTTTTTTAGAATCTGTGGCAGTCCGTTCGCTGGCCAAATTAAAGAACGACCTTCCTGTATTCTTGGACGAGTCGTTGTCGTCCGAGAACAAGTCGCCAGTGATGGACGCTGGAATCTCGTAGTTGGTTGGAATACCTTGAAATATTGTGCTCGTCAGGTACGGTTGTGTAGATCCATTTGAGGTAGGCATTGTGCTGGTCTGAGCGGGCGTGTTGGTGGAGAAAAGGGTGTTTGACGACGTGGCGGTCGGGTTGAACGTCGATGTATTGGTGGGAACACCTCCCACCAGTGGTTTGGAAGTATTGGTAGAATTACCAAAAAGTCCACTAGAAAGCGACGGTTTGGGAGCGCTGGACGAGGATCCAAACAATGAATTCGAGTTTTGGTTGGCTGCAGTGGCAGGTGGTGTACTAGAAAACCCCTTGGCCTGGTTCCATCCATTTGTGTTGTTGTTGTTCGAAAACATCACTAGGTTTGTATGGTGATGATTTGAGGTTTGAGACTGGAAATGAAAAAAAATAAACAGAGTCGTGCGCGCACGCGGTGATGCTTCTGAATCTCATTAACTGCAAATAAGTGCTATACTACAAATTATTCTAATTTTTCAACTGGCTGCAATTTGACCACACTTTCGGCCCCGTACCAAACACGATCAAACCGACGTAGATTGGGTTTGCGCAGGTAAACCTTATTGGGTATGCCTATATCGACCAAAAGATGGAGCGTCTCCAGTTCAGCATCGACTCTTAAAATCTCATTTCTATAAGCGTGGAGAATACCAGCAACAGGCAATCCCATCGAAACACACCAGTGACTTGATATCACCAAATCAGCATCGGTAATGGTTCCTGATCCACCATCGATACCCGAAGGAATGTCAAACGACATCACTTTACCGCGTTGACGAGGTTCGTTACACCATGTGATTAACTGTTTGATCAATTGCTGTTCTTTCTGTTCAAAGAAGATGTCCTCCAAATGGTCATCATATCCTTGTAAAGCGTCGATAATCAACTCTACTGGAGTGTCTAATTGGTGGTTTAACACGTGTAATAACTCAGGCACGCTTGTAGACAAGATCTTTCCTCCAGCCTGCTCAAACAGCAGTTTTTGTTTCAAATAGCTGGCATCAACCATCTCATGATTGACCAAAAATGCAAGAACTCGCACGCCATGGTTGGTGAGATGACGTCCCACTGCTAATGCCCGAATCGAACACCTCTCACTGCCGATTAATAGAACCACTAATGGTGGTAGATTATGGTTATTAGGGTTCAATCTGCCGGAGCCCCCCAAAATGTGTTGTGTGATATATTGGGATAGGTTTGTGGAGAATATTTCGGCCATCACCTCGGGCGTAAGTGCAAACGCCTCTCCTGAAATCCTTTCTATATCCAAAAGTTGGATAGGTGAGCACACAGGCACAGAATTGCCAGTGCTGACGTTGGTCAAGGTATAGTTCTTGTTCAGCGAGCCACCGGTGACATCGTGCACTGGAGTCAACCGACCGGTGACAGAGGCATTACGAAGAGTTTCCTTGCGGTCAGAAATTCCAATACTGTCCCAGTCGTCGGTTCTGGTGGAGTCTAACACCATTTCATCGTTTCTGAATTTTTCATAATCCTTCCGGAAGTTTTCCACCTTATTGTGGCCAACCAATCTCTGTTCGGGCTTGATGGTGTCCTTCTTCTGAAAGTTCTCGAAAACAGACTTTTTGTCAAACATTGCCAAGTTGGCGGCAAAGTCAAAGTCCTCAGTCATCTTGATTTCACTATCGCTGTTCTTGCCACTGACATCACTTTCATCCTTCTTTTCCTTCTTGGTCACCTTTTCTTTCTTTGCTTTGCTTTTCTTGAGATTTTTAACGAAATCAGGAGGAAGTTTAGTCACCTTCAAATCATTGACAGACGAGTTAAGAATTTCAAGGGTAGGAAGCTTTTGACCTGGGGCTTTCGACTCACTTACATCAGAGAGCTGAATCTTAGTACCATCAACAGAAACAATCTGTCCCGACGATACGGATCCGTCCTTAAGATACAAGTCAACCGTGTAATTCAAAAACTCGGTCATGGTGTGCTCGACGGGTTTTTTCCAGCTCTTGACTGCGAACTATTTTTTCTCCGCGCAAGAACCACTAATACGCATTGTAGGGTAGTTGGGTGCTCCTCCTGCAATTGATAACAGAAATCCTTCGGCAGTTGTCAGAAACCACCCCAGGTGTTTAGGGGAAGCAGAGGAAGTTATTGTGGAGGTATAGTTTCCCAAGAAGCACAAAAAGTGATTTCTGCTCCGTGTATCTTTTATATCTCCAACCAGCCAGTATCATTGTATGATCTGCCGGCGTTGAAGATCACCCTTACAGCAACGTATATGACTGGAATCTGCCGATTGTAAAAGTTTCTCATCTTTCTGCTTCTACTCCTTGTCTTACAAATATAGAGAAACCCCCTTCTCTGGTGAAGTTATTACTGATAGAGAACCTCCCTTCTCTGATGAACTTATTACTGGTAGAGTGGGACAAAGGTATGGAAAGGTACGACTAGAGGAGCCCGATGTTGGAATCTTTCGAGATTGTGGATTATATCTAGATCAAATATCCCGAGATTTCAAACCCAAGTCTGACTCACCCACATTTCAAGAGCTTGTTTTGAGTGTTGAGGGACGACTTATAGAACTCAGAACAATTTGAAGATAGCTGTGTAGGATACAGAGTCAGACCCTTCTCGCAACCAGTAAATAACTGATATGAGTTGGATGAATAGCAACGAATGTGGCTACCGCCAGAAGCACAAGGATGACTTATGTAGTCTAATATCAGTATTAACATTGTGGTTTTACTGTAAGCTAATATATACATATAGTATAGCAAGCTCAAGTATAAACAAGATCCAGATGCATTGAGGAACTGTCTCGACGTCATGCAAATATTTGCAGCCATTTGTCGCGGACCATAATTAAACTAAAGTACTTGGGTGAGCATCTTGTAAAAACGCCAGAATCTCGTGGTGGTGACGCTCTAGCTCCAACTGCAAATAAGACACTGACTCGGATATGATCTTTGTTTGCTCTTTGTGCTGATTCTCTATATTTTCTCGTAAAGATCGGTTCATGTAATGGTTGTGGTTGTTCACTTCCTCAAGCTCGGCTTCAAGATGCTTCATTCTATGGCTCATAAACTTGTTTTCGAACTTGCAAGTTTTCAATTCCTTCTCCAAGTAGCTCACCATCGCAGTGAGTCTCCCAGGGTTCGAATGTTTCAACTCAGCTGACAACTGTTCAATTTCTTCCCGTAGGTTTTCAATCACCAGATTATCAGCACCTCCGGGTACCCAATCCATATTGATCTTGACAAGCTTCTTCTGGTTAGTCTTGGCGATGGTCTTGATATTCTTGACACGAGTAGCATAGTTCAACGTTTGCTGGGTCTCTTCAAAGTCGAGAGGCGAAATACAAAATATCATCATGGTCTTAGAATTACCTCCAAGATTCTCCTTCAAAAGGTATGTCAATACAGAGTCACGATACGGTACCAAGTCCGAAGAATTTGTGATTGTGTTTTTGGAAAGCACGTTGATACACCGTCCCAATACCGTTAGAGACTTATTGATGAGACTACCCTCTTTGACCCTATGCTGTTGACCATATACTTGAGTCTTTGTGAGTCTCTCGGATCCAGCCAAGTCCACAAGCTTAATGTTAGACACCACTTCGTTCTCTGCTGATCCAATCTCGGCATCCTCACCATCGAATCGGGTCTGTCGCAAAACCAAGTTCAATATAGCATGAGACCGAGAACTACTGCTATTCATAGCGGTGGTGGCTGTCACTCTATTGCGGTTACCTATATTCAACAAATTACAGAAGGCTTCGTAATCGTTGATCTCATACTCTTTTAAACAATCAACATACGGGCCTGTTTCAGGATGTTCTCTGACCTTCCATTTCCTAGGTTCTTTCTCTTGATAAAGTAGGTCTCTGACGGTCTCATTGTACACTTCCATATATGAAAGCCTGACTTCGCAATTCACCTTGTCATCTACGAGCCTGTTCTTGTAAGCCAAGATATCGTGTACAAGAAGTGGAACAAATCCCACATCATCATCTTCCCCCATCATAGTGAAAGTCTTACCTGAACCTGTTTGACCATATGCAAGTAAACAGACATTAAATCCCTGAAAACAATGTTCAAGCAACAGTGGACCCGTCTGCTGGTAGAACTTGCGGTTGTTTACAAACCGGTTGTCGTGGTTGTCAAAGGACCACACTGAATCGTCAAATGCATACAGCTTAACAGCAGAAGGTGACTTGAGAAGCACCGATCCTTTTGGCTCCAACGGCATCACCACAAGAGATTCCACATCTGCACCATGCTTATCGACTTCTTTTGGAAGCAAGGGCCTGACTCGAACCACCACGTTGATATTGGCTTGTTCTTCCATATGTTCGTGTGTTAGTGCCAAAACACAAATAAACCAGAACACCGTTCGAGGGTGCGCGGCTGCGCAGGCCATTACTTGCAGCCACCCCCAGATAAGCTTGTTGAGATGGCTGCAAGCATGCGACACATTGGAAAATTCGTTCTACCATGACTGCCGTAGATAATCACGTGTAATGGAATTAGGCAACAATTACTCCTCGGGGGTTAGATACACCTTGTTGTATGAATATATACGTCCTGTATTAAATCTTGGATTTGTGTGACCAACAGCAAGCTCCAGTACGGGTGCATCTTGCTGAAATACTAATCACACAATAGAATTCTTATCATAATTTGCCTACCAAGCCCAGGAGAATGTCTGGTTTTGCGCCTTTTTGGAATGGTTGCTGGATATATTATTCCTAGACTGTAGCAAGGTTCATACGTGCTTCTAGAAAGTGAAATTTCTCGAATATTGTACTGGTGGTTAGTAAATTGTCATTTAATTTTAGCATGTTGGGCAAAAAATGAAAACAGCCATTTAAGGTATCTATTTAAATGGGATTTACTTCATGCACTTAAGCAACTTCTTTGTGTCAAACCTGTCACTATAATAATCGGTCGCGAATTGCCGATTTGTTCCGAATAAAGTTTGAGCTCGCACTTTTGTATAGCAACAAAGCCGTTAAAAAAGACCTCAAGCTCCATACCCAAAAGCCATAATGATGTTGGATACATCTCCCCCTGTGCTCTATAGCTCGGCACCAGAGGCCTTCGCTGCTTCGAGTGCCGAAAACAAACCCGTGTTAATTCACACCACAAAATCCAAAACTGGCTCTCCTCACCCCATGTTTACCGCTAACATGACCCTCATTAAACAACACTTTATTGCCCTACAAGTGATGAATCATACGCACGATATGGATTTTCTACAACACATCGTTGGTGAGGTGATTGTTCCCCATGTCTACATCGTCAAGAACAACCGGGTGTTACTAACGATGCCTCACACCAGCACTTCTGAGTTTGAGTACAAGTTGACATCCTTTATCCAACAGAACCACCCTGTTTCAGAGCTTGCTGGAAAAGCTAACAGTGCTGCAGGTAATGACAAGTGCCTTTTGTCGGTGCGTTTGTTCGATGGAACGTCGCTAAAGCACGAGTTTACTGGTAGCTCCACTTTGGCCGACGTGAGGAACTGGCTTAATACTGAATCTGAGGTAGAAATCATCCACTCTGAGCCCATGCCGTCGTTTGCTCATCCGGATGCTCAGACACCTACTGCGTATTCATTCCAGAATCCTTCGATTCCTAGAATCACATACACCAAGGAAGACGAGTCGAGAGCCCTCGCTGAGCTTGATCTCTGCCCTCGGTCTGTGTTGATGTTGAAGCCCGTTTTTAATGAGGCTGCAGTCACTAGCTTGTATGAACAAAACAGTCGGTTATGGCTGGCGTGCAAAGCGACTGCTGCCAAATTTAGTACCGTGCTTCACTCCTTCTTCAACTATGCAGTGGATGTGGAACTGGACGACGACCATGGTGGTTCCTATAAATTGGACGATGCGCACTACAATCCCTCTTCTCTGGTGTTGGCACTAGACACCACGGCCAAGTCGTTGATCCACTTTGAAGCTCATGAAGCTGACGACAAAAAGCAAACGCTTCCAGAACAACCACATAATTTGAATGAGCCCAAGGACAGGATAAATTCCACGAATGGAGACGATCACAGTGCGTTGAAACACTCGCTGTCGAAGCAAGCGGTTTCGTCGGTGACCAAGATTGAAATCATTCGGGGTGATAAGCTGCTGTCTTCGGAGAAAAAGGTTTCGCTGGAAGACCAATAATGAGTTATATAGGTAATAGGATCATGAATAGGAATACGTATATGGTGTAAGGTCAAGCTTGTTTGTAATTGTCTCGAGACTTGTGTTTAATGATTTAGACACTTGTGTCCAATTCATCGCAGAGCTAGGGATTTGCAGCTTGCGCGAAAATCTGCCCCATGATAAATTCCCATATATCTCCGTGGAACTGATAGTAATGGAAAGAATAAAGGTGAGCAGCTTGGAACCACTTTTGAAGCTTCTGGCCAGTGTAGACCCAACTGACTTGTGTCTGGATGCAGCCGTACTCTCCTGTGGGTGTGTTGTTTCAGAACGGTTCTTCTTACCACTTGTTGATAGTTCTGGTACTACTTCATGTCCTGAGTGTATGAAGTCAAATGTAACATTCCTCAAGCCTATTCGGCAACTCCGTGACTTATATAACATTATATCCCAAGTGCTACTGGAGTCGACTCCCAGGACCCGGAGACGGTCTTCTTCCAAGAAAAGTATCAAAGGTCCTAATGATCCTATCAACGAACGTCTGGTTGGTGAACAAATGGATCTAGTAAGCTTGTTTTATCGATATGCCAAAGAAGAAACCTCCCAGTACCTTGTTTCATCTGACAATGCCCATGTCAATCCAATTGACATTAACCATCAAAGGCCTAAGTCCAACCTGAGTTATATCAATTCGAACTCAATCTCACCGTTGCGCAAAATGTCTATAAATCCAGGGGAGTCGGTGGGTATGCTTTCTGAGTCGTACCTTGAAAGAGAAAGAGTCAAGTCAAAGGCGCCCAAGTACGAAGATTTGCTCGTGTCGGACATTACAGAAGAGAAAGAGTATAACTTCAGCAAATGCTTTCCGTTCCATCGGAAGCTCACGACATTCCAAACCCAACAGGGAAGGCTATTTTCTTCCAGCTTGTTCAAAGGTTCGATGATCAAAAAGACGGGCCGGTTTATTGCCAATGATATTCACACATCGACAGATTTTGTCACTGGGCAAGAAATCACTCGGTTTGTGTCGATTACTGAAAAACGATGGGAGCTTTATGAGCTTGTAGAAGATCCAGAAATGCACCCGGTCCTCGTGTGCTGTGGTAAACTGAGTGGAGAGTATGGGCCTCTGTTCAACGAGTTGCGCGAAGATTACGGGCATGAAGTGGTTATTCGTAACGATTTTTCAGGGAACTCCCTGGCCAACTCCACTTCTACCGATTTAGGCCACAAGAAAAGGCTTGGTCTGTGGGAATTTATTAGTTGTCGATTGAGTGGAGACTTCTTAGCCATATCCGGCACTAAGGGAATCATGCGAGTTTTCAATGTGCTGAAGACATCGTTACCTCACGAACTTGGTCAACCGGTTTATACCTACATCACCAATTTCCCCATTCGGTGCATCGCCATCTCAAACAATGATCCTTTAATTGCCTGTGGAATCACTGCCAAGGAGAGGATTTCAGGTAAAGAACAGCCATTTGTGGTGTTGCATAAGTTGGTGAGATCGGTAGCAGCAGATCGAATTATTGGGTCTGTTGAACCTATCACCATAACCATTCCTTACAGAGATCCTATTAAACTCATAAACTTCAATGCCACTTCCACCCACCTCATGTGTTGTACTGTATGGGAATCTCGGTACCTCATTATTCGATTGAGAAGCAGTGGATCAGATAACTTCAGAAAGCCTAGATTGATATGGACGGACTCCAGCGTCCTTCGGTCTTCAAAGAGAAAAAAATCAGATGGTGCCCTTTACGATGATTCCGATGATGACAACTCTGATGATAATGCCTTGATGATGGACAACGAGGGTATAACCGACGCTCAGTTCGGGGCAATTCCAAATACTGTAGTTCTCACATCTTGCTCATTACAACACCGGCCTCCTTTAATGCTTCGTCTAGAAGGCTCGACTATCGACTCGTCTCAGGGTAGACACCTTCTGGATGCATTATCCTTCGAGAGCAGCCTTAACAGCCGTCATGACGGTAATGATGACGGGTATGACATCACCAACATCAAGTCGTCTGAGCTACTCATGAAGTTTCTGGAGGTTGGGTTTTCGATCCACAAGTCGGCCTTGCTGCCTCGTCGAGACGCACTTGCGTTTTTGGATAAAGATGGCCGGGTGTACCTTGTGTCTATTCCCAACTTCGAGTTGAATCTCAATTCAAGTCCCAAGAAGGTGGTTGTGCTTTTGGGAGAAGTCGCTAATGCTGAGAGGTACGTGGAGGCAGCAGCCATCTCCTTTTCGGCAGACGGGGGACGTGTATATGTGTCTGATCGTCGGGGAGCCCTTCTGGTGTTCGACTTTACCAAAGGTATTCCTGGACAAGATTCAGATGTTGTGAAGTGTAGAATCATCAGTGCTTAATTCTGGTGGTCACTTCAAATCCATTGGCTGCAAATTACGAGAAGCAAAAAATTAAACTTCTTGACGATTTAGATCACTCATCCTCCTTCTGTACATTCACTTCATTCATTTCTCCTTTCGGTTGTTGGATTTAGGCCTTGTATAAATAAATTGTGTAATAAATTTTAGCCGCATTCAACCACAACGGTTTAGTTCGGTTATGGCAGGAACCTATGCGGCGCGTGCCACAGTAAAAAAATCATTTCCTCATCATCATCAGGCTAATAAATATCTAACTAATAGAAATATGGCTCCCGTCCCCCCATTGAAAGACGATGTGTTGGACTTGATCGGTAACACCCCGTTGATTAAGTTGAACAAAATCCCCCAAAGTTTGGGCATCAAGGCCAAGGTCTATGCCAAAGTTGAGTTGTTCAATGCCGGTGGTTCTATCAAAGACAGAATCGCCAAAAACATGGTTTTAGAAGCTGAAAAATCGGGCAGAATCAAACCCGGTTACACATTGATCGAACCTACTTCAGGAAACACCGGTATTGGTTTGGCTTTGGTTGGTGCTGTTAAAGGATACAGAACCATCATCACCTTGCCTGAGAAGATGTCCAATGAGAAAGTATCAGTTTTGAAAGCCTTGGGGGCCGAAATCATTAGAACCCCCACCGAAGCTGCCTGGGATGCTCCTGAGTCCCACATTGGTGTTGCCAGAAAGTTGGAGAAAGAGATCCCCAATGCCGTCATTCTTGATCAATACTCTAACAAAGCCAATCCCAATGCCCATTACTATGGAACTGGGTTTGAGATTTGGGAGCAAACTGAAGGTAAGGTCACCCACTTGGTGGCTGGTGCTGGTACTGGTGGTACTATCACCGGTATCTCTCAGTACTTGAAGGAGAAAAACCCCAATGTCAAGGTAATTGGAGCTGATCCAAAAGGGTCTATTTTGGCAGTTCCTGAGTCTCTCAACACTTCTACTGAATCCTATATGGTTGAAGGTATCGGATATGATTTCATTCCAGACGTGTTGGACAGAAAGTGGGTGGACAACTGGATCAAGACTGATGATGCCGATTCGTTCAAATTGGCCAGAAGAATCATCAGAGAAGAAGGCATTTTGGTAGGAGGTTCCTCTGGGTCGGCTTTGCAGGCAGCCTTGGAAGTCGCTAAAGACTTGACCGAAGACGATACGGTTGTGGTGGTGTTCCCGGACTCCATTAGATCCTACTTGTCCAAGTTCGCTGATGACGAATGGATGAAGACCAATGGGTTTGAGGTGGAAGAAGCTAACGCTGGGGCCAACGAACAAGATAAGTTCATGGCTTCCAAAACTATCGGGGATTTGACCAAAGGAAAGGCTCCTGTTGTGACTGTGACTTTGGCTGATACAATTGGAAAGACCTTTGAGTTATTACAACAGAATGGTTTCGACCAATTGCCGGTGTTGAACGTTTCTGGACAATTGGTGGGTTTGGTGACTTTGTCTTCTATATTGAAGGCACTTTCTTCCAAGAAGGTTCAGATGACCAATTCGATCAGACCGGTGATAATTGATTTCAGAAAGTTGGCTGACTTTGAAAAGTCCTTCACTATCACAAAAGAATCGGGCTACTCCAAGAGAAAGTATGAACCAATTACTTTAGACACATCTTTAGCTTTGCTTAACAAATTCTTTGAAACAAACTCCAACGCTATTATCACTGATGACGAGTACAAGCCCATCCAAATTGTCACTAAAGTTGATTTGATTTCGTTTTTGGCCAAGAACACCACCTATGTATAACGTGGTTATAATTGTTTGTTCCATACTCTATTGACAGAAACTAATTAGGCTATATAAATACATGGATGTTTCTCCTTGGGGTCTATTCTACAACTGTAATCTCTCGTGTCTAAGAGAACTTCCATCTGTTACCACAATTCTCACAGGTACAGAATGTTGTCAACGGCTCATCAGCAGATCTGGTTTGCATCTGATAATAACTAACCTTCTTGTGTTTACATTTGCCGCAAGTGAACCTGTCAGTGACTGCTCTCTTTTCGGTTGCTCCTTGGGCATCAAAAAGATTCTGTTTATGTAATTTTTCGATTTCTTTCTTCAAGGTTTCAGGTGCCATTTCATTAGGACTCATCTTCACAAATTTTCCAGGAGTTATCTGTCCAGAAAGAATCCTGTCCCTTAATTCGGGGTTCTTCTTATTCCTGAGATTCATTACAAACGTTCTTAATTTGTTTCTGTAACCATCTGCAACTTTCAGGTATTCATCCTTGAACACCTCCGCTTCGATACTCTTTGCCACAGACAATATCTGCTGACTAGAATCACCCCGTTCAATGGCCAATGCCGTATACAATGCACTGATAGAAGCATTTCTGGTGGAATCGTCATAAATATCAGTACTAATACCATCTATCTTGGGGTTTCTAGGTCCACTGTGAAACTTGTTCTCCTTACTTGGAGTTGATGAGCCTGAAGTGGCAGCTTTTACATCAGAAGTGGGTCCTTTCTTCTTGTTCTTCTCTGCTTGGACCATATCTCTCCAATTTCTAATCATCTTCTTGACAATGGAACTGATTTCTGAATTCGTACTGGACCTGTACTTGTTCACAGCGACACCGACTTTGGTTTCTCTCAATAACTTTTCGGTTGGTTTGACTCCATCACTAAGGATATTCAACAATTTCAATATCATTACATCGTCCGAAGACTTCTCCAAGTTCGACACAATCGATTTTATCTCTTTCGCTTCCATGGTGATGAAACTCAAATTTATCCGGAGAAGAAACAGTTTTCTTTGATGTCAACTCTTAAAGTGCGAATTCAACAAGCGAAAACCTTCATCTACTGGTCACATATTGACAACTACACAAATGGAAAAATCCACCGTGTATGTGGGAAATATCCCTTATGACTACACAGAAGAGCAGGTGTTAGAGATTGCACTGTCTGTTGGTCCTGTTGACGACTTGAGGTTGCTCTTCGATCCCGTTAGTGGTAAATCTAAAGGGTACGCATTTGTCAAATATAGTGATAGGGAAACTGCAGCTTCAGCTGTTCGAAACTTGAACAATCACTCGATTGGAAACAGAAACCTCAAGTGTTCGTTATCCAATGAAACCAGCCAATTCGAAACCGGAATTGAAAATGAAGAGTTGCCTCCTCTCCCTTTGGGCGTCCAGATCTTTCCCAACCAAACTACTGGACAGGTCATATCGAGTATCTTGTCAACGTTGGATGAACAGACTGCTCTGCAGATCCTCAAAGAAGCTAAGGACATGAGCTCGACCAATCCTATAATGATGGAGAGATTACTAGAAAAGTGTCCTCAGTTGGCACATGCTTTGGCAGAGACTGCCATTCTCTTAAATGTGACCACTCCCGAGACGGTAGAGATATGCATAAACCGGAAAAAGAGGCCCATTTTCCAGCTTTCTCCCGAACAAATAAATACCTTAAGGGCTGTTAAACAGCTTAAAGACGACGATATTCAAGACTTAGAGAAATCTAAACAAGAGATTATGATAAAATTGAAAACCGAAATAAACAGTGACTCTTTCGGGCCTATATGATTCACCGCATGGTTCAATTCGACATTCTGTACATTAGTTAGACTCATATAATAAATCATCTCCGTTTCCCATCACCATCTCATCTTTAAAAAATTCGCAGCTTCAGTTTGTCAAAACTACAACTTAAATGCCGTCTGATAAAAAGAGACTATCCAGTGGCCTCACAGTCACTTCCAAGGTCTTTGTGATGTCCAGGAATGGAAGTGCTACCAAAGTTGTCAGAGAGCACTATCTTCGTGATGATATCGTATGCTATTCCACTGCTTGTAACAAATGTGCAGAATTAATCAAAGAAAACCCCGATGGCCAAATTCCAAACATCCAGTTGTCCGACGTTCCTGCCAAATTACAGAACGAAAGACACTATATAGTTGTTGATACGAACATTGTTTTGCTGGCTATTGACTTGTTGGAAAATACAGAATGTTTTTACGACGTGATAATCCCTCAAACTGTTCTTGATGAAGTGAAGAATAAATCGTTTCCTATTTACCAGAGATTGAGAAGCTTGGTGAAAGCAGAGGAAAAACGGTTCGTGGTATTCCATAACGAGTTTCATGAGGGAACCTATGTTACCAGAAAACATGGTGAATCAATGAACGATAGAAATGACAGAGCCATCAGAAAAGTTGTAAGCTGGTACGACAATCATATAAATCACGACAATTCCATCGAGAAGATCAACTTGGTATTTGTGTGCAATGATAAGGACTGCAGAAAGAAGGCTGAAGCTGAGGGTATCTATACAAAATCACTTGTTGACTACGTTGAGATGTTACCTAAGGCAGACTATCTCAGAGAATTGGTTTCCAATGACAACCAAACGTTCACCGAATTCCAAAATGAAGCCAAGTACCAAGAATACTATTCCGAGGCTAGGATTATGGCCGGTGTGAAAAACAAGTCTCTTTTCAAGGGTATTTTAAACATCTCCAGATACAACTTCTTGCAGGGTACGGTTCAAGTGCCGGACTTCAAGAAACCACTTTTGGTGGTGGGAACCAAGAACCTCAATAGAGCTTTCAACAGCGATCTTGTGGTGGTGGAGCTATTACCTCAAGATAAATGGAGATCACCTTCCTCTACTATTGTAGAGGAGGGTTCTATTGATGATTACGACAATCCTGATGATGACGATGATGGTGCCACCGCTTCAAACGGTATTATTCCTGATAAAGAACGGATTCTTTTAGCCCAAGAAGCTACTAAGGCTATCACTTTAGCCTCTTCGGGGAATACGGATGTTGAACATAAACTCCAACCCACCGCAAAGGTTGTGGGCGTTATCAGAAGATCATGGAGATATTACGTTGGACAAATTGCACCCACTTCTGTTTCTGCTGATGACAATGGGAATGCTTCTAGAGCTTGTTTTGTTGTTTTGATGGACACAGTGTTGCCAAAAATCAGAATCAGAACCAGGAGAGCCAAGGAGTTGTTGGGCAAGAGAATAGTCATATCGGTTGACTCCTGGGAGGCTACTTCAAAATACCCTCTGGGCCATTTCGTCCGGTCTCTTGGTGATATCGAAAGCACTGAAGCTGAAACTGAAGCTCTCTTACTTGAGCATGATGTTGAATATAGACCGTTTGCAACCAATGTTTTGAACTGTTTGCCTAAAGAAGGAGACAAGTGGAAAGTTCCTGAAAATTTGGATAATGGCGACGAGCAATTGAAGAAGAGAAAGGATTTGAGAGGCGAATTGGTGTGTTCTATTGATCCACCAAACTGTGTGGACATTGACGATGCATTGCATGCCAAGCCATTACCAAACGGAAACTTTCAAGTGGGGGTTCATATTGCCGATGTTACTCATTTCGTGAAGGCAAACACTGCATTGGACGATGAGGGTGCTTCTAGAGGTACTTCTGTCTACTTGGTGGATAGAAGAATCGATATGTTGCCTTTGTTGTTAGGAACAAATCTTTGCTCTTTAAACCCATACATTGATAGATACGCATTTTCCGTGATCTGGGAGGTTGATAAGGATGCCAATATCGTGAGCGTGGAATTCACCAAGTCCATAATCAGATCCAGAGAAGCATTCTCATACGAGGCTGCGCAAAAGAGGATTGATGATAAGCTGCAAAATGATGAGCTCACCAAATCAATGAGAATATTATTGAATTTGTCGAAGAAATTAAAACAAAAACGGTTAAATAATGGTGCCTTAAACTTAGCTTCTCCAGAAGTAAAAGTTCATATGGATAGTGAGACTTCGGATCCTGGTGAGGTTGAAATCAAGCAATTACTTGAAACTAATTCTTTAGTTGAAGAGTTCATGTTGTTTGCCAATATCTCTGTGGCTCGTAAAATCTACGACTCATATCCTCAAACTGCTATGCTTAGAAGGCATGCTCCACCTCCCGCTTCTAATTTTGAACAATTGAACGATATGTTGAGTGTTCGCAAGAATGGTATGCACATTTCTTTGGAGAATTCAAAGGCTTTGGCTGATTCTTTGGACAATTGCATTGATCCCAAAGATGAATATTTCAACACCTTGGTAAGAATTATGTCCACTAGGTGTATGATGGCAGCTGAGTACTTTCCTTCCGGATTTTTTGGATATTCTGACTTCAAGCATTACGGTTTGGCAGTGGATATTTATACCCACTTCACATCTCCTATTAGAAGATACTGTGATATTGTTGTCCATAGACAGCTTGCTGGGGCTATCGGCTACGAGGATTTGGCCCAAAGCCACAGAGACAAGAACAAGATGGAATTTATTGTCAAGAATATCAACAAACGTCATAGAAATGCCCAATTTGCCGGAAGAGCCAGTATAGAGTATTATGTGGGGCAAGTCATGAAGCTGAATGAATCGATCCAGGAAGGATATGTTATCAAATGTTTCAACAATGGTATTGTTGTATTGGTACCCAAGTTTGGTATTGAAGGTTTAATCAGATTGGAAGATCTTGGAGACACAGACTCGGCCATTTATGACGAAGACAAGTTTGAACTTCACTTCAATGATCTCCACAAGAACAAGAGAACTATCGGTGTTTTCGATAAGGTCAAGGTCGAAATCAAGTCTATCAAAGATGAAATATCTGGAAAGAGGAAGGCCCAATTGATACTTCAATAATTTATAAAACTTTATTATTATACACAAGATGGATTAAGAAATGTACTCTACTAATTGTTTAATATTGATCAACTTGATGTTGTGAGCCTTAGAGAATTCAACACAGTCATCTAACCTCAGCATCAACCCGTCTTCTTCTCTAACCAATTCGCAGATCACACCAGCTGGTTCCAATTGGGTCAATTCACACAACTGGACAGCCGCTTCAGTATGGCCTCTTCTCTCTTTTAACAATCCAGCAGCTGCCCTTAATGGAAGAATATGACCAGGTTTTATAAACTCAGAAGCTTTGGAAGTGCCATCGGCCAACTTATTCGCAGTCAACGCTCTATCATGTGCGGAAATTCCGGTAGTGGTGCCAACCGCATAGTCACATGTAATAGTGTAGTTAGTACCATGCTTATCGGTCTTGTTGGCCAACATGGGGGCTAATTCCAAAGTGTCGGCTCTTTCTTTCGACAACGGAACACAAACGTATCCTGAGGAATGACGAACGAGAAATGCCATTTTTTCTTGAGTAATAAGCTCAGCAGCCATTATCAAGTCACCTTCGTTTTCTCTGTCCTCATCATCCATGACAATCAAAAACTCTCCATTTTTGAACGCCTCGAGGGCTTCAGGTATAGGGGTGAATACAGTGGACATGATTTTATGTGGATTAATGATTTTCGATGATATAATGAATTTTTCAACCTTTTATCGGGTGAGAAAATTATCCAAACGTTCAAATCACAGAATCAAATTAGAAATCCATCTAGTAATTTTACTAATGCTGACTGACTAACATTTGCTGACTCTATTATTTTTTTTTTAGCAGCTACACGTGATGAAAAAGGATCTCTGTGTGGTTCCTTTACAGTTTCTGCCGCTTGGTTTCTGCCATGCTACCTGGTGTATGCTGAGTTGTGGCTTCTCTTGAGTGGCTGCAACTGGTGAAAATATATAATATATTAACTACCAAGTTAGTGATCTGCTGAGTATCACAGGTACACTCAACATCATATTCTGTAGGAAGGCATGGCTGAGGTGTCTCGTGCTAGCGTTTTCCTGGTGGTTTGCTTCTCTCTACATGCTATTTAAGGCAAGACGTGAAACCTTAAACGAATTGTAAACTCTCACAGGGATTTGCGTCTCGAACACGTAGGCGCAACAAGTTCTGATTGTAGGTCGAAGTGATATGCTTATTTTGATTTCCAAAGTTGTTTATGATGATCGAATGGTTTAATTGAATCCCACTAAATTTTCATCCTAAAAAGATTGGTGAAATCTGCAAAACTAACCAAAAAATTGGTTAATTGTGAAGAGAGACTGACAGGTTACAGCAAAATTCCAAAAAATAGATGAAGCTGCCTGTTTCAATATAAACGGGGATTCTATCCCCATTGTACTGCCTTTTTCCAGGAAATATAAAAATGATGCTAAATCCAATCTTGGTTGCATTAAATACTAATCGCAGTTTTGTCCTCGCTTCTCGCTTTGAACAGTAATGAGTGAACCAAAGTTCAGTACACATTTAACCAAAACATACCCTGATGCTGACAACACAGAAGTTACATTTCACAAGATTGAAGCTGCCGATACAATCATACTAAACGTCTTGACAAATGGAATAGCCGATACCACATTCGAGTTACCATTGAATTCCCAGCATTCCATCAATATACTCTCCAACCTTTCCAATTTCGAGGATGACGAAGAAAAAATGGGCATAGAGCCAAGAGTTATCGTGGGAGATCACAACAATCTCAAGATCCAAGTGGTGGCATCACAAATAGGAAAACTTCTTCTTCTGAATATGTCAGAGCCGAAGAGTGTAATATTGTCGATTGGTTCCAGATGGTTTGGGAAAAGCACCGAAACGAATGATGAAGACTTCAAAAAGCTCATGTTTGTACTTACAAGCGTCAACGAATTATTGGCCCAAAGCAAAGCACAATGAGAAATATATATATTAAATCATACAAAGAAAGAAGCTATTTCTTCTCCTTAACTGGCACAAGTCTTTCTTTAGTGTAGATGCTCAACTTGTGTGGAGTCATGAAAGCTTTGCACACCTCGTCGGTGGTCTTTGCTCTTCTTTCCTGGTATTCTTGAACAACTTTAGTAACCACTTTAATGCATTCTTCCTTCATTTCACTAGACAAAAGCTCTCCCTTTCTATAAGCTTCGGCCAACAGTTCTAACTTTTCATCATCATCACTGAAAAATGACATGTATTGGTAAGAGACATCGATTTCTGGATTACCACCATATTTAATGTGGTCTTCTTTGCTTGCCTGCCCTCCCGAGAACGCATACTTCTTGATCTTATTCTTGATTTGGGCAGGAGTATCATCAACAAAGATGGAAGTGGTGGTGTCCGAAGCAGACATCTTGGTAGAAGCTCCCTGTAAAGCTGGGAAAAACTTAGCATGAATCAAAGCTGGCTTGGAGTATTTCAATTTATCGGCAACGTCTCTACAAACTCTGAAGTAGGGATCTTGGTCAATTGCACAAGGAATCAAACAAGGTGTCTTTGGAGGAAGTCCCAAGACATCAGGGAAAGAAGATGGGAAAGACGTAGCGATTTGAATACTGGCAAAGTGTATTCTCCCAATGCTATCACTTTCTTGGAATCCGAACACCGATCTGGCAGTAGAAAAAGTGATTTGCCTCGAGGTTCTAACGACGTTTTCATAGAAGGCTCCTCCCATGTAGTCCAAGTCTGAGAAAATGAAGGTCTTCTCCAAGTCAAATCCACAAGCGATAATATCTTTAGCATTAACTTGACAATACTTCTTGACGTCTTGGATTGTCAACTTTGGCTTGAACAAGAACTTTTCGTCATCAGTCAACTCAATCACCAAAGGAACATCGAATACTTCCTGTAACCATTTAGTAAACATGAAAGGAACCAAATGTCCCAAATGAAGCGAATCTGAGGATGGGCCCCTACCGGTGTACAAAAAGAAAGGCTTGCCCTGTTCATACAAATTCAAGATTCTGCCCAAGTCTCTTTCGGAGAAAAATACTCCCCTCTTTAAGAAAGGATGAGGATCATGACCAGTAACTTCTTTAAATCTGTTTAAGGTGTCAGAGGTGATAAGCTTAGTACCAAATTGTTCGGTCAACTTCTTGTAATCGATACCTTGGTTTTCACCATCAACTACAGCACCTTCTACTTCCCATGGAGTAATGATCTGTTCTGAAGACTTCAAATCGATTTTTTTGACTGCTTCTGTAACTTTATCGGTCATTATTATCAAAGGTGATGTGTAGTTTTGTAACACAAAAAATTAGCACTTCCAAACGCTCGTGAGACGAAAAAATTTGGTCTACTTTATACAAAATACATTCTACTTCATCTACTGACTGTTTGATACGAATTGCTTTTGTAGTATTATGAATACATCAGGTAAATATACATGAAATAAGGGACTACATAAAGTTAAAAAAATCATTAATTATTGTGTATTTTTTTAAACCCAATGCATGGTGAAATATGCAATTCAGTCTTTTGTAAACCCCAGTTATCTTCAAAGAATCAGCAGATTCCTTAAAATTGAAGTTTGGCAAAAAACCATTTGTTTTCACCAGCTTGGTATCTTTCTTCCAAAGCCTTCTTCACAACCTTCTTAGCTTCTTCTCTTTGAGATGGTTCTTCCAAAGCTTCAGTGGTAACAGCGGATTTGAAAGATTCAATGTCAAAAGAGTATCTAGTTGGCATCAAGTGGTTGTAGTTGATTGCCTTGATGAATGGCTTCACCTTTGATCTCTTGGCAGTCTTTTTAGCACCCAAGTTCTTGGTGACCTTCAATGGGTATCTTTCAATACCAGCAACAATGGCATGTGGAAAGGCGTGGGCCTTGGTACCTTCATCATGGTGCTTGACAATGACAACCTTCTTACCGGCGAAACGACCACGGACGACAATAGCTAAAAGACATGTTAGTAATTGAGTTTTGGGAGATGATTTACAAAAGTTGCTGTGTTTTCGGTATACTGGAGTCAAAAGTGGCAACAAAGAACCTGGTGGAACAAGATGGGATGAACACTAAGACGAACGGTTATGTAGAACACCTATTTCAAATTCTGATTGTTTTCATACTAGTGACTTTTCAATAAAAAATTGTGGATGAATGAAGTGTCCACTACATATTGGCATGGAATGGAACACAGCATACTTGAGTATCATAGTTCATGGGATTAGGTTTACATACCGACTCTACCTGCTTGGATGACTTTACTTAATTTGGCCATTTTGATTAATATTAAACTTGGTTAAAAAAGTTTGCAAATTTTTAATGAAAATTTTTGGCTGTATGATGGACCAACTCCTTCGCAGAAAAATATGAAAAATAGCACAAAACCAGCACTCTTTGTGTAACTTGGGGAAGCGCTTGTGGCGCACACTACACATCAGGTGAAGTTGTGACTGCTTTTTTTCCGGGCGGTGCTGTGCGCAAAGGTGAGATTATATTACATAATCATAAAGTATAATAGATGCAAAATATACACAAATGGTAACTTACTTTTTACGTTGACTTCTTGCAAGGAACTTGGAGTTCATTGAAGTTATTGCATGAGGATGGGGACTTGGTGAAGCCCGTGCCTTTGAAGAAGATGCAGCACTGGTGTATGCGTTTCTGTCATCCTTAGTGAAACTCGATCTTCTGTTGTATGTAACGGGATTATTACTGCTATTGGAAACAGCCAATTGTGCCGCATGTAACATTCCGCTTTCATTGCTGCTGCCCAATCCAGTGGACATGTCAAGTCCTCCCGCTATAGCTTTGACTGGAGGAGGAGGTTTTCTCTTTACTGACGATCTATGTTGGATTCTGTTCGATAAAAGACTTTCCCTGGAGTGTGAACCATGGGAACTGGAAGGTTTTGGGTCCGACACTTTTCTAGTTGTTTCCTCCTTTTGCTGCTTGGGACTCTGTTGAACCCGAAGATTTGTGAATTGTGGAGCGTCCATTAGTCTGGGAGACCCCGAGTTGCTTTTCGGTTTAGATCTTAAGTTAGGTTCGACAAGTTTTTCTTTTTCTAACTTCATACGTTCAAACTGGTTGGTCTGTGCTTTGGCCAAAGCTTCAGTCCAATGGTTAACGTCGTACTTCTCTACCTCAAAAGTTAGAGTCGAAACATTCGACTGGATTGCAAACATTCCAGTTGTAGGAAGTATTTTCAGTAATCTTCCTGAATTTGTCACCACTTCCTTGAATTGAATGAATGGGTAACTGAGACGAACTTCAGATATCAACCGATAATTCACTTCCGGATCATTTCTGAAGAATATCAACACTCTTCCGAAACTGGTTACCAACATGGTACAAGTTCTTCCTTTTTCTAACGGATGCTGACTGACAGGCTCTGAAGCAGAATTCTTGTCCTTTGAATTGGAGATACCAAGTCTCTTGAAAAGTTTGCTCAGAATCTTTGTATTTGTTGGTGCATTCTCGCTTGAAGCACTACTCGGTATCTCTTCTATCATGAAATAGTCTCGGATAGCCTTTGATTCATCTTGGTCGTCTTCAATTTCTTCCACTGGTAAGGTCTGATTGTCCCTCAAGCCTGTACTATTTCCAGACACTACTTGGCTTAAGAAACTGGAATTCCCCTTTCCTCTGTTTTTGAATCCTAAAGGTGACTCATGAATAAGACCTCTATACTTTCTTTCAAACTGCTCAGTAGTAGTCTTGTGTGCAATCACAGGACCTATCTTTAGAATCCGTTCGTCTGAGCTCTTGAGGTACTTTCCCCATGCAACTTCGAGAGGCGTGATTGGAGAAACTTCTAAAATCTTTGACTTGAATTTGGGTTTTCTTTGTGGCTTTGTTCTGGAGGATGATCTCGAGTAACTATGAATCGAGTTGATTGTAGGACGTAAGATATTGGTTCCTGGAATGTAATCAGGAAGAGGTGCCGATGAAGGTGCCGATGAAGGTGCTCTTGAAGAGGTTCTTGAGGATGTTTGAGTATTGTTGGGTATATCATCAGTAGCAGTATCTGCGCTATCTTCGGTGTCCAGCGAATCCTCTTTCTTGTTGAGCACAAATGCAGCTGCAGCTGCAGGGTTGAGAGGAGCACCTGCGGATGATGCTGTACTAACTTTTGCATTGTTGTTGCCATTGTGTGATGGTTCAGAAACTGTTCTCTTGTCTTTTTTGCGAGGAACCCTTTTGGTTGCTACAGACTGAGAAGAAGCAGACTTAGACAATTCAGGGATTTTCATCATCGACTTGGCAGACATCTTGAAGGGACCGAGCTCTGGAACTTCAGAATACCAGATTTGATTGAAGTCATCAAAGTTGATGCCTTGAAAAAAGTAGTGCTTTTGAATTGTTGGAATGTCTGCTCTTCTTGATGGTTGCAAAACCAAAACTTGTTTAATCAAGTCCCTCATAACCAAGGGGAAACCAGCACTAAAAGCGTATTGTAGCTTAGTGATCTTTTGGAATGTAAGATACTCATTTGCAGCTTTGAAAGGAGGCTTGCCAGCTATCATCTGATATAATATACACCCAAATGCCCAAATATCACCTGGCTTACCGCAGTACTTGTTATCCAATAGTTCAGGGGAAACGTACTCAGCAGTTCCAACGAACGACTTGGCTCTAACATCAACCGGGTACTCCTCGCTTTCTTCACTGACTTTCTCCAATAATCTGGCAGTACCGAAGTCAGTGATCTGAATTCTTAATTTATCATCTAAAAGAATGTTCTCAGGTTTTATGTCTCTATGGATTACTCCATTATCATGCATGTATTTTATAGCATCCAATATCTGGGCACCAAAATACCTAACACAGTCTTCATTCAAGGTGTTGTATTTCTTGATCAATGATAAAAGCTCGCCATTTGAAGCATAGTCCAAAACAAAGTAGAGTGAGTCTTTATCTTGAAAAGTGAAGTAGAGTGAAACGACCCCCATTCTATTGCTGAGTCTGTTCAATGCATGTTTTTCAATGTTCACATACTTTACCTTCTTCTCTTTGATGATGTGTCGTTTGTCTAAAATCTTGACGGCATATTTGGTGGACGTTATTTTGTCGGTTGCCAAAACAACAGTAGAATAAGAACCCTCACCTAAGGGCTTGCCAAACTCAAAGTCCGTCACGTTCCTTCGAATGACAGTAAATCCGTTCGACTCATCTCCCACCGTCCTAGTGGCGGCTCCCCTTTCATGCCAATCTTCTGATTTGGTACCCGATACCGCAATTGATGAGGGAATTTCATCGTCTTCGAGGTTCAATGATTTGAGAGCCTCGTTTGATTTGGCTACTTCTCCGTATTTCTCGGGAGAAATGATATCTTTTAGCTCTTGTTCAATTATTGGAGTGTTCAAAATGTCGAGAGAACCATTGGACATGGCTCGATGGTCTTGGGAGTAGAAATCAAAAGAAGACCCTGAGTTTGGTGATTGAGGTGCACTATGAATGACATCAGCAGATCCTTGCTTCAAAGACGATAACCTCGAAGAAATGTGTACCAGATAGTCATTTGTGGCCGAAAATCTATCCAAAACTGTTGGTGGGATAAGCCGATGGTGTTTTGAGGTTGATGAAATTGGTGGAGGTGCTGTTTCCGAATCCAAAGTATCATTGCTATTGTTGCTGTAGTTGGATGTGTAGGTGTTGAAGATTTTGTCCAAATCATCATTGATATCCTTTAAACTTCCCGAACTGGGGTCAGGATGATAAGATAGGCGATTTGGATTTGACATCGTCGTCTAAAAGTATCGTTGGATTGGTGGTCTTGGCTGAGTAAATCTATAAATGGAAAGGTGTTGATTGAATAATGTGGATTGAGTTATCAGAAGACAGCTTCTAAGGGATCATCAATATTCTTGACTTTACTATGAGGGAATTGACAGAATGGGCTTATGGCCTAAAATTAAAACTGTGTTGCTGTTGGAGTCAACCAAGTATACAAACAAGTGAGATTCCGATTACAACAATATGAGAGTGCGAAACTGAAACTGTGAGCTAATACGTGAGATCAGTAGTTTTTTAATACACCGTGAACCTTGTAGTTCAAGGGCCTTACTTGATTAATAACATAGTGTTGTCAGTTGAACAATGGCATTTCCGTTGGATGCTGCTCATCTCATTTCCCACTTGAGAAGCTCATATCTAGTTCTGTTTGATGCTGATGAAGACGCTAAGCGAATCATCACCCCTTATCATGATGATAAAGACGGAGACATGTACAAACACATTTTCGAGAAGTTAACACTACTGTCGTCTCCTCCAATAGAATTAACCACCTCAGAAAATCTTCATGCTAGTATAGGACAACACAAAGACTCCAAATTATCCAAAGCAAATAAGAGGAGAAGTAAAATACGACATAGACGCAAGTCGATAGATCACAAACGGTCTCATTCAAGAACCAGTGTTTTTGATAAGAGTGAAGAAGATCCTGGTAATGTTAAAAAGCCCACTCATGATATTAACAAGGGACTGGCTGATCAGTCAATAATTGATACCAGACCCCAAGAAGAAACTCCAAACCAATTGAACTATACCCAGACAATCAAGAAAGGAGCTAAGAAGAAAAACAATCTTATACGACTTTTTCAAAGAGACCTGAGTGGGTACGACTCCGATAGCAGTGATGGTTCAGTACGGACGACCAAGCTAGAATCACTAGACGAAGACGACGGATTAACAGACTCTACTCCCAAAATATCTCAATTGGAAGGAGATGAAGAAGTCCTCGAAAAGGAAGACGCTAGTTCCCTTACTTCTAAACAAAGCACCCTTAGCTATCTGCATCGCAACACGAGCAGTGAGCTGCTTCCTACGAAAGAAACGTTTGAGACCGAGACACCTCTTGATAGCAGCGTTTCTGGGGACTTAGAAGATACTACGTTTGATGATGACGACTCTTTTGACGAGGATGACGAGGACGATGATGACTATGATGATGATGATGATGACTATGATGATGACGATGAAACAGAAGATGTGTCATCTGACGATTCAGCATTCACCGATCTAGATGATGATTCGTTGGGAGGTTCTTCTCTATTGCTCCACTCTTTTCAGACCCCCCGGTTTTCTTACTCCAAGAAGGCAAAAATGCTTTCTTCGAAACTCAGAAGAAGGAAATCAAGATCTCAATCTTTGGTTAACACTCTTCAGTCAACAAAAGAGAGTTCAAATCTCGGCGGTGAGAAGGGCGGAAAGCTAGCCCCATCGCCTTCGGCTACTGGATTATCATCTATAAGAAACAAGAAAGCTGGATTCAAATTTGAAAAGATCATTCCGGCTGTTAACACCAACAACGAAGCAAAGTCGCAGCTTAGTACGATGATTCAATCGAGGTATAAATCTATCAAGACGAATCCATTAAACTACTTTGCCTTTGCTAATGATAAATCCGGACAAGGAACAGCACAGCAGGTTAAACTCAATATCTTCGTGCCTCCCAAAACAATTCCCACTTTGCAGGATTTGTCAGTGAATAACAACGTTGCTATTGCTGATTGTATTGGATATATTCTACTCAATCTTTCCAAATTGGAAGAGTATGAAGACCAGGAAGATTTTTCATTATACCCCAACCATTGGAGGTTGGAATTAGTTGACGAAGATGGCGAGAATTACGGATCATTTGGGATTCTCGATCGAACCAGACTTCTATCTTCATATAATAATCCTAAAGACTTGGCTATTTGCAGAGTGAAAGATGAGAAGGAAATACGGAAATACGAGTTACAATCCCCCTTGGCCAATGAATTCAAACAAAACTTGGTGGATTATACCAAACAAGGAAGTACCACCATCGATGAGCATGTACCTGCTAATGAAAGCAAGGAAATGGTGGAATTAACAATAGTTGATCCTACAGACAACAGAGCCCATATAACAGTTGATAACAATTCTTCAATTCAAGAAGTTTTGTATGAATTCTGTTCACAAAGAAACTTGAATCCTGAATTATATGCTTTTAGGATCATGATCGAAGACCGAAATAATCTCACATTGAAGGGAAGTAATGAAATTGAAACCTTAAAAGCGGATTCAGTGATCAATGATTATAATAGCACACGATTTGCTAATAAGAATGAAGTTGTTAAAGAGCTAGAGTCGATGATATTGCAAATCGTCCCAACCAAATCAATGCCAAATCTGTCTCTTCTCAATAATGATTCTCATGGAATAAGTCCAATAATTGATAACGATGTCTTCCCAGTCCACAATCCTACTATTATAGGCTCAACAAACCCCAAGCAAGCCACTCGTAATGACTTGAATGCCCCAATTACTAAGAGGCACTCATCACAACATATTCGAAGACAAAGCAAGCATGGTGGTGATTCAAATAAGTATTTTGATGATATGATTTCCAACTTGGCTCCAGGAATTCCAAGTAATCCAAAGGCCAGATACTTCACTTGGAAAGTGTGGAGAAAGAAGGCCACGATTTTAAATAAGATCGAGAAATCTCTTATCATTGATGGTGACTACATAAGATTACAACCTCCTGAAGATAGAGCATACACCATGAACCCGAATGATAATCCATTCTTAGCCTCTCAAGGCGATTCTCAAAACCATCACCATCACCACTTACATCACTACAACTATGCCAATTATTACAATAGCTCTATGATGAAAACCAGTTCATTCCATCTTACTCAGATTACCAAATTCAAGCAGTATAAAGGATCCAGGAATCCAAATCACTTCAAGATCGTAATAAGAAAACAGGGAAAAGAGAGACATGTCAAGAAGACGTATGATCTAGAAGCAGTCAGTGAAGCCGAATGCGAGGATATTATAAAAAAGATTGGCTGGGTTATAGATATGTACCAAGCGGAGATGGCACACCTTATGTAAATAGTTTAGATGAGATGATGCGAAAATTTAAATCTTAAGAATAACTGTGAGTACGACTTATAAATGTCTGGATTATCACTGAACTGGGCTCGACTCCAGTCCAATATCACACCCAAGTCCACCAGGAAGACTAAGAAGACTGTGATCAAAAGAAAAGCCCCTTATACCCCCAAAGAAACGGAAAAAGTGGCATCGATTATTACCTCATCGAATTCCCCAGCATCGGAAATTCAACTTTCAACAATTGCATCTGCTTTATGGACAAATGAACATGAAATCCTGGAAAAAGATATCGAAAATGTAAGCTCAACCAAAGCCCCAATCCAAACCTCATCCAAAAAACAACTACCAGGTAAATACTTAGCCATTGATTGCGAGTTTGTTGGAGTAGGTCCTGAAGGTGAAGAAAGTGCATTAGCAAGGGTATCCATTGTTAATTTCTATGGCTATACCGTTTACGATAAGTTTGTTAAACCTAGAGAGAAGGTAACAGACTGGAGAACATGGGTTAGTGGGGTAACTCCAAAGCATATGAAAGATGCTGCCACCTTCAAACAAGCTCAAGAAGAAACATCGAAATTGCTTGATGGTAAGATCCTAGTGGGACATGCCGTCCACCATGATCTCGATGCATTGTTCTTGTCACACCCCAAGTACATGATACGAGATACGACGAGTTTCAAGCCATTCAGAGCAATTGCAAATGGAAAAACTCCCAGTCTTAAAAAGCTCACTAAGCATTTTCTTAAAATTGACATTCAAGATGGCCTGCATTCTTCAGTTGAAGATGCTAGGGCCACCATGTTGTTGTTTCGGTTGCACCGAAAAGACTTTGAAAAGACCTTAAAGTTGAAAAGGTAACTTCTAATCAGGTCAAACGCATATAGAAAATCATGTACTATAGAATTCATAAAGGCATTCCCTAAAAGTTTGATAATTACTCTCTATAAAGTATATTTGTATAAGGTGTCATTTAATCTTCGAGTTTTTCGTTTTCAACGTAAGATGAAGCGCTTCTATAAATCATCTCTTGTAGTCTTTCATTGTCTCGTTCAATCTTTTCTTTTGCAGTTTCGTCAGATGCTAAAAGATCTGAAAGTTTACGGAATCGATAGCTCTTCATGATCATCATTCCATTTTCCTTCAAGAACTCGTCTGTAGCATTGGAATGCTCCTCCAATGAATATGTAGGGTCCAGCATGATTTGGGTCATGATTTCAGATACCACTATCACTGTATCCGTGGAATTGCTATTTATCATGGTCAGAGCAAGCTCTGATTTAATAATGTGGAAAATCATCTGTCCTTTACGTGGGTTAATGCTGAAGATTTGGTTCAACAAAATGAGAAATCTGGTTTTGAAACCAGAATCAACAGTTGTAGTGGCATAGATATAAGCAGCTTGGTACAACGCCAATGTTGGGTAAACTTGATCTGACAACAAATAATCAATTATAACCTTTGGGGCGTTCAAATTGTGAATAATTAACCATTCAGATGGTTGGTACTCCGTTGTGGCAATATATTCACTGAAACTGGACTCATTAGTAGACAACCAAATGAAAAGTAAGTATGGCAATGAGCCACTGGGCACTTCGTATTCGTCTTTTGCTTCAATAACATATCGCTCCTTGAAGACTTGTTTCATACAAGTCAAAGACGTATGTTTAATGTGACTTAATTTCAATCCCTGTGTGAAAATGAAAAACACATAACACAATATATTCTTCTTATCGATGTGGAAACCATGGGATTTCTCAAAAGATTCGATAAAGCTTTCCAAGTGCTTTCTTTGTTCAAAAACACGGTCAACAAAACCTGGTCCTTGTTCGTAATTCTTCAACAAGGTGTTCAATAAACATTGAATACTTACTTGGTATAATGAAGAATAGTTCAACATGCCCAAATATAATTCAGGCCATATGATTATGGAGGGGAAAACCGAATCTTTTGACAATCCTTTGAAGATCTTGGCGGCACTCATAAGAACGTTTGTCATAGATTCCAAGGTATTATTGAAAGAGGTCCTGCTCATTAACTTCAACATGTTTGTAGCAGTATGGTCACTAATACCAGACTTGGAAAGAATACCTACCACCAAAATAGCTCTAAATTGAAATAATGAGGAATTGGAGAAGGCGACATCCATGGCATAAGAACACCAGCGAGATCGCCAACCCGACCTGTCATCTGCTGAGCCCAATACAGTTATGAACTCGTTCAAATAGTCACATAAAGTCTCAAAACTGGCTGCTCTATTGTATAATTGGTTGATGTCCGAGGTGGCTGTAGTTTTCTCTCTCGTTAAACCAAACAACATCTTTGCCCTTTGGCCACTGAAATATGCTAATGTTTCTTCAACAGTCTTTTCTTCTATTTCAGTCAAGTCAGGTTTGTTGAAGAAAGATTGAATGGTGTTGATAACCAATTTTTGCAAGTCACCTCCAAATTCCAAAGAAGGATTGTCAATGAACAAAGAACAGATGAAGAATACATCTGCCAAGTACAATTGAGCAAAAATATAGGAATCGAAGAAAAGTGAAGCACATATCTTCACTAATATCATTATTTCAAACAATTTGCTTTCTGCGGCTATTTCTGAATCATTATTTGTAGCCTCATTGATACAAGTGATTAATCTTGTGATGGTTTCTCCGCAAAGCTCAACACTAGGGGACAACACTGATATAATGAATGACCAATCAGGATCATCATTTCTATTGTCCATAGTGAAGGTGACAATCTCGTCCAATAACAATGGTGTTAAAATAGACTCAGCAAATAACTTCTTCCAAATGTAATCATTGATCGCTGAAATAGTATCCTTGTTTAAAGCAGAAATCAGGCACACTTGTCTGATAATACCAGCCACTCTGTCAGGTCCACTTTGTTCATCTTTCAAGTAAATGTAGTCACAAATATTATCAAGCCATGGAGATAAATATAGAATAGCATTGATTCTATGACGGCTAGGAAGCTTATCGTAACAGTCAAAGAATGATCTGAAAAATCTGTAAGACATTTCTGGGAACTTACGTGACAAGTATTTGGATACAGCAACAATGAAATCAGTGGTGTTGGCAGGATATGCAATGTCTTTGGCATGATTTTTTGAAATACTGTATTCAATCTCGAAATAGTTGCCTACCGAAGCAAACAAATAAGAGGCAGATGATCTGACTTCATCATCCTCACATAATAGACTCTGGAATACAATATTAAACAATCTGCCAAACCACAAGTTAGAAACGTCCCCCTGGAAGTTTCTATCTTCTTCATCGATATAAGGTTTGGGTAATCTGGAAGTAGTGAAATACATGAATCTTAAGATTTCCAGTCTTTCGTGTGATCTCACGATAACACTCTGTCCGCTATTGAAGTAGATAGTGAACTCGTCCGTAGCACCGCTGGATTTGGTAATTTCACATCTTGTGATATCACTCAAGCTGTATATGTCGACCGGCCTGAAACCTTTTGTAGCACAGAGTTCATGGTTTGTTGCAATAAATTCGTCCGAACAGATCAAGAAAAACAGTCTTCCAATTTTGATTGTGGCAGAATAAAAACTTTGAGTGGTTGAGTCTAATACTTTACAGTTAAGGAACTCCACCTTTTTATCCCTTGTTATTGCCATGGTGTCTTCACTGAGGCATAAACTGGAAATGATATCATTTGAATCGCAATGGGAGTAAGTATAGAATCTTGCTCTTGCTTCCTTGTCCTCAACATTTGAAGGTTTAACTAGGTTGAAGAAAGTGCCAACATTCTTGATAGGGAGGTTGAAATAATAGATCCGGGTACAGTTTTTGAATAACTGGCTAGGCCCATAAGTATTCAACAACGTCGCATAGGTCACCAACACGTGCATTTCAGTCGAGAATTGGGTGAAGTCAAACACAAAATAGAATTTGTTATCCCATACTTGACTGGCAGTTTCAAACAACTTGTAAACTAATAAATTTACATCGAAGTCAACCAACGTCAAAGTTTTTAAGTTCACCACCACTACAGGAGTACCATCATGAAATATGGCATTGTGAATCAAGGAAACATCAATGGCCTTATCAGCATATTTCGCAGACATTCGGTTCATGAACTCAGTGTATTCACTGCTCACTGTACCGGTAGGGTCAAAATTCTTATAACCTCCACCATCACCACCTTGAATTGTCAACAAGGCTTTAGGTTGACCAACTTCCCTCAATATATCGTCACATAATGTCATCTGCTCCACTCTCTTCTTTAGCTCATCACTAGAGAATTCTCCCAAGAGAAAATTCTGCTTAATTTCTTTGTAATAAGTGAAGAAAAACTTGTGGACATATCTCAACTCTGGTATTGGCATTTCGGTAATTTCTTCAAATGGATACTCTGTAGAATCATAGGAAGAAACATCCTGCAAAAATTTGAAAATCTTACGCTGGATTTGCATTAACTCGTCCATTTTTTGATTCAAACTCTTCCATTTCAAGACAGACAATGTTTTGTTAGCCATATTTTGAAGCACTTTTACCAACTGTAACAAAGACTTTTTGTTACTATGACAAATAACATCAATCTCGAAGAAAGATTCTGGACTTATAACTGCAGGGCAGAAAAATCTTAAAAACACAAAAGAACCAACTGCAATTAAACTAGCATCAGGAACCTTAGCGTTAACCTTTCTATAGATTTGCGAGCAAACGTATCTGAAGGATTTTGGCATCGAATCGGCTGAATCGCAAATTAAGCTAACGAGATTGTTCAAGTAACTCATGAATAGATCAGGGTTCGAATTGGAGTCTTGCTCTTTCTCGACGTTGAAGTTAATTTCCTTATCATTGAATTCTTGAACGAAGTCTTTCAAAACCAAAGTCAAATAATCCATTCCATCATCTTTGGCTAATTTAGCCAACAATTTTGTCAACGTACTGTTCCTTCTAAAGATATCTGCTGTTCTGGAGACGTTATTGATTTCTTCATTTAAAAGATTTTCAAATAGCTCATCCAACTTGTGGAGGTATCCATAGACTCCGAACAACGAAGAGGCATACAAGTTGTGATTCTGGTTGGAAGCAATGACACTGGCAGAAGTCAAAATATCGGTAAGAGAACCGATTCCAAGCAAATTAATTTCAGTAAAATCTTTGCTCTTCTTCCTTATTATCTTACGTTCATACAACATTTCTGCAAAAACACTTAAAAACAATGCTCTGATCTTTTTGTTGTCATGGTAGCCCAAAGGAAACACAAGCTGCAAACCAATATCAGTATCGTACTGCAAAATATTGGTTATACACTTCAAAACATTATCAACAATAGCCTGTATTTTGTACTTGGACTTCACATTACCAGAATTATTCATAGTGTACTTGGTTAAGATCCTGTAAAACAAAGAAAAATAGTTTGCAAATGACAAATCCTTGTATTTGGGGACATCCTTTTCACTAGTTCCTTCGGGGATATCCAACAATAAGTCTTCTAATTGCAATGCCAACGCTTTAGAACTTTCAGTTGCTAGATCAACATTGAGATATACCAACTCCGAGTCTTTATTTGTGGACTTTGTAGATGAATTAGATGATTTGTAGCTGTTGATATAATTAAACCCAGTTTGGTTTCCAACTGGACCTGGTAATTCATCGAAGAAAGCACTTTGTTCTAACCAATCACATGTTGACTTTGCATAGAAATTTCTGATTTTGTAAGCACCTGTTAACAAGAGTCTTTTTCTGTTTGTTTCAATGGTAACGGTCAACTTGCAGAATCTCAATTTCAACCTTAATTGGTTCACCGGGTCTTCAACCAAGTTAATTAATTTAATTAGAACGACACAAATCTCTGGCAAAAGAGCAGTTAAAACCACAGCCCCTTCATTTGGAATACTGAGCATAGAAGTCATAATCATAATCGTTTGCTCGGTGAATAACACGCTTTCTTCATAAATATTCTTGTTCTCTTCAAATTTATTGACCACCGTCACCAACTTATTTGAAACCAATTGATAAACGGCCGAATGAGATTCATTGGACAATGCGTCTTTGATGATGACTCTTATCACTAAGTCCAGAGAAGTCAACAAGTTAATACACCTGTCGAAAAAGTTTGAAATATTCTGCTCCAGCTTCAGACGTAATACGGGATCTCCATCAGCAAATTCGTTCAGAAGGAAACATCCTGAAGTTGAAACCAAAAATCCGGTGAAATGACGAAAAAGTAAGTTTTCTTCATTCAAGGAGGCAATCTTGTTGAATAAGAGATCACACCATCGTTCATAGATGATCAACCATACTTGGTATAATGCTTTAGTTGGTCTAGATTCTCTCAAAATATTTCTGAATCTCTTATGTAAAGACACAAATCCAGTAAACACGAAATCATCCTGAACCAATTTTTCAAATGTATCTGCAAGGTTGTGCTCAAAGTGAGTACTAATTCTTTTGACGTGAAGTAAATGCCATTTCATGGTATCTTTCACTATGTTATAGAATTGGATATCGTGTGTACACAATGACAACAATAAGATTCTTTCAACAGAGTTTCCAACGTCAGTCTCATCGCAATGAGATCTAGGATCTTGGACAATGGGGCTCTTAGTGACAATCTTATTGAACTCCTCTCTCATCTCCAAGAATTCGTTCAAAAAGATTAGGTTTGACTTAAATTTTACGTCTGTCAATGACAATGATAAGCAAGAGTCACAAATTGACTTAACAATCTGTTTGCATGTGGAGTAGTTGGCAAAGCTGGTGACAATATTCAAGTTACTTGTCATATTACTCTGTTTATCGACAATAGACATGATCAACCGACAAGTGGAACTGAACAATGTGCTATCGTCGGTATTATTCATTGACCTGGATTGTAAACCAACTCTCAAACTATCGACATTGTCCTGAACAAACTTTAAAATACGAGCCCTTGAAGCATCTTCATCCTGGTAAAAGATCTCTGGTTCCATAAAGGATATATCATTGAAGAATAGCTGTGGGGATGCTTTAAAAATCGCAAATAAATCAGCCAATAGATCTTCCACATTAGCGACCAATTTGGAAGTGCCTGTGCTGGCGGCTGCACTTATTGAAGCAGAAGAAAACTTTAGTTCGTCCACATTAATATCATGAAATGAGGAACTGCTGATAGTCTGAGGGTGGCTCGACAATTGCTGTGATGAAACTGACTGCTGCTGAAGGTGAGAATGATGATGAGCAAGAATACGGCTTGAGTGTGGACTCAATTCTTGGTCAAAGCTCAACTTTCGGGTATTGTTTTGCGTTGAAGATGAGACACTGGCTTTATCAGAGTAAACGGAAGCCGATGATGATGAGGTGTGGATGGATATAGAATTCTCATAATACTGGCTCAACAATCTGGAAACGTTGGATGATAAGGATTTCAACTGAGGAGAAATTGAGGTCATAATTTGGTTAAAGGATTTCAATGACAACGTGTACTCAGACAATCCTCTTACTACCTTGACAATAATTCTGACATCTCTGTAGCTGTCTTTGATACTTTGAAATCTGTTTAACAATAAGTTGCAGTACTTCTCTGGTTTCAACATTATAGCAGCAATGAAAAAGTTAACGATCAAGTTGTCATAACAGATTTTGACGTAGTCACTATTGGGTGAGTTCAAATTGATGCTGAATGTGGACAAATTGACCTTCACTAAAGCTTCGTATGTTTCATCGAGATGGCTCATGGTGAATATGTAAACTGGATGGTTAGACATATTGGAAGGGAATCTTGCAGCCAAATGGTACAAGGTAATCAATGAATCAAAGCAAGTAAGGTTGGATCTATTGGTACTATTTTTGATGAGGTTATTGATGAACTTTAACCGCTTGTTGAAGCTCAATTTTAACTTGTTTGGCTTCAATTCATACTCTCTATAATCACTTGGATTTAACATCGAAACCCAGGTTTGTACCATCGATGCGATACCAGCGTATGGGAACTCTTCGAATATCGAGCACGTTTGATCAAATATGCTTTTGCAAATGGCAGCAACTTCACTGCTGCTTTCAACAATCGCATCATAGTCTTCAGGTCTTGCAAATGCTTGATCCCTTACACTATGGGAGTAGAACACCAATATAATCTGTTTCCAGGTGGTATTCTTAATACTCTCCAAACTCTTATTTATCACATTGGCCATTGCGTAGCCATTCTCTAAGGAGTAAAAGGTGTACTTGATCAAAGGGGCGTACTTCTGTAAATTATAGGGCGGTACAACCTCATTGGATACGCTAAACTTGAAAAGATTATTGTACAAGTAATTATAGTACTGAAGGGGATTGGAAGTGGCAATGAATCTCAAACAAATCTCGATGTTGAAATCCAACTCTTGGATTAATTTTGCAGTTTCGTGTTCACTGGAGTAAATGGGCAGATCTGACCCGAGTACGGGATCTTCCATTAAGCTGGGACCTCGATTATGACCCAATTGTGTTTGAGGATTTTGCTGATTGGAGGCACCAGAAACAATACTCTGGACCGACAGAGGGGTATCACTATTGGAACTGTGGCTATTATAATAGCCCTTACCATCTATTGGTCTTTTCTGGATCATGCTTAATACTCGCTTGATGACTTCTCCACTGAGTAAGCTCCCTAGGATGTCTATGATGAGATTTATGTAGTTGACGTTAATGGGCTTAGGAGGAGTGAAATGGTAGTAGAAGGAGAAATTGGTCAAGATTTCAAAGTTCATCAAGTTGACATCTGACTTGAAGTTGGATAATGCCGTTCGGGATAACCAACATTCCTCAATGAGTTCTCGGAGAATCTTAAGGATAATGAGGGTGGATGACAATTGTTTTTCATCTCGATCTTTTAATTTTACCTCTTTAGCATCCTTATTGATCGATTCTATGATGTTACACAACTTCATAAAGCAGATGGAGATGTAATCCATGCCATATACCTTCAAGTCGAACTTTGTTCTGTCTATCAATAAATCTTTTGTAATTTTGAACTGAGGATTCAATTCCACTTCTATTAATGAATAGCCAGTAACGTTTGGAAGAAACGATTCGAGCCGATGCGTGAGCGAGTTTATGAACTCTAGCTGTGCATTATAGCCCAGATCGTTTTGCAAGGGCTGTCGGCCGTGAGGCTGATCCATTGTATGGTGGATACAGACCTTTTGTAAGTTTGGATATGCGAGACGGAACGCCGGTGAATAACAAATAGCAAGGTACACAAAAAAGTTCGAAACTTGCTATTAGCTTATGCAGAAATCGGGTTAGATAATCAAACCCACACTAAGCTTTGGTTTACAATAGCACGAATCCAATCACAACTAGGAAACTTGGAAACTATCCTTATTAGATTTTCTGTCTCAACCATTTTAGTATCTGAAAAACGGTCGCGGGTCGTGGCGGGGGCTGGGTTTTAGGCTACGGCATGGAGAGGTCATTTTGACAACCGGTTAAGGTTGGTTGGAGAACAAGAAGAATTACTTTAGACTACGTAGTCATCTTTGAGAGTGGCGGTTAGGTTTATGCAGTTCATTATTTAGACTACAATCTTTGCCCTTCACGCTTGATCAGTCAAAGAACGAATTCCGAAAATTATATTTTTCAGGATTTCACTAATCCACAGTACAAAGAAAGCTAAAGCAACCAATGGCGAAAACGGTGCACCTAGCACCCACGCGGGGTTTCACTATTGTTTTATTGTTAATACTTTCCCGACCAACATTTGGTGAGTTAAAACTTAAGGTGCTAACCAGAAAACGCCAATCGGTCTTCCCCGTTGGAATTGGGGTAAAATTTGTTCCAGTTTCTAATAGTATCTAATTTAAAGCTGGATCCAATTTTTACTCAATATAGTAAAAATCGCAATTTTGCGCAAATGCTGAAGTGCTTGTACAAAGATACTTTATCGATTTGACCAACGATACCAGGATGAACTCTCCTTCACCAAAAAGATCTAAGAGGGCCGAGGGAAGTACAGTAGAGTTTTATAGGGGTTCGGTGACGAGTAAAAACTGTGGAAAGTCGATTCGGAGACAATATCTGGCGTAGGGGCTGAAAACTCTTGGAAAAGGAGCTTGGATGTTAGTTTTCCTTTCTACTGTTTGAACCTGTTAACGAATCGAGAAAATCTTGTAATTTTTAATATCTTTGAAGTCTTCGTGGATTCTCTCAGCCCAATGGAAGGATTCCTTTGAAGCAGGTCGAAAGTAGAGGCCAGTCTGAAATCTCGGGGGTAAATGTATGGGAATATATTCTTATAGTTTATCCTGGTATTTTCGACCAGGAATGTAGAGCAGTGGATGTATGACATGTAGAAACCTGTGGTTTATCTGGAACAGATTTTGCAACCACAAACAGCCAATCAAAATGGCCGAGTGCAGCCACCAGTTCGCACCAAAAACCAGAATCAAAAAGTCGAGAAACTGAAAACTATCAAACAACCCTACTGAAACGTTCAAAATGGCTGCTGCTTACACCATCTTAGGAAAGTCTGTTCCATCTCACCAATTGGCTATTGCCACGTTAGGTGCTGTTGCCTTTGTCTGCATTCCAAAACCATGGGCTCCCCCAGCTCCAGCCCACCCTCCTACTAATGCCAGTTCCGCCGAGGAAGAAAAGTTTATCAAGGAATTTTTATCCAAAAACCAGGCTGAAAAGCACTAGGTTGACTTAGAGTATAATACGTTGACTAATGAACATGCTGTTAACATGATTTTTTTTGTATCAGGGTGGTTTACCCTTATTTTTTTGGGAAATAACTGCTTTTGTCGGTTACCAAGTGCTCTATCTATGCTATTTCTCTTCTTCTGACCAATTGACCAATGGCTCTATGTTTCTGTACACGTATTATTCCCAAATATGGAAGCTTTTTATATAATTTATCAATCTCTCCAAAAAACCTTCTACGCCTGTATTCAAAATGAAGATCCGCACTTGGATGAGATGAGATAAATTTTTTTAGATTCTTAGTCTCTTCTATTTCCTTATACAATGTCTGCCATCTACAAAGCATTGCAGTCCAAGTCCTCCAGGGAAATGGCCGACAAAGAGAAGACCAAGCATATAAATAGGCAAAGATTATTGGTGATTTCTTCAAGAGGAATAACCTACAGACATCGTCATTTGATACAAGACTTGTTACAATTATTACCACACGCCAGAAAAGAACCAAAATTCGACTCCAAGAAGAACTTATACCAGTTAAATGAAGTAGCAGAGTTGTACAATTGTAACAACATCTTCTTTTTTGAGGCCAGAAAGCACCAGGATTTGTATTTGTGGGTATCTAAACCTCCAAATGGGCCTACGTTAAAGTTCCACGTGCAAAACTTGCACACTTTGGATGAGTTAAACTTCACCGGTAACTGCTTAAAGGGATCCAGACCTATCTTGAGTTTTGACAAATCTTTCGAGTTGGGAGACCACTTCAAATTAATGAAGGAACTTTTTATCCATAACTTTGGAGTTCCTCCAAATTCTAGAAAATCCAAACCTTTCGTGGACCATGTGATAACGTTTTCGATTGTCGATAACAAGGTGTGGATCAGAAACTTTCAGATCAGTGAAACCTTGGAAACAAAGGAAACGGATGAAGATATTAACGTCGATGACTTGTCTCTTATTGAAATTGGACCTAGATTAGTTTTGACTTTGATCACAATTTTGGAAGGCTCTTTCGGAGGCCCTAAAATCTATGAAAATAAGGAATACGTCAGCCCTAACTTTGTCAGAGCCCAAATCAAGCAACAGGCCGCAGAGGACGCTAAGAAAAGAGTTCAAGATGCGGTTGATAGAAAGGTCAAAAAGAGAAGTCAAACTCTTGCCAGAGACCCATTGTCCAATGAATCTGTTTTCAAGGAATAAGTGTTCCCTAATGTCATATATCTCATGTATCTAAACATATTTGCTGCAAAAGTCCGCTCATCTCTCAACCATTCCAGTCGCGTACAATCTCAAAATATGCAGAGAATCGCGGATCAGCCTCGTTTTTCTCTGTTTTTTGTACCTGAAACCGTTGCTCAGTAAAGCCAACATTCATTCTTTTAGGCACCGCGTGTACAAGACCACTTGATTCCAATTTAATACCCCTGTACTATACCCCATAAGCACATATATCCTTACTTTGGGTTCTCTTTTTGAAATCCAATTGCTGAGCTATTTTTGGGTTTACACAAGCTTTTTTAAATCATGTATAATAATCAAAGAGGCCATGCAGGCTATGACAATATTTACGGCTATGACTACAACGGTCAACCTTCCCAGAAACAACAGTCTAATTTTAACCGAAATCCGTATTCTCGCCAAGCTCTTCCTCCTGTTCCACAGAAGACTGACGATTACCAAAGCATAAGATCCAGTGGCTTTCTACAACAGAACAACTTCAGAAACCAATTTATGTCTAATACCCATCCTTCCGACGATCGACTTTCGTATAATCGACTAGGTGCTGAAATATCAACACAACATAATGCCGGTGTTCATGATGAAGATGACGATTTCGACTTTGGTGCTAACCCCAGCAAAAATCCATTAGTTCTGAAGGAATCAGAATATGGGCATAACGAATATGAAATGAACAGTATTCACAGTTCTCCAGTAAACCCCTTTTCAAACCAAAATGACTACGATCGCTATGAGGACAAAAAGTTTCAACACCAACAATATCCTTACGATGAAAGCCCCACCTTGCATCAAAACCCGTTTGAGAACCCACCTGTTTCATACATTCCAGATAAAGCCCAACCACCTATTCCCGACTATGACGAGGAGAAGAAGCTCAAACACAACGAAAGACAACGTCTCAAACAGTTGAGGTCTCGGCCACGATTCCACTATACTCGGTTACCATACTTCGGAATCTTGGTTACTATCATTCAAGTAGTAGTGTTCATTGTTGAGTTGGCAAAGATGGCGAAATTGACCGGAAGTGCATTTCAGACCAAACCTTATTTTAATCCCATGTTGGGCCCTTCCACATATGTGTTAATTAATATGGGGGCACGTTATATTCCATGTATGAATGGAGTGGAAGGAATCACCACTGATCCATCAATTCAGTATCCATGTCCTAATTCCACATCTGTCGACACCGACGTGTGTAGTTTGAACCAGTTATGCGGATTATCAGGAATTCCCATCGTTGATGATGCCTATGATCCTCATCAATGGTACAGAATCATTACTCCCATCTTTATCCACGCTGGGTTCTTACACATTCTTTTCAACTTGCTATTGCAGGTGACGATGGGCTTCAGTATCGAAAGAGCTATTGGGAGTGTCAAATATGCTATAATATATTTGCTCAGTGGAGTATCGGGATTCTTACTCGGTGCTAATTTCACTCCCAATGGTGTAGCATCTTCAGGAGCATCAGGAAGTTTGTTCGGGATAGTAGCTACAAATATTGTCATGTTCATTTATTGTGGAAAGAAGAATACCAACATGTATGGGACCAAAAAGTTTGGATTATTTTTATGCATTATGTTTGGAGAGATCGTGGTATCCTTTGTTTTGGGGTTGTTACCGGGTTTGGATAATTTCAGTCATATTGGTGGGTTTGCCATTGGCGTGCTATCTTCAATATTGCTACTTAAAGACCCTTTTTTCGTGTACGAGGACGGAATTATCACATATCAATCTCACTTATCTATATGGCAGGAGTTTGCTAACAACTGGAATCCATACTATAACTTTGAAGATAAAATAGTATCGAGGTTCTACATATGGTGTGGTGTGAGGGTCTTGTGTTTTGCGTTGATCTTTGTATACTTTGCTTTGTTGATTAATAACTTTTTTGGTAAGTCAATTCTTCCGGAAGAGAACAGTTGTCACTGGTGCAAGTACATTAGTTGCTTACCAGTGAATGGATGGTGTGAGCAAGGTGAGCTTCTGGTTCAAACCAACTCTGCTGATGACAATAGCCAGTCCACCACAGCCTCTGCCACAACTTCAACCCCCACTTCTGCAACCTCGACCGAGCCTGATAGTATCGACAACACGGGGTTTTCAGAGCCAAATAAGAGAGAGACAGTATTGGATAGTGTTTTTGAGAGTTCAACATTCGAAAATTCAACTCCTCTTTTAGGACGCCACGAAGAACTGATCCACGCAAGCTTAGCACTTTTTATAATCATGGGATTATTCACGTTCACTGCTCTTAAGTTCAAGAAAAAACAATGAATATCCATTGCATACGTACAAAATACACATTAAGGTTTTTTGCAATCATCTTAGCAGCTAAGTCCGGGTAAAATGGTTTAGTGCGGGAAAAGCGTTTTGAAAATTTTGTAACCAAAATTTTCAGTACTGCTTGGGAATATAATGATTAGAACCGGACTTCGGAACTCACTGGTTAGCATACGGTACTTGCACAGCACCAGATCATCATACTCATTCATTGGGGACTGGTTTGGTAGTAAAAAGACCACAGAAAAAAAAGATATCGTCAAAGAACAAGATAATCTTGAAGAAGGAACGAAGATCGTTATATTGAATGAGAAGAACTCTCCTAACAAACCTAAGTTTACCGTCAAATCCCACATGCCAGATTTTAAAATCCATCAATGGAAAACAAAGAATGTAACTGCAAAGAGGATAGAGAGCACCTACAATACTGAAGATCTCGTCAACATAATAAATGACACATTAAAGAGTTTGCAGAGGGAACCAAGTGAACTCGAAAAGTTTGAGGACGTTAAACTCCATGATTTGACTTTCAGATTCCAGTTCACAAAACAGTTACAGAGAAACTTAGGGTTTGACATCAAGGACTCGATATTAACAAAGTCTCATGATTTGAAAGTCTTGTTTGATGAGTTGAATGCCATTGTTAACAGAAGATTCCTCAACGAAAGAAATGCAAATGATATTGCCTTGAAGCCGGAGGACTTTTCTGCTCCAAATGTATACGTAAACCAAGAGCTTTCTGAGTTTGAGAAGGCTCGGGAGTTCAACAAATTGGTCGAACAAGCAAGAAACTCTTTATAAAATTTCATGTAAATAGTAATAAATAACCTACACCAGTATTCACCTTTTGTTCACGGAATATCCTATCAATGTGGCAGTTGCCAATACCAAAAGCACGCCAGGTATCAAGACTTCGTTGGGAACACCAAAAAACCCATTCTCAGATACCCGTCTAGGTCTTTTGGGTTTTCTAATCTTGATGTTTTCTATGGGTGCTGGCTCGTGGGGATTATGTAAATATAAGTTAGCCTTATGGCTGGCGAGTCTCAAGTTGATCTTCACGCAGTCAAGCAAATCATTATCTGAGGTGATTGACACAATATCCCCTTCATCATCAACATAGCTTATGGCGTATGTCTTTCCGTCATCATTAACTTTTGTCACTCTAAGGTACTGAAAGTCTTTAGGATGTAACTTTTCGTCTATCAATTCTCTTAATTTTGTCAAGCCATCAGTAGGCTTAATGGAAATCCGATGGACTCGGTTTTCATTGGCAGGAGATTTGAACTTCAATACAAATGACTCGTCAAGAGAGTCTAAAAGACTTGTTCTGCTCTTTTGAGGAGTTTCAATATGAGAGATAGAATCAGATGGCTTGATATCAAGGTTCAAATCCGATGAAGTGAGGCCAGCCTGAGAAGTCAAATTGGTTGGTGTTTGGGGCCTACCACTGGAGTCGACCACCAAGGAATCTGAATTAACTGAATCAGCATCGTTGTCTAATGATGTCCAAAACTTATTCCAAGCGGGTCCTTCAGCTCCACCACTTTTTGCTTCCGAAACGATCTCAGGACTCTCTTGATCTTTGACTTGCTTAATTTGGTTTAGCGTAGCGTAGGTTAACTTTAACACTTCAACGATCCCAATTATATCACCGGAATCCCCCACAACAGGTAAGTTTAAATAGTGACCATCGAACATCTTCCTCAAAGATTCTTGAATGGAAAGATCATGACGAGCTACGTCCGGCTGCGGAGTCATAACCCTGACGATAGAACAGTTCTTGGGGGTCAAACCGGCAGCAATGACTCGCAAAACCACGTCCTTGGATGTAAAAATCCCGTTAACCTTATCTTCATTATCCTTTACAAGAACAGCAGTGGTGTTATTCTCTTTCATCAAAACAGTCGCCTCATAAACAGTAGTTTTTATCGAGCAGTAGATAGGGACGGTTCTGGAGTCCAACACGGTATCCAAAGTTGGACCGTTCATCTTGCTCTTTAACTCCTCAAAGTATTGGAATACTTGAAGTGGCTGTTGTACTACTGCCATTTCGGAGTGAACTGTGTCGAAAGCTTCGTACAATCTCTTTGAAGATTCGTGCATTCTCTCCAACTTCTCCATTTGCTGGGAGTAGCACTTGGTTATATCTAACACCCCTACAATTCGGTCCCTATTGTCTAAAACTGGTAAATGACGAAACCGTTTTTGAATCATAACCGTGAGAGCATCGGAAGCAGGATCATTGGCATTTGTGCACAAAGGATTAGGAGTCATGATCTGGTCAATGGTGATGACATTGGCGTTGAGGTTAGAGCCCACAACCCTGAAGGCTAAGTCCTTTGCGGTGAAGATACCTAAGAGTTCACCATCCTCTCCAACTACTAAAATACAATTTTCCCGCTTAGCTGTCATCAATTGGGAAGCCTCAAATACCGTAGTGGATGGCTTACAAGTCACCGCCTCCGATGGCTTCAACGCGAGCACTGTACCAGGGGTGGCTTTGCGCTGGCGGGATACCTTGGCAGCACCACGTCTTTTCTTGCTCAAATCACTTTCTATCTTTCTCCTGATGGCATCGTCTCTTTTGGACTGTCTTCTTCTTGAGTCAGAAACCCCTTCGTGCTGGACACCGATTGAGGACAGATCAGACACGCTAGAGGTGCCATACAGAGATTTGGATCTGTTAATAGAAGACATCAAGATCCGCTTGAAGTTATATTTGTGTTTCTCCTGGCTACCAGACTCTATCGTCTGGGATTTATTTTTCTTTGTAAACAACAGCACTTTGATACGTGTGAGGGACAATCTAATCAGCCACGCAAGCTGGAGGGACAATGTTCCGTTAACTAGGAGGATCACCTTGTGATACTCTAAACAGACAGGAACAGTAGGACACGCAATTAACAGAAACTTGTGTTCAAACTTGGGTAATGTTTGTGTCAAAGTTTTTGTAGACGAGTGCGAGAGCGTGAGAGCGTATTGGTTTCGCTTAGCGACAGAGAGAATATATTGACAACACCGAAGGAGAATAAGACCATAATGCTACACATACCTACAGTGAGGTATGTGGCGTGAAGTTAGGGTGTATTACATGTACATCCATGTATTACCTCTCAAAAGAAGAACATCTAGATAAGTCAGGATTTTGCAGCCTTATGTTGCAGCCACTTCCAAATGTGATACATTCGATAAAGCGGTACATGTTTTTGCCTATTCTTCCTGAGAAATATATATATTTTAACACACATCGATGAACCCCAATTTATCCACCCCTTCTTCAACCCAAGCTCCTTTGGTATCAGCTGGAACTTTGAAAAAGCTCTTGTTCGCCTTCCCCTTATTTGCCTATCTTCAAGGATTTTTCAAGGATTTGGTTATCTCCATTATGAAAACGGGCCCCGTACCCCAACATGTAGCTGTGATTATGGACGGTAACAGGACCTTCGCCAGGAAACGCAACTTGCCTCTCAAAGAAGGTCACACTGCTGGAGCCGAATCCCTTGTTGGTGTGTTGGATGCGTGTTATAGGCTTGGAGTTAGTTGTGTTACAATCTATGCTTTTTCAATCGAGAACTTCCATCGATCAAAAGAAGAGGTCGACACCTTATTTGGGCTCTTGCGGGAGAAGCTCAATTATCTTTCCCAAAACGAAGACAGCTATGCTATGTATAACAAAGTCCAGGTAAAGATTATTGGCAATAAGGCGATGATCCCCGAAGATATCTTGAAGGATTTGGAACGTGTTGAGGAGAGAACAAATCACAACTTCGGCAAAAGAGTGTTGAATGTTTGTTTCCCATACACAAGCAGAGATGATATCACGGGTGCTATTCGGTCCATATCTGAGAAGAGAATTAACCATGAGATCAACAAGGAAGATATCAATATGGATTTATTGGACATAAGTATGTATTTTGGACCGGAGACTCCCCCTTTGGATATCATGATCCGAACCAGTGGCCATACCAGATTGAGCGACTTTATGATTTGGCAATGCAACTATGATTGTACTTTGGAGTTTGTGGATACTTTATGGCCCGATTTTAAGTTCTTTGATATCATGGCCATTTTATTCAAATGGGGATACTACAAAACGTTGGAAACCGAGAAACTCAAGCATTTGGGCAAGAGAAAGGCAAAGTTGCACCAAACTGCCCAGGATATCTTGAAGGACCTTCCTGCTCATCCTCCATATAGGTCAGTTTCTGATCGGTGAATCAAAGCGTCTTCAACACCTTTTTCACTTCCTTTTTCTTCCTTTCTACCGTCCTAGCAGTATCAATTTTGTTTAAGTATCCCAAATATACAACCACTTCGGCTACCAACACGAGCAACCCAAAGAAAAGACACATCAACACCCGATAGCTATCAGGAAGTGCCCAAGAACTTGCTGTCCAGTACCAAATGGCATATACCACACTGGCGACACTGATTAAAATGTTGACAATTGTAGTCAAATAGTTTTTGATTTCCTTGTTCATTTGTGCTGGAGTTTGAACCTCATGAGACTTGTCTTCATATAAGGTATCATAATCTGCTCTGGCCGTCACAAGCTTTCTGTATTCGGTTTCTTTGGCATTCAAGCGTAATCGTTCCATCAATTGGAGATACTCCTTTGTTTTGGGCTTGGACTCTACCACATTCTTATTTGGTAAGTGGATTTGGGAAAGCTTGATGAGGTCCAATAAGCTCAGAGTTGGTTTGAATTTGTGATAAAAGCGAATCAAATCCTTATGCAGAAGGTACCCATCGTTGTTTTTCAATAGCTCCACAAGCTCCTCAGGGGGTACAGAAGCTTCCAAAACCTTCTTGAGGGTTTTGGTCAACACAAATTGAGTCATGGGCCTTATCGGTATAAATTTGGGAAGGTCGCACCAATAATTGAAATCAGAAACATGGCCACCAAAACAGGAAGCACCATTGTAGGAGCTTTAGCATGCCAAAAGGAATCATTTCTCAAAACCTTGGCCACCACCGTGTGCTCATGTGAGCCACACAAGGGTCACATCACCCCCAAGGATAAGCAAAACAAAAATAAGAAGAAAAAAGACTCAGATGCTAGCAACGGCACTGAAGTGAAGTATGCCATCGAGTTAGCCGACACAGTCATTTTCCCCGAAGGAGGAGGACAGCCGTGTGACCAAGGGTTCATCAAGAGTGAAACAGACGAGGTGTTTGTGTCCGAGGCCATTCGTGAAGGCCTTACAGCTCTTCATTTGTCCAACAAACCACTTGTTCCAGGTACCAAAGTGAATGTATCGATGGACTGGGCAAGACGGTTTGATCACATGCAACAACATACCGGCCAGCATCTTGTTTCTGCGATTTTTGACCAGTATGACCTAGAGACATTGAGTTGGGGTATGGGAGATGTAACGTGCTACGTTGAATTGCCCAAGAAAGTAGACGAAGAGCTTGTGAATGAAGTCAACCAGAAGGTCAACCAGGCAATTCTTGATGCTATACCAATTACTGTGGAGGTTCCAGATGGACATGGGCATGAATTGGATCTTTCCCATCTTCCAGACGATTACGATATTTCTAAGGGCTTAGTGAGAATTGTCAGTATTGGTAATTTAGATAGAAACCCTTGTTGTGGAACTCACTTGAAAAACACATCTCAGATCCAGGCGGTGTCGATTTTGAACCAGGTGAATGTCAGAGGTGGTAACTCCAGGGTCCACTTTGTGTGTGGATCAAGAGTTTATAAGTTTGCCCAAAAGAACTATGATATTCTCAAAAATGTGTCTGGAGGACTCTTATCTTGTCAGCCAGATGAGGTGTACGAAAAGACCAAACTACTTAATGACAATTATAGAGAGGCCAACTCCACGAAGAACAATCTTCTCAAGGAGTTGATGGGACTTGAAGCCAAGCGCATGTTTGAGAGCTTCAAAAATGGCTCTACCCTTGAATGGGCTTACAGAAAGGACACTGATGCCGAGTCGTTGAACTTGCTTCAAAAAGAATTGTTGACATTGGTGAATAACAATAAGGACTCCGGAATCGATTTGGACAAGACTCACACTGCAGTCATGTTTACTGGGTTAGTTAATGAACCAGGAACCATAAAGATTATGGGTCCGGAGTCCACCGAACTTCTGGGAGAAATCAAGAAGATTTTGTCTACCATAAAAGGTGGTGGTAAAGGAAGCTCTTTCCAAGGTAAAATATCCAAGTATGAAAAGGGTGAAATCGACTCGTTGGTGAATTATTTGAACAACTTTCGTTTACACGAGTAATTTATAAGATATATTTATATGTACAAGATTTAGACTAACGCTTGACCCACGTAGGGGACTTTCTAGCCTTGACCTTACCCGGCTTCTTTCTCTCAACAATTCTAGGATCCACAGATCTCAAGTTAGCAGACTTCAATCTTCTCTTCCATATAGGGTTTAATTGGCCTAAAAGCTTGATCAAACCCAACCTAAGAGCATCAGCCTTACTACTAATACCACCTCCATTGATCACCGCAAATACGTTGAATTGAGCCAACTTGTCAATGGCCAACAACGGAAAGGTAATCTTGTCTCTGTCCTCATCTCTGGTGAAATAGTTGGTATAATTAACTCCATTCACCATGATCAAGCCATTTCCGTTAGCTAATTTTATATTGGCAACAGACGTCTTCTTCTTGCCTTTGGCCTTTGCTATACCATTTTCATCGAAGGTTTTGATGGTTCTAGTTTTCGATGTAGATTGACCGGTTTGACTTACAAACTCGTTCAAAGTCTCGACAACTTCTTTGGGCATTAACTGGGGGTCAATACTTCTTAACCTGTTCAACAACCCGATCAAGTCTCTGTGATGAGCCACCTTGACTCTTTCGTTACGGGCGTAATTATCTCTGTACTCAAGGAATGATAAAAACTTACTTTCCAGGAGCTCTTGACTAGTTAATTCTTTCGTAGGCAAATGTAAATGACGTTGTACTAGGGACTGTAATCTGCTCATGGTTGAGTCATGAATGGGGTTTCCCCCATAATAGGTGTTCAATTCGGGGACTATTCTGAGTCTTTCGAACTCGTAGTCCTTGATTCTGTCTTTGCCCAACAGCGAAGGGATCACGTTGATAAGTCTCTCATTCCTTATGCTTCTGGGGATCGATGGGGCTGCCTCGTTCAAAACCTTGGTGGAGGAGCTGAAGAGCCGTACGGTTCTCCCAAGCAAACCCAAATAACTTTTTGGTAAAGACATGCTTGTGGTTAAGGTGCTCACTGTACGAACTGAAAAATTTTAGAGGATTGGTGCAATGAAAATTTCGCGCACCCACGAACATTTCACTTTGTGAGATCAGAACCCATTAGAATATAGATATAATTTATTAGCTAATGTACAGAATTTGGTTTAATTATATAATACAGATTAAATTAGTTATTATCATTACTAGAATCAGCCAAGATGGTACTGAGTTTCGGCATCTTGGAATACTCCCCTCTATTGGATTCATCGAGCTGGGATGAGCTTGAAGGCGAGTTAAGCAAGGTGTTAATATTATTCCTTTTGGGTTGAGCATCGATCAACTCAGGTGCTATGGGAATGTCAGTGGTCGGCGTTTTTTGTGAGGACTCGTTCGTGACTGGGCTATCGGAATTCAACAAACTCATAATCGACGGCTTGTGGACATCTGGATGTGCTTCGTGTGTGATTAAAGCACCAATAGAAGGCTTATTAAAAGGTTGCATCTGGATTTGAGGTGGGGTTTGGTAAACTTGCGAGGCCAGTGGTAACATTTGAGGTTGAGGAGGTATCTGGGTGCGAGGAGCAATTAATTGATGGGGCTGAATTGGAAACGCAAGTTCTTGTTTAACCGTCACGTTAACAGTTTCATCAGTTTCTGGTTTGGAGAGAACGGCTGCGAATTTCTCTTCAAGTTTTTTATCTGCTTCTTGGGCAACCTCAAGCAATCTGTACTTTTCGGCATTTCTTTGAAAATAATTTCTCACCATTGTTGCAGTCTTGGTAGAAAGCTTGTCTGCTATTGTAGTCCACTTAGTTCCATGCTCTTTTAATAACACCGGAAACTCACTGGCCTCTGTGATACTCCAATAACTAGAAATGGTTTTTCTATTTTTATCTTTACCATCACCATTAACCTGGCTATCATCAGTCTCCTCCTCCTTAGGAGTATCCTTAGGGGTTAAAGGAGTCTCATTATCGTCCTTCTTTTTCCTTGGTTTCTTCTTGACTTCAATTACCTGAGACTGAGTTGGAGAGTTTAGCTGGGGTTCGGTATGTTGCTTTTTGGTTGCTTGTTCTTCAAAGGTAGGAGCTGCAGCTCTCTTTCTTCTCCCAGTTTCTGTGAACAATTCTTCTCCAAAAGCATCTGTGTTGTGTCCAACCGGTTGAGGTATAGGTAAAGCTGGATCCAAAACATCAGGTTTGAGGTCTTTGTCTGCTGGAACAAATTCATCCTTACCAACTTCTTCAAAGGTATCATGCGGCTCTGGAGTAGCTTCAATAGGCGTCTGGTTCACTGAAGTGTTTCTTGATTTTGGCTTCTTCTTGATAACATTTTTCTTGCTAGTTTTCTTCTTGTACTGCATTACCAAATTCTTATAGTTCACACCTTTCTTTGTCAAGTAGTAGTGAATCACACATTCGCCGGTCGTTCTAAGACCACCCATATACTTGGAAATATAACCAAACTTCTTTGGGTACTTAACGAAACCATCACAGAATAGGACATGTTCTTCAGGGGAGAAGTTGTCAAAGAATTCTGTACGAACTCTAGTAGCCCACTCGGCTTTATCCTTGACAAGGTTGTTAGAATCCATGAAGTTCAACAATATTCCTTCGTTAGGGTCAAGTAATAAATCTGGAACATATGCCGATACCCTTAAAGCTTTTAGCATAGGATCCTCGTCATCTTGCTTGGTTAAATTTTTCAAAACCTCTTCGAACTCAGCTTCTGTTGTGACCAAGTCACCATGTCTTCTAGAAGAGCGTCGGTTTCCAAAACCACCAGTAACAGTAGGGTCTTCTAAGTTGGAGGAACCATTAGAAGGGGTTGAAGGAGCAACAGAACCAGTATTATCCTGATATTTTATTCTTATATCGGCTCCCTCGATTTCCTTCTTCATTTCATCATTAGGAGGATGTAAAACCCGCAATTGTTGTTCCATGAAAGTTCCTTCGTGTTCCCATTTTTCATTCCAGCTTTTATACTCCTTCCACAAGTTTTGGGTATAAATTTTAACTTGCAGATTATGGGTTTTCAAGTAATTAAGTAACTGAGGCTTCTGGTATTGGTAAAGTTTGAGATTTCTTCTATAAGAAGGAAGCTCTTTGATTTCGTCGATAACAGCCAGGTATTTCTGGGGCTCTTTTTTCTCTTCAAACTCTGTCTTCAAATCATCGAGCATTGCATCTAGCTTATTAGAAGGAAACTTACAAACCTCTTGTTGTCCATTTTTGGCTGTAGTAACTCCATCTTCTTCATCTTCATCCAACGTCGTCTCCGGTAGAGGGGTCTGTTCTTTGATCTTCAAATCCTTTCCAGGCTCAAGGTTCTTTTGTGGAGCATCGACCTCCATAGAGTAGTTTTCATTCCCTTCGTAGTTATCGGAGTCGTCGTCCATGGGTTTTGGAGAATCTCCTTCAAAGGTCTCATTGACTCTCGAATTATCCCCATTTGTTCCTATTAGACTATCTTCGTTATTATCATCCTTGTCTTCGTCCCCGTCTTCTTCATCTTCCTCATCTTCTTCATTTACGTCATGACTTTGGTCACGAATTTGGCGATCCTCAGGATCACGTTCTTCTTCTCTAGGGTTGACAGAGGGGTCTTTGTAGTGATCTTCGTACTTGGAATTCTCTCTTCTATAATCATCCTCGGGATATGTGTTGGAGTACTCATACCCCTTCTTGTAGCCATAATAACTGCTGGAATCATAATAACTTTGATTTGAGTACGATTGGTTAGGTGGATACTTTTTCTTAGTCGAATAATGATCAACCTGGGACTTGTTAAAATAGGAGTTGGAGGGATAGTAAGTGTCCGCACGCTTGACATTCAACACAGAGTTGTTCCTGGACCTATCTCGTTTTGGTATAGAGTTCGATAAAGAGCCTCTATTGCCTGTATTTGGCCTTGAAGAATAGGAGTTGGCAATACCTGTGGTTTCACCTGGTATCCCCACACTTGAGTCCTGATTTGTACTGTCACGCTTGAAAGTGTTGTAGCTCCCATAACTTGGATAATAGCTGTTATATTTGGGGTTATTGTAAGATGAATATGAAGAGTAACTTGGTCCATTGGCCGCGTTACTGGTCATATATCGTCTATTGTGGATATTAGTACTGCCATTGGCGTTTGGCCCAGCGCCAGCACTAGATGCACCCAGGTGGCTGTTATCTATAGGGGGAGAAGATGATGATGACAACGACGCAGAGCCAGGCCCAGAGGTGTGTGACGTTGTAGGACCTAGGCCTCTTCTATAAAAGCCTTTCCTCTTGAGTTTACTGGAGTTGAAATCATCACCGCTGGGATATCGGTTTATAGGCGGGCCTCTTGAACCAGAGGAGGACATTCTATAATGATTATTGGTAGATATTAAAGATCAATACTGAAGAAATGTTTATGGAAGGGGAGAATGGTTTGATTATGATGATGGGTTTGGTGGATGGTAGGGGTGGAAATGGGGCAAATTGAAAGGGAAAATGCTTAGTACAGCCAAGTACAACGACACTATGGGATGGACAACTGTGGACTATGTGGATTAGTCTTAAAACAGTTGTAACCAATATATATACTGGAAAAAAAAAAAGTTATTTGTAAAGAGCGGTTTTCAAGTGTTTTAAACATTTCTCACTTACAAAAGCTCAAGTGACACAAAACTGAGAGTGGGTTTTCACCAGCGTATTTTTTAAATGTGACGTATAGTTGCCTTTCAAGAGGGAAACAGACTTCTAAGTGGAAGATAAAGAAGTGCTATTATCGGTGAATGGAATAGTACCAAATGAAGTAGCTTTATCGGCTGTAGTGGTATCTTTTTGGCAATTTTGGTGGGCTAGCCGGTGACTGTAGCAAATGTTCAAATACCACGCAACTGCAACAATGGTAAATCATAAGTCATACGTTAGTCGTCCATAAGGACACTCGGCGTATGTACACATTGGTGGCACTTCGCAGCAGTTTTTATGTATAGTGTGTGTTCTTAGTTCAAGTAGTAATTTGTCGATCAGGCATTCTCTGGAAACTGGTCGTGCCCGTCAAATACACCTGGAGAAAGCGACGTGCGCCCACCATCAGAACCCGGTCTGATGAGGAATATACCAGTATATGTATCCAAGGGGAAGTGATGCAAGTTCCAATATACTGTCCACCACTGCTATAGATCCATCAAACCAAATACCAGGTTTTCCATAACCCCACCGGCTCGGAATCACAGTTGGCACCTACCCCACTTGGCACCCCCATATTTCGGTTAAGGCACGGCAAACTACCGCCAGATTCTCGGAAATGTTTGCAACGATAGCTGTTTGCTATTATTTAACCACCTAATTTCCCAGCAGTTTTAAAAAATCTTTCTTCTCATATATGTTTGATTTAGAGTTCACCATCGACTATAAATCGCAAGCCTACCTTGATATATTCGTGCACTACTCCTTATACGCCGCTGCTGTACTTTCATTTTTGATTGGATACGTGTGTCAGAACTTAGTCGTTTCGTTATACGTATTTGCCGGTTTCATTATCTGTATCTGTGTTATTGCTTTACCAAGTTATCCCTCCTACAACAAAAACAGAGTCAACTTCCTAGATGTCTCATACTTACAGTGATTCCAAGGAATTGTACTTGGGGTTCGATTTGTCCACTCAGCAGTTGAAAATTATTGTCACCAATGAAAGCTTACAAGTGGTGAAGTTGTACAGTGTTGAATTAGATCATTTCAAAGACGTGTACCATGTGCACAAGGGAGTGGTTTCTGACGAGACGACGGGTGAGATCGTGTCTCCCGTGGCGATGTGGTTGGATGCCATTGACTACGTATTTGCTGAAATGAAGGCAGATAGCTTTCCTTTTGAATTGGTCAAAGGTATCAGCGGGTCTGCTCAGCAGCATGGATCGGTGTACTGGTCCCAAAGAGCATCGGAATTATTGGCCAGTTTGAAGCCTTCTACTTTGTTATCTGAGCAACTTGTTGATGCGTTCTCGTACCCAATGTCTCCTAATTGGCAGGACCATTCCACCGGCCATGAGCTCGAATTGTTCGAACAGGTGGCCGGAGGGGCGGATGAGTTGGCCAAGATCACTGGTTCAAGAGCCCATTACCGGTTTACAGGTTTACAAATTAGAAAGATCGCTACTAGAAAGGATCCTAAAATTTACGCCAGTACTTCCCGAATCTCGTTGGTTTCAAGTTTTGTCACCAGCGTGTTGTTGGGAAAGATTGTTAATATCGAAGAGGCAGATGGCTGTGGAATGAACTTGTACAATCTCAATACCAATGACTATAACGATGAGCTTTTGAGTTTAGCTGCAGGTGTCCACCCCAAAGTTGACAAGTGTTCTGAAGAAGTAACCCAGGCTGGAATAGCTGAATTGCGCAGAAAATTGGGCCCGATAAACCCTATAACCTACAAAGCCGATGGTGTGATTTCTTCGTATTTCACGGAAAAGTATGGCTTCAACTCAAATTGTAAGATCTACTCCTTCACTGGTGACAACTTAGCCACCATTATCTCATTGCCTTTGAATCCGAATGATATTTTAGTGTCCTTGGGCACATCAACCACGGTTTTGTTGATCACCAAGAACTATAATCCTTCTTCGCAGTACCATTTATTCAAGCACCCTACTATTCCAGAGCACTACATGGGTATGATTTGTTATTGTAATGGGTCTTTAGCAAGGGAAAGAATCAGAGACGCAATCAACGATAAGTACGGAGTACCGGATAAGAAATCATGGGATAAGTTTAATGAGCTTTTAGATGGGTCCAAGTCGTTCAATAACAAATTGGGTGTTTACTTCCCATTGGGAGAAATTGTCCCTAATGCGTCTGCTCAGTTCAAGCGATGCTTGTTGAACAACAACGACCAAATCATTGATGCAAGTGAATCGAACTGGACTGTTGATGATGATGCCAGTTCTATTGTTGAATCCCAAACCTTAAGTTGCAGGTTGAGAACTGGGCCTATGTTGGCCAACTCGGGAGATAGTGAAAGTTCCACCCCAACTCCCTTGGAGAACCACCTACACGACATCTACAAAAGGACTTACGAAAAGTTTGGTGACTTGTACACCGATGGAAAGAAGCAGAATTATAACTCACTTACAGCCCGTCCCAATAATATCTTTTATGTTGGAGGTGCGTCTAATAACACTTCGATTATTAGGAAAATGGGAAGTATTCTTGGTGCTAACAACAAGAACTATAAGGTCGAAATTCCCAACGCTTGTGCATTAGGAGGAGCGTTTAAGGCTAGCTGGAGTTTGTTCTGTGAAAATAAGAGTGAATTAGTAGACTTTAATGAGTATTTGAACGGCAAGTTTAACTTCAACGAATTGGAGCCATTTGACGTGGAAAACTCCTGGGAAGATTATTTTACCGGAGCGGCTATGTTGGCAAAAATGGAAGATGGTTTGAAACATGTATAGTTCTATAGAAACATACACACTAGCAAAAGAATTTCGCAGCTCACTCCAGAAATTTTTCAGTCTCAATGATGTTAAGGTTCATTCGGTCAAAGTCCATTTCATCTATCAGCAAGCAGTTGGTGACCGGTGAAGTCCCAATAACCAAGGCCCTTCTAGAAAACTCTCTAGAGAACCAAGATTTCCATGAGTTGAAGAGCATTTTGAAGGCAAACTCAAAACTATTGACTACTCCAGTCAAAAACGAGTTGTGTAATTTGATACCCAATGATTTTTCCATCTATTATTTGTTGAAGGATCATGTATTCACAAATGAGCAACTAGCTAATCTCATAAAACATAACCCAGAAAGAGTCGACACATCGTGGGAATTGTTCCACCGTCATGGTAATGGTCACAATGACCTGGTGAGCCAGGAGCTCATTACAAAACTTATTCGGGAGCCATCAACCGGAGACTGGGCCAAGGTGCTTTATCTCTATCACCAGTTATCCAATCCAGGCTCTGTTCGAGAGGTAGTTTTCAACAAGTTGACAGAAGCCAGTCCCCAGCTTTTACCATACTTTGACTTCCCAGCATCATTTCTCACTGAGAAAATCAAGAACCTCGATGGTATCCTATTCTTCATAGTTTTCAGTCAACTCTTAGGAACCAACGTAGAGTTGGAATACTATCCAAAAGCCATCGATAATTTCATAGAACTTGAAGAAAATCCAGAATTCGTTCAAAGTTATAAAAGGTTGGCCAAAACAGACATCTCTTTCCAGGATCACAGTTTGAAAGATATAGTGGATTACATCGAGACTAATAAGTTAGACACCGACCAGAGACCAGAGTCTTTATTGATAAGGCTCAAGCTCATGGAACTATATGGAATGGAGTTCAAGGACTTTGAGACACTTTTGAAGAAGTTTCACCATTACCAAGCGCACGCTGATTTCGGGGTCGAATTCATTCAAAACATTATCAGCCAAGCCTACTGCTTGAAAGCGTTTGAAGAGAAGAACAAGGATATTTTTCCTATTGTTGATGCTTTACTTTTGGAGAATATTCCTATCAAGCTTCTCCAGTCGATGATTTTGAGTTCCTCGGTGTTGGGTACAGAAAGACCACTTGAAATCTATAATAAGTATATTCAAGAGGTAAGTGCAAAGCCAAATGAGTATACGGGACGTTCGCCATTTGGACTACTCAATGAGCTGATCATTTTGGCCTTTTTATACAACAACGACAGAGACTTTGCGCACATAATCTTTGATAAGGTGAGTATGTCAGGCAAGCTTCTGGAGTCGGAAGTGGCCATAATCAAGAAAGTATTCAAAGTTTATGGCGATGCATTCGAGGAAGAAGACAGGTGGGAAAGTGCTCAGCCTAAGTTACATCTGTATATAGCCGGAGTGATCAGGGATTTGTAAGGTTGAAAAACAATTTTTTGGTCCTCTGGACAAACATAATATTAATAGTGCAATTGCTAATTTTTGCAGCTATGACTAAATGCGACTGATTCTTCGAAGGGACCATTCAATCATATAAATTCCAACTCGTCCCGCGAAGTGTGAAAAACTGGTATCCTATTCACTTTTTATATCACAATGACTGTGCAAATCCACTTAAGAGCTGAAACCAAACCTTTGGAAGCCAGAGCCGCCTTAACTCCTTCCACCACCAAGGCCTTGATCGATGCCGGCTTCAAGGTCTACGTCGAAGAAAGTGATCAATCTACCTTTGACTCTGCTGAGTACTCAGCCGTGGGAGCTGAAATCGTTCCAAAGGCCTCTTGGAAAACCGCCCCAAAAGACAGAATAATCTTGGGCTTAAAAGAGTTGCCAGAAGACGAAACCTTCCCCTTGGTGCACGAACACATTCAATTTGCTCACTGCTACAAGAACCAAGGTGGTTGGGAAGATGTATTGGGAAGATTCCCAGCTGGTAATGGTACCTTGTACGACTTGGAATTTTTGGAAAACGATCAAGGAAGAAGGGTCGCTGCCTTTGGTTTCTACGCGGGTTTTGCCGGTGCTGCTGTTGGTGTTTTGGACTGGGCTTTGAAACAATTAAACCCAACTGAAGAGTTATCCAACCTCTCTCCATACCCTAACGAGGACGAGTTGGTGACTGTGGTCAAGAAACAATTGGACGCTGCTGTTGCCAAAACTGGTTCATACCCACAGTGTTTGGTGATTGGAGCTTTGGGTAGATGTGGATCAGGTGCCATTTCCTTGTTCCAAAAGGCTGGTATTCCTGACTCCAAGATCTTGAAATGGGATATGGCTGAAACTGCCAAAGGAGGCCCATTTAAGGAAATCATTGAATCAGACATCTTTGTTAACTGTATTTATTTGTCTACACCTATTCCAGCATTTGTGACTCCAACCACCTTGAATGATGAAAATAGAAAGTTGAGAACAATTGTCGATGTGTCTGCTGATACCACCAACCCACACAACCCAATACCTGTGTATACGATTGCAACCACCTTCAAAGAACCAACTGTGGATGTTCCAACTTCAAAAGGACCAAAGTTGTCTGTGTGCTCCATTGATCACTTACCATCCTTGTTACCTAGAGAAGCGTCTGAAAGTTTCACCAAGGACTTGTTGCCCTCCTTGTTAGACTTGCCAAACAGAGACAAGGCTCCAGTTTGGGTGAGAGCTAAAACTTTGTTCGACAAGCATGTTGCTACATTGAAGGAGAAAAAGTAATAATTCTATAGACTTTGATTAGTAATGTAATTGAGTGCTTGATTAACTACTGGTACACTATTCTCTAGTAATAGACACTTTGGACTTGCTACTTTTACTTCTTTTCTTTTTAGATGCTTTGTTGAATACCTTTCTCATTTCTTCTCCATCAGTTTCATATTCACTCTCACTGTAGTCGTTGATTTCGTTTGGATCGTAACGTCTTTTCATAGATTCGGCCTTTTCGATGGCCTCTGGGCATACAGCAACACAATTGAGTCTTTCACCGGTATCGTACACGGCTATTTGGTCTCTTACAGACTCAGAGAGGTCCCAAACAACAATTTTACCGTCAGAAGATACGGACACTAAAAATGGAACGGTTCCAACCTTGTAGAGAGAGAAGTCCTTAATACGGTTGGTGTGACCTCTCAAGGAGAAAACAGGTCTGGGTTCTTCTTCAGTTTCAACCAAGATTTTCAGGTCGTAAAATTCAAGTACTCCATTGCTGTGTCCAGTGACAAGCCATTCAGCACCTTCAAACGTCACAACGTCCATGCACATTAACGTGGTCTTAAAACCAAACTGTTTGTGGATCTTGGCATCTTTAGCCTCATACACAAATATCTTGTTCATCAATCCGACAATAAAATGGTTACCAGACTTGGTCCATCTTACAAACTGACATTCTTGACCAAGACTGTCTCGACCTTTGACCTTCAAAATTGCTGCTTTCTTGCATGTCATTAAATTCCACAACCGAATTGTATTGTCTTTGGATACAGAAATGGCCACTCTTCCAGTAGGATGAATATCCAAGTCATTGATTCTGTCTTGATGTCCTTTCAAAGTACCAAAAATCTCCCAATCTTTGGTACGCCATATTATGATTTTCCCGTCTTCAGACCCTGAAAGTAACCACTTTCCAGACTTTTCAGAAGACTCTTGAATCTCAGAGGCACTATGCTCATCAGAGAATCTCAAGGTGGTGACAGTTCCTTGGTGACTGAGCAAAGTACCCAATTCTTTTCTCTTCTGCAAATCGTATATTCTGATGTGTTCGTCATTAGACCCGGTCACCAAGTATCTCTTAGCAACATCGATGCTCTTGATCGACAAGGAGTGTGCTTCAAAATGGAAAACTGGTTGAAATACTGGTTGTGCTTCAGTTAGCATCAACGATAAACACAAAAGATTATGTTCATACGAGCCCACTAAAATTCTGAACTGGGTAGTGTAGTTCTTGGTGGTGGTGGTAGTGATATCAGATGCCTGGGACTCCTGCTTGGTGGCCCCTTGGGTGGCTGGTGTGGTTTTTCCCATGTTTGGTGCTTTGCAACTTTCTCTGCTTCGCGATGAGATGGTTGAAATCTGATTTTGAAAGTGCGAAACACTAAACATTGTTTACGCACCCACATTCGATCTCTGGCAGATTTCACCATTGTGCTTGTGCTTACTTGAATATACCAGTAACCGCTCCATTGAAATAGAGACTTTCTTTTCGCCCCTGCTGTGTATTGTCTCCAAAGATGCCCCAGCCACAGAAGACCCCGTCTCAACACAACTCTACGTTATACATATCACCACTCGTGAACAACCGCCAAAATGAAGTGTTTGTGACTCCCCCCAACCCGGCAGCCAAGATCTTTGGCAGTCCGGGGTCTGAGAACACGACTCTGTTCTTTAATGTCGACAGGAACGTCACTAATAACGGGAATCAACTGAAAGACCTGCAACCACTCTCTCAGGCAGAGAAGTTAAGACTTTGGAGACACGACGCGTTGATGCAACACCAGTACAAAACCGCTGAATTCATTGGCGACAAGGTGTTAGCATTGACCAGCGACCCTAATGATGCTTTTTGGTTGGCACAGGTGTATTTCAGTAGTGGCAATTATCTAAGGGCTAAGTCACTTTTAATGTCCAAGCCTGAATTCGAGAAGTCAGTTAGTTGTCGATATTTGGCAGCCTTTTGCTTGATAAAATTGGAGCTCTGGGATGACGCGTTGGACTTGATTGGAGAGTCCAATCCTTTCCGCAGAGATGAGCAGTACCAGATACGAAACTCGGATGGAGGAATCAAGTTGGAATCATCGATGTGCTATCTTAGAGGCTTGATATTCGCCAACCAAAACAACTTCGATAAAGCCAAGGAAGCATATAAAGAGGCAGTTTTTGTGGATGTCAAGTGCTTTGAAGCATTTAATGAGTTGATCACGAACAATTTGATGACCCCCAGTGAGGAATGGGAGTTCATCACTCAGTTAAACTACAGCGATGCCGACAACAATGACGAGTTGGTTAAGCTTCTATACTCGTCTCGGTTGAGTAAATATTTTAACGTACATAAGTTCGACGAAGCTGAAACAATTTTGAAGCAAGACTATGATTTGGGAGACAACACGGATATCTTGTTGGCCAGAGCAGACTACTTGTATGTTCAGTGTAACTTTGATGAGTGTCTTAGTGTGTGTGAAAGAGTTCTTAGTAAGGACCAATACAATTTCAGTATTCTCCCCAACTACCTCAGCTGCCTTCATGAACTTGGAGGTAAAAATAAACTCTTCCTCAAGGCCCACCAATTGGCCGAAAGTCATCCTACCGATGCTATGACCTGGTTGGCCATCGGAGTATACTACTTGTCTATCAATAAAATCATTGAAGCAAGAAGGTTTTTCAGTAAAGCTACCCTTTTAAATCCTAATTTTGGCCAAGCGTGGATTGGCTTTGCTCACACGTTTGCTGCTGAAGGAGAACATGAGCAAGCCATTAGTGCATATGCATTTGCAGCCAGATTATTCCCAGGCACCCATTTACCCAACCTATTTCTTGGAATGCAGCACCTTCTAATGGATAACTTGAACTTGGCAGAAGAATACTTGTCTACGTCGTATCAAATTTGCAACACTGACCCGCTCCTATTGAACGAGTTGGGAGTGATTCACTTCCACAAAAATGATTTGGTCAGAGCTGAAGCCTTCTTCAAAGAAGCATTGACAGCCTCCAAGAATTTAAATTCTGATTCCCAAACCTGGATCTGCCTTCATGCCAATCTCGGCCATGTTTACCGTAAGGCCAATGAATTACACAGGGCCCTTGAGTGCTACAACCAGGTATTACGAATCAGTGACAAAAACGACACAAACCTACTTGCATCCATCGGGTTGGTATACCTCAAACTCGGAAACCACCTCAAGTCTATCTCCTTCCTCCACGATGCGTTGGCTATCTCACCTTCGGACCCAGTTGCTACTGATCTCTTGAAGAGAGCCCTATCATCCAATCAGCACTACAGTAAGCCCTTCTTTGACTCTGCCTCGAATAAGATTCGCACCATGAGGGCCAACTCCATCTCCACCACCAGTCCTTCTATGGAACCACAGAAAAATGACGACTTGGAAGACGTAGGAGATATTGCCCGTAGCTTGAAGATGGGAGAGGTATCTAGTGATGAGGATGAAGAAGTAATGGATATTGAAAGTGACTAAAATCCGTATTGTTCATGTGAATGTTCGTCTATGACGACCCTATTATGTTCTTCACATCTGTCTTATCTGAATGTCGCACCCTTTATATTTCAATAGAGTTGGCAATACGACGGTTCTTGGTTAACTATGGTAAATCATTTTTCCACTCCAGCTACGCTATGTACTGCTAATACCATGATCTTTCAGTCAATTATGAACTTCATTAGGCGTCAAGGCATAGTTATTGTTTGGGGTATTCAAATCAATTTTTGAATAAGTTACATGCGACATTGAGTCCAGAAGGGTGCGACATTCAGATTCGACAGGTGTGTGATTCATCGAGAAAACACTGTCCTAAAATAATAAACAAACATACCCGGCTAAGGTTTCCACAGAAGTACCTCCCACCCTTCAAAAAGTCGAGTTACAATTCTGGCTAACCGGGTTTCATTAGTTACTTTTTGAACTTCATCATCCTTCGAACCGTGTCCGATCACTGAACGGTTTTAACCGAGTTTTTAATCTTTAATCGTATCCCTTGATAGTTGGAATCCATCGTTTTATCGGCTAACACATTCCAATTCTTAGACGACCGCCAACCCTCATAGCCTTCATTTTGTTGCATTTGTTATGAATACTCATTCTCCGCTAACCAGTGTAAATAATGACTTTCGGATACTAAGCGTTAACTTCAACCAGGACCAAGGTTGCTTTGCATACAGTCACGAACAAGGGTTCCTTGTGTATAACACAAACCCTATCGACCTTCGGGTCAAACGAACCTTCTTCCCCACTCAAACCCATCCGGGAACTGGCATTGGCCATGTCACCATGCTTCACAGAACCAATTATTTGGCATTAGTAGGGGGAGGTAAAAACCCCAGACTACCTAACAATAAATTGATTATATGGGACGATTTAAAGCGGAAAAGCAGTCTTCTGCTTGAGTTTATGAGTCCCATTTTGAATGTGTTGTTGTCGAGAATACGGATTGTTGTGGTGTTGAAAAACCAAGTACTTGTATACGGCTTCTCCTCAACCCCTAAAAAATTTGCATCCTATGAAACCATTTCCAATGATTATGGGCTTGCTGACTTATCGGTGAACTTGTCAAGTAGCTCCACGTCAATGTCATCATCCTCCACCAACTTGTCGTCGTCGGTATCATCAATTGGGTCTACTAGTTCAAAATCACCTTCTTCCACCCGGTACCAAACTCTAGCATTTCCAGGTAGACAGGTGGGACAATTGCAGATTGTGGACGTGTCCCCCAGCGGCCAGGAGAAAAACCTCATCAGCATCATTAAAGCACATAAATCAAGCATCAGGTGTTTAGCATTGAGTCGGTCGGGTTCCATGGTGGCATCGGCTTCAGAGCTAGGGACTATCATCCGGATTCATTCCACCCAAAATACTGCACAATTATACGAATTTCGAAGAGGTTTGGACAGAGCCGTCATCAGCTCCATGAAGTTTTCGCCTGATGACACCAAGTTGGCGGTCTTGTCCGATAAGAACACACTCCATGTGTTTAATCTTTTACAAAACACTGTCGTTTCTGATTCTCAGAGTGAGCATTCAAGTCAGAACTCTGTCACTACTGACCATAACTCACCAGTAAACAGAAAACACATCTTCAACAAGTTGCCGGTGCCTTTGCCCTTCAACAAATACTTCAAGTCGGTGTGGTCGTTCTGTTCGGTCAACACCAGTAAGTATCACCAGGAATACGATTCTGAATATGCCAATGATGAAGGATCTATTGGGTGGTCAGGAAATGATAGCATTGTAATAATTTGGAAATTGAAACGGACATGGGAAAAGTATATCATTGCCGAAAATACCGGGGCCAAGGCCACCGACCATCAGTGGGAATTGGTTAGAGCCAGCTGGAAAGAGCTTGATAATCCAAATGACTAGGTTTGTATTTACATGGTTAAGAATACATAATTACATATTGCTCCTAATAGAGTATCTCACAAAGGATCGGTTCGTGCAGCTGTATTACTTTACGCTTATCTTGAATACGGCCCTGCCATTTGGTACCGTTGTAAGATCTGACGAATCGCCTAGCATTTTCGTGATTGGCAAACTTGATGAGCGTACGGTTGACCAGCGAGAACCCGTCTCTGACCACTTCTATAAAGCAATTGTCAAGCGGTATATCTGAAGGAAACTCATAGTTCCAAAGAAGTCTAGGAAGTGCGTGTTTTGAAAGTCCAATTGGTAAGTTCCTAACAAGGACCATATTCAAGCGGCTGTTGAAATCAATAAGCTGCGAAATATTAGCAAAGTTGTTAGATGGGTTCTGCAAAATCAGCGTTATTAGTTGCATTTTCTCTGGTGATTTGGCAAACACTTCTTCGACCGCCGCTTTGGGTTCAGGAATGCCAGAATTTGAGGTGCTGGCTTTGCCAAAGAGTGGAGATGTTATATGGGACAAGAGCCGTTTAGAAGGCTCTACAAATTTTAAGTTCATGGGAAGTCCATTTAGGGTCTTATTGCGGGTCTCCATCCAGTAGGCAGCTGCAAGGTCATGGCTGGGGAACACCAATACGTACTGATTGTAAAACGATAAGGTGATGGGGTTTCTGGCCTTAACTGCCCAGAAATCAATGCCTTTAGCATCTGGAGGGAGTTGGTATTGAGCATCTCTTTGGACCGGGTAGGCATTGTAAAAGTCTGTATTCACAAGCAAAGAGTTCGGATTGTTCCAGATGAGGATGTTGGACTTGATTTTGGTGATTTGAAGGTCGGGTAAGTCTAGTGGTGCTTGTTCCAACTGTTTGAGTTTCCATTGATTGGCCACAAGGTCGTCAAGAGAGGAGCCTGACAGGGGCGGATTTCGATAAAGAAAGTTTGTCACATGTGGAACCTTGAGCTTGGCTTGCTGCAACGTCTTGTGGTAAAGATTGTTGATGAGCTTCTCTGCTGCTACTTGATTGAACTTAGAAGACATGAAGAGGAAAATTCGCGAGTGCCATTCGGAAGTAGGTGTTGAACATTTGATGGAGAGAGTATGAAAATGAAGAGAGAAAATAAAGACATGTGGAAGGTAAATATCCAGGATGCAAGGTATTTGAAGGAATTTTACCTGGTAATGTGGTTCAAAGTCAGCAGAGTATATTCTACAAGGTGCTTTATTGAATAGACCTTCAAATCACCAGAAAAGCTTACATATATGATAACGTGACAGCTGAAACAGCATCCTCAACCCGGTAAGTAGGCGCACGGGTAGTAACCAAGGATGATGAAGCTCTAGAAAACTGGAATCATCATCCAGGCTGCTCATAACAAACATTAATCCAACTCTTTTATAACAAAAGTTCATCCATATATAAATACACCCTCTACAACATCCAATTGCACACCCATATTGCTTCTGCAGTACTCAACCATGTCCAATTTCTATTTTTCATGACAATGGCATCCCCTTCTGTGGCCGTCCATCATCACAAATTCTCACCCCAACCCGCGAAATCACAAATTCATCCTCTCCTCTCACCGCACCAACACATGTCCGACACTATTTGGTCCAACAGCAACAAAGGTCTGATACTGCTGGGTGGGGCCACCACGTCCCACCAGTATCAGTCCGTTCTCGATAAAATCGAACCAGAGGTCGCCAAGATGCTTTCCTACAATGATCCAATGGGTACGGTGGGGAGTGACTTGGTCTCTAACCATTTATCGTTAAATGATGGATCCGACATCGATGCCAGTTCTGGTAACATCTTTGGCTTGCGTACTGGCGCTCTTTCCGCCATCACTGCACCTGTGGGCGGTGGATATGGGCAGACGTCGCCTTCTCCCAATGCCCAGCGGTTGGGTTTAGGTACGGCGTCCATCTCCGGCGGCATAGCCAACCGCCACCCTCCTCAAGACTCGTTTCTTCAGAAGTTCTCGGGGGTTGCAGATGCTACCAAGGACCTCGAGTTCACCAATGGCTTCTCCCGTCTCGAGTTTGAACGGCCCCATTCTCGTCGAACTAGCTTTAACCACACGCAGCAGCCTTTAGATATAAACTATTCGAGTCCAACAGGATCGATAAATGAAAGCTTGAATCTTCCTGCCAAGTCTCGGCACCAGTCAATCTCAGATAAAATCGATCACTACAACAACACCTCACCTATCCAGGCTGGTGCCAGCTTGACCCAGGAGTTGAAGGATGAGAGAATTGCTCCTCCTCCAGGCAATAACATTTGGAACCCAGCGGCCGCTACTCCATTTAATCCAGGTGGTGCTCCCGACATGTATCAGTTCCAACAGTACAATCGTATCCAGAATCCCATATCTCCACCTCCTGGCTTTATGATGGCATCCCCTCCCATTGCGTTCATGGACCCTCGAATGTACAATATGGTGTACCAAATGGATCTGAATACCAGCAACAGCTTCAATAGCACCAACGATAGCGACGAAGGTGCTGATACGTCCAAGGCCAACAATCATGACCAACTGACGGCTTCCAAGGGTAGAAAGGACTATGACCATACTCCAGGTATTGGAATGCCACGTCATATGCCTGCTGGGGGATTTATGTTCACCCCGTTCACTCCTTATTCGGTGTACCAGGCGTCTCCTCCGGGGTTCCAGCCATCTCCTCCGGGGTTCCAGCCATCTCCTCCGCTTATGCCTGCTCACCCTGAAGTTGCTGAAGAATCCACGAGCCAAAAGCCTGAGCCGGCTGCGAGAAATCCAACCCCACCAGCAAACGGAAATAGGAAAAGAAATGCCAAGGTTTCTAATAGCAAGCAGTCGCCTCATATTTATCGGTCTCCCTTACTTGAAGAAGTACGTTCCAACGCAAAGGGTAAAGAGTACTTTTTGAAAGACATTTATGGGCATGCAGTGGAATTTACTAAGGATCAACACGGTTCGAGGTTTATACAACAAAAGTTGCCTCATTCTTCGGAAGAAGAAAAGGAAGTGATCTTCAACGAAATTAGAGTGATCTCCTACGAGTTAATGACAGATGTGTTTGGAAACTACGTGATTCAAAAGTATTTCGAACATGGTTCAATGACTCAAAAGAAAATCTTATTGGAGAGCATGTTAGGACATATCTACGAGTTGTCTTTGCAAATGTATGGATGCAGAGTTGTTCAAAGGGCTCTCGAGGCCCTTGAATTGGATGGTCAAATCAAGATCATCACTGAGTTGAAGAACCATATATTGATTTGTGCGAAGGACCAAAATGGTAATCATGTCATCCAAAAGTCGATTGAAAGAATTCCTTTCGAAAACGTCAGGTTTATTCTTGAAGCCTTGGAAAGTCAGGTTTATCACTTGTCTACTCACCCTTATGGGTGTAGAGTGATTCAACGATTGCTAGAACATTCGGATGTGGCAGATCAAGACAAGATCTTGGCTGAATTGAATCGGTTTATCTTTTATTTGATCCAAGACCAATACGGTAATTATGTGATGCAACACATCTTGGAAAGAGGTAACATGGTAGACAGAGAAGCTATCTTAAAGGTCGTGCTTGGATCGGTGGTGAATTTTTCCAAACACAAGTTCGCCTCTAATGTGATTGAAAAGTGTATCAAGTTTGGTACGTTTGAGCAAAGGAAAAAGATTCTTCATGAGGTCTTGTTGGGCAACGAAGACCTTTCTATTGAAGATGTGGAAGATGACTCGCCATTGGCACTCATGATGAAGGACCAGTATGCCAATTATGTCATTCAAAAACTTGTGGAAGGATTTAGTAGTAAGAGTCAGGAAAAGAGGCTTTTGGTGTTGAAGTTACGCCAGTACTTGAAGCAAATTTCCTCTAAAAACAATTATGGAAAGCATCTTGCCTCTGTTGAAAAGATGATAATTGTTGCTGAGACCGCCTTAGTTGAAGCTGAAAATGTATGAGCATGCTTCTTCAATGTGGTATTGTTAGAAGGTGCTCTTGTAAATATTGTTGGAACAAACCTCGTGTATAGTGAAATTGTTTATACTTTAAATTTATCTTGTTTTATAGTTAGTTGAAATACTATCAATGTATAAAATTATAATCCATTACTTTTCATTATCATATAAGTTGATCTAAACATTACAAATTCAATCTGTTCCGGTCATAGACAAAGGGGTTTGAACTCCAGCTCCAATCCAGAACTGAACTCTTCCCACTTTCTCCCGGTACTGCTGTGTTTTAAATAAGACTTTTTCAAAGTAGCAACGTCCACTCCGTAGTCTTTTCCCTTATTTGAGGTCACAAAATACTCTGCTGTCAACAAATGTTTAACAAACTCCAACTCTGAAAGACCTTGGAGTTGTGCACTATTGAGTCTCTGAACATTAGAATCTTTTGCTGCCTTTATTTCTAGTGTCAATGTACTGTCGAACTGGCTCTCGTTGATGTCATCATCGTCCGAAGAAACCGAAGACGAAGGATCAGAAGAATTGTTGATTATACTTCTGGCCTGTTCGAGGCTCAAGAAAGAAGAATAACTTGAATTCAGGATCTTTCTTCTGGGATTCAGCAAGTTAACATTCTCGTTCAAGTGGCTCAAATTGGCCCCAATGGACCCGCCTGGGTGCTTTATAGAGAATAACTTCTTTCTGGCTGACTCGCTTTGTTCGATAAGCTCGGATAATGCAAGAATCACAGAGTCTGCCAATGCTAACGCCACGGTCGCCGAAACGGTTGGAGCTGGAACTCCGTGAATAGTTTCTTCTCTCAAATGTGGAGCCAATTCTGTGTACAATAAAGACTTGGTCTTTGGGTGAGTAGCCAATTTTGAATCTTTATTACATGTCAACAAAACGATAGGGATTGCTTCGGGGATATGGGTAAGAAGATCAAGAAGCTCGGGGGTATTTCCGCTTGCTGTAAGCATGATTATGGTGTCCCTGTTATTCAAAATACCCAAGTCGCCATGAAGAGCCTCGGTCGGGTGTAACGTGACCGATTGGATAGATAGAGAATTCAACGTAGCACATAACTTGGAGGCGATTTTGAAGCTTTTGCCCACTCCACACATCACCACTTTACCTCCCTTCATGTTGACGGCGAAAAGCACATCTAGAGACTTCATGAGTTGGATTTGTGAAAATTCATCCGTTTTATATTGATGGCTTAAATTAGCCAATGCTTCCTGTTCAGCGTCAAGGCTCTTTTTCACACTGGTTAAACCCTTAGAAAGGAGGGCCTGATAGTCCATACTTAAACTCTGCTCCCCAGCCATGTCGGCAAACAAATATGAATATTTGAAATCGATGAGATTATTACAAATTCAAAATGATGATGGTGAGCAAAATTAATGTTCTTGACAATTAGATAACGTTTTAACGGCTGAATATTGTTTTAGGCTTCAAATACAAATAAAGTTACCTAAGTAATTTGGGTATTTTATTTCAGCACTAACTACCTACATTAGTGTATTTTAAAGTGTCTGTGGTCTTTAAATCAGTGTTATTTAGTAGGATTTGCTATGAACTGTGGTGTGAGACATTCAGCCATAGTTTTCTTGCAGCCTATAACTTGGTGAGCGCACGCCTTGCTTTTGCCCGCTAAGCAAACGAGTTGAACTCCACCACTGAGTACAACTCATTATCACTGTCTTTAACATACTCGTACCGATGCAGGGATTCAATGGTGCTAGAGACCGTACCGAACTGTAGCTGTTCCAAGAACGATTGAGTTGCGTCGTTCACCCCCAATTTGCTATCTTCCTGGTTCAACTGCTCTTGCTTTAAAGCTTCGTGGCTTTGAATAGTTCTTTCTTTCAATACCTTGATCAGCTTTACCCTGTGAGTCCAATTCGATACAAACTGTCCATGATAGTTTGCATGCCATACACTGGCAAACTGGTTGGCTGTGATAGCAAGATTCCGGACTACAGCTGGGAGAACATCTTCGGAAAAGATCTTGAAGTGGCAGGTTGCAAATACTCCAGGAACACCACTTCTACGAAGAAGTTTGATCTTGAAGAGTCGCGTGGTCTCCTCAATAGGCTCTTTGTTGTAGGTGTGGAACGATTTTGTATGTGGGGAGATGACGATGTTGATGAAGTTGAACTGGGACTTGATGAGATTGAAGTTGAATGGATGACCACTCTCATCAAAATAGATATTGACATAGTTGTTACCGATGTGCCTCTTTTTATGCTCAAAGTATATGTCTTCATCAGGATTAGGCATGAGGGAGGTTGTATGGTAGACGACTTGCACGGTTTTATCACTCCACGAAATGGCAAAATCTCCGTCGGTTCCATTCTCAGTGTCCAATCCTCCGACGTAAATATCCTTACAGTTTTTCAACTTGATCAAATCACCCATGGCATCAACAAATTTTTGGTAGCTTTTAGATCCTCCTCTATTGGCCAATACTTCCTTCTCCTTGATTTGGCCACGGCCAATGTATACGAGTCCAATCTTATGGAACTCGACAATTGGAATCCGGTCAAGTGTGGTAATGGCACGGGTGGTCACCGCATCGTCCATTAAGGGGATAGGACGATACTTATGATCTCCATCAATATGATTAAATGTTTGGAGAAGGAGGAAGTTGGGGCTCAAGGTCTGACTTTTGGAAAGCTTTGATTTGCTTGAAAGCATTCTTTCATCCAAAGCCATTTGCAAGATTGTGGCACCCGTAGGTCTCCGAAACACGACGGTTGACTTCCCAGTATCTGAGTTGGTGCCTATGGTGACAATAACTGACCCGGTTATCCAACTTTTAATGGCAACAGTCCCTTCCTCACTTTTTAATTGGTCAAGTGCTGCCTTCGGATTCACCATTTTCAAAGGAAGGTTAGAATATGTGAACCGAGTGATCAAGTCGACATATGCAATGACTTGATCATCAAGTTCCTTGTTGTTGGAGTTGATTGCAACAAGGTTTTTCAAGATAAAGGACGATAGCTTTCCTCTCACACTGATTTCCAACTTAAGGAACCACGTAGATATAACGTTATACGATAACGTCAACACATACTGCAAAAGCACAGAAGCGTGCTCTTGAAATCTTTGTGTCGAGGGAGTGTTGTCAATTTCTGCATCTAATCCATGCTGAGGAACTAGTCCCTTATCTTCTGTGCTGCCTGTATTCTTGATAGCATCAGTTGCGTATTGGACAAACTTGAAGGATATACCAAAGATTCGCTTCACGTCATCGATATCCAAACTCGCTGTGAGACTGGGAATATTGATCAAAGACATCAAGAATTCTAAGATATGGGAACTGACAAAAACGCTAGTCACTTTTGTTTGAAGCTTTGCAAGAATAGTCGATAAGTATTTTTTGATAGACAAAGGTATCTCATAACAGCAAGCTGTCAAAATATGAATAGATGGAATGGCTGTTTTCTCCCACGAGTCAATTCCAAATACCAAAGCTCTTATGATATCGTCCTCGTCGTGCTTACTGAAAAGTCGGTGGTATCCAATTAATGACGAAAATACCCTAACATAAGCCACCTGTAAATGGGATTTGGTAAAGCCTTCAGGAAACTTAATATTACTGGGCAAATTAAGTAACAACTGATCACAGACCACCTTTTTTAAACTGAGAATCTGTTCTCGGCTATTGGCGAACAACTTCATGTTCGATAGCTGAGGGCAGAAGTGAGCCCACACAAAACTGTACACCTCCCATTCAATGAAATGGGTCATTATATCCAACACAATGGAAAACCATACTTCTATATCAATTGTATACTCACCAAGATCCATTTGCAACTTTTCACTGTTGGGGTTGAATAATTTAAGATTTTGAATTGGTCGGTCAAAATATCTTTCATCAATGTAATCAATTTTCTCTGGGAATTTCCATTTGTAGTCCGGACTATCTTTGAATTCCAGAGCAAAAGTACTTCTTCCAAATGCGGTAGCTAATCCTTCCATGTCGGTTGTGTTTGCAAAATACAAATAATTTTCATTGGAAGCTCTTATTCTGATTAACCCTTTAAGAACCACAAGCAACAATTCTGAGTCTTCTATCGACAAAGCATGTTTAGCCATTAAGATACATGTACGGAAAGTTTCCAGCGCCTTCTCTGCATCTTCAGTGGATTCTATGATCAAAAGCTTTATAAATCCTTTTGTTATTGCCAATTTGAAAGGTTTTGAAATTTTTCCTGGGATGGCAGTATCCATACTGTTGGAGGAATGGGTTTTCAAAGCTGAAGATTCAATTGAAACCAAGCTTCTAAGTCTTCCGTTGTACCTCACGTCAAAATAAGGGACGATTTCATCGACAATTTGACTCAACGTTTGGAATGGTGCTTTCATGACAGCTTTGACAAATATCTCATTGATCAAGTAGTCAAGCACCTTCTCGTCCTTTTCATTCAAAGACCTTTTCAAAATATCCACCACTATTTCAAAGTTGAATTCAGACTTTGAAATGGCATACGAAATATCAAACGAACCTTTAATACACTTAAGGACCTCCACCTTTATATCTGAGGAATCCTCAGCTGATACAAGGTCACTACCAGGATGAGAGCCATTGGTAAAATAAAAGTAATTTAAAAGCTTGAAGGTATTCTCTTGTGCAAAAGGATTTAACACTGTCAACCATTTCTCTTCAGAGTAATACTTGAGGACATATTTGATGGTTTCATTAGGCAAATACTGATGGTTTCTAGTAAATAAGTTGACTAGTCTTTCTTTTGGGGTGTAAAGTTCATGAGCTTCGTGGGCATGTTGCAAAGACATACATATGGATTTCCAGTAGCTGACGTCAATTTCGCTCAAGATTTTTATGTTGGTGAGCAACTCATAGATAGAGGTTTTTGATGAATACCACAATTGGAACAGGTAAACGTGCTCCATAGCATTGACATTTGCTTCGCTTAATGTGCTGTAGGAATTCTTTGAAAAGAGCCTATCCAAAGACCTTAATATGGTTGTGTTTAAAGCTGGGACGTTTAAGGACGACATCTCTACCAAAGCTGGAAGGAAATGTACCAATAAGGAATCACTACTCTTCAGGACTGAAGGCAGAACTGCAAGCCTTTCAATTATCTGGATAGCCCCAACACAGGAGCTTAAGGCCGAGTTTGACGGTTTATGCTCAATAGTGCTAATGGTTGTGTTTGATTTTACGGCACTTAATGCATTTTCCGATTCAGTGGTCTTAAAAGTCGATAAAGCTTCGTTGGTGAGGATTTCGATAAGACAGTTTCTCAACAAATAGAAGGAGCTATGGGAAGCGAGAATGGTGATAGCATCCCACACCATTCGCGTCAGCTTCTCATTTGACCCGAATACCGAGCACATATAAGCTATTACCTCGAACAATTGAGCCTGAGGAATTGTGGTGAATATCACGGTGGTGGAAAGAAGCTCAATGCAATGGACCAAAATATTATTATTAGTGGTTCGGGAAGCAATATGTATAGCTTTCTTCAGTATATTTATCGTGAAGCTGTCGTCAAATGCATATGGGTTGAACTTGATACAATTCTTTATAAATGCAAGCAACTTGATTATATTTTGGTAATTAACATCCTCTTCTAGCTCCTTCTCGGTGCTCTTTTCCGTATAGTTCTTAGCCAATCTTCCGAGTGCTGCCAACGCTGTGACCAAAAATTGGGGAAGTGATGAGAATCCTTCATAAATGTATAGCTCTTGGATGTCCCTACCATCTTGTGTCAAGTTTCTCAAAGCATTTAAAAATAAGTCGAATTCCTGATCCGTTTTAAACTCTGAAAGCTGGCAGAAAGCGACTATGTCACGGAAGTACATTAGCTTGGTGCTGGTGCTCGTCAAATCATCATTTTTAATACACTCTATGAGAAGCTTTAGTGTGACTCTTCGAATATAGGACTGGATTTTTGGTTCACACATATCTCTTGCCAAATACCATATTTCAGGAATAGAAGAGATGGTAAACTTCTTCAATGACTCGGTCATTCTGGCCGCTGTGGATGCTCGCTGGGGCAAAGGTCCAGTTTGTAACTGAGAAAAGAGTTTCTTCTGCTCGCTTCCTCCACCAACCACAGTGGCATTTATCTGGACAGGAACAGTCTTGCTGCTGGTTGTCTTCAAAGAGTTCGTCCAAGACTTGAACACATTGCCAAATCCTGAACTTCGATTGAACGACGGGTGATGTGTTGACATATTATAGCTTAATAGCTATTCGATTTAAGCGCAGGGTGTAGTATTTTGTGATTTACTATTTTCGCAATTTTCATCTGAAAGAAACTAACATTAAAATCTAAGATGGACTTTAGAAGTCCTGCCAACCAAGATTATGCTCTCAAAAAAATGCATGAATTCAAAGTTAACAGAGTAAATGATAGATTCTATACAAGAGAGGCTTGGACTGCAACACGGCTCTCTCTTGGGCCAATTCTGCTTTAAGAGCTTCCAAATCATTCTCTCCACGTCCGGTATCAATATCCATATCTTTGGCCCTAATGAAAAGCGTCCAATTTCCTGACCAAACTTTGTGGCCCATGTAGAACACCACAAGAACCACAAAGCCTAGGTAATTAGAAAAGAAGGTCTTTGCGTTGGGACTTTGGCCGAGGGGGAATAATGAAACCCAGAACTCAGCTATAAGCACCAATGTGAAAAGAACAACCCCGTAGAGCGACCCTATTACACCTGGTTGGGAAGAGAATGCAAGCTCATCGGTTGTTCTGTTCTGATAGCGCAATGCTCTTCTGAACCGAAGATGTGCAAGGCATATCGACATCCACGTGAAGATTGAACTCAATCCACTGATAGACATCAACCATGTAAAGATTTCGGATTGTTTGTTACTTGCAGCAATAAAACTAAGGAGGCCAAAGACGTTGGTGATGATGATGGCCACCAAAGGACGACCTGAATTGTCAATATAGCCACATATTTTGGGTGCAAATCCTTGTTCTGCCAATGCGGTTAAAGTTCTTGATGTTGCATAGACACTGGAAGAACCCACAGATATGACCGATACCAAAATAACTGCATTCATGAATGAAGGAAGAACATTGATGCCACCGTTAACAACAGCAATAACGAAAGGAGATGCAGTAACGTCAACAGAAGAAGTTCCTCCCAAAAGTCTTGGATCGTTACTTGGAACCAAGAAACAGATGAGAGTTAAAGAAACCATGTAAAAAAAGAGGATTCTCCAGAATACCTGTTTGGTAGCTTTAGGTAAACTTACACGAGGGTTTTGAGACTCTGCTGCAGTTAATCCCACCAATTCGGTTCCAGCGTAAGCAAATGCCAGGGTGACGAATACTGAGCTGACACCTTTGAAGCCATGGGCAAAAAGACCAGGGTCTCTCCAGTACTTGCCGCCAACGGCCTGACCGTTCGGAGCACCACCTGCCGCAATCACAATACACACAATAATGAACATTGTCACTGTGACCACTTTTATGGACAGGAAGATAAACTCAGCTTCTCCATACGCTCTGACACCAAAGAAATTAATTGAGATAACCACAACATAAAAGATGAGCACCCACACGTCGGGGTTAATAGTGGTATTCCAGTATTGTATTGTCATTGATCCAGCTACCAATTCTAACGGTAAAAGCACCAAATACTGGAGAAAGTAGTTCCATGCCACTGCGAATCCAACCGATGGGTCGATGAATCTGCTGGCATAAACGTTGAAAGACCCTGAAATTGGGAACGTTACCGTCAATTCTCCCAAGGCATGAATTGTGCAGAACACAGACAACCCCGTCAACGACCAACATATCAAAACTGCCAACGGACCTCCAGTTTCTAATGCGCTTCCACTGGCCACTAAAAGACCAGATCCGATCGCCGACCCAATTGCAATCATTTGTAAATGTCTTGGTTTCAATTCTCGTTTCAAAGGAGAGTTAGCTGTCTTCAAGTTGGCCTTTTCAAGGTCGGTGAGTTCCTCGTATCCTTCGCAGGCTGGTGCTGATTGTTCTTCGTATCTCTTAAAAGAGTCTTTAAACCGCTCCCATTTGGTGGGGTTTCTTTGGTAAGGGCTAGAAGAAGTTCGGGACTCATCAAATGTAAGGGTTGATAGCTCATCCTTCTTGCTACTGGTAATGTCCATTTTCTACCGGGAAATCCTTTAGTGTGACAAAATAAACCTGTTAATGGTGTGCTTGAAAATTTTTAAGGTTTGCAACCACTCATCTCGGAATAACGACTGCGAAAAAAAAGTGCCAAGTTGCAAAATACATAAATCATTATTAAAGTTTCTAATTATCATGAACCATAAACAAGGTAAAAGCAAGCATTTAAAAATTAGTCTAACCGTAGAAAATATCTGCAGCATAGCAGAAGAATCCTCCCCAGGTAACGTGCTGGATGATTTTACGCAACCAATTGGGTTTGATGCTAATAAACACATTACCGCAATTGTAACCTTCACTTTCGACCCCAATTCCCCATTTAATGTTTTGCCGAACATTGCAGCCCGCCCAGAAGTTCCACCATTTATGTCTTTCACAAGGCTTAATGCGGAGCAAGTTCTTCATTAATGGGCCACGGGGACCGTCAATGTACTTATAGCCTCCAATAAACAGATAGCGTTGACGGTTATCATCATCAGGGAGCTTCCTATCACCCCAACGTCCCCAGAACTTGAGCCAGTTGTGGTATTTCTTCTCCCGACCAACGTGATGAGGGTTGCGGTTGGTGGTGGCAGGATACACCCTAGTACCATCGAATGTGTAAGCCAAGTAGTTCTTTGTAGGGTTCCACAAAGGACCTCTGTCTGTGAAGTCAGACAATATTGCATATGGCAAATCATGGGGATGTTGTCCCACCGATACATAGTTAGCATGTGTGCCTCTTGCAGAGAAGAGTATAGGATGGTTTGGATTCGATTCGTACTTCTCCAAATTATGGTAGTAGAATGCCTGTCCACCTCCGTGAGCAGACATCCATACAATGACTGGTTCTCCGTTGTAATACCTCACCAATGAGTGTTCCCAATCGCCTACGTGGTTCCCATAAGGTCCAGAACCCATCACAAATGGACCCAAATTAAAAGAATAGAAGTAGAACCAGTAAGCGTCCACCCAGCCATTGCCCTTATCGACCACAATAAGTACTGCGGGTGCATCCTTTATTTCTCCAGTGGCAAGCGAGGGCTTGTTCTTGATACCCGTAATCCACTCTGGGTCTGAATCAAAATCAGAGTTCGAAGTCAAAAAGTAATCTTCTTCTTCGGGCAACTCACTCAACTTCTTCAAGTTCATATTTGCCTCTGTTCCTGGAACGGTGGTTCCATTGTCATACTCAACATGAAAATGAGTAACGAATTTGCCAATGTCGTACGGAAGATACCGTTCTTCTGAGTATAGATGAACCACAGGAGCATATTCGAGGATATAATCAGGTACTTCACCATCTTGAATGGATCTCTGGAAAGGGGTGGGGTTATCCACTATGGGAGGCAAGTGACGGAACTGTCCAGGCGCCTTTCGGAGCATGCTGTTGATATTTGCGGTGTCTTTAGTAAGTGTCTCGTGGATGTATCCTTTATCGATTTGCCAGTAGGGAACCGCGGAAGCGGCTACTGATGTGGATAGGACTAGCCAGCACAAAGATATGACTGCCGATGGAGCTATCATATATGGATATGACTGGTAGTGCAAGTAGAACCAAAAACAAGTAATGTAAAAAGGGGTTAAACGAAGATACGGAGTAGCGATAAACAAGCAGTGATCATTTACAATTATGCATGGTCCGCGCAATCGACTGTAACGAGAAGACGTGTGCGTACCAGAGCTATTAGCATATAGACGACATATCTAAAATACAAATACTTGATCTCCGAGCTTGCTGACAGGTTTGGCCTTGGGGTAACCCAAAGTCATAGCGGCCTTCTTCATGGCACTGAGCATTGGAGGGGGACCACACAACAACAAGTTTGTATCATCAGTGGATTTAGGCAAGTATTGTTCCATGATTTCAGGAGTGACAAACCCTACTGAGCCTTCCCAGTTTTCAGGAGCAGTGTTTAACACGTAGTGGATGAATAATTGGTCTGGGTGCTGGGCTTTCATTTGTTCCAATTCTGCTTTCATCAAAATGTCGTTTTCAGTGACGTTGGCGTAAACCAAGTGGATTTTGGTGGTGTCTTGAGGATTCTTCAAAATCGCAGACATGATTTGGTACATGGGAGTAATTCCAGTACCACCAGCAATCATTCCAAAACTCTTCACCATGTTTGGCGTGTAGGTGAAGAAACCTTTGGGTCCTCTAACGTCGATGGTTTCACCGATCTTTTTGGAGTCGATGTGCTTGGTGATGTTTCCTTGTTCGTACACTTTGATCAATAAATCAAAGTATCCAGTTTGGTCATCGGTGGAGATTGGAGTATACGACCGAACCACCTCCTTACCATTAATGGTGGTTCCAATGGAAATATGCTGGCCAATTGGCAAGCCCAATCTGTCGGTCGACTTGGGCAATCCGAATCTATAGACACAAGTATTGTGACTTATTCTTGTTTTTTCAATCAATGGGAACTTTTTGAACTGTGTTTTATCTAACACGGGTTGATTTTTATTCCGCTGTTTGATGAAATAAAGAGCAATGAAACTAGAAATTATGGCTGCGATGGTGGCAAATACCACCAATGGGTTGGGTTCCGAATCAGCAGACATTTGACGAGTGTGTTGGATCGATTCCCTGTGAATTTTCGGTTTCGCCCTTTAATCGCGAAAATCAGAGGCTGCCTTACCCGGCCGCGACTCTGGATACTACATAGGGTTATAATTTCCTAAATGTTGGGTTCGTGTATTGTGGGTAATATATATCTCTAACAGTGCCGAATTTCCGACGCTCCTACACTACCCCAATATGGTGATAAGACACTAGATAATACTTAATTAGGTGCTATGACACCAGTTACACTAGTTCACCCTAATTATCCGACTCAGGACAAATGCTCACTCTTGTCCGATGTCCTATTCGTTATTTTCATTATCATCCTCTTGTTCGTCCTCTTCCTCTTGTTTGACGTTCCACTGGCACGAGATGTCCCACCGCGACCCGTGTGCATTCACACTGACGTACTTGATGAACTTCAATACCGAAGGGTCTCTTACCATCAAGCATAAATGGTTCCAGGTGCACTGCTTAGAGTATAACACACTATCATCATTAGGGTCGCTGGGCTTGTAGATAGCGGGGTCATCGTCCTCGAAGTCGGACCCATCATTCTCCAACGCCATACACAACTCGTAGCCACCAAACTCTCCCAGGTCCCAGTTTTCGGGATTTGCAGCCGTTGGAGTGAGGCCCAAGGTCGCTTCTAGTAAAACATTTGATTCGCCAAGATGGGCCCTGGCAAGCTCTTTGTCGGTAGTGGTGGCAAGAATGAAGTCCTGGCCGGGCCTGAACCGCCGGGCCAACACCTGGTCACTGGTCAAAATCAAAGAAGTTAAGATCTTAACCCATTTGCGGAACACGATTGACTTGAGAAACTGGCACAATTGAACAATTTTGTGATCAGGCTCCAGAAGCGGGGTTTTCTGGAGAAGGCCGAAATTGGGCACCTCTTGGGGTCCTATTTTGTTGGAGAAGCGTATGGACAGTTCGGATAAATCAAAGTCGTCCTTACCGTCGATGTACATAAATCTCTGCTTGTGAGGAGGCACCGCGCACTTCCACGGGAACTGTATTTGTTTGGAGGTTTGTGGGGCAGGCAACTCGATCTCCGTCGTTCTTATGATCTTCTTCATCTCCTCGGCAAGATCCAGCTTCAAAAAGTTGGGGAGCTCCACAAGCGACTCATTTATAAACGACTTGTTGAGCAGAGTAATGGTGGACTTCTGGAGGTAGATAGGATTGACAAACTGACCCAAATACTCGAGTTCCGACGAGGTGAAGCCAAACTCCGTGAAGTCTTCATAGAGCTTTAGTTCTTCGCAAGGAAAGTCCACTCGGTGTGGTTTGGGGAAATCGAACTCTTGTAATTCCTTTGTTTGTAATTGCTGCAAAGTACTCTTGGACTCGGTTTCTTCTTGCTCACCAGGAATGTACCCATCTTCACCCGGCTGGGGAATATGAAACCACCCTTGGATAGATAATCTGTGTCTATCCACCCTCACTTCTTCCACGTCGTGGAAAGAAAGTCCAGGTTGTACCGTGAAAAAAGCTATTTGATTGAATTGAGGAACCAATTTGGCGGAGTAGTCCGTGGACGGAACGTTGGGGACAATGGCTGGGAACAACCGCAAGGCCCCGCCGTACTTCTCCTTCCATTGTTTGTCGGGGTCGGGTAAGTATAGAATAAAACTCACTCTTCTTGACCCTATCACGTCATCATGGGTCAATAAGTGGCACCCGTTTCTATAAGTGTTCACCGACATATCGGTCTTGATCCCACTGAGTTTTCCAGATCCCGTGATAGTGGAGATGACGTCACGGAACTCCTGAGAGTAGATGGCTGCTCTTAGCTGATATAATGATGGTAACCGAGAAAGGTCATCCCAGTCTAATCCTGATAAATTGGCCAAGTCTCCGGACTGGTACACCTTGTAGATATCGGTTTCCTTCTTCGTGAAGGCGATTTCATTGAGCACCTCTTTGCGGACGTTTCTCAAGAGGGTGTCGTCCATTAGGGATTTAATGGTTCCCCATCGGTACGGCTCGCTGCGAGCGACCTCTTGTTTGAGTAGGTCTTGAAATGATGTCTGCCATACCTGTGGGTCGAAAAAGGAATGAATTTGTTCCTTGTTAAACGAGGTGTCAAGCTTCTTGGTATCAGCTTGGCTCTCGTCTTGTGCAATTCTTTTGCTCATCTGTCTGGTGTTGGGCGATACCTGGATCTCTACTCAGGCCATCGCACCACCAAAAAGAAATGCGGGCGTGTGTGGCCCAGCTCCATTGGCGCGGTGTTGATTCCAATGAGTCAAGTAATTTTTCACGCCAACCTACTGAACAAGTGTTCGTGAAACCAGTTATCACCACCACATCACGATGGGCTTGTCTCCTAAACTATCTCCGTCATCCTACAACTCTGTGCTCGACCTCCGCTCCGCCGGCAAAGCAGGGTGGATCATCCAGAAGTTCGGAGGTACCTCTGTGGGAAAGTTCCCCGAAAATATCGTTGACGATATCGTCAAGGTGACAAACACTACCAACCGGGTGGCCGTTGTGTGCTCAGCACGGTCATCATACACAAAGAGCGAGGGAACTACCTCTAGGCTTCTTCGGGCGGCTGACTTGGCCTCCGATAACGGAGATTTCCTTGAAATCCTCCAAACCATTGAAGACGACCACACCGCCAATGCCGAACTCAAGATCAGTGACAAGACGCTACAGGCTCAGTTGGTGCAAGACACGCGGGAAGAGGTGAAAAAGGCCAAACAAATCTTGACGGCGTGTCAGGTGATTGGAGAAATCTCCAATAGAACCTTGGACTCGATCATGTCCATAGGTGAGAAGTTATCATGTCGGTTCATAGCGGCTTTGATGCAAGATCGTGGCATTAACGGGGTATATATCGATCTATCTGAGATCATTCCGTTGGACTACGACTTCAACAACGGCTTTGATGACGCTTTCTATCGATTTTTATCAGATGAATTGGGCAAAAAGGTGTTGGAGTTACCTGAAGATGCCATTCCCGTATTGACCGGATACTTTGGATGTGTGCCAGGTGGATTGTTGAACGGCGTGGGAAGAGGGTACACCGACTTGTGTGCGGCATTGGTGGCGGTGGGAGTCCGTGCTGATGAATTGCAGGTATGGAAGGAGGTTGATGGTATTTTCACAGCCGATCCTCGAAAAGTCCCTAACGCCCGGTTATTGGACAGTATCACCCCCGAAGAGGCGGCTGAGTTGACATATTATGGATCTGAAGTTATTCACCCATTCACAATGGAACAAGTGATCAAGGCCAAAATCCCCATCAGAATCAAGAACGTTGAGAACCCCACCGGTACCGGCACCATAATATTTCCAGATAACATCGGTAGACGAGGCGAGTCAACTCCTCCTCATCCACCTGTTGCTTACGAAACGTTGTCCAGCTCGTACATTAGCTCCAAAAGACGGTCTGCCACTGCCATTACTGCTAAACAAGATATAGTGGTACTCAATATCCACTCCAACAAAAAGACATTGAGCCATGGGTTTTTGGCCCATATCTTCACCACTTTGGACAAGTACAAGTTGGTGGTAGACTTGATCTCGACATCGGAAGTGCATGTGTCGATGGCTTTGTTAATTCTGTCGGACCAAGAGAAGATGTTAAAAAGAGCCCTTGTGGAGTTGCGAAAAATGGGATCAGTAGATGTCACTAGAAATATGACTATTATTTCGTTGGTGGGCAAGCAGATGGTTAACTTCATTGGAATTGCCGGAAACATGTTTAAGGTGTTGGCCGATGAACAAATCAACATCGAGATGATCTCGCAAGGATCCAACGAAATTAACATATCTGCAGTTATAAACGAGGCCGATACTATCAGAGCATTAAAGTCGATCCACGCCAAGCTTTTGGAAGACAACCATGAATACCACAGCAATGAAAGTGCTGTGAACTTGAGGTTGGAGTCGTTAAAGCTTGAGTAGAAACACTTGTATATAACACTATAGAAATAAAAATGAACATTTCACCTAGATATCAAAATCTCCTGATTCTCTGCTACCGGAGCCCGAAGCCTTGGAGTTATCATCTATCAACGACTCAAAGTCGCCAACGATTCCTCCTAATAACTCGGTGGCCAACTTGTGGTAGGCCAACTGGGCTCTGATCAATTCCAAAAACTCTTCCAATGGCCGGGCGTTTTCCAACACATTCTGCATTATACTTATGGCATCTTCAACGGTGTTGGCGAAATCATCTTCTGCATTCTCCATCACCACCCTTAACTGTGGCTCCTTGCTGGGATTGGTACAATTGGTTAAGCTGATTCGAGCCAAGTCGTAGCTAAGTCGTTTTTGCTCAACTTTCTTCTGAATGCTGTTGCTTTGAGAAATCAACAGTCTCAAAGTGGTAGTCAAAGGGTTGTTGAATTTGGCTTGAATCAATTGATCTTGCCCCAATCTGGCATTCCCAATCTTAGCCAAGTTGGATGAGTACAAGTCCAATCCTTTAACCAATGGATCGTTCTGACTATCGGAAGAGGTCAATACCGAAGCATCGGTGGCACGTGCCAACGCATGGTACAAAGTTTTGGGGGTCTTGAACTCGCCTCTATCATCACTGATAAGCGCCGCCTGTGCTTCGGCTGGGGTGGTAGCCTTGGACAAGTTTTGGACACGTGTGGTGATGTTCTTGCTAAACTCTTGAAACGATTCCTGAACATTGGATGGATAATCGTAACTTTCACTCTCGTAGGTAGCGGTGATCTTAAGCACATTCTTGTACAACTTCTCGACGTTGTTACACTTGTTTGCCAAGTCAGTGTATTCAGATGGCAATTGACTGATTTCATCGACATTTACTCGTCCAATTCTTTCTTGTACTAACCGAGAAGTTCTCTGAGCAAAAGGAACCACCTCATTGTTAAATTCACTGGTGACCTTATCACTGAGGTTCTTGAGGTCCTTGGTGAAGTTGGTGAAATTAAAGGACATTCGTATCTGTGTTCGTCAGGAGGTTTTAAGAATTTAAAATGATCCGTCAGATTTTAGCGCGACATAGATTTGGATTAAACATATTAAAGGTACAGCCCACAAGAGATAATACACAAAAGGCCCTTAGAACTCCAATCCCTTGGCAAAAAAGTCGTCAACAGCAGCAGCAAATCGCTTCGCTCCCTCGATAACCTCGGCGTCGGTATTCAATGGCACAAATGTAAGTCTGTAGAAGTTCCCCCGCAGAGCACTGAACTCCTTGTCCACAGCCATGTTGAGTCCAGGTACCACAGACACCCCGTATGCGGAGAATTTCCAGTTAAGGAGAGTGATCTTCTCACTGACGTCGGTCCCTTCTGGGAACTTCAACACCACTGAAACAAACATCCCTGCCTGAGGATCAATAACGTCGATCAAGCCCTTTTGATAGGCAGAAGCCTGAGTGAGCTCATGAAGTAATAAGTTTCTCCTGTGAATATAAGCCGATCTAAGCTTCAAGATCCACTGGAGCCAACCCTCAACTCCCCCGAACTTTTGGAACAAGACGTTTTGGAGCACTGTTTGAGCCACTCCCGAAGGAAACTTGGTGACAATGACCGAATAAGCAGCAATAACATCGATGAGTCTCTTGTGGCCCACAATAAACCCGACTCTCAACCCAGGAGCGAAAAGCTTGGAGAAGGTCTCGATTCTCAAGACTCTGGCAGAGGTATCAATTTCCAAGTAAGAAGGTGTCAAGTGGTCTTTGATATACTCATCCACCGTAAGAAACTCGTCCAAGCTCTGGGTACCTTCCGGCTGTTTAAAAGGAGGCAAGGTGAGGTATCCGTACGGATCATCTTCAATGATGATAAAGTCATATTTTTCAGCCAAAGCATAGATTTTCTTCCGGAACTCGAGAGACTGGGTTAACCCAGTGGGATTTTGCCCAGTGGGAATGGTGTACAATGCCTTGGGCTTTTTCAACCCAGGCTTTAAAGTCTCCCAGTTTTCCAACAAATCGGTCAAGTATTCAAGATCGATACCTTCACTGTCAGAAGATACCTTCAACTTGATAGGCACTCCAGTTGCACCTGTCTCGCGGATCATCATTAAGGACGGAGTGAAGGTGAACTCTTCCATCAACACCACATCATCTTTGTCCAAAACCAGGTCCATGCACTTTAAGATCCCATCACCGGCACCAGTGGTCAAGATGGTAGACCAGTCAGAATGAGCAGGAGGATGAGTTCTGGTGATGAAATCTTTGGTGAACTCTAGCAATTGTTCCATTCCATTCCAGTGGGAGTATTGGAGTCCTTGGCGAATATCAATCAAGTTTTTGTCGGTACCAATTTTAGCGATCTCCACCTTTTTGGTAGACTCAGCTTGCACGTCTAACTTTTTCAAATCCTTGGATAAAGCTTCCAACGACCCATTGGAATGGGTCAATTCAAACTGTTTCTGGAATGGATAGTCAGCCACACCCACAGAGATGGAATCGACCGGAAAAAACCCGACATTGGGCATACCTCCACTCATGTAGAGTGGTTCCTTGTGAGGAATATAACCATGGGGGGCCCCTTCGGTTAGGGCAGTGGCAAAGTGGATCTTTTTTCTACCGGCAGCTCTTTTGGAGATCAAGTGTTCCAACGAGTATTCGGAACTAACAGTCATTTTAGAGTTGGTGAAATTGTGTGGTTTTTTTGCGGGATGGTTACGTTTTATACCCTGCTTGATTTCTAATCCATATACGGCTCTTATCTGTGCCACACTCGCAGGGGTTTTTTCCGACCGCACCGCGCACGACGAACACTTTTCCCACACTGTGGTTGTTAAACTGGGGCTTAGGGCGAGGGGAGATGGCGGTGAGGCGATGTGGGTGTCGACGAATCGGCCCCATCTACGGCTACTCACTCCCGCAACCTGGGACCATTTCAGTCCCTGACTCGTTGTCCACTACTTATTCCCGTCAATCTCCTATTATGCATTAAAAGTAACTATACGCGGTGACATTATTCCCGATTGATCTGCACCCTTCACATCATTTCATCCACTTCAAGCAAATCGTCCTCGAGAAACTCCATCGCCTGACACGCCTTATACTCGTCTATTACACTCAACACATGTTCTTTACATTGGTTGAAGTTGTCTAGTACCCGTTCTCTCTCACTGTTCTTATCACCCACCGTATCGGCATCGATGTACGAGTTGATAAACGCTCCCCTCTTGGCGAGAGCATCGTACTGTTGAAGAATCTTGATGAGAAACGGCACCATCGACGTGTTGTTTGAGATCAGAAGCCCGTTGAGGTTCTTATGTTTGGAAGTGTGGGTACCGTACATAAAGGGAGATTTCTTCCCGTTCACAACGCTGATGGACGAGGGCGTCCACGGCACAAACTCGAGTCTTTTCAAGGCCTTGAGCTTCCCTTTCCTTATTTCGTCTTGGTTCAAGTCCGACCCAATTAAGTAGGTGAACATGGATATGTACTTCGGCTTGGTGGTACCGATCTTATTCATCTTGTACTTGTCATCGAGTAATTCTAATATTAAGTCGTATTCGTTCATGTTAGATAAATGCGGTTTGGAAGATCCCAGATGGAAGGCAGAGAGGTCTGCAAATGGAGCGATGGATGCGGATAGGAACTTAAGTTCGGGAACCGGAATCAAGCTCGATAAGATGGATTCGTACGACGTGTACATGTAGCCGGGAAACCGGATGGGGTTGGATATACTGGCAATCACATAGGAGATCAATTTGTTGGTGGTGTTGAAGGCATTATTGCTGTTTTCAAATTGAAGGTCTGACGTCTGGGACAAGCCAAACACGTCATTTTGGATTTTATTGAGCGAATCATTATCGAAAACGGTGGTCCAGTCGCTGCAGTCAATCAAACGATCCAACGTCAATAACGTATTATATGGCTGGACAATCACATCGGAAGTCTTTTCGCTCGAAGGAAATATCAGCGATGTGGTAATGAGCTTTTTGGCCCCAAATCGATCGTTAAGTTCTTCTAACAAGTATGACCCAACCCCGGATCCCGTACCTCCTGCCACGCTGTGAATGACTTGAAATGTAGATAAGTTCTCGCACCTATCAGACTCTCGATCTATTATTTCGAGGAGTTCTTCCACGTGCTGTGTTCCGTAGGCGTACCCCCTCAGCCAGTTATTGGCGGCTCCATCTCCCGTCTCACTCAAATGGATATTTCTGGGATTGAACATGGGGAATCCATTGGTGGCTCTCTGAATAACAGATGGTTCCAAGTCAATCAAAACAGACCGGGGCGTATACTTTCCGGAGTCCGACAATGTAAAGAACAACTCGGCTCTATCTTCTCGGTGGTTTGTGGTGCCGGCTCTTTGCCCATCGAATTCGGGTTGTTCTTGATCTTGTGGGTAGGGCGTTGAGGTTCCGTCAGGCAAAAGCCCATGCTCCAAGGCCAATTGCGACCAGAACTGGGTTCCTACTTGGTTTCCACACTGGCCTGCTTGTATAGTGATGGTCTCACTACTTATGTTAGTACTTGACTTTCTGTCGAGGTGTTTGAGTGTGTATCACATACCCTGGCATCTTATATGTTTTCAAATTTGTTTTGATTTCGCACCGCGTTTCTTAAAAGTCAAAAAGCTCAACCAGAAAATAGTAAAAGTACGGAAAATACAGGAAGAAGAGGACACAACCACTTAACCTCCAGCTGAATGGTCTTATACATCAAAAGCGTTAAGTGTTGTTGACCACTGAAAAAAAAAAACATTGGACGAGACAGGAATCGAACCAGTGACCTTTTGCATGCAAAGCAAACGCGCTACCAACTACGCCACACGCCCAAACTTTCGAAGTTCAGCGACCGTCCGCAACCTGTAGATACATGGGATGTGTATTCACCAATATTGATCAAGTATCCCAGTATAGTAGATTCTCCACCCACGAAACATTCTCTCCCACTTCACCTACGCCCAATTATATCTAAAATTATATTGAAGGTTACCAACCATAATACACAAGTTATATAGAACAGAAAATCAAGATTCCAAAGGAAAACTGCCCTGCAGCAAGCACTTAAAAAAGGCACGAAATAGTAAGAGGAAAAAGGTATATTATGATCAGTGAACCACGAAACAGGATTTTACTGATGGGTAGTTAAGTTTTTTGATGAAAAGGTTTTGGCATAAAAGCATTAATGTTTCAGAACTTAGTGAACATAAGATCTCTTCTTCTTTCTGCACACACCAGTGCTTCCAGTAGGAAGTGGAATGTCGCTGATAGGAGTGGTGGTAATAGAAGCCACGGTGGTGGCACTAGTGATAGCAGAAGTAACACTAGAACCGTCACACTTTCCGAAAGCTGCAGCCAAAGCATTAGTGATAATAGTGTCGAAAGTACCAAGGTTCAAGAAAGCCTTGATCAAGGATGGAATCAACCCAGAGTCCAATAAATCGGCCACCAAAGAAGAAAGAGAAATGTCATTGTCTTCAATCAACTTCTTGATTAAATCGGCACCAAATGAGTAGAAGGCAGGATCAACAACCAATGCTTCGACAACTTGGTTAGCCAAACCAGAGTCCTTCAAAGATTCCATCAAACTCGTCAAGATTTCTTCTTCGGATGCTCTTCTTTGAAGAGGGGCCATCTTTGGAGTAATCTCAACCATCATGTATTCTCTTCTGAAAAGACCCTTAATGTAATCACCAATCTTGTCAGCCAAGTCACTAATGTAACCCAAGGCCAAACTGTAAATTTCAGCATAGAAGTTACAGTCACTGATCAAGTCTTGAATCACACTTACAGCCAAACCAGAGTCGTTCAAAGCCTTCAATAAAGTGTCGATGTTAATGTAATCGTTCTTGATCAAGTAAGAAATGGTGTTAACAGCAATTGGTTCCAAAGTAGAGTCGTTGATCACGTACTCGAGGATTGGAACCGCCAAGTTAGTGTCCTTAATGGCAGTCAAAACATCCGTAACAATTTGACTTTCTCTCTTGGACTTTTCTTCGGCAGCCAAACCGTCTCTCTTTTTCACATAGTCGTTAATGTTGGCAACAGACTCTTGCACCATGGTGATTTCCCTGACCGACAAACCTGAGTCCACAGTTGTGGGGGCAGCTTGCACGCTTATACCACAAGCTAATATCAAAGCAAATAAGAATGTGAAAAGTCTCATAGTATTCTTAGTTAAAACTGGAGGATATTATCTGAAGCAAAGAATTGTGTCCCTTTATATTTGAAGCAGCAGAAAGGGACGGCAAAATAAGAATTTCCTAATGGATATTGTTTTGGTGGAGTCAATTAGTTTACTGCCTAAAGCAGAAATACTGGGTCTCCATTCACTAGCAGCTTATTATACTTCCTCACCCAGCAGCGAAAAGATGCAAATTACTTTACCTATTTGGGAAATTGTCAACCTCACATTACTTTTCCTGTTAGGGAAATTTGTTTAAAGTCTTATTTGCCTAATACTAAATGCGGAAGTTTCTATAATAAACCTCTATATCTTTACCCTATATGTGAACAGACTCGAATTCTCCAACTATACAGACATACACTAGCTTCTTGCACAATGGCGTCACATACCATCCAATTTCACCTGCGTCGTGGATATGTCCAAATGGTTTGGAATCTATTTACTATTGTCAACAACTTCTTACCTTTTTGAGATATGTGCCGTATACTGCTTTCTCCAACGCCAGAGGCCTCGAGGAAGTGAGTTCGTATAGCAATCCCAAGTCTTCATTGCGTGGTCCTACCAATGGTTATGTTGTCGAATGTGATAAGAGATCCTCGTCCATTATTTTACGTGCGTCGATTTGCGATTTTCACATTTTGCAGCTCGTTAACCAAGAGAAGGCCCGTTTTTACTTCAACTTGAACAAAACTCTAAAATCTGCCAGCAGAAAATACACTTTACACCTCTAAATCGGTGATATTCATTACCGCTTGTTTTCTCGTCTCTACCACTTATGCCCATTGAATGTCAGCTACTTTTCAAAACCTCATCCCCAGGCGGCGGATGGGTCGCGGAAATGACGGCCTCAAAAATTTCGAAATTTGTTAGGGAATAGCGGTGTGGTCAATACATTACTACATTCTCCAGAACCCGCAACATGTCGAATGTGCTATATTGGGCTTTGTCCATATTATTAGTCTTGTACCTTGCGGTACTATTTGCTATCAATAGATTCCCTAATATCACCATCAAATCACTTGGGTTTTTCTCTCTTCGAGGAATAATCATAGAGACTCCTCATAAGATCATCAGAATTAAGAGACTAAGATTAAGGGTTAATTTTTTCCGAGGGAAGGATTCTCCATTGAAGCTCTTCAACTTGGAGGTTTTTGGTGCCGAAGTCAAAGTTCTTTGTAACGATAAGCCTAATGTTGTGAATGAGAAATTGGCTAAACAAGCACCATTTGATCTTGAAAAGTTCTTGAAATTGACCTTGCTGAAACGTATATACGAGATTATCTTCTACTACCTGCTCCTTAATCAAGTTCATGTTCTTTTTTACAGGTGCTCAGTGCATCATGAAGAGGTTGATAAGAATGTTAGATTGCATATCGATTATGCTAAACTTGAGAACACCTTGAGGTATGACGGTCATAACTCATTGACATTATTAGTCTTCAACGGATTCTTACATGAGCTCGAGGATCATGATAGGATCCAGATCTTTAGGAATGTGGAAGTCATTTTGGGCTGTGATGCTATTTTCAATTGCCTGATGAATCAAGCTGATGTAATGGAAGCATCTTTAACGAATTTTTCGTTGGTGGTTTCGCTTGGTAAGGCACATGTACCACTAGACCATGTGAATTTCGCTCCCAAGGTGAAGGGTAAGGATTCGCAACATCACCCAATCAGTAAGGAACAAATCCATATACTAAGACAGTTTTGGAAAATATTCAGTGAAGCAAGATTATCATTAGAAGAATTCACGCTTTCGCTGGGGCCTTGCTTGTTGCAAGTTGCCACTTTCCAAGCGTCATTGACTCATGACTTTACTGAGGAGGTAGGGAAGAATCCTATAGCTGGGTTTAATATTCATGTTACTTCGTTGAAGCTATTTGAAGCCGAAACCAAATGCTTCGAATTGCCTGCTGTTGCTTGTAATTTCGAGGCCAACCCATTTGGCCTTCTCGAAGGAATTGAAAACTCTCACCATGAAGAATTGATCAAAGAAGTGTGTTCTTCACTGGATATCAAGTTTAACTTGACAGTCACCAATCCTACGGTTGACCTTTACCATGATCAGCTTATAATGCTTCAAATACGAAACAGAACCAAGCAGAGAAAACCACAGATGACCAAGGTTAACTTCATGAACTTTCTTCTTGCCTTACATAAGGTCTCTACCAAGATTGTTATTGTCGATACCAAAATCATAATTCATCTCCCGGCGTTTGGACTGAATGAATTCCATAGAGAGGCAAAGCTGAATCTTATATTGAAGTATACAGTGGATTCGCTAGTGCAGAGGTTCGTCACAACAGACTTGTCCAAGCTGTTGTTGGAAGGCAAAGAGTCTAAGCAGCAACTTTTTGGGTTGTTCAAAATCAAGAACTTCAAGGCCAATTTATTGGACAATGTCATCAACGTGTCAAAGTGTAATCTCCTTGCTGTATACAACATAAATGAAAGGGACGTGTCATTGAAGATGAACTGCAAGCGGTTGAGAATGAAATCTATTAATAGTGCCATTTTCCATCTTGTGAGAGATAGGCGAACCAAGAGAATCATTTTGGACAATCAGTTATACAACGACCTTATGCTTGTACTGAAGGAGAATAACCCTTCAAAATGCGCTGCGGTAGATGATGGCCTATACTATGAACTTTTTGAGATGCTTCCTCCTATTATTAATCATTTAAAGGTTGAAGTGAACGAAGTTCATGCTGACATGATCTGTAAAGATGGGTTACCTCTGCAAATTTATACAGATCCTGCCACCCAACAACAATACGACTTGAAAGACTACGGAAGAGGTGTATCGTTGAAGTTGAACCATGCTTCATTAAAATACAAGAAGGATAGCGAAGAAGTGTTCTTCAAAGTTTCAGAGCTCAACTGTTTCACTCTTAGTGAGCTTGATTTGGATTATGTGTTAGATTTTGACATTGTTTCAGCGTACTCTAATGGTAAGGATGATTTCAGTGATGTATCCAGTTTAGAGTCCATTGCGTTAGCAGCAACAGAAGAAGATGAGTTGAGGAAAGTAAAGCAGGTTTTCAAGATTTCTGAAGTCGAAATCAACAACATATCAAACAAGCAAAGGGACAAGAACAGGCTCTCAGTGAGAATTCCTGAAATCGAAGGTAGAGTGGATATATTCTTTGCTTGGTGTTCCATTTACGCTATCAGTTTAATCAAGGCATTCAAGCCAACGGTTGAAAGAGTGTGTTCCAAGGAGAAGATCAAGTCTATGATGGGAGTCACAGACAAGAAGTTGAAATTAGACATTTTCGTTCAGGTGATAGCCATTGTGACCAGACTTGCAAACCTGGTGGATGTTCTCACTGAGTTTGATACTCTCCTTGTACGTGATGCTTTAGAAAGCAAATCCTTAGAGTTCAAGTACGCTAGATGCTACCTCGTACATCCAACAACCAAACTTTGGGCTAGATTCTTGACCATAAAGAATTCTTTTGTGGCAGTGAATGCTGTCATCGAGAACGAAGATGCTTTCGAAGTCGCCTGTAAAGGTATTAGGCTCAACATTCCACATGGGTTCCTTTTCTATTCTGTGATTGATAATGTCGTAACCTTTGGGAAGGCCATCAAGCAAATTAGTAACAATTTCAAGAATTTTTCCAAAGGTGTAATGGATTTTGGGGTGCTACCACAAGAAGCTAGGGGAGCTTTCCACGTTCCCACGGTTAATATCAAAACGGATAATTTTGCAATGACTTTGGAAAATGATCCCTTCGAAAATGAACTTTCATACATTTTAGAACTTGGAAAGGTAGAGCAGAATCTCAGAACCAAGAAATATCAATTTTTTGAAAAGCAAGCAAAGGTTATCATGGATAACACGCTTGACCTGAAAATAGGGTTGCACTTTACTGATTCTCCTCTTTCTACCAACAATGTCGCAACCAATTCAAAGAAACAAGCAACTCCTATCAACTTGGACTCTGAAATATCTAGGTCGAACACAAATGATACTCACTTATTGTCAGATGAAGAGGCAAAGAAGAGAATCGAGGAAGCACTTTACATTCTTGAAAGAGAGCTCTCCACTTCATGGTATTACAAGTTCAAAAAATTCCGGGCTACGAAGATCCAGAATTGGAGTAAGAGACTCGAAAGAGGATGGGGAGTTGAAAAGGTTAACGATAAGATCACCGATAAGTTTGATATCATGAACTACCTTCCAGGCCCCCTTCTAATGGGGTTGATATTTAAGAGCTTGGATTTGACTGTAAGCAAATCAACAATCCCAGATCTCGATAAGTTTTTGTTTGAGTACGGTAAGGGACAGCCAAAATTGGATTATTCGATTTTATTGCCTGTACATCTTTTGCTAAAGAGTGCAGCAGTGTTTGCGTTCTTAAAAGATTATTCGCTTCCGCTACTTTCGTTCCCAGCAAATGATGATTCTACCAAACCAGCCTTCCAACTTCAAGGTAACATGGTAATAAATGAGAAGTTAGTTCACCGGAAGGAAGAGATGAGGCAGATTTGGGTGCCATTTTCCCCACCAATGGCCCCTAAGGTCAATGAGGATAGCTTTTACTTCGTCTCAGTCACCAGAACCTTGACACCTGTGAAGTTCATGGTTGACTTGAACTGTGATATTGACACCGAACGTGCGGCTATGATCAGTTGGTGTAAATCTTACCAAGGAGCACTTCTGGCTGCTATGTCGGCAGTCGATAACTTCACCAAACCCAAGATCGATGACAGTCCCTTAGGATGGTGGGATAAAACTGCCCTCACCTTGCACGGTCAAATGGTATTTAATATTCCCAACGAGTTGTGTTTCCATATGAAGTCTTCAACTAATCCCTACGAGATGACTGGTCGAAACGCTGGGTTTGTGTTTTGTTGGAAGAATAATGTTGTTCTCAAAATCGATGGTGTTCACTCCAGTAAAGAGCTCATCACATTGAATAGTGATGTGTTTCTTTTGGCAGTACCCAACTATTCCATGGCTGAGAAGCGGTCGTGGAGTTTATTCTATGATGAAGTTACCGAAGCGGTTCCAGATATCGAGTCAGAAAGTAAAAAGTTCCAGAAGAAAGTGATGAGCTTATCATCGGACGAAAGAGTGCAGTGGACTTTGGGGCTTCTTTTCGAGGGAAACCAAAACCATTCCTCCAATCTTAGTGATAAGGAAAAAAGAACCAATACTTTCATTCCACATTATGACGTGGTAGTGACAGGCCCCAATTTTGACTGGCATCCCGACTCTTATAAAGGGTACAGATCAGAGTATATTCATTTGGCGATTTCGGTCAAGTCAGTATCTAGAAAGGGAAACTCATCCAACAGAATCCATCTAACTCCTTTAACAATCAATTACTTTCTCTACTGGTGGCATACTATCACAGAAGCTATTTCACTTCCAATAAGACAAGGACCTTTGTTTGACGATCAACTAGATGAGACTGGCCAAGGCAACTCTAGTGCCAAGACCAGCACTCACCTATTCACAGTGAAATATCAGTTGATTTTTGAACCACTCACCGTCTCACATATGCTTATGCATTCATCGGGAGAGAAAGGCAATCAAGTTGCATTCTCTGGTATAAAAGGTAAAGTGGGAAGATGTATTTTAGATCTCCACCAGAGAAAGGAAGTCTTGACCTATGTTAATAACAAACTTGATATTAAGAACCAAATTTTGCACTTGAAGATGAACCAAGCAGAGATTATGTTCAAAGAGGCAGATGTGAGGATTGTCAATGCCATCTTCCCAGATCGGTCGATGCAATCTCAATTGGATCGGTACCTTTTTGGAACCAGTGACTCTTCTTCAGGAGACACCAGCAATGATAACAGTGCACAAAGTAGTGGTCAGTTCTTGAACTGGGTTTCAGGTTTGGATATCCAAGGAGAAGATTTCTCGTGGTTAGATCAGGAGGATTTCACTGAACTTGAAATAAGAGAAGTGTTATCTCCCTATCCAAAGGTCACCATTCTACCATTTTTCTTCACTCCTAATTTCACCTATGTTCGAGAGTTTTCGTTACAAGAAGAAGGTCCTTACCCATTCGGCAAGGAAGACTCTCACAATTGTGAGTTGGGCAACGAAACTCCTGCGGATACTCAAGGAAGACTTCTTTCCAATAGACTTGATGGTATCAGGTCTGAAATCGACATAAATGAAGATCTTTTGGCCAATTTAAAGGGAACAGAGCATCAAGGTGAAATTGATGCTGCAGTCGCAGATCAGATATTGACAATACAGAAAACAATTGATGAATACAAGGAGAAACAAGATCTCGTGGAATCATTATACGAAAGAATAACCGGAAAAATTGCTCCTGGAGAAGTCAGCCATGATGAGTCGTCTGCTTTGAGTGTTAGTAGGTACGACTCCAGGCAGTTATCTATTTATTCCAGCCACAAATCGTACGATGAAATGAAAGATGTTGAATTGTTGAACAAGCAAGCTAGTGAATTCCATAACAGATTCATTATCCACAATTTGCAATTGAAGTGGGGCAATAAAGTAAGAGATTTGTTTATGGACTACATGCAATATGGAAGTGAAAAGAAATCTGAAGCCTATTTCATGAGTAAGAGAGCAGTGGATTTGGTCGAGAGTGTTATCAACACTGTTCCAGAAGCATTCAAGCCAACAAAAGAACAAGACGAATTTTGTACTGCCCGTTTGGAATGTGAAGATGTGATCAATGCATTTGACGATTACCTAGAGGATATTGACTCCGAAACCCAAGAAGCTGAGTACAAGTTCTTGGTGAAGTTGGTTAGCCCACAGATTCAATTGATTAGTCAGAAGGATCCTGAATCTACTGCGTTGGTGGTGTCCAAGGATTTGGAATTGAGAATCATGTCGGTGAACCTCAAAGGTGTGAACAAGCTTATCAATGCTGACAACGAAATCTCAGGTACAATTGAGACAAGATATGGAGGTTTATTCAATGAATTCTCTGTGTATGTTTTCAACAAGAAGGATGTGGTCATTTCCCATCCCAATGTGCCATATGGATATGTTGATTCGCAGTTGGCAGTTAGTTGGCCTCCTTGGGTTGAGTATGAAAATATTCATGAAGATTGTTGGATGGACAAGAATCTTGTTGCCGAAAGAACTTCAATGGTGTTATCGTTCAAGAAACCCAACTATTTATACATTGACACCACATCTGTACCCGAGAAGAATGAGATTCAAGTTCATGTGGCCAAGTTTGTTTTGAAGGCTAATTCTCAACAGTATTCAACCATTTACTACATTATTACAGATTTATTGGTATCTGGAAAGAATGAAAAGAGTCTGTTGATGAATAAATTGGATAAAGTTGTGTCTGTTTCCGATGACGATGACTTTATTGGACTAGATGAACGAGTTAAAACATTACAGTCGACTATAAGAGAGTTCCACTCGATATTGTTAAAAATTGATGGAAAAAGCTTAAAGTTGAACGAATTAGAACTGGCCCAATTGCACCAACTAGAGTTGGAACTTGAAAAACGGAAGTTGGAGCTTTCCATGATCATGAGAGGATTGAAGCTAAGAAACGTCAAGAGTTCTAACAAGAGGGCTTCCAGAGCCTGGTTGATTTCAATTGACCAAATCATCTGGCATTTCTTAGACTCAAAGAATGCTCCTTTGATCGACTTGGCCCTTGCCAAAAGTTCTTTCAGTCGTTTAGATTCAGTTGACGGATCTAATAAGAATAAAGTTCAAGTGGGGATTATTCAAGGGTTTAATTTACAAGAAAGTGCTGTGTATCCTGAGTTATTATCGCCAATTAATAGCGGAAAATATCAGGATTCTGCCAATCCGCTTATCTTGATGACATGGAAAATGTTGAACCCTGTTGGAGGTATTCCCATAATGCAACAGGCCAAATTGAGTATTCAACCATTGAAGATTCAGTTAGACTATACTACTGCCAAACTTCTATTTGAGTATGTCTTCCCCAAATCCGACAGTCCAACTTCAAATAACACCCCTAGACCACGAAACCTGATTGTTAGACGACAGACTAGCAGTGATCTCAGTTCTTTTGATATGTCGATGGATAAGATTGAACGGCCAAAGAATATATTCAGGCACTTCAATAAGAAAGGCTCTCCAAGTCTGAGTACCGAAGATGATTCCTCTTCGATTAGTTCCCGCAGTCACTCGATTTCTACTCGATTCTCGTCTACAGAAGATTTGAGTTTGACAAACAACACGGATAATAAACCCACCACCAAGGAACCAGGCAAGAAGAAAGACGCTGAAGAAGGCGACGACATCTCCTTGATTGTATCAAGATCTTCGAAATTTATCTCTATTGTCGATCTTGAAGTTGAACAGTTCAAACTTCACATCAGTTTCAAAGCACCAAAGCACCTCAACATTATAGATGTGCACAACTTGATGTTGAATATACCCAACATTCGATATCAAAACAAAACCTGGTCGGGTGAAGACTTCATTCTCCGACTCAGAAAGGATATCACTAGAATCATCTTACAACATACGGGTCAAATCATAGGAAACAAGTTTAAGATCAGAAAGAGGAAGCTTCTCAAAGAACCCTTGAAGCAAATATCCAACTATGCTTCATTCTTATCGGTCCAAGATTTGCAGAATAATGGAAACAACGCGGGTGATCGGCAAACCTCCACTCGTAACCCGCATATTCATCACCACCGTCACCATTTGGCAGACCATTCTCAGGGTGAAGATAGTATGTCGCTGCAAGGGTCCACCTCACACCATGATGGAGGAATCTCATTCGAGAACCTTTTGCAAGAGATTATAGACGAAGAAGAAGAAGGCGAAGACGATGATACTACCAGTGACAGGAACGTCTCAACTAATTAATTTCACCATCAACTTTGGTAAACTGGATTTACCAAATCATGTAATATTTATACGAGAACATAATTTGCAATTCACGGAACAAAATTAGTCGCGCATTTGTGTCAGAAACAAATAAGAAGGGACCAGCACTATATAAACGTCAATTGTGCATCCATGTCGTTCTTTGAAAACCTTCGTAGCAAGGCAGTAAATACCTTCAACCAGGTATTGGACAAAAACAAGGGAGAGAAGCTTTCCCGAGATGAGAAGTTTTGTATAGACAATCATTTGCCAGATGGAGAGGTGATATTGGCGGAGTTAGCGGTAGAATTGAGAATCAGTTCTGAATACAGCCTTATTGAGTACAACTCGGTGCCACAGGGAAGAGTATATTTGACGAATCACTATATTGTTTTCTGGGATGCTTACGACAGAAGAAATTGTTCATTTGTGTTGAATCTTTCTGCGGTTAAGAAAGTTGAGAGAGTACCAACAAACTCCTACGGGTTTGCTTTGAACTTGACGACTCACAGCAAGCTCAACATTGTTCTATACTTGATTGGATTACGATCGGAAAGCGAGAAGTTTGCTCATTCTTTGAAAATGACATTGAAGCTGAATCTCCCAAACATCAAGAAACTTCAACCGTTTATGCAGACCTGCTATTCGGAGTACATTTTAGCCAAAAACAAGATATCTGATGAAAATATTGAAGTGGTTCCGCCCGGAGGTTTGGGGTTGATATATAAGTTTCCAGGAAATCCCAAAGAGTTACGAGACAAGTCCAAAATGAAGTTATGGTTTGACCTTTTCCGTGCTGATGGGAGAAACTTGTCTTTGATAAGAACCAACATGTTTCATAAACTCATAAGAGTGGGGTTGCCAAACCGATTGAGAGGCGAAATATGGGAGTTGAGTTGTGGGTCCATGTACTTGCGTTTGGACAATCCGGATGAATACGAACGAATACTAGAAGAGAATAAAGACAAACGTTCCATTGCCATTGAAGAAATAGAGAAGGACTTAAATAGGTCTTTGCCTGAATATTCTGCATATCAGAACCCTGATGGTATTGAGAGACTTCGGAAGGTATTGACTGCTTACTCGTGGAAAAATCCTCAAGTTGGATACTGTCAGGCCATGAACATTGTCACTGCTGCTCTATTGATATTCATGTCTGAGGAACAGGCGTTTTGGTGCTTGAATGTTTTATGTGAGAGAATAGTTCCAGGATATTACTCTAAAACCATGTACGGTACACTCTTAGATCAAAGGGTGTTTGAGTCCTTGGTAGAAGACACAATGCCGTTGTTGTGGCAACATATTGCCAAACACGACATACAACTATCAGTAGTGTCACTTCCCTGGTTTCTCTCCCTTTACTTGAATTCTTTGCCTTTAGTGTATGCATTCAGAATCTTGGACATATTCTTTCAGCACGGTCCCAAAACTTTGTTCCAAGTGGCTTTAGCCATTTTAAAGATAAACGGAGAAGAGCTTTTGCAATTAGAAGATGACGGGATGTTTATTCAAGTTATCAAGAATTACTTTTTGTCGTTAGATCAATCAGCTCATCCAGACTCTCCCAATGTCAAGTATAGATCCATCACCAAATTCCAGGAATTACTTGTAACTGCATTCAAAGAATTTTCTGTCATTGAAGACTCAGTTATCGAAAAGCATCGCAATAAGCATAGAGATTCGATTTTTCTGAATATTTCCACGTTTGTCAAGAGAACAGAATTAAGGAATTTACCAAGAACTCCTAACTTGAACCAACTAACTTTGGGGGTTGTCTATGACAGATTCTATTCCATTGTGGAAACCTACAATGTCACGTTAGGAAGTGGGAAAAACACTATGGACTTTGAAGCTTTTTATAGGTTCATGTCGGAAATATGTGATTTTATGAATAATGAAACAACAGAGGACACCAGAAAGATTGTTAGAGACTTCATTCACAGGCTTTTCAGTCACTGGGGAACCTCAAGCACATCCATCAGTTTACCTGAATTAGCTACTGGTTTAGATAAGCTTGCTGAACCCGATCTTATGAATGCAATGTCCAATTTTTATGAACTATACACTGATTCAAGCAAGGATAGAATTGACCGAGAAGGAATCTTGAAGATGTCAGAAGATCTTTTGGCAATCACAGCTTGCTGGAAGGACTGTTTCGTATTGGACGAAATCACTCAAAAGGAAATTGAAAATGCTATTGCCGATGTAGTTTACAAGCAGCAAAAGCAGCAGAATGAGAAGCAATTTGAATCTGAAAAGGGTGAGCTCAAGTTGCCTACTGAAGTGGATATTGATAAGTCCATCATCGAGAGTAAGCAAACAGAGCGGTATTTGTCGGCTGCCAGTACCTTTATTCAAAGAGCTTTTGAATATGCTCAACCTAATGAGGAGGAAGTGTTGATTGAAGATTTAAAAATCGAAGACAATAAAATCACCCATAATGCTGCATTGAACCCGAACGCTCCTGTATTCCTCAATCTTCCAACATTTAGAATGGTGGTTTTGGCGGATGAGACATATGAGCTTTTCTTTAGCAAAACTTTACAGAATTCCGTCCACGCTGACAAACCTCTTGATTCCAAATTTGACACCATGCGAAACTTACGAGATATGTTTGATGGGTTGTTAGCTGATGGTAGAGAAGTTGCTACTAAGGTCCGTCGTCGTATGGACTCAGCCGCTTCCAATGCTCTATTGGCTAACTCTGACGGAGCATCGATGAAATCAGGCAAATCGACCAGAATCCAGGAAGTTGATGAAGAGGAACGTGATGATGATTTTAACACCATTGCTCTCAATGACGGAGACAAGGATGTGCTTTTGGGAGCTGAGGTGGGCGAGTTAAAAGTCACCAGTAATTCCACAAGACCCACAACACAGGTTGAACAACAAAAGGCACACGAGAGTGAACATGAACATGAGAGTGAAAACTTGATTGAGTTTCAAACATAAATAACGAAATGCAAATTTATATACAAACACATATATTCTAAGATCTACCGAACAATTTTCTTAATCTTCCTCCAACCTTCTTCTTTTCTTTTCCTCTTTTATCGCCGGATCCATGATCTGGAACTTTCGACTTGGGTGGTTCCCTCAACGTCATGATCTGTGGCTGCCGACTAGTTTTGATTTGGGGCTGTGAATGCGGCACTGTATGTGAGTACTTTTCTTGTTCCGAGTTGATGTATCTGGTAGAGAAGACCCCCGGACTTTCTGGTGATAATACCCCATTGTGGCTGATTTCATCATCCGAGTCGACAAACCGAGAACTTCTGGGTTTGGTGGGAGTTATAGGTTCTCCTTGACCTTGGAATTGCGGAGGTTTAAGCTGATTGGTCTGCCTAGGTTGATGTTGCTGATAATCAGGCGGAGGAGACTGGTGAAGGTGGTCCCTCAAACTTGTTCTCATTGCTGAGTCACCAGGCGACGCATGCTCATTGCTGAACGAAGTCTTTCTAGGAGCATTGAAAGTCGAGTGTGGTCTGCTGTTTGCTTTGGCATACAATTCAGCAGCCTTGACCTGCGACAGAGATTGGTAGTTAGGGTTCAAGGCCGGGTGTGGAGCAATGGGCTGAACATACACCGAGGACCTATCACGCAAGGATCTGTGGCTCATACGAGCTCCTGGAGAAGCGTTTTCGTTGGCTTGTCTTGAAGGGTCAATCTGCATAGACTGGGGTCTCAAAGACTTCACCATTCCAGGAGACGAACCGGGTCCACCTTGGGCTTGTGGTGGGGGTTTTCTTAAAGACGTAGACATTCTTTTGTTGAGGGGAGTTGCGGACGCAGTGTCGGTGGGATAATGGTGACTTTGGGAGTAGACGGGGTTAATGTCGTTCAAGGACATCTTGGAGTTCAATCTGGTGTTTTCCGCCGTAGTCAAAGAAAGGTAAGCTTCGTGGGCAGCGTTGCTCTTTCTTCTACTATTGTTGGGAACCGAAAAAGAAGACGAGTTCTTCATAGCAGACTTCATTGGTCTCTTAGAACGGGTAGGAGATTCATCCGACGTGATGGAGGAAGCAGAGCTTCCCCCATTCATTACCACCACCGGAGCCATTAACCCATCGATGGTGGTAGTTGGTTGGTCGTTAATGATCTCAGGAACCGTTTCAAAGGTTGGTTTTGGTTCTTTGTTGAGAACAGGTGTATCGTCTGCATCAAATTCAGCCTCCTCGATACCAAACTCGTCTCCTCCAGTTACGCCTTCATCTGTGAGTTTAGATGTCTTGTCCCCATTAAAATGTCCAAGCTTGGGTGTTTCTTCACTGTCAAACTCTTCAAGTTTAGGTGTCTCTTCACTGTCAAATTGTCCAAGTTTAGGTGTTTCTTCACTGTCAAATTGTCCAAGCTTAGGTGTCTTGTCACTTTCGAGCTCATCCACAAGCACTTTAGAAGGATCAATGGACCCTTCAACAATGGAGTCCTCAGCGTTTTCAGAAACCTCTCTGGTCTCAAACTCATCCACAATGACACTTGACGGATCAATCGAGTGGATCTGGTAGTCCGATTCATCTGTTTCATCAACAATGTCGTTGGTGGAGGTAGGAGAAATGAAGTGGTCGGTGACATTCTCAAGAACTGGCTTCTGGACCACTTCATGCTCATGTTCGTCTACGACGGTGTCGGCAGAAACAATTCCTAACCCATTGACTTCCTTCAGTCTAATGTCACTATCGTACGCCGAGCTCACAGACAGAGTGTCTGTGGGCCTGATCTGTGGATGGATTAAATGCGAGGCGTCGTGGTCTATTTCTTCCTCGAGTTCCCTCAACGCCTGCTGGTCCACCAACCGTCTCTGTTTCAACTGCTCGTATTCCAAACGCTTCTGCTCGAGCTTCTTCTGCAACGCCTTTTCTTCCCGGATTTTCTTCTCCAACAATGCATACTCGCGGCTCTCCTGCTCCGGCGAGGCCTCGGCCTCCTCCTTCATGGCCCCCAACGTGGGAGACTTGATCAAACTCGAAAGCCGGGAAGACGGTTGCCTTCTGGCCACCGACACTCGAGGACTCGTCAATGAGTTGATGGAGCTGGACCGGGGGATGTTTGCACCCGAGCGGATCGAGTTGTTGCGGGAGATCTCCTGCTGGAGCTTGGCTTCAGGCACCTCGATGATTTTGATCCCGTTGGGCGTAGGAATGTACTTCTTGACCATTTTGACTTTAGGGGGATTGGAATGAGCGGCAGCACCAGGGCGGACAGCAGGGGAGTTGGCAGGGATGTGTCGCAACTTGAGGTCACGCACCGTGTCGTGGTTGTTATAGTGTTTTGTGGTCTCGTCTGTAACTTCGTCCATGTATGACTCGGTTATGCTATCGTCAATGTCATACGAGAGTCGAGACGAGTGGACGTCACCCGAGAAGTTTCGGAAGCTGGAAGTCCGTTTGTTGGAGAGCGAAGGTGACCGCTTCAAAAGGGAGTTGGATTTGGTGGTGGGAGGAGGTCTCAATTGCTGGATCGAACCTGACCGCACGATGGTTGAATCATTATTTTTAAGGCTGTGACCAATGGTCAAGGCGGCGGCCAACGCGTTAGAATTGGGTTGGCTGGTGGCAGGGGCCGAATGGTTGACCCCAGTGTATGCCACGTTGTGTACGCTTCGACTTTTACGCCTGAACATAATGTGTGCAAATAACTAGCAACAGTAATTTCAGTATTTCCAGGGATGAAACTGCGCAGTAAAGTGCGCATACATTAAAGTATATACAGAGCTGGCTAAGGCATGAAGTAAATAAGGTGAAAAAAAAAACACATTTATGGGCATCACACTCAGCGGTACGGCCGTGGCCTGGTAAACTGATGTACACCAAGGATCGTTGCCAAGTAGCTGCCAAATTTCTGGCCTTGTAGCACCACTAGCCGCAAATATGGCTTAGAAACGAGAATAAGTCCACTGTAAAGAATACCCTGGAGCAACGGCATGAGGATCTGGTCCTTTATTATGGCATAGGCCACAATGGCCGGCGTGATGGGTGGTAAGGGCTGGTCTATTTGTGATTGTTCGTCAAGATCAAGTTGCTCGTTCAACAAGTCGATTTCAGATTCGGTTCGTAGGGCGAGTTCTGGCACCGCTTGTGGTGGAGTCTTGGCAGACTCGGCTGCATACGTGCGGAGTGATTTCATAAAGGTGTTTTCGAACCGTAAGTCCGGCAATGGCAAGTTGGTGATGGTAGACATGGGTTTTTGCAGGAGCGGTTTTGATGATAATAAATGTTCGCACCACCGTGAAAATTTTATATCGACCGCAACAACATTCATACCATGGACATCGACAAAGATACCGAAAGTGGGCCTGCCATCACCATCCGAAGCAGTGAGCGCGACCATGTGAACTTCGTGTTAAAGAATGTCGACCTTGCCGTGGCCAACTCCGTCCGGAGAACCATGATGGCAGAGGTCCCCACCTTGGCCATAGACTTGGTGGAAATCGACGTTAACACCTCTGTGTTGGCAGATGAGTTTATTGCACACAGATTGGGGCTCATCCCGCTTGTTAGTGATAGCATCGACGAGTTGTCGTACTCCCGGGACTGTACGTGTGACCAGTACTGTAATAAATGTTCTGTGAAGTTGGAGCTTGCCGCCAAATGTGATACCGACAGCACCATGAACATCTACGCCTCGGACTTGGCCAAGTTTCAGAACGGCTCTACGTTGGGCGACCCGGTCATTCGGGATGCACAGGGAAAGGGTTCTTTGATTTGTAAGTTGAGAAAACACCAGGAGTTGAGAATCACTTGTATAGCTAAGAAGGGTATCGCCAAAGAACATGCCAAATGGTCACCATGTTCGGCAGTAGGGTTTGAGTATGATCCTTGGAATAAGTTGAAGCATACTGATTACTGGTACGAAGAAAGCGTTGAAGACGAGTGGCCCAAGTCAGAGAACTGTGAATGGGAAGAAGCTCCTGATCCAGAGGCACCGTTTGACTATAATGCTAGGGCCAACAACTTCTACGTGGATATTGAGACTATTGGTAGCTTGTCACCAAACGATGTGTTTGTGAAGTCGCTTGAGACGTTGCAGTTGAAGTTGGCAGGTATATCGGTGGAGTTGAATAAGGATACGGTGGAAAGCAGTAATGCTGAGTCTGGTGGACTTACTACCTACGGAAGAAATGGAGGTGAGACGCCAGAAATAAACTACGGTGGAAGCTACGGCGGCTCTAGTTGGTCGTAGGACGATATTATTCGGCCTGTTGGTCGTTACGTCTTGAGGCACAATCTGTAATATATCTACAAACTAAAATATACAAGTATCATGAGAGTATGATGTACAGAGCATTTCCAGTCAGTTGTATGAACTACGACGTATTCAGCATTCTAGTCAGGTATGCTTTGTGATCTATGACGTATTTAATATGGTTTCTATTAGAGACATATACTCCTAGTGACTCTCATTCCAGCCAACTAAATCCTCATACTTGACTAATTTCCCGCCAAAAAGATCTAATGCACTGCCATACGTCAAGTCCACCTTATTATCACTCAATTCCAGAACTCGATCAAGGTCTTCCACCAGTTTAGCACCACCAGCATACACTATTTTTCCTTCAAATCCAACCGGGCACCACTCTCCAAGCTTCTTCACCAAGTCCTCATCAATCCCGTTGCATAATCCTTCCACATCAGCGGCATGAATCAAAAATTCGTCGCAGTACTGAGAAACTTGCAATAAGAACAGTTCGCTGAGCACACTGGTGGTTAATGTTTGCCATTTGTTCATGGCCACCACCCATTTGTGCCCGTCATTGTCTGTAACTTTCCGGCAGCTCAAGTCCACAATAAGGCGATGCTTTCCCACCAATTCAGAAATTTGTTTGAGCTTATTCCAATCAAGCTGCTTTCCCTGAAAGAGCCAGCTGGTGACAATGACATGACTAGCCTTATACTCATCCAACCACGTCAACGCGTTGTTGTAGTTGATTCCACCACCCACCTGGAGTTTTTCGGGCCATGTCTGGCAAGCTAGTTTAGCAGCGGCATCGTTTTCAGGGTTGGTTCCAAGCTTTATGACATGGCACCCGAGCAACTGCGATTCTTTATATACATTGGCGTAGAACGAGGAGGGCTTGGTGGAGACGAAATTCTCAGTGGTACTGGAGTCCGTGGTTATCACTGCGTCGTCTTGGGTGAGGGTTCCACCCACGATCTGTTTCACCTGTCCTGAGTGGATATCTATACAGCCTCTGAACTTGGTCATAAATGCGTTGCGCGAAAAATGTCACCGTCTCAAACTACACTTGTGAGATGAGCGAAGAAGAAGAATACATGCGTGCACTTGAAGTGCAGCGACGCAACTTTGAGGCCAGTTTCGGCAGTCTTGAAACCATGGGATTTGAGGATAAATCCAAGGTGAAACCTGCAAATGAGCCGAACGATCTGGAAGATGACGATCTCGAGATCGGAAGCGATGAGCTCAGCGATTTTGACGGTTTTTCAGGAATGCTGGATAGTGAAGGCGCCGAAGATGACGAATCCGATAGCGCAAGTGATCATGGAGAACCACAACATGTATCCAAGCCAAAGGTCGTGAAAATCGGCGATAACTACAGTGATGCTCCAATACTATCCAACAAAGACAAAAAGATGCTTAGACAGGGCAGAGCACCAATGATGGCCGAAATCGAGGAAAAAGAAAGGAAATTGCACAAATTATCTGCCAAACAACAGCAGAATGCGAAAAAGGAAGACGACGACAACTTGGAAAACGATCTAATGCTTCAGAGACTCTTGCAAGAATCGCATATCTTGTCAAAACAAGTGGGGTATTCTGGAGCCGAGTTGACGATGCTGACCCTTGATTACGAGGATCCAACTGGGAGTGCCAGGAAGAAAGCCTTGACATCACGGTTGAGGAATTTATCGGCAATTAACTCTGGTTCTGGTGGACTTCCCAAGAAGCTTGAGAAAATGCCCATGGCCATGCGAAAAGGTATGATAAAAAGCCGGGAAAACAGAATCTCCAAGTACGAAAAGGAGGCCAAAGACGCTGGAATTGTGTTATCAAGAGTCAAGAAAGGAGAGCTTCGAGACTTGGACCTGGGAAGAGGATCTACATTTGCATCTGATCGTTTGGGGACGGGAAAGAAGGAGGTGAATACCGTGAGAGACAGAGGACTAAGGATCAACTCGGTGGGGAGGTCCACACGAAACGGATTGATGATATCTGCTGATGAGATCAGTCGTATTAATAACGCTGGTTCTCGGGGTCGTGGTGGCCCTGGTGGCCGTGGTGGTCGTGGTGGTCGGGGTGGTCGGGGTGGCCGCGGTGGCAGAAGATAACATTTATCAAATGGCTGCGAATTGTTGCATTGTACAATATACGTCAAACATGATTACCCATTTTTTCGGAAAACAAGTAAACTCTCTTGTAAACATCTTGCAGTACACCCCTAAACCCTGTTTGTCTTCCAATAATCACACACCCATGGTCAATTTCGTCGATAGGTATGGGTATATTGGTGGGCACACGCCTCTCTTGCTTCGCACTGCATTGATCAAATCATAAACAAACAAACACAATATATATCCTCATGAGTGAAATCCTACCAAAAAAGAGGGGGCGTGATGGAACCGCCAAGCGGTACCATTCCAACGTCCAAGACCTCGCTAACATGGGGCGTGTGATCTCGGGGCGTGTTGTTTCCAAGTCAAAGCGGGTGTTATCCAATCGAGGAGACTTGTTCGATGAAGATTCCAATAACTCGTTTGCTGAAGATGCCATTAATTTTGATCAAAACAGAAACACCATCATGTCCAACTTCGAAGAGTGGATCAAGTTATCCACCGACAACAAGATCACGACCAAAAACTCCTGGCAATTTGCTTTGATTGATTACTTCCATGACTTGAATGTTATCAAGGACGGAGATGATATCAATTTCCAAAGAGCCTCTGCCACCTTGGACGGGTGTGTGAAGATTTACTCCAGTAGAGTGGAGTCTGTTGCCACCGAAACCGGGAAATTGTTAAGTGGTTTGGCCAATAAAAAGAATCAAGACGACGGTGACGACGGTGTTGAAGACGAAGACAACGATTTGGACCCCACCGCTGATGGCGACACCAGAAGAGCCCGTAAGATCAACCGGGTGTTGGAATCAACGTTGGTTCCGTTTGAGACGATTCGTGTGAAGAAGTTGGACCAGGAGTTGTCCATTGATCCATTGTTCAAAAAGGCTTTGGCCGAGTTTGATGAAGGAGGAGCAAAGAGCTTGTTGCTCAACACTCTAAGCATCGACAAGACCGGACGTGTGATATTTGATGCCACCACCACCGGCGCGAAGGCGGATGAGGACGAATCAGAGTCTTCTGAGAAGTTGGCTATGATTGCCAAATCCATGAACTTTAGTAAAATCGAGTCAATGTTGTTCAAAAACGACAAAACTTTGGACGACTTGGCGATATGTCCCTCAATGGACCAGTTGAAGGTTGTGTTAAACGACATAGACCAAGCTAAATCGATTTTGACTGATGTCAACAACAAGTTTATGGAAAATAGCCAGGTTTTGGATGACAAATCTGTTACCAAGATAGAAGAAGGTGGTGGCTTTGATTTCGGAGACTATAACGACAATAACTTTAATGAAGACAACTTTGGGATTAATGATAACGATAATGATGACTACGATGATGACTACGACAGGCAGAAGCAGCAAATCAAACAAGAAGATGACGAGGAGTATGAACTAGGACCGGGAAACCAGATCCTTGATCAGGACTTGATGGCGTACTTTGACGAAACCATGAAGTCCAATTGGAGAGGTCCTGAGCATTGGAAGGTATCTGCCTACAAAAAATCCAAGAACATTGCAGACCTCAAGCCAGAAGAGTCTAAGCAACTTGCAGAAACCCAAAAGCCCTCACGAACCAAGAAAGACTCGACAATAGTCGACTTCTTTTCCACCGACGAAGTGGATGATGACGATTTGTTTGCACCTCCTAACAGTCTCTCGTACTTGAAGAAAAAGGATAAGGAAGAAGACACAAAACTCCCCCAGGATATCCAGTACAACTCAGCCCGACTTGTCACGTTATTCTTAAAACCCAGCAGCAACATTCTCTACTATCCCAAGGTTCGTAAGGCCTCGAACAGTAACCCAGAATCCCAATTCACGGATGAGAACTACTTTGCCCACCAATACAACCAGCAGGAGCGGATGGCATCATTCCACCAGGCACAACTCGAGGAAATCAACCACGACTACGACGAAGATGATGGCGATGTTTTTGGTGGTATCGATTTCAATGATGTGTTGGAGGAAGGTGAGGGCGATGAAGCCCTTGACAACAAGAACCTCTTGATAGGCGGACGTAAAGCCCGTCCTGAGTACGTCAACTTCTCCAGAATCTCGAAGCGTGTGGATATCAAGTTGCTCAAAGAGAATTTGTGGAAGGGTATACAAATAGAAGCTGCTCCGGCTGAACAGGAACTGGAGGCTAAACCAGACACCAAGAATTTCGGGGAGTTGATTGAGAATATTGGAAAAATGTATAGTCCCGAGGAGAAAAAAGACCTATCGACCAGTTTCTGCTTTATTTGTCTTTTACACTTGGCCAATGAGCATGGATTGTCGGTTCGTGGGAACGAGACCCACGATGATTTAAGTATCACTGGTTTTTAAAGTACATAGCATTTAGCAGCCGTTTGGTTATATACACGACCCCAGGCCCCACTACCTCACCGCTCGCCACGCACAGAATCACGAAAAAATTGTAATCGAGAGGCAGCAAGAAATGAACAGAATTTTAGGAGTGACACGGTTCAATACAGTTCCTGTAACAAGACAGTTGCTCGGGATACGTGCTGTACGGATGCCGGTTCTTCGCAGAATGGCGCGCTGGCCCCTAGCAACAGCGGTGCGCTCAGTATCAAGTTCCACGATCTCGTTGTTACAATCCCAGGAACAAATCGCCAACGCCGATTTGAAAAATACCACCGCCCAGCTTGAGTTCTACAAGTCTCTTCTAGCCCACAACTATCCCCATATTGTGGTGCAACGGTACGAGACTCCCGGGATTGCTAACTCACCCGACTGTACCGGTATCTACGTTGAAGCTTTAAACAAGATGGGGAAGAAAGCTAAAGCCGAACAGGTGATGAAGGCCATGGCTGCCAATAACGCCCTGGGAATGGGCGCATTCCCCAGTGGCTTCGGCTCCAAGTATGAGCCTGTGCACGTAGTGGTCAGTGAGAGCATTTTCACGATCATTTCCAAATGGCTCAAGTGGTTGATTCCGGTGGGAATGTTGACCTATGGTGCCACCAACGCCTTCAACTATTTGGCGGAAAATGGAACCATTTTCAAGAACACTGAGGTTGTTGACAAGTCGGTGGACGTGAGTCAGCTGACAGTGAAGTTCTCGGATGTGTGTGGATGTGATGAAGCCCGTGCGGAGCTCGAAGAGATTGTTGAATTTTTGAAGGACCCATCCAAGTTCACTGGTTTGGGAGGTAAGTTACCCAAAGGGGTATTGTTGACGGGTCCTCCGGGTACTGGTAAGACGCTTTTGGCACGTGCCACTGCTGGTGAGGCCGGAGTGCCGTTTTTCTTCATGTCAGGATCCGAGTTCGACGAGCTATACGTGGGTGTTGGGGCCAAGAGAATCAGAGAGTTGTTCTCACAGGCCCGAGAAAAGTCGCCAGCCATCATCTTCATTGACGAGTTGGATGCCATTGGTGGTAAGAGAAACCCCAAAGACCAGGCATATGCCAAGCAGACATTGAACCAGCTCTTGGTGGAATTGGACGGGTTTTCCCAGACATCAGGAATTATTATCATTGGAGCCACTAATTTCCCCGAGAGCTTGGACAAGGCATTGACAAGACCTGGTCGGTTTGACAAGGAAGTCAATGTTGACTTGCCTGATGTCCGTGGCCGGATCGATATTTTGAAGCATCACATGAAGAACGTCGAAACAGCCGAAAGTGTGGACCCATCCATTCTTGCCAGAGGAACTCCTGGGCTTAGTGGAGCCGAATTAATGAACTTGGTCAACCAGGCAGCTGTGCACGCGTCTCAGTTGTCAGCTCCAGCGGTAGATATGAACCATTTTGAATGGGCTAAGGATAAGATTTTGATGGGGGCTGCGAAACAGAAGATGGTCATCACCGAAGAAAGCCGGAAAAACACCGCCTACCACGAAGCTGGTCATGCGATCATGGCCATGTTCTCCAAGGGTGCAACACCTTTATACAAGGCGACGATTTTACCCCGGGGAAGAGCGTTAGGAATCACCTTCCAGTTACCAGAAATGGACAAGGTGGATATGACCCGTACCGAGTGTTTGGCACGGTTGGACGTATGTATGGGAGGTAAAATTGCCGAAGAAATCGTCAACGGGTACGAGAACGTGACCAGTGGATGCTCTAGTGACTTGAGTAATGCCACCAACGTGGCACGTGCCATGGTATTATCCTACGGAATGAGTAATGTTATTGGGCCCATCAAGTTGAGCGATGACTGGGAAAGTTGGTCGCAGAGCTTGCGTGACTTGGCCGATAAGGAGATCCGTAAGTTTTTGGTGGATAGTGAAGAACGGACTCGGAAGGTGTTGAAAGAGAAAGATGTGGAGCTCAAGAGGCTTGCGGAAGGATTATTGGAGTATGAGACATTAACGAAGGACGAGATGGAGAAGCTTATTCGCAACGAGCCTATCAACAAGACGAAGGTAGTGAGCAACACTGTGATCAAGGCGAACCAGAAATATGAGTTGAAGGATGGGGAGAAGATGTCGTAGCAGGCATCAGTAGTACCAGCCGGTTGATATAATCAATGTGTAAATAATATATAAACAAATTAATTTTGGGATGTAGAACCATAATTTTATACGTTCTTCATATTCTGCATCTCCATCAGGTAATCTCACAGATAAGCGCATTGGGGAGTGCGCGCGTGTCCTTACCGACAGTGCTCTCCATACCCGCGTCGACAAACCGCTGCCACCACGTGGGACCTAATTAACTGAATACGAGGTATTTCCCAAAGGAGTCACAGTGGCTGGTCGACGTCAATAAGATCACAAGACTGGAGGTATTAGCTCCTCGGTTTTGGCCGCCTAATTTTTCACGGGGTAGGCTGTAACACCATTTGATTAGGGGGTGCTTGGCAAGGCTGGCCCACAAAAACTGGCAGGTGCTAACGTCCCAAGACGCACGTAGGGCAGGGGAGACCGGCGCTCGCAACCGCTACCCCGGGTATTTTCGCAGAGATCTTGGGCGAAAGACTTCGACCCTGGCGGTAGTTTAGGGGCGTGCTCGCCCTATGCACCACCCGCAGTGTGCTGGAATATTGAAAGTGAGTGTAGATTGGCCAATTTTAAGACTGAAAGTCCAGGTACTTGCCATTATGGCATACTAGAGCCATTTTGGCTAAGCCGACACTATTGTATCTTCTCCCCCCAAAATCGCCGATATCTCGCGTATATTCCTTCCCAACTCTGCCGTGCTTTCAAATTAGAAAAAAAATATCCCAATTGCAGTATTAAATTTTGTGCCAGTGCGAATCATTTAAATACAATCCCAGTGCCAAAAAAACCAATACCTATAACCTACTTTTTATTCCTACCGATTTCAATCGCCTGAGGTTTCAAATAAAACTCAGCGCTTCCGCATGATGGATCAGACTAACTGGGAATCCTTCACGCCCGTCAAGTCCGACTACTTTGAATTGAATGATCAGCTAATCGACATCAAGGCTGAAACCGAAAACGACCAGTTTCTCCTCCAACAACTCGACCACAACCTCTACGATGGCGTGACCGATGGCGACGGTGATGGTAAGCATGCGCCCAAGAATGACGCCTTGACCAAGTTGAACGACTTTTCCTTGGATAATTACAACTTTGAAGACCTCAATCACGACATGAGCGAGTTGGGGTACCGCCATGGCGATGCCCCAACAGGTGGTGATATCGCCGGCGCTGGCGCTGGTGCGCCCCTGACGTACCGTCATAACTCGTCGCTGGCGTTCCCGCCCACGGGATCAGTGCAGAACACCCCCAGCATGCTCCCTCACAAACACCAACAGCTTGTGAACCACAACCAAGTAGTAAGCTCACCCATATTACCGAGCCAAAACGACAAGTCATTCAACAACCAGCACTATTATCATAAGCTCAGCCGCAACAAGCTGAAGGAGGCGTTGGAATCCATGCCACAGCTGCAACATATCCGACCCGACGTGATATTCACGCCGTTGATGTCCCCCCACCATACGCCCGCCGACTCGCGCGGGAAGTTCGCGGTACAGGCGAGCTTCGAGCCGTTAACGTCGCCGGCGTTGGCAGCACAGACCCACGGCCCGTCAGACGCCGTGTCCAAGCGGCGGTCTTCGTCGCTGGTGTTCTCCACCGTGAACGAGAACAAGCCCGTGTCGTTCAAGCGTCGCACGCCCCATGGCACGCCGATACTCCCTAGCAACGGGTCCAGCAGTGGTGTGGATGGTGGGACCCATTTCGAGGGACTCCCCGATGCGTCTATGAGTGTGAGTAGTTCGTCTACGCCGATGCTCCCGCCCCAGAGCTATAAGAAAATCGATCCTGAGTCGTCCACCACGTCGCCGCAGATGATGGGCTTCACGATGGGGAAGTTGGCTAAACAAAAACTGCAGCCACCGCCGCCTGTCGACAGTCCTCCCACGAGCTCGCGCAAACTGTCGTACGACTCGTCGCGGTCCAACGACACGTCGCCCAGTCTCGCGCCCATGGGAAAGGAAAAGCCGTCGACGAAGAAGGCGTCGCATAAACTAGCGGAGCAGGGCAGAAGAAATAGAATGAATGTGGCGGTGCAGTCGCTTGGGCTTCTTGTGCCGCAGAAGTACCACGAGCGGGTAGCAATTCCATCAAAGGCCACAACGGTGGAGTTGGCTTCGAGTTATATCAAGGATTTGGTGAGGGAGGTTGAGGAGTTGAAGAAGAGGAGTTAGGTAAAGGGAGATAAGAGGAAGACGATCTAAGACGAACCAAACCCTGAAAAACTTAACTGAAGAAGCATCGTCCAACACAAGAGAATAAAATTTACTTGTCCTCAGATCAGAGCGTAACTCAACACCCATAGCCCCCCAGTGGTACTGCCCATAATAGAAGGAATTGTGCTTATGTAACCACCTGACTCAATGAACGCTCTTTCCTCTTCTAATCCCGTGCACTTGCTCTTACTAATGGTAGCTGCAGGCGTACGGAGAACGCGCGGAAATCGACGGAGACGTCAACTTCTAAGCATGTGCAGGACGTGCGGCTCATGTCTGTTTCTCCGTCTCCGTGTATGCTTTCCTGAGAATTATAAATACCTTCGGTTCCCCAGCGCTTTACATACTTTAACTACGTATTTTAACATACAATGTCCGATTTAGAAGAGAACGTTCCAGTTATCAAGAAATTCGTGGAAAATGATGCTGGAGATGGAACCAGAAGAGAAGATCAGTACCTTACTGGAAGAAAGCTTGTGATAGCTCTACTTTCGGTGTTACTGTGTATGTTTTTGGTGGGTTTGGACCAAACCATTGTCACCACCATTTTGACACAAGTGGGAAACAAGTTCGACGCGTTTAGCAAAATCGGGTGGTTGGTTTCGGGGTTCATGGTGCCAATTGCAGTTTTTGCAGCCAATTGGGGTCAAGCGTCGATTATATTTGGTAGAAAGTATACCATGTTAGTAGGAATCGTATTGTTTGAAGCCGGTTCCTTGTTGTGTGCCTTGGCCACCGGCATGAACATGTTGATTGGAGGCCGGGTGTTGGCGGGATTTGGTGCTGGATGCATCCAGACGTTGGTGTTCATTGTATCATCTGAAATGACCCCCATCAACTTGAGACCTTTTGTGTTTGCCAGCTTTGGCTTGGTCATGGCCGTGTCGTTGGTGCTGGGTCCCATCATTGGCGGTGCCTTTGCCAGCCTGGTATCATGGAGATGGTGCTTCTATGTCAATTTACCTATTGGAGGCCTTGCTGGTCTCATGTTCTCCTTGACTTTCAACCCTCCCCCACCTAAAATTGAGCTCAGAAGCAAGTTCAAATTGATTGATTATACTGGCACCTTGTTGATTGCCGCAGGAGTGGTATTGTTTTTGGTAGGAGTGACGTTTACTTCGACAGGGCAGTACCCCTGGGACTCGGCGGCGGTGATTCTGATGGTGGTCTTAGGCAGCTTGTTTTTCATTTCCTTCTTTGTGTGGTCGTTCAAGTTCTCCCACCACCCACTCATTCCTTTTGATTTGGTCAAGGTCTTGCCACTTACGGCGGCTGGGTTCTGTATGTTTTTCATGTTCATGACCTTCATGGGCCTGCTTTTGTATCAATCAGTGTACTACCAGAACATCAAGGGACGCGACGCTTTACACTCAGGTTTGAGCACATTGACAATTGTGATCCCCATGATTATGGGGTCTGTTGGTGGAGGCATCGCTATTGGTAGAACCAGACACATCAAACCCTTCCTAGTGTCTGCCAGTGCAATAGTCTTGGTGGGTTCCGGTCTCCTCACTTTGGTTGAAGTGGATTCTTCTTTGGGTCAGTTAATCGGGTACAACATTCCCTTTAGTATGGGATGTGGTTTGTTATTGCAAGGTTGTCTTTCATCTTCGCAGGTGGTGGCCCCAAAAATTGATGGGGGTATTATCATGGCTTCATCTTTCATGTTGTTCATGAGAAGTATTGGTGCTGCACTTGCGTCGATTCTTTGTGATATCATCTACCACTCTTCGTTCAACACCAAGTTGCAACCAGCATTGAATGCTCTTACCGACAAATCTCTTATAGACGAGCTTTCTGCCTTTGACTTTGCCTCACTTTCCTCCAACACTGGTTCATTGGCAACCTTGTCTCCCAAAGCCCTTCTTGTGGTCAGGAAAGTTATGATGAACTCCATCAGAAATGTGTATTACTTTGTTTGTGGTACAGCTGCTTTGGCACTTATTTTTGGTGTATTTACTAGTAACCGTCGAGTTCCTTCTAAGGATGAAGTTGTCACCAAGAAAGAAAGAGACGCACAAGATAGAGCTGCCCTTGAACTAGCCAACAAAAGTGACAATGCTTTGGAAGCAAGTGACTTGTCTTCTAGGATTTCTACTACAGAGAGAGATTCAGGGTCTGTCACCACAACCAAAGAACTTAATACAGAAAAGGCTTAGTCAGACATTAGCCATTGTAAATATGAATACCTACCACATAAGGGTGATAGTGGATACTATATATATATTAACTTCATAACTCACCAATAATATGAACTAATTCTTGGAGTATCAGTAGAACAATTAGGTAATCAGTTACAAAAAAAAAACAAATGGACGAGACAGGAATCGAACCAGTGACCTTCCGCATGCGAAGCAGACGCGCTACCAACTACGCCACACGCCCAAATTTTCAATGGATTATATACTTTCCCACCCACCCCGAATACATCAGAACCAACTCCTTCTAATAGCTATTGAAAGGGATAGGACACTCGATTATCCCGTGTCTGAAACAATACAAACCTATCAAACTAATTTCAATTTCTATTTTAGTCAGCTGCAGTGCTTCTTTTCTCCTCCCTTTCCTCGCTCGCTTGCGCGGTTGACTCACTTGACACATTGAGTCACTAAGCTATAAACACAAATCTTCAATTATCTCACAGCAGTAAGCTTCTATAAATGAACCACGAAGAAGCAAACTTCGAGACCATGCGAGTCCGTCAGCAGGCCCCTGGAACGGGCTCTGAAATCGATACTCAGGCCCTTGGAACCACTGCTGCGACACCTGACAAAGATGAGATAAAGTACCCCGACGGCGGCCGTAACGCCTACTTGGCCGTTATCGGCTCATTCTTTGGTTCTGTCACATGCTTGGGGTTAGTCAATGCCATTGGTTCAGTTCAAGCGTACGTTTCGTCCCACCAGTTGTCTGGAATGACGACCTTTTCAATCTCATGGATCTTCTCTATATACTTGTCATTATCATACGCCTTGGGGTTAGCAATTGGTCCTATTTTTGACCATCACGGTAGTCAGGCCATATTAGTGTTTACTACAGTGTTTGTGTTTGCCGGTTTGATGGGAGCTGCTAGTTCCACCCAGATGTACCAATTTGTGTTGAGTTTCGTGAGTTTAGGGATTGGCAATGGTGCTGGGATGACCCCAGTGGTGGGAGTTATAAATCACTGGTTTCTACGCAAAAGAGGGCTTATGACTGGTGTTGTAACCTGTGGTGGTTCTGTGGGAGGATTGACTTTCCCGTTGCTATTGCGATTTGCATACGACAAATATGGCTACGAATGGGCCATGCGCATTCTTGCCTTCATAAACCTTGGATGCATGTTGGTGAGTGTGATCTTATGTAAAGAACGAATTATTCGACCTCCAACCTCAAAATTTGGTAAACGGATTAATGTAGAACAAATGTTGCAAAAAGTGGTTGCGGTTTTAAAGAGAAACAACGACAAAACCTTTTGGTTGACGATGATGGCATCGTTTTTTGCAGAGTTGAGCTTGGTTTTGGTGGTAACGTACTTTGTCACGTATGCTATGGCCCAGGGGGTGCCAGAGTCGACTGCTTATTTGCTTCTGACTATTTGGGCTGCAGCCAGTATTCCGGGCAGAATCTTACCTGGATTTGCGTCTGATTACTTGGGCAAGTTCAATGTGCATATATTCATGCTTTCGGGACTAAATGTGTGTTTCTTTGGTATTTGGTACGCTTTTGGTCATAAATTGTCGGTCCTCTACGTGTTTGCGTGTGTAGCTGGTTTTTTTCAGGGACTGACATCAGGAATGATCCCCGCGTGTTTGGCCCAGATTACCAGAGTATCTGAGTTTGGAGAACGGTTTGGAATCCTTAACTTTTGCTTGAGTTTTGGTAACTTGTTGGGGGTCCCAATTGGTGCGGCCATTATTCGCCGGGGGTCGGTGGAAGAGTACGACAACTTTGTGCTTTTGGTGGGAGGTTTGGGCGTTGCCAGTGTGGTGTTATATGTGCTCGCCAGATACACGTTGGTGGGTGTTCGGATGAACGTGAAGATTTAGGTGACCTAGTCAAACCTGTGATATTATAGGAATTCTACCAACCTTCAAGACAACACGTTTAAACAATAAACGTGGATTATGAATAGATTTTAAGCTTTTTAGTAGATATAGTAATTCTAGGATTCGCAATTTTTGCAACCAAAGATAAACCCTCATAACGGAAACAGTTGATAATCTCTAAAACCCAAAAATGCACTTTCAACCAAAGACACAATACACACACCTTTTATCTACTGACTGCAACGCACTCATGATCCCATAATATACTCCATACTTTCCCGGTAACAGTAGTACCCCTAAAGTTGCCCTTATCGCGAAATCGTCTTCCACGACCCACAGGCCAGAGCCGTAGGCTGTAGGGCTTCATATATAAACCCGAGATCTCTCACTATTTTCCCCTACCATGAAGCTCTCACTCACTTTAGCGGCCTTCAGCTTGGCTGGCTATGTGCTTTCATTGGCAGTCCCACAGACTCCGTTCCAATTGAACACAAACCCATTCATTCAGTCAATTGAAGACCAATTGAGACTCAACAAATTAGACCCCAAAATACACCAATTCTGGCAACATACTTTGGCAACCGATCGGGAACAGGTGTCACGGATCTCCCAGGGAGTTCCCGGCAAGGAGTTCAACCCCCAGCAGTTTGAAAACACAGTTGTTCACGAGAAAGTCGCTTCTCACGTCCTTCGCTACAAACTGGTCCCTAAACACTTGGGAGTTGACACGGTAGACCAGTACACCGGGTACGCCGATATCATGGAGGAAGACAAACACTTATTTTTCTGGATGTTTGAAAGCAGAAACGATCCGACCACAGACCCAGTTGTGTTGTGGCTCAATGGTGGACCTGGTAGCTCTTCGATGATGGGATTATTCTTCGAATTGGGACCTTCGTCTGTAAGCCCCGAGTTGAAAGTCGTTAGAAACGACTACTCCTGGAACAACAATGCCACCATGATCTTCTTGGATTCGCCTGTGAACGCTGGATTTTCCTACTCGTCTCACGATGTCAACACTACCGTTAGCACCAGTGAAGACGTTATTACCTTTTTAGAACTTTTTTTCAAAGGATTCCCCCAGTTTACCAAGGTACCTTTCCACATTTCCGGTGAGTCCTATGGGGGCCACTATGTCCCGAAGTTGGCCAAGGATATTCTCAACAAAAAAGATAAAAACTTTGAGTTGCAGTCGATTCTAGTTGGAAACGGCTTAACAGATATGTTGGTCCAGTACGAGTACTACCAGCCAATGGCTTGTGGTGAGGGTGGTTACCCAGCTGTATTGGATGAGGAAACATGTGCTACTATGAAGGCCAATATTCCTGAATGTATTGCCCTTATTGCCAAATGTTACGATAGCGAAACTGCTGCCGACTGTTATGCTGCAACCGAACTTTGTAACGAGCAGCAAATACAGCCTTGTGCTGAAGCAGGAACCAACATGTACGACGTTACACTCGAATGCAAAGGTGAGAACGCCTGTTATACTGAAATTGGAGATATGGAACGGTATCTCAACTCTACTGCCGTCAAAGATGCAATTGGTGCTGAAATCAAATCTTACCACAGTTCAAACCCATATATTAACAAGCACTTCCGGATGATGGGTGACTGGATGCAACCGTACTTCAGAGATGCCATTCATGATGTTTTGGAACAGGGCTTACCGGTGTTGTTGTATGCTGGAGACAAAGACTTTATTTGCAACTGGATGGGTGTTGAGGCATGGGCTGATCGGTTACAGTGGTCTGGAGCTGAAGGTTATAGTACTTCGTCTGTTGAGAAGTGGTACAATGGAGATATTCATGCTGGAAATGTGAAGAACTATGAGAACTTGACGTTCTTGAGGGTGTTCGGAGCAGGTCATATGGTTCCTCATGACCAACCACAAAACTCATTGGAGTTTTTCAACCGGTGGTTAGCAGGCGACTACGCCTTAAATAAGTAGGCTTTTTACTTTTTGTGATATATATGCAGAGAATCGTTTAGGATAAAGTTTTATGCCATAAATAAAATAGTGAAATGCTTAATGCCAATGAGTATATAATGCTAGTCAGGCCATGTTCAATCCTCCTCCGGCCACCAGTTCGGCTTGATGATCTTGATACCCACGAACTTGGGACTGAGGTCCGGAATCTCCACCTTGAAGTACTTCTTATGGGCATCGGTCAAGTTGATGAGCACAAATCCAAGATTATCCTTTACCGACAACAACTTTCCAACCTTCAGGCGACGAGGTTTGGCAGCTCCTCCAAATGGAGACTCACCAAAAGGACTGGGCAGAAGCTGGTTGACGGGCTGGGGTTCGTCGTCCAACGGAGTGATTTCAAGTTTGTCGAGATTCGAAACGTTCATTTTGCTCAAATGCTCAATTACCTCGTCGTTCTCGTTCAACTGCAACTCGTCGTTATCACATTTCTCGAAGTTGCTTTCATTGATTTCAAAGAACTGGACTGGCACAATTCGTTTCCGGATCACCCCCCCGTTATAAGTTCTGATGGTCAATTCCTGTCCCACATAACAGCCTTTGTCGAGAGACAAGCCATTGATGTAGTCCAAGTTCATGTCAAACGGTAACAAACTGAAGTTGGACGGCGAGTCACCCGACTCATAGAGCCCATTCAAGAAGCGTCGCTTGGCGATAGTGTCTTCATCCACCTCCAGTACCTTGAAGGAAGATTTAAATTCATCGCTGAAAAAGTCCGAAGAGATGGGCTCTTTAGTGAGGAACTTGAGACCAAAGTTGGGGATTCGATTGTCAATGGCAAACCCCAAAAGGTTGTCGCTGGCGTCCTTGTTTACCACTACTCCATGGTTTATGAACTTCGTGGCACTGGCAATGGCATCTTTGGGGGTATAGGTATTTAGGTACTTCACCTGGATATGATCTAAAAACTCGTCGAATTCGACAGAATCGTTGTAGTAATAGTATGAATGATAAGGGGCCTTCTTGATCTGGATGTCGGACATGAGTTTATGCATCTGAATCATCATCCCCAATTTGCCCATGATCTTCAGATCCACTTCTACCAAGTACGACGGAACATTGTCATTGAGGTGGTGGAAGCTTTTGGGATAAAGAAACGAGTCGGAAATGACGCGGCCCTTGGAGTTTAAGAACATCGAGCTCACCCCATCACGGCGGATGAGAATCTCGTTGTCGGGGTCGTAGATGTCTTCGTGCATTATTCCCCAGTTTTCGTGTAAGTTGATGAGCTTACCCAAATTAACATGTTTGAATTCCACATCACTGATGGTGTACTGATTCTTCTTGACGATGTTGGGCAAGAACCGCGTGGTTACCAACCCATTGAGAAACTTGGCAGCATCAGGGCCGGCAATTTCTAGCACGCCTTTACTGAGTTTTGCAAGTCCCGAGACAGGAATCATGATTAGAAATGTTTTTTAGTGCTGCGAAATAATTTGTTGAAAGTTGTGTTCGATTTGCTGCGAAAAATACTTACTTAGAGATGTTTAGTGGTCTACCTATTTTGTGTTTGGGGTTGCCTTTTTCTATTTGCGGATCTTTGACAGTAGGTGACTCGGGGGACTTAAAGCGAGGTAAGTCGTCAGCACTTTTGTTGAGTTTTTCCCGGATCCGCTCGTTCAAATCGTGTTTCTCTTTGAGATCAAGGTTCTTCGCCAACACCGACAAGTTGTGCTGGGAAGGATTTCTGGACGACAAACTGGAAAGATTGGAAGGACTATTGAGAAAGCTCTGTGAGCGGTTGAGTTCAATGTTTCTAGAGTCTAACTCGCCGAAGTCAAAGTATCCATACCCTCCAAGGTAGTCGAACTCGGCACTATTGTTGGAATTGGACGATTCATAGTCCAACTCGTCATCGGTATCGGGAGCAGCCTGATGCTTGAGTGACATATCCAACGGAATGGTGAACAGATCGACGGATATCTCAATGGGGTGTTTGGTGGAAGGAGAATCAAAGTTCAAGTTCTTCAACTCCTGCTCCACCCGGAGCTTTTGCAACTCATGGATCCTATAGTCATTATCCTTGTTGATTTCTACCAAGAAGTCGGACCGTGACACCACCATTGCCTTGACTTCGTTGATGATCTTGACAAGGGTGCTCAAGAACCGCTCATTTTGCCTGAATTTGGAGCACAACGTCAAGAGAACCTTATCCTTGTGGATCACGTACCCAATGCCAAAGCCCTGGTCTGTGGGCGGAGGAATCCCAAAAAGGTACAACGCTGGGTTTCCGCAATTAGATATCAACAATTCGGGAGACAAGATTCTATTCAAGATGGGATTCGACAAAAGTGGCACGTACTGCAGTCTTAAGACGTCGAATTCGGGAAGCTTTTCGACCCCAGCCTGAGCGTTGAGGGTGTTTAAGAACTCGGATGCTTTGGGAGACTTGATCACGTGAAGCAACGACGTCAAATGTCGTTCAAAGCCCTTTCCCTGCATGGCGTCGGTGTACTGCTTCAAGTGGATTTTGCAGCACCGCTCGAAAAGCAGCCATTTTTCTGCTCTGGATGAGTTGGTGATGAACAACTTGACCAAGTTAGCAATCTCATCATTTTGCACCGCGATCATCTCCGTCCGCAGGTCCTTGAATTTGCGGGTTGTGATGGGCTCAAGGGTGTTGGAAACCTTACCATACAACGAGTAGTTTGCAATCTGAATACACACTTGCAAGAACGAGTCGGTGGAAACACCATAGCTGTTCAACAACTCAGTGTTGAGCTTAATCTTAATGGAGGTATAACTGTGCTGGTTGATCAAGTCTGCAAGTCTGGTTTCAGACAAGTGGATCAAGTTCGAAAGCTCAGGGGTCTTTTTGAACACCAACCGTTGGAATGAAGGTTTAGGTAACTTGTTGGACACAAACCGCACATCACCAAACAAACTGTACTCAATGGCATTGATATTTTTGGCCAACTTCAAAATGGAATCGGTGTAGATGTCGCTGATGAAGCGCAAGATGGCGGTGGAGTCCAGCGACGTACACTCCCACACGACCCCAGCCACCGAGTTTTTGGTGACAATGAGCTGCAACTTGTCGTACCACCGCGAGGTACAAGAGCCCCCCTGGGCGTTGTTGGACGATAACACCGACGTACCGTGGCTGATTACCATGGTTTTGTCCTGGTCGGTGGTAGGACTGTTGGGGTCCAACACCACCACGAAAAGAGCCTTGTCAATCAAGTCCAAGCTCAGGGCATTGGACCTCATGAGCTCAGCGCGGCCCCATTTCCAGTGCGAGTAGTTCTGGGTGGTCAAGGCCCCGATGGCATTGTTGATGGACTCCACCACGTCGAAGCGGGTCAGCTCGTCGAGGATTTGTTGGAAAATCAACAGGAGGTCGTAGTCGTTGAAGAAAATTTCCTGGTGCTCGCTCAATACCGGCAAGTAGTAGAATTGGTTGCACGACACCACCACGATGTGGTTGGAGTGGACAGGGTCTCGCAGAGTTTTGATGGAGATCTGGTGGTACGCATGGGGCGACTCGGCCATGTCGGGCACACGGGTGGACCCAAACAAGTTTCGGTAGCAGTTCATGGTAAGAGGGTTTTTGTTTCGGGGAGTAAGGTCGGGCGGGAGTGTTTCGTTGCGCAAGCTGACGATGAACTTGAGCGACGAGTTGACCAAGTTGGCGGCCCGTTGTGACTGGTTGGGTGGGTTCATGAACTTGGAGTATGGATCCTCCTGGAGTACCAAGTAGGGGTTTCGAGGGAGCACATCACCTCTCAACTCGCCGTAGATGCCCGGGTGGAACTCATCATTGATGCAGTTGAGGTAGCACGAGTGTCGCGGGTTGTGGCGGGCGGCGAGGAAATTGGTTTGGATGGTATTGACGAGGTGGTTGTTGAGGAACTCGGTGGATTCATTGAGGAGTTGGCTATATTCTTCGGAGGAGACTAGGGGTTGGAGGGCTATGAGGAGCTGGTGCACGGTGGAGGAGAGCTCGGGTACCGGGAGTGACGGGAGTGATTGTTCGTTCTGGTAGGTGGACATGGGAAATTATGTGAGTGATGTTGGAAACCAATTGGGTTTTGGTGATGCCTGGAGTTTAGGTGCGCGACCCCACAAATGGTGAGCGGCGGGGGAGGGTTAGGCGGTGGCGGGTGCGGGCAGTGCGAAACGACGGTGCGAAAGGGCGGTGCGGAAGTGGGTGACGCCACATCTGCTTATGGCACTGCTCGCTTACGTCAGAGTCTCCCCTGTCAATATTGTGCCACCCCGTGTCCCGGACCCACCGGTGTAAAAATGAATGATATACTTATATATACCGACTAGTATCCCCAGCAGAAGCCTATTTCTTCGGAACCTGGACCCGAAACTACCAACATAGCAACATCAATGTGTCTAAAAAGTGGCTTTCGCCCGAATAAGGTTTTGAAGGCTTAGAGAAGAATTGCCAATTCCCTCAATTGACAGGTTAGTGAACCCGATCGTAAATCTACCCTCTTATGGAACGGGCTTGCCAAGAGCAGTTCAGTAAACTTTCAGGTGTCGGAAAAACCCTGACTTGCTACAAGTCTTGGCTCGCTGGTGGGGCCTATCCTGGCGAGCAAGATAATCTACCACAACCGGGAATGATAAAACTCCTCAAAGCATAGCCGGCCCGCAGGGGAAAATCAATAAATATCTCTTACCTCAGCCAAAATCCGGATAACGCGGGTGTCTATTTTTTTTTTTAAGCTTATCAATGCTAAATATCAAATACTAAATAAAACAAACACCGAGCCTCTTATTGAACTCTCTTTCATTCATGCATATTTATTACAAAACAGCCCAAAAATCAAAACTCCAAGCACTCATATCTGTGTCTGTGGTGACATAGATCTATAAAAATCGTACTGAATAACATTGTTATTCTTGAAAAACTACTCCACCTCAGTAACTGGCCAACACCCAATGACTGGCTGTGTCTCTGGCAGCCTGGTTGCCTGGCCGTCTGACTGTGAACCTCCTCTACTCTTAGTAGCTGTCTTGATGTTGACAAACTTGCCAAGCGCCGCAGCACCCCCCTAACCACGAGTAAGATTGTTGATCAAGTCTTTCAGCTCAAGGTGCTTTGCTTCGTCCATTAGCGGCTTGATACATAACCATCCAGTCTCGGTTCTGAAATGACGGGACAACGCGTCTGACCGGGCAAACTTCTTGCCACACCCCCAACGAGTTTTTCCATCCTTTAAAAACCCGTCACATTTGAAGCTCTTCTCCCCCTTATGCAATAACTCGTGACGCTTCTTGTCATGACTTCTGGCAAACTTCTTGCCACATACAGTACATCCATACGGTTTGTCGGTCGAGTGGGACCGCATATGGGATTTTAAATTGTACGGTTTGTTAAACACCTTTCCGCAAACGGAGCATGGCAATTTTGGAAGAGTAGACCCTTCTTGTTCGTACGTGTGCTGTCGACGCTTGCGCTTGAGTGACGGCGAGTTTGTGTAGTTGATGATAGACAGGTAGTCGATGGCAAACTTATCAGTTCCAGTACCAGAGCCTTCATGCTCAGAATCACTTGACTGGGCTTTCACCGGGCCCGAGTAATAATTATACTGGGGCATGCTGGAGGTCTGGACAGGGCTAACACTTGGATAGTGTAACACTGGATAAGGCTGGTGGTGCACGTGCGGGTGACTCTGAGTATTGATGGGTGGGTTGGAACCAGTCGTATTATCCACCACATAGTTTTTGGTGCTGTAGAAATGTAATGGTGGTAATGGTTGCTGCTGTGGCTGCAGGTACGTATTAACATAGGAAGCATTTTGCATGGAATATGACCCCATTGGGTAATTACCAGGTGATTTGCTTTGTATGGGCATTTGGTAGGGGAGATTTATGTCCTGGGGGACGGACTGGGGCTGACCATTTAAAGCCGGCAAGATCGGCTTGACGTCTTGATTATTATTATTGTAAACACTCATTCGCCGTTCCCGAATGTATGATTAAAGCAGGTGTATGAAAATCCCCATGTATTGGCAGTAGGTAAAAACTTGTGAATGGGACAGAACCCCGTTACTTTATATAAGGTGGAAAATCATTACGTTGTCGGAAGAAAAAAATAATAAATAAAATAATATAAAACATCCATCCTGAAAAGACAGATGTGCCAAAAAAAGTCCCTCATGCATAGGAAGCCATTGAAGCGAGACCTTGATGGTTAGCAATTAGAAGGTGGCACGGTCATTACAGCCTCAGGGCCGGTGATAAGCTTGGCCAGGGAACATATACCATTCATATTTGGAGTTTGTGTCTACTAGAGGCTTAATGGTATTAACCATCATCGGAATAAGATATTAGAAATCCGTCCCATGCGCCTACGCCAAATACGGTTGTAGGCTGTGCATTCATTTCACCAGATTGTTAGGGGTTATGAACATGGTGTTCTGGTACCGCACCCTCCAAAATACGACCACTTCCCCTGCTGAATCGGGAGAGATACCCGATTATATGCCGGCATGCCGCCAGTGGCACCAGCCCCGTTTTGCCTCAGCCCTGCATCGAAGCTTTCGGAGTATCCGAGTGATGATCGGATCGCTAGTGGTCGAACCAGGGAGTGAAAATGATAAACCCGATATCGCTGGCATTGCTCGAATTAAGATACGTGTAAATTTGAATATAAATTACTCAGAAATATAAATAGTGTAACCTTAAGATAGGGTTAGGGGGGCTGCGGGATTTTTACGGATCGAACCTACATTATTGGGAAAGTCAAGGATCTCATCAGGTTCGTATATGAGCGATGCTCTCTCTTGCATTGGCATTAAGTATCGATGAAGTAACTGGATGGTGAACCAATGACATATCAAGACACTACCTGGATGTTGAACTAATGACAGATTGAAAGTAAACATCCAGAAATGAATCTCATTTCACCGCGTCTTCACCGTCTAAGCCTCTGCTAACCTTAGCCTCTCTATCAGCCCCTCTCATCAGCCTCAGCCATTAGTCGTCCAACATTCTTCCCTAATACTCCACCACATTATTGTCGGTGTCTGTGATTTTACATCCAGTCACCTTCACCACTATTAATTCGGTAGTGTCTGCTTTCACGTAATTATCCAACTGCTGGGTGTCAATATTCTGGTTGTTCATGTGAAGTGAATGGTAGAATTTGTGGCGGCCGTCCAGCTCTGGCACGATTTCCGCTTCCCCGTCCACCATCACTGAAACGCTGCTGAGTTGGGTTTTGTTGAGATTGGTGATCAAGTCGTAGAGCGAGTTACGTCTCCCAGTGGAAGTGCCGGAACTGGAGTTTCCATCGTCTGGTTTGGCACTGATCCAATCGTGCACCAACATCGATACCCGGTGGTTATGTTTGATGTTGTGGTACTTGGTGGTGTTGGCGGGGGTAGTGATGATCACGTAATCATCTCCATTGTCCTGATAGAAGGTGTAGTTCATGAGCGAAACGTGTGGCACATCCTGGTAGCTGGTGGCGAGATGCAAGAACCGGGTGGATTTGAGGAGTTTTGTGGCGGATTCAGGAAGCATTGTGGGTTGATGGATAAATGACATTGCGCGCGTTTTTTTCTCTGGTAAGATGGACTCGTTTGACGATGGGTTTGCTCCTATTAAAACCATGTCTTCGGATGATGCCAAGGGCGATAAGTTCATTCTGCGGTTGAAGAGGGTGCAGAAGGATGTGAAGCAGAAGAAGACTGAGAAGCTACGGCGACTTGCGCGTGACTTTATGAACAATACCATTCTACGCGATGTGTCTGATGAAGACGAGGATGGAGACCAGACGCAGGGAAACGAGCTGGTGGAAGTTCTGGCCCTGTTTGGGGAACTGTCTCCGGCACAAATGCATCTGCAAGCACAAAATCTGTCTTTACCATTCCAGGATCCAAAATTGACCCAAAATCCACAATTGACATCCACACAGACCCAAAATACATCCAAAATCCAGGATCCCAACCCGTCAAAACCCCTGCAAACTGACGTCTCTACCGTTAAATCCGCCATCCGTTCCCAGCTCACCACACGCCCTCGCATCTCCATGGACGTCCCCCAAACCGAACTCTACGCCCTCATGGAAAACACCGTCCGTGACCACGAAGGCAACTCCACCCTCGTCATTGGCCCGCGAGGAAGCGGCAAGACCGTTCTCATCTCCCAGTGCCTCGCCCAGTTGGAAGCAAATTACCACGGTGAATATCTCGTGATTCGCCTCAATTCCTTCATCCACGCCGACGACGACCTGGCGCTCCGCGAAATCGCCGCCCAGTTCGCACGAGGATTGCGGCTGCAGGGGGTGGAATCGGGCCCCATTGAAACCAGACAATTAACCACCACCTTCAGCAACATCCTCCGTATCCTCGATAACCCCGATGCCGACGACACCATGTCCATCATCTTTGTCATCGACGACCTCGAAACCTTCACCTCCGGCAACAAGCAGATTCTCTTGTACAACCTATTTGAACTCACCCAGTCTTCTCGCACTCCCATTTGCATCATTGGCACCTCCACCAAATTTACAACCCGTGAATTGCTCGAGAAGCGGGTGCGGTCGCGGTTCTCTCAGCGGTTAGTGGTCATCAACAAGTTCAGCCAATTTGACCAGTTCTGCCAAAACTGCCTCAATAACCTTAGGTTGGACCAGGACCAAATTCTGACCCTCGAAAACCCTCAATATGGTCGACAGTGGAACTCACACATCGATGCTCTCGCCAGCACCGACTCGTGCTTACGAAGAGTGTTGAGCCTCAACTTCAACACCTCCAGAAACATCAAAATGTTTAACAACTCGGCCATGTTGCCGGTGTCTCAAATCTCCACCACCTCACCATACCCATTGGACTCCCAGTTCATGGGCCTTATCCACAACCAGATCAAAAACCCCATCGAGGCCATGTTCAACGCCCTCTCGCCCCTCGAACTCCTCTTGGTGGTGGCAGCCGCTCGATTTATTGAAAAGTCCAGTTTGGTCACCGTCAACTTCAACATCGCATACCAAGAATATGCAGACATGATGAAACAGTATAATATCGATAAGCTGATTGTGCGGTCGTCGTCTGTCACCACCCACAATATCCCCACCAACCTCAAGGTCAACGTCAAAGTGTGGGATCCCACCGTGTTGAAAAACTGCTGGATGTCGCTCTACAGGCACGGGCTTCTCATCGACTATACCCCCAACACGGCAGAAGGAGGAAAATTCACCGCCACCTCCAACCGGTCGTTTGTGTTGGAAGACAGTCGAATGCTCCAGCTTGATCTTACTCTCGCCGAAATCGGGCAACTTTTGCCTGATGACAATGGTTTCCGGGCCTTGACACGGCTCTGAGAAGTCTTGATTTGGTGCTCTGAAACAAATGTGAAACAAAAAAGGAAGTTTTGGCTGATCTCTGAGAAATTATATTTTTAACCCCGGACTAATTCCCATACCACGGAATGGGGGTTAGCAATCTCTGTGAATTGCATCCCACTGTGCTGCTGCCTGTCAAGGTACCAGAACTTTTCCTGGGGTTCAAACTCGATCCTATAGTCGGGCGTGTCCTGCCTAACTGTGGGACTTCGAAGATGCCGCCGATCGCACGCATCCACCACCAAAGTAATAATATCTGAAACACTTGAAACATGTGCAGATGCAGTCCTACTGTCGGATATCCATTCAGGGGCTATATAAACCCACACGCCAATGCCCCTGGAGTTTTCTCTCATTTTCTCGATGACTTCTTTGCACCCAAATTGCAACCATTTCCCAGGTGTTCAAGAAGCACCTAAGTTTTTACCCGATGAAGAGCTGACCCATACCAAAATCTTGTACCAGACCGTCAACAAACACTTCAGCAAGACCCCCTCGGGAAAGATCTTCGACGATGACTTGAAGGAGATTTTTGCTCTCATGATCTTGAAGTTGGATCTTCAGGATCACACTTCCTCCTACAAACTCTCCTTGTCGAAGTACTACCCGTACCAGTTCGGAGTGAAGAAGGCGTTGGCCACCTTGGAGAACTTGGACTTTAATATCGACAGTCCGGTCAATTGCATCTCCTTGAGCTATAAAATCGATCATGAGCTAGGACTTTTGTGCATCCACAAGTTTTTCGATGCTAAACTCTTGCACTCTCCGGGAGACCGGACCAGATCGAGGTTTAACGCCAAATCGACAATGCAGCCGACTCCCAAAGGTGTAGCCATTGTCAAGAGGTTCATTGAGAAGTCGGGTATCAAGTTCAGTAGAATGCCTCTGCTTTTGGCATCCACCTTGAACTCGATGACATTGTTCTGCTTTGACAGGAGCTTTCTCAATGACAAGATCACCTACTCAACGGTGTTGGTGACGGTGTTGTTTGCTCAGCTTCTTGGACCAGTTCCTAGCTTATGGTCTCCAGAAAACAAACCTGACATGTTCAAAATCAACTTTGACTACAATATCTTGAATATGGACAACTTGGCTCCCGAAAAGTTCAGCTTGATGCGAGACCATCTTTTTGCCAGTCCGCTCCACCATAAGTACTTTGCCAACCCTGAGTCTGATTCTCACGTCCAGTACTACATTTCTTCCAACGGGGTGCGGGTGTTCAAGGATAAGACTTTCACCACTGAGTCCAAAGAATCCTATAATATCCGTTACTGTGTTTCGGGGAAGGCTATATCCCAATGGTTGATGGACTGCACTGATATCTTACTGGTGAAAATTTCTCAGGAAATTGGCAATTTGTTCATCAAACTTGGGTACCTTGTTCCCATTTTTGACTATCCTTCTGCTGCTACTTCCAAGGTGTTCAGGCCTAGCCATGACTGGTACTACCGAATCAGCGATGTTGGCAAAACCAAACTGTTTTGGTACCGAAAGCAAAAGCCTGTTTCTTTACTCCCACTGGCTGTCAACTCTCGCGAGTGCCAGTCCTCTTTTGACGATATTTCAAAGCTCACAGATGTCTTGAACGATCTGGGGTTGAAGTATCTTTTCAGAATCCACTTGGTCAATGAGTACTGTGCGGAAAATATCAATGCATACGACCGGTTGAAGTTGTTTTTAAAAAAAGTCAACTTGTTGTCCAAGCTTTTAAACTACATTGACCTCAACTTCGACAAGGGTTCCAACATCTACAAGAGTCAGGTCTTGAAGTTGTCCAATGACTGCCTCGCAACCATCTACCACATCTACTTTACGTATTTGTCCCCCAAAGCTCCGTTTGTGTTGAATATCAACTACAACTTGAGAAAGCGCATCTCAGACGTGTTGGTAGGCAACGATAAGGCTTTTGACAACATCTACAACTTCAACAACAATGCAGAGTTTATGTGTTCTTCTTCCCTTGAATCTCCCATGACAGTGGTGGCCCACAACCCCGGAATCAAGGACCAACTGTCTGGTGAGAAACCTCTGCTGTCAAGTTTCTGCTCCTTGCAGCGAAGTCGTTCTACGCAACTTTCAGAACGTGAGGTGCGTATTCCATGTCTAGAGCTCAACGATGATGAGTCGGTGTTCAGCTTGAGAGACCTTGCACCAGGTAGGTCGAGGAGAACATATCTTGGTAATACTCCTCCAACATCAGCACGAGACGAAGAGTTTCGAGAAATCTACAAATCGCTATTGTCTTTTGCACCCATTGGAAACGAACTTGTCAACTCATTGTACGGCCTCATGGAGATCGACTCGTTCCCCAAGTTTTTGAACTCGGAGATATTCCAGCAGTTCCGATCGCTCTTCGAGGTTCTACCAAGTACTATTTGACTCTACAGCTGTGAAAATGATTATATAGTAGACGAAGAAGAAATATACAAAACTATAATTACATGTTGTCTATGCCATTGGTTCCAAGGCAGTACCCTTTTTAATACTAGCCCATCCGATCAATCTCCAGTGCTTTTCTATACGTCTAGAAAGAGCAATCTTTTCGTTGACCTCAGTACATGCTGGAGACGTCAATTGCAATCTAGCCATGTCTGCCTTAACTGCCACCACTCTGGCACCGGTGGCAGTGGAGCCAATATTAACCATCAACACCTCACCAGCCTCCAATTTCCGGACCTTTGCACCCTTCTGACCGTCAGTCTTAACTCCCAACAATCTTCTCAAAAGGAAATAGTTGATTTCTATGTCGGTGTAAATAGATGGTAAGTCACCTTTGGCACCCACCACTTGACCCACCAATCTATCAGCTCTACACAAGGTAGGATCAACCTTGGTACCCACACCAATCAATCCTCCGGGAACAGCAAACTTCAAATCATTGTTCTCAGCAAACAATGACACTATATTGGAGAAGATGGGTTTACACTGGATCTTGCTGTTATCGTCCTTGGTTACAATACCGGGTCTAATTTCGATTTCGTCACCAATCTTAAACACACCATTCAAAATGGAACCTCCGGCGACACCCCCTTTCAAGTCATCGATTTCGGCCCCAGGCTTATTGACATCAAAAGATCTGATAACAATCAATCTTGGAGATGCCAAAAAGTCTCTCTTTGGAACTGGAATATAGTTGACTATGAATTGGTTGACGGCATCAATGTTGTACTTTAATTGGGCGGAGATTGGAACAATAGGGGCCCCATCGGCTATGGTACCCTTGATGAATCTCAAAATCGACTTTTGGTGCTCTAAAGCACTTTCTTCTCTCATCAAATCCACCTTGTTCTGCAAAATAATCACATGTTTCAACTTCATGATTTCAATGGCAGCCAAATGCTCAGACGTTTGTGGTTGTGGACAACTCTCATTACCGGCTACCAACAATAAAGCAGCATCCATCACCGCTGCTCCCGATAACATGGTACTCATTAAAATATCATGCCCAGGACAGTCAACAAACGACACATGTCTGACCAACTTGTAAGTGCCGGGACATCCAGGAACCGCACACTTTGGTCTTATTTCCTTATCACTCTTAAATGATCTGTAGCATCCAGGAGGAGGACAGTCTTCGTTATCACATTTATAGATCTTAGCATTGGCATAACCCAATTTAATGGTAATGTTTCTTTCCAACTCATCTTTGAAACGGACCGTCTGAACTCCGGAGATGGCTCTGACCACGGTGGACTTCCCATGAGCCACATGGCCAATGGTACCAATGTTGATGGTGGCTTGTCTGTTGATAATATCTGCTGACAACGGAGTTAACTCGGAGAAATCAGGGTTTTCTGGCTGTTCGGGCAAACCTCCACCTTCTTCGAACTCTCTCTTGGCCTGTTCTTCGTCGAATTCCTCTTCTATACCGGCAAAAGACACCGATTTTTTGCCCTTCTTTTCGTCTTCAGGTTCTTCAATGTGTTCGGTATCGCTTTCGACATCATGTTCGTATTGGATTTCATACTCTTCTTCGGGAAGACTATCTCCGATCACGATGTCGGGGGTCGCGCTCTCGATATCGTCGTAGGACATGTTAGTTGCTTACGGTGATGAATCAGGGTTGAATTTTTTCACTGAAAATTTTTTGGTGATATTCGCGCTACACGACAGGGTCGTGCCTACCCGCTTTTTGCAGTAATGTAGTTTCTTCGTGTGCCATGGAGACTGTGAACACCCTTTAAACAACTAGGGAGACCACCATTACGATGAAAGGTTTGCTTGTTGGATATAGAAATAATCCCAAAGTTGATTTCATCCTTGAAAGATTCGACAATATTTCTATTACATTTCTACTTGATGGTTTGAGTAATTCTTTTGACCATAAATCAATATTTCTTTCTATTACATTCTACTTTACATTCTATTATCCTAATTGGCATGGAAACCAAAGTCGTTCATCACGCTGTCCACATCCTTCCACAACAAATCACTGTTGATATCGAGTACGTCCATCTCCAAGTTCTCAAGTCCACCCTGGAGCGGCAGCTCATTGAGCACCATATGGGCCAACTCATCCGTACGCCGCAGTTCCACGGGCGTGCGAGCCACCGGGGCTGCGTAGTCCCCAACCTGGGACGACTGGAAGCCTCTGTTCTGAGATCGAATGGTATTTCCCGTAATGGCCATTCTGTGGTTGTTCGTGAACAATGGTGGAGGAGAGTTCGTGAGCGACCGGAAATCCTCTGCCTTCCCACGGGCCACCATGTTTCGATCATCGGACGGTTCACTACGCACCTGTGGGGACGAGTCGTTGGAGTTATCTATGACCTTGAAAATATTGCTGCGTTTGTTATTGGCAGAAATCGGTTGTGGATCCAAGGGGATGGTTCTGATGATTTTCCGAGCCTTCAGCTCGGCGTTTACAGTATTGGAAAGCGACCGGAGCTTGCGGGCCTTGCTGGAGTTGGAGCTGCTGGGAGTCGATTTCTGCAGCACCTCACGCCGTTCTTCGTCAGACTCAAGAGCTTCTTCTTGATACCCGTATTCTTCATCGTCCTCGTTGGAGCCACCATCATCGTTGTCTTCTCCGTTCGTGGGCTCCGTCAGATCATTTCGATTGTTGAGCTTCAACATTCCCACCTGGTCTCGTAACACATAAAGACAGTCAAAAAACGCAGAGGCTGCCATTCGACTCCGTACATCGATGGTCAAAGTGCTAAGCTTCTTTTCGTCGAGAGTTCGAAGCACCTGCCACATGTTCCGCATGATGCCACTCAGTCGGTGGGCCATGTCGTGTTTTAAAATCGAAGCTTTGGCTGCAAGTGTAATGGCTGCTTGATACGACTGCTTACCAGACCCCAAATCAATGTACTGCTTCAAAGGTGAATGGGCCAACTTGGCAATGATACACGAGGCCTGCCAGATGCTCAACACGTACACCCCGGGCAAATACTTGATGAAGTTCTTGTCTCTGGTGGAACAGAGATGGGCAAAGTTGATCAAGGCAATGGCTGCATTGTATAACCGTACCAACCCTTTTTGCAATTCAAAAAGAGCTATGCGAGACGAGTCCATGAAGTAGTACGTCAACAAGTGAACCCGGGCCAGGAGAAGTTGGAACTTTCGGTAGCTTTCGCTGCTGGGAAGCTCATCGACCAATTTGAATTCGAGCTCATCGAGCTGCCTCAACAACACCTTCAACAACGGCAACCGTTCGGTGGGGTCGATGAGCCCGTAGGGATCAATGGGGTTGGAGTTGAGGGTTTTGGTGGCCTGATCCTCAAACAGGGCGATTTCCAACATGAAGCGGATGGATTTAGGGATTTTGATAGGACTGCTGGTCCGCAATGGTGACCAGATGGAAGAGTCAAACTGCACAAACGCAGGGAACCCGAACGCGGTGGCGATGGTCTGTGACACTATATTACATAGAATCCATGTTTTAGTTTGCTCGTGGGCCATGGAAAGTTGTTGAGGAGTTTTGGGGTTGCTCGAGTTTACCACCGGGGCGTTCAAGCCAATGCGGATGGCGTGAAAAAGAGCGAGTCCAATGGTGTTCCATGAGGTGTCGGCACTCAATGACGAGGTTATTGGAGGCCAGTAGGTATATATCAAAAATGCCTGGACCGAGTACACGGAGCAGGCGTTCAAAATCGGCTCGTCTTCCTCGGTGGGGTTGTACCTGGTGATAGGCGAAATGGTGATCTCGGCCAAGATGTCTTTGATGACGGGTGAAAGACGTACAAGGAGTTCTCTGCTGGGGTCGTTGTAGATTCTTCTGAGCGACACAAACATGATCACCCAGAACAACGCTGGACACAACTTATAGATCTTTTCGGGGCCCTTCATCACGTCCACCACCGGCAAGATCGGGTGGTAGTGGTGTACATATTCCAAGTACAACAGTTTGATGGTATCGGGCTGGAGGGTGATGGTGTCCAAGGTTTTCTCACCACAAAAAAGTATATACTCGGGCACCACCACCAATTCGGACGGCTCGCTCGGCTCCTTTGCATACATCTCGATGTTGCGGTTGATGGAAGGGGTATTGGGAATGGAAGACAGATTGGTGTCTCCCGTGGTGTGGGTGATTCCCTGTGGGTGAGCACCATGAGACTGTGGTTGCGGCAGCGAATAGCTCTCGCTGAAGTCTCCGTCAGTGTCACGCAACTCCTGGACCTGTGAGAGCGTGGGGATTTTACTGAAGAGCTCGGATGCCTGGGCGGTGGTCAAGGTCTTTTTGAGTTCAGAAAACTCCCGTTCTATCTGAGCAATTCGAGCTCTTTTGTACGTTCTTTTGTACCCGGACTTGAGATCGCACTTCAAGCCCTTCTTGGAGCACCGGGTACACGGAGACGGATGGCGCTCGTGGGCGTCGCACCGGCTCTTTTGTTGTCGGCATTCCACACATGCCATTCGTCTGGGCTTGCCAGACTTGTTATTTGCAGAGTGGTTGGACTCGGCAAACAAAGCATCGGGCTGACTTTCCTCGTGGCTAAGCTGCTCGTTGAGCGTCTGGAGCTCCTGCGACATGTTCGCTATGTGCGCAAGGTTGTGCAACGAGGTGTGATGGTTTCCACTCATGATGTAGGTGCAGCTAGTGAGAAAAAAGCGATTTTCGCGCGGTGGGAAGAGGTGGGAAGAGCCACAACCATGTAAATGTAGGCCCACGGGAAAGGAGGATGAGTGGACTGATGGTGGACTGATGGAGGACCGGTGGAGTGATTGTGGAGTAATTGTGGTGGACGTAGAGGTGCTGGTGACACGGGCCAAAAGTCGGGTCGGTGTTTTGGACCAACTCTTATCGCCTCCTATGTAGAACTCGCGCACAAATATTCACTATCAATGCATGCCTGGAAAACATTAAGACTGGCAAACACCGACATCTGGCTTCTCTGGGTGTCTGTGTTTCTCCAGATGTTTAGCTTCGGGGTGACCAACCAAGTGATGGTGCTTTTCCTCGAAGAAATTGGCATCGAAGCGGCGGATATTGGAACCTTTATGACCCTCACGTTGGTGGGTGATGTTCTGATCTCGTACTTTCTTTCATGGAATGCCGACAAAATCGGCCGCCGGGCGGTGCTTGTGGCGGCAACGGTGATGATGTTTGGAGCGGGCATGGTGTTTGCCACCCAGTCGGGGTTTTGGGTACTTTTGGTGGCTGCTATTGTGGGAGTCATCTCACCGTCTGGAGATGAAACAGGACCGTTCAAAACCATTGAAGAAGCGTCAATTGCGCACTTGACGCCACACAACCACCGGCCGGAGGTGTTTGCGTTTCACGGGATGTTTTCCACGGTGGGAAACGCCGTGGGTTCGTTGGCGGGTGGACTTATCGTTGATTTCTTGAACCTAACTCTTGAGTGGGATTTGATCAGCTGCTACAGAGCCGTGTTTGTGGCGTATGCTTTGGTTGCGGTGGCCAAGTTCTTTCTCATGGTGAACTTGAGTGAAAGGTGTGAAGTGAGGAATGGCTCAGAGCAAAGCCGTTTGATAGAGAATGGTTCAGATGAAAGTTCAGAACCTTCAGAAAGCCATGACGCTGGGTCGGTGGACGCTGGATCCACCGCCAGCGTGGCCTCAAGGCTCTTGTTGGTGTTTTTCTTGGACTCTCTCGGGTACGGGTTCATGCCAGCCTCGTGGATCGTATACTACTATAAGCTGATGTTTGGCATCACCGCCACCCTTTTGGGGGCGTTGTTTTTCTTCACCAGTCTTTCCAACACCGTCACCACCATTCCGTCAGCGTTCTTGGCCAAGCGGTTTGGACCTGTGCGGGCCATTTTGATGACCCAGGCCCCGTCGTCGGTGATTTTCATGCTAATTGCGGGATGTACAAATTTCACGGTCGCTGCTGGCCTTTTGTTCATCTACTACTCGACCACGGCCATGGATGTGGTACCCCGACAGATTTTGATCACGTCGGTGGTGAAAAAAGAAGCGTTGACCAGAGTTATGGGGACGGTTAATACCGTCAAGACGTTTGCGCGGTGCGTAGGGCCTACGTTCACGGGATGGTTTGCTGCCAATAGAATGTTGAACTGGTGTTTTGTGATTCTGGGGGTGTTTACGTTGATGTGTGATGGTGTGTTGGGGGTGAGTTTCATGTCGTTGGACGCAGAGATTTTGAAGAGACAGAGGGTGTATCATGATATGAATTAGGGTAAGATTGTCTATTGTCACTACATGAGGCCCATTGTCTCCAATACAGGTAAATCTGTGTCAGAACAACACCCGCCACATCCTCCTATACCACAGCAGCATCCTGAGCTCCTCCTTCTCCGTCTCAATCACCTGCCTCATCAACTCGAAATCAAGTTCCCGTCTACCTGAATCCAAGTCCATCTCGTGCAACCTCACCACAGCGTTGAGCTTTCTCGAATACAACTTGTGCCCCACGAAAAATACCAACACCACAACCGCCCCCAAGTAGTTCTGGAAAAACACCTTGGCATTGGGGGCTCTGCCCACCGGGTACAACGATATCCAGAATTGAAGCACAAGAATCACTACCAGTGTCACCAATCCCACGATTGCCCCACCGACCCCAGTATTGGCCAAATACGGCAACTCGTCCAACCCTCGTCCCTGGGCCTTCATGCCCATTCGGAACCGAAGATGCACTAGTGACACGCTTGCCCAGGTGAAAAGTGTCGATAACCCCAGCAACGCCATCAACCAGGCAAATACCACTTCTTGGTCGGGTGTCGCCGATACGAACGCCAACAACCCCACCACTGCTGCCACAAGAATCCCCATCAACGGCCGACCCGCTCTGTCAACATACATGAAGATTCTAGGAGCCAATCCCTGTTGTGCCAATGATAAAATGGTGCGTGAAAACCCATAAACAGCCGAGTTGCCTATGGCCAATAAGGCTATCAACACCACCACGTTGAAGATCGACGGTAACACCTTGATCCCGGCCGAGTTGATGGCGATGACAAACGGAGATGCCAGAGCGTCGGAGGAAGACGATCCTACGAGCTGATCCGAGTTCCATGGCACCAAAAACCCCACCAACGTCAAGGTCACCATATAGAACACAACGATTCTATAAAATACAAGCTTTATGGCGTGGGGGAGCTCTGTCCGGGGGTTTCCCTTGGACTCGCTGGCGGTGAGCCCAATGAGCTCGGTTCCTGCGAGTGAATACACAGCCGTAATCAACACACTGATGGTGCCCTTGGCTCCGTTGGCAAACGGGCCCGGGTGGTGCCAGTACCTGGCCCCGATGAACCCGGCGTCGGTGCCGCCACAGATGATCACAATGGCGAGAATATTGAAGCCAACAATTGCCAACAACTTAATTACAGCGGACACAAACTCGGCCTCTCCAAAGCCCTTGTTGCCACAAAGGTTTAATAAGATGATAAGCACGTAAAACACCGCCACCCACACCACCGGGTTGATGGCTGAAGGCCAGAACTTGATGGTCATGGCAGAGGCCACGAGTTCAAGTGGGAGCACAACCACCCAGAAAAGTGCATAATTCCACCCCACCGCAAACCCCCATGATGGGTCGACGAACCGTGACGAGTACGCGGCAAATGATCCACTGATGGGCAAAACTGCCACCATCTCCGCCAAGCTCTGCATCACACAGTATAAATACACTGACACAATGGCCCAGCCGATAAGAACTCCTCCAGCACCTCCCACTTTCAAGGCCGACCCGCCTCCGATGAAGAGACCACTTCCAATGCACGATGCCAAGCTGATCATCCGGAGCTGTCTTTTCTTCAAGGTCTGATTCAACTCAGGGTTTCCTGGTTGACGTTTAAAGGAATTTTTGAGGTTGTGCCATGTGGAGACAGGTGTAGGGTCGGTGGAGGTGAGGGTGTTAATGATGGTGTTGGAGGCATCGAAGTCTAAGGACTCAAACAGAGTTTTTTTCATGATGCTGATGTTGAAGAAGAAGATTTTGCCTGGGCCGGGTTCAAATAGCCTATGCGCTTACTTGGCAGCCGTTACAGGCAGATGAGGCCAACGGCGGTGCGTGCACGCCTGCTGCAATTGGTGCAATTGAGTATTTTCGTGCGGCTCGTTGGCTAAATTTGGGTAAGGCCAGTGACAAGCCAGTGGTAGGCCAATGATAGGGATGCGGTTATGGGAGGTCTAGATTAGGGGGGCCTAAATAGGAGCTCGGATAGAGGGGAGGGAGTCACTCCCATTCGGGATCCCATCCCGGATCCCTATTACTGCCAGGGACCCTGACGGGTGGCTGTGATGGTGCGCGCCGTCACTATTTCCCGGGGTCGATTGCTTCTACTCACAATAACTTCTTCTTCAACCATGAGTGAACAGTTCAAGTTTAGAAGAGCAGAAACCCCAGAAAAAATCAAACAGGTGTGTGAGTTGGCCCAGGAGTGGTTTCTCACCTCCATGACCCCTGAAAATGCCGGGCTGATCATGCTTGAAAGTATCTCAATGCGCAAGGATATCACCCAAGTATACTACCTCGAACATACCAAAACCAATAAACCCGTTTGTATGGTGCAAGTGAGCCACCGTGGTGCATACTACAGCGACTCGCCCACCGCTAGCGGGCCCTCGTCGGCCCCCAACCCCGACACCTTCGGCGTCAAGCCTGCTACCGCGTTGATGATTGGGTTTGTGTTCACGGCTCAAGCCTACAGAAAATTGGGGTTAGCCAACCGGTTGATTAGTGCCGTCATCGAGTACGTGGAGAAGGAGTTGATCAAGGAAAACATCAGCAAGAGTGATAAACTGAAGCCCGACAGCTTTGCTTCGATGGTGATGAACAACGGTCAACTCGACTTAAACTTGGCCAACTACTACTTGGGTAAGAAGTATGCGTGGGTGCTCTACTCGGCCGTGGGCAACTTTTACGAGCGGTTCGGCTTCAAGGCTTTCCCAGTGGACTTGTTCAAGGTTCCCACGTCGGTGTTGACGGATTCGCAGCAGCGTTTGCTCGAAGCATTGATGGACTCTTCACCCGAAGCAAAGGCCAGGGGTAAGCATTTACGGTATCTCGACTCGTCCAAGCCACAGGACCGAGACTTAGTGTCATTCATCATGCAGAACAAGGAATTGGAGATTTTGACCGAATTGAACAAGCTGACTTTCCATTCGGAATTGACGGGTGGCCGCAAGTCCAGTTCTTCTCTCACCAATATTACCGACACGTTGGCCATGAGTAAGCTCGCATCGCAAACGGAAATGACAAGTATTTCGGAGACGGCAGGTGCTACGCCCGTGGCCCAGAGAAAGTCGTCCGTCACCGTCCTCTCCTCGGCCAAGTTCGCCATGAAGCCTGATGTTGATATTTACAAGGCCACCAACTTTCTCAGCAACAGCAGATTGGCGAGCACCGAAGGGTTTACCGCCGAGAACGAGCGCTACAACCACATCGAGGGGGCCATTTTCACCAACGAGTTGCAGCAGAAGTCTTACTTTATTCTCTGGTCAACGTTGATTGCGCAATTTGTGGTGGTGGGAGTGGGTGAATTACAATTCAATATGTTTGGCCCCACCACCGATCCTTTGGGCAAGAGAAGTGACCAGAGACGTCGTGGATCTTCATTTAGTGGGTTGAATGATCTTGGTGGCTATAATTTCCAGGACTTGGATATCTTGTTTTCGGCTGCTTGTCTGGTTGCAAAAAAGAGAGCGCTCGAAGACAAAAACTCCATTTATGTTGCAATCAACGATTTGCCCAACACCATCCCTGCTCCCATGCTCAGCGACTACTTTTTGCACTATTTGCCCAAGACACACCTTGGGGCTGATTCTGACAAGTCGTTGGCCCCAGAAAACCAGGTGGAGCTTTATGCTTCTAATAAGTTTGTGTTGCCGATGTTGCGGAGGTTTGGAAAGGAGCTGGCAGAATTTGACTTGGACTGGGTCGCCAACGGAATGTTGTCGTGGGGCTAGCGGGATGGCGGAGTTGGCCTAGGCTAGCGATGCGACATAGCCGAAAAGTTAACTATTCCCAGCTTTTGTTTTTAGTATCATAGACTTTTATGTAAATGGTGTATGCATTGAGAGATGTAGGGTAGAAGATTAGGGGTGCAAAAAGAAGAACCCATGCCGGGACTCGAACCCGGAATCTTTTGATTAGAAGTCAAATGCGCTAACCATTACGCCACACAGGCTAATTTTTTCGTCAGTAAAAGCCTGATTTTTGCGCCCGGCATCTTAAACCTTCACCTGCTATTCGATCTCCACACTTATGTTTAGGACTATGTCCGTCTTCAGACTTCAGTTTAGAACTATCGCCATCTCCAGACTCTCTCCAGAATTTCTCTACAACTATCTCCGTCTCCAGAAGTTCCTACCCATACACCCACTTCAGAAACTGTTCTCTACTTTCTCTCATACAACATGTATATTTTATATTATGAATTCAGCCAGCAAGCCAACCACCTAGAAAAGTGCATCCAACGTACAACAAATACAAAGTGCACCCAAGCAAGCTGCCAAGCACCCTCCAGATCCAGATCCACCAGACTGCTGTTGCACATACATAGGCTGTTGTTGTTGATAGTATCCTCCTTGTGGTTGTTGGGGGTAGCCGCCTCCGTACCCTTGCTGGGGGTATCCCTGTTGTTGTTGGTAGCCACCGCCGTACCCTTGTTGACCACCATATCCTTGTTGACCATATCCCTGTTGACCTCCGTATCCCTGTTGGTTACCACCAAAGCCTCTATCACCGGCACTTTGACCGGAAGGCGGATGACTTGGAGGTGCGTAGTTGTCTGATGGTTTGGAATTGGACCATTCTGGTGGAGCTCCGGTGGGAGCAGAGTAATCTTTTCCTGACATTTATTAGTTTGTAGTGGTGGTTGTGAGGAAATTCACAGATTATGTTGGTGCGAGTAAATGCGAGTGCGGTCCTGCATCCCGGTTGAAAGTCAGACAGCCAAGACAACCATAATATGACTTCCTGGGAGTTGATAATCTACGTAAATGGGAGTGCAAGTAGGCGATGTCATGGTAAATGACTGACCAAAAGACGGAAACTACGGCTGGAAACAATAGGTCAAAATAGTATCATTTCTTTTGGTATCGCCAAAGCCTTCTCGAGTCATGCGTGGTAGATCGGGGGATCTAGGGCATGCTCACGTGCTTTCTCGTAGGGCTGTGGGTGCGACTGGGGAGATTTGGAACCCCCTGGTAGGCGCACCCCCGGTGAATTCCTCGCCCGCCACGACCCACGATTTTCTGCGATACTCACAACTGAAAATTTTCATCGCACTGAGTTTTCACCAGACTTTTCCCAATAGTTATTCATCAGTAAATTCAAGTTAATATGGCTGAAGTTGAAGAAGTTCAAGAAGTTCCAGTGATCCAAGAAGAACTCAAGCTCGTTGAATTGGCCACCGCCATTCCTGCTGACGTGCAAGCTGCTCAAGCTGAAGTCAAGTTGTTCAACAAATGGTCTTTTGAAGACGTTGAAGTCAAGGACGTTTCCTTGGTTGACTACATCCAAATCGCCCAACCAGTGTTTGTTTCCCACACTGCCGGTAGATACGCCGCCAAGAGATTCAGAAAGGCCCAATGTCCTATTGTTGAAAGATTAACCAACTCTTTAATGATGAACGGTAGAAACAACGGTAAGAAGTTGAAGGCTGTCAGAATCGTCGAACAAGCCTTGGAAATCATCCACGTTGTCACCGAACAAAACCCATTGCAAGTTGTTGTTGACGCCATTGTCAACTCTGGTCCAAGAGAAGACTCCACCAGAATTGGTTCTGCTGGTACCGTCAGAAGACAAGCTGTTGATGTTTCTCCTTTGAGAAGAGTCAACCAGGCTGTTGCTTTAATAACCATTGGTGCTAGAGAAGCTGCTTTCAGAAACATCAAGACCATTTCTGAATGTTTGGCTGAAGAGTTGATCAACGCTGCCAAGGGTTCTTCTACTTCTTATGCCATCAAGAAGAAGGACGAATTGGAAAGAGTTGCCAAGTCTAACCGTTAAGATATCTACATTTATATCGTGTATAATATCTCCAAAACCTTCATTGTTAATAAACATATTGTTAAACGGGTGATCATAGTAGCCAGAAGAACATACCCAGGTTTTATTATCGTTTATTAATCTCTACACTTTATAATCATCATTCTAATTGTCTACCCATTACGCTTTTATGATTGTGCTTGTTATTGCTCTTATTGCCATTATTGTTTGGTACCGTCAGTGCCATGCTAAACTTTAATCGGGTAAAACATCCGAATGAAAAAACTCCCTACACTGGCCCTCAATAACACCTCGTACCGCTCGATTCTCTCCGTCAACAATACAATGTCCGCCTTCTCTTCGTCCGTCTTTTGCAATTCTGCCACCGTCAAATACCGGCACCGCAGTCCCGTAAGCTCTTGTAAAGTATTGATAGAACATGCTAATCTGGCCCTGATCACCTTATTCACCAAGTGCAGCCTGATTAGCAACGCCAACGTCGAACACGTAAAGAAACACACTCCCACAAAAATCTGAAGGTGCAAATATGGCTGGGTGGAGTTGGATCTGGTCAATGCCAACGCGATCACTTCTGCCACCAACGACGGAATTGAAACGGCAATGTTCATAGCTGACCATCCAGCAGGGAGCTTGCTAGGATCTCCAAGAATATCTGAACACACCGGCTGACTCATAAGAGTACCGATGCCCGCAACACCTCCAAGAATTAAACAGAACGGTACCATGGCTGCAAAAGAACTGGCATTGATCCAAAATGCCAAAATCCATATACAGATGAGCAAAGGAATAAGTACGGCCACATTGCTTCTTCCAGCCCAGTCGGCCACAAATCCAAAACCAGGACGTCCCACGATCTGGCCAATATTCAAGATGGCTGTCAAAAGTGTAGCCTTACTGGATGATAATCCAATCAGGGTAGCATACGACGATACCGAAAACAACACCACCACGTACGCAGTCATAGCTATCAGAAACCACACACACCACACCATCATGGGCCAAGTGCTGAGAACCGAGAAGTCAAAGATCAACTTGAAGTTGTCTCGAATAAACTGTTTCAGAAGTCTCTGTTTGAAAGGTAAGGTTTTTCCGTACCGAGGCTTCAACAAAAAACACGGTAAGGCCGCCACCAACGCCATCAACGCCGCCAAACGCAACCCCCACCGCTGGTTTCCAGTCATCTCAAACACCTTATGAATACTCAACGAAAATACCACTCCTCCCGACCCAGCACCAGAAATACAGATGCCGAAGGCAGTAGCGCGATGCTTGTCAAACCAGGTTGGTAACACCAAAGTGGCCGGAATAAACAACATGCTGAACGACATCCCCACAATGACACCCTGACACACATAGAGCTGCCAGATTTTGGTGGCAAATGACGCCAAGATGTACCCAGCCGTCTGAAGGGTGATGCCTAGAGCGGTGATGGCCTTTATGCCTATAACCCGATATAACATCGATACAAACGGGCTGCAACCCTGCGCAAGGCACACCACCAAGCCTCCGATCAACGCAAAGTCGTACTTGGTGGCTCCCGGGAACACGTTGGCATCGATATAGTATTGTAAAAATACTCCAAACGAGGCATTACTACCCCAGGTTGCAAATACCGATAACATGGCAATGATGGCAATGACCCACGCATACCCTTCGTCGGGTGGTGGGATGTTCTCTTCCTCTTCCACGTCTACTTCCGATAACTTGAGCTCCTTTTCTCCAACCACCTGCTCTTCATCGGCAATGGTGGTGTTCTTTCGGGAGATGGCCTCGAGCTCTTGTGCGATAACAGCATCTGGCACTCCGGTGTCTCGGTACTCGTGAGCCACGGCCGCATCCTGGATCCGGTCGTCTCGAATTCCTGAGATGATTCGAGAGAGCTCTGACACGTTGGTACGTTGGCGGTGGAGAATTTCCGATTCAGCATCGTCATCAGCAGCCTTTTCGGACTCCAAAGAAGCTCTCAGCCCCGTGTCAGGCGCGTATGCCTGGTACCGCTTATTGGAAACACCGCTACTACCCGACAGCGCATCGGTGTAGTGGGTAGAATGTGTAGACATGGAGACTGTTAAAAAAAACCTGGAGCCTGAAAAGCGCCTTGCATTTGGGGGTCTTTATACTTTTTCAAGTGCAAAAGCGATATGCGCATTGGAAAGGCTTTTCGGAATGCAGTCCCGCTATTACCTATGAGTCAACCGCCATGAATAAATACCGGGGTTTGGGGAAAAAAATCTTAAATTATGAATCAGCCCCTGTGCGTGCCATGATATTGGCTCCTGTGACTGCTGGTGGTATTTTTGTACTTTGATAGACGTTAGAAAATGTGTCAAATAGAATCTGGGGGGAGGGGCGTGGGGGGGCCAAACCTCCCGAAGTTTTGTGCATAATGACAGGCCAGGCTTACTAAGCTACATGCCAATTTGGTACTGAACGACCAACTGGCACTTTTTGTTATTGCCGACTTGTGCTGAAGCTACCACGAGTTCTAACCGACCCCCACCGTCGTGCTGAGTAATCTGGTGCGGTTGTTGCGGGTGACAAGGTCAGTAGTAGTTAGCCATGTGGTAGTGGCCGATTTATGATGATGCCGTACAAATTCCGTGAAAGTGGCAGTGGCAATGGAATTTGGACGAGTATCCTGGGTTTGGTGGCACTGTCGCTGATCGATCTTGGATGTGAAAGAGAATTACGAAATTGAACATTTAAATTGTGTTTTGAATCAAATTTGCAACATTCACAATTTCAATCAATTATTGAGACTCTCCAGCTAATCCACCTGGAGAATGTAAAAAAATCAAAAACTTTGGAAAAACCACCCTCTTCAAACTCTGCGCTGACAGCTCGAAACAAGGAACTTTCAACAAAAGACCTAGATGTTCATACACAGGCCCCTTTTGGTATGTCCTGATTTTGATCACAGGGCGCGGAAACTAATCAGTAATTCTCGCGAGACAATTATCATCGATACTCCTATCTCCATTAAATTAACACCCGTGCACCCACACAACATAGCCGTGCAATATTCTACGGACAGAAACACCACACCATAAGCACAACCATCATATTTCTCACCGTTCAAATCCATTATGTCTGGAGGATCTGATTTCCTTTCCAAGGGGATAGACCTCGTTCAAAAGGCTATCGATGCTGATACCGCCACACGGTACGAAGAAGCCTACAAATTGTACTACAACGGCTTGGATTACCTTATGCTTGCCATCAAGTACGAAAAAAACCAAAAGTCCAAGGAATTGATTCGGTCCAAGTTTACTGAGTATCTCACCCGAGCTGAACAGCTCAAAGACCATTTGGAAAAACAGCTGCTGAAGTCCAACTCGGCCGAAAACTCCTCCACCAATGGGTCCACCAAGGCCCGGAAACCAGGCGAAACTAGTGGTGATGACGACGACGCCGATACCAAGAAACTCAGAGGTGCTCTTGCTGGGGCTATTCTCTCTGAGAAACCAGACGTTAAGTGGAGCGATATTGCCGGGTTGGAAAGCGCCAAAGAAGCGTTGAAAGAAGCAGTGATCTTGCCCGTCAAGTTCCCCCAGTTGTTTAAAGGCAACCGGAAACCCACCTCGGGTATTCTCCTTTACGGGCCTCCAGGTACTGGAAAATCGTACCTCGCGAAAGCGGTAGCCACCGAAGCCAATTCGACTTTTTTCTCTGTGTCATCCTCGGACTTGGTTTCCAAGTGGATGGGAGAGTCTGAGCGGTTGGTGAAGCAGTTATTCACCATGGCCCGTGAAAGCAAGCCGTCGATCATCTTTATTGATGAGGTGGATGCCTTGTGTGGGCCTCGAGGTGAGGGAGAAAGTGAGGCTCTGAGAAGAATTAAAACCGAGCTCTTGGTGCAAATGAACGGGGTGGGTAACGATTCCAGTGGCGTGTTGGTGTTGGGGGCCACGAACATCCCATGGCAATTGGATGCAGCTATTAGACGGAGATTTGAAAAGAGAATCTATATTCCTTTACCTGATGAAGATGCCCGAACCCGGATGTTCGAACTCAACGTGGGGGACGTGCCGTGTGAGTGTAACGCCCAGGATCTTCGGGCATTGGCATCCATGACCGACGGCTACTCGGGTCATGATATTGCGGTGGTGGTGAGAGACGCATTGATGCAGCCCATCCGGAAGATTCAGCAGGCCACCCATTTCAAGCCGGTGCAAGACCAAGATGGCAATAGGAAACTCACTCCATGTTCGCCTGGAGACGAGGGGGCGGTTGAAACCAACTGGATGGACATTGGCACCGACGAGTTGCAGGAGCCGGACTTGACGATAAAAGACTTTATCAAGTCCATCAAGAGCAACAGGCCTACTGTGAATGCCTCGGACATCGAGAACCACATCAAGTTCACCGACGACTTTGGACAGGAGGGAAATTGATGGCTCCGGTAGTCCAGTTACAGTTACAGTCTTAATATCATTTTCTATTATACACTAATCATTCGTCCCTCATGGGTGAGCGAGATCTGTCTCTTGTAGGGCTTCTTGACCGGTCTATACGAGCCATTGCGTCTGCGAAAAGGTCTTCCACTTCTTCCCGTCCCCTTGGCCTGGCTCGAGCCTGAAGCTTATCGGCAAACAAATCATCACTGTAGTCACGTTGATGACGACGTTTCTTGGGATTGATGGGTCTCTTTTTGTGGGGTCTTCTCTCGGGTTCTCCGTGCAATAAATAGTACCGAGAATACACCGCCGCATTCTTCACCTTTCTATCTGACTGGAAACTAAGCCTGGCATACAACACCACCGCCGACTCGTCTTCGTCCATGTTCGAGGTTTGGGCCTCCAGCGTCTCTGTTTCCACCCCCAACCGATGGGCCAATGTGGTTCGCTTTTGAAACTCAATCACCGGGGTGTATGGTTTGGTTTCTCTCTCTTGCACCAACAAGTTCACCTGATAGATCACTGGCATTGGCACCACCGCGGGGTTGGCTCCGGTGATGGATATCTGGTCGAGGGCGTGGGTAGCATCTTCGTGGGTGGTGAACACAATGTTCACCGCACCATCGTTAATCCACTGAACCCTGAACTTACGCTGAGCATCGCCCAGCACCGGGGTATACGTGGTGGTCGGGAGGCCCGACTCCTCGTTGTTTTCGGTCGTCACCACGTAGTTGACGTAGTAATTGATAAACGCTTCGATGTTTTTGGTGGACAACGAGTTGACACCACGAATGTGGATGGCTTCGGGTCTCAAAGTCTCGGAGGTACCATTGACAGAGACGTCCACGGTCTGTTCGGCCAACCGCTTCGCTCTGTCGTTCTCGTCCTCGATACTTTGCACAAGCAAACCCCCGTACGGCGCTGGTTCTGGTATTTCGTCTGTCATCTGGTGTTGGTGAAGAGTGAGCGCGGTGAAATTTTTATGAGACTTGGGAGACACAAAAAGCTAGGTCGTAGATTAAATTACATTACTGGGGAATATGGGCGTCTTTGGGGGGAGGTATTTTCTATTGTTCCATCTCGATGGCCTCAACCGCCTCATTTTCGGGGACAGCAGCGGTGGCTGTGTCTGTGGCTTCTCTAACAAACAAAACGTTGTTACACCGTATAAACACCTCTCCCACCGTTTCGGCGGTCTTCTTACCGTCGACGTACGCGGTCTCGGATGCGTCATCCAACTGGAAGTTCATGTAGTTGTCCACAGATACAAGGTTGCCTGTGTACTCCGTTTTGTTCCATTTGAGTCTGACAATCACCCGCTTGTTTAGAAGCGTTTTGAGAAACGGTTTGGGGTTGATGGGGTTGAACTATAGCGGTTAGTAAGATGCTTGCGTGGACCCCTCGTGCGAGCGTTTGGGGGAATTAATCGTGGTACATACTGAAGTTGAAGACATGGTTGGTGATGAAAAATCCTGTCGCGCACTGATTTTTCATCTCAAATCAACACATACACCTCAAGCATCATGAACCAAACCCATCGGATCTTGTGTATAGGGGTTCTCGTGCGGTTCCTTTTGCCCACGTTGTTTCCGTCCATTCCCTTTAAGCTCTCCACCGTGGTGGAGTTGGCCACGCCCATCAATTCATACACGTCTCTCCAAGAAGCGTTTTTCTATCTTCAGCACAGCATAAATCCATATGATGGGGGTGTCAACCATCACCCACCGCTCCTTGTGGCATTCTTTGGCCTCTTCAAGTCCCAGCTTCCCGACTCCGTCTTTTTGACGGCTTGCAATTTGCTCTACTCGGTGGTTGACGTAATAATAGCATTGAGGTTGGCCAGCCTCAACCGCTGGTATAACGCCAGAGTGTCCAAAAAAACTGGCGAGCCAGTGGCGCCATTGAGCGATGCGTTGATGGTTTCGTTCTACTTGTTCAACCCGTTGATTATTCTCACCAACTTGTCTCACTGTACGCTTGTGTTTTCACAGTTGTTCATAATTGAATCACTCCACCAATTGACCTCCAACACGAATCTTGCCAGAGCCATGGTCAGCTTGGGGATCGCTACGTACCTCTCGGGTAGCCCGGTGCTCATGGTGGTGCCGGTATTGGCGTTGGCGTATGTGAGTTTGCCAAAACACAAGTGGGAGAACGTCTACATTCAAGGTACAGTGGTGTTTTTCATGACCTGTGGGTTATTGGTGTTTATCTCGGCCATCTGGACGTCGTCAGTGGCGTTCTTGGACCAGTGTTATGGGGTTATTATCAGATTCGACAAGATCCAGCCAAATGTGGGGCTTTGGTGGTACTTTTTCACGGAGATGTTTGACTTTTTCACACCCTTCTACATTGGTGTTTTCAACTTATTTTCCATGATATTCATCGTGCCACTCACGATAAGGTTCTTTGAGTACGAGGATAAAGACCCCAAAAAGGCGTCTGTCAAAACTGGAGATGCGTTTCTTGCGGTATACTTGTGCTACGTATGGATGTCGTTCCTCAAATCGTATCCTACAGTCGGAGACTTTGGCCTTGCCATCTCTTTGGCTCCTATTTTCGCAGCCACGGTTCTTCCTTACTGCAAACTCGTATACATCACGGCCCTCACACTTCTTGTGTGTCTAATTCTTTCGCCCATCTTCTACTACTGTTGGATTGTATTGGGAAACGGTAACTCCAACTTCTTCTACAGTATCAACTTGGTGTGGGGTGGCGTACACATCTTGGTGCTCATCGACTTTACATGGGGTCAGCTTATCAGAGAATACTGCCAGGAACATGATATCTCACCGGAACAACGTCATGTGATCAGATTGACCCAGTTATAGTTATAGCCAAAATACAAACCAGTTCGCATTATTTCTGCCAATCAAGAGTCGAGGAATTTGAATTTTTTCCATTTCTCACTCAAAAGTTTTCAAACAAAACTTACCAGATTATCATTCCAAAAACCATGATGTCCCGTGCAGCTTTCCGCTCCTACAGCTCCGCCGCTGCACCTTTGAAGGTGGCCGCCAGAGATGCCCCAGGAAACTTGACCACTCTCTCAGTGATTGTTAACAACGCTGGTTCCAAGGCTGGGAAATCAGGTGTAGCACACTTGTTATCCAAGTTCAACTTCATGAATACCGAATCCAAATCAGCCTTAAGATTCACCAGAGAAAGCGAATTGTTGGGTGGTGTGGTGTCTACCGATGTCACCAGAGATGCCATTGTTTTGAAAACTCAATTTTTGAAGGAAGACTTACCTTACTATGTGGAAGCCTTGGGTAACGTTCTTACCAAAACCTCGTTTAGACCCCACGAGCTCCCAGAAACTGTCTTGCCTGCTGCCTTGAACGAGTACGAAAACGCCCATGCCTCCAACGCCTTTGTGGCCTCCGAAGCTTTACACGAAATCTCCTTCAGAAGAGGTTACGGCCATCCTTTATACTACGACGGTACCAAAACCTACACCAGCGAAGATGTGGCCCAGTTTGCTTCCGAAGTGTACACAGCCGGAAACGTGTCGATTGTGGCCTCGGGAGCCGTTGAAGCTGACTTGGTCAAATTCATAGGTGAATCGGCCTTCAGTGAATTACCTACCGGATCCACCTCCGCTGTCGCCGTCAAGGCTTACACTGGCAAAGAAGCCAGAGTGAGAGTCTCTGGCCAGTCATTGGCGGTGATTGGAGTGCCAATCAAACCAGCTGAATTTGCCAAGTATGACATTTTGTCTGCCACCATTGGCTCTGCCTACTTACCAGCCACCAACACTCCACTTTTCCAGATCCCTGGTGCTTCTTCGCAAGTGTACAAATACCAGGACGCCGGTTTGTTCGTGGTGTCGGTTGCCGGCTCGGACTCTGCTGTGGTTGCTGAAGGCATTAAAAAGGTCAAGGCAGTGGTGGACTCCATCACTGCGTCCGACTTATCCAAATCCGTCAAGGCCGCCAAGTTGGCAGTAGCCTTGGAGTCCACTTTGGAATCGCCTTTGGAATACGCCATTGATGCCTCTGCTGCCAAGGGTGGTAAGTTGAGTTCGTTCAACTATGTTGCCGTTGGTGATGTAGATGTGTTACCATTTGCTGATGAATTGTAAGTGGACTGCCTGTCGTAAATAATGCATTAATTTATTATTCCCTATATATACCGGGGTACCTGGTTGTTAGTCTGAAAAAACAAACTAATATAAATAACATTCTGTACAGTTAGTTTGAAAAGCGAACTATGATATTCTGTATTGGGTCGGTGCGAAAAGCCAAAAATTTTTCAGTCTCATCTATCACCAGCATTACCAATCACCATGTCTGACATCGAAGAAAACGCATACAACGACGCGCCCGAAAACTACGACGACTTTGATCAGGCTGATCACTTCTCCGAGAATGAGTTTGAAGATCCTGAACCCGAAACCAATGGAGATGTGGACATGAAAACAGAAGATGGACGCACCATCATCAATGGAGGAATTGGACCTGATGAGTCCAAACCCCGGGCCAAGACCACGGCCGAGCTCGCCATACCCAAGCACCAGAGAACAACCACGCCGTATATGACCAAGTACGAAAGAGCCCGGGTGTTAGGAACCAGAGCTTTACAAATCTCGTTAAATGCGCCGGTATTGGTGGACATTGAAGGTGAAACTGACCCACTACAAATCGCCATGAAAGAGTTGTCCCAAAGAAAGATTCCGCTTGTGATCAGAAGATATTTGCCTGATGGGTCGTATGAAGACTGGGGATGTGATGAGTTGATCATTGATTCTTAGACACAATAACCATATGGAGTCAACGTCCCCATAGACAAAATAACCATGTGAAGTCAATATCCCCATATACAGAAGATATGTTTTGAGTCAAGCTGTCCGACACTCACACCCTGCACCATTGTATATTAATAAACACTACCGAATTGTCCTAGTCAATATACGCGTCCAACCAGTTGGATGCCAAAAACAACTTCTTACCATTGCTCTGCTCCTTGACAAAGCCACGGACCAACTCGTCGAAGGTGGCTCTCGATAATCGGTTGTCTCCCGAGCCGATTTCTCCAAGCTGCACCGAGCAGCACGCCTCTTTCAAAGTATCCACGTCAATGATAAGGTCATTGATGTCCGACCCTTCAGCAAACACCTGTAGCGCATTGTGGATGGTGGTACGGTCATCCAACTTCAGCAACTGCTGGGCCATGATGTTCAGAAACTGGGCGAAGTTTAACCCCTTGGATGTTTTGTCATCGGTAGCTACCATCACCTCCAAATCGGCTTTACGGGGCGGCTGGATCCCCAACGTCTTATATAACTTGACAAGGTCTTCCTTGGTGATAAGCGAGTCCTTGGAGTCGCCGTCGATCAACGTGAAGGCATTACGAAGCTCGGTCTTCTGGTTATTGGTGAGACTATTTAGCGGGATCATCTGGCGAAGGTAAACAAAACCAAACACCGCGACTGCGAATTTAGTTAGCACCACCAACCACTTCATGGCGGAAGACACTCTTTATAACCAGCCAGTGGTGATCGACAACGGGTCAGGCAACCTCAAGGCCGGTTTTGCAGGTGATGACAAGCCCAAGGCGTTTTCGCTGGCCATCATTGGCCGACCCAAGTATCAGAAAATCATGGCGGGATCAATAGGCATGGGACGAGATGATATAGGTGATACATTCATAGGCAATACTGCCCAGGAATACCGAGGGCTTTTGAAGCTCAGCTACCCAATTGAACATGGTGTGGTCACCAACTGGGACGACATGGAGATGCTCTGGAACCATGTGTACACTCAGGATCTTAAAGCCAATGCAGAGGAGCATCCGTTGTTGATTACAGAAGCACCATTGAATCCCCGGCAAAACAGAGACAAGATGTGCCAGGTGCTCTTTGAGTCGTTCAACGTCCCGTGTGTGTACATCTCCCTCCAGGCGACGTTGTCGTTATACGCATCCGGACGAACCACGGGAGTGGTGATAGACAGTGGAGACGGAGTCACCCATATAGTACCATCGTACGAAGGCTTTGGATTGCCGACGTGTATCAAAAGAATGGATATCGCGGGGCGTGATGTGACGGAGCAGTTGGTGTACCATATACGAAGAATGTCCGGAGTTTCATTCAAAAGCAGTTCTGAGTTTGAGCTCGTGCGGACCATTAAGGAGAAATACTGTTTTGTATCGAATGATCCGTCCAAGGACGAAAAGGTGTACTCCTCGGCCGCCTATAGCCATTACCTCCTGGCGGCACGGCCGGAGCTGGAGTCCGAGTTGGTGTCCCACTTCAAGTTACCTGATGGACATATTTTGCAGCTAGGAAGCGAGCGATTCAGGTCCACCGAAATCCTCTTCAACCCGCAATTGGTGGGAGACGAGTCGCCAGGAATCTCGCAGTTGACGGCATTGTCGTTGTCCAAAGTCGATCTTGATCTCCGGCCCACCCTTTACAGTAGCATTATTCTTTCGGGGGGTAATACCTTATTGCGAGGATTTGGTGATAGGCTTCTCAGTGATCTCAAGCACCAACAAGGCCAGCACATGACAGGGACCCCGGTGTGGAGCACTACCCGGAACGACCAATACGACACGAAGATGAAGGTGAAGATATACGCTCCTCCAGAGAGAAAGTACTCTACGTGGGTGGGAGGTAGCATTTTGGCGGGTCTCTCGACGTTTAAGAGAATGTGGGTCACGTCGCAAGAGTACCAGGAAGACCCTGATATTGTGCACAGAAAGTGTATATAGGATGCTAAGGGAGCGTTTACTAACGACTGGCAAGTGTTCACATTATTCAAGTATTATACGCATGCTGATAATTAAGGCTATGCTACTGACAATCAGTTAGATCCCGTAGTATCTATCACCAAAGTCACCCAACCCAGGCACAATGAACTTGTCATCGTTCAACTTCTGGTCAATTCCACCGGTGATGATCTTGACTTCGGGGTACTTGTTTTGAAAGGTCTGAATCCCCTCGGGAGCTGCCAACAAGTTCAAGAAGAAAATTCTGTCAGCTTGTACCCCCCTGGCCAATAACACCTGTACGGCCATCATAGCACTTCCTCCGGTCGCCAACATGGGGTCCAACAAGAACACGTACCGCTCACTGATATCCTCTGGGAGTTTCTCATAAAACAACTTGGGCAACGCAGTTTCCTCATCTCTTTGGATCAAGATCTTTCCAATTCTCACCGACCGACAGCAGTCTCTCAATCCCATTTCCATGGATTCTCCTGCCCTGACAATCGACACTCCACAGATCTTGCCCAAAAACTTGGCCCCTTCATATTCGTGGTTTCCATGGCATTTGATAATGGTCTTCTGAACTGGCAATTGGTTCAAGCCCTCTTCGACCAAAAGTCTTATGATTCTGTCGGAGTAAAACACAAAGTCGCCTCTTCGGGTGCTCTGGTCTCTGATGATGGAATACAAGCCAATCAACTGGTTGGTTTGCGGGAGAAGGATGACATTTTTGCTGTAGTTGGTGGAAGTCAGCATTGGGTGGGCTTGTTTTTCGTGAGAAAAGTGAGCGATGAGGAGATAGAGGATCGAGATAGAGGATCATAAGTCCGAGAACAATATGGGAAACTTATAGGGAGCGCAATTGTTGGTGATACAGAGGTAGTAGTTCTATGGCTGCTGACCATCGGTACTACGGCTGTTGCACTGTGGCTGCTGCCCTGAATCTCTGTGAGTATTTTATATTAAGAGTAATATACATCACTAAATAGTGCAGATTTTGTGAATCCCAGTGTCCCCCTACGCCTGGACTTCGGCAGCAACAAACGGGTTGTCAATAACCTCACTGCCATCCAAGGGAGAAATCGTCAATAAAGATGGGCCTCTGACCACCACCCGGCCAAGGCTTCTGGTGTCCTTTGTCAACACATTGGGGTCTTCCGGGTCTAAATATGTTAGTAATAATCCACCAGTGGTGTTCTGTTGGTGATACATACCTCTTAACGTCTCCTCCACCGATTCCAATACCAAATTCATCAACTGGTCAAATCCCTTCAAAACTCCCACTATTTGTCTTCCTCCAATAAACTCCACCTTTATCTGGGTGTCTTTGTACTTGTTAAGGTCCAAAATGGCTTCTCTTTTGGGACCTTCTTGCTTGGTGCCATTATTTCTTCTTCTTTGATCTTTGTGGTCTCTGTTATTTTGGTTGCCATCTCTGGCAGTTTCTTTCTAAATAACGAGGTTAGTATACTATTGGCAATATAATGTTGCAGAATACGGATGGGTTGCCGCTAAGGCGTTGGGGAAGAAATCACATACCAGTTCCATTGCTGTCGAAGAAGATGTAGGTTATTTTCAGTGGCCGTTGAGTGCGAAAAGTGAGCGAGGGTGAGGGCTGCCGCGAAGCTGGCGACAGCTCCCGTTAGCCTTTGGCACTCAGCTGCAAAAAAGCGCGTGAAACAAAATTTCTTCTACAACCATGAGCGACATCAGCATATATATCACATCAGACCTCACCTCCTCCGAGAGGAAAGTATCTCCCCAGTGGTCAATTACGCACCTTAAGATCCGCTTGGAACAGATCACCGGGATCGCCCCCAAGTTTCAAACCATCCACCTTTATCGCATTTCCAACTCGAATGAGTATGAGGTGGTAGCAGACTCCAACAGTTACAACCGCCAAGCCGATGATCACAGCACGGTGGTGGCGCTCAACTTGGTACCATTTTGCCGTCTTCATGTGGTGGACGCCGACCCCAACTCTGAAATGAGCCAGTTGGCGGCAGAAAAGCCTGAATTTGAATCCTACCAAATGACCGAAGAAGAGTATGCTAAAAGATCCAATACGGTGTTGGAGTGGAAATCTCGCAACCAGTTAGGCCGGTTCGATCCCCAATTTAACCAAGAGAAGGCCCGCAAGCTTCAACTTGAGGAAGAAGCAGCCCTGTCAATGAAGGTTGGTGATCGGTGTAGAGTCATCAACATTCAGGGCGAGAGAAGAGGAACCATCCGGTCCGTCGGCAAGATCGATGTGCTCGACAACGGTGAGGGCGTCTGGGTCGGGGTGGAGTTTGACGAGCCGGTGGGAAAGAACAATGGACTGATTGGAAGTGTTAGAGTGTTTTCGTGTAAGGACAAGCACGGAAGCTTTATCAAACCGCAGAAAGTTGAAGTTGGTGACTATCCCGAGCTCGATCCATTTGGCAGCGATGAGGAAGAGTTGTAATGGTCCAATTGGACCTGGTTCAAAAAAAAAAATTCATCAACTTTGTTGGCGGGCTACGCTGTGGTGCCGGTGATTTCTCACCAAATTTCCCAGGAAGTCTCGGTTTCAACATTTTTTCCACTTGCCACCATCACACAAACATGTCACAAACAAGAGGCACGTTCGACTTCATCTTTGACTACGTTGACAGAGAGTCTTACACAAAGTACTTTCGGTTGGTAGTTGCTGTATGTGGTTATATCATTGTTCGTGGGCTCTACCAGAAGTGGGCCACCAAGTTCCATATCCAGCAAGAAGTGAACAGAGACAATGCGGAAAAAGCGGCCAAGCCTGCCAAAGACGCGGAACTCCAGAAACAGTACGAAGAGAAGTTGCAGCAGGAGGCCAAGACGTTTGGGTGGGGGAAGAAAACCAGAAGAGACACCAAGTTGAAACAGGCATATATTGAAGATCAGTTCAATGAGTTAAGACAGAGGCATCAAAGCGCGTACGACGCGGCCGAAGATCATGACATCGAGTACCTTCTTGAGGACTAGGTGTGGGTGTCAGGGCCATACTTTTTGGTTAATTCATATATTATGTATTTATTACTATATCATAACAGATTCTACGATGGTCGCAGCCTGTATAGGGCCCGCACTCTTCGCAGCGAAAGTTTTTTCAATCATCTCACTAGCATTATATCTCCAACAGAAACACATTCACAATGGCAGGAGACCCGTTCCTTTCTGATCCCTCAAGGAAGAGGAAGCGTGCCAACCGGCAGACCAGCACCGTGAACAGAAATACCAAAAATGGTGGCCGATCCACTGAGCGTATGTCTCGAGTTCCCCAAGACGATGAGATCTCTGGGTCCAGTGACACCGATGATAACTCCAACAATATCAGTGATAGAGACGTCGAGCAGATGTCATCGGACGAGGAGTTCCAGGACGAAAACGCCGCCGACAAGAGAAGACGATTGGCCAAACAATACCTCGAGAATTTGAAAAACGCAGACCTCGATGAAGACGATGAGTTCAACGCAAAGGACTTGGATGATGATATTGTTGGCCGCCGATTGCAACGGGACGTGGCCGAGTCTAAGGGTCACATGTTCAAGTTCTACGGGGCCAAGTTTTCGCTGCAGATGGAAGAAGTCCGGCCGGTGGTGACCAGAATTGGGTCCAAGAACCTCACGGGCATCGCCATTCACCACCCATATTTATACACCGTTTCCAAGGACATCGAGTTGGTGAAGTGGCAGATCCACGCCGACAAACGCAAGCCGAGCCGCGTGAAGCACACGAAGGGTGGATCCAAGTACTCTGATCTCAGAGATGAGCAACACCGAAACCACCACCACGCAGCCATTAATTGTGTGGCCACATCTCCCGACGGGAGGTTCGTGGTGACTGGAGGCGACGACGGCCGGCTCATCATTTGGTCCACCGAGAACCTAGCGTGCTTGAAGGTGTTGGAAACGCGAGCAGCCGTCAACTCCCTAAGTTTTAGAAGAAACTCCGACCAGCTCTATGCTGCCTGTGCGGACCTCAAGGTGAGGACATATTCCGTCACCCAATTCTCCCAGTTGGAGACGTTGTACGGCCACCAGGACAATATCGCCGACATCTCGTCCTTGTCGAGGGAGACATGTGTATCGGTGGGTTCTCGTGACCGAACTGCGTTATTCTGGAAAATCGCCGACGAGTCTCGTTTGACGTTCCGCAGCGGTGATGGGGCCAAACCGGCAAAGGGCCTGGACACCTTCCGGTCGGAAGGACTGCTTGACTGTGTGTCGATGGTGGATGAGTCCCACTTTTTGACGGGGTCTGATAACGGAAACTTGTGTCTTTGGTCGCTTGCAAAGAAGAAGCCTGTTTTCACCAGGCGATTGGCACACGGGCTCGAGCCGGAAATGGCACCAGCTCGTGCCAGTGCCGAAACCGCTGCTGGGGTTGAAATTCAGGTACCCATAAGACAACCGTACTGGATAACGTCGGTGTATGCGATTCCGTTCAGTGATGTGTTTGTGACCGGATCGTACAGCGGAGACATCAAGGTGTGGAAGATTGATAGAGAAGGTATGAGGAGTTTTGAGGTGATTGGGTCGTTGGCTGCAAAAGGCTGCGTGAACCGAATCGCGGTGGCAGAATTTACCAGTGCAAAGAAGATAGTTGTGTATGCATTGGTGGGTAAAGAGCATAGGTTTGGCCGGTGGCAGAAGGTGGAGGGCCGGAATGCCTTGGTATCATTTGCATTTAACATTTAATACATAGTAATATAAGATATTATAATGGAGTTTACAATGATGGAATATGCTCCATCATCGTCAAAATGCTGCTTCGTCTTCGCCATTATCGGCAAAATCGTCGTTTCCGTCATCAAAATACTTTTCAGCATTGTAGTCATCATCTTCGTCATCCTCGAACTCGTCTTCTATATTATCATCGTCTTCATCGTCGTCCGGGTCCATATCATCTCCGTTAATGTCATCTTCCTTGGTGTCAAGATCTACAGCCATATCTTTCAACTGCTCGAGAACCAATTTTGACTTGTCTTCCAGTATCGGCAGGGGTGCTTTGACGTCGCTGTGGATCTCGTGTGCTGCTTTGTAGGAAGATAACCCTATTTTCTTCTTTTTACTGACTCCCATCACCGAGTATAGTTCTTGGGGGAAGAACTCAAGATTATAAGGATGGTCTTCGATGGTGGAGCCAATTTTTTTGACCTTTTTGTACTTATCGGAGTGTCTTTCGATTCCGTCGGGGTGGGTGGTAGGGGTTACCTGTTGCTGGCTGTCGACAGAATTACCAGTGTAGAAGGGGCCGTCTAGTACGAGTTTGGTGAGGTTTATGGCTTGGATGGCTTGATCTTTTTCGGCGGCAGACAACGGGGCGTTGACGGGGAGTATAAGTTTAGGTTTCTCCACATCGAAGCTTGTGGTCAACACGTCGCTGTAGTCCAAGCCAAATGGTAAAATGGTTCTACCAAACCCTTTTGATCTGAAGGACATGGTGTGGAAAATTTTTTAGAATGCGCGGAGAAGAGATAGAGAGGAGTGATGAGAGAGTTAGATGGGATGGAACGATTGGAGATGGACTGTCCTTTGTACAATGGGGGAACGGTCAGATGGCGTGGGTCAGAACTTGGTCAACTTCGGTGAGTGTTTGGGTCAGATAACTATTGGTATGGGTAAGAACTTCGGTGGGTGTATGGAAATATGAACTGGATTGCAGCCACCACCGATATCATTTATCCAGACAATAATTGGAGGCTGTCAGGGAGGAAGTGGTGTTTCACTGATTTATCTATCCTAAGCACGTATTTGTAATCTTCAGAATTGTACCATATACCACAAACACCTGTAGATCCACAAAAACCACCCTCCTACAGATGTACAAAAAAACACTCACCTCCAAATCCACCCCTCTTCTTCCTCATCATGGTCCCTTTCTGGCCCCCGACACCTCGTTCTGCCTCCACCGCACTATTCCCTGCTTCCATCCCATCGCCTCATTATTGCTCAAAACAGAAAAACTGTAAACATTCGCAGTCATATATATGCACCAAAACAGCCTCTTCTAATATTAGCAAAAACATATATATCACCACCAAACCCCAATTTACTTGCTGCCACCACCATGGATCCCAACACCTCGATCCTCTCGGCCCAGGCCGCTCCCCAGGCTGCCGAAGGCACCTTGGTGATCATTGTGTGCCGAGCTAAACACTTGCCCAACCGACGCAAATTAGACAAACAATCACCCTACGTAACCCTCAGACTTGGAACCACCGCCAAAAAAACTCCGTCCCACTTTCGTGCCGGCCAAACCCCGGACTGGACCCACGAGATCCGCTTCGACTTGACCAGAGAACGAAAACCCATCTTGAAACTCGACGTGTTGGATGAAACCAAAAACGACCCCACGCCCATTGGAACCTGTGACATCGATTGTAGTGTGATTTTCCAGCAGGAAAAGCACCAGGACGGCAAGTATATCCACGACATGTGGTACGACTTGTCGTTGAACGGCAGAAGGGCCGGTACCATTTACTTGGAGATGACTTTCTACCCCAGCGCCCCGGTATTACCACCAAAGCTTTATGAAAATGGCGACTATGAGACGTCCCACATGCGGGGGTCCGGCTCCAGCTACCTGTCGGGCTACGGGTCCGCCAAGGACTTGCCAGCACCGCCACGGCACCCGTCTCAGTCGAGACAGCCCAGTGTGGTGGATGATATCTTTGTGAGCGCAGACGCTAAGAAAAAGTCGTTGTTCAGAAATTTGGTAGGGGATGTACCTGATACTTCCAATGGGGCTGAGGATGACGACGTGTTTGTGACGCCAGGTACCAGTCCTGAGAAGAAAAGCCGGTTTGCTAAGCTCACCAAACTCAAAAGTAAGTTTCAGAGCAAAGATCCTATCAGAACATTATGGAGTGCGGAGGAGCGAGAACGTCATGAGCGGGGGGACCGGGTGACCCCCATTGACATCAAGGAGTTTGATAATCTCGATGAGCTTGAGCGAGATATTCAGTTCAACAGTCCCAGAAGTCCTCAATTTGCAGCCACCGCAGACGATTCGTTTGACGTGCCCCCCAGCCCACCGCCGCACTCCGAGTACCTGCCAGTCCAACCGCACTCGCATACTCCCCTGCCACACCAAACGCCTCCATTAAAAACATCTCCGCTAAGAAAACCTCCTCCCGAAACCGGTGTCAAAGCCTTCAAAAACCTCAACCTTGGTTCTCCTGCCACCACATCGATTCCATACTCGGCTGATACAATTGGCCTTGACGATGAAGATGGCGGTTTGCCTACCAAGGTATATTTCATGGATAAGCAGGTAAAATCGTTATCGCACTCTTCGCTGCCTAGTGCGCCGGAGCCCGTGAACAAACACGAAATTGACCCCAAATTCTATGCCCCTACGCCAGGCGAGCACTTCAGCCGGAGTCGGCGTGAGGAGGACAAGCGGACGATGGACTTGCGGACGCGCGAGACCGGGTACTTGGGAGACGGTCAGTGGGACCAGAAGTTCAGTCCTTCAATATTTGATCGGATTCCCAACGATGAGAACTTGGGATTTGAAAACAAGCCACATGTGCCTCCTAAGATACCGCGGGGGTTGACGGAGCAGGAGTACTATGTTCTTGATAAGGAGAATTATTTGCGGGACATCAATGGTAAGAGGGCGTAGAGGTAAAGTACATAGAGTAATGATAATGCTGAGCTGGGATAAGAGAGTGTGGGAATTCCACATCAACTTGCTCATATATATATCGTCCACATACTGGCACATATACATATCATCCACATACTGGTATATATACATTTACATCCATATACTGGTACACATAAATTACAACGAAACTCTGTTTCTGGATATAAAAAGGTATAAACTTACTAATAACATCAAAGAACCAAATACTTCTTCACAAGAACTCAAAAGCGCTGTAAATTAGCCACTCGTCGTCTACAACAACGCAAGGGCAGCCAATCCCACCACCCCCATGGCCACATTCCTCGAAGCTCCTGAGTCAGCAGAAGAAGACTCATCATCGTCTTCATCTTCATCCTCAGCCGTCGACACCGCCGCTACCGACGTAGAGGTCGACTCGGCCACCGAGGTTATCTCGGAGGTGCTGTTATAATAACTGGAATAGGACGATACAACAGATGAACTGTTGGAGTAACTGGAGGCTGCAAAACTAGATGATTCAACACTAGAAGAGCTGTTGAAGCCAGAAGCAACCGCCACCACACCCTTGAAAAGGGTCAACGAGGGAACCGTGGACGAGGAAGAAGCCTCTTCGGTAGCAGCAGCAGCCACAGAAGCTACCGAAGCTGCTGATAAGGAAGATAAATAAGCAGCGTAAGAAGCCAGGGAAGCAGCTGCTTCCGAAGCTTCTTCAGCCGCCTCGGCCACCGAAGCAGCAGAGGCTGACGACACCGACGCTGCGTAGGCGGCGGCATTCTTGGAAGAAACGGAGGCAGCAGAAGCTGAAGAAGCAGCCTCAGCAGAAGCCACCGAAGCAGATTCTTCAGGAGTTAATAACGTCACGGTGACAGTGACAGTCGAGGAAACAGTAGTATCATCATCGGCTCTGGCTAATGCCAATAAAGCCAAAGGTAACAAGGTTTTAAACAACATAATTTTTGGAAACTAATAAACGTAAACAACTCGTGTGAGACTCGGGGAAGTTTTGAATAACCGCAAAAAGTGGGAGTTGATAGGTAAAAGGAAGGACTGGGGTAAGTTGGTTTAACGAAAGTGATAGAACAAACGTAGTTTAAAACTCGAGGTTCTATGGGTGTTTACGATGGATATGTTTAGTAAATTTTTTTGTCCATGGGAATGACTTGAGTTTTATTCGGGGGCTAAAAAATAAAAAACAGCGACTTGACAAAAGATGGTGAGTGCCGGACGAACAATGCATAAATGGAGCGAAGGCGCCTGCATTGGGACGAATTCTCCACCGGAATTTGCTTACGATGCCGAGCCACCTTCCATATTGGGCCCCATTATAAACAACAGTGTGGCCGGCCCGGTTTGTTTGGGCAATCCCATCTCCCGTTTGGGCCAGAATGGTTATGTTTGCTTGGCCAATCGTTAGAGGTGTGAAAAAGTGCGGCTACAATGGCGGCCATTGTTACCAGACGACTTTTCGTGTTTTGGTGTCGTTTGTTCACGTTACCGCTGTCCTTTTCAGAATTTGCTGGAAATGGTTAAAAGTTATGGTCTCCATTACGACAATAACAACCGTAGTTTTCGTGGCCAGTTCGGTACGCCTCTTGCTTGTCCCAGGCGATCTAGACTTAGGGGTATATCCGGTCCTGCACACACGCACTCACATCCCCCGGTCCTAATCGTCTAAATGGTCTATACACACCAAAAAGAAATCCCCGGCCGTTTAGGGGGCGCCGCATTGGGCACCGACGTTGGTGTGGTTGGTGGGTTCTATGCAATCCACGGGGTTATGGGTTACATACTGCCAATTTATCCCTTCTGGGATATGCTTGGCTTAGCCGGTGAGTGCCTCGCTGCCTGTGGTGCGGATGTTTTTAGTAGTTGCGTAAACAATTCTGCGTACAGGGCTGTTCAGTTGTCGTTAACTTCACACGAGAATCTCAACAGCACTTACGAGCTTAGCGATTCTCGGGAGTTGGCTTCCGCTATGTTTGTAACAGGACATTTTATGAAACCCACTCGCTGCGTTTTCAACCGAGACAGAATTAATCAACTCTGGGGGATATAAACATTTGGTGATCGTCATCCGATTAGAAGGCTCCAGTTCCCGTTCCCTCCCTCGGTTTGGTTTTTCCACCACGCGGTAGTAAATGTATTGGAGTAAATTCTGTTCAGGTGATATGGTAAACTCTTGGATGATTAAGATGATAAATGTTAAGGCAATCCTAGTAATTACCAGAAAGGGGTTTAATCAAAAGTCAAAATTTTGTCACTATAAGCCGGTGGGGCCCACTTTTTTTTGCTATTGGGGACATTATCGTCTGCTACGGAATAACCAAACCTACGCCTCCGGGGACTACAATACGCTACCTTTGAACTTAATGAGATGAAGTTGTTAGTATAGCACGTGAATTTATTTTTTAATAGACCTGAGTGCTTTCAATATTCCATGTTTCGTTCTCATGATATCTTTCATGCTTGCCTATTTGCAACCGATTAGTGGCTGCGAAAATAGCTATCAGAAAAAATACCACCTCCTCACCTTCCACAGCCCTGCTGTCTTTCTCGTTATAATGGTCCCAAACACCTTCTCGAAGTCTACCTCCCAGTTGAGTTCCTGGATCTTTGTATCCATTATCCTGGAGTGCTCCCTGAGCTTATTCATAACTTTCTGGAGCTTGATCGAGTTAATAAGAGATATAATCTTGATCTCCAGCTTGGAATAGTTGAAGTTGTCAGCAACACTTCCGGCCAGAATGGCGAACTGTATCAACTCGATTCTTCTCTTCGATGGTTCTCTTTCTGATAAAGCCTCGCATAACGTCTTCTTTGCAGGCTTTACTTCTCCTTCCTCCTCCTCCTCCTCCTCCTCCATTTTATGGTACTTAAAACCAGACTTATAAAAGCTCTCATCAAAGCAATCTTTCTCCAAGAAGGATGGGAGCTCAACAAGTTCCTCAAAATTGACCAAATTGATCTCTGTAATCAACTTGGTTAGCTTGAAGTCAAGAATATGCAACTCGTCAAGAAGGTCATATGGGTTCTCGGGGGAATCATCACCCTCCTGGACCTTGGCACATTCCTTTATTCTACCCTTCACCAATGTGATTTTTCTTAGAGTAGTCCATTTGTATTTGCAAGGCTTCTGCTAACTTCATTGTGAATGTGTGATGATAATTGGTCTGTCCTAATGGGTAAATCTAAGGATCTTAATAGTGATATGATTATGAGCGATGACTCACACTAGTGTTCAATTGATGCTCTCCAGGACGGATCCTCTTGGAAAGAGATGAGAGGGGTGGTGAGAGTCATATAAACCCTCTGCGAGGTATTTCAGGGTCTCTAGCGTGTTCCAGAATTGTGCATTTGCCAAAACAATGCTCTGTATAGTATTTCTTGCGGCTCGCTCGATCAGTGGAAAAATAATTTTCAGCCATTTTCATTCTCTTGCTACTCAATCGCAACTAACCATATCGTTTTTGGGTATTGGGGGAAAAGGCAACACAAAAAGGGTATGAATGCCCTCTTTGTGTGAGTCTGGTTAAATCTCTATACTGAGGTAGAATATCTCCCTGTTCTTCCTAAGCCCTTAATATTGTTTGTAGTACTCGCTCATCCGGAAGTTGCAAAACCCAATTTTGCTGCCGGCAGCTTTAGGCAGACATTTGGGGCATATTTGCTGGTCTTATGAACCCGACACTAGGGTTCGGGGTTTTTTTCGAGATTTTTAGGAGCGTTTTTTGGTTAGTTTCTGGGTTTGACAGGGAGAGGGTGCATGAGACTTGGCGAAATAAAAAGTCCGTTTGACCTCAAAATTGAATGGATGTGATCCTTAGACTTTCAGTAGTCTCGTTTATCTCAAATTGTCTCTTTATCCGTCTTCCTTCCGGTTGCCCACAGTTTTCTGCTGGTGCCATGGTTCTACTGTGCGTGCACGACTTTTGATACAAGTGCGACAGTTTTGTATGTGAAAATTGATAAAATTTTTCACTGCCATGAGATTCGTACGTGCGTACTCAGTGAAGTCATTACCGTTTGAGGCCAAGCCGGTCAACAAGTTCAATCCGGTGAAGTCGGCTTATAACTTCAGACCAAAAACCCCCACAAACGGTCTTGTTTATGCCCCTCCAGCGTCCCTCACATCTGTCAAACAAACTCCCAACGCTTTCCTCCCACAATCTGATCCCAGAAAGAATTTGGGAGTGCAGAAAACATACACTGAAGGCGAAGTCAACGATATGCCTGTGATATATGGCACCACTAAGTCTTACCATGTGAGTCAGGAAACTGCTCTTGAAATCTTGAATTTGAGAACCTCCGATCCAAGTCAGTGGACCATTTCCAAGCTTTGCAAAAAATACAATGTCAACCCCCATTTCATCATAAACTTGACCAAGGATTTCAAACCCAAGGCCCGCGAAGCCGAGAATCCTCAGTTGTCGAAGAGACAATTGGACCAAAAGAAGAGAGTGCAGATGTGGTTAAGAAATGAGTTTTAACGAGTCGTCATTACATACTACTGTAAATAGTTTTCCATAATAGTATACACATTATTTTACATAATAATATCATCTTCTTCGCCTTAGTGATACCCATCATTCGGTCTGGTCACTTTCCAACTCTCTTAACACAAGCTCTTCCAAATCCTGGAGATTCAGCTGGATGTTCAACTTAAAGTTGATGGTGTTCTCAATGATCTTTTGGATCTGATTGTGGAGCGAGTTCTTCTGTCGGTAAAGGGATCCTTTTAATGTCTCTGCTTCTATTCCCACATCGTTGTATTGGTGCATAACCGCAAGATATTCACTGCTGGCATCAACCTTTATTGCATTGATCTCTCGAGTCAACCGTTCAATTTTGGTGGAATATGTTGTGGACTTATCAGATATACTATTGTATAACTGATCATAACCGGATTTATCCATAGTGAATTTGGAGGCCAAGCTTTCGAGATCCTCACGCTGTTCTAAAAGCTTCTCATTTAATAAATCCACTTGTTCTTGAATTTTGATCTTTTGATCCTCTATGGCGTGGATTCTTGAACTGATCTCATTCTTAAACTTTATTAGTTCAATCTTCTCATCCTTCAAGTTCTTGTCGAGGATTTCAGTCGGTTTGAATTCCTTTGACAAATCCCACACCAACTCGTTTAACTTAACTTCAAAATTGTGGTTGGTTAAGTTCTTGTACTGCATCTTATATATCAAAGTGTTGTAATGTTTGATAAAATTATCAAGACTTTCGTAGCTGCTTCTCAACTGAAGCTGCTTGGATTGCAACTGATCGGTGATTGCCTCGATCTTGTCGTTTGTTATATCTATGCTCTCGCTTAACGAGCTTCTTTCGTTGGTGAGCTTATTAATCTTCTCCACATCCAACCCTTTATTTCTTAGGTTTGTTTCATAGGTTTCAATCTCCTGGATCATGGCATTAGAGCTTTCTCGGCAGTTGTGTATTTCAGCTTCAATCCCTTGTAGTATTCTCTCCCAATCAGACTGCCTCGATTCAACTGTCTCTACGTAGGCCTTGAACTTTATAAGATCGTTTTCAAGGGCTCGGGACTTCTTCTCGCTGTTATCATAGACCTTCATCTTCTCGTTAAGCTGGCCAAACTCCAGTTGCAATGTAGTTGTTTCCAGTTTCTGGGAGTCAATTTCCTTCTGGAGCTTTTGGTTAAACTGTTCGAAATTGGTCTTAAACTCCTCAAATATATCTCCAAACTCATCATTATTATACCGAGAATAGCTGATAAACGTCTTTTTAATATAATCGTCGTATATGTCGTTCAACTGATCGTCGAAAGACTTACTGTTCTGATGGAGGGTGTTGATTTCGCTCAACTGCAAGTTCAACTTGACGAGCCAATACAACATGGCAAGGAACGTGGGCCAGTAGCTACCACCAACTGCACTGATCTGAGACCGGTTGATTCCGTCGAGGTACGGATAGTTCAACAACTTCAAGATGGTGAACACTTCAGTTTCTATCGATTTGGTGAACTTATAAAAAGGGTCGATTTTGTTGTACAAGAACTGAAAGATCATGATGAAGTCCTTCTGTGTCGGCTGCTTAAGAGTCTTTGTAGTGAGTGGGTGATTCATCTCCACTTCAAACTTATTAAGTCGCAAGAACTCGTACACTTCACCTTGAATTAATGTCTGGTATTGTTTATCCCGTAGAGGTCGCGAATCATGGGTGTTGATACTGCTATTAAACACGGTTTGTTGGGAGTATTCTTCCCGTTGCTGGGACTGTTGGGAAGAGGAGGGCACGGAGCTTTGACGCCGCTTGAGCGAGGCGGGGGTGGATGCAAGGGATTTTCTCTTGATGCTGGAGGGTACAGACGTGGTGATACTATCGATGAGGCCACCACGAAAACCAGAGGGAAGGGTGCCCGAATGGATGAGCGACAGCCGCGTGGCACTTGCCATACTTAAACGCTTGTTGGGTTTGCGAGAAAGCGACGACGGAAACGGCAAGATTCCATTGACGTTATTCATCGATGGTGAGGTTTGGATTGTTGTTTACAAATTGGCTTCAAGGCACTTCGTTCGCGGGTGGTCGTGCGCGCACACCATTGGCAATAGTACCAGGTGAATCGGTCGAGGGGAGGACCAAGAGAAGTACAGAGATTCTTGCACCACGTAGACATTGCTGTAAACCGTAGCATTTCATGGGTCTTTTTTTCGTCCAGATATTTGGTCTCCTTCCCTTCCTATTTATTACCTCTTCTCGGTCGGTGACCAACTTCCTAACATCCCGCGCATTCTTGAAAACGACAATATTTGGAATTACACCTGTTTCATAAACTCATTAAACAAACCACCTACCGTATTTGTTTCTCTTGATCAAGCAAGCCGAGCATCGTCCCCCGCATCCACAAACACTTGCATCACTACCCACCTCGACTTTCTGCCTCCACGCGTTCACATTTAGATATTCCATTGTCCTACCGGCTACCCGACTCCATTTAACTCACTAGTGGAATCGTCTTCATACACTGCCCACCGCCACTACCATTGGAATCCCCGTCCCAGTGGCCTCAAGCGCCCATTTTTCCCAGTTGTTTTGACCTTTGCATTACCCTTTGATAACATATACGTCTCACGCCATGACTGAAAAGCCCAGCACTCCCATCTCGTCTCCCAAAATCCCCAAAACCCTCAAGTTCTCGGAGCCATCGACCCCGTCGGGCGATAAGAAGCAGCGCCGGCTCTCGGGCTTTCTCACGACTCCGGACCACCGACTCGATGGTCTTCCGTATTCTCCATCCGTCAAACGGCCCAGTTCTGACCTCCTGGCAGGACTTAGTAGCCACAACGTCCAGAGCCCCCAGTACAATAACCTCTTGAAGACCCCTCGCCACAGCACTGCTGGGTACGACAGCGATGATAACGAGCTGTCGGTGAAGCATAAGATGCAGAAAACTCCCACGTACTTTTGGCTGGGAAAGAAGTTGTTCACCGACGAGGCTGCCAACCACAAACGCGAGGAGTTGAACGAAATAACCTTGCAGCTCAAGGGTAAGTTGAGTAGTGCCATTGACAAGTTGCAGAAACAACAGAAGTACACCAAAAACAAATATAGCTTCAAGTTCACCGAGTTGAATTTGACCGACACGTCGCCCACCCAAGGTCTGCGGCCGTCACTTGAACAGCACTTAGCGCAATCACCCCAGACGGACCTTCCGCGGCCTTCCATCACCAGGGACTTATCACAAGATGAATCGGCCCTCAGCAAGGCCAACCGTAATCTCCAGACGTTGACCAACGATCCAGAGGACATTTCGCAGCCAAACCCTTTTCTCCAGGGAGAGTCACTCCACACGTCGCCGGTTTTAACTGAAAAACGGGAGAGAATCATCAACATTCCCAGCCCTGATGAAGACTCGAGTGCCCATGCAGCCTTGATGGCCACCTTGTCGAGACAACAGCAGAAGACCCCTTCGCCGGCATCAAAGAAAAAGTTCAGGCCTCTCTCGTTCGACTCGGCCAACTCCAAGTATAAGCTCCCACCCCTAAACGTGGCACTCACCAACGGAGCAGCCCCAGTTGCACACGAGAAGAATACGGAGCAGGACGCCGTTTTCTCACTCATGTCGCTTTCATCACCGCAGTCGGTGAAGTTCACCCACAGCCGGACCCAAAGCTTGAACAACACCGGCTCGCCTGAGTCATCACGGTCTTCTTCAGTCGTGCTTCCGCTCCCACTCCCCAGCCCATCTCAGCTTCATTCGCATCACCGAACGATGTCACAGGGTCAGACACTCCCGCCAATTAGCGGGATCCTTAACGAGGGGGGTAGAGCGGATAATGATGCCACCGACATCGAGGACGATATGACTGACGAGGATCACGACACCACCATATGATTTCGCTTCTTGATATGTATTTGTATTGTGTATCATTAATGTAACATTAATAATAGTGAGGGAACGGCTGAGAGAGAAGAGGATATTCCTAATTGTATAAGCCAGCAGCGATAACCATCTACGCAGTATACCTACATTTGTTGCGACAAACCTCATTAAGCTTCGGCTGCGAAAATATTCTCGAACTTCCTACGCACTACCGTGTTGCATTTAGTCGCATATCTGGTGCAAAAGTATCATCCACAAATTCATAATTAGAAGTACATTCCCAAAATGTGGAAGTATAAAGAACCTTCTAGTACCCAACAAGTACACATTAATGAATATTTGAACGCTAAGCTTGAAGACTTCCCCCAGGTAAACAATAAAGTCCCTAAAAATCTTGAGTTTGATGTAAGAAAAGTTTTGGGGGAATTACCAAAAGACGACCCAATGTTAAAGACAACGCCAATATGGTATGTGATTCTCATGTACTTCCCCCTGATCTGTAAAACCACAGACTTTGACCTCAGTACAAAATCGAAAGGTACTGCTAACACGTTTACGGAGGTAGTACAAGATACCATTTCGTTGGAATTAAGTCTTCCATCTCATAAGGCCTTTGTTGAAGAGCAATGGAAGTATCTTATACTGTTAATGGTCTGTAACAGTGACCAGCCATTAATGCTTACGAACCTGAATATTTTCTTCGCCATAGAATCATCTCGAGTACCAAGGATGACATTGGATCGGAAGAGAAAACTTCATGAGGCAACTATGACTGATATTGCAAGGGAAATGGTTTTCGACTTGGTAACTAATATAAGCCGGTTGTTTTTTGGACTGTCATTGGAAAAGTCGGACGGCATCAG